AATCATTCAAAAATTTATAAACAATATTAACACTGTTAAATTTTCATTAATACAATTATAATTCAAGATTGACATTTTAATAATTATTATACATAATTTAGATTTTACTAATAAATTTTATAACAATTTTAAAAAAATTATTTTTCGCATGATTGCTTGTTGTTTAAAAATATAATTTGATAATCTCAATTTTGTTAATTTTTATTGTTTCATTTTATATTATCATTTGACTATAAACAATATCAATCTTCTTTTTATATTTATTTGTTGACAATTTCTTGTATATTTAATTTTTATTATAACAATCAATAAATCGCAAAAGTAATCTTTATTTTATATAAATATAAATTTAAAATATTTATTATTCAATCATAATCAATTATATATTGCATTTTCAAAGATGAAAAATGTTGACAATATTAGTATATTATTAAAAAAAATGAAAATTGTTCAATTAAAAACATTGTATATTTTAAGATTTTATATATTTTTTGAATCTTTTTTAATTTTGATTTTATTTGTCTTTCATTTTTATTATTTTTTTATTTTATTATTTCGAATTTTTTTAATACATTAAATTTCGTTTCTTATTGTTATTCATTTTATAATTTTTAATATAATCAATAATTAAATTGTGCAATTTTTAAATTTTATAATATCAAATTTTACAATTTTTACAATAATTAATTTTACTTTTTGTCAACTTAACCGTATTGATTTTATATTTAAATAATTTTAAATGGATTTTCTTTTTTCATTATGCGCGATTAATATTTTACTTTTTTTATTTTTTTAATTCAATCAAATCACACATTATTTGAATTAGAATTTCTTTGTTGTTATTTTTATTTGTGTTCGATTTTATTCAATTTTATTCAATTTTATAATTTTTCAATTTTTATATTTTTATCTATTATCACATTATTTTTTTTATCATTATTTATTTTTTTTCATTCAATTGTCTTTCAATTTTTATTTATTTTTTTTATTATATTTGACAACACAATTCACTATGATTTTAATGATTTAATAATTATTAAAAATTGTTTTTTAATTATTGTTATAAAAAGTATTTTAAATTTTATTATATTTTTTAATGATTTAGTTTACAGTTATTTAAACAATTTTTATGTATTTAAAACATTGAATCATGTATATCATATTATAATTAATATATTATAAAATATTTTTTTAATTAAATTATTATTGTCATTAATATCTTTTTTATAAAAAAAATAATAATATGCAATTTTTATTTTATATTTATATGCAAGTATGATAATTCTGTAAATAATTTTCAAATTTTTTTATTACAATTTTATCATTAATTTTTTTTAATATGTTTAACAATATCAACAATAACAATTATTTACAATTTATTTTTTTTATTTATAATCCAAAATTAATTATAATAAATATTATTATTGTTCATTATATTGATATTAAAAATTAAAAAATATTTGTTATTTGAATTATTTTTTATAAAAATAAATTAAATAACAATTTTGTTTTTTATATATTTTATATTGTTATAATCATATCTAAAACATTTTGATAAAAATTGAACAATTTGTCAAAAATAAACTTTTTATTTAAAATCTTTGTTTATTAAATAAATTTTTATTTATAATTTAATTGTCATGTTGTCTGCATTTTTATTATAAACATTTTTATTTAAAAATTTCGTGTGTTATTATTACAATAATTGCAAATAATAAATTTTTTAGAAAAAATAAAATAATTATTATAAAAAATAATGGTTATTAATCATTTTCATTTTGATATCGCGACAATATTTTTTTAAGATTATTTTTTATTTTTTAATTAAACAATTCGAACAATATTTCATTATATAATATATTATGTTTTTTAAATTTCTTTTTAATGCTAATTATTTTTAAATAATAATATTATTTTATTTTTATCATTTTCTTCGTTCAAATTTATATAAAAATTATTCAAAAATTTATATTGTCTTTTTTATTCGTTATTAATTATTTTATTGCCTTTCAATTTTTGAAACATTTCATCAAAACAAATTTTTTCGATAATAAACATTATAAAAAAATAAAAATTTTAAATATATTGTATTAACTATAATTCTTAAATAACAAATCATTTTTTTTGTTTAATTGAACAACAATTAACATATTGTTGTTAAATAATATTAATTAAATAAAATACACATCATGTAAAGTTTGTTTTTAAATTATATCAAAAAAATTAAATTGAATAATCTTTATATTGTTTTTCTTGTTTTTGCATTCCGTTGATGACTGTTTAGAGTGTTTTTATGAATTTATTATATAATAAAAAAAGTATTATACTATTTTGATTCTTTTTATGAAATCTTTATGATAACAACTGAACAAATGATTTTGCTTATTCCATGGCAAGATTATCTGATTGATTATTTACATGAGCCCGCGCGAATGCACGGGCCTAAATGCTTGTCTAGACCATACCGTACCTGATCACCTGACGAACATCCCCACCTGACGAACGCTTTTCAACTCCGCGCCCACATAAGAATTGAAACCATACAACCACTTATGTTTCAAATTATATAAAATTTTTTGAACGAAGCGAAATATATATGAAATTGAAACTATATATTTTTTTTAATCGCGAAAGCATTGTAAAAAACATATTTGTTTGTTTTAACAATTAAACATTAAAAAAACCTGTTCAACAATCTCAATATCTATAAGAGCGATATTATTTGAATTTTTTGCCCGCAAAATATTAAAAAACTTATTTTTATCTTGTTGAGCCAAATTAAAGTCATTTTAAAATTATATATCAATCTGTTCAACAAACTAATCATTTTGTTTTTTACACTTTTTTTTTATTTCACAAAATTGAATTTCTTTATTCGAAACGCGAATTCGCTTGTATTTTTCAATTAAAAACCTCTTTTTTTTTCGCGCTATTTGTAAAGTCTTTTTTTCTTTTTTGAAATCTTAACAAATTATAAAATTTCATCTTTCTTTGCTTAAAGATCACAAATCTATTAAATCTTGTAGAAAGAATAAAACATCACATAACTGTCTTCAAAAGTCTGTAATTCAAAAAAAAAGATTTGTCTTGCTGACACTTCTTTTTCTTTTAAAAAAGAACCTATTCAAGACTTTGACAGCATAATTTTAAAATGATATTCTTTGTAAACAGATAATACATTATAAAATTCAACTTTTTCACTTTTTGATCATATAAATCGATAATTGCATATTTAAAAAATCTTTTAATCTTTCTCCAATCCTCTACATTTAACATTAAGCGAGATAAATCATTAAATAAAGACCAACTATTGTTTTTTCAATTAAATCGTGATAAAATGATTTCAAAATTCAATAACCAAATGTCTACATTTTTTCACGAAAAACCAATATTTTCAGATAATAAAACCCTCTTTCATAACAATCAAAAAAAAATGAAAAAAATCTCTTTTTGTGATATGACAAAGACCTTGAGATTGATAAAAAAATTGCTTTAATTCCGTATTATATATTGTAAATAAAGATCTAAAGATTTCAACGTCAAGCAATTACAACAAATATATAAAATGAAACAAATAAATTATCAAAAAAATCTTATTTGTTTCACAGTAATCAAAAAACTTTATATTGACATAAGATCTGTAACTATCAAAAACAAGAAATTTTCAACATTTTTTTGTCTTATTTTTGATTTTTTAATCGAATACATTTTACAATTATACATATTTGAATTCATCATTCATCCATTCTGAAGATGAAGATGCAAAGAAACAAAAATAAAAAAAAATCAAAATCTTAAAATCACATATCTTAAAGCTTTGAAAAGGCATTTTGATATATAAGATTCAAAGATAGCAAAATCTCATTCACACAAATACAAACAATCATAATAATCCATCCGCGATTATCATTCTGAAACTGTTGCTGTAAGCCATTTTACTTAAATAATTGTTTAAAAAAGATTCTTTTCATTTTACTAAATATTCCAATCAAAAAACCCTTTTTATTCATATTATAAATATCTTCTTGCTGTATACCGTATTGTTATATTTTGCAAATTAAAAGCTCAAAGTATAATGCGTATTTTCATACTAAATCAGCCCTTTTTTAAAATAAATCGATTTCTGTTGTATAACAAAAAATAAAATTATTATTATATCATTTCAAAAAACGACTTGATTACTGTTTTTCAGATTGATTTCCGCTGATTTTGTAAACAAGATTGCGTAACATTTTGTACAATATATAAGAATCTTTTTTATCTAATCGATTGATATTAAAAATAAACATTTTCAATTAATAATCATTCAGAAATCACTATTCTTGATATTGCTCATCTTTTGAATGTTGAACATCGCGAAATCGTTTGTTAAGAATTATTCGATTAATATCATATTTTTTTATTATAGAAAAAGAACTAAGTCGTTCTTTAAACGTCAAGGATTTTAATTCTATAATCGCTTCATTAATTGAAGCCATTCTGGTTGAGATATGGCTCTTTGAAAATGTTAGAAATGTCGGTGAAATTGTTCGTCAGGTGGGGCTGGTCGTCAGGTGATCAAATACGGTATCTCCATCAAGGAGCTTGTGGCCAAAGCCCCTTGATTCCGGTTGACCGAGATAGGCGATCATCGGTGCATTAAATTCCCCGAAAAACCGGGTAGGTTAACTAGGGTATCATGAGGTGTTTCCCAGTGTCTGATTCATCCTTAGCGGTATGGCTGATATTGCTTTTATCGGCTGCTGATTCCTGCGGATCCCCACATTACCCCTCTTATTGAGACTATAATCTGGGGAATATTGCGGGGTTGTTGAACAAATCCAAGATCATCAAGACATCGACGTAGCGTGGAGTGAGGCATGTTTCATGCATAACATATTTCATGCATCTAGTGTGGTATATTCCTATCCTCTTCACCCCCAATAAGTAAGAATGCCAAATTTGAACCAAGTACTCATCCACATCAGCACATCAGCACATCAGACAATCTAAGTAACATACTACTTCGATCCCGCCGCCAAAACACCCCAATCAATATGCGGACCTTCGAACCTCTTCCGTCCCACGAACGCCCAAAAAAGATTAATGATGACGATCACGCCCACTAAGATCACACAGACGAAGTTCATCGACCCCAACTCAACAGGAAGATTAGGCGGCATGCAGATCAACACACATAGTGCGATGATCCAAAGAACGGAGAATATATTACAGTACCAGCCGATGTAGCCTAGTTTCAGGTATCGGGGGGGTAAAGTGTCACGGCCCTGAAGGAGGAGTAAGCCCTGCGGGATGGTGTAGGTGATATTTAGGAAGAGGACGGCTGAGGTGATGATAGAGTTGAACGCGGTTGTGGAGGCGAGGTACAGCAGGCCATAGAGGCAGCTGAATAGGAAGGCGGCGATTGTGGTGTGAACGGGGAAGTTGAGACGGGTGCTGACTTTCGAGAAGAACGGTAAGAATGGGAAGCCGTTCTAGATAGGGTTAGGTGTGGCACTGTTGGAGGGTGTAGTGGGGGTTTCCTCACGTCGCGAGCGAATGCCCAGGCGATCCGGCCAGAGCTGACCCATTGGGATGGGAGAGATGCTGGGGTGTTGTTAGTCGTGTCTTGCTGAGGTGGTGGTCTAAGACACTTACTGAGATATGCGGCTAGCAGAAGGATGAACAACCCAAGTGTGACACTCCGACTTCCTGTTCTGTCCATCTTTGTGAGACTCGGTGGCCAGGGACTAGACTGGCGGGGCTACTTACATCTGATAGAGCAGCTCAAGACTTGGCAGTGGGGACTGCCTGATTGCTTCCATGTCGGAGATGAAAAACATGAAGACAATGAACAGGGACACGCTGGTCACTAGCCCGATAATCATCGTCATGATCATAACCTGTGGGACTCCTCTTCCCGGACGGGGAATCTCTTCGCTGATATGGATGACTATCTCATGTTAGGTTCGCACTGTACATCAAAGGAGAAGCATTTACCTCCGTCTGTCCCCCCAAACGCGTACATTGCGTTACTGATCGCAAGCATCCAGGCTGTACCTTCGTTCCATCCGCTATTACCCTCTCCGGACGCAACCACGAACGATCCAGGTTGGGTTTGCTGATGTAATACCAGCGATACAATGAAGAATATCAGGTATCTCGCTAATGACAGGTAGAGTGCTACTTGGGTCACAAGCGAGATTCTCCCGGCGACTGTAAACACCGGTAAGACTTGAGAGGTCAGTAGTGCACTAGGCCCATGGGTGATCGTACAAGGCCGAGAAACTGCGCTCACCTGTTACCAAAGACACACCGACATATGTCAAATACGTCTGCCACTGATTGGCTACGTAGCTGGGTATGCAGAAGTTCACAATGCCATTCATAACCAAAGCCGCGAGGGAAATCCCCGAGCAACTGGATACGTTAGCAATCATGAATATCGGGAAGAACTTGTGAAGCATACGTCACAATCCACCAAGCCAGAACTGACAGCCAGCCCACCACATAAGCGGTGTATTTCTTCGACCTCTCGGGACTCAAGATATAACAGAAGTGATACTGTCCTCCACTGGACTGGTAGCCTATTAGCACTAGGGTTACAAGAGGAATGGGATCGGCCATACTGGGAATGATGACCCGAGCTCTGCAAGTCCCAGCGTCACGGTGAATTGGACGACAAACGCCGCCATAAGACTGAATATACATGCTTGGGCACCTCCGTAGGCCAGGTTCTGCCCAAAGCAGCTCTGCATCCAAAGACATATGTTAGTTGGATAATGTTCAACAACCAAAAATGTTTGAAAGCCCACCAGATAGCCTATCCAAGAGTTGGTAATAGAGAACCCTAGACCGAGGGCAGATATCCAGTTGAATTGACGAGGCATGACCGCATCATGACCATTTGCACGAAGGACGGCATCATCATCGTACTCATCACCGATAGCATCCTTGAGTGCTCCTAAACGAATACTCTGTGTATCAGCAGGCTTCGACTCAACCTTGTCAAGTTCCGTATTTTCCAAAGACATAGTGGCTTATCACGGTCGATCGACGGTCGCGAGCGTGTGTTGGGACTCTCTGCCCAGGCAGGCAGCAGTATTTTTATATCCATCCCGTAGTAGCCCTGCACAAAAGGCAGGGCCTTGTAGATACCAAACGATCCGAACGACAGCGTGATAGAGTTGATAGTACTGGATTTCGTCCCATAACAGCCATCTTGATCATACTCCGCCAGTATACTGCTTTACCCCACAAATCAGAAGTGCCGAACGCTTATCTGCGCCTAGAAAATAGAAACCCGATTAAGGAGCAAGGGTTAGACAGAATTGTTAATCACACGCCGTGCCCCCTCATCAATTGCGAAACCCCGCATCGTAAACCTGGAGGGGAGAAGATTGCCACGGCGATGAGCAAGGGTTGGCTGGATCCATTACCTGATTGGGAAGCAAAGGCCGCAACTCCGACTAGTCAGTAGCGTCGGTGCTGATGTCACACTCTCGGCCCGCCTTCGCTATACCATGCCTTGCGTTATAAAAGCGACACGCATCAATGATAAGGTCGATGATCTTCAATCTTAGATAACGACAACCTCATCGAGTCCATACTCGCATAATTTGCGTTAAACATGACAGTTCTTTCGTCCAAGTACAGCGATCAAGTCCAGAAAGTCTCGAAAGACACCCCGATCGAGGACATACTTTATCTCCTCAAACGCGATGGAGGGGTATTTGTCAGGGGCCTCATCCCGGAGGATAAGGTAGACCAGACAATCTCGGAGGTGAAAGACCGCTTGGATAGCGACGTTGAATGGAATGGGAGTTTCTTCCCAGGTGGGTCATGAACATGCTGAGATGCGATCGAAGCAAGGGGGTGTGCTGACTAGAACTCACAGCGCAAACCCAGCGGGCACCATCTCTGATAGCGCGCAGCCCAACTTACACTAGAACTCAATTGATGAACCCGCTGTATCAGCAAGTGTGCGAACACTTTCTGACCACGAGGAGTTGGTTCTGGTGGGGAGATGAAAGGAAAGAGTCGGTCTCTAAGCCGTATGTCCATTCGTGCACCGCCATGAGAATTGGACCCGGGGGCAAAGCTCAGCCATTGCATCGTGACGATTATATCAGCCATCGTCATCACTCCGAATGATCAATGGGATGATTCCCGCGATATGGGTCGCGAGTCAGCTGTTGGAATGTTTGTGGCTGGTTGTAAGATTACGAAAGAGAACGGTGGTACTCAATTCATCCCGAAGAGTCATCTATGGTGAGGGTCACTACTTCCATCCGAGTGCTTAAAGCTGACAGCAGCTAGGGGCACCGATCGGAAGACGCCTCCTCGTGTGGAGGAATGCACCTTTGCCGAGATGGAGAAAGGAGATACATTCTTCATGCTAGCCTCTGCGTTCCACGGAGGAGGCTCAAACATCACGACGGACGAGCATCGCCTACTCTTCTCGACCTTTGTTGTACGCGGATTCCTCCGCCAGGAGGAGAATCAATTCCTGGCTGTGCCGAGAGACGTCGCTCGCAGCTATGACCGCGACATTCAAGAATTCATGGGATATTGTATGAGTGATCCGGCTTGTGGCTATGTGGAGCAGATGGACCCGATCTATCACCTGTGCCCAGAGCTCAACACGGACTCTCGCCCTAAGGATTTCTAGGCTCCTTTCAATTGGCTGTTGTGATGTTGGGCGGTATTTGGCAAATCCTGTGGCTTGTTAAGAGTAGTACTAGTCGTTCAATCATGAACTTGTTCAATTCTCAATCGTCGCCACAATTACTTGGGGTATTTTTGGTCAGGGCCTTTCTGCGTAATAATGCTTTTGACGTTTCTGCTGCTTGAGCATCGTTCGTAAGTTCGACATGGAATGTTTCTTCATTTGGTGAACTGTCTTCATAGTTGACGGTTTAGCAATAGGCTCCACCAGGTCAACTAGATATTGCTTAAACGATTGGTCGATCATATGATCCGTAGCCATTATAACGCCCGTGCATACTTAGGCGAGGCACCAGTTATGGAGGTGACATAGACTTTTCACACTCTCAGTCATCTGTTCTATCCGATAGCCCATACTCCGCACCGCGAGTGGACCAACTTCTCGGGAGAGCCATGGCAGACTCCACTGAGTGGGGTCTAATGATGAAGACGGCAATTGTTACGGGATCTTCTCGGTAAGAAAGACGTCTCTTTTTTGTGGACACCCACGAACTAACCGTTGACAGAGGTATTGGTGCTGCCATCGCTCTAGAACTCGGGCGCAGAGGTGCAACTGTCATCATCACTTGCTCCAGTGAAGGGTCTCGACAGGCGGCATTGAATGTGGTCGATGCCATTAAGCAAACAGATTCTAAAGGAAAGGCAATCCTAGTTCGCGCTGATATCACATCTGCGACATACCACATAGTTGGGAACCGATACCCCGTAGGTAGAAACATCTTTCCCGCCGTCTTTGTTGCAAAGCCGTGCACCGACACGAGAAATGCCCCCCGTCCTAACTAGACACCACGTCATGTTTCCTAGGAGAAGTAGGTCAATATCAACATATCTTTGCTCCATAGCGGAGTATGATCTAACCTCTTAAGAAACCCTGCCTGCGGCACCTGCCGGAAGAAGTGTCGAAAATGTGATCGGGCGCGTCCATCCTGTGAAAGGTGCCGGGCTAAAGGACTGCACTGCGAGGGATACCATCCCCGCTGCAAATTCATGCAAGGCCAGCTTTCCCGCCTCCCTGGGCGAAGGGATGAGTCAGGGTCCTCTACTGAGGCCAATGCAGGTAAGGAACTCGCACGGTTGGTATTCTTCATTGAGGACCAAATCTCATAGGCCTTGTCCTTTTCCAGATCAACGGTCCATAGATCATATCGCAAGATCATCTCATAAGAGATCGAAAAGTTTAGTTGGCAAGTCCGGTGCTAGTAGAGAGCAAGCAGAATCTGCGCTGAGCAAGCCGCAGAAGCCTGTGGCCTCGACAAAAACAGTAATTGATGATCTGCTGTGAGACAGCGATAACCAGAGTCTTCTCCTTTATTGTATGAGGCTTGCTCTGAGCTCATGTCACGTCGTGAAATCTGGGGGTCATCAACCAACATGCAGGACTGAGCATCACGACAATGATAGAGTATCAATTGTCTGCTTTACAGTCGCTAAGTTCGCTTCTGCTGCAAGAAGAGCTGCATTATCTTGCGGGTGAGGAGGAAGACATTCTTCTTGCCACCGTTCTCTTACTTGTTCTTCACGACGTGAGTTGCTTTATACCAGCTCCATAGAGGACACGGCCAAAGTAACATCTCACCATATACTAAAACTGCTGCAGGTCTGCGAGTCGAGGATTTCATCACACGGCGTCCATCTCACTGCGACGGGCTTTATCTGTGGAAAGCAATGTCGTCAGCCGCAGGCTTTGGTGTCACCACGAACCACGTTCCTTCTTTCAGCGCTGGTTTGGTAAGATAAACCAAGATATCTGAATCGTATGCTATTCTGATCTCTTACTACAGGATTGATGTTCTCAGAGGCTTCAACGGCGCTGAAATAATGACGTACGGCAATCACGGCCGGCCCTGTGTCTTGGAAACAGAGCTCGGAACACTGATTGGTTGCCCAGTTGAACTTGTCTATAACATTGGCCGCGTCCTAGCAGCGGCAAAAGTCTTCATGAGTGGGTCCATGGGGCTGAGTCTATTTCAAGCCTCGCTCGATGAAGCGGAAATGTTCTTTCGCCAATGGAATCCGGAAGAAGCATCATACCCGACTCAATCCAGTCACTGGAAGACGCTTGCCGAGTCATATCGCCATGTCTGCATAATCCGAGTGTTACGTTTTCCAAACACACGTGCCATTCCATGCGATGATCCACGAAATCAGGCATCTGTGACTGCGATCCTCGACGCCTCGATTCAGAGACCTCAATCCCTCATCAGAAGAGGTATGTCGATCTTTGCATTACTGAGATCAAGAATTCTACCTGCTTCTAGCACCTTGCAATGACGCAGCTTCTAAACCGGGTCTGGGATGAAAGGCAGCAGCAGATAGGCACATCTGTTAATGTACCGTGGATGGAATATGTAAGTGGCTTCCAATTTACCTCGCTATCACCTTCTAACGATTGTTCAAGACATGTTCTACTGACCTAGTTCGACAACACGATTATCTGTGTTTTTGACTGTCGCTTTGAAGCCCGCATTTCGGTAGCCTGGTGCACGAACGTCTTGAGCGGCGCAACTCTGGATGGTAGAAAGATCACAGCTGGGCTTTCAATTCAAACTCTGAACGAATTATATTGAGTCGAGGAAACAGATCGCGTTCTATCGCTCTATCCATCTAACTCTTACCGACTCTGCTCGCGGAACATGTAACGTAAGCCCTACTCGGCTTTCTTCAATTAGGGAATAGGCATGCTTTTGAGCCTCCTTAATATCCTGGCCAGGTTGAGGGACGATTTCAACACGGTGCCTTCGTAGCAGATGTAGGAGAACCGCAAATACTTCGACCTGTGAGAACTTCTGTCCTGGGCATACTCGTGAACCAATTGACCACGCAAATAGTGAATCCGTCTTTAACCCACAGATTGTCTCCCCATTCGAGGCAGTGTTTGTCTGATCAATCCATCTGCTGGGTTTCCAGGCATGAGAGTCAGAACCCCAGAATTCAGGGTCCGTATGCAAACCAATAGCGCTGATGTTCACTTGAGTCTTCCTGGGGACTATAAGCTGCCCCTCAGATAGTCGAACTAATTGATCACTGCTGCTTGTTGTTCGGAAGATAGTAGGAACAGGGCCGTAGAGCCTCAGCGTCTCGTACTTCTCGTAATTTAGCACGAAATATCTCAATCTTCACGTTAGTTGCAATGATAGACTTACCAGAACCGCCCGCAACCTGACGATGCGGGGATAGGTCTGACTATAGTCCACTCCGTCGGATGGCTTCGTCTTGGCAAATATTCCATCAACCTCCTCGATAGCCCAGTCTTGATAAGAGGGAAAAATGGCTAGGAGATAAATAATGTACAGCAAGGCATTAGCAGTAGTCTCGTGTCCAGCAAACATGACCATGAACAGGTTTCCCGTGATTTCCCTGTTCGCCAGGCCAACGTCGTCTGCAGAATTGAGCAAGAAGGATAACAAGTCCGCTCGAACATTCGAACCCGAATATGATAATCTGTTCTCAACAATTTCGTTTAGGCAACAACCAAGCGCCTTGATGTTTGCTTTAATTTTTCGTCTTTCCCGATATCCGACAGGCCGAGGGCGCACAATATCATTCAGAAATGCAGTCAGGTGGTACTGACAAGATTCAACGTTGTGCCGGTTTTCTTCAATGCGTTCGCTGGCATCGATGCAGGATTCGAAAAGAACGTTCACGCTCAATGTTGTCATATCGGACTGGGTCGTATGAACGCACTGGGCATTGACCCATTTATTCAGAACTGCAATGACTTGCTTGGCGGACACGGCCCACACAGCCTCGTTTACCTTCTCATGGAATGCTTTCGCAACCAATTTACGATGACGCTTCCACTCCGGACCTTCGACCTAACACATATATTAATTACTACTTCGGTTACCATGAAGGGGGATGGTTGTTTGTCGCCCTACCGACGATACGTTCTTCCCGAAGACATCCAGTCTACCTTCGATATAATTAGTTCAATGTTTCATCGTAATGCAAACCAGACATACCTAGCATCTTGATTGGTTTAGGGAAATCATTTCGACGAGATAGAATGTCTTTTGCAGCATCCCTGTCCGCAACGAAAAACTCGCATCCAGCCGGAGTCAAGAGAAAAAAGCACCTCCCATAGTCTCGGTATATCGAAAATTTCTCGCGAAACGCCCAATTTGGCTGGGACAATCTCATGAAGGCAAAGTTTGCCAAGAGATTGGGGAGTCGACCATAACCTGGTATGAAGTGTAGACACCGCCATAGAAAGCCTCTAGATGAGGTGGGGCAGAGAACTATGGGCAAGTCGAGTTGTCTAGCCCGACGCCAATAATGATACCACGGTCGCCCGATGTGCCAGCACCATAGGAAACCGATGGCAAGAGTGATGGCGAGCAAAGGCATGAAGGATTGTCAGAGCACCACGTGGAAATGTGGGAGGGCAGCGCAATGGTGACACGATCTCTCGAGTAGCCGAATATTGCAGATGAAAATAGGGCTGTTTTGAGGGGGATTGAAGACAAAAATATATATTCCGGTCAAAAAGTGTGTTCCCAGGGAAATGTCTAAGTTTTGGACGCCGCCACCGGAGAAAAGAACCGCACCCATGATTGGCGCCTCAGGAAACCAACTGCTAAGTACGATTCGTATGGAGCGAAATAACGATTTCTGACTGTTCGAACTCTTGAGCTCTAGGACAACCTGTTTCCTAGGCCGAGGCCGAGGGAGCCGGGCCAGTGGGTCTCTTCGTCGTACTCGTACGGATGCCCGCAAAAAGACTTCGATCTAATTTAAGGGGTGGGTCAACGATCTCGCGACTGCATTGTTGATAGGACACCGCGGCATTTCGGTGGAGCGAGCCGGCGCAAGTGGACTCGGCCATCGCTGCTGAGTTTCGACTTTCAAAGATGAAGAACAAGCGAAGAATGCAAAAAAAGCCGCGGAATAGAGGAGCCGGTCGGCAGGGCGGTCTAGGGGGCGGAGCGGAATGACAGGCAGTTCAGTTCCTTCGGTTTCTCTTCGCCGCCCTTTTCTATGCTGCGCCCCTCGCTTGCTATGAATGATCAGACACGATCCCGATCTCGCGTCCCTGGCACAATCATGTCCCCAGGCTGATCTCTAACGGCTTATTGGTCAATTACGCATCATGGCTCTGCGTCGACCCCACCAGAAATCTAGACATGGTTGCAGGACATGTAAGCGTCGAAGAGTCAAGGTTCGTTACCTAGCACCTAGGCCTGCTTCCCTCCGTCTCCTTCAAGCGAAGGGTAGCAGATCTCGCTCACCCCTTTCTAGTGGCTAGCAGTGTTTTCCTTTGCAGCTCTGTATTGACAGATATTCCAGTGTGACGAGGCTAGGCCGATTTGTTCCAATTGCGAACACCGAAAAGAAACCTGCGACTATGACACCGATTCATCACTTATATGGGCTAGCAATAGGAAGTTGCGACGAAGAGGTCAAAGGCGGACGGAATCTCTAGAGCCCAGCCTGCTAGACCAGTCCACTTCAGCCAGTGCTACGTTCGACCTCCTGAACCGATTCGGTGCGGATGATGATCCCACGGTTCCCTCCATTACATTGAACATGAATCAACTTGAGCTCATTCTGCAATGGAACAACGACACCCACCGATTCTTCACCCGTAATGAGGAAACAAGACACATTTGGCGAGACTTGATCATCGAGGAAGCTTTTAATACTCCATTTTTGATGCACGGTGTCCTGGCGGTATCCGCGCTGCAGCTTTCCTTATCCAAAGCCGAGCACCAGCGAGCCTTCTGGCTTGGTATAGCCGCGGCACACAAGGGTCAAGCTCTTCCACCATTCCTCGCAAACTTCTCGGACATCAATGCGGCCAACGCCAAAGCAATGCTGGGCTTTGCTAGCTTAGTTGTTGCCTTTGCATTTGGTTCGGCACTCACAGGGCGCTCTGATCCCGAGAAACCTAGTCTAGATGCGCTAAACGACGCGTTCATTCTATGCCGAGGTGTCCAGGAAATTACTAGTACCGCATCACCATTTTTGCGTGAGAGTAATTTCGCCCCTCTTTTTGATCTCTCGCGCCCCGTCGTCAACATTCCCAGTTCTACAACAGAGGCGCTCGACCGTCTTGCAAGCATGAACACAACGTCTTGGCTCGGCGAACAGCATGACACTGCGACATATACCCGCGTTATTCAAGCGCTAAGAGACCTCCTTCCGTACACGTATCTTGAACCCACCTCCATGACCCTAGCGGCAGGATGGGCAATCAGATCCCCACCTGCTTATCTAAACAATTTGCAGAATCGAGAGCCTTTTGCCCTGGTCATCCATGCTCATTACTGCGCCTTCCTTCACATAGCACGTGAAAACTGCTTCATCCAATTTTGGGGCAGTGCCGTTCTTCGCGACATTTGGCATATATTAGACTCGAATTGGAAACAACATATTGAATGGCCTATAAACGAAGTATTTGGGCCAGGACATATACTATGAGCAAGTCTTAAGAGCACTTATAACACAAAACCACCGATCATCTGGATGAAACAACCCATGTTTGAATACCTTTATTTAGCCCTCCTGTGCTCGATACAAATGCGCATTTTGATAACAGTTCTAGATTTTTTCCAGGGCGCTGATGTACGTCCTGCCACATCTACGATTATACGATGCGACCATCCCTTTTATGGTGTGCAGTGCAATTGGCTTCGGTGTATCTGGGTTGGCTATTCGAGCATGGATAAATCCCCCAACATCCATTTCCACCAAAAATTGTCCAAGATCAGCATCATCATGCCGGAGTATAGACTTCGGCCTCAAGAATTTCCAACTTATCGTCTGCGTCGAGGGAAATCGTGGCACTCTCTCCAACCGTGGCATTGAGGTCCAATGTCACATACCCCAGTGACTTCGCCGTTCTCCCCTTCCATACAACCTTGCCACCTACAGTCACTTCGACGGGGTACTCTTTGTTCCGAAAATCGTTGAGCTTCAGTACCATCTGTGAAACATTGCCAGGTGCTTCCCACGAATATTTAATCCAGGCGGTCTCTTTATTTGCGTTGGAGGACCATTGAGTTCTTTCATCATCGTCATACGATGCTTTACTGTTGTCCTTGTCGGAACCAGCCGTGGCATTGGATAATTGGACAGCCTTGCGTGATGTTGTGTAAGAACGTCCTTGGGGAGTAGGGCCTCGAGAGAGGTTCGAAGAGAGATTATCCCCAGGCAGTTGGGTACTCAGCCCGTCCTTGCTTTTGAATGGCTTCGAGGTCAATGTAACGGAGGCTGATTTCAGGTGATCTGATTTTGCACTCAGTGTGACTCTTCCAACAGTTTCTGTCGATCTCAACATCACACGATTGACACCATTCTCAACAGGTAGCGAAGTTGCGAGAATGTAATTGTCCAGTCCTTGTGCCAGCCCACCACGCCAAGTGGCCTCTCCATCTATCTTGAAATCAATCTGGTTCAATGCAGTCGGAACTCGCTGGTTGTTTGCATCTACCACCTCCACGTCCACTAGAGCAATATCGGCTCCGTTGGCGAGAAATCCATCCGGCGCGACGTGCTTTGTGAGACGGATCGCAGTCGCCTTTCCCGTTGTCACCTTCTTGCCTATGACCGCCTTCTCGCTGCCGGAATGGCCAACGGCATGCAGCTCACCGGACTCCCAGGTGACATTCTTGAATGTGAACAGGAAGCGGTCGCTCTGCTCTCCCCATCCTAACGACTTCTCATTCAAGAAGAGCTCTACTCGTTCAGCAGTAGAAATGACGTATACGTCCTTCGTTGTGCTGTCGTTGTAGTTCCAGTGACCTACAATGTGTCCAGTCATTTTTTCAACGTCGACCCAGTTGTCCCACATCACCCGGTGGGCGTACCACCCGTCTTTCGGTAGTCTCATCGCATCCACTTCCCCAGACCGACGATAATTTTCAGCACCCCGGTAGTGCGTGTTGGAATCGGAAAAGATAATGTTCACTCCTCCGGCGTTAACTCTGGTCCCGGTTCCTGGTCGCTGCGCGTAGTACTCAAACCACCTTTTAACGTTTTCAATCGCATGGGAATCTTGATTTCGATTGTACTGACTGGCGTCTTCGTCCTTGTATGGCGGTCCGTCCCCATCGATATGGTATGGCGGGGAGTAGTTGTCCCAGTACTTCCGCAAGCCTTCGTCGCGGCTATATTCCATCTCCCAGAGCGGCTGGCGGGCGCTTTTCGTAATGTATAGCATCTGCCCCCCATACTCTGCCACCGTGCTATTGAGCATTTCGCGACAACCAGCGGCGCGCCCTCCGTATGGGTCGAACTTGTCCCTGAGGTCCTTCATCTCTTTCATATGGTCCTCTGTTATTCCATTATTGCCTGACTCATAGAACACTATGCTCGGGTTGTTCCGATTATAGATAATGGCATCCCGCATAACTTCATGCCTCTGCTCCCATCGTCGGCCTGTGACGTCTTTTTCGGAATCCCCGGCAGGCATTGCCTGCAGAAGACCTAGTCGGTCCAAGGATTCAACGTCTTGTTTCCACGGCGTGACATGCATCCATCGAATCAAATTTCCGTTGCTCTCGAGCACGAGCTTGTTGGAGAAATCGGACAGCCAGGCCGGGACCGAAGACCCGAGTGCCGGCCACTCATTTGTGGTGCGCTGTGCATATCCTTTCAGATGCAAAGCCCGATCATTGAGCGCAAAGTGGCCATCTTTGAAAGCGGTCTTTCGGAAACCTGTTCGCGTAGTGACGGTGTCGACTACTTGTCCGCCCTCCCTCAAGGTGGTGTGCACATCATACAGGTACCCATAGCCCCAGCTCCAGAAGTTCAAATTCGACAGCACTCCAGAAACGTCGACAATCCTTGTTTCATTCGGTTTCAGTGTGAACCTCTCCCCTCGCAAGGATTTGACGGTCTTCCCGTCGATGTCATCGATCCGGACGTCATAGGAGAAGGTCTTTGAAGATGTGTGCTCGTTTCTGACCTGAGTCTCGGCCGTGACCGTGGCAGTTTTGCCATTGACGTCAATGTCTTTTGAATACACATACACTCCAGTCGTCTTGAGGTTGGAATAAAGTGGCAACGTCTGATACAGTCGATCGGTTACATGAAGGTACACATTTTTGTTTATCCCTCCATAGTTGGCGTAAAAGTTCTTGTCACTCCACTGATATCGGGTATCTGTCTCGATTTCCCGATATTCCCAATCATTGTCGATACGCGCGGCTAGCACATTCTCCCCGCTTATCTTGATCGCGTCCGTGATGTCAAACCCGAATGCCATCACACCATTCTCGCTGCGTCCGATCCATTTCTCATTGAGGTAGAATTCTCCCGCATGCCGGATTCCCTCAAACTCAAGGAAGACCTTCTTGTCTTTCGCGGAAGATGGAAGCTTGAAGTGTTTCCGGTACCAGGCAATTCCGGTAGACAGATTGGCGATCCCTACCTTGAATGAGTCATCTTCGTTCCATGCATATGGTGTGGTCACTTTCTTCCAGTGGTCATCATCGAAGCCGGCGGTTTCTGCCTTGTCAGGGTCGCCGACATAGACTTTCCAGTCAGAGTTGAAGTTATATTTGACCCGTCCGCTCTTCACGGGGGCAGCGTTGGTGAAGACCAGAAGGATGAGAAATATCACGAGAGAGAAGAGATGCCTCATCTTGGCTTTCGTCACCTGAGACCTGTTGGAAGAACACTGAGCGATTTCTCATTTCCCTCTGCAGCGATGCGGACTTTATATCGCATGCATCCCTCACCTCCGCACTATCTCACCTGCGTTGCCACAACGGCTAATGAGCAACGAATGGCCAGGAACGTCGGTCAACCATTGTCGCCGACCCTTGAAGTACGGTAACTGATTTTGAAAGGTCTTTGAATTACTCCACCATTTAAAAGGTATTCCCATCCCCTGCCAAGCGTGAAGTAAACGTTCATCATACCCTTTTGAGAGAGTGAGTTCTTGCATGCATACCCGTGCCAGGACTTCCCCACGTTCCAGTTCAAAGACCGTACATATTTGCCCAAAGCTAGGTCCTCCTCTGTGAATCCTGTTTCGAGTGATTGGATCATGCTTGGATAGACTAAGCTTCTCGGGCGAACTTTGACCGCGACATATCCCGAACCATTTGGCAACCCAGTTCGGTTGTAGCCCTTGTTGAATTTGTCTTGATTGTCTCATGGCTGGACTAATGAAACGAGGTCTTCATGCATACCCCTCACATCATGAGTAATGCGAGTGGTCATCTGTCGACTTGGATTGTATTAATGTTCCGCTCTTCCGGCTTTGTTCCTCCGAGCCCCGTGCACAGCAAGCGACGGCCGCATGGGTCTTCGGGGTCTTCAAATTCCACCTCTCAGTGGAAAAACAACAGTTCTTGCGACCGATAAAGCCGATTTGTAGACCGGATTAGCCGATTGAGGGCGGAGGACAAATTGATACTCTCAACGGTAGGGTTCGTCCGATATCCATTCTGGTCTTCAAGCAGCTTCTGTCTTCGCAAGCTCGCATGTAATGTCGGATGTCGGTCATTTGACGTTCCTCTCTCCTCGGGAAATGCTAAGGAAGCGATTGGAATTATGGCACGCTGCCTGGGGTCCGTTGTTTTGTTCTCGTGCACGCGGTGTATCGTTCGCTCGCATCAGCCGATTACCATTGGACTTGTGTAGCTCGACGCATAATGCCCTGATTAGACGGGAAGAATGTACTGTTTGCTATCCTGTGCATAGTATCTTCAGCTCTGCGCATATAATAGTATCTGTGGACCGGCTTCATCCTATACTGAGGGACATTGGAGCTGAGTACACTGCAAGTTTCACGCGGATTCTGGAGAAAAAGAAAGTTCCAAGGAACCAGCGAACAACACGCCCATGGTCGATTGAGGCAGTGATAGAGAAAATGCTGGTAGTTCTAACAAAGTCGGTCGCCCCCGGCGACGAACCCCCGTTATATTCGGATCTTTTCCCTCGTATAGTCGTACCGATATCCCGAAACGGTTAGAGATACGAAAGCGAGCGGATCCCGACAGCAACGGATTTCTGGCTTGTTAACTAGAACCGGTCCTCGTCGCGTTCAAGAGCGAATCGTGGACAGCGCTCACGATATTCGTATGCTTATTCGAAACCGGGTGGTGCGTCACCTTCCCGCAGGGGACATCTTGCTCTGTTTTTGTATGGCTAAACGAGTACGGTCAAGAATGACGATTCTTCAGGCAGACAAGATAAGTCGGGGTAGAAGATACTATTTAAATCCATCTGCGATGTCTTTGAACATTGGACTTTGCGATAATACTTCTCAAACATTGGTTTTACCTTGCTCGCTATCTATAGCTTCCTACCCTCTCCGCCTACTTGATTTTCGTCCACTTACCCCAAACAGCCAGCACCATGATTGATCTCTCAATCTACAACAGCCCTCAGCTTAAGTTCCGGCTTCATATAATCATAGGAGCCTTGCTTCTATTGAATTTTATTCTCGTCATTGCACGTCTAGCCAATAAAGGAACCCCACCGACTCGATCTAACACGTGGGGTGTGGCAGTGGTGAGTTCTTTCTGATTAAATTGCCTTCAAGCAGAAAACGCGAAGAACAAAGGACACTGTACTAACTCCACCATAACAAAGTGTGTTAAATCGGCTGTCTTCATGGCATACCAGGTCTTGACGACCCACGCCAACCGATTCAAACGATGGGCCAGCCCAAAAGCTTATATGATTCTTAACATTATCGATACTATCTTTTGGTTCGCCCTATTTATTATCACCTGCATGAGCACTGCCGGCTCCTGCAGTGGGAGTAGTTGTCCGCTAGGTGGTATTGTGGCGACTTTGACTATCATTCTGTGGTAAGAGCACCGCGTTGTTTTACCAACTGTTGTTTACCTGACTAGATTGATATACTAACTTGCGTCTCGTTTAGTGGTCTTGCCGGAATCTTGTCCTTCGTATGTATCCGCGATTGGCGCTATATCAAGACACATGGTGCTCTGCCTGGCACGGTGAAACCTTCCGTTCATGGTGGAGTATAGCGGTTAAAATACTGGAACGAAGCATAGAGTTATGAACATTGGGGGAGGACCCTCAGATATATACTTTTGATTGGTAAGTAGAATGGCTCATGCGAAATTTTATGATGGAAAGAAGCCTCCTATCTGTACAGCCCCTTTGTGCTATGGCCCCAACCGCGAATATCATGTAGAACTCAGTTCGTTGCCCTATGAGTCTTCCAGTTATTGTAGATTATTACAGAATATAGAGGGGCGAGAGGGTCCTTTGGCACTTCTTTGGGCACGCATAACAGTGCATAACTGCATACGCTTATATAATGTTTGGTATCATAATCTATGCAGTATTCTGTCTAGAGTAGGTAGAGCAATGGTGTTATCCGAAATAAACAGTCCTATGTAGTGCAAGCACGTATTTAGACCGATAAACACTAGATCGGAATCCCACGTTAGCCAAAAAAGGAAATTTAAAGACATCGAATCTATCCAGACGTAGTGGCTCGTTCAGCTGTGTGACTTGAGACCGTATCCGCGACCTTTTTCACCCACTAAAAAGGGGAAGTCGAGAAGAAATGACTGGAGGCTCAAGCGGCATCAGTACTAGCGATGTATCCGGTGAGCGACTCAAAACAGAATTACAAATTCTTCCACACTAGATACACCCCCTGATAAAATCCTGCGGCCTGCATTGCAATCGAAAACAGCTAGATCCTTTCCTCCGAAAGTAAACCCTCATAAAGAGTTCAATTGTTGAGATTAACCAGCCAATCAACTCCAGCTGATTATGGCTTGGTATCAGCCACCTTTCTGGTTGAGAGCAGAAAGGCGGAGTTGGAAGGGGGATACGTGTTTTGACCTCAGGAAACGGCCGCCACCATGCTCGAAACTCTTTCTTCGTTCGGTAGAAGGGAGCGGAAAGCAAATTTCCACATCGTGCTTCTAACACAAGGTGGGAAATGGGTTATGGTTAGCGTTGTGTAACGGGAACGAGTGATAACTCACAGGAGCTTGCATATATTGAGCCTGGGGCGTTTGTATTTAAAAGGGGGTGAGATAAGGAGTACATGATAAGTAGTCAGATTGAGGCAAAACTGTTTAGCTCCGTTCTATTATTGGACGAAGCGAGATAGAGGTACGAACCGAGCAAATCCATGCCAACGGTGGTGAGAAGTCTGGCGGAGACATGAAACATGCTGTAGCTTCGAAAACAACATGAATTCGGGCCTCGTCGCGGGGACCTCGTATTCGAGGATAAGCGACACACGGATGGCGATTACTGGCGGCAGCTATCCTTGGTATTGGGCTCATCATGACCGTGCTTGTAAAGGGGACTGGGCGGTTGGGAACCTGTCGGTATCAGATGCCCTAAATCGAAGATTGATTGGGCCGGTTTAGGCTAAGACCAGTGAACGTGGCTGAAAGGCATCAGCTTCCAAGATTGCCAAGGGTCTCAGCCTCTGGCCAAGAGCGGACTGAGATTGTGGACGGTAAATTGGATCATTTGCTGAGAGGGTTTGCATGTGTTGGGTTCACGTAGTACAATTTCTCTAATTTTGTGAAGTCATCTGTTGGTAGGAATAGTATGATGCGATGTCCCGAGATAAAGAAATAAACTCAGACAGGGGTTTTTGCGCTATCTGTCCCACAAAAATCAGCTCCATATCTCAGTGAGAAGCGCGCCAAGTCCACAGGTCCGGGGTCCCCGCATGGATCAAAGGAAGGAGTGGAAATGACAGATCCAAGTTCGATCTGGTCCACCACAGCCTAGACTTGGCCGTGAACACCAGCAAGCATGGTGTAAGATGGCAACATGCGCTTCCAATAACGGCCGCCCCCCTACAGGCCAGCCCCATGAGCCCTAACTGCCCGATAGGACCTGCCAGCCGCCAAGGCCAAATTGTAAGCAGAAAAGCAGGGCCAGACTGCCCGGAGGGCTTGCGTGCTGGCCTTGGCACCACCTGTGGTGAAAAGGATATCCCTTCCCTTGAGCCTAAATTTGTAGCGGGCTATCCGAGCTAGTCCTGTCGTGTAAAATTGGTCAGATACTACGCCTGAGCTATCTGTTTTTGAGCTAGAAGTGAGGGGTGACCCCGGATTTCTTGGGCTTGGTGGGTTTCTCCTTGGCTGGGCCGGATTGTATAAGATGGAGCCTTGGTCGGGGGGATTGGGGAACCCATTCCTTTACGAATCTTATGCTTACGCTGACACTTACTTACGACATGGATGATAAAAAGGTTGTTCTTGAGAGTGCAAGCAGCGAGGAGTTGGAGAATGGAGCCGTTCAGGCGGTTGGGTATGACCAGAAGGCTACAAAGCAATTAATTAGGAAGATCGACTGGGTGTTGATTCCGTGGCTCGCCTTTCTTTATCTGTGAGACTCCTGTGTGTAGTAAAGGTGCGACTTGACTGACCACCGCAGACTGAGCTTCCTTGACCGAACGAATATTGGAAATGCGCGTCTTGCAGGGCTGGAGGAGGATTTGGGCATGTCTGGACTTGACTACAATGTATGAGTGAAGATCCTCCTGAGATTCCAATGCTGACGACCTAGGTTGCCCTCGCCATATTCTTCCCTTTCTACGTCGCTGCTGAGATCCCGTCGAACCTAATGATGAAGAAATCACGACCTGCCATCTGGATACCCATAATCATGTTGGCCTGGGGTATAGTATGCTCGCTGATGGGTCTGGTAAATAACTATGGGGGCCTGCTTGCCTCTCGAGCAGCCCTAGGTATCGCTGAAGGTGGACTCTTTCCAGGTGTTACCTTCTAGTCAGTTCCCTTCACAGTGTTCAAGGCTTCTACTCACCTTCCTAGTATTACAATGTGGTATAAAAGACACGAATGCGGCCTCCGCATGGCCATCTTCTTCTCCGCCGCGACAGCAGCCGGTGCCTTTGGCGGACTCCTCGCGCGAGGTATCGTTGAAATGGATGGCCTTGGAGGCAAGGCCGGCTGGGCTTGGATCTTCATAATTGAAGGATTAGTCACATTCGTCGTTGGTACGTTGCCCTCATCGGGACCTCAACCGCAACTAACCCAAACGCAGCAATCGCCGCCTTCTTCATCATGAATGACTATCCCGACACAGCCAAGTTCCTCACAGAGGAAGAAAGGACTGAAGTCCAGCGCCGTCTCACGGAAGACCGCAGCTCGCTTGCCGACGAGTTCAATCTGAAATACTTCTGGGACGCCGTCCGAGACTGGAAAATCTGGGTCCACATGTTCATCACCATGGGCATCTACACACCGCTCTATTCCTTCTCGCTCTTCCTACCCACTATCGTCAAGACCCTCGGATACTCCAATACCACGGCCCAGTTGATGACCGTGCCGCCGTACGCAGTGGCCTGCGTCTTCTGTATCGGAGGCGGTTTCCTGGCTGATCGTCAGGGTCAGCGTGGAATATACATGATTTTCTTCAACATAGTCGCGTACGTCTCTCAACCATTCGCATTCATTCTCTAACCTCGACTAACTCTCACGAACCAGAATCATTGGCTTCATAATGCTGATCGCCTCTGACAACACTGGGGTAAAATACGCTGGCACCTTCTTCGCGGCCACCGGCATTTACCCCAACGTACCGCAGGGTGTGGCATGGAACGGGAACAATATTGGGGGCTCCGTGAAGCGTGGCGTAGGAATTGCGATGCACGTTGGATTCGGGAACCTTGGTGGTGTCGTCTCCAGCTTCATCTACCAGAGCAAGGACTCGCCGCATTTCTACCCCGGTCACGGGACGCTTATTGCGACATTGTCAATGAGTACTGTTCTGTGTATCTTCATGACCATCTATTTGCGTCGCGAGAATGCGAGGCGCGATAGGGAGAACCCCAAGGCTCCGGCGGAGTATACAGAGGAAGAGAGGAGGGCAGAGAGGGAGAGGGGCGATAATGCTTCGTTTTTCCGGTATACAATCTAGGCGGAGGTGGTGAATTATTGAATAGGATAGGAGTGTTGGACCGTCTGAGTTACTTTCAATTGAAGTAAACACGTTTAACGAACATGTGAAGTGGTCGGTGTGTTCTTAGAGGAAATGGAATGGATATACTTCCCAAAATGGAAAGTCGCACGTGCCTTCGGAAGATGCCATGACTAAGCCGTCATTTATTTCCGCTCAATCCCGAGGCTCCTTCGCACTTTCCCCGACATTCCCGACCGAAGATCCAATGGACAATGCGCTTGTCAATTTCATGTGATGCCTGTCGGTAAGGATATTTCATTGATTATATACGGCGACTGCTAATCATTGTACCAGACAAGCGAAGGTCAAGTGCGTCCATGAGGGCCACCCGCCTTGTCGACGCTGTCACCGTCTCGGTCAATCGTCTTGCGTACTGACCGATCCTCGAGCCTCTCCGCTCAGGCCAAAGAAAGATTCGTTTCGGATTCAACGAAGAGAGAGCCATTCATCGCGGTCGACAGAGGTTCTTCCAGAGAGAAGTGCAGAGGCCTCCGCGGAGCATACATGCCAGTGTGCTCCTGCCAACCCCATCGCGTCCCTTCCGGCAGCCACCATCGTGAGCGCCTGTGACACCTATCGGAAGAAATTTCCCGTCGCCAATTTCCTTCACTATCCTACGCTGATTGCAGATGTATCAAATAATGCGCCAGCTGTGGATCCTGTCTTTGTGGCCTCCATGCTCTGTCTGTGCGCCCGTTTCATGAAAGGCCATCCTCTTGAGCCGGAAAGTGTTTACGCTGATTATGCGCGAACTCAATTGGCAAGTCGAGTCTTCGAGGCACCGTCGCTATACCTGGCTCAGTCTCTGGTTATGATCACGTTCTATGAGTGGGGCTCCGGTCGTCCGTACAAAGCATGGATGTATAGTGGTAGGTCGATGCTTGTAAATCAATTCGATCGACGGCGATTGACTTTCTTTAGGCATGGCGACGTACATGATCCAATCTCTTTTAAAAACGGCAGACGATAGCATGGAGCACAATCCGGAAGAGTTTCACGCGTCACAAATTCAATATGAACAATTAGTTCGGACGTACTGGTGCTGTTTTGCGCAGGACTGCGAGCTAAGCTCAGGTGCTCGACAGCACTTTGCTCTGTCATTTCGCCAGATTTCGGTTCCCCTCCCCATCAGCGATCAGGATTTCAATTTCGGCCGCCGTTCTACATCTCGACTAATGCCAGCAAATATGAATCGACACTCGCTGCTCTCTTCGGACTTGACGATCGATCGTGGTTTGACCATAGTGACCCGTGGGTTTGATATTTTTGTGCGTATCCTGCGATTTGCAAATGAAAGCCGTCGAGGTCGCACGTCATCACCTACCGTCTTATCGTCACCACAACTGACCTGGCGTACTCTCAAGGAAGAGCTTGACGAATGGAGGTCCTTGCAAGATGTTACAGTTCGATATCCTGCAACGAGCGCCCAGGCTCACGTTGCTCTGGGGTACGGTGAGCTTTTCGCTTATATCAACCTGGTTTACTTCATGAGGTAAGTTTTACCCACTCAAAATGATCAACGATGCTAAGATAGGATCACAGCATTCTTTTCCTCCACCGTGACTCCGTGCTTTCTGGTTCGAAGCCATTCGCCGACCGGGCGATAAACGCGACCGAAGACTTCATCGGCTGCGAAGAGGCCATTGACCAGCTTTTCGAGGCCGCACAAAATATCAATGGCGTATTATCCGCACTTGAAGCATCAGAGACACCAGTTATCACCCCCTATGCTGGTTTCAGCGTCTTTGTTGCGGCCCATATCAATATGTACGGCACCGTTTCTCCGCTTCGGTATCCCGGTGGGCGTGAACGAGCGGAGCAAGAAAGGAAAGCCAATTTCTCATATCTCGAACGCCTCTGTGAGTATTGGCCAGTCGGTCAGAGCTGGGTAAATTTGGAAGCCTCGATACTTTCATTTAAATTGCTAACGCGTCGATAGTGGCGAACTGTGCGGGAAGCGGATAAGTTTTATCGAACGGCTAAGAGTAATCACTTTTCCGACGAGCGTCCCAGTCATCTCACCCTCGCTGGAACTCTGGATGAGTATGGAGACATCCGTTCGTCGCGTCCTCGGAATGATCTATCAATATCAATGCGAAGGCGAGAGACGGTGTCTTCCGACGCCGTTGATTCGGCACAAGAGGACCCGAGAACCACACACAATAGTCAAATAAATATTGCACCAGGCCATAACGCAATGCTTGATTCTTACGATCTGGAAGCGGAAATGCTACAATGGCCCTTCATCGACGAAACATGGTTCCATGGGTTCGATACAGGGTTTGATGCGGCATGGCCTAACTTAGGCTGAAGGGCTGAACAATTCAGACAGTACTTCAAGCGGTCACCGCGCCTCTACCTATGGACGTCACGTGTTCTGTTATCTCCCCTATCTCCATCGAACAATAATCTGGAATTAGGGTCGTTGAGTTGTTCCGAGGTCGGGTTTTGATGTCAGGATGAAAACCATCGAGGACCACGCAATTCATGCAACAACTCAAAAATCTGATTATTTCCCTCCGCCTGTACAAGAAAGCAACCAAGCTACAGGGTATCCTTCAATCGCCTCCAAGGGGTAAAAACGCGCTTTGGATGCAGTCTAAGCGGATAAGCCATTCCCTTCAGGATGCCGAGAGTTGCGAATTACCTGTCTCGACGTCTAGACCGACTTTGTTGCGTTCAATTTGTGACCGTTACATCGTGTCAGAGAAGGTCTACTCCACAATAAATTAATCTTAATCCCAGTCCTTTCTGCGACCGATTCCATCCTTGTTATTTTCACGAATCAAAAGGGCAACGATCGGCAGAAGTAAGGCCTCATGCTTCTCCGTATTCGAGAGGATTACGCGCTCGGTTTGGCTTTTTTCAATCATTTAAAACCCTTGACTTGTGAAGCCAGCAACGCCGGTCACATTAGGGAGAACGCGATCGAAGGAAGAAATCCCCAATGGTCCGATAGTGGTCAAGGAACCAGACAAGCGACGATCATTCCGTCGACGGAATTGGACGGCAAGCCACTTGCCGCTACGCAGACGAGCTAACAGCCTTGTTCCCGTGCCTTGTGCCCAATCGATTGTAAAAGGGGTTTGTACGGAGCAGTGCTATCCGTCTCCGTCTTCCGTTCCCTGTCATCTCACCCATTGGGCAGCGAACAAGGTCTTCGCATAAGGGGGAACCGATTTGTACGCCATACTTCGTACTAGTCAGTACATCGCAGAAACAGTACTTTTACAAGCTAGACCTTAGGGTCATAATAATTATGGTGAATTCTAGGCCATCATACAAACAATATTCTCAATTAATGATTCCTATCAAGTTCTAGCCCTGTCAGGACCTGGGCTCTGTTCTTCGTCGTTATATGGCACGAGGCCGTGACTGCTCAATGAGCCTTGGGAATCTCGCCTGTGTTGCGTGATGCGCATAGTGGCGTGCTCTCTATTATCTGCAAAACTGTCTCTGCGTCCGAGCAAGGTACGACTCGACTCAGTACGCGTTGCATCATAATTCCTATCTCCCGTGCCGCCTACAGAAGGTATTTCAGATCCGACTGAGTAGGGGCTTATTCTGCTTCGAAGCCTCCTACCGGAGACATCATTTGTATTGCGCTGGCCACCTGAGACAGAAAGTTCGAAGGATTCCGAGATGGTTCCAGCCATCATTCCAGTTTGCAGGTCAGCAAGGACCCGCTTCAGACTGGGTATGCAGGTGCAGACGATGGACGCGCTCTGTGTCAATTGTAGCCAAATAGATGGCATGACCGCATTCCATGGCAGGTCCCGCGGGATTGAATGGAAGTATAATTTAAGCGACAGGAGACCTGCGATCGTGATGGCAGGTACGCTACAACTTATTCGTCAGTTATCAATCTCAGCCCCAAGTAATGAAACGAAGATATCTCACAACAAACGGAGGGCAAAGAGCACTGAGATTTGACGCCGCTTCCACCCGGTCATCTGCACCCTCCACACTAAAGCAACTGGTAGTGCAACAACCGCAACATCTAGCAGGATATGACAGACACCAAGAGCCATATAAAGGGCTTCCTGGTTCAAGCATTGACCTGAGTAAATCATCCGCAGTTCTTTGCTCCCGCATTGGGTAGCCAGTGTAACAACCCCAACCACGGCCCAGGTGCTCGTGAATCCCAAAACGACTTTGCAGCCAATGAGCACGGTCGCGAAAGGCTTAATGGATACAACAAGGAGGGTGACGGCAGCTTTCGAACAAGCGAGCACAATAATCGAGAGGATTTGGCTAGCATAGAGAGACTCGAAAATGTCAGTGTTCGTTGTATCATCATTGAAAGTGTCCAGCTGACCTTGCTATATGTCCTAGAAGATTCCTCGTCTATAGTATTTCTGTGCCGCCCAAGACCGTTCTTGCTGGCAATGTTGACACACACAGTCTGGGAAACATAAAAAAGCTACTCATGATCTCTTTAGTAGATGCACATCGAGAAGGTAAAGGGGAGAGATGTACTATGCCTGCCAGTAAACAGGTGTCGCTCCAGGTCAACTGGCGAAGAATGCGAAACCGGGAGATCAAAGTGGTTATTGTCACCCAGATAGACACAATCAGCAGGATTGTGGCAATAACAACAACCCAGGCACCATGGTCATTATCAGTGACTGGAAGAAGGGGAGGAAGCATCATCATCCCACTAGGTACCTCTCCCATCGCCATGCCGGGGAGATGCGTGGTATTGAATGAATACGGCCAGTCATTACAGGGAAGACAGGTCGCATTATCCCAGGCAGCACTAAGTCGACAAAGGTACGAACGAAGACGATATTTTATATTACGTCTTGCTTCTTCCTGATCCTAGCGGTGCTGAAACAGACTAAGTGCTAGAGCTGTGTGCCGTGTCCTCGTTAGCGCATGCAGGGTGCAAGGGTACACCGTAGGCAAAGGGTGGGAAATGGTGTTTGCCCGTCTGATCCCTGTCTGTCAGTTGATTTAATGGACTTGAACTTTCCCCTCCTGGCTCGAAATATGTGAAAAATCCTGTCGATCTTCTTTCTTCCCTCCAGCCAGCCGTGTTCATTCTTCCTTCGTCAACACGTTCCTCACGGTCATCTCACAAGGTGAAATTCTTTGTCAAACTTCATCGGCGCTCGTTTCGTCGAAAAGAACATTCGAAATGGAGCAGCATGAATTGACGTCACATGCTGGCAAATATACCCAGTCTTCTATCGATGAAGCACCATCGGGAGGCGGGGAGAATCAAACTCCCACAACCGAAGCAAGCCACGTCAAACAGAAAGAAATTGCTGATCAGACACAAATTAAGGTTGATCTCGAGTTTATTGGGGCATCAACAGCAAGAGACTAACCAAAAGCATTGCAGCGACTGTTCAATTTTACTCAAATCTTTTTCTTTTCCCTTACGTTCATGTCAAGCTGGGAGAGCCAGGCGTTGTGAGTGACGATATACGTTCTTTCCGTCTCATAGGGCTAACCAGCGACCAGGAATTTGAATGCTGTGCTCACGAACGGTGGTCCGGAGGCCCTAGCCTGGGGTGTGGTGGTCGTAATCTTTGGCGCCATGGCTCAGTCCGCTTCTTTAGCAGAAATGGCCTCGATGCAGCCCATTGCAGGAGCGCAATATCACTGGACGCATCACCTTGCGCCTCCTAATCAGAGGAGATTCATCACCTGGATGCAGGGTATGATCATCTGTAGCTATCAGGGGCTCGACAGCTGACAACGACCCAGGATGGATTACATGGTTTGCTTGGGTATCGTTGCTGGCCGGCGTCGCTAACACGACGGCTACGATGATCCAAGGACTGGCTATTGTCAATTATGAAGACTACGAGCCCAAACGTTGGCACTTGACGCTCATCATGTTTGCCATGCTAGTGGTGGAGGCCCTCATGAATATGTACACATTCTGGCTGATTCCTTGGATTGAGCTCCTGGCTGGGGTACTTCACATCATCATGTTCATTATCTTCCTAGTTGTTTTTGCGGCATTGGCCCCACGGCATACGGCTGATTACGTGTTTTTGACAACGGAGTCTTCTTCCGGTTGGACTAACGGTTTTATTTCGTGGAATATTGGCTTATTGACGCCGACTTGGGGTTTCGTCGGTGAGTCTTTATGTTCGTTGTCTTCAGTACAGGCCAACTAACGGGGAGACAGGATTCGACGGCGCCGTGCACATGAGCGAGGAGGTCCGTCGCGCGCGGCAGGCTGTTCCGCGGTCCATGTTCTGGACGGTAGCAACTAACGCGGTGTTGGCGTATTCCATCGTCATTTGCATCCTCTTCACTATGGGTCCAATTGACGCTGCCGTAGAGGCTAGTTTTCCTATCATCGAAATTTGCCAACACGCCACGGGATCTGTCAAGGCCTCCACTGCAATGGTTTGTGGTCTTCTGGTCATCTCATTATCAGTCAATCTAGCCAGTATTGCATCTGTATCTCGGTTGACTTGGGCCTGGGCTCGTGACGGTGCCCTGCCTCGATGGTTTTCATATGTGGGCGTCTCAAACCTAGTACCCTTTTATGATCTACTGACATAAGACAGGTTGATCATAGACACAACGTGCCCATTCGTGCTGTCTGGCTTCCGGTCGTAATTGTCATGATCCTAGCCTGCCTCAACATTCCCAGTTCCGCGGCCTTCGGGGCCTTCGTGGCACTTTCCTCAATCGGCCTCTTCGTTTCGTACTTCATCGCCATCGGCTGCATGGTGCTCAACCGGTTTCGCGGAGATAGTGTCCCGTTGGGTGATTGGAATATGGGCCGGTGGGGTCTACCGGTAAACATATTTGCTTTGCTATACACAGCCTATGTGACGGTCTGGCTCTGCTTTCCTTCTTATCGCCCTGTGACGGGTGAGAACATGAACTATGCTCTTCCCATTTTCGCAGGGACGACGTTGTTCTCGTTTCTGTATTGGTTCCTGCGAGGCCGAACTCACTGGCCAGGGCTGAACAGGGATATTGTTCGCTTGGTGGTTGAGGCTGGGGAATTGCAATTGAAGTAAATTAACTGGACCCTGCATTGGGATTCATGGCCTATGAAAGATATAACGGGCTTTGAAAAGTTCGAGAATTCATCGATCTAAACTGAATCTATCACTACCAGATCACATTTTGGGACAGGAAATTACTTATCTTCGGCCTTTTGCTGCTGATTCTCAAAAAGGTTATTTGTCGTTGATTATATTTCGATATGTCCACAAAACTGTACATAAGAAAGTCATTCGAGGAAGTAAATTGAGGCGTTACAACTAATCAATCACCACCAGGATGATAGGATACTTGTCCCCGGTTGAGATAAAATGTGGTCATCCAGAGTCTTGAACACCACGCACACCTGTTTCTCGCCGACCAATATGAATTCCGAGCTGACAATGCGATGCTTTGCACACACCCACCGACCACCCGTGCAGACATCCTTTTTCTCTGGCGAATTACGAGCCGTTGGACATCTCTCTTCCTCTAACTCGATCACCTTGTTCATCACTTTCACGGCCACAAGCGTCTCACAGATCCCTTCTCGTCGAGGGAACTGTTGCAGAAGTCGTACGGCCTCTCGGCGCACTGTTGGCTCCCGACACTTAATTGCCACCCAGTATAATGGTTCGACCACGGTCGTGGCCAAGCGAAACGACGGGAATGTCGACCTTGACGGGGTGGTGCCTGACCGCTTCAAGATTCGATCAGACATGTTGAGTAAGTCCATAAATTGGTACAATAGGTCGTCATGCGCCAGTTCGCCCTTGGTGGCATCTGCTGCGAGAAATAACCCTCCGAACTTTCGTCGAATGAAGAGGCTGTCCAGGTCCTTCACCGAGCATAAGTCATCCGCTAATAGAGCTGACACGCGCTGGTCCCATTCTGCAAATTGTTGCAGAAATGTTCGTTTCTTTTCGACGATTTCGGGTGTCGGTTTTGGCGAGCTGTAATCCTTGTCCAGGACTAGCCGCATCGTCCCGTTGTATATCATCTCTAGACATAGCTCGGCTTCGAGCAGGGATTCGAAAGGCTGGTAGGCACGTGGTCGGTCGATCTCGGCGTCCGTCCACGCGAGAAGCGCCTGGTGGGATGCGAGATAGGGACGAACTTGGCTGTCTAGTCGAGCGAACATGATCAGGAGCATATCGACCGCATTATTCAACTCTGGACTTTTAGTGCGGCCGAGGGAGTGCAACCTCCATTGATGGAGAAGCTTGATTCCATTGTTGATATGCACGAACGCTTGTACCTGCTGGCCCTGGAGGCTGGACATACAGGTGAAGAGAATGCAAGTGGTCAGCACAACCAGCTGATCCAATAAGGTGGGGCAGAACCCCGAGAGCAGATCGCGCAGGGACCGGATCGCTTGGTTGCATTGCTTCAGGGCAAACTGGATCCGAGTAGGGTCTTTGGGCTTGGGGGCTGCTAGAGAGTGCTCGGTAAGGTACTCCCGGTGGATGCAGGCTAATGCGGTCATAGCGTGCCATAGGGCTGGATAGGAATGCGAGATCCTGAGCATTTGTCCGGACCAAAACCCCGTGTCGAAACACCCTGATAGGTCCGCAATGGCGACGGAGTGGAAGTAGTTGAAATTACTCTTCTCCTGCGTGTCACCCGGCAGGAGACTCCAGGCTGAAGGAGCCCCTTGTATGGGTGACACAATGGCTGGCTTGGACTTTTCGTATCCATCGCATTTCCGGCCTGTCGATATACATCGACGACAACTACATACGTTTTACTCAGTCACTTGGTTCAAGCTGCAAATGACGAGTTGGCTGCTGAGACTCACCATGGTTTCTCTTCGTCACATTTGACCTTCCGCACGCTGTGATGGTTATTGTCAGTATTTGATTCGTGCGAATTAAATCCTGCATAGCAAACAGGCCACCTTACCGACATGTGAGACAGCCAGTCGTTGTTTTCGGCGCCCAGCGTTTCTGTCGCACTTTGACGAGCTTCACCGACTCCGAATTATTCTTGAAATTGGCTGCATTGGTCATGGTGGGTGACTTAGCTGCTCCTTTGACCCGGTTATTCTGGGGTGTGGTCAATGTTGGAACAGGATGCAATGGAATCCGATATCTCCTGGCATGAACGAGGCCCATGAACGAGCGAGCAAGTCGCTGACGGGCGGTCGGCCGGAACGTCGACGATCTCCGACCTGCCTACCTGTCTGTGGATCCCCCGTTGGGTTTCTAATAGGCTCGTTCGTTCATTCCTTCTGTCACGTCAAAGCGCTAAGAGACACTAAAGGCTTGGGTATCTGAACTAACTACGTTGCAGTTGGCTGAACCATTCTTTGTTCCTCCACGTCTATGCTTAGCACAAATCGTGGCTTCGGAGCTACTCTAAGCCTTCGATCCCGGCTGCTAAGGACTCCTCCAGAGTGGTCCACCCCGACTTTCCGTAGAACTCCTTAATCAGATTTTCCGCTCGCTTGGATGGTGCCACGTGGAAGGTCGTCTTCGTCTCCTCGGGTGCATCGGGAATCGACTTGTTCTGCGGTCGGAGACTGCGCAGGATCTCAACCACCCGGGCCCAGGTGAGCGGCTCTGAGGCTGCGAAAATTCGCTCCGATACGACTCCGGGATGAAGAAGTGCGATTGCATGCAGACGCGCAGTGTCGTCGGCATCGACGCGCCATTCTAAGTCCCATCGTTAGCCATGGGCAGTTCAAGTACCCTTTTTAGTGAGCCCACGACTTACCGCGGGGTAAAAACTTGATCACCATATCGTCGCCATGCAGGAGATTCTGCGTGAGCCCTATGACTGAACGCTTCTGCTGTGGGAGATACAGGGATCCGAACTGTATTCTTGTCAGATGTGTTGAGTACTAAATGCTGCGCGCCCTGACTTACGTTGATGTTTGGCAAGACAGTGTTGAATTGAAAATGTGGCTTGTGCTCCTCTACCCATCGCCAAGCGGCCTGTTCGCCTTCGACCTTTGATGCAGCATATACCACTGAGGGCATGATAGCGTCTGGAGTGTTGGGGTCCCAGGCTGCTTTGACAGACACATCGTTCCAGGTATCTAAAAATTAAGGTTAGTCCATGTTCATCTGTCAATGGTAAAGTAGGTAGCCACTTGCCAACATCGATCGTCACATCACCACACTCTTCTAGACCGGGGGGGCCAAGAATGGGGCCAGGAAAAGCAGCCACGACAGAGGACGTCAACGCGACTCGTTCCACGGAACGAACTTTGGCTGCAGCCTTCAGAACGTTCAAGGTTGCCGCTAGAACTCCCGGGATTACGGCCTGTGGGTCGGGGTTAAACGACATATCGGATGCCTGGTTTTGGTAGTAAAAGAGCTTGGTCAGTGCGTGTTCTCACATTGAAATGCATCTTCGCATTTACGATTCATGGTGCATTAGTATACTGAGTATAGGGGACGATCTTACCACGTGTAAAACACCCCGTACATCCTCTAGATGCTCCTCCAATGCGCCCTCGACTTCCAAGGCCGGTACCACGACGGACTGGTAGTTTCCATCGCCGTGTCTGCCGATGAAGAACTCATCTAGCCATGGCTTCGGTTCACGCACTGTCCCTTTTACTTTGTAGCCGCTCGATAAGAGCAGATTAATGATGTGAGAGGCGATGTAGCCGTTAGCGCCGGTGACGAGGACCCAGGAGCCGGCTGGGATGGTGGGTTGGATTTGAGGGGTGGACATTATGTGTGATTGTGTGGTTTTGGATGTCATAGATGGGAAGTGGATGAGAATGTGAGGAAGACGGGTATTTATGTATGTTTGAAGAAATGGCAGGGGGTCTCTGAGGTTCGTTTATGAGCGAGATGTTAAGTTCGGATATCGGAACGTTTTCGGTCTTTGTTGGTGAGCGAGCGATGAGCGAACGATGGGACCAACCAGGGTTTGTTGACTGGTGGAGCTTGATCATGAACCACGGTTATTTGGTCTTTCTTGGTTTTGTTTAGCCGGCTCATAGTATAATGAAAACCAACGGAGATAGGCCTTTGACTTCCCCGTTCTTTTCTATCCGCAACGAAACTTCTATCCCTTCAATTCTATGAGATATTTTACATCCAGCGCCCATTCCACCTCACTCGGCTCTTTCCAGTAGTCTGTTCCGCTCTCCACAAAACCCATTTTCTGCAACAGCCTCGCACTTTGCACATTCCCCCTCTCCGTCTCAGCAATGAACCTCTTCACGCCTCGCTCGTTCACAGCCCACCGCATGATCGCTTCCGCAGCTTCCTTTGCAATCCCCTTGCCCCAGTACTCCGGTGCCAGGCCACATCTCCTCCCAGGGCGGGAGACTTGGATCTCCTGCCTCTCGCGGTGGAAGAGAGGTCGTCGTTGCATCGCGAACACCGACATATCCAACCCATTGGACGTGATTAAGGTGCTCTGTGTTCGGCCCTGTTAGACTCTCCAACTCACCGGCTCTCAGATTGGATATATCGGGGTAGCTCGGAGGACGCCCTTCTGGATAAATAGATTCGCGTAACCCCAGCGCATAATCACCTAGACCGCGTGGCTTCCAACAGCGTGCAATATCACGAGTCTCGATTACTTCGCGGGTTTGGTCATCGCTCCATCTCCTGGCTTTGAAGTGTTCGCCGAAAGCTATTTGACAGAATTGTTCGTTGGCGTGTCATTCGGCATACAGTGCTCGGTATGATTTGGAGGATACGGCGATGGGGGTGGGAATTATGATGAGTCTGGGTGTTTGGATGGCGAATGGCTCGAATGGTGGGGGTTGTAGAGTGGTCATTGTAGGTTTTTGTATGTTCCTGGGATTGTGGGGATTGATTAGAAGTGAAGTATGTGATATTTCGTTTTATTGTTTGAAGGAAAGGGAAAAGTCTCATCAGAACGCGGGGACCGGATGAAGGTTAGCGTGAGGACGCAAGCCAAGACCAGCCTGCCTCATGCAGACTCTCTCTTTGCATTACATTCATAGACAATATAGATGACAGGAAAGCGGGAGATCCATGGCGCCTCCCGTTAGTGTTTTGAGAGAATACTTCTACGGCAGCTCTTGCGATAGCATCAGACGTTGTCTATTGGCATGGATATATACTTCCCGAGACAACCTTGGAAGTTGAATGAGGCACTGTCCACTTTCGTGGGTGTTCTAGGGGCTACGTGCACCGCAGTAATTGAAGATCATGAAAAGGATGCCTGACTCAACACTAAATTGATTCTTTGATTGATGTATGAAGAAACGAGGTCTTCCAGGGTGTTAACTATCTAAAATGTCCTCAAGGAGGCAAACGGCCAAATGCTTGGCAGATTGCCTTAGGCATCCAAGCGCCAACAACTATTAGTGATTAAGCGAACAACACAGAGAAAGGGATTGCACACTTATATCAATTCTGGTAACGATGCTGCTTGCCAGAAAATTTAATTAATTCATGCTGAACGTGACATAGATCTAGTATTATTGAGTCTACTCTGTGGAAAGAGAACAAGTGCAGATCTGATGCCTTAGGCCACCGACTCCCCGTGACCCGCAATCACGTCCTGTTTTTTCTTCTCTCGCTCGCTCCATCCCTCGCCATCCACCCATCCATCTGTCATAACCTCGGATCTTCTCATTCCCGTCGTACCTTATTGACTAACCTTTCCGCCAACATGATCAGACTGTTTGCATGAACAATGTCAAACGTGGCCAATTCCGCCCCCAACTCGGCCTTGATCCAATTTCGGAGCTCCACTGTAGATAGCGAGTCTAGTCCGTACACCGACAGCGGTCGCTCCGGTTCAATCTGCTGTTCGTCGTTCCAGCGCAGCATTTGTCCCAGCCGGGCCGCTAGGACCTGCACACATGGCTCAAGAAGCTGTTCGGCGGAACTGCCAGCCCGGACGAGTCCGTGGAAAGCATAGACTGCACTGCCAACGGGGTCGTTTTCATTTGCACCCGTCCCGGACTCGAATGCGTTTGCCCGCGCTACGAATAATCCCCTGAAGCGTGGATCGAATCGCAAGGCTGACTGCTTCGGGTCTTGCGGCACAGCGAGACCTGTGATCAACCGGCTCGGACTTTCAGCACCCGATGGCTGGGCCTTGAACATGAACTGGTGCCGAAGCGAACAATCGAAAATGTCGTGCAGGACCCCTTCGGGGATGTTTGTCAATTCTGTTGATTTTTGATGGCGCTTGGACAGGGCATCAGATTCAGCGACTACTCCTACATCCTCAATCACTCCTAGGTTGACTGTCATTGCGACTAATCCCATCGACCGACGGTATGCAGCAAATGAGTCAAGAAAACTGTTGGCGGCGGCGTAGTTGGCCTGGCCTGGGCTGCCTACCACGCTTGAAATGCTGGACAACATGAGGAAGAAGTCCAACGAGAGCCCACGCTCCAAGGAGACATGGTGCAGATTCCAGGTTCCCTGTAGTTTGCCTTCGATGCTTTGGTGGTATTCGTCCACTGTCATCGTTTCGAAAGGCCGGTCGCGAAGAAGCATGACACCCTGCACAATGCCGCCAATGGGTACCGGCGCCTTCATAAAGGCTCGTCGCACATCTAGAACGCGTAAGACGTCACCGCGGCAGAAATAGACCTCGCATCCGAGTGAACGACAGTTCGTTATCACCCTTTTTGATCGAGGGTCGGCGTAACCGCTTCGAGACATCACAACCAGGTGCCGGGCCCCTTTTTCTGCGAGGCGCAGGGCTAGACTACCGCACAGACCCTTGAGCCCTCCAACTATTAGATAAGCCAGATCCGTGGGAAGAGTCAGGTCGCGCTGCATAGGTCGTATGGAAACCTCGGATGCGTGACCAGGCTTGTCGCATATAACAACCTTCCCAATGTGGCGACCGCTGCGAAGGAATGCAAATGCCTCAGGGATGTCGCTCATAGGGAATGTGGTGATGGGAGTGATCGGAGAAATATGTCCGTTCGCTTGGAGATCGAAGATACGATTGAGAACACTGAAAAATATTGATTAGTCGGCTTTCTTTCTTATCAACTGATAAACATACCTGGGCAGTTTGAGTATCAACTTGGGGTGCGATAGGTCGAGGGCGCGGTATGAACACCCCCGGTCGAACGGGTCCATAGCAAGATAGTTGCGTTCCACAATATCTCGCTTGCCAATTTCAACCATCGTTCCGCCGTCTGCACAGATGCGCCAAGTTGCGTCTAGCAAATCACCTGTCAGGGAGTTAACAATTACGTCGATTCCCTGTCCCTGCGTCGCCTTCATGATCTCGGATGCGAAGTTTGTGGATCGTGATGAGAACATGTGGTCGAAAGGAATGCCGAACTTCTCGTGGAGGCAGGAACGCTTCTCGTCTGTTCCTACTGTGACATAGATATCTGCTCCTATGTGTTGAGCCAACTGTATACAGGCCATTCCCACACCCCCCGCAGCTGAATGGATGAGCACTGTCTGCCCCGACTGGAGGTTAGCAGTGTCAACTATGGCGAACAAAGCCGTGCAGAATACGACGGGTATCGTTGCTGCGTCCTGGTACGACAATGCATTGGGAATGGGAAGGACGAATTCTGCGGGCAGCTGGATACGATTGGCGAGTGCTCCCTTTGCCATAAACACAACGCGCGTGCCAGGGGACAAGGTTTCCGAAACTCCCGCTCCAACGCTGCGGACCACACCGGACCCTTCAAGTCCCAGCAAATGTTCGTTCTCTGGAACAATTCCCATGGTGACAGCGACATCTTTGAAGTTCAGGCCCACAGCGGAAATCTCTATTTCAACGTAGCCTTGTGCAAGGGGCTCTGTGGCAACCTCGACGAACTGCAGTCCATCCAAGGTACCTACTTGTTCGGCTCTGAGCTGTGCGATTTCTTTATTTTCTGATAAAAGTTTCGTGGTTGGGTCTCCGATGTGTGCGTGTACCTCACGGCCCAACATTTGATAAGGAACGATTCGGGGTATGTGAAGGATCCCATCTCGCTCCACATACTCGCTGTCAGTGACCCAACGGGCATGTGGTCGCTCAAGTTGCCTCAACACCTCCAGAATATGGGGCGCTGCCTGCTCCATCTCGCTGGATCTAATGTCAAGGGTCATGATTGTTGCATTCGGATCCTCAGAACGAACAGACCGGAAAAGGCCTGCGGCAAGCGCATTGTCTGGCTGAAACACCGCGAGCTGAGACCCTTGCGTCACCCAAAGTATCTTGCACCCGGCTGTCACTAGCTGACGAAGGTAATGCCACTGTGGCTCTGAGATTCCTGTGAAGAGGGAAGCGAATAGCTCGTCAATGACGAGTACAGTAGCTCCCTCTGGAATGTTTTCAGGCATGCATTGAGGCTCATGAACTCTCCATCCCGCCTTTCGGAGATGGTTTCTGAGAATAGCTGGAAGCTGAAAGATCTCTTCGAAAGTGACAATGTATAAATCGTGTGCCAATGTCTCCGGATAGGGCGAACACAACATTACGCTCCTCGTCTTTTCGGGGATGGGAAGGACGCGAAATGATTGAGATCTATCCAAATTGCCCCGGAGAGAGCGCCTGGGAGTAATGTGACGACCCGTGGCTGAAAAGTCAATAGCCAATATACGGCCCTCTGCAGACAACAAGGTTTTCATAGCCTCTACGACAGTCATCATCTTATCTGACAAAGGCGAAACACATTTCAAGATGACAAGGTCGAATGTGTCGTCTGCTCGAAGACCCAATCGGTCATTTTCGGGATCGAGTACATCGACCGATAAATCTGTATATGTTTCATATTGGCTTTGGATATCAGCAACGCTGACGGGATCGAGTGCCATGAAGCGGTAGCTTCGACCACTGCGCTGTTCAGCCTCCTGCTGCCAGTCCAACCAAGGGCTGCTGAGATCTCCCGTGTCTAAATCGATTTCAAGAACATCCAGATCGGGTTTCTTATGTAGCGCCGAGTCCAGTATCGCCGAAACTATATCCGCATATTGATCACATAGTATTCGAAGATATTCTGTGTTCAGTGTAGTGATGTCTGGCTTCCAGACTTCATGGGTGAGTACGTGTGAAGCTAATGGGTCGGTCCCTAGATCAACCTTGTGACTCGCAAGTCTCGTCATCCGTATGAGAAGTTCTCCTGTGACTGGGTCATATACAGAGGTGTCACCTAGGTAGCTCTTTGCGGCATCAGTCCTTCCTCGACCAGAGTAGTAGCTCGAAGATACTGCTATCCCAAAATCAGGACGGCTGGGATTGGGATTTATGATGAAATCGTCAATCACGGCAGGGATCAACGTTTCGCGAGTAGCTCCCCTTGTTCCGGCAACAGAGGCCGGGACAGTAGCCCGGAGCACTCCATCTAGGGCGGCGGGATGGAAAGGATAGGATGACTGCGCTTGGTCCGAAGAGGGATCGGCTAATGTGATGGTACATCGACTTCTCCTCGAACCAGCGCGGGTCTCTACTTCTCGAAGCAGCTGGAAGGCTGGACCATAGTTGAAGCCTATCTCTGCAAAGGCCTTTGTCCACATGTGGCCAGGTAAAGCATGCTCTAGAGGTAATTTGTCTGCTTCACTTGCTGGGTCGATGACAACATCCTGGACACGAATCATGCCGCTGGAATGATATGTCGTGATATCTTGTCGGGTCGAAAATATCGTAAATTCATACCATGTGTCTTCTGAGCCCCCAAATGGACTCATGGTGAGGTAGACGTCCGGCTCAACTCCATCTTCCAGGATAAGCGCCATATCAAAGCGCACGTTTCGCAAGCGATAGCCTAGCTGACCCGGTGATGAAACGACAGTGTCTGGTTGACGAATGCATGTTACCTGATACAAGGCCTCCACAGCCATCGCAATGTAACCGGACCCGGGAAAAATGACATCAGATCCAATCCGATGATCTCGCAGCCATGGCAAGTGAGCCAAATTAATTGACTTCTTGAATGTTGGATTGCGCCAAGATGTACCAATTGTCTTGCTGCCGAGAAGATCGTGATGCGCAAATGGTTTAAACCGCCAGTCTTTGCTGGACTTTGACTCGAACCAGTATTTGGTCGAGTGATCCCAGCTGTACCCTGGCAGATCAGTCACGACCAAAGGATAGGATTGTTGCTGATCTTCATTCACGAGCTGCATGGATATCGGAGAGCCTGCCAGGAACAATTCACCAGCAACTGCGAGAGTGGACCTAATTGATTCGGGCCCTCGGTGCAACGCCGAAAGGTATTTTGCCTTCGGCGGACCGTCAAAGCTATTCTGAATCTGCGCGAGAGGTCCCTTCAGAGCCCCACTAGGACCGATTTCAATGAGATAGTTAGGCGCTTCTTTGGACGTTAGCATCGCACGAACAGCGTCGTCGAAACGTACGGGCGACACCATGTTTGTTTTCCAGTACTCGATGTCAGGGATTTCGGTTTGCTGGCAGCCAGATACGGATGAGAACATTGGTACGGAACCAAGTGCTTGCAGGGATGCGGAGAGTAGAGGTAAGTCCTTGGACACAGCTTCCTGGTATGATTCTCCGGTCTTCTCCATGTACCTGGAGTGATATGCCTGGTCTACCTGCAGCATTCGTGCAAATTCTCCATTCTCCGTAAGTTGTTCTTTCAAACTCTCTAATGTGGCGACGGGACCCGAGAGAGTCGTGCTCGAAGGACTGTTGAAGCATGCAATCTGTACCTCCTTGGAATCGTCCAAATACTTCGAAACATTTTCAGTTCCAAGACCAACCGCTAACATTCCCAAGCGAGAGTCGTTTTGATCGCGTGTATTTTGACAAGCCTCTCCACGCCGATATGCAAGGCTGATGGCCTGCTCGTCGGAAATATACCCGGCTGCGCATGCCGCTGCGATTTCACCTGACGAATGCCCCACAACACTGTGTGGTGAAATACCCCAGCTCTTCAGAGTTGCGAGTAGCGCTAACTGCAGGGCAGTGACAAGAGGCTGACTGAACTCAGGCTGTCTTGTATGCTCCGGGTCGCGCGGAGATGTTAATTCATCCCATATGTTCCAGGTGGGCGGGTCTGGTAAACGCTGGAGAACGGCATCGAGGTGGTCGATCGTCTCTCTCGCTACTTGGAATGAGTTGAGCAAATCACGTCCCATCTCTGGCCACTGAGCGCCCTGGCCCGTAAATACGAATCCGATCCTGGGCAGGTGAACATTTGTCTTCCCGCAAACAGCCGATGTAGCATCCATGTCCCCCAGATCTTTCGAATAAGATACCCTCGATGGAACAGATGGCTCCTTCGCACACCTAGTGTATAGGCGAGGTTGCGGGCGCTTATGTTGACTTCTGGATTGTGCAAGTGATGCATTAATTTGTCGATAGATTCTCGGAGTGATCCTTCCTTGTTTGCTGAGAAGCATAGAAGGTACGGTCGCAACTTGTTGGAAATTTCATTCTTGTCAGCAGCTGCGGCTGGCGCTTGATATGAGCTGATATATGCTGGAGTATAATCCGAGATCAAAGCATTCGGTTCATCGAGAATAACATGCGCGTTTGATCCTCCGAACCCGAAGCAATTGACGCTTACCCGGCGAAACGGCATGTCTGGAAATGTACTGTACTTTTGCCGGATATCCAGCTTCAGGTTATGGAAATCGACTGTTCGATGTTAACAGAATCGAAGAGGAACATTGCATAGTGGAGAACTAACTCTCGGGATTTGGAATCTCAAATGTAGGATTTCCAGGGATCAGCCCGTTCTCGAGGATCATGATTCCTTTCATCAGCCCAGACAAGCCTGCAGCAGACTCACTATGTCCAATATTACTTTTGATCTGTGCGAAAATGTCAGCGAGTTATAGAAGCGCGAGCTGGTGCTTTTTCCATACGGATCCAATGCGCAGCGGTCGCTCAATGGTCCGCGATGAGGCGAAGACCGACGCAATGCCTGTTGCCTCTACTGGGTCTCCTGCCGTCGTTCCAGTTCCGTGGCACTCCAAATATGCGGTAAGTGAATAGTCGGTAATATTAGCATTGGCGTACGCCTGGCGCACGGCGGCCGCCTGGATATCAGCGTTTGGGGAAGCAATACCAGCCGTGCGGCCGTTATGATTATTAGCCGACCCTCGGATCACGGCGCGAACCGGGTCTCTGTCCTGGATGGCGTCCTCGAGCCGTTTTAAGATGACAACATTGATGCCTTCCGCCTTGATATATCCGTCTGCCTTGGCGTCAAAAGCGTGACATCGTCCAGTCGGCGAATGGGTGTTTTTGATTGATCCGGCTGGGGTGAGTTAGTACACCAAGTGGTAGCCGGGGGTGGTAGAATTACCGTCGCATCCATACTCCGGGCTGTTGCTGTTAGCATCCTCCATTCTCCGATGTCTTTTGATTTGCTTACTTCAGTATCAGTCCGGCAGCCGCCACGATTGCGCCGTTTATCTCTCCGATGTGTAGTGATTTGCACGCCGTGTCTAACGCAACCAATGAACTAGAACATGCTGTGTCGATTGGCAAACTAACACAATATTAGTACGATGCACTTGTCGTCGGAAGGGTATACATACCTCGGGCCTTTGATGTCAAGAAAGTGGCTGACGCGGTTGCTCAGCATGGTTGCCGAACCACCTATCCCAGCATTTGGGGGTCGTGAATCTGGATCGCGCGCAAATATATCCCAATAATCTATTCTTCGTATGAATAAGTTGCCTTCCGAGTCCTGTCACGTATGACACCTACCTCCGGTGTGCGCCCCCACGAAGCATCCATACTTCTCTCCAGCCAGTGACTCGATCGGTATGCCGGCTTCTTCAATCCCTTCATAAATAACCTCCAACAGTATTCGCTGCTGTGGATCCATCGATACCGCTTCCTGTGGGGGTATGTTGAAGAAAGAAGCGTCGAATTCTGCTGGATTTACCGTCTCCATGAACATGGCCCCCGGTGATCGCAACGTGCGAGGCCTATCTGAACCGTCATAGAAGCCTCCGAAATTGAATCTATCGGCTGGTACGTCTGTGCCGGCCACTCCGTTCCGCATCAAGAACTCCCATAGTTTCCGAGGCGAGTCGCTGTGACCTGGGAGCCTACAGGCCATTCCCACCACTGCGATCGGCTCTTGTATAAATCTGTTCGATTCCATAGTTGCGGCCGAGTCCGAAGTTTCTGGTGTTAACGCCATCCCGGAACAGATGGTACGAGGCGTTTATGGGCGTTTGAAGAGTGATGGTCACCATTTGCGCCTCCGCGATAATGGGTGTACGATAGGAGGTCCCGCTCCTTCCTGTTCGTGGGGCACCATCCTTCTTAATTCACTTGATCTGCAACTCTGCAGTGATCGTCCTCGCTAGTGGAAAGTCACCAGATTTGTTTGGGAAGTTACGAGTACGGCTTAACAATGGGCCCTCAATGTAAAAGATAAGCGGGCAACACGGCCGCAAGTAAGGCGTGTTGTTAGAGCCCAATCTGCGTGGCTTAAAATGGCTTTCTGGTTTGGCTCCTGTATGCCGCGGAGAAGGTAACAATTTAAATTCCGACTCCGAGCCAATTGGGGTGGTTGTGTGTCACCCTTGAAGCCCTAAACGTGTGGTCTCTAGTCGTCCTTACTTGGAGCGGAGACTGGCGGTGTACGTACCTATGAGTTGCCAGCGCATTTGAATCTAGGGGTAAATGTTCCAAGCTCTATGGTAAGTCCATCTTGCTTCTGGGGGGTGCCAATATAATAAGAATGATTGCAAATCATACTCATAAATCCTCAATATGAATAAGATCAACAAATCAATATAAAAGTCGACTAAGTACTATCTACTATCCAATTCCCGAGGGGAAGAATAATTTGACAGCTAAAGGTTCGAGTTACTCATCCATAGCTAGGGGTGCCCTACGCTACCGATCCCTTGCAGCTGACACGAAGCCGTTTGTCTTAGGAGAGATGCCTCTTAGTACTTTGTTAACCTTCCTGTTAAGGCCAGGCTATTGACTCTTGATCGGATATGGGATAGCCTTTGCTCTCGAGCGATACTATACTTAAACCATCATGGACTCTCACATACACCGTGTGTTGCAATCGATTTCCCGATTGGGATTGATATTTCTGTGTAATCAAACAAGACTCAAGTAACTCGGTATTACAGAGTGCTAACACACAAAAGCGTTTACTGGGGATTGCCACAGCTAGCATACAAGCCAGATATGTTTTCATAAAGTGTTTTTGGTGAGAATGGCCATGACAGTCGCGGAATTTGCCACTCCACGTATCTTGGGGTTCTCCGATAAGATCTGGATAGGTGCGAGTATGGAGCTCACGAGTCTGCAAAGGCTCTGGAACTTTCCCCATTGCACTTATCGCTTTAGTGTCACATCTGTTTATATCTAGACCGTCAATATCCATAATTTCGGAGGGAACTAAGGAACGAGATACCGCCTTTTGAACTGTCAATCTAAACATCCTCGCGTCTACTGAACATGAATTCTAGTTACGTTTCTTTAGCAAGATTGTCCTTCTGGCTCGCGTGCATGGTGTTTATGCTTGAGTGGCTCATCATGAACCTTCCATCCTCTGATAGTGAGGATCTTATAATTGACACAGACATGTTCAGCGATGTCGGGTAAGGGTTGCCTCTCCCACCCATCCATCCTATTGACCCAGCTAACATACATCCAAGCGATGCCGGTGCTCTTCTTTTGGCGTGCGCCAACAAAAAGACCAACCTACTGGCTGTTAACATTAACCAACCATCAATATACTCCGCCATGGCAGTTTTGAACATGTTGGGCTACTATAAGTTACCCCGGGTCCCTGTGGGGGTACGTAGCCCGCGGACGAATGAGACCTATCTTGACACAACCTCCTTCGAGCATGGAGAATATGCGTCAAAGATCACCCACCATTGGAAAGGGTACCTGTCTCCAGTGCACCAACGTGGCCAGGACTGGCTGGTTCACGACCCTGTTAGGCTGTATCGACATTATTTGGCTCAAGCTGGGCCAAATGGGGTGAAGATTGCCAGTCTTGGCCAGCTGGACAATGTAAGTCGACCTTCTAATTCATCCATGTGCATGGTTGGAACGAAGAGAAACCATAGTAACTAAGCTAACGATTCTCCCCTGGTTTCAGCTGGCTGATCTTCTTGACTCCTCTGGCGATAACCTTTCCACTTTGTCGGGTTATGAGCTCGTTAGTCGGACAGTCAAAGAGCTCATCATCATGGGGGGCGAGTATCCTCACGGTCTAGAGGACAATTTCCGTCTTAGTCCAGGCGCAGCAGCAAAGGTCTCTCTTGACTGGCCTGGTAAAATCGTCTTCGCGGGGGCTGAGCTCGGCCAGAATGTATTTTCCGGAGCCAGGTTCATCACTCAGGGTAATGCTAGCGACCCCGTCAGGGCAGCGTATGAGTGGTATAAGTACGTAAACTCCATTCTCTGTCTGCTCTTCTCCCCGAAGATATACCCACTAACATCGAACATCATTCTAGTGGATACAACCGTTCTCGCCAATCCTGGGATCCCCTCACAATGCTATATGCTCTCGAAGGACCTACTAAGACGTTCAAGTTGGCCGGCACAAGCGGTCATAATTTCGTTTATCCGAATGGGACAAACGTCTGGATGAAGGGTAATCTGCAATACCCAAGGGCTTATTTGAAGCTGAAGGTCTGGAATGAGACTGTGGCTGCCAAACTCGACAATTTGTATCTTCGGGGTGCGGCGCGGTTTGCGAGATAGTTTGGTATAAATCTTGTACCTCGTTGTTGAGGTCATAATTGCGAAGAAGTTGCTTTTTGTTTCTTCTTCTGATGCTATTGTTGTTCGTGTTCCTATGTCCATGGGTTAATGTATTCCGGAAAATCGGTAAATGCAGTGATATGTGCCTGTTTGTTTTATATCCTATCAAGTAATTCCGTACTTACAACATGAAATCTTTGAATATGATATAGTTCTGAACATGTCGCGAAGCAATACCCATAGTTAGTCCCACATGTTCATTCCAACAATCTCTACTCCGTAGCACGGGGTTAACTTCCGGCGTCAATCACCCGAGCCAAATCACTTTCAGATCAGGCAGATGACCCGCCGATCAAACACAAATGCAGAGGAATCTTGTGGTCCACCGCCAAAATGAGAAACGTGTGGGCTTGTGCTGATTGGCGCCGTCGCCTACGCTGGGTACAGTAGTGGCAAGCCACTTGGGGTTGGTTGGGCTTGCGGGTTGCAAGGGATGGATATCCCTGTTTTCCTGGAGGGATTTTGCTGGCGGCGGGTGTAGCTCTTCCGGTGACCTTTGAGCTGATTGTCTATTTCACCGGGGGGTATTACGTGTAATCAGGTTAGAGGAAAAGATAGACTGTGTTATTTGCTAGGAAAGAAAATGAAAACTGTGCATGGTGGATAGATAAGCGAGTGAAAATGTGATTTCCTCAATCAGGCAATTGGAAATGATGTCTCTGATCTCAAAGCCATCCATCGACTCAATCCGACCCCATTCCCTTGCGCAGGTTATCGTAATCGGAAGCAGGATAGTCCAATTCATTCTGGACTTGTTCAAGCGCGCTGGCGCCTCCGAGCCCATTTACGACCTGTGAACTTTGTCAGCACGTCATGCAATCGCGAGACCAGGAGGGGGAAAATACCGTTGTAATCAGACTCTCACTGCCAGTTTTATCAGCACTACTCTCCCACCACATACCACCGCCCAAACCCTTCGATTTGATATATTCTGTCTTCAACTGCGCCACCTTGGGCGTGTCATAGCTGATCAGGACCTTCTTCGCAGAGTCATAGCTGTAGCTTGCGATGAGGTCTTCGTCAATGTGTTCTTCCGCGCCGGCCTGGGGTAGCGCCTTATAGTCCCAGATACCGTTTTCCCAGCTGCCTTCGCCGACTCCGTTAAAGGTCTTGCCGAGGCCGTCAGTATCCGTGAATGCGCGACCGTAGATGGGCATGCCGAGAACGATTCGGTCGGCGGGGACACCGGCCTCGATGTAGGCGTCAACGGCCTGTTGGGTGTTGAATGGCGTGCTTTTGGGGTTCGAGGTGTCGTTGTAGCCGTTTGCTTGGTGGCCGGTAAAGTCGGAGAAACTGCCGGCGTAGTCATAGGCCATCAGGTTCCAGAAATCGAGCTGTTCGTTCATTTCGGCGAGATGCATCTTTTCGTAGTTTTGGGGACCTAGAACGGGGAAACGAGGTTAGTGGGAAGCTGGAGGTGTAGTTGAGAATGCTGGACTGACCCGCAGGAGAAGCCACGGTCAGGAGGAATTTCTGCCCCTTTGCATGTTCCTGGCTATATGCATCCAGGGCCTGATTCGTCAGCTGAAATCCATAGAGCGAGTATCAGCAAGAGCTACATACCGATCTCACTTCTTTGAGAAGCAGAACGAAGTCATTGGCCTGGTCGTCGTTCTCGGGATACTGCCGGAATAGATGTGTTTAGTTTCAGCGTCTCCTCGGAAAAGGTAGAACCAATGACAACAACTAACCTCCCAGTCAATATCCAAACCATCAAATCCCAAGTCCTGCAACAGCTTCACCGATGACTCGGCGAATTTCTTCCGTCCAGCCTCGGTACTGGCGGGCTGCGGAAAGTTCTTAGAGTAGGTCCATCCTCCGATAGACAGGAGAACCTTGAGGTTGCGGTTCTTCTGTTTCTGTAGGTACAGTTGCTTGACGCATCCGTAGACATTGTTGCCATCCTCGGACCATGAGTCATCCGGATAGTGCTTCTCGAGGTCGGCATATGTGTCGGAAAGATACACCTCGCCGCTCTCGGGGCGCACATTGGCAAATGAATAGAGCACATGAGTGAGCTTATCGGCCGGCAGATCTTGAGGGTTATGACCGCGAGCATAGATTGCCTATATCAGTCAGTGAAAAAACAGAAGGAGGTCATCTGGCTGGGCCTACGAACCCAGTTGACGAAGTATGCAACGGAGCGGTATCCCGACGCCTGACGGGCTTCCAAATCCATGTTGCTAGTCGTAGGCTTGGTTATAGCCGCAGACTGCGCAAACCAGGCAGATGCAAGTCCCATAGAAAGGAAGGAAAGAAGCCGAGTAGTGAAACGCATATTTACCAAGGGAAGCTAGTTGGTCGTAAATTGACTGTGGCTTGAGACTGTCTCAGAACCAAAGCAGCATTCCGATGCAGAAAAAGCCTCCTTTTATGTTCTCGTTCATGACATGGGGGTTCTATTCATTGTAACTCTGCACCTTCGAATCACAGCTGCGACCTCACATGGCCAGGTAGCATGAATATCTTCAGATACAATCACAGTACACTTCAGGGTTCCATTCCAACAAGATGCCTGCAATGCGCCATCTCGTCGTGCCGATCCCGCGGGTGACACCACCCTCATGTCAAGATGCTGTGAAACCTGAGAATAGGCCGCGGGAAGCCCATGTGAAAAGCCTATTCAACCCCGTAAGCCATTGATTTGAGTGGTACAATAAACCAGGGGAGGCGAGGAGAGCCGGAAGGGGATGTCGCATCGACAGGAACAATGTCTCTGCAACATTAATCTAATATCGGTAGCCCAATAGAAGTATGTATGTAACCGCCGAGGGGAGATCGGGGAAATGTGCTAAAATGCAATGTGCTTTACATGCCCGGGGGATAGCACTTGCGCTAGATGTTCCCCGTGAAGAAGGATATCTGATCATTAGCGAATCGGACTGGTCCGACAGCAAGTTGGTTCCTGGGGTCAATCCAACTACCGATGTAACGACGGAGATTGTGTGAGGAGATTACCGGTCAAGGCACATGAGTCAAATTGGCGCTAGCAGGGGTCCCGGTCTTGGAAGAGGGGAATTTGGCGTTCAACTGCATTTTCCCGATCGAGGCATCATCGAAGAAATGTACTTCCCACGATGAGCAGGAAGGGAGTATACTTCAAGAACAAACCTATCCAAGAGAGCATATGACCCTGTGCCGGTCTAACAGCAAGAAAATGACCCTTTCTCAACCAGATGGAAGGATGACCAGATTATTGGAGGCACATTGTGACTTGAAACCGACCAACAAGCTTGGTCGGAAGTCTGATCTTGCGCCTGATAAGCCGTGCCCCCAATCACAGCTTGTTCCTCACATTGCAGGGGAGGGCTTCACATCCCGAACGGGTGTTGGAATGCAACCCTTATTAAGTTAATGAGGGGGGGCGTGGTCGATTTTTCCATTCCAGACCTCGATGATTTGAAATTGACGGATTGTAGAGGACAGGTATCATCAAGGTGAGATTCCTGTGATTTGACAAAGATCGTAACTTTGTTGAGTGGCACTTATCTCAGAGGGTCACCATGGTAGACATCACAAGTCAACGTCATGCTGCAATGAAACAAAGACTGCCATCGACATGAAGATTAGATGATAACGTATTGCTGGCATTTTCGTCCCTGAGTGCATGGTAGTTTGCCCGCAAAGTATTCTTTGATCCGGGTGATATATATTCACAGGCTTCTACCCCTGTCCAAATTATTTCCACGAATAATGAACACGAAGCCATCAAGAGATTTATCCGGATAGAAGCAGTATACAGAGAGCACATGTCATTTCCTGCTCTCCGATTTGACACCGGTTGGAGTTGACACGCGCGGGTTACAGGCTATGGTCGCGTTGTCGGTTGTTCTGAATGCTGGGTCGCGCAGGTAAGTATTCACTCAGCTGCGACATCAGCGAGCATGGGCTTGATGCGAGAGCAAGAAAATCAAGGATTATTGATGATTAACGCATCGCATAGAGAGGGTTGATGGCACAGATGGACTAGGGAGGAAGAGAGGAAGAGAAACAACGCAAAGAATCGCGAGCAAAATCCGGGGATTTCCTATTGGGGATCATGGCACGTGACCTTATCTCCAGCCAATCATTGTAAGGTGAGTCATCTATCATGCCTTTCCCAATTGGGAACGCCGTTGTTTACCTGCCGGGGTCACATGAGCGGGGCAAATTGCCGGGGTGAAGCGATAAAGGCGTCGCAAAAGCCTCATCTTACACACCAGAGCGATCGAAGGATCAGTTGATTCAGTCATGGCCGCACCGCAGATCTACACACTATCAGTGGCGGCCGCCTTCCACGGGTTGGACCGCCGGCAACAGCTGTATGCCCATCACATGGCTAAGTACGACATGAGACCTGTCCCATGTGCTTGAGGCATTGACAACTAACCGTGCATGGGCAGGGCTGCATGGAGTGGTACTAGGATCATCCTTCGGCAGGTGTCCCCGGAAGCCAATGATATATTCGATTTCATCATGGCTCTGTACCGAGACTGTGATGGTGTGTGGGAAAGGATAACAGAGAGTGGCTCTGTGCAGCCACATGAGTTGGAGAGCTTTCTAGATTATGCGGCGATGTTCCTATCGAATGTTGGGAATTACTTTGTGAGTCGAGCGCGGTGCGTGCCATGTCGACTGTCTAATGTTAAGATAGGGATCCGGCGATCAAAAGTTCACACCAGTTATCTCGGAAGAAAGTCTTGACAGGCTGGCTTCTTTCTCCCCGTATGCCGGCGAACTGTTACCAAGGGTCAAAGCCCCAATGCTGGCCAAAGTTCCTAGCAGCCTTGGACCGCCTGGGCCACTCACTCAGTCAACATATTACCTGGGAGATGACGTCTTAGCATCTTCAGACGACATCGCTGCTATCTCCAAGTTAATGGAAGAAGCGGAAATTCTGCCCGAGAATACACGTTTGAGGAAAAATCAAGATACAGATGAGTTCGCATATGATATTCTGCAGGCATCTACAGTGGAAGCTAGAGATAACTTGCAGGGGACTGAGCTACTCCCCGGTCTAGGTAGGCGCATTCGGCTGGTACAGGGTGACCACAGAAATGATTTGAGGCAAATCTGTGACTGCCTTGAACAAGCCAAAGAATTCGCATCCAATCAGGCGCAGCAAGACATGCTGGAAACTCTGATCGCAAGCTTTGAATCTGGTAAGCTACAGACATATAAAGCCGCCCAAGAAATCTGGGTTAAGGACAAAGCCCCACCCGTGGAAACTGTGCTTGGGTTTGTTGAGCCATACAGAGACCCGCTGGGCGTACGTGCCGAGTTTGAAGGAATTGTAGGAATTCCAGATCCAGCAGAGACAAGCATCCTGGCTGGATTGGCAAGCAAGGCCGATGCATTCGTCTACAAACTGCCATGGGTAGAACAGAACGAGGAAAAGGGAGCATTTGAGAAAGACCTATTTGAGCCCCCCGACTTTTCCAGTCTTCAGAGTAAGCTTGCAGCCCTACGATGCATGATGAAGCTCACAATATCAAGGTCTTGCTTATAATTCCAGTATAATCTTTCCCGGGATAAATCTTCCAAACGTGAGTCGGCTCTTGTGCCATGAAATCAACTGCTAATTTGCTCTAGTACAATGACATTCGCCAAAAGGTTGGTTACAAGAATATCATTTTCTCCAACCGCATGGTTGCAGAGCGTGTTCGTGCCAGAGGGTTGCATATGGTAGACGAGACCGAGCAAGACACATTCAAGAATCACCGATTCCACTCCTACTATATCTGGGTCGTACTGCATGAAATACTCGGACATGGCACCGGTCGCTTCCTCGCGGAGGACCCAGCAGGCAGTTTCAATTTTGACCCCAATAATCCGCCACTCAATCCTCTTACACAGCAACCTGTCGATTGTTGGTATCGTCCCAGCCAAACTTGGACGGGAGTGTTCCAGGACCTTTCAACAACTGTCGATGAGTGTAGAGCAGAGCTTGTGGGTGCCTACTTGATGGATGAACCTGAGATATTGGAAGTCTTCAGGTATACAATGAACAGTGAGGTTAAGCCAGACGATGGTATGTAAAAGTACAATTCGTGAAAGCAGGGTCTCATTGATTTTTACAACAGTCATCTACAACATGTACTTGCAGCTAGGGGTTGACGGACTCCGAGGCTTGGAGAACTTTGATCCCATCACCAAGGTATGTTCCAGATATAGATCTATGATAGTGCTCGCTAACAAGTTAAAGAAATGGGGACAGGCACACAGTCGAGTGAGTCGCTTCGCGACCGCGGTATTTCCGATTCTCTGACCTCTTAATAGGCCCATTATGCAATCTTCCGACATCTCCTCCGAGACAGCGATGGACTATTTGCTGTGATATGTGACACCGAAGCAAAGAGACTGACAGTAAAGATGGACCGATCGAACGTTCTTCGAAAGGGCAAGCCATCTTTGGGCCGCATGCTCATGAGTCTACACGTCTACCGCTGCACCGCAGACATCAAGAATTGCCGTGCCTTGTACGAGGACCTTTCCAACGTTGACGAGGAGGCGTTGGAATGGAGGGATATTGTCATCTCCAGGAAGGATCCTCCTCTTGCGTTTTGTCAAGCGAACACCTTCCTAGAAGGTGGTAACGTGACGATCAAAGAATATGAGCCCACTGCACGCGGTGTGGTTCAGAGTTGGGCCGAGAGAGGCTTAATTTAAAATGACTGCAATTCCCCTGTCGGAGTTCGACCCTGGAAGCCGAAATGATTACACGATATATTATACGGTCTGCGGTTCTCTGGGCTGCTCTGTGGGCTCCAAATCCACCGTCAGTCATCTTTGACCATTTGAATTAGCTGCAATAGGACTTGTAAAAAGGCCATTAGCGATCCGAAGGCCCCGAAGAATATGACAGCCCAGAATGTTAACCAGTTTGCAGAGTTCCGCTTGTCTCGCCATAGTTGGGTCCATGTTTGCGGGGCCACGTTCTTCAAATTTCGCTGCAAGATCGTGATGCGATAGCGGAGAACAGGAAAGTCATGAGGAAGGTAATAAACCTCCTTGTCCGTTTCCAGTAAAGCATCACACGTTTTCCTCGAACATAGTTTCTTTAAGAGCGGATCTCGGGCGCTCGGCGGCAGTTTGGAATCCGGATCAAGTGATCGGAAAAGTGTCCTCGATTTTCTGGTCTGTCCGAAGAGCATACGGTAGGAGCGGAGAACCTCCATAAGAAAATCATTGATCTCTTCTTGAGTCGCCCACTGACACCGCAGCCTGCTAGTTGTGCCGTAAGAGTAGATAGCACCACGGCCTGTGGACTTGTATGTCGAGCGACAGAGCTGACAGAATGAAGGGAAGCGGAAGAGGGATAGTTCTCTGGTCGTAGAATTAAACTCCAGATGACAGGCCAATGCATCCACCCATTTTATTTTCACACCCGCTATTGACGTTAAAGTATGCGCGTTGAAGAACTTGGATTGCAGCTCCAATTCGGCATGAAAAGCCAGTTGTATATCAGCATTATCATTGAGGCAAATGTTTTTCGCAGGGAGTAATATTCCATATCCCATCAGGAACTCGTCAAGCGTGTCACGCTCACAGAATCGAGTTTCTTGTTGCAGTGCCATATGAGTATATTCGCAGCATCCCTCTTTCTCTTGTATACCCAGCTGGTAAGGTGGTTGCATCACAGAATCGATGGATGCTGGGCTGAAAAGCATTGCCTGCCAACCTAGCACGCAAAAGGCAAAATATCTGGCAATTTTCAGGCTGCTCTTAGCCTGGTCAGTCGATATCTCCTTCGTGATCAGGCGCTTTTCCTGTAACGATTGCACAATCCCGTCCACAGTGATAGACTCGATTGAGCAAACGGACTCCCCGACCCCGGAAAATGCACACGCAAAAGCCTTCCAGTGGTCTGACTCCTGGCAGTTGGTATGGTCCGTGTGGAATATGTCGAAAACTTCAGGTGGTAGTTCTCGGAAACGTTCAATCAGCCATGTGCTGTACCACTTCGGGCACTCAATATTGTCGTCTTTTCCCAAGCCATTGGGGAGAGGAAGTCCAATGTTTTCAAGGCTCGTAGGATTATTCACTCTATATTTCAAGCTCCGAAAGCTGCGGACGTTACAACGTGATTTCAGATCGTTCAAGTGTTCGGACATCTTCTGTGGTACTGGAGGCAATTGAGCAGGTGGGTGTGTAAATTAGAAAAGTTACCCCAAACAAAACGGGAGTGAGACTGCTGATATCAACCCTCTTCAATACGGGGCTGCCATAGCCTTACGTTGTAGGCAATGGTCAAGGCTGGATTCTACGTGTCCGGGATCTGCGCTGCGCGCCACCGCTGCGGTCTCTGGCCAGGCGCTTAGGATATCGGTTCAGACAGGATTTATTGGCCGGCACAGTAGTTTTTTATGTTACGCCCTCCCATCCTAGGCGGCTAACCAGCATCATATGCTGATGTGATAGGAACACATCCTACTGGTGCGTGCCAAGAGGTCCAGCGATGTTGCGCTCGCTAGATGCATGCCCAAGCGTCCCACTATCCGCAGTGCTATTAAAAGCCGTTCTTCAAGGGCCAAAATTTGATGTGGTTCTGGATAAGACGCTCGAGTATTTCTTTCCAGGGGGTTTTATTATCTCCCATTCGCCGGTCTCACATCTTCTTGGCCAAATATCCTAGTCCTACAGCCTGTATATTCGCACCACATGTCCTCGAGCCATGTTCTGCGATCTTCATCTCAGGAAAAACATCCTTAATGAATCCATCCCATACTACAAATTGAGAGCGGCTGTAAGAAGAACCCAAACGATCTGACATACGTAGAGGTTTCGGACGGTCACTGGTCGAGTTGGAACCGCCAGTTGCGAGTTTCTAGTCAAAGTATAAGCGCCGTTGCGATTTTAGGCCCGTAGGAGTAAGCCAGGAATGTCCAAAGTGAGTTTATTCTTCTTAAAGTTATGCCAGATCTCTTAAATCAAGTTGTATCTTTTGTGTCGACAGGTGTTTCTATTACCACCTCAAGGACAGGTACTGCGTATCTAGGATGTTTGTAAAACACGCAAATGAACTGACTACGGCGCTAGAGCGACTCCGCAATTGCCCCGCCAACGTCAATTGAAGGGCGGAGGCGGAAAAGCCTGCGCCTTCCTTGAGATACACCATTTAAACCATCGCCTTTCGCCGTTCTCGTGGCTTCCTGCCCTCAATACCCGGCATCTAGAATTTGCCTCCATGGAAGAAATTGAAGTGGCCTCGCACGGCAGCAATGCCGACCGGCACGAAGACAACCTGCCGCCAGTCGATAGAGGACGCGGCGCTTGGGGTTTCCTTGCGGCATGCTTCATGCTTGAAGCTTTGATCTGGGGTAAAGCATCCGTCATCATGGGTCAAGCCGCGTGACTAACTGGCTTTATTCAGGTTTTACATTCTCCTACGGAATTTTCCAGGATTATTACAGCACCCATGAGCCCTTCAAGAGCTCCGGTGACATCGCCATGGTCGGGACTTGCGCAATGGTGAGCTTTCCACAAACGCCATATGCAAGCATATGATTAATCGATTGCAAGGGTGTTTCATACCTGCTCATGCCCGTCGACTTTATTCTGCTTCAGGCAGTTCCCCGTCTCAAGCTGTGGGCTGCCCCACTAGGTTTTCTCATCATGTGCCTCGCGCTGGCGATGAGCTCCTTCGCCAACAATACGACACATCTTATTGTTTCTCAGGGTGTGGCGTATGGAATTGGTGCAAGCCTGGCTTACGCGCCTACTATTATCTTTATGGATGACTGGTTTGTGCAAAGGAAGGGACTTGCCTTCGGTGTTATGTGGGTGCGTACAAGTACCCGTTAGATAACGCCTTGCCCATCCTATCGATGCTAAAATGTTCTCTAGGCTGGAACTGGATTATCCGGTGTCATACTTCCACTCGTACTACAGTGGCTATTGGATAGCTTCGGCCACCAGACAGCTCTTCGGGCTTGGTCCATTACTCTCTTTGTGATGGGAGGCCCGCTTCTCTACTTTGTTCGACCTCGACTCCCCATTTCCCGGACGTCTCGTTCTCGACCATTGGATTTCCGCTTTTTGCGGAACCCGACGTTCGTCGTCTACGAGACTGGGAACATCCTCGAAGCAATGGGGTACTTTCTGCCAACAATCTATCTTCCGACCTACGCGCGCAGCCTGGGGGCAGGTGGTATTCAAGCTGCGTTAACCGTCATACTGTTCAACCTTGCATGTGTGTTTGGTTGCATTATTATGGGCTCCATGGTGGACCGCTTCCATGCTACTACCTGCATCCTCGCCTCCACTATCGGAAGCACCACTGCGGTATTTCTAATATGGGGACTTGCCGACTCTATGGCACCTCTCTACATCTTCTGTATCTTCTACGGCCTCTTTGCCGGCTCTTTTACCTCCACATGGCCGGCCATTGTCAACGAAGTCCGGAAGAAGAGTGTCTACGCGGATCAGAGTATTATTTTTGGATTTCTGTCTACCGGTCGGGGCATTGGCAACGTTGTCAGCGGCCCTCTTAGCGAAGCTTTACTCAAGACCGACTCCTGGAAAGGCGTGGCTGCGAAGGCATATGGGTCCGGTTATGGTCCCTTGATAGCTTTCACTGGGGTTTCTGCCCTTCTCGGCGGTTTTGGCATTCTTATGAGGTCGTCTCGGCTCACGTAATATCGCATTTTTGGAAGAGCATAAGGCGATTGTGTTGTTGCGTGTTTTCAAGAGGAACATCTTTTCTTGAATGTTCAAATCCGCCCCTTTCACTAGCTTTCTTAGTTGGGGTTAGATGCTGGCGCCTAATCTGATGGGTTGGAGAGACGAGAGCTTCACCGAAACGAAGCTTGCCTGGTGGTTTGAGAATAGCTTGGTTTTATCTGTCCTTCCTATAGAGGGGACACCAAAAACGCAATTGAAACGGTGAACTATTGATCTAAATAAGCCTCTCAGTAGGAAATACGTTTTACGGAACATCTTCCCGCTTCAGCCGACTATTCCTATTCTTGTCCCTCAATCATAGCACCGGCTTCTTCTGTTTATGTTACGCGGCTTGGAAAAACCCGCAGGATCAGTGCCATTCTCATTATTAAACCCGGATCATGGGAAAGAAAACTTGAGCGCGGAACTGCCGGAAGTAGGGGACCCATCCTATGGATCAATGCGTGGAACCCCCACAATCCGCGGAGTTAGGACGACTGTTTATTGCTGGGGGCCATTTTAAGAATATTTGTCTCCCAATTCTGGTTCTGGAAGCCGAGTCCTTCAAAGAGATGTACTGGACATGCCCTAATAGCCGTGGCTGCCTCGCCTCTGAGTAATTGTCCGACTAGAATCACTAGCAGTTGAACCTGACTTCTTCAACATGTTGAAATCATAGGATCAGCCTCACTCTTGGCTTTCATATCGCCGGGCTTGTTTAAATAGCGCTTTAATCTAGACTTCTTGGCATCGTTATACCTGAAAGTGGCCCGCATCCTGATGACATGACAAACAGGTTGATAATTGATCCCAAGACCCTGCGCCACCCTTTGCTACGTAAGCCACAATATTTATTGTCGTAGTGCTTGAACTGATTGTGGAATAGCATTTTCATGCTTACTGTTGACTCTGCTGCGACTGGTACCTACGCTGTGTCGTTGTTATACACCCTCGTATCTATAAATCCCCCCTCCTAGGTAAAAAGCCAATGTCTCGCTACATTAAGGCCCTCTTTGTAACAATACCAATTACTACTCCACTAGTCACCGACGGTGATCGACGGCAGCAGGATCCAGATGGTGATCGCAATTCATGATGATCGACTAGTCGTGTTCGAGAAAATTCATGTCCGTCGGACAAGGGGCGTGTCGCGTATCACGCATCGCCGTATACCACTCCGCAGAATTCTCGGCTCCGATTTCCTATTACCCGAAATCGTGGAGTTAATGAAATATATTATTGGCCCAATTGAACATTTTGGCACTACTGTAGGTGGATGCCTCGTTTCGGTTATGATCGTCGACTACGGGTACCGGGCTCGCGTTGTCTCCACAGTCCTGTTTGTGTGAGAAAATCAAAAGGTTTGGACAGTATCTGGAGAGTTTCCTTAATGACAAGAGAAGTCTACGAGAAATTATATTGGTGTTGAACTATAACGCAGGTACTGCTCGCAGTCAATTGTGAATGGCATCAAGGCGTTGCGGGAGCAGTTACATTGGGGACACATCGAGCGGGATATATATTTTGCGTGACTACACTCAAGCTCTGGGGTGTCTTAATGTGACCGCCATGTCTATTTCTCAGCCATCTTTCATGTCTTCGTAATCGCTCTGTAAAGCAGTACACTCCTCCAGCAGGAATTTGAATCCATGAGCAAAGCCTGAACGTGGTTGTGATGTTTGCTGTCTTCATCCGATATCAATACGAGTATGGAGGCCAAAGTCTCCAAACCCGGGTCGGGTAGCATGCTGGGAACAGTCGCTCTCTACGTTAAGGGCCTTAGAATGCTAGAGGCAGAGTTTGATTGGGAGTTGACCGGAATTAAGAGGAAGGCCGGATCTAGGGATACACATGGGAGTCCGGGAGCATAGCAATCCAGGGGTAGAAGAATGTGGGGACAGCTTAGGCAGGGCTTGTTCTCTTCCGTAACCCCTTGAAAGGTTCTCGAAGCTGTATTCATCCTATTCTACCTTATTCATTTCTCTTCAGATCTCTTCATCAACTTGAGTTTTAATTATAATATCCTAGACCCTGACGTTTCGGGCGGCACTGATGCAAAAGAGTAACCGCCCTCCAACAATCAAGGTCCATGGAGCCGCTTGATAAAGTGGAAATAAAAGGCCGGAGGTTGTTTCCGTCCACATTTTTGCGTCGGATTTGGAAAGGCCGCCGTCTGGCCGTCAACGCAGGCCGTCTTAGCTAGGTGACTGCTACGTACCAGGACTCGATTTTTCGTTTGACCATTACTTGGCCGGACTCGGATCGATCCGGCTGAAGAATTATCTGCTTACGGATTGCTCTTCCAGAAATGGCGTTTGTTTTTAGAACACAGGGCCGTGCCGCACGGGGAAGACATCCGCTATGCCTCCCGAGGGAGGATGAACACAGCACAGCATATTCAGAACGCCCAACGGCCATCGACATTCCTATGGAACCGCCTGCCCTCGTTCCGGTAGGCCATACCATCCCTTGATGCAACAAGGCTGTTTCCTTTGCCCGGCTACCTTTCCAATGAGGGTCACATTGGCATGTAACGTGGGAAGCACCGTTGGGTTCTCATAACTATCGAGTCGAATAGATGCTCGACAACAAGTCCAAGTACGACGGTCCCCGGAACCGTGCGTGGTACGGGATAGTGGTCTGAAAGCGGACAGTTGGATTCGAGAAGAACGGGATCAGCTCCATGAGCTCTCTCGTCTGGATCAGACAGACTATTTAACAAGGCGTCAGCCTGTCTATTCCTGCTTCTTCCTCAGCTACTCGCCAAACATTCTTGTCTAGTCTTTCGCATCTCATACCAGGTTCGTCGGGGAAGCTCGCTTTCAAGATTTTTCGTTTTGTCGTTCGTTAGAAAGGCCGCCAATATGCTCAAGAATACTGTCTTCCTTGCGGTTCTGCTTGCGCAGAACTTGTCATTCACAGTAGCTCTCCCGTCTCCCAATGAGGAAGAGGCCAGGGTAGCGGCAGCGGAGAATGGTCACGGTGGTGGTGACAACATTATTGACTGTGACATTACTGTCGCCACCGTTACTGATTATATCCCCGGGTGAGCCCAGAATCCCAGCACCGACTAGAGAGAACGATCAGACTGACCTTTCGGATAGCCCTACGGCGACCATTACTGTCATTACAACCGACATCATTGAGCCGACTGCTGACTGCCCGACTGATGTCCCTGTCCCCACGCAGACCATTACGGCGCCTGGCCCAACTGAGACTATCACAGAACCGGGCCCGACTGAGACGATCACCGAGCCTGGCCCAACTGAAACTGTGACGGAGCCACCGGTGACTGAGACAGACACTATCACGATTACTATAGACCCCGGCACGGTGACAGGCACAGAGACAGTGACAGAGACGGACACAATTACCGAGTCGGTGACGGTTACTCAAACGACGACAGAAGTGACCACCACTACCTCTTGCCCGACGGACACCCCGACAGGAGGACCGGACACGGGTGACTGCACACCCCCAACCATTAGCTATTATCCAGACCGCGACCCCAATCAGGCCTTCCAGATCGATGATACTGACATTTACGGCCATGGAACTTCAGCCTTGATCAGCACGCTTACCAGCCATACTTGCAACCAGCTGAGAAGCCCATGCAATGCTGCCGCAACAACTGTGCAGTATTGCTGGTCGGCAGCTGCAATGGTCGATGCTAGCGGTTTGCAAGGCGAGGCGCAGGCTGAGTATTGGAACTCATTCTGGACCTAACTTGGTCCATTCCCCCACTGAAGTGATGGAGTGATCTATGGAACTGCTATATCCTTTCCCGTTGCCCGTCTTCTTTACTTTTACCAAGAGATAATCTACTTGAAATTTACCTTGAAATCCCAACGATATTAGTAGATCTAAAGGCAGACGCCCGTTTCTGAAACTTTTCTATTTGGCAAAAGCCCAGAGACATCCAATTAACTTTCATTAAATTGCCGAAACCTGTTTCTCTTTCAGCACAGATGACCCATTCGTTCTAAACCAAGAAAATAATCTCTCAGCCTAATGAGGCAAGCGAATCGGAGAATACCCTCTTGGCATTTCCCAAAAGACACCGCAATTTCAGTGCCCGGTCTTGGCGGTTTCACCGCTGGCTGGGGTCCGAATCCTGATTGACATTGTAGCCCAATAAGGCTGCCCTGTGGGATCGTGGCGCATGGGGTACATGACTCGGGCGCTGGAAGGACAAAGAAATCACGCCTATCCTGGTCAAGTGGGGATATGACGCACTAATAGGTCAATGGATAGATGATAAAATACCTCGCGAGTCTATGTATGTAGCTTGATATACAATTTCCCGAAATTACCTAGGTGCCCAGGCAGGGAGAGAGTAAAAAAAAGAAACATAATAAGCAACAAACAAAGAGGAAAACAAGTCAGCGAAAGAAGGCCCTAGACAATCTCCCATCCATGTCCCCTTCATGTGCCCTGGCTGCTTTGACAGGCCTGATATTTATAGCGCTGCGAGCACGGCCCCCAGCAAAACGGCCATCCCTGCAGTGCGCACCCCGCTGCTGATTTCTAGGGCTGGGGCAGAGCTGGACGATCCGGAGTCGGAGTCGCTGGCATTTTCCTTTGTCACGACTTTCAGACAGGTCAGCTGGGAGGAGGTCTTGTCGACAGCGCTGCCGTTGCCCGACACGAAGACGGTCAGGACGGGTGTGATCTTGTAGGCTTCGTCGATGAGAGCTTCGGCGGTGTAGTTTGACTGTATGGCATTTTAGTCTTTTGTAGTGAGGGACCAGGGACGTGTAGATAGAACATACGTGAGAAGTCTCAACCGCAATCTCAGCCAGCCCATCCGACTTTGGGGTAATAGGCCAGCAGTCGGCCGAGGAGTTGCTGACGGTGTTAAGATCACCGAACGAAGTAACAGTAAAGTTACCGAAGCCGTTACCCGCACCACCCAGGTTCTTGCAATCATCAATGTTGTCTTTCTTGAGCTCACGTTCCAGCGCAGAGCACGGGTTGCTATCCGCATTGTCCGCGACCTCGCTGGCCCGCTTGGTCAGCGCGTCGATGCACTTCTTGTCAACGACATCTGGGCATGTGCCGTACGATGCACGGGTGTCGGTTTTGTTGCGCGTGTTGCCTTCCAGATCAGCGCCGTCGAATTTGCTCGATGGCGGATCGTTGAAGATCACGGCGCATCCGGACAGGTTGCTCGTCTTGACGTCTGACGGTGTTCCCAGGTAGTAGACGGAGGTAAAGGGACGGGTAGGCTTGTCGTTGTCGCTGCCAGCACCACCGGCAGAGACGTTGACGCCCTTCACGAGCGAGATGCCCTCGAGCGAGGACGGGGCGTCGGCAATTCGGGCCAGCCCGACGCCGAGGAAGGTGTGATCGTCAATGGTGCAGCGGTCGTCGGCACCGTCTTTCGGACAGGAGACATCGTTGCAGCCGACGATGCTGTTGCGGAGATCGTCTGCTGCTAGGGCAGAGGGGAGCAGGAGAGAGAGCAAAGTGAGGCTGGCTGCGGGCGTAAGGTTCACCATCTTGAGGAATAAATTGTGGTAGTTTGGAATCAGTTGGTAGCGAGTGAATTCAGAAGAGGAATAGAAGAAAGTCTAAGAAAAGAGAGGGAAAGAAAAAGTCGCAAAAAGGAAAAACAAACAAAGGGAAAAGGAAAGCACCGGATATTAGACGGAAATGTCCTTCATATCACGTCCGTGTTAAGGTAGCAAGGCTCTGTATGGGGCTCAGGCAGTGACACCACTTCGTGCCACCACCGTTGGGCACAGCCATGACCTCAAACCCGTTAGAAACCAGAACAGCCCCTGTCCGGGCAATAGGTGTCTGAACTATTGGGGGCGGAGACGAGGCGTGGGCGTGGCGGAAGTCTTGGCGGCGGAAGGCACCGGGTGGCTTGAAAGGCTACCCCCACTAGGAACCAGAGCGAGAAAGGATCGACAGTTGCAACTCTTGGCTGACATCAAAGGTTGCATCGCTTGGATTCGAATTCCTGGTCAGTCTGCCAGGAACGGATTCAGCCTTCTGCAATGGTGCTAGTTTGTCCTCCCAATGAGGAAAGTCAGCGCAGCTCTAAACGCTCCGATCCGAAACTTCACTAGTTTCCCTGTCGTCTCCTGATCGTGGCGCTCGAAGGATCATATCAGATAGATTAGTGTCACCGGCGATGCCCCAGAACTACACACTCCATGGCTGCTCGGTACCCGGAGCACCGGGCCCGTTGTTCACACTCCACTCCGGCCGATAGTACGGAGTATGGAGTAGCAGGATGGAGGTGAAGGTCAAATACGAGAAAGTATGGGGAACGTTGAAACTTTAGTTCAACTTGGTCAACTCGGGGTATCTCCGAATGTTCTATCGACTGTCGAGCCTTGCCCAGAGCACCGGGAATCCTGAGAGCGTGACAATTCCTTCATATCCCCATCGCCGATCAATCCATCGTCCATATGCCTAGCTGGAGAGCTGGACGTACGGAGTACAAGGAACGCAGTGACCTCTTTTGCAATCTCCTTCTGGAATACGCACAAGGCTTTGCGTTTGAAGTTAATTAAAACTGACGGTGCCAACACATCACCCAGCCCACCGTATCGAACCGCAAACGCTCGCATTCTAAACGATCGACCCCGGTAAATCCGCGCATTCGGCTATGCATACAACATTAATATCCTCCTGTCCAGGGTCAAATGCTTAATTTGGGGGCCATATAAGGACGTCCGACAGTTTTGACGCTTCTGTCCTACGCCATCATGGCAGGAATTGAACAGAGGTCCACAAATAGCATCCTTCGCCAGTCTGCCAAGCCACCCAGCTGAACTATGAATCGCAATCCCCAAGCTACACCGTCCGACGGAGTCAGGGTCTCCTGACGAGGAGCGAGGTCCAGATGCTTCCCATTCTTGACAGCATGACGTGGATGAATTCGGGGGCCGATTTCATGGGTAGACGGAGGCGGAGCAGTGAGCCGGAATGCCATGGCGAGAAGATGGGAAATACGATATCCTGAGGGATTGAAGGTTAGACGAGAGGGATTCAGGAACACAGGTGCTCCTCGCCGGGCATATAAACCCAGCTGAATCTCCCGATATCGAGCTTTTTTCTATCCCCAGACCAAAGCAGTTCAGTCATTCATTCATTCTTCATTCTCTCTTTCAGAGCTCTCCTAGTGAAGAGCCAGTTCTCTCATTTATTCTTTCGTTCAGTTGTATAACCGTTCTCTTGATTATCAAACTCAACTGCATTTGACATCATGTCTTTCGTCGACGCCATCGGAGTTATCTCCGGTATCCTGACCATCGTCTCTTTTGCCTCGGACAACTTCGGTTCCAGCGAAACCTCCGGATCGACCTTCAAGGTCGCCGTTGCTTTGGACGGTCCTAATGGACCCACCGATGCTGGTGGTGATCTTCCCGACGTGTATGTCCCCTTTCCCCTTCTTTCCCCTGAGTAAGTCGCATCTTGCTAACGTGACCCAGCCGCGTCTGGAACGACGTCGGCAACTTCGTCGGCATGGTCGCCGACCCCGGTACCGTGAGCAACGGCAACCTGGGCGAGATCAAGGTCGACCACGAGAACCAGGGCGTGTACTCGCTGTTCTCGGCCAACAACGACGCCATCTGCGTGGCCTGGGTGACGACCACCTGGAGCGAGGACCGCGGTGGCAACCAGTACGCCGTGTCTGGCGACTACGGCGAGGCGTGCGGTGGCACCTGGTTCGAGAGCCACATGTACCCCAATGCCGACGAGGAGTACCAGCCCAAGTGTTTCTGGATCGACAAGGACGGTGACCAGCCTAAGACGGGCTTCCAGGTGCGCTGGCCCGCCTTCTCCAAGGACGAGTTCAAAGAAGACGACACCGACCCTGCTCGCCTGTGCAACGACATCGACTTCGGCCTCCGTGACGAAGAGGACCCGAACTCCATCAACTACCGCGTCCAGAAGAAGCGCAGCAGCAAGCTCCGTGTCCGCCAGCCCCGTCGTCGTCCTCAGTGGGCTGACTCGGAGATCGTCATCAGTGACGCGAAGCAGCACTCTGCTAAGCGGCTGTGCCAGTCCGACACCTCGATGGGTCCTGACTTCGCGCACACTGGCGAGGCTCTGTTCTGCGACATGGAGGCTAAGATGCTGTACGCGTTCTGCACGGGCAACGACAGCGAGACCTGCTTCGACCTCGACTCGCAGACTCTGGCAACTAAGCACAACGGCACCATTGGTGGTAACTTGAGACTTGCAACTGTTGCCGGAATGTCGGCCAGTGCTAACTCCGCCTCGGCCAAGGGCGACGCTACCGGTTCGAAGAGCAAATACTCGAGCACTCGTGACTGGCGTAGCACCGCCAAGAAGGTCTAGATCCTGATGACCTATTCTCATTTGATACTTTGTTAGAGGTCCCGTGAGGACGGGACGTACCGGACATGTACTCATTTCGCTACTCGTGTTGATCCCTGGTGCATGTTCATATGTGATATTAGTATTGGCTCTTTGTTCCATGTTAACATTAGTTCAACAATCTATTAGATTTATGCATTTCATGCTTCCTTTGAGTGAACGATGTGGGCGTGCTGATGCTGGGGGTAGCCTTGTGATGATCTAGGTTAATAAATAATCTCACTCATTGAGGTCATAATGTTGGTGGCGCTTGTCAGGACGAAACCTTGTCAGGTGTTGCATAAATAGGAAGTGGGCGAACGATGCAACTCTGAACAGATTGCAACCTCGGAGATTAGAGAATTCCAAAAATACAATAGACGGGCCGAAAGCCTAGCATCAAGTATTCTAACATTTGAGTTGAGACCGGAACGGGCTGATAATACAATCTCACCGTTCATGTTACTCTAACTCTCTACCAAGAGATGAAGATGTATCCAAGGCTCTGCAAATGTACAAGAGCAAAGGGGCTCATAGACATCATAGGAAAGGGCTATGATTTTGTCAACCTTCTGCCAGTAATTGACTAATAAATGGGGAAGCAAGTGCCTCGTCAGTAAATCAGCCATAGTTGGGTTACAGGTGAATTTGGCAGGAGTTTCCGGCCGCTGCCCGCGCCTTAACCCAATAGAACTTCTACTGACAAATCCAGTTGTCAGAATACGAAGCTCAGTCATGGAAGGGCTAGGCTTATATACTGGGTCAATATCCTCTTGCGAAATGTAAGAATGGTGGATATTTGGAGATCAGATCAACCAAGTGCTGCACCATGGACGCGACTAGCTCTATAACGAGCCTTTTTGACGTAAAAGGCGTTGTTGCCGTGATAACTGGTGGTGGTAGTGGTATGGAACTCAGTGCAATACTACTTTCCCATGGTACTTTGTGGTTACTGACAAGGTCATGCAGGTCTTGGCCTCTTCATGACACGGGCATTGGCGACAAATAGCGACAAATGGCGCCAAGGAGGCGTATATCCTGGGAAGGAGAAAGGATCTGCTCGATCAAGCAGCATCAGAATTTGTGAGCGGAATCTTGACACAGTACACCCACTCAGAGCACCTCTAATAGGCATCAGGAACAGGGCAATGTCATTCCTGTACAATGCGATGTGACCGATTAGGACAAATTGAAAGCCGCTGTTGAATTCATCGCACAGAACACCAGATACATCAACGTTTTGGTCGCGAACTCAGGCATCGCCGGTCCATCAGGGAACGTACCTGCTGGCGCCAACATCGCTCAAGTCCAAGAAGCGTTGTTGAAAATCCCGATGCAGGAATTCACCAATACATTCCATGTCAACTGCACAGCAATATCTTATACCGCCATTACCTTTCTAGGCTTGCTTTCTAGGCTGGCTTGATCCTGGAAACCAGAACAACAGCTATCCCCAAGGTCGCAGTCAGGTTTCAATCGACGTGGCACGGCAGGCTTTGCATACGGTACCAGCAAGAGCGCGACAAGCCTGATGTTCAAGATCCTGGCGACTTACCTGGCTCCGTATCGGTTAGGGCAAATGTTCTTTGTCCGGGTTGTAAACATGGCTCAATCTGAACATTTTATAATTTGGGGTATGATTACTCACATATGTACAGCATTCCCGACTCACTTGACAACAGGCTTGATACATGGCAAGAACGCAACGGAAGAAGGGGCGTTTCCTGCGGACCAAATTCCTGCCGAGCGTGCTGGGATGCCGGAGGATATTATGGGGCCCTTCTTATGCCTCGTATCGCGTGCTGGAGCGTATTGCAATGGTAACTGTGTGATTACGGATGGTGGTCGGCTGAGTGTCACACTGGCTACTTATTAGTTTTTAACGCCATGGTACGTAGCTGGTGACATATGCCTTTTTCTAGGTAGAGGACTGGCTATCCCGCTATGTCTCTACTTGACAGTCGACAACTATGTAGCCATAGGTTAATATGTAGTACCTGTCAACGACCATATCGCTCGAGCTTTGTGATTTGAAACATGAAAAAGTTTATATTCATTTCATCGAACCGCAATATTAACATCATATAAGGAAGTATTCCCAGAGGAAGCCATGTTTAGGAAGTCATCAAGATGAAGCGTCAATGATGCGTTGTGACACCTGTACATCCGTAGACAGACCTTTCAATGCCGTTGCCAGCTCCTCCGCAGCTTTGGTGAGATCTTCATTGGATAGTGGCTCCAACGCATCCAAAATGAAGAGAACGCGCGAAGTCTCATCCGTCAACGCTGTCCGCGGGCCCTGTCGCCAGTTCCACCGACGACAGGTAATGCCCGTATCATCACACCAGATGGGTTCCCCAGGAGCTGCGAGCTCCACCTGAGGTTCTCCGCCCGAGAATGTCTGGAACGGCTCCTTGCCCGTGGCGCGGACCAGGAACGGCGAGCCATCGTATTTATCCAGATCCTCCCCACCGAACGGAATTTGGTGCTTGACTGAAATTGCATTATAGATATCCGTCAGTCGGTTGACGCGTGGTAAACCCGCCTCTGCTCGACGAGTCAACGCCTCCAGGCTGTTTCGCGTTTTGTTCGGCTTCGCGCCGAAGGCTTTATAGGCGTCTCGCCAGGCGGCGATGTGTGGGAATTCGGTCACCGGGGACTTGGATAGTAGTTCTTTGACGTGGCTTTCGGCTTCTTGCAGCATTGCTTGGCTGGAGGCGTCGCTCGGACCTGGGGGGATGCCCTCGACGACCATTAGAAGGGCGCGGTAGTCCGGTCGTAGTGCGAAGATTTCCGGGGCTACTCGTGCAGATTGCAGGAGCTGCTGGGCTGTGCGTTGTCCGGCCATTTTGGATGATGATTCCGAATCTCTAACGGAAGGAGATACTCTAAATAAGCGAGGATAGAGGAAACGAGGTGACAAAGTGAAGAAACGTGATTGCAACTGGACAGGTAAGACACAAGGTCCTTTTTATATCGCGTAAGTGTGGCTCGAAGCCCACTTTGCAGATTATTAGAGTCATCGCAAATTTCTTCCAGAAATTTCTTCTCGATGCCTCGATTCGTTAGCAATATTGAGTTCTTGAATTTTACGAGGGGCAGCTCGTGGCGAGGATGGAGTTTGTTCCTGTCTCCGAGCAATGTATGAGCATACGCTAAACCATACGCGGAAGGTAAATGGAGTGGGTCCCGGCAGGTGCCCCACAGCCGGCATCCGAGGTGCTCAGATGTGCTGGAGATCCATGGGAAATGTTCTTTTCTTCAAACCCAAATTGTGGCTCCTTCGTTGCCTGAATAGTCTATTTTGCCGTCCACACCAATCAACTTCCATTTTCGGACAACCAGCCTCGAACTAGCTCTACGACTATGAAGCCCGCTGATTCTTCATTGTAAACTAACCGAGAATGGATTGAATATGCAGAGACTAGGATGAAGGGGTTTCAATCATCTATTCTCCATGCAAGAATGACGTTTCCCACAAGTATCATGAGCCTTTGGTTACTGTCAGCATCCTGAACTTTGGGTTGTACCTACTAGTAACTGATGTAATTGTGGATTGGAGAGTCAAGGAACACCGATCGTAACTATCCAGAGAACGCAATATTTGTCCGTCTCAATATCTTGAAATATACTTTCGATCTATTAACTATGCTGGGCATAAGGCTGACAAAGCAGAAACGGTAATGATTGACTTGAATTTCAATCTTGCTATTAACGGTCATTCAAGTAAGGCTTATTCTCAACCTTAATCTAGACTATGCAAATCATATAACTGGATGAGGTAGATTTCGGGCTCGGCAATGGCCGGCGAGCAATTTAGTTCTACTCGCACGTGCTTGTGGTTTCAGCAATCTGGCTAAGCCAAAAATACGCCGTAGATCGCGTGCAGTTTTGGTGGTTATACTTGACCTTATGCGAGTCCACCTACGACATTGGGATTCCAATCTTACTCTTATTGGAGATATTGGGATCTTCGTGCTTGGTCTATTGTTCTTTTTGGAGTAGAGTTTCCATTCAATTCACTTTGATGGCCTACTGGACTCGCTTGGGAGGGTGGCTACATGTACGACTCCCACTGGAATTCCTGATTTTATTACCGCCAGTAGCCGACCATCAAGGGATCACTCGTTGTGCTGAACAGCGTGAGAATTGAAGGTCATTACTTTTGTTGATTTCTATGAGTCTAAAGCGCTTAAATACGCTAACATAGACTATAATTCCCTGGGAAGCTGTCTAAATCCAACGTTTCATTTTAATCCTCGTTGTCTAACCAGCCCACTGCCGCACTATCCTCTTGCGCATTGATATTAATGCCTCTATCACTGCCTCCTCTAGTAAAGTTACATTCTTAGCATAAAAGAATACTACTCATCCTGGGTTTTCACTTATGAATGTTTCCATTGTTAGTGTGTTTCAATAAAGAACGGAAACTACGAACAAGAGGACGGAGGCTGTTCGGCTACAACCACAACGTAGGGAGTGGACGGCAACCAACCCAAATATGTTCAGGCTGAAGGAATGCAGTGATATGCTTATTATCTGTCAGATCTATGGTATGGAGGGAACATGTACGGATTGAAATATAGAGTTGTCAAATGCGGGAAGGGACTTATTTGACACAACAGAAGGCATCATGTCGCCGGTTTACCAGGCAAAAGCAGACTTCTGAAGGCGGGACAAAGGGCCACAATCGAGGAGTTACGGTGCCAAAGCAGACGAAGAAGAAAGCAGCCATCAGACGAATAATTGACTAGACGAAATGCAGAGTCAATATGACTGGTGGTTGGTGACAAGCGGGGCAAGTGTGGGGTGGCCTCGTGCGTTTATTAATCAATTGTCTCCATCTCCACCACCTCGCCGATGATGCGATTTCCACGCTGAATCACCATTCTGACTCTTTAATGCTCCGCGCGGGATTCACAAGATTGCAAAGCCATTTCCATAACACATCGCGATCCAAACCAAGACATCGAGCTCACTATGGCACAGTCCAATCTCCTCATCTTCGGCGCCACCGGCAACATCGGGCTCTACATCACCAGGGCCATCGTGCAAGCCAAGCAATCTTTTGGGCAAATCTCCATCTTCACCAGCGCGGCAACCCTCGATACCAAGCGGGAGATCATTGACGAGTTGAAACAACAAGGCGTGCAGGTTATTGTCGGCGATATCAGCAATCCCGAGGATGTGCGCAAGGCGTATACGGGTTAGTCTTCTTTCCTTGTTTCAATCCTGGACCAACAGCTCTTTAGCGTGTTCCTTTCCTCTTGTTATTTGACAACCTATAGCTTTCTCTATGCTAACATGTTCGCCTGTAACAGACATCGACACCGTAATCTCCGCTCTCGGCCGCGGTGCCATCGCCGCACAAATCCCTCTCATCCAAATCGCCAACGAAACACCGCATATCAAGCGCTTCCTGCCCTCGGAATACGGCACAGACATCGAGTACGGCCCCGCATCGAAGGACGAGAAGCCGCATCAGCAGAAACTCAAAGTACGCGCGGCGTTGAAGACGGTCCGCGATTCCTTGGGGTACGCGTATGTCGTGACTGGTCCGTATGCTGATTTCCCGTTCTATTTGGGTCCGACGAAGAATGCGCCCAGGGCTGGGTCGTTTGATGTTGCTGCGAAGAAGGCGGTTTTGTTGGGCGATGGGAGGGGGAGGATTAGTTTGAGTGGGTGTGCTGAGTAGGTTTCTCCTGCACTTTCCCATTCTTCATCGTAACCTAGATGAGGCAACTTCTAATGTCGCGTGGGACTGTTCTAGTGTCGGCAAGTTTGTGGTTCATACCCTCACGCACTGGGATGCCGCGCGCAACCGTGCCTTGAAGCTGAATTCGTTCACGACCACACCGGAAGACATCCTGGCGGAGTATGAGAGACAGACGGACAGTTCGTGGACAGTAGAATATACCCCTCTGGAGGAGCTGCGGCAGCTAGAAAAGCAGGCTTGGGAGAAGGAAGACCCCTCCGCGACGGTCTATACGCTGCGCAGGATCTGGACCGAGGGTGGCACGTTGTATGAGCGTCGCGACAATGGCGATATTGGCGCCGAGGAGACGATCTCATTGCAAGAGCTGGTCAAAGATTCGGTTCAGAAGCAGACTGGTGGTGTCTGATTGGAAGGTTGGGTATAAAAAAACATACAATAACCAGTATGATCATGTCGAGATTAATTCATTGATTTGTGATCCGAACCATGAATGATGCGCGCAGCTCCTCGGCACCGACCGACAGACCGACGCCGATCAGCCTCGGCTCTCCGCATCTCCGCATTTCTCTATTTCAATCCGCTTTCCTTTTTCTCCCCCTTTCCGTCGTTCTACAACGTAGACTATTATATTAACAACCCAAATCAATTTATATTTACGTTATATAGACAAAATGTCTGGACCAGGTGTCGGCCACGAATTCCCCGCCCAGGAAGTCTCCTGGCTGAAACGCGATGTCCTACTCTTCGCCAACAGCATCGGCATCACCGCCGACGAGCTGCATTTTCTCTACGTACACAGCTCTTGCCTACAATCTCCTCAAACCTATCGCTGACCTGTCCATCTCAAATAGGAACTCCACCCGAACTTCGCCGTCTTCCCAACCTACCCTATCATCCTCCGTACGCCCTTCCCCTATCCCGTAAACCCGCCCCTCTCTCGAACCCCCAACTAACCAAACCCAACAAAATATAGCCTTCAAATTAACTGACCAGGAAGTCACCGACTTCTATGCGCGCCAAAAATCCCATCCCGTGCCCGGCATCCCCGCCTTCGACCCCAAACGCGCCGTCGACGGCCAGCGCAAAATCACCGTCTTGAAACCCCTCCCTGCGACGAGCGCTGGTCGACGCTTCGAGCTCCGCAGTAAGGTTCTGGGTGTTTATGATAAGGGGAAGGCGGGAAGTGTGATGGAGAGTGAGCAGACCATTGTGGATGCTGGGTCTGGGGAGGTTTATTCGAAGGTCGTGAGTAGTGGTTTTTTTGTGGGACAGGGGGGTTGGGGAGGGCCGAAGGGTTAGTGTTTCCTGCCTCGTTTGATATGTGTTTTTGTCATGTGACGCTAATGGTGATATATGGATAGGGCCCAGCACGCCCAGCTATCCACCACCCGAGGGTAAAAAGCCCGATGCCGTGCATACGATCCAGACGACAGCAGAGACGGCGCAGTTGTATCGGTTCGTTCCTCCTTTCATTCTCCCATCTCATCCCTTTCCCCTCTCCCCTTCCCCCTATCCCTCGAAATCAAACTAACTAACTTCCCACAGCCTAAACGGCGACTACAACCCCCTCCACGCGACCCCTGAACCGGGCCAAAAGATGGGTTTCGGCGGCGTGATCATCCACGGCCTGTTCAGCTGGAACGCGACGGCGCACGCTGTCCTCAAGGCATTCGGAGGTGGTGATCCGAATAACTTCAAGGAGTTTCAGGCGAGGTTCGCGTCCCCGGTCAAGCCTGGCGATCGCCTGGTTACGGAGATGTGGCGCACAGGCGACGTGCAGGACGGGTTTGAGGAGGTGAGGTTCGTGACGAAGAATGGGAGTGGGAAGGCGGTGTTGAGTAATGGACGCGCGTTGATTAGAGTTGTTTCTGGTGCTGGGGAGGGGAAGGCGAGGTTGTAGTTGGTACGCTATCTGTAGTGTTGAAGCATAGCGGACTGGACTTTTGTGATTCCGGTGTTTAGGATTTGGATCGTTTACGTGACCTGTTCAAAGAAATCCATTGGGAATATACGACAATTCTATCTTATGATCAACCCACCGTCTCATCAAGGGCCCTTGATAGACCTTCCTCGCTCTGAGAACATGATAGACCAAAGCAAGGAAAATCGTGTCCATCGTGCCAACAACACTAAAGTTCTTATTCGTCACACTAAAAGGATCTCGGTCGGCCAGGGATTGAGAAATACCACAATCGTCATATGAATGACCGCGTACCCGTTGACCAAGATCCCCCAGACCCCGGGGAACTGAAATGGGCCCCATACTAACTTGGCGCCGGGGACGCTCTTTTGCATGTTGTCGGCTTTGCTGACCATATGCACGTGTCCGGTACATCTCCGGTATAGAAGCATTGCGCCGAAGATCAGGTAAGACAAGTACAGACCGCATACGGCCATAGACAGAACACGGTTGAAAAGCGACGCGAGATCCGATGTTGATGAGGCCGAGCAGACAGGCGACGGGTATGGTTAGGAAGATGGAGTAGGTGGGTAGCTGCGTCCTGGAGGATACCTGTATCGTGCTAGGTCCATATCAGTAACAGAGATAATCGGATCAGAGCATGGATATCGCACATGGCTCCATACCCACCATCCCGGGACACCACGGTCTCTGGCAAACGACCGGAATTGCCGGGAGGTAACATCAAGTCGACCCCTGTCGATTGGTGACCTGATCACCACTATGAAGCATAGCGGGCTCGATGAGTAACAAGCTAACAGGAGGGTTGACTCACGTCTCCAAAGTCTTTGTTGCCAACACCGCTAACTGGGCCTTAGTCCTAAGATCACCACCGAGATGAGTCAGAATCACATGCTTCGCGATGAGGTCGGTGCGTGTATGAGTATTCATCGCACTTGTTGGGTTAAAAGAGAAGTAGATGGTGCCATTGATATCCCCAGTTGAGACCGATCGCGTTTTCGACCAGATTGCCTCATGAGAAAAAACATCGAGCACATCATGTCAGCTTTTCTCAACTTACCCTACGAATTGCGTGGAATGATTCTTAAGCACGCGCTCTTGGCACCTTACTCTCCCCCTGCAAACCCCTGGACCGGCGCAGATCAACGTCAGCCCCTCGAAGACATTAAGTACAGGGCCTGGCAGCACGGGCGCAGGTATACCCTGTACGACACGTCCCTGGATCAGCGTTTAGCGACACCATGTCAGACACTCTTATTGATTAATCGACAAATCCGTGACGAAACGAAAGATATTTTGCGACGGTTAAAGAATCCCAGTTATCAGCTCGATGTGATGGTAGTCAATGAATGGGAGCTGTGGCCGACCTGGCTTGCTGTTCCAGTGGTACGAACCCACGTTGACGAGGTGAACGTCAACTTTCGGATTTTTGGTCACTGTATCGTCTATGAAAATTGGCGGCACACAAGAGGAGACGGCGGTCATAACGGTCTCGAGTGGTGTTTTTACGCTCTGCTCGAGCGATTTGCTGTACATGGCCCCATGACTGAGCCGGTTTTGAGCGGCCAGCGAGCCCCGAAGTTCTACATTAAGACGCTTATTCTGAACATTGAATCCGCTACCGACGAGAAAGATTCTCTTCCGCTGTCGGATCCACGCTGGGAGGAGTATATGCGAGACAGAGCAAAAAGTCACCGGCCTATCCCGCAGCCTGATTCAGTCTATTTTCCGCTGCTACCTGAGTGGCTGGGAAAATACTTGTATGGGGAAATCGGCGACCTTCTCGGGGTGATAGAGCTGCGATACCGCCCAGATTCCTATGGGGCCATCTTGTATGAACATGTCGGGAAAATCAGGATGTTAGTGGAGGGCCGTTTGGTACGGGAGGTAGATTTAGGAGAAGTCCTAGCGCGGAGTTAACAAGAACCTTTGATTTGATGCACATTAGCTCAGGTCTGAGAAACATTGAGAAGGATTCTAATTGAGATTGGGATCGGTTCATCCTACCATGCTAGTGCGCGGAGGGTCGGAGGGTCGGAGGGTCGGGGATAAACAGTGACAGGCCTGAAACTGGGCACCGTGAAATGATATGGCGATCTAGAGAGACTCGAGGAAATGGCGGACGTCGCCATTCTCTAGACCAACGACCATTTGAACTCAGTCGATCTCTAAGATGATGATGAAGTGATGAGTGAGTTGATGGCAGAAGGAGAAGCATGTGCTTCAAGCGTGTCAGTATTCTGGTATGGCGTCAATTATCCAAAAGATCAACACAGCACAGTCAATTATGAAGTCATTATAGGACCTTCATTGCGGACGCGTCCTTTGCCGAGCTTCCCCTATAGAACTGATGTTGCATGGTGATTCACTGCAGCGGATGGTCCGTCATCTCCGAGAAGAACTTCACTGAGGCCAAGTCCCACTTGGGGCCAAAACACATTTCGCAGGATCCAACTCTTAAGCCCGGGCCGCTATTTCCGTGACCTTGAGGCTCCTTGGATGTGTGTGTCAAGGCTCTCCCCCTCTCTCGTTGGACAGCACGCGTCTAAGCCATTCATCTGAGCTACGTTATACTGGCCGCAATGACTAACACGGAGATATATACTGCCAAGATGACGACGAGATCCGTCGACTATATAACAAGCACCCCCCCCCCCCCCCCCGCCTTAACTAATAACCTCTCAAGCTCAGATTACTTTGTTCATTCTTCGAACCCGTGTCTCTTAACATGCAAACATGGTCCTCACAATCCACCATCTCCACGTCTCCCAATCCGAGCGCCTGCCCTGGCTCTGCGAAGAGCTCAACATCCCCTACGAGCTAAAGACCTACCACCGCGCGCCTCTCCTCGCACCCCCCGAATACAAAGCCCTCCATCCGGCCGGCACGGCCCCCATAATCACAGACGGCGACGTGACTCTCGCCGAAAGCTGCGCCTGCATCGAATACATCAGCCATCGCTACGCCGACGGCAAACTCTTCTTGCCCCCTTCGCATCCTCGGTATTCAGAGTTCCTGTACTGGTGGCATTGGGTCGACGGGACGTTTTCGCCGAGCGTGACGCGCTCGATGATGATGCGGGGGGCGGGTGTCAGTGAAGAGAACCAGTTTATGATCATTACGAAGACAAGATTGCGGAAGGCCCTGGGGGCGTTGGATGAGAGGTTAGCTGGGAATAAGTGGTTGGCGGGGGAGGAGTTCACGGTGGCGGATCTGATGGTTGTGTTCTTGTTGACAACCTTTCGATATTTCGAGCCTTATGGGCTGGGAGACTATTTGAATATTGTGGCCTTTCTGGGAAGAGTGGGTGAGAGAAAGGCGTATCGGGTGGCGATGGTTAAGTGTGATCCGGATATGGAGTTGCTGTTGGGGGCGGAGGGCCCGGAGAAGTCGTTTATGGAAAGGAATAATTGAGTTGATCAGGTCAAGTGATGGACCTATTGTCTGTTGTTTGCCAGTCATATTTGTGATACTTGTACTATAGATGACCAATGAACCTCTCCCTCTTGCACTTCAAAAGCCTATCAGGCCATATCTGACAATGTCCACTAAACCAATCCCATCTGCAACAACCGATTCTCAAATTCCAGGAAGTAAAAGTCCGCATACACTAGCCCCGTGTTCTTCGATCGATCCGACGTGAATTCATTGTTGTTGATAGTGGCATTCATGAAGATCGACTCCCAGCTTGGCGGCGCTGTCGATAGATCCACGGTCTCGGCTACAATGCGCAGCGCACGTTCTAGATACGGGGAGTCACCGCCAAGGATCTGGTGAAGCAGAAGCAGCCCGTTAGCGGCTACTAGGCCGGCTGAGGTATCGCGTGGAGGTAAGTTGCCATCAATGACGGGGGCGTCAAAATCCCATAGTGGAACGTAGGGATGGGTATGAGAGGATCCATCGAGGCGACCGAGGAAGTAATCTGCTAGACCTTTCGCAGTTTCGAGGAAGACAGGGTCCTTGGTCCATTGGTAGGTCTGCGTGTAGCCGAGGATACCCCAGGCCTGACCTCTATTTGTTATCAGGATTGTGAACATGAGTTAGGAATGGCAATGGGGTCATGTACCTGCTCCATGTAGACCAGTCTTTGTACCCTTGCACCGTCTCTTGAAATTTGATAGTGCTATTTCGCGGGTCGATATTAACCAGGTGGAATGTTGAATGATCCTCTCGGATAATGTCGCGTATCACGGTGTGAGCATGGCGAGTGGCAATGTCGATCAACGTTCGATTGGCTGTCTGATAGCCGGCATAGTACAGCAAATCAAGGTCTGAAGGGCTATTTAGCTGAGATGCAGTTGTTTTGTGTGGCCAAATACATACTGCACATGCTATCAACGATAACCAAGAAGTCGGTGGTCTTGTCAAGAATGTCGTGTCTCTTGTTCACTAGATTATCCCAGCTTCTAATTGCACGAACTCGAGAATCGTAGCGACTCGCCAGGCTGTGTGCCGCAGTAATAACAGACTCCAGGCTCTTGGTATTACCCGTCAGTTCCCAGTCCTTGCGCAAAGCAGGGACGATCAGAAACCCCATATCGTGAGTGTCGGTCCGCTTGGCCTGTTCGTGCAAAGGATCGGACCATTGGCGTGAAAGAGCTAGCAGGCGGTTATGGATATCGAGTTGACTCGAGTTTCTTACGCTCAGATGATTCGGGAAGCGAACATTCCTTTCGAGAAGGGTATACAAAGAGCCAGGGAAGAAGCCACTGGTCCATGCCGAGATGTCGCTAAAGAGATAGGCACCTGCATTTGAAGCCGTTCCTGGAACATTGTCGGGGAATTTACTCGGAAGCTAGAATAGTCAGCATGAGTTTAGCAACAAACTTCTCACTTGTACAGTACATACCTGGTCAACGTTATTGACTGCAACGGTCCAAACTTTCGATGTTGCAGTGGGCAAAAACAAGTCCGATGGGTTAACAGAGTTTTGCAAATTGTCCCGCCGCGACACAGTGGACGGGAAAGCGTCTGCCGATAGAAAGAGCGCAGTCAGGCATGTCAGATGAACCTTCATGTTTGCGGTAATCTGCAACCGTCCAACCAGTGACGAGCGGCACTTATATGTATAATGTCAATGGAAATGTCGTCACATAAGATCTAGGCAAGCCATCATGCCATTTTATTTCCACCTATTATGAGGCAGATAAGCTTGTGATCGACAAGAGATAATCTGCATTTTGCCGCCAAGTGTTTTTGGTCCATGAAATGTGCGGGGAATGCGGAGGATGCCGATGTGTGGAGAGGGTAACAACCGAGACAATGGGAAAGGGCCCGGAATCTGGTTGAGGAAAATGGGGTAAACGGAAGTGTTCGATTGCGTAACAAGTCGGAAATAATAAAATTGTCGGACTGCAAGATTTCAGACTTGGTCGACTAAGACGGCTCGATCGTACACTTGTCTGCCGCTCTTGTCTTGGAGCGCATCAATCCACATAACACTCTTCAGGATGCTTCGGACTTCGGTCCAAGAGGGTTGTCCTGATTCACGACACCGTTCCCGCAATAAAGGAAGGAGTACGTCATCATCCTCTTGAGTCACAGCGGCAACTAGTCCTGAGATCATGAGCCAGAGACCAATTCGCTTGGGGACTGTGTTAGTCCAGTCCACAGTCGCTAGATTTTGTTTAAACCGCGTTGAAAGAGAAGCAAATCGTCCTCTAAGCCCTCCTCCTTGGAGGAATACACTGGAAGAAAATACCAAAAGTCCCAGACGAAGAAGCTCGTTTATATCTTCCGGATCGAAATTCAAGGTGGCAAGCCGATATTGAGTTGAGATCAAAGTTTCTTGGTAAACCTCTCCAGCAATCTTACGGCCAGTCGCAAAGGCCAAATTTGTTGATATGGAGAAGCGTCGAAGGTCAGCGGCAACGCCCGCCAATCTTTTATCGATGTTGCAGCCGGCAAAGTGCGTAGATAGAAAGTCATTGATATCTGCAGGTCGAGCTAAATAAGGCTGCCATGACATCCCTTCAGAAAAGAAGAAGGGCTTATTTCCGGTAAGAAGCGCGGTGCAAAGGTCGGCACTGCGAGATTGGAAGTATCAGAAATGCTAAGCCGAAACATTCTGTCTGGGGAGATCCTTTCATACCGGCACACTTTTATCTGAAGTTGAGCATTCTTTTCCAGCTCTTTCATGCCGCCCCTCAGGGCAATGATCTTATTGAGCCCCTGCATGTGCTTCTTGACCACGCTCACATGGCCAACAAGTGCGCTAACCATGACTAACGTGACGACCACCGCAATGGTGGTGTCGTTCAAGGCAGAATCTGGATCATTTATCCTGCATTGTAGGAGTTGGAGAGTCTTGGCTTCATGGAACAAGGCTGTGGGGGAGAGGGAATAGCCCTGTATCCAATCGAAATACGACTGGGTCATCCATAGCAGCGAGTGATGGCACGCTGCATCAGATAAGAGATACTTATACCAGACTGACGATTTTGGATCAAACTCTAAGCAAAATTCAATAGGGTATACTGACTGCTTCAAGATCGTAAAGACTGCGTGACGTAAGTGTCGAGAACATCTCCTCATACAATGCAATCGATCGAAAGTGGTAGAAAGATAGGTCACCAAGTTCCGATGCACTAGATTATTCTGACTTACATTTGAAGATCAGTTCCAACATATACGGTTTAATTTGGTCAGCAAAGGTGAAGGTCTCCAGGTCCAGACAGACCGTACGGGGCTGGGGGATCCATAACCCCGTCTCTTCCGCCTTCGACATCCCTTCCGGCTTGGCTGAAAGTGGACCGTTGATCCAAGATCCGTAGACCACTTCAGCCCCGACACGCTTAGAGCTATTCTTGCCGCGCATTACATGGCTCCGGATGATCTTGCGCGTAGCTCTGTTGGGTCGGCCCAGAGACGTGGTGACAATGAAAGGCTGGGATATGGCGTCATGAGAGGTATGTCTACCGAGAGCCCGTTGATCCCTGGATTTAGGCACCATCATGGACCGACGAGATAACTCCGTAGGCGTCAAGGAAGGAGTGTCGGATTGTCATCTTCGAGCATTTCAGAAGGATGCATGCAATCCACGTGATGCCACTTGGTCAGCCCTCATGCAGCGAGCCAATCAACGACCCGCCGCTGCCAAGACTAGATTGTTCGCCCTTTCAGGTATAGCGCGTCCTGCCTAGCCATTATAGGAAAGGCGCCTACCCGTCCACACGAAGATCTGACCCACAACAACAGGAACAACATGGACAGTTCTTCTCCGTCTTCTACCAGGGACTGGCGTTAATCTTATGTCCGGCAATCATGGCCAAATCTTCTAGATATCCTTTATTTTTCACTCAGTCGTACTCATTCCTCCGTTCTAGAGCGTTATCTCCGATCAATGACAATTCGGCCGGTTCCACTGTCAAATACTTAAAGGATTCATAAGACTCTCGAAGATGGCAGTATCACTCAATTCTGAACAGAACAAAGCAAACGTTTCTCCGTTTCTATTTGATACCATCTCCTCTAATTACAATGCCAACTTTCAACCCTTTGACCGACATTCCGGACCTTAGCGGAAAAGTCTGCTTGGTGACAGGAGCCAACTCGGGGTTGGGAGAAGCAACGGTGGTCGCATTGGCCGCGCATCGCCCAGCAAAAGTCTACCTCGCCGCTCGCAGTCGCCGAAAGGCTGAAGATGCACTGGAGCGCATCAGGGCTACTTCAACCGCAGCTTCGGAAACCGACATCTCCATTCTAGATCTTGACTTAGCGTCGTTCGACTCCGTCAAAGCAGCTGCGGCCCGCGTCAACAAAGAAGTCGATCGTCTAGATATCCTTCAGCTTAACGGTGGGATCGCCATGCTTCCACACGACACCACCAAGGACGGATTTGAACTTCAATTTGGCACAAACTATCTGGGTCATGCCCTGCTCACGCAGCTGTTGATGCCAACCCTCTTAGCCACAGCTCGACTCCCCGGTGCTGACGTAAGGATTGTATCGATGTCCTCCGTAGGACACAAGACTTTCGCCAGCAAAGAGGGAATACACTTTGACCAGCTTCAAAGCCCTATGGAGTCTCATAACGGCCCCGGTCTATATGCCCAGGCCATGCTTGCTAAAGTCCTTTTCGGCCGTCAGCTAGCCCGCCGATACCCTCAAATCACATCGTCGTCTTTGCATCCTGGAACCGTCAATTCTAATGTCTGGGGTGGTGAGAAGAATACGAATTTCTATGTCAAGTTCCTCTTCGCGGTTATTGTTCCTCTAACTGGGGTTTCGAATGAGGAAGGAGCCAAGACGCAGCTGTGGTGCAGCTTCAGCCAGGATGTGGAGAACGGGGCGTATTACGAGCCCGTTGGAAAAGCGGGGCAAGACAGTCCGCTCTCTCGTGATCCTGAATTGGCCGAGAAATTATGGGATTGGACGGAGAAGACGTTAAAGGCGCATGGTGCACCAGGGTGGCCGTCATCCTAGGTTTTGGCTGGGATCTATTTGTGTGGTTGTTTTGGGACACATTGCACTGTTTTTACTGCTGGTCTATTTTACCTTCGGTCTGGTTTCCACCTATATATGAGTTCTGAATTTACTATACACTTAGTGAAACTTCATTCATAAATATGTGTCTGATTTAGTAGATCTTCTATATTCGCGCTGCAATCCCTCATTAGCTATGCCTGGGCACAATGTCTCCGTCTACCACAATCTGAACTATTGCAGCAAACCAAGCCTTCGATCTATTCTAACAAGTAACTGTCACAATGACTCCAACGGTCGCCTATTCGGCCATCCATCATGATCTGACGAAATGAGCGGCTTTCGCGCCACAACCACAAGTCGAGGAAGGGATAGAGCAGATCCCTGTACACTCTCCCCATAAGCCCTTTGCACTACCTCATAGAACCGTCGCGCTGGCTCCATCAGGCCCATCTGCGCCAACTTGCCTGCAAACTCCTCCATCGTATTCAAATGCAGATCATTGAAAGCGCGCACCAGCTCCGGAGGCTCGTCATAGTAGTCAGTTCGCGGATCTTCAAACCCGCAGTACGTTAACATGCGAGGCAGCTCCACGGACCAATTATGTCTACCGTTGGCACACAACGCTGTCCGAATCTCCTCTAACGCAGGAGCCACGAGGGACTCGTCGACCTTTTTCAATTTCATATGCACGCAATCTAACTCATCCCACTGCAAATACCCGCCCGGCTTCAACAACGCCAGGAGATTCCGAATTGCCGGCACAGGATCAACTCCAGATAAGACTAGCACGAGAAGTCGCACATGAACGAAATCATATTTCCCCAATAGATCAGGTGGCACGGGACTGAACAGATTCCAGGGTCGAAGGCGGATAGTATCGGGTAACCATGTTGGCTGCGGCGCTTGCGTCATATCGATATCCAGCCCGTCTATTTCCGCCGATGGTAGCTCTCGCGCGACGTGAATTGGCCAAATACCGGTTCCGGTCGCCACGTCGGCGATGACAGGGTTGAATTTCGGGATTTGCACCCTCGGGTGCATGTGGTATCCTAGGGTCTCGCGCCATAAGTAGTGTTGTAGGTTCAGGCGGGCGGCTGCGCGGTGGTTGTTTTGGAGTGTGTAACCGAGGCCGTCGGTGCATGAGAAAATGGTCGAGCTGGATGGGGTTGGTGGGTATTCGGGGAGTATTTCCTTCATGGTGATATTTTATTCTTTGGTAATCTGAAATGGGATTTGATGTAGTACCTTATATTGAAGGATTGTAATCGGCTTTTGTTAGGGGCTTCGGCTCCATTTTATAGTTGGTATCTTGATCCGGTTTATATGTAGATGGCTTGATTTGGAGATGATTGCTCTTGCATTGACGTTCGTCAGCTATGTCCTGATTTGTAGTCATCGCTTGTCTACACATGTACTACGAAGCTCCGAGGTAGAACATTTGTCTGTTATTGGCGTACTTTCAAGTTGCCACGAAGCTTTTAATCCCTCGTTCTAGTTTAATTCGCTGCATTCAGTCACTCAGACCCCGAATGATTTAAAGAAATGGTCAATTCAAGTGTTTCTTTGATTCCTTAGGTCAATTGCAGTCATGTATTGAGCCATTCTCAGACGGAGTCTCTAATTTAGGCGGCGCTCAAAATCCTCGCTGATGGAATTCGTTCCTCAATCATCTAATATCTCGAAGACTATTACAGCTGAGGGGCAGCTGCTTTTGGCTTCCCATGCAACCCCCTCGAGGAGACAGCCACAGTCAATGGAAGATCACGAGCTCTGAGCCGCCATGGAGGAGCTCTTCTCCGACTCAATCTGTCGTTTCTTGGCCTCAGTTGCGGCCCTCTGTCTGTCTCCTTCATTAATCAGTTCTATCAGATATGTGAAGAAACAGCTTATCGCAAGCATAATTCCAATAGCGATCATCTGTGCCCCAGTTTTAGAGTCAACGGCCTCCCAAGTAAGCAAAATAAAGGTATCGAGTGATGCTAGAATGATCCAGGTGCCTGTATTGAAAAGTCAGTTGTTCTGTGAATGCTTCAACTGTATCGAGCGGGAGACGTACTTCTTGATAACCATGAAATTCCTGGACGAAAGGGACGCGTGATGAAGACGCACCAAAATGCGAAAGATGCATATAGAAAGGCTGAGCAGAGACGTACACCTAGGTTAGATCCATGGATCCACGGTAGTGAATGGCACCGAAAATTACCTACCACTTTGCAGGTTTTGGTTGACGCCGACCATGCTACAGTCGCATTCAATATTTGACATTGTTTCTCTGGACAGGTCTAAAGCCTAGACAGTAAGGTCTGTAACAAGTTGCAGCTTTTAAGCTGATTTTCAAGTATGAAGTGCGTGATGGTGGGCAGCAGGTTTGTTAAATACTCCGTCAAATTTCTCCTGGAGCAATCGCGGAGGACGGCAAACGCCCCAAAATTGAGACATGCGGCACTAGGCAACAATCTAGTGAGCTTAGCTTAAGCGAGGCCAAAACGGCCCCCACAAGGCAAGAACTGCTGCCATGGCCATGGTACTGGGTGGCAGCAAACGGGGTCGTCTGCCACATTGACATACTAGTACACGGTATTCCGTAGTAACAAAGAATGAGACCGTCGCTTTATCTATCAGGCATTCAGGACGCCTCGACATAGACTAACCGAACTTAGTCTAGTGTTGTTTGAGAATAAGGCAGCTCTGTTTGCCATGTTTGTCTTGTTTGCCTGCCGCTTTGCCCGCAGCTGCCCGAATTGGAAACCATTGCCCATTCATCTTCAACTTCCACTCTGCACCTCGAAGTGGCTTCTTTCATTGCTTATATGATGATCTCAAAACAGAGAGCATCATCAATTCAATTTTCTCGATATTTATTTGCATCTAGTCTATGTGAATCAAAGAAACGACAGACTGCCCGCACCCAGCACCCCTCAATAAGCCAAATCGTCTGAATTATATATGTTGATGACGGCACGACAGATTTGACAACTCTTCATCGCTTCGACGACATCAGCCAGTCCGGCTGACAAGAATGTGAATCTCAGGATTAGGATGCGGTATGTCATTTGTGCTCATCGTTATAGCTGGTCTACACCGTGTACAGCGCCATTGATGAACGATGTATTGGTCTAGAGTTCCCTCCAACGCGTCCACGATCTCCCGCCCGATCACCGGGAGAATCTTAAACCCGCAAGTGGATCCCCCTGCGGCCAGAAAGGATCCCTGACGATCCGAATGGGGCGTCAAAAGAAAATGCCATTGGCCGTCGGCGTCCCGGGCTCCCAGCACTGTCGAGCGAAGCACGGTCGCTCTGCTGGTTTAGGAGAACATGGCAGATTCCACGAGTCGCGTGGTTTGTTCGAGGAAAGCACAAGGGAAGATTCACCACCAGAGTGAGTTCAACTGTAATTAATTACCTAGGTGACTAACATCAGACGCAGGACCTCAAGAAATCCTCAACGGCTCGCATTCCCTATACCCCACGGTCCTTCAGTACGGTCCTCAACGTGTTCGCAAAATTCGCTACGTATTCCGGGTTCAACATGGTATAGTGGGCCCCTTGAACATCATGAAAGCGAACATCCTCTCGCACAAAATCCTTCCACGCCGCCAGCCGACTCTCGACCCAGTCCTTCCGATCTTTTGCCACATGGCTTAAGGGGTCGGCAACAAAGACGTCCATGGAATGCACACTGCCTTCAGGCTCGTAGTCAATAGCCATGCCCTGCATGTTTGAAGCTAGGCCGACCCACAGGAGGTAGTATTCCTCCGGCAGGCCCAGCTCATCCCAGCGGGCTGCATCACAGTGCTGACGGAGATAGCGGATTGCGTCCAATCGACGATTTTCCCGCTCGAAGGCGCATAGAGCAGGTTTATGTGTATATGCCGTAGCCTCGTCCATCAGGCCGACGAAGTAGAAGAGATGGATAACGCACTCGTCCCACAACAGTTCGCGCATACGGAATTTAATATGCGGTGGCAAGTTCCAGCTACCACAATAGCGCACCTCATCCCCATCCCGCTCCAGCAATTTAGTGACTTCGAAAGCTACCATGCCGCCGAATGAGTAGCCAGCAATCGCGTATGGCCCTTGCGGTTGACGCTTCTTGATGGCCAAGCGATACGTCTCAAAGAGTTCATTCAGTGACTTGAACGGTGTCTCACCTTCTGCCGCGTTGAAGCCCTTCGCTCGGAAAGCGTACACGGGGCGGTCGGTGAGGTGGTGGGCTAGCGTGACGAACACAAGCACTTCACCAACGCCAGGATGGACCAGCCAGAGCGGCGTCTTATGGCCGAACGGTTGAAGCGTGACGACTGGATCATATTCGTGAGGTGTCTGCCCGGTAGTAACGGCAATGCGGCTCGCAAGACCCTTAACGGTGGGGTGGTTGAGCACGTCTGTAAGACGCAATGCTGGGCAAAGGCCGAGCTTTCGGTTTATGCGCTGCATGATGGCCACCAGGTCCATAGAAGTTGCCCCCGTGCCAAGTACTGAGTCGTGCACCCCGAAGTCATCCTCTGCAGATACCTCGAGCTGGTCTCGAACAATGTCAAGAACAACGGCTTCCTCCGTCGTCTCAATCTCACCGTGTGTTTGCTGGCGATAACGTTTGATCGCTGCATCGTTACGTGCTTGTTGTTCGATAAATTGATCACCCTCAAGAGCTGCTTGCAGCTTTGTGCGGGAAAGCTTGCCCAACGTACTCTTGGGCATATCTTGGAGACCCAATGGCACTACCCGAGGACGGGAATGAGTGTGTAGACTGGCCACCCGGATGATACTGCTATGGGTCTCAAATCTCGACCTGTCATTGTCTTCGTCAAAAGAGGGCAAGTATAATACTGTCACGACTTCGGTATCCATGGTAGCATCACGGGTACCAAAGCAACAGAAATAGCTCGGCGTCGCGCCTGGAATCTCAGCCTGCTCCAGTGCTGCGTCCAGCTCGTGAGGCAGGTATTTGACACCGTTGATATTTATCATCTCTTTCGTTCGGCCATCTAGATGCAAGTTTCCCTTGGAGTCAATATAGGCAAGATCGCCTGTTCGGAACCAGCCGTCCTGAGTGAAGGCCTCGGCTGTAGCCGTCTCATTGTTATGATAACCTTTGAAGATAGCTTCACCCGTCACTTCCAGACTGCCTCGCTCACCGGACGCAGCTTCCTCCCCGGACCCATCGAGACGGACAATCCGCATTCGAACCCCGGGCATTGGCTGGCCCAGAGACGCGAACTCATAATTCTCCCCACGATCACCGCTGGGACAGCTAAAGTTGAAGATGCACCCGGCACACGTCTCTGTCATGCCGAAGGAAGGTTTGAAAACATCTTCGGGAATTCCGTATGGTTTAAGAAGCTCTTGAAGCGCCACGCAAACCTGAATAACATTTGCCTCGCCCCCTGTGTCTAGATAGAGTGTCTCGAGATTCAGTTCTGCGTCTAAACCATCGGTTCTTCCAGCAGCAAGCTGCCGTCGCAGCTTGGAAAAGAGGAAGTTAGGTGCAAATGTACGCGACACGCGATGCCGGCTAAGGAGGTTCAGCCACTGCACCGGATCGACTAGAACATCGACAGCAGAAACCTGAATTTGCGAAATCCCAGATACGATGGCGAAGAGGTGACAATGAACGAAGTTCGCAACATGATCCATGTGCACCCAGGATAAAAATGGGCTTTGAGGATGCCGTAGCTTCGCCACTGCTGACTTCCCTCGGAAGGCCGCTAGCAGCTGGCGATGGGTAAGCGGCACTGCTTTAGCCTGCCCACTGCTGCCGGAGGTGAGCATCAAAGCGACGGCGTCAGACGGAGATGGGTGCAATGCGGGAACAGCGTCGGTGACCGGATTTCGAACCAAATCTTCTATGGTGAAGCACTCAATCCGCCTGTGTCCGCTTTGCTCTGTAAATGGAGCCTTCAGAGCTTCCCGTGTGAGACAGTTCGGCGCGCCAAGTGTGTTGTAAAGATGAATGAGGTGCTTTTTTCTGTCACCCGCATTTGGACTGAACATCCCAGGCCCAGTAATAACAGGAATGGCACCCGTCAAGAGGACAGACCAGTACCAGATGATACTGTCGAGGTTGGTCTCAAAGTGCAGTAGCACTATTGCTCCCGATGCGGAGATTCCGCACTGCCGTAGTCGACTGGCATTGCCCTCGGCTTGATGCAGCAAATCTTTGTAAGAAAATTGCTTCGCTGACGATGGGTCATTGATGCCGTTGAGCGGATAGGCGACAATACCCTCCGTGTTCCGTCTTGCTTCATAGCGCAAGGCATCGACAATATTATCACAGTGACCTTTGAGGAAGGTCTCTCCGTTCGAGGTGGATGGAAACATAGTGATGAAGAAGGGAGTGTCCAGAAGTTCTGAGTATGTTCATCTGTTAAATTGCCCCTATACATCCTTCCACCCAGGAGACTCTATCCCCCTTTTTTAACAGTCGCACAGTCCACGTCTTACGCCCTAGTATTGGAAAAAAGCCTTCGAAGTAGGCGAGCCTAGACCCGCTTGAGCTTAACTAGCATACGAGATGGGCTTGCAACATGCTGTCTGCAGTTTCTCTTCGGCCCACCCGCTTAGTACGCCATGTATCATTGATTGCACGCCGTGTAAGTTCGGCAATGCGATGAAATGAACCAGTCCTTCCAATGTGATAAATTAAAAGCTGAAAGTGTTGCTGTGCGACGAAGTGTTTTAGAACAATGCGCCAATGAGACAATGGGTCTAGGAGTCAGGGCATGCTGCGCTTCGTTGGCCTGCTCGCCTAAAACTACGTCGGAAACAACCAAAGAATCAAACGGAAGACTTTTCATCTATCCACGGGTCTTATGATAGAGGGGCTTTGTTGTCTGATTGGTTGCATGCATGACAATCGCTATACTTATAAACAAACAAACTAGCAAAGCCCGACAAGGTTCAAGGAAGAGTTTGACATTGTTCAAATGAAAACACGCATATACGGGTGTCATGCTCCGAAACAAACTGGCGTACGTATGCCATGTCTCGGTGCAACTGTGCTACAGCACTCCAACTTACCATCATCAAATGCCCCTTGTCTCGCCTTTTGTGACAAAGGTAGAGTTGAAATTGTTTAACTGGTGTCAGGAACGGGTGCTGTATACGAGTTAGCTTTTCCACAATGGGACGCAACTCAAGGATAAGGGTTCCCTCGAGCGGTTGGGGGCACAATGTCTCATAAGTCGAGGTTTTAGAAGGACGTGGCATACCACATGTTTGCTACGCCAAGGCCTAGCTCTGATGGGTCAGCTCATACAGACAGTTGTACTGCTTACCAGTCGGCCCTTGCAATATGCGATGATTCCAGGGATTGAAGGTGTGTATCCCTGGGGGACTAGAGCCACGACGTCCCGTAACACAAATTCTGTCTTCGCTTGGGTACGACGCAGCTTTGAGGTTAGGGCTGCTCATACAAACGTCTTGCCATCACTGGCATCCTCTGTGAAAGCCGTCGAAGGTATCGAAAGCGTCTTCACACCGATGCAAAGTTCTATATAAGCCGCGGTAAATAGCATCTATAATTTCAACATCTTCAGTCTGAAGGCCATTGACATAATCACACCTACGCCCATCATGCAAGCCAATACCATATCACCGGAAGATGACCATCATACAAAGGAGGGCCAGTCTATTGAATACTGGACGCAATACATTCGTTCTGTCATGGTTCCCTTGCTCCAGGCGGCCGGATCATACTCCCCAGCTGATCAGGAAAGTCATCTTCAATTCATGGACGAACTCGCTGCACCAAACTTAGGGCCCTTGCCGACGGAGCCGCATGCTCCTTATACACCACCAGCATCTGTCGTCGGATCACCATTCGATCCCAGCATTAATATGGCCGCATCGGGGAAAGCAAAGGTCCGCTTCGACTTTGACATTGTGGGACCAGCGCAGCGAGCCGGACCCGATCCTTTCGCGGAATATGCCGCACGGGAAACCGCACTTCAAATTGCGTCCAAAACAGGGAGCGACACACGATGGATGAAGAGCCTTATCGAAGCTCTGTTCCTCTCACCGGAGGAAACTCAGGTTGCTGTGGCCAACATGCCTGCCAATATCTCCGTTCCACCGCTCTCGATAGGATTTGACTTCGATGGCAGCCAGCGTACAATGAAATGTTACATCCCGGCCGTTCGAAAGTCTATGGCCACTGGTTTACCATCAAAGGATCTCTTTTTCGGGGCGCTGAGACGCCTGGAACCCATGGGTGCGCGGTTGGCGCCGGGTCTGGATCTTCTTGAAGAGTATGATAAATGTATACAGTTCCTTAGCAGCAAGCTCATATACTATCTCTAGCTACCTGACGACGACCCCAAATGATGTCCGGCTAATGTTATTGGGCTTCGATTGCCTGGACCCAATTATTCATCCGGAAACCCGAGTGAAATGCTATCTCCATACACGCAGCAATGCCTTTGACGTGTTGCGGGATGTGATGACGCTGGGTGGGCGTTTGGACGACCAGACAGCGCGTACGCGTCTTGAGACCCTTCGGACAATCTGGTCTATTCTACGAAACGAACCTGATGACACACAGATGGATGAAAGCTGGTCTAAGCCTGATCGTGTCGACTCGACTGGCTACTCTGGCTTGCTTATTACTGTTGAGATTTCTCCTGGTGAGGCCTTCCCCGACACGAAAGTCTACGTCCCGGTGTTTCAGTACGCAGAGACAACCAGAGAGGTTGAGCTCAATGTAGAGCGCATGCTGCAGAAGCTGGGAAACGAATGGGGCCTTACCGGTCGATACCGCGAGACAATGCAAAAGATCTTGTAAGTGACCAGAGCCTATCGTGATGGGCTACCTACTGGAAGCTAATGACGATGCAGTGGACCCGAGGACTACGGACAGACCTATGTCTCATTCACGTATAGCAAGTCCAAAGGAGTATGCACCACCTCGTATTTTGCGAAGCCCATCCACGAAGTAGATACAAAAATGGCAGGAGACTTCGGTATTCGCTTGCATTAGGACGCCAACGATGTCTCCTTCGCGCATTGAGATGCTGGAACATGACACAGCTTTAGAACCTGCTACTGGGTGGACTTTGCACAAGTTGAACGATCCATCCAATTGAAATTGAATACAATGTTGCTTTCTCTCAGCCACGAGGTCTCTCTTTCCGGTAATGCTTGGCAGGATAAGCGAGTCTACTCGGTCATGATTTTAATGTCACCTCCGCTACTGGTTATACCTTAGTGGTGTCTGATGTGCGCTGTGCAAGCAGTGAAACCAAAAGAGTTACCAAGTCTCTCAGTTCCACGATAAAGGCTTGTGCTACTCCGCTACGGAGTCGACTTTACATTGTGGCTCTTTTAAAGGCCAAGAGCACACGTGCAGGCTTCATGGTACCGTTCGATCCGCCTCTGCACATAAAGATAAGATTAACAATTTTAGAAAGTCGAAGCTAAAAGTAAAGTGGGAATTCTGGCTCCATTCAATGCGCCTCAACCTTCTGCCTCGTATCCGGTAAAAGCCAGGATACTAGGTGAGTTTCCTATGCACCTTTCTGATTCTCAAACCTTTGTTCGTACGACGAATAGTATTGGACTTTCCGAGTTCTTTGTGTGTTACCCGTTCAGCACTACCAGCTGCTTCTTTATTCCATTTCAATTCATTCCACAATGCCTCGGATAGAAATTATATAGGATACAAAGAACCCTCTGCATCTCGCTCTCATGATTCGAGGTTGATTCGAGGTATCGCAAATAAGATCCATCAGAATACTCGCAGATTGTTTCCATAAACTCCGCGAGTCGCCTTAAATGAGGCACTTTCACCTGATCTCTCGCTTCCCTCAATCGCTTGTTTCGCGAGGTGCATTTAACGTACCGGCATTTTCCCACGTTTCAACCTCCCAAGACAAAACATTCTGTCATTCTACCAGCTTCGCTATGAAAGTTGCACAAGTGACTAGTTGGGGTACAGCACCGCAATGTCAGACGGTCCCAGACCTCCCACCTCCTTCGCCTACGCAGGTGCAGCTCAGCGTGCTGGCCGTGGGCGTACCGCGCGTGGTACAGCTTCGCGCCACGGGAAAACACCCCAGCGTGTCTGCCTCCCCCTTACCATTCGACCCCAGCATCGATGGAGTTGGCCGCGACGATGCGACAGGTGACCTGTTCTTCATTCACCCACTCGCCGCTCCTCTGCTGGCCGAGCGCGCCAATGTCGAGCGCCATCAGCTCGTCAAGCTCTCACCCGGAGCGGACCCAGTCGGCGTAGCTGCCCTCGCCAATCCCATGTCCAGTAGCTGGATAGCGCTTCGTCGGCGTGCTATTGGTGGCTGCGTGGGTCGCACCGTGCTCATTCTCGGTGCCACCAGTGCTAGCGGGCGTGCTGCCGCTATCGTGGCCCGCTTCCTGGGAGCTTCTCGGATTGTTGGGCTTTCCCGACGCGAGGACACACTGGCCACCGTAGATGGCCTTGACGAGCGTGTGCCTTTACGCGAAAAGTTTGTCTTACCCCAAAGCGTCGGACCGGTTCACATCATCCTAGACTATGTCGGCGGGTCCGCTGCGGCAGGTGTGCTGCAGAGTGCCGAGGTGGCACCGGGAGGGAACCTGCAGTACATTCAGGTTGGGGGACTTGCAAGCGAGGATACCCACATGCTGCAGCTTATTCCGCCCTACTTGATCAACGTCAAGCCCGTTTGCATCATGGGATCTGGGCTGGGAAGTGTTCGCCTGCAGGACCTCATGGATGAGATGCCGGATATGGTGGGTGCCATGATGCAGATGCAACCCCCGTTCGAGATTGAAACGGCCTCGTTAAGCAGTCTGCAGTCGGTCTGGGACTCGGCAAACACCTCTAAAAGACTGGTTGTGGTGCCGACTGCCAACGAATGATTCATCCCTTTATCTCTTGATTGACGTTGATTGATAGTACGACTTCTTGGTTGTGATCCAGGCTCAACTTTCCAAGCCGTTGGAACATGGTTTACTTCGCGTAATTCGAGTCATGGAATCTCAAGACATGCTCTTGACAAAAACAATTTTATCTCTCCCTACCTGCTTGAACTCAATTGATCTAGGGCCTCGACTACCTACCACTGTTTCCCTTCTTTACCTCGTACAATGCAGTAGCGGTACAAAGCGATATTGTCTAAAATTCCACCATCAGTGGAATTCTCCCTGGACCCTATTAGTATTTCACGGCCGAGACGATCAGTGATATGTCGACTCAACTCCAACGGTTCAAACATAAATCTATCTCACACTAAGTCTCGTGAGAACATTTCGTGTCTGCCTGCTTGTTTGCCTGGAACCCATAAGATGGTCTGCTCTACCTGGCCAAGCATTTTACCGTCATGTCTCAGATGCCTAGTCCCGACCAAAACTTCGCAAAACGAAGAGGGTCTTACGCGACCACGGAGTTCTAATTCCGGCTGACACAGCATCATGCCGACTGTCTCGGACTTAACTGAAGATACGAACAGCAAATCTCGGTGGTTTCGGCGCTCCCTGCTTTTCTTCATACTCGCCGCAGGGGCACGAATGAACCATATCACAAACTGCGACATTAGTTGGCTGGGACGTGTTCTTGGTCAGACAATGATTCAAGCACCCAAACACGGTTCCATGTACTGTCGCCTAGTGTAGATGATGCATTGATCCCAAGGAGGTATCTTCGCTCAGATGTGGAGCAGGATCTCGAGTCCGAGCTGGATTGGGTTCAAACCGAGGGATGCTTCCAACCCCCAGGCTCCACCAAATAGCTAGGTGGGTTTCGAAAAATACTTGACCAGACTGGGAGGTAGTAGACACATACAGACTCGAAATATAGTCCAAGCTCTCGGATCCATACATTTTCCATCACACTAGGAGGCCCAATCTTGGTTATTACTACGGCTAACTGCATACTGGACACACAGTCATGGGTTCAATTGCCATCAACCACACGGTTGATCCGACGACATTATTCTCGAAAAGGGTGCAACAGTATGAGCCTGGAGCGAGTCTGTCTACCCTCTCTCCATTGAGTTTGGATTGAACGGCGATGCTGACATTGTGGTAGTCCGCAGTCTGCTGCCTCTCGAGGCCTTGCCAGGAATGATTTCTCTGGTTGCTGGTATTGTTGACCGCTTGTTTACTGATTAATTGAGTCAATCGACTGTTGACGACACGAAACAGGAAAACCTAATCCAGAGACGTTTCCATATGCTGAGATCTCGATATCGCTCAAGGACTCGTACGGGCACAGGATCGTGCTTGAAGAAGGCCGATTGAGCGAGGCGCTACAATATGGTCTTCCAGGCGGCAACCCTGAGTTAATCAAAGTTTTTTCTGCCCTGTGAGTATGTCTGGTAGCTAGGCTGACATGCTACTTAGTGGTTTGAAGAACTTCAGCGACGCGTCCACGGTATTGGAGACCGCCAAGGCTGGGCATGCTGTATCGGCAATGGCAGCCAGGAACTCATTCATCGTGCTTTCCAGGTATTCACAGATTTGGGAGATCCTGTCCTCATTGAAACGTATATCCGATCTTCCCTTCTGTTATGGTCCCAGAATCATGGCTGACTACTTCACAGGCCAGCATATCCGTGCGTCAGATCCACGCAGCCTTTGGCATTGCTTGTTCATTCTGCGCTAACAAGCTCCTAGAGGAGTAGCCGGCTTTTTACGAGCCGATGGACACCAGCTTATTGAGGTTCGATCGGACGCAGAGGGGTTGAATCCAGCTGACATCGAACGTGTCCTGTCTGCGTGGCCTGGGAAACGTCGTCCTCGTGTCCTATATACCATTCCGACTGGGTCCAATCCGACAGGCCAGTCCTGTACCGAGATTCGCAAGGCACAAATGTGAGTTCATGGGCCCACCAAACTCCGCAGTATACCGTTACTAAGCTTTCTCCCAATTTTCCAATAGTCTGCGGCTCGCGAGACAGTTCAATTTCATGATCTTCGAAGACGATGCATACAGCTTTCTTAACTTCGAAGAGCCCTTGAGCAGAGCCCGTAGCTATCTTTCCTTGGAAAATGAAATCAACGGCGAAACGGGCCGCGTGATGCGATTTGACTCGCTTAGCAAAATCGTCAGCGCCGGGATGCGTTTGGGGATCTTAACTGGGCCTTTGCCTGCTGTGCAAAAAGTCGTTCGACTTACGGAAAATATCAAGTACGCCTATCTTCAATACGCTTATAGTAGGAAATGAGCTAACAAAGCGCATAGCCTCCAGCCCTCCTCGACCACCCAAATGCTTGCCCTAACTCTCTTCAACCATTGGGGTCACGCAGGCTTTCTCGAGCATTGCAATCGCGCAGCAACCTTCTACCGACAGCGGCGCGATGTTTTCGCAGCTGCTGCCGAGAGACATCTCCACGGTCGTGCCACCTGGGAGATTCCTTCCGCTGGGATGTTTTTCTGGTTAAGATTGTTACTGCCCCCGGGGCAGGATAGCCTCGAGATTCTCAGTCGGCAGGGTAAAGAGAATGGGATTTTAGCAATTCCAGGGGTGGCCTTTCTGCCTAACCAGCGGAGCAGCTGCCAGTTGAGGGTGAGTTATAGTCTATTGCCCGAGGAGAAAATGTTTGAGGCTTGTCAGCGGATTGCCAAGTTGGTGGATAATGCATGGCGATTTGAGATCCTGATGTAACAACCTGTTTTGGCTGGTTTCCATTGGCTCCTGGTCGGGTTGGCATGATCCTTCTTCTTCTTTGCAAAAGATCCAAATGATTAGTCTAAATTGTTATTATTCACTTGTTTCTCGCGCAACTGTCAATGTAGAGTCGCTCAAATCAATGGGTCTATTTTACTGCTTGTTCGGCAGTCTGTGGGTATTGACTACCTTACCCACCCCTAGATCTGGGTTACAGATAGTGCACATTGGCCAGATTGGGAGTATCATTTTCACAGCTGCAGTTACTAAATTCCTGACAGAACAGACAAAACAAGCATATAGACTGGATGGAGATGTTGGAATTCTGCCATCAAAGCAATCACCTAACAACGGAACTACTGCATAAACACATCATCGCCGGTTCCTGAACGACAAACCCCTTTCTTATGTCCATTTCAGTCTACCTTTTCGTAATCTATCTGACCGCCTGTGTTTTAAGGCCTGTGCCCCGAGCCTAGATCTGGTCTGTCTCAGACAGCGGTTTCTGCCCGTAAACGACATACCTAAACCAGCGAGAATCAGCCTTGAACCTTTTTGATCACGTATCCAAGACGTCAAAACACTTACACTGGCCAATAAGCATGCACTTTAGGATCCTGCAACTCAGCACGTACATCCACCAACAAAGAATGGATGTCTTCCTGGCGCCACCCCAGCACCTTGGTAAGCAACATACTCGTAAACTCAGGCAGCCTTTCCAGGACGTTGTACAAATTCCACAATCCCTTCAGTTTCTCGCCCTCGTCTTGACTCCAGGGATTAGTTGGCCACTTGTACACGACAGTCCCCACATTCTTGAAACCAGCAGCCTGCATCCACCTGGCATACCGCGTTGGATTGTCCGCCGGTCGGTCTATTTTGGTAGACGCTTCCACGAGCAGTTGGCCCCATCGAGATAGGGCGCTGTCCGCGGCGAGAGTTCCATCGTCGCAGCGGAGTGGGTTGCAGAGTTCTTGCATCTCTAGCCAGCCACCGGGACGTAGGAACCTAGTGGAAAACGACCTAAATTCAGTGGAATGCCGGGGAATATTTGGGAGTGAATTGGTACACACCTCTGACTCTGTTCAAAAAGGTGCTGTTCATTTAGTGTCCGATGCTGCTGACGACAGTGAATGAAGTCAAACTGCTGTTCGTATGCCCAGGTTTTGTTGGCATCTTCTGATTCGAATACGATGTTCGGGTGACTGGAGCCTCGGATTCTGGGTTAGTAGTGAGACAGTGACCTAATAGTCAATGAAAAATGGGGTGATGTGTCTTTGCCTTCGCCCTTTGGATTGAGTCAAATTGCTGGCCACTATGGAAGTGGCCGGATTGCCTTGCGCTGAGTTGGGCAACAGTCAGCTTTACGACATAGGAAGGGGGAATATACCCGCACCAAAGTCCAGCACCCATGTTCCATCCCCTGTGGCGATATGTAAGACATGCTTTGGTCTCTCCGGGACTGGCGAGCAGAAGAGCTTGCCTCCCAGTGTCAGGTGGAATAGCAGATGCTGTAGATCTGTCGTTACCGGTCAGGCAGATCTGGGGTGGATTCGAGGGCGAGTACAGTACCAAGTCGATCTATCTTGTTCTGACAATCGCAATAGTCAGCGCTCTGGTCTTATTCCGAGATATCCTTAAGGGTAAGAAAAGCAGATCCTGCATATACCGTGTTGCCTGGTCATGATGAACGGTTTCTCAGTGGTCAACGTCACTTTGCCTCGTATTGCATGGGATATCGCACCTCCATTATCGGTTGCAAGGTGAACGCCCTCATTTTCCATGAGATACTTGATAACAGATGACCAGACATCGATTGTCAAAGATTCACTGTGTCCTGTCAGCAAATACATGTCTTTTGATGGGCGCTGCGGTAAATTCCTCTCCCCATTCTCACGGGTTCTGGAAGACATACGGCATGGTAAGACTGCTCGGCTGCATATCCATCTCTGTATTTGTATGTTCCCTAATTAACTGCGTGAAAAGCACTGTAATAAAGCAGGGATTGCTGGACGACCCTGAATGTCCGAGAATTGGCGATGATGGACGCTTACTATCCTTGGGAAGTTGGAGAGGATTGACCCCTTTTAACTGTCAGCGTCTGTCATTTGTTTGCGTCACACGCACTTGAATTTGTGTATTCTTGACCATAGCCCTTTTCATAGTACATTAATCACCATACTTTATTTTTCTTTCTTATTTATGTTGCGGTTCGATATCCAACTTCGATTTTGCAGGGTTGTTAGACCATCGCCACCAAAGATGCAGGCTCGTCAGGTTGCAAGGAGGCGTTGTCTCCAATTAGCATGTATTTCCAGGGCTAAACAGTAGTTAATTCTACATCTTAGCCTATCAAATGTGGTGCCGCTAACTATACTAAAACCAATGCCTACTATAGTGACATTGGCGTTCTGATGTTTCTTCATTTATCTGACAACTATTTTTTGGAGCACCATAGGCAAGGGACAGCCTCTACGGATGGGTTTTGTGATTCGCCTTAGATTATAAATTATGCATGGTCATCCGGACTCGGACCTCCATGCATGATGTGCCCAATTCTTTCGCTCCCTTCATTCCTCAGTGGCTTTGAAAAAGAGTCTAAATTGTTCAGCAGACCTCCATTATTCGAGGATGACGTCGAAACTCCAGTGAGTTATAACCTGCTAATGATTTTATGATACGTAATTTAGCCTGAAAACCTATCCTGATCTTGGTGATCGTCTCAGCTCACTCTGCCACGAGTAAAAACAAGGAACAACAGACCGCGATCTACGATCACCCTATGACTGACCTTATAAGAGATCATCATGGAAGTTCTTTATATGATACTTGCAATCACTCGGTTTTACCTGTTTTAGTGCCTTCGCTTCGCCTTCGAGTGTGATTTCACGATGATTTATCTATGCATAAACTTCGCATTCTTTCTACGGATTTTCGTCCTAAAGTGAGCAGATGCAGTGTTTCCCATGGTCTGGAGGACTAGAAAACCCATACTACTTACGTGACAACGGACATCAAGGCATATATCTGCGTGCTCTATAAAGCGACGGTATTCCTCTCGCAAAGTTGGTGTTTTCATTGCCATGCAAAAGCGGCGCCATTGACATATAGCCTCAAAGATGGATTCCTCCCCTCACATTCGTCCAGGTCACGATGTCTTTATCGACAACGGCTTTCTCCCCCCTGACCTACCGCTCGAAGCTCTACCAAACCCATATTTCGAACCTTGGGAGACCATCGCTACTAACATAGTATCTCTCGTTTCTACGCGGAAATTAAGGGGCGCTATACAAAGTATGCCCGTCTTGTCTACTGAGGAACTGACTTCTGAGGCTGAGTGGCGAAGAGCGTACGTCTTGTTGGTATTCATTATACAGGCATACGTATGGAGCGAATCAACACCAGAAGAGGTGAGCATATCTAAAAAGCACGTGTGTCATCTTTGCCTTGTTATAGTACTAAAAAGCAACATCTGTTAGATCATTCCCCCCTCGATTTCTATCCCGTTGCTAGAAATCGTCGCACACTTTGACCTGCCTCCAGCAGCGACATATACCGGGTTTTGTCTATGGAACTATAAGGTCCTTGACCCTGCGAGGTCAAGCGAAGATCCTGCAAACCTAGCCACGCTCTTGACCTTTACTGGAACAGAAGATGAGGAGTGGTTCTTCCTGACCTCTGTGGCTATCGAGGCACGCGGCGCAAGAATGATTTCACAGTTGTTACGGATACTCTGGGCAGCTGATCAGAACGATACAAAAGCGGCTACCATCCAGCTGCAAGCCTTCAGAGAAGACCTACGCGGCGTCACCACAGTGCTGTCCCGCGTTCGTGAGCGCTGCCAACCTCACGTCTTCTATCATCATCTTCGCCCATTCCTCAACGGAACCAAGAACATGAGTCAAGAGGGATTGCCCCGGGGGGTAATATTCGACGATGGAACAGGCTTTCAAGAATACCGACAATATAGTGGTGGCAGCAACGCCCAGAGCTCGCTTATCCAGCTGTTCGATATAGCTCTAGGGATCGAGCACGAGCCTTCCGCTGGTAGTTTCATGGAAGACATGCGTCAATACATGCCCGGAGACCATCGCCGCTTCCTTGAGGATATGACCACCGTTGGGAATATCCGGGACTATGTCGCGCAGAACGGTCAAGACGAGGAACTCGAGCAGATGTACGGTCTTGCTCTTGATGCACTTCGTGAACTCCGCGATGTCCATTTGCATATCGTTACGCAGTATATCGTTGCTCAATCTTCCACGCCACTCGGCGACATGGATACGTCGGCCGTTAACAGAAGGACTGATGTGGCATCTTCGACTATGAATCAGCCTGGTGGAAAGTCTCAAACAAATTCATCTGGCGTTTTGCGTGGAACTGGTGGAACTCCCCTGATACAGTTTTTGAAAAAGGTGCGGGATGGGGTTGTTGGTATTGGGAGACGATGATTCAACAGCTTGTCCTGGAATTAATCTTGAACAGAAAACTACCGTTCGCTGTAATCATTGGATTTGGAGAAGCGTCAAGCTCGCGGACGGATTCCTCAGGTTACGGTTCCATTTAGAAACTTGCCTCGAATTATATATTTTTTGAAAGGGAGTGGTGCTTTCTTGGTTTATATCAAGTCAGAACTGTCAACAACTCTATGACTTTTCAGAAACTTAGAGAGGCAGCAATCACTTCTATCTAGCGAAACAACATCTCAGTTAGGGTTGATACTGGTCAGGTGGAGGAAGTTCAGCCTGGGTGCCTGGATGGAATGGTGCCTGATCCCCCAGGCTACGAGGTGGGCCGATCTGCCGGATCAGGCAACCAGGCACCCGCCGGAAACGGAACAACCGTAGCCGGATGCGCCCCTTATCAACACGTGGATGCCGGAATCCCCTCACGATCAGTCCAGATCTGCCCGGCATCCTGTCCAGAAAAATGTCTCTCAGCAACAGCCTCAATTATCAGCCTCAGGTGCTCAAATTCGGCACCAGTGGTCGCCGCGGTGAAGTGATCCACCTCACGCAGCTGGAGATCTACATTAATGTACTCGCCGAGATCCGCTATCTGCAATCCCTCCCGCTGTCCGACGGTGGCGTCCAGAAAGGCGACGACTTTTACTATGCCCACGATCTTCGTCCCAGCTCTACACAATACGTCGAGAACCACCGGGGTGGCCTCTCGCAGGCCGTTGAACAGGCCTTGAAGGATGGAGGCATGCGCGCCATCAACCTGGGTGCAATCCCCACCCCCGCCCTCACTTACTACGCTCTGCAGCACGGCAAAGGCAGCATCATGGTCACCGGAAGTCACATCCCCTTCGATCGCAACGGATACAAACTGAACACCTCGAAAGGAGAGCTGTTGAAGAAGGATGAGCAACCGATTAACCAGGCCGTCGAGCGCATGCGTGAGGAGATCATGTCGCAGCCGTTTTCCGAATCCCTCTTCGACGCCGATGGCATGCTTCGCCATGCGCCCTCCGACCTGGTGCCTGCCATCCCCGACGGAAAGACCGCCTACATCAAGCGCTACCAAGACTTTTTCAAGGGACAATCGCTCAAGGGCAAGAAGATCATGGTTTACCAACACTCCGCTGTCGGTCGCGATCTCGTGGTCGAAATTTTGGAACAATTCGGTGCTCAAGTCACTCCGGCCGGCCGCAGTGACACCTTCGTGCCCATTGATACCGAAGCAATTGACCAGGCTCAGCTCAACACAATCCAGGGCTTCTACCAGGAGACTGGTGACAGCTTCGATGCCGTCGTGTCTACGGATGGCGACAGTGATCGTCCGCTCCTTGTGGCGCCCGAAGGAGAGCAGCTTCGTTTCTTCGGCGGTGACCTGTTGGGCATGATCGTGGCGGAATACCTGGGTGCTGATGCTGTGGTGGTCCCTATCAGCAGCAACGATGCCATCGATCGGGGTGCTCTCGCCTCAGCCACTGAGCCTCGCACCAAGATCGGCAGCCCATACGTGATTGCTGGTATGCAGACTGCCGTCGCTAAGGGGAACAGTCGGGTTTGCGGATGGGAAGCCAACGGTGGATTCCTCACTGGCTCTCATTTTCTACGTGACGGAAACCCACTGCCCGCGCTTCCCACGCGTGACGCCGTCTTGCCTCTGCTCTGCGTTCTCTTCGCTGCTCAAACCCGCCAGATCACCGTGCCTCAGCTCTTTGGCACGCTCCCAGCCCGCTACAGCAAGGCCGCTTTGATTCGGAACTTCCCGCGACCCACGAGTCTGAAGATCGTTCAGAAGTTTTCCCCACAAGACCCTAACATGCAAGAAGTTGCTTTCGACGCTGAGAAGGTCAGCGCGCAGGACGGCGGTCGAACTCCTGTTACCGTAACCGAATCACAGGCTCAGCACCTGGATCAGGTCCGCCAGGAGCTCCAGACCGTGTTCTCGGCCGAGGCCGGGTTTTCGTCCATTGCTCGTCTGAACTACACGGATGGTGTGCGCATTATCTTTACCAGCGGCGATGTGGCTCATGTCCGACCTTCAGGCAATGCCGATGAGCTCCGCATTTACGCCGTCGCTGACTCTCAGGCTCGCGCCGACGACATCACTATCCAGGGTGTTGCGGAGCCCAACGGCCTTCTTCGTCAGTTGGAACGCCTGGTCTAATTTCTCGGGCCCGCGCAAAATACCACGTGCTAGAAGGTATTTCTGCATCCCGCGCGCCGAGAATGACCGGGTGACAACAGCACCCCCTTTAGAATCCTTCAAGTTCCTTTCTTTCGACATTTAAAACACCTGTTCATCTTATTGCAGAGCAAATAATAATATTAGACTTTAATTACACTTTCAGGTTTTCTGAGTGAAATATCAACACTGCTTGCCAGTTATGCAGCCCTCTCTTCTCGATTTGGACTTGGCATTCTATATTAGATGATTCCCATCATGCCTGACCCTGTCGAAATTATCGGCCGTAAACAAAGGTTTTTGTGCACGTTAGTGTTGTCATACCCTCCACCCCATCGACTATTTACAGATTCTTTGTTCTTTCATTATCATCACGCAACCCCGCAAAACGTTCTTTCTTTCATAGGCCAGGTAATCCCTCATTGATTAGACTCGCTAAACCCCCTATCATTGTCAAATCCATGACCTTTGTCCTGACTTGGCATGCTCGAGGAGCAAAATGATCCTTGTCTGTCCTACCTCTAAGGAATGTCTTCACAACGAGGCCTTTGTTATATTTCATGAGGGCATTTCATGGGTCAAGGAAAGGAAGTGCAGCCAAGCTGATTGGCTATTAATGGAGAAGACCTTATTCACAAATCATCAGATAACAAAGCGATCACATTTCCTTTGAACTATTTACAACAGGCAACCCCGTGTCTCAACCATTACTGTGTCTATCGTCAGACGATATGCGTAACCCACCATTCTTCGAAAAATGGCCTTGGCGCAACCACAATCCCTGATATCATCCAGGAGTTGGCATCAGAGCGACAAAGAATGGATTTTACAGCGACATGTACAATTTAGCCAGATGTTTCGATTTATCAACAACAAAGATCTTTCGACACTTTGATACCACCGCATGACTTGATAAACCATACATAACATGTCGAGGCGTTATGCTCGGTCATATAGACTCCTAGTCTATTATCGGATGACCCAAACAGGAATAGGATAGCCATATTGATGTTCAGAGCCCTTCCACACCAGGAGGTCCATGGAGTCAGTTCTTTATAAATATTCCTACACGTTCTCATCTGGTTTGATACCCTCGCTCTTTCTCTCTCTCACCAATCCCTGCTTTCCTGAGCCGAGCTGAAGTTCAAGATAAACTGTTTCTGCTCCCCTTCACACTCGCCGGCCTTGAGCCGCCAGACATTCCTTTCTTTCCTTCTTTAAGCAAACCACCACATCCCGTCATCATGAAACTCTTCACTATCATCATAACCCTCTTTCTCGCCCTGCCCTCCCTCGCGAAATTCAAGTACCATAAGAATCCCAAATGGCTCGACCCCAAGTTCTGGGAAGGCGTTACCCTCACGACTCAAGGTATGCTCAATCATCCTTCACCTCCTTTCTCAACAACATTGCCAAGGAGGAGTACTAACCATGAGAAACAGTCACCATAGCACCGCCCGCTACCATGACAGCTGCGAACATCAAAGATCCTCGCTGCAAGAAAGACGCCGACTGTGAGCCAGGCACGTGTCTGAAAGGCATCTGCATTGATGGCGCCGGCCCCCCTAATCCCAAGCATACCGATTTTATGTTCAGTATCGACGACCTGGACAAGATCGGAATGGGCCATCCCTCGCGTCGTGACGGGCGTGCTGCAGGCAGGAAGTGTTCAACTAACAATGATTGTGCGAAGGATAAGAAGCGGCCTTGGTGTGGCACGCAGAGCCGGTGTGTGGCCAAACGGCCCGCGGGGACTGAATGTCATATGGATGGTAACTGTAAGAAGGGGGAGCGGTGTGTGAAGTCACGATGTGTGTCTAAGAAGCCGCATGTTGGTCGTGATGAGCAGGAGCATGACGCGGTGGAAAGGCTGGCGCCCAGGGAAGAGGATGAGATTGTCAAGGATCTGGGCGAGGAGTTTGGTGAGGAGGATGAGGTTTCTGAGCAGGAGCATGTCAAGGAGAAGAGAATGTCTCATGCCACCTCCTATGAGCTGCCGGGGGATGCTTATGATCAGAGCAAGGAGATGGGATGCGATGATTCCGATTCTTTCGAGCTGCTCGGGGATGCTTATGATGGGGGCAAGGTGAAAGGATGCACCAATTCCTTTCCCAACGACCTCGAGCATTAGAGCTTAGGAGGTCTCGTGAGGAGTGAGGCTCTTCTCATTCGGCCGTCACCTGCCTCGAAGAAAAGTTATGGATTGTCTTCATGTTTGTTTGATTGACAAGAATCGTGCGAGAAGGTTCACTCTTTTCCTTTCGCTCTTTGCCGTGATATATTTGTATTCATTCTGTCTCGGGGTCTACTTTGACAGTACTACCCTGCCCAGCCCAAATTCTATCATTCAAGTTTGGCTTGTCGAGAAAGCACGGCGGTCATTTAAAAATTATTGATTCCCCAATCTAGGATCTAGGAATATTCTTGTAGTCTGTTTCTCCATGTTCACACATGACCCTCTTTAGCACTTCTACTGAATGCTTGTGTAGTTTGTAGAACCCGCCATTTTGTCTTTCGCTGGGTTTCTGATCTCCTTTGTCGGCGACTAGAACCCGCTAAACCATGAAACGGCCCTTTTTGATAGCACGTTGAGAATCATGCTCTACGGCCCCAATATACCGAATGCAAAGCCGATCAGCGTAGCCGTTGTGGAGACATCTGCAAAAACGGGGATTGACTGGCAAACACCGAGATCCCTGGAGTCTGCAGCGGAATTAAGAACCGGAGTCCGTTCACCATGTCCGCCTAGAACTGTCTCTGCATGCATGGCGAATTGATAGTCATCATGGGTCAGACTACTAGGGAACGAACGGCCTTTGGTGCAGATCCCGGGTAGATGGTAGGCAAAACTTGCAATATACTCTTAGGAGAATGAAGGACCGGGAAGTCAAACTAGAACGATATCAAATCATTAACAGGGTTCTATCTATCTAACTCTCCAACCCCCTGCCCAGAATTTCATCAATCAAATCACCCACATAATGCCAACGATTGTCATTGTCCCGGGAGCCTGGAGCCCGCCACATTTCTACTCCCAGCTCCAAGAGCATTTTACATCCAAAAATGTCAATGCGAAAGTTATTCCTCATGTGGCAACGGGCGCCGAGCCCCTAACAAGACCCTGGACGACGACGTCTCCAACCTGCATACCGCACTGGCCGAGCTATCCGATGCCGGAGAAGACATCATCCTCGTGGCCCATTCCTATGGCGGACTTGTCAGTTCCAGCGCCGTCAAGGGACCCGAGAAACATGAACGCCAAAAGAACGGCCACGCAGGCGGAGTCGTGATGCTCGTGTATATGGCTGCGTTTGTGGTGGCGCAGGGACAGAGTTTGGTGTCTCCTTCCGGAGGGTTGATGATGCCATGGATATCATCCGAGGTATGCGAACTGAATTCTTTTCCCTCTCCACATCAATCAAGCTTTTCGCGCATAGCCGTCGCTAAAAATAATGATCCAATTGTAGGGAAGCCGCTCGTTTTGCGCCCTCCCTGCCTCGGAGGCATTCCATGAGTTGAGCCCAGCTGAGCAAATTCGTTGGTCGAGCGCGCTGACACATACTTGTCTCTCCGTGTTCTTCGGGAAAGCAACGCATGAACCATGGAACGGTCTCCCGACTGCTTATATCCTGTGCGAGGATGATACTATGCTCCCCTTGCCGGTCCAGGAGTATATGGCTTCGGCGATAGGGACATCTCGGACGCTCCGGTTGAAGGCGTCGCATCATCCATACTTGAGTTTTCCAGGAAAAGTGGTGGATTATGTGACCAAGTTGGCTAAGGAATTTGAATAGAATAGGGAATTGGTTCACATCTTTCAAGTTCTTAACGGGGTTTAGTGTATTGTTAAGGTTGTGGATCCTAGTTTTGGCAGTGGGCATGCCGAGGTTTATGCATTACACAGACTCGTATACTTGATTGACCTAAGACAGTATTTACAAATAAGTTTGCAGTTGGCTTCTGGCTTCTCGTATAGTGTTGGTAAAACACTTGATCACCCTCAACGCGACATAACTCCGACGACACCAGCGACGGGTTATATCGGGTTCCGGCCATACTCAACACAATGCAGCATTTCCTGTTAGACCATTCAGATGTCGACCGAGGCTGCTGATAATAAATCGATAATCATCCCGGACTATGACGTCATGTGTCGTGAAATCGTCCGAATGACTGCGCGAACCGTGCGATCTATAGTATAGGCAATCCAGGCAACTTTGCGTCTCATACAACGGCTATCTTCGGACAGAGCCAAGTAAATCCATTAATCCCATGAATATATATCGAGAGTCTGCCTGAATGACTCAGGATCAGCTGTCGCCTGCAGGCAGCGCAACGCAGAATATCGAAGGAAGCGAAAGCGGGTCCTGAATTGGACGCCTTACGCAGTCCGTGTCTACGAATAAGCACCAAGATCAGAGATTATAGGACTCACTGAAAGGATCCAACGGCCTCTTTAGCGCGTTTCTATGATTCACACTGCAGTATCTCTAATAATCCGTGTCATTTTTACCATGCGTGGGCCCACTAGAACACCCTGCTCAGCTGCGTAAGAGCCAGGTGGGTGCCGATGAACAATGTCTTCTTTTCTCTATTCCTGGGCCTTTTGTGTAACCAGACTGTGTATACGCTAGGCTCCTTACGCCCCGGCCCCGGTGGAGCTGATCATTATCTCCCACGATGTGTTCTATTTGCGGAGGTGATCCACTTCCCAACTGTTGTGTCATGCTGAATGCTCATTGTAGGCATGGCTTGTAATGGCCTGGCCTCGTTCCAGCATTGCCCGTTTCAGGATACAATGTGGGGCAAAGTCATCGTTGACATCTTTGGCCTGAAAAAAGTGTCATCCAAACAGATACCATGGTCGATTGGTAACACAGCCATAGTCACCAGGCAGTGTTGCGCCCATACCTGGGTTCGCGGGCAATGGATAGATTCAGGCAGAAAAGTCCGGGCAGGCGCCCCAGGCTGCCTACGCCGTTGAGTACTTTGTTTGATATCGAGAGCTTAAATACCTCTTCGAAGGCTGCTCTGGCTGTTGAGTAGTTCAACCAATTCATTCTAACCAAGTTTCCTTCATCTCATTCATGCGCAACCCACAGACACCTGTTAAATTGACTGTGAGCGACATCATGCTGTCTGAGAAGACATCAATTCTGGGCTCGCAGCCCTCCAAGGTTCGTTATCATCTCCCTAGATGTCAAGCAAGTCAATCGTCTCACAATGCGTTTCAGGGCCGCTCTCTAGCCTATCATCTATATAGTGTTTATCTGTTCACTCGAAACGACTTCAAAGTTATTCTCTACCCACAAACAGCAGTGGGCATTTTCCAGGCCCTGGCCGGAGGATTGTTAACGACGAATTCCACGCCGAGTCTGGGAATGATCCTGGCTCGATTACCTCTTGTGGCCTTCTGGAACTGGCTGAATCTATTGGTGTTCAACCTCGCGAACCAGCGGTTACCCAACTCTGTCATCGAAGACTCTGTCAACAAGCCATGGCGTCCCATTCCGGCTGGCCGGATCACGCCGGACGAAGCCCGTCGACTACTCTTGGTTCTCATTCCACTGGGCGTTATCCTCTCATACTTCATTGGCGGCTTGCGTGAAACCGCCGCCATGCTCGTACTTACCTGGATGTACAACGACCTGGCTGGCGCAGACGAAAACTACATTGCGCGCAACGTCCTCAACGCCGCAGGCTTTATCTGCCATGGATCCGGCTCCACCACCATCGCAGCCGGGTATGGCCAGTACGAACTAAACCCAGCGGCCTACGTATGGCTGGGAGTGATTGGACTCATCGTTCTCATGACCATACACGTTCAAGACATCCCAGACATCGAGGGTGACGCCGCTCGGGGTCGACTCACGCTACCAATCATCCACGGCCAACAAGCCGCTCGTATCTCTGTGGCCGTCGGCGTTCTGTTCTGGTCCATCGTCTGCCCCAAGTTCTGGGCTTTGGACGTTGTGGGTTACCTCATTTTGCTGGGCCCTGCCGGGCTAATTGCCTATCGGACCATGCAGCTGCGGTGGGTGTTGGCGGATGAAGTCACCTATCAGCTGTGGTGTGTTTGGTTGATTTTGATCTATTTGCTGCCTCTTTACAAGAACCCGGCGGTTCTGACGCAGGCCCTAGACTGGTTTTGGCGATATGCTGCTGCGGCAGTGTCGGGCTATCTGTTTTTTTGATTGAGGATTTGGTTTGTTCGATGTTGTGATGAACTGATGATTGACGTCGTTGACGGTCATGTATTTTTATCATTGTTTTTCTTTATTCTATTTTTCCTTTTCTGCCTCTTCGCGTCTTCTTGATTATTCTCTTGCTGCTTTCTTTCTTTCTTTCTTTCTTCTTTTTTTCTTTTTGCCTTTTGCTGTTCGCGTTCTGATTTTCCTGTCTGAATTATACCCTAGCATAGCGATAGACCAGCCCCTTGAGAACCGAATAATTCCACCAAATCAATCCCTCCACCCGATACACTAAACGTTCCTCCGTCATCTCGTGAGTCATGTAATCTGCTCTTCTGCACCGTGGCGTAGCTGATTGTAGCACCCCCAACGTAGGAAGAATTAGCTATCTGCCTGCCAAGCGACCAGGATGAATGATTGACGCCGAAGAGGGAAACGGGCACGCAGGATTCTTACCCTCGCCCTTGCCCGCACTCACTAGCCACTACCAAGTTCCAATGGCAGTGTCCAATCAGGGCACCTCCGAGGCCTCGTCTGACATCAGCCGATCCTACTGGGCAATCGGTTGGCCCGTGCCTGGCTGGAGGACCCGTGGATATGGGGGCCGTTCTCGTTTTCGGCTTGCTCCCGTTGGTTACCACTATGACGATCTCCACTTTGTGCAGATGAGGCTCTGCTGGTGTTTTGCCACCGTCAGAATCGCTGAGTCAATACTGGCTGTGCTCGTGATGACTGGTTATGTCGTTTAGGCGGTGTTTGGTTTGCCTGGGTGCCTTGAGCGCTGGTGCTGGTTGGTGGGTGTTGTTCTGGCCCAGCGGTTATAACGGTAATTTGTCTTAATATAGATACCCCGGTCTTAGTTTATGCATGCTGCGGCAGGTTGCGTATTCACGGGCGTCATTGAAAGTGTGATGAGGGGTTGGAGGGTCTGGTCAATATGCCTACATATATTCAGCCGGATGTTATCATGGTTCCTAGACGTCAAACCCAACACTGTCACGCAATCCAACCGATCATGTCCTACCAATCTCACGCTGCGTCGTTTTCAATTGCGTCACTGGCGCTAGCCGTGGGGTATGTGTACATTACTGCATGCACCAATCTCGTCTCCAAGACAGTCTGTTTCGCTATCGAACTGGTATGCCCAACATCCCCAATCTTTGTAGGAATCAAACTAACTCGAATCCCAGCTACTAGCAGTACCAATTTACCGGCTAACATTCCATCCCCTGGCAAACTACCCTGGACCGTGGTTTGCGGCCGTGACAGACTTGTACAGCGTCTACCACTGCCTCGCGGGCGACCGACACCTGGACTTCCTGCGTCTACATGAAAAATACGGCCCCGTCGTTCGATTTGGACCGAATCGCTTATCATTCTGTAGTGATCAGGCTGTCTCGGATATCTACGGAGTGCGCGCCAACACGCAGAAGTCTCAGGTCTACAGCGCCTTCAAGCACTTTTTCGCGGTCCCGGCCAGTTTGACCACCATCGACCGCAAGATTCACTCGTATAAACGACGAGTAACCAGTCGTGCGCTGAGCACCTCCGCCGTCAGAGGTCTCGAAGAACTGATTCTGCAAAACGTGCGACGCTTCTTCACCCTCCTCCCTTCCTCCTCAGACCAGCCGCAATCATGGTCCAACCAAACCGTCGACCTCAGTAAATCCATTCAATACCTCCTCTCCGACATCATGGGCGACGTCACCTTCTCCAAGAACTGGAACACGCAGTCCAGCCCGGCCAACCGTCCTCTCCTGGACCTTATGACGCTCGGCACCTGCGGTATCAATCTCGCCGGCCACGTGCCAGCCCTGCTGAAGCTGAATCTCGACAAGATCTGCTTCCCCTCGCTCACGCGCGGCGTCGCTGACTTCTTCCGCCTCTCTGAAGCGCAGTCCTCATGGCGCATCTCTGTCGACCCGGCCTCCCTACCCCATCGCGACCTCTTCGCTGCCCTCATCGACGCCCGCGACCCCGACACTGGCCGCGGCTACTCCCAGCCCGACCTCGTCGCCGAAGCGGGCATTCTCATCGTCGCCGGCTCCGACACCACAGCGACAGCCACAACATCGACGCTCTTCTACCTCCTCCATCACCCAGAAGCATACGCCCGCGCCCGCGACGAAATCGACCGTGCCTTCCCCTCCGAAACGGACGAAACAACCGCAGATGTCGAAACCATCCGAATGGGCCCTTCCCTTGACAGCTGCGCCTTCCTTTACGCATGCGTCCACGAATCCATGCGTCTTTCTCCCCCCGTCGGAGCCGTCTTACCTCGAGAAGTGCTTCCGGGGGGCCTGATCGTGCGCACCACTGACACGGAACACGTCGTCCCGGCTGGCACGGACGTCGCGGTTCCTATCTACGCTCTCCATCGCCAGGAAGCGTACTGGTCTGATCCGCACGCCTTTCGGCCTGAGAGATGGCTTGATATGCAACAGGCGACGGGTAAGGGAACCTCCTCCCCTCCTTCCGGGGGTGGTGCACATGCGAACGCATACATGCCTTTCGGTGCTGGTCGGACTAGCTGCGTGGGTCAGGGCTTGGCGTATCAAGAATTGGGTCTGATATTGGCGCGATTGCTGCGCGCGTATGACATTCGTTTGGCGCCGGGGGTGCATGCGGGTGAAGGAGGGCGTTGGTGGGAGGGGGGTCTGCGATGGGGGAGGCATAGGGAGAACGATTTTCAGACGAAAGATGTGTTTACGAGTACGCATGATGGACCGGTGGTGCAGTTGAGAAGGAGGGTTTTGGGAGGGCAGGGGGGGTTGACCGAGTAGTTGGCGTTCTTGTTGTATATCGATGGGCTTTATGTGGGAGTTTGTACAATTTATAGTAAATGATGGTATATATTTGGACCTTTGGGATTATGAAAGAAATCAAATCAATGCTCTTGATAACCTTCTATACCTATGAATCCAAGTGGTTGTCACTATGTCAACCACAGGCACATGATAAAGCTAGCCCTAACTGGTCGCTGTTTTGATCAAGTCAAAATCGACACCCCTTACTAGTAGTTATGCATAACCCTTATGCCTTTCCTGTTTTTGCATAACATCTCAACTAGGTCTAGTCGATTGAGCATACAGGATGACGGGATCCTCGATGATCCAGGCTGCCAAAGTGTCGGCAAGGCTGCGACACCACAGACCACTACTAATTCAGTCTCTTCCCCAGGCTAAGGCTCCCAGGCTAACCAGTGCCCCTTGGCAATCCCAAATGACAACAATGAACAACACAACATGTATAACACCGCAGTATTATAGACTCGTGAGTCATGACGTACGGAGTACGGGATGAAACTTTTCCGTGTCCTCCGAGACGTTAAGGATTGTTTGCTGCGTCTGGGGTTGTTGATCCCTACAGTACTTTTGACGATCTGGACCGGCCTATGATTGAACTGCTGGGCGCTTCACCCTGGCGATATTTACGCACTGACTGTGGTCGGGGGAAATACCCGCCTATGAATTCCTTATCGCCAGCGCCCGGGCTACATCTAGCCCGAGGCGTACTCAAGCCCCACCATTTAAGGGTGCATAAAACAACCAAAGAACCATTGAGCTGATATACACATACAGCATTGTATCCCGCGATGACCACGTGAGGAGGCTCAAAATGACTCCACCTGCAGCTGGTGGTTTGCGTTTCTCTTCAATCCTCCCATTCCAGACCGTCGATTGGTATGTCGGCTACATCGAAATAAGAAAGGTCGCAGGATGGTGGGACCCTGAGTGTCAGCCAGCCACGTCCGCTTAATCTATGTCCTGTCTGGGTCTGGCCTTCTGTGACGGATGCCTAAGTGTTCAGGAATCAATTTTGTTTCCTTCGGATACTTGACATTTTTTTTCGTCTTCTTCTTTGGAAAAGGAGGCGCCTGGTGAGTCATACTATAAATGCGACCAGACGAATGAAACACAACGTCTTGACTGTCCACGCCTTCATGATTAGATTTGGCGACACTTCCACGCGCTAAAATACAATAGCTAGGAGTCTTCATAGTTCGGAACTAAACCGATACCTAGTGCTTATTCCACCAGCCCCGAATCCAGTCTTCTGCGCTGATCATATTGCACAACGCAATTGACGTTTAACACGACCCTAGTCATTAGTTGAAGGCTTGGTGCTATAATACCGCTACCGGACACGATGACATGCCCGCTGGTGCTCAGCGGTGGGGGCTGCCGATTGCCGAGTAGGGGGTGCGGTCGCCCGTATTCAAACGGCCCAAGGCGCAGCAGGGCGAATGGGGGTGTGGACTGTGGACGCCTCGGCAACCAGCGCGGTGGGAATGTCCGACATGACGTTTTACAGTTTGGGTGCTTTTTTTAGGAAATTTAAAAGTGGATATATATGACAGCAAAACTTAGTTCAGTTGTGGAGAATAGATTATACAACAAAGTTACCTGTCAGACGTTTTCTAATCGACATATCATACACAATATTTATCTCGCATTCCGCTTGCGTATATCACATCTTTTGGTTCTTTTTAGATATTCCTGAATTAAATTCTCTTCCTCTCACCCCTATTTCACTTCATATTCCCCCCCTCGATTGCAACGTCTGTACGACGGTTGAGTCTAGTTTCACGCAAAAGCGACGGCGGCCAACGCCATGTTAGCTGATCTAGAGATCTCCTCCATCTGGTACGTAGCTCTGTTGCTACTACCAGCGTGGATCATCTATGGCGCCATTTGGCGTCTATACTGGAGTCCGCTGGCCGGATTCCCAGGACCCAAGTGCGTGGCTTTGACCTTCTGGGTGGAGTTTTACTACGACGTGGTCAAAAACGGCATGTTCATGTGGGAAATCGAAAAGATGCATGTCAAATATGGTTTGTCCTGTCTACCATGAACCTTGAAGATTGAATCGTGCTAATAGCCTTCGACAGGACCCATTGTGCGCATCAGCCCTGACGAGCTCCATTGCAATGACCCTGACTTCTTCGACACCATATACGCCTCACTACCAGAGCAGCGCGACAAGTACGAGAAATTCACCCGCTCCCCGGACTGCAACAATGCCACTGGATTCACAGTCCAGCATGCCCATCACCGGCTCCGGCGGAATGCTCTCGCCCCATTCTTCAGCCAGCGCAACACGGTTCTCCTGGAAGACCGTATCAAGAGCTGTATTGACCGGCTATGCTCGAATCTACGACACTACCGCGATACGCAGCAACCGTTCAATTTGACCGTGGGATCGCTGGCCGCTACCATGGACATTTTCACTAGCTACAGCTTCGGCGAGTCATTGGGGATGCTGGATGACGAGAAGAAGGCGTTCAAATGGCGTGAAACTATCGTCCACATTATGAAGGCTTTGCCTATTGTGCGGGCCTTTCCGTTCATGGCGCGTTTGGCCCCTGTGCTTCCAGCATCTGTGGCAAGGTTCGTCATGCCTGACTTGTCGGTGTTGATGGAGTGGAAGCAGGTAATTCCCTACCCTTTCTTGTACAGCCTAGTACCCAGCCAGGAATTAACACCCTCCAGAACATCCGCAACCAAGTAGCAGACGTCCTCGCCTACCGAGGCCCCTACGCAAAAGCAAACCGCGACACGAAACCGAAAACTATCCTCGAAGAACTCCGTGACACGAACAAGCTTCCTCCAGAGGAAAAGACCCTCCAACGGCTCTCCGAAGAGGGCTCGATCCTGTTGATTGCGGGCAGCGAAACTCCCGCGAAAGTCAACGCCATACTTTTCTACCACCTTCTCGCCAACCCAGAGAAGCTGGATCGTCTCCGCGCCGAGCTCGCAACTATCTACCCCAATCCATCTGCCCCTCTTCCTTCTATCACGTCCCTCCAGGCCCTGCCCTACTTAACAGCTTGTATTATGGAAGCTTTACGCCTGCAAAGTGGCGTCTCAGGCCGCTCGCCTCGTCTGGCTCCAACGCCTCTGCAATACAAACAACATTCCATTCCCGCTGGGACACCGATCAGCTCGATATCTGTGTTCCAGCACTATAACGAAGACATCTTCCCTGAGGCGAAGACTTTCATCCCAGAGCGATGGCTCACGCAAGACGAGACGGTACGAAACGACCTCAAACAATACCTCGTGGTATTTGGCCATGGAACTCGAAATTGTCTAGGTCAGCCACTGGCAGACGCAGAGCTGTATCTTCTAGCGGCCGCGTTGGCGACGAGAGTTGAGCTTCAGCTGTATGAGACGGATATCGAGGATGTTGAGATTCAGAGGGATTGGACGGTCCCGCAGGCGCGATTGGGGTCGCAGGGTGTGAGGGTTTTGGTTAAGGAGGTTTATTCCTGAGGCAATTGGATAAGGTTGGTGTTTTCTATGACATTGTTTGTTTCTGTTGGGATGGAAAGCGGGAGTTGTTTGTTTGGGTGATTTTATGTTAGTTTTTGTGCGAGTGACAATACCAGCGATTAGAGTATGATTCATTCGGTGCAGGAAGAGATGTTCTTTAGGAGATATCCAGACAATAGGCTATGAGGCAATTCCACAACAATCCTTGTTCATCATGAAGTCCTAAACATCCTGGAGAAGTCCGACATGTATCTGTATCTGTTGGAAGCATCCGATAGTTCGGCGCGTCTGCACATCACGAGACTGCGCTATGTTCAGAATCGGTGTAGCTATATAACCTACCTTTCTCAAAATCCGATATATGCACGTGCGTCTATGACTTCTTCCCCTCGAAAGTCGCATCCCGCTCAGTCACAATTAATATCTGATCTAAAACTTACCTACAACGGTATTCTTTGCTCTAAAAAAAATCAAACGAGAGATACTCGAAAGACTCTATAACTCCCCAGGCATGAGCAATCCTCCCTTCTATAAGCTTCCTGTCGAGCTCATAGACCTCATAACAGAGTACCTCGCCTCCAAGGACTGCAAATCCCTCCGCCAGACATGCTGGAGACTCAACACCCTCGTCACCCCCCATGCCTTCCGAAACATCACCCTGGGCGTACCAAACTTCGACCATCGAGAGAAGCAAAACATGGAAGGAACCCCGGAGCTAATATACAAATACGGCCATCTTGTGAGATCCCTTACTGTAGACGTATACGGCTTCATGATCTCCGATCACTGGCGCTGGAAGTATGAAGAACACCCGTTCATCAAACGTCTGCGTTCTCGAGGGGAGGACTACGACCATGAGCTGATGGTCGATGATTGTTGTCTCTTTCGGCATGCGAGTCTGCTCACTCCTTTGGGATTGCGGATTCTTCCGAATCTTCGTTCTTGTGAGTTTCTCTACCCCTATTCCCCCCTCTCCCTCTCCCCTACCAGCCCTCATGCTAACCACTTTTCATTCTAGTGAATCTAAGCCTCGTGTCTTTAAACACTCAACGAGACGGCCATCCGTTCCTGATAATCCCCACCGTGGAACACATCACCCTGAACGCCTTACGGCTCGAAATATCCAATTTCGCCCATCTGCCACGCTTCCAGCGAACGACGAACCTCAAATCCTTCACGATCAACTGCCCATTCATCAAGCTTGATACTTTGAAATCAATGCTCTCTTTCCCAAAGGCTCTCACGCATTTAGAACTTCAATGCTGCTCGCAACTGCACCAATCGGACCGCGCTTGGAGCGCGACCCAGCTACGCAGTGCTCTGGAGGTCCAGCGGGGGTCGCTGGAGGTTCTGGTTTTGCGAGAGACGAGGGTCGTGTTGGAGATGCGGTTCAAGGGGAATAGGTTTATGACTCATCGGGTGGAACCTAGGCAGCCGGGTTATGTGTTCGATTTGTCGGGGTTTCCTAGGTTGAGAGAGTATAGCGGTTTCTATCCAGAGACTTCGGGGAAGTTTAAGCAGGGTGGGGAGGGGACGAGGTCGTGAGGGTGTAGACTGGCTGAATTTGTGGATTAGATGTCGGATATTTGACTCTTGACTCGACTCGCTGTCTAATGGATCTCTCGTTGACTATGTGTCCTTCTGTTTCATCTCCTTTGGTTCATTCATCTTGTGATAAACAGCTGTCTGAGGATATAAGCACTTGTGGTTTGGCTTTCTGTTATGATACCAAAGCAAGCAGTTCTCGAGCCGAAATGCTAAAAACCCGATAAGATAGATCTCAGTCAATCCAATGAAGTATCATCACAGTGGAATGCAATATACCAAACAATATATTCAATAAAGAAATAAGTACACGCTTTTGGTTCATCTAACGACTTCGCCTATCAAACATGAGATATGAAGAAACATGCAAAGCCAAAATCCAGAAATATGATCCAGCTATTTCATTATAACACGGCAGAATAGTAAGGATAAGGTAATACAAACTCACTCATCCTCGCCCAGAATTAAGTTAGTACAGTTATTTTAGGGTCATTTAGTCGGACTTGTCCTTCTGCAAGGAATCGGTGATACAGCCGTGGCTGGCGTCTTGGACGAGTCTATAGATCAGGTAGTTAGCACACGTCCACGGGAAGGAAAGCAGAGAAGAGGGGGGCATACTGAGCGTATTTGCCCAAAGTGCCACGCAGAGTCAGGCCAGTAGGAGGAAGCTTGCCGGCATCGCGGTCAGCCTCCCACTGCTTGCGTCGCTCGGCCAGAGTCGTCTGGTCGACGTCCAGGTCGAGAGCGCGGCGCTCAGCGTCGATGGTGATGACGTCGCCGTCCTTAACAAGACCGATGGGTCCGCCGACGGCGGCCTCAGGCACGATGTGACCGATCAGGAAACCGTGAGAACCGCCAGAGAATCGACCGTCGGTGATCAGGGCGCACGAGTTACCGAGACCGGCACCCATGAGGGCGGAAGAGGGTTTCAGCATTTCTATTGAAAGCTATTAGTATGATAGGGGGTGATGGGAAGGGCAAGCAAGACATACCGGGCATACCCGGACCTCCCTTGGGTCCAGTGTAGCGGATGACCACCACGGTCTTATCCTCCTGCTTGATCTCGTTGCGCTCAAGCGCAGCGATGAAGTCGTCCTCGTCGTCGAACACACGAGCCTTACCGGTGAACGACATACCCTCCTTACCGGTGATCTTACCGACGGAGCCGCCGGGCGCCAGCGATCCACGGAGAATCTGGATGTGACCGGTCTCCTTGATGGGGTCGGAGAAGGGACGGATGATCTTCTGATCCTCGGGGAAGTCGGGCACGTTCTCCAGGTTCTTGGCCATGGTCTGGCCGGTGACGGTCATACCCTTGCCGCTGATGACACCCTCCTTGATCAGGAACTTCAGCAGCGACGGGGTGCCGCCGATCTTGTGCAGGTCGTGCATGACGTACTTGCCGGAGGGCTTCAGGTCGGCCAGGAAGGGAGTCCGGTCGGAGACGGCCTGGAAGTCCTCGATGTCGAGCTTCACGCCGACCGAGTCGGCGATAGCGATCAGGTGCAGCACGGCGTTGGTAGAACCACCGGTAATGTTCACCAGGATCATGGCGTCCTCGAAGGCCTGGCGCGTCATAATGTCGCGCGGGCGGATGTCCTCCTTGAGCAGGTTCTTGATGGCCTCACCGGCGGCCTGGCACTCGATGTACTTGGCGGTGGAATCGGCCGGGAACGACGAGGAGCCGGGTAGGGTCATGCCCATGGTTTCGATGGCGGTAGCCATGGTGTTGGCCGTGTACATACCACCGCAGGCACCCTTACCGGGGCAGGCGTGGCGGATGATGTCGAAGCGCTGGGGCTCGGTGATGTTGCCGGTAATGAACTGTCCGTAGGCCTGGAAGGCGGAGACGATGTCGATGTCGGCGTTGTCCTGGGTGGCGGCGCAACCGGGCTTGATGGAACCACCGTAGATCATCAGACTGGGGCGGTTGACACGGCCCATGGCCATCAAGACACCCGGCATGTTCTTGTCACAGCCGGGAATGCTGATGTTGGCGTCGTACCACTGGCCGCCCATGACAGTCTCAATGGAATCGGCGATCAGGTCACGACTCTGCAGTGAGTACCGCATACCCTTGGTGCCCATACTGATACCGTCACTGACTCCCACCGTGTTGAACTGGTAGCCGATCAAGCCGGCCTTCTGCACACCCTCGCGCACCTTGTGGTTGAGATCCAAAAGGTGCATGTTGCACGGGTTACCGTTGTACCAGACCGACGAGATACCGACCTGGGCCTTGTTCATGTCGGCTTCCGTCAGACCCGTGGCGTAGAGCATGGCCTGCGAGGCACCCTGGGAGATGGGCTGCGTGATGTTGCGGGAGACCTTGTTGAGGACGGGTTCCTCATCGGAGGCGGCGATCTTCTGTCTAGGGAGGGTGGTGGAGATAGGGCGACTGCCATTGAGATACCAAATCAGCTTCACATTCAACCAATTGATGAATGATCGAGGGGCAATGGCAATTTCTTACGCAGTCATCGACCGCTGGGCCAGGCTCCGCAGAGCAGAGGGCATACGGCCCCGGGTTTGCGAAAGAAGCATTTTCACAGGTGTGCAATCGACCGACGGCAAGCACCAGACTCAAATGACGGAGGAGAGGAGAGTTGACAATGGCACGAAGTCTGGCCGTGGACGACAATAATAAAAGGCCGCGAGCAGAAAAGTGGAGCGGGCAGAGCTTCCCTCCGCAGCGAAGTCGGGGCCGGAGTCGGCCTGAGGCTCCCCGGCACCAATCCTCGCTTGGCCATTGTCAGCGCCAATCAGCTGACGTGCTTACGCAGTCATCAGTCATGACTCATCATACAAACACAGACAAACACAGACAAACGGCACAAATCAAGCAAAACACGCAAATCAATGAATCAGTCCATTATGTTTATCTCTATTTATACCAATAACACCATTAATCTCTAGGGTATAAAAGTGGTTTATCTTCTGGCTGGTCAAAGCCCGATCCTTATAACAAAACCATATAAAAAAAATTCGTCAAGCCGCAGTAATGCATCACCATATATCGTAACAAAACCTTATAAAAAAAAACAATGCGGGTCAATAAGAATCGAGAGTCCAGCTCTACGGCACTTCTTTATCACCCCTCTTCAGTCCCCCCGGCACGTCGATCGCATCGCGCACCCATTCCATCGACGCGATCTCATCCAAGCTGATGCGTTTCGTGTTGCGCTTGAGAAGACCCTCGACACATTTGCGAGCATCCTCGAGTTCCTTGCCCTTCTCAGGGTCCCATTCTCCGTCGGCATCGGCGTAGCGGTACCACGACCATTCGAGTCGCGCGATTCGGTGGGGGGTCCGGGCTCGGAGTTTGTTGGGGTCGCCTCGAGTGCCTGGAATTGCGTCGAATGGGAGTCGGTTCTCCATCATGGAATAGAGCAACACACCGAGGGCCCAGGCATCGGTCGAACGTCCGTCGTACGCCTGTCCCATGAGGATCTCCGGGGCAGCGTAATCCTCGCTTCCGCAGCGGGTATGAAGCAGCGCATTTTCGGGCGGTTGCGGGATCCGTCGGGAGAGACCTAGATCGCTAAGGGTGATGATGGCGCGATCGTACGTGCGCCAGTCGGTAATATTCTCCATAGCGGAAATCGGGAGATTAACTAGAACATCTAAAACAGCCAAGTTAGTGACACTGCGCATCGGTAAAGAGAAGGGGAGCGACTTACTTTCAAGCTTTATGTCCCGATGGACAATGTAGTTCTCGTGCAGATAGCGCACGGCGCCGACCAACTCAGCGAACATGCGCCGGATCAGCTGCGGGCTGATGGGTTTGGGGCTGGAAGACGCGAGGTCGAAGAGATCTCCTCCAGGACAATAGTCCAAAACCAGCAACGCGCGCTTTTCGTCACTGCCAAAAGCCTTCAATTGCACGAGGGACGGGTGATTAATCGACTTTAGAATGTCGACTTCCCGTTTGAGGGATACCTCCAATCGCTCTTCGTCGGCGCCTCCCGCAGGCCCGTGGTCGATAATCTTCACGGCTACCAGTTTCTGGGTCGCCGCGTTCACGCCAGTAAGACTAGACCCGGTCTGCGGCAGTTCACCACCCTCCGGGATTTCCATTCTCACGGCCAGGCACACTTGACTGAAAGTACCTTGACCCAGCTGGCGCATCTTGCGATAGAGTCGCGGTTGCTGGGTGCGAATCGACCGCACCGAGTAGACTTCGTCCGGTCCGTCAACCACCTGCGGGTGAGTGATCACGGGCGTGCTTGTGATGTCGTGCCGACTCCTCGGTGGGGATGGAGGGTGGACGGCGGGCAGAGCGATGCCACGGTGCACAGCCAAGTATTGTTCGCGATGCAGAGCGTTCGACTTGGAGTCGGTACTGCAGGATGACGAGATCCCGTTGGGTGCGCCGGAACCCGAGACCACGACTGGACGAGGCTTAACCGGGACGCTTTTACCCGGGGGAACGTACTCACTCAAACTGCGGTTCCGCCCATGCTTCGGAGCCTTGACATCCTGACCAACCTCATCGATCTGTTTCTCGCCGCCTGACTTGTCCAGAGGGGCGTATGGTTTGCTGCGCGACCGAGCGTCGGAGACGCCGAGCATTTGCGACGAGTCACTCAGTCGCAACCCCCGACTCGACCCGGTTCTCGACGCCGACGACGGGGTCCGCGAAAGCGATTGTGAATTGCGTCGGGGAAGTTTCCATGGCGAGGTGCCGCTGATGGGAGATGGCAGGGGGGTGATGTCACCCATAGCCATCAACTGCGGCGACGACAGAACGGAGGCTGGCGACAGGGAAGTGCCGCTAGGAAGGGAACTGGCGAACAGGCCGCGCAAGCTGGGGGTTCTATGAGGGAGACTGCCGGATGAGACGCTATGGTGCACAAAGGGATCGGACTCTTTGGACGAGGTGGAATGAGCGGAACCGGGAAGATCGGTGCGAATCTGCAGCGACGGCGGCGGATGTGGCGAAGCGAGGTGGTACTGATGGTGAGGCTCATTCTTTATATCGGTCGAGCAGCGTCCGGTTGACAAAGGAGGGGAGTAAAGACTCCCATCTGCCGGGCTACCGGAATTTGACGAGGAAGTCTCATTGTCACTCGGAGCCGTCGTTGCGCTGAAATGGTGTAACTCTGGGGGGATCTTGACGAAGGGACCAGACCGATCGGCCGGTTGAAAGGAATCCGTGAGAACCATCGAACGAGTGGGAACTATGATACTCGACTCTTGTTTATGATTCGAGTCGAAAGGACGGGATGGATGGCTTCCGCCGCGACAAAGAGTTCTCGCGGGGAGGGGAAGGGGGGGCAAAGAGAGAAAGCGCGAGCCCTATGGTTATGTATCCAAGCTTAAATTAGACCGGAGATTTCGTCCAAGCGTTTTCCTCGGGTGGAACTGAGGAGATAACCTAGTATGTCCCAAGTTAAGCTTAGAGATGATCCAAGGGACGAAAAAAGGAAGGGTTCCTGTGGCGTTACAGAGACGAGATGAAAGCCGAGTTGCGCGGGTCCACGAGGGTCCTGCGATGAGTAGTGTAAGGAAAGGGAGAACACAAAGAGGGGACGACGGGGAGGATGTCAGAGGAGAAGAAGAGAAAAGGCGACGAAGAGGAGAGAGGAGAGGAGAGGAGAGGAGAGAGAGGGGAAGAGGCAAAAAGCGCAACGAATGGATGACGACGGGGGATCATCCTCAGAGAAAATACCTTGGAAAAGTTACAGCAATACCGGAGGTGATGACGCTGCAACGGAAATTGCCAGGCGTTCCCAGTCAGTTCGCCAGTCTAAGACTTTCCGACTCCTCTCAGACTGAGGGACAGAACTGGGTCCTCCGGGACTAAGTCGTTAGTCCGTTTAGTCTGGGAAGCGCTGAAAGAAAGAGAGAAAAAACCCGCAGCGGAGTCAGCTGATAGGGCCCCCGTCCTGCTTTGGGACTAGTCGCCACGAGGACACCGGCGCTACCCCGCATTCAGTAATACCCGTTGCGGTCTTCTTCTTTACTCCTCCCTAGAAGACAGAAGTACACCACTCTGGCACGCGCAGATGCTTGCGTCTGCGCCTCGTATTGATGACTCCTCGCAATGGCTGAGCATTCTCAGAAAGTATCAGCTCAGTGATGTACTCGTACACAGTACAGAACACGGAGTAACTCTCGATAGATCGACGCGTTTGATCATTCTACTCCTGACATCCGGATTCCTAACAGACTACCGCCGACTACTGTCGCATCCTAGTAGTGGCTGCACCTTGCATACAGACTGTGGGCATAATTTACTGCCTCTGCCCTCCCCGAGCCCTTGGTTAGCGTCAACTAGCACTAACAGTATCCTTACCTCTCAACAAACCAACGACGGAAGCTAGTTCATGTTTCCACACCCGACCCTTTCCCACTCCGTACTTCTACTATGACGGAGTATTATTGATTATCACTTCAACTATCCCCGGATATAACACGAGTCCCTGTCGGCTACGCTGCATGCAGCTCCTTGACTACTCCGTACTAAAAAATCCTTCGTCCCTAGTCGATCGCAATCATCGTTGATCCCGCGGACGACGAACCCACGGAGTATATTCGCCACCGCACCTGGACCAGGATTTGGGGACCATTATTCGTAATGTCCCTTTCGCGCTAAAACAACAAGTGGCAGGCCCGCTTCTACCGCCGTCGACGGTCCAAGTGGGTAAAGGGAACAACTAGTCCGGCCTAGCGGCTTCCTTGCCTCTTGAGCTTATTGCCGGGGAGATTGAGAGTCGCGACCAGCCGATGGTCCCCCCTTTCGAAATTAGTTCGGGATTTGGGGTCCATTCCGACGGACTGCGATAGAAAATTGATTGCTCGTCTTTTAAATCACAAGTGTCTGCAAATTCAAATTGTTGATTGTCGTCGTTCCGGATTGATTTGACGCCCCGTGCACCTCGTCGGCCACGCTAGGCGTAAATATCTGCATTAGTCTGGGTTGAGCGAGATTACTCCGAGTCGAAGAGTATGATTGCGATTGTCCCTGGTTGTTTTGGGCCAGTAGTAACTCATTTATACTTCATGGCAGGTTTTGTTGAGTGTTGATTGCTGAGTATTCTCTGGCTTTTAGGGTTTTCTCCGGGCCCATTCTGCGGATCGACGCACCGATACGTAAGCATCCAATTTTGCAGTTGTCGTTTCACTTTTCATCCGGTTCTTGAAGACCCTCACAAATGATCATCGCCAAGACGGTGACAGAACGACTCGAGTGGATCTTTCCTTTTGTTCGACTTTCCATTCTCTGTCTTCTTTCTCTTTTCTCTTTTTCTTTCTGCCCTGTGCCCTAAACGCGTTCTCAACCCCATTCAACCGCATTCTTGGGTCTCAATCACTGGACCCTGGGTTAGGTTTCCCAAGAAATCTTTGTTTATTGATTTTCATTTCTCTCCCTCTTGGCGTTCATACCCTTACTCCATAGTCTAATTGTGCTGTTTGATTAATAATAACAGCCAATATCAACGATCCATTCGCAACCAGGGGATAATCCCTGCCGGTGTCAATAGTTCGAATATGAACGGAGCCAGATTCCCTTCTGGGATACTGGCAGCTGGATAACCGACTACAAGCTGGGTCTCTGCCCTCTCGCCTCGTTAATTTGATGAATATCGAATTCTTCCTGTCCGCGCTACCGTCGCTACGGGGCTATTCTTACACGGTGTACGGAGAAAACTCGAAAACTTATCTAATTAAAATTAATTAATTCTAGCGGCTCAACGGCTTGTCATCCCAGGAACCTGGTCGTTAGTCAGGCACGGTATCGCCGTTAATTTTTATTATTACCCAGAAAAATATTGTGAATTTCATTTCAATTATGCTTTCCGGACCAGTCGGAAATCAAATTGTTGAATATCAAAATTATCGTTCAATTTTTCTCGAGGTTCGGTCCCTGCGTGCTTGCGCTTGGCGTCAATATTTCGGAAATTCGCAGATCGGAGGGGGCTGGGAATTTTGTTTTTGCGCATCAGAAGAACCCGAAATTACCCTTGTGATCGATCATTTTCTTTTCTAATCTGGTCGGCTGTCATTTGGAGCATCCCCCAACAGACACCCGACAGGCCGTTACTCACTGGTTATGCAAAACTTCTTATGAACGATGAATCATCAATCACCCCGTGGTTTAGTCTAATCTCCAGATCCTACTAAGGCGCTGATTCATTTTTCCTTCGCCTCATTCGACTACACCGTACGGTATAGTTATCAGATAAACAACGATTTATCGTACACGAGAAACCCTTCCTACCGTACTCCCATATTATTAACCCTGCCCTAAAACCACCACGTAGACAACCCGTGATCCTCAACGAACACTTCAATCCACTCCACTCCGACAGAATTTGACGGTCACGATTGTGCGAAAAATAACCAGAAAACCGAAGACCAAAAACCGAAGAATGGGTGCGGAGCCACTTCACCGCGATCTAGAATCAGGGGTGGAGCTGCGCGTCTCCACCGGTTTTATTCACAAACGCTCGTTGCGTGGATGCTGTTGGTTATTGGCCGGTGGATGTGTCTCTATTTTATTTTATTTTATTTCTTTTCCTTTTGGAGGGGGATTTAAAATTTGACGCGTTTATTTTATTTTTTATTTCTTTTTGCTCTGATTTCTCAAACAATATAGATATGTATATTGTCGTGATTGATATCAAACTCTCTCTGTTGTGCTTTATCTCTGACCTTGAGGTTGTCTCGAGTATAGCACTCCATCTTAGAGTGTAATAATTCAACGGAGTAACTGTCTCTGTTGAACCTGATCGTTTTTAACCATGTAATAACCATGTATTTTGCCTGTGAGTCATCCCTATCGCCAACCTGCTACTACTTGATACTCACCCATTGCTACCGGTCGGGCTTCTCTGCTCTCTTCGACTGAGGTAACTCCTCCGATATCAATAGAAAAGTTTATAAATCTCATCTGAGTCCAGCTCCCATAATGCACGTTCAAATAGGGACATTTCATCGGAATAATTCTAACCTGTGGCTGTCCATAGTCTTGATTTTATCAGGAATAGCCAGCAACTTAACTGTAGGAGATAACAAATGCCATTAACAATGCTGGTGTACGATCACTCAAGATAAGAAACCCGTTATCACAGCTTATCTCGCCTACTTCACCCATAATCATCCACCAGAAGTGCTATACTACAGCCCATTGATCTTGCAATGAAAATCCACCCAGAGAAAACTACCAATTCCATATTCCATAGTTATTATCACAGTATAAACCTACCATTCTACCAAACAAGATGTAATATAGACTTATGAACATAACGTACATAAACGAGCACGACACAATGCCAAGCACCACGAACACACCCTAAACCCTTTCTAGCAATCCCCTCGATCGAGCACTGGAATGTCTTGCATACTTTAGACAGATCTTATGCATGTCTTAGATCCGACTACGTGGTAAGCTGTAATACACGTATCGGTCAATCCAATTGCATTGGGAATTATTTTGTTGATGGCTGAATTGGGGTCGATTGTTGATTCTGTCAATTCTATGTGTTATTGTTTAGGCGGGAAGGCACATATATATAGTGTGTGAATTGATGAATTCCGCAGTATTGACTCAACCCAACCAAACAAAGCAATACCTTGTCATGCGTTTAAATGCAGAAATATGTAGATTACCTTGAGCATATATATGGTACATCATCAGAGGAATGTCTATCAAATCGCCCTCGTGCCCAAAAGCAAGGTCCGAAGCACCGTTTCAACCGGAATTCCACACCGACTCGACTTGAAGCAGGAGAGGTCCAAATCATCTTGTAGAAACCGGCTTCACCACAACCGCCACAGCCGCCACGATCACCTTCTGCTATGCATGCTGCATGCAATAGATAGTGTTACTATTTACAGCGTTGCTTGGTTTCGTCCGATGAAGAGAGCAGTTCGGTATTCTTGGCATTGACGTTGAAGGGTCCGTCATCTCAGAAGACACTATATACACATGTATATGAGGTTGGCAGGCTACACGTCAGACATACAAACCACCTCCGGGGATGAGGGATACGAGATCTGCTAGGAGAGAGGTAGTCGCGAGTTCCTCGAGGGGGATGTCAAACAGGTATCGTGGCTTGTGCTAATCAAGTATAGCAAATCCGAATCGGTGAAGGAGTTACGTGACTGAGAATCCACGATTCGCCCCACAAAACTCAACATACCCTGCCGAGACCCCTCCCATTTGTAGTCCTTTATTCTCTGCCTCTCGTATCGAAAAGCGCCATTCGGTAAACGGACCTATAGCAGCAAAGGTTGACTCAGTTGGCTTGGTATCACCACCGCTCCAATTGCTTTCAATCGCCTGTCGACTGAAAACCGCACTAGAAGTAAAGTCGTCGGTGGAATGCACCTTCGCAGTGTTATAGACAAACGGGATGTGGACCATGTCGTGCGAGAAATGGTAATCGAGTCTGTTAGTGTCTTGAAAGGTTTCATTTCCCATATGAGTGACGTTCACCATGAGCGGTCGACGTTTGACGGCATCTTCGTCAACTCTCACCCCTAGAAGCCATAGGCGTACTTGGTTGATCCTAACATCCGCACGTCCAGAACCAAATGGAGCTGCGCCTGGCTCTAGTCGTATGGACACGGTGTATATGCCTTTTGTGCTGTCATGGCTGATTTCGCGACGCTTCAGGGATACCAACTCTGTACTGCTGAGTCGATAGAATAACCCTTTGTCATTCTGGTTCCTTGGCCACGTCACGCGTATGTGACCAGCCCAGCTATTGAGACACTCCTCGAAAGCGTTGTCAAGTTTTGACTGGCCCTGCTTTAGTTGCAGCGCAGATTGAAGTGGTCCTGGGCTCATGAAATCAAGCTCTTTCTGCAGGCCCCAGAATCGGATTGCCCGGCTCTCATAGTTCAACCGCTGCATCAACTCAAGCCTGATATTATTCCGTGTGCTGCGGAGCCAGAAAACAATTGCAGGGATGTACGGATCCAGCTGCAGTTTTCTTTGGCCTAAACGATTGGCTTGGCTCTTGGAATAATCGTAGGCGTGCTGTGCTTCCAGCAACAGCTGGATCGACGAATTGTAGTGGACCACTGCGTTATTCCGTGCTAGCGTAACAGTAACATACTCGTCCAAATGATCTTCTATAGCTTGTCTCTGGGTTTCGGGAATAGCGTTTTTGAAGGAACGAAGCAACTGTCTGATGTTGGCGGTCGTACTCATCACCTTCAAGGCGCCGGGGTTCATCAATGGCAATCTGGTTGTTCTTCATGTTTCGCAAGGCTGCGTCTAAAGAATCAAGCTTTTCGCCGCACTGCGCAAGCTGATCAATGATATAATCCTTTTTGACTGCTTCGCCTTTCAGGGTCTCTACCGAGGCAAGAATACTGTCCCACTCCACTTCAAAAATCTGAAAGTTCCCTCACCGAACGTGACTACAGCAAAGGGACTGGCTGTTCCCCAAGATCTCATTTTGACAGGACAACTTAAAACCGAATGAGCTGCCCGGTCTACCGCTTGGATATTGTGCTAGAGAGATATAAAGCGGAGGCTTGTCTAATTTTAGTCCTATCTGAATGCTTGGTTCATCGTGATATTCTTTTGTCCCACGGGAGCTGTGTGTCGCACAGAATGATAACGAATAAACTGCAAGGAAACCTGTATCTTGCCTGTTGGCGTGAAGAAGACTCAAAACATAGTAGTGGTGTCTGGTAGTAACGTTCTGTTAGCATTGTTGATTTGTTTCAAGGGCTGCAGGGGCCCGGGGTTTATCTAGGATGTATCACCTACGGTTGAGGGAATCATCGTTAAACCACATGAGGAGAGGCGGAGACCCAAACGGTGGATAGTAAGGAGAGAGGACGTGGCCATTCGTGGTGGGGAGGTTAGGGTTCTAGCCGTTGCGGCCACTTAGAGGGGTTGGATACCTAGGGATAGGGTGGGGGATTCGAGGATGTTGGTTGATTTTGGTGTTGTTACGGGGCCTGGCTCTGGTGGAGATGCGGTTGATGGGAGAAAGTCGAGAGTGGTGCAGCATTGTTGGCCGATCGAGGGACGGAGGTCATGGGGAGGGTGGTTGTTGCGTGGGTGGGCGCTTTTCAGGATGTAGTATAGAGTTGATCTTGGGAGTTCATTGATTATGATTGTATCTATGGTAGGTTAACCAAGAGCAACAGTCGTGAGTGGTATATCAAGGTTGAGGATGTAGAATAGCATAATTATGTTCATAGCGCGTTCATTGGGATAATGTCTATGATAGAGTAACAAGTTCCTATGAGTATATACAGTTCATTATGCTATGTATTAATGTTTAGTTTGTATGCTGGGCAGGTCGTGGATTCGCCGCGCGTATAGGTCCATCATGTGCATCAAGGGATCGCCAAACACCGCCTGCCGAAGAACTGCGTCGTTCGTCATACAGGCCTCCACGGGTTCCGCCGCCAATGCATATGTACCGTTGGCATCTCGCTTGCGAAGGACGATCACCTGGCCTGCGACAGACAGCGTAGCAGGCGGAATGCGCCATAGTGCCGGCTTGCTTGGACGATACTTCCCGTACAACCGTGATATCGGAGCCGGGGACATGTACAAGTTCAAGAGAGAGGAGACATAGGTCTTGTCGGCTCTCGGAACGGGATCGCCTTCGTTAACGACGGAGAAGAATATGGACGAAGGGTCGAACGGAGCTAACGGTCGCAATGACACTGGCGGCGCGCCAAACGTCACGCAGTGCACGTTTCGGAAGAACGTGCGCAGATGCGTCAGTTCGGATCCTCCCGTTGCCGCAAACATATGGCAGTACAAGAGACTGGCCACGGCACCGCCGGCTGAGTGTCCAGTGATCAGGATCGAGTAGTTGGCTCGACTGGGGTCTTCGGCCAGTAGGTCGCGCAGTCGCGAGGCCACCGGACTAACCATTTTCTGTGCCACCGATAGAAAGCCCGCGTGGCAGAGATTGAATGGGTCGTCGAGAAAGCCACGTGGAGATGTGGGGGCCGTTTTCATGTTGACGGCCCAGTCGCGAAAACTTTGCGTGCCGCGGATGGCGATGACCACCGTCTTCATGTCGTCGACCGCCAGCGATTTGATGACCATGGCTTTGGTGCCGGTGCGATGGTCCGCGTCGAAGTAGGCGGGATTGTTGCCGCCGCTGGGTCGTTTGTATACATTGCGGGAGTACTGGGCGGCAAGACGCAGCAGCGCATGACCGGCCGGATAGCTGGGATGTTAGTAGAGTCCGGAATGCTTCTCGAAGAATACTCACAGGTTCAAAGGGGGTAATTGAGGGGGTAACCGGGAGTTAGTATAAAGATAGACCTTGGAGAAAAAGCTCAAGGCATTCGAGTCGCTGGACTTGTCCTTATCCACCGATGTATGCGCCGCAGCGTCCGACTGGACGGGGTATTCAGCAACTATGACAATGAGCTGGTGTATCTCGGGTAGTAAAAAGTTCCTGAATGCTCACCCATCTCGTCTTTCCCGGTAAACAATCCCTCGTCCATGGACGTGATAACGTTATCCAGCTTTCGCAGCATTACCCCGTAAGCGTCGACTCCACAAGACATGTATTGCTTCATCTGATGCTCCAATCCGGACATGGTCGTATTGGCAATTCCGACCGTCTGCGACACCATCCCGGAGAGGCTGGTGTAGGACTGCCATTTCGCAAGAGAACTGCTAGACGTTGACGGATGAGAAGACGGAGACGACAGCTGCGCCGACGACGAAACCCGATGCCGATACGGGCTCGGACGCGAGGGCGATAAGTGCACCGAAGACGCGGTCTTATGATGATACGGATGGGTCGGCGGATGGTCGTCAGTCTTCACCGACGTTGTGGTTGCTGAAGCTGCCGGTATTGTGTACAGGGATTGGACCTGCGACTGGGCCTGCTGCACCTGCACCCGTGGGATCGGCTTCGCAGCCGTGACCTGGTCCCTGGGAGGCAGAGGCGGTGTCGCTGCATGTTCGGATTTGGATTTCTTATGCCGTCGGGAACTGCTGAACCATCCCATGGTGCGATGGGAGGGATGCAGGATTGGAAGACATGGATGGATCCGGCGCTAAGGCGTTAGGACGAGAGATGAAGAGCAAATGGCGGACGTGCTTTCTTTATATCACACCGTCAGCCTCACTGCCTCGGTCCTCACGTGGTCCGCTGGATTGGGTTAGCGCCATGCGTGATGAGCAGATGAGGCTGCATTTACCATGTCATTTATTCTATCCATTTCTGGATTCTGACATAGATTCGTTAGATTGAGTACCAGATTTCCCTCTCCAAACTATACAATGTTTATACATAACAGACCTATCTAGCATCCGGAATCGTGATATCATATGAAAGTCCTCACTATAAATAATGATACAAGCTGTGGTTATTGATATTGTGGTCTTTGCAGGTTTGGGCAGACCCTGATTTCATAACTGAAAGACGTTTGTCGGATTTAATTGAAGACTGAATTGGGTAGATAAACAAAAACTAGTTGTGATGTGTGGAATGACCTAGACCAGACTAATACTTTGAATCGCCCTGCATGGTCAAACAAATTGTCATCTACATGCAAAACTAAGACTCCGATTCCATCAAGTCTTACGTCACTCAGATAATCCCGACAACCAGGAACTAGCAGTTCCAAAACCGCCACATTGCCTCAGGCTCAGACCCCAAAACACATGTGCAGCTTCAATTCAGTCTTGAAAGCTTTGAGCTTATCTTCAAACTCCGTAGATGATCCTCCAAGGAGGTCCTTGTTGACCCCATTCGCGAAAGAAGCGAAACGGTCGCGGGCCAGTGCTCGGTTTGACAGGCTTTGGTGCAGTAGAAGATGCTGCTCATATCGCCAGTAGCGGGTTCTGGAGCTTCCTGGCAACGAGCTGGCCTGCTTTCCACAGTTCGCACAAGTACCAATTGCAGATGCCATCTTTGCTTGTGATTGGTGGATAGGGTTAGATTGTGGATGGAGTGCAGGTACGAAGGTGCACGGCTCCGTAGGAGAGTTAGGAAGACGAAAAGAGTTTATGTGCAGAGCAACGAGATAAAGCTGGAGAGCTGCAATCAAAGAGATATTCAAGGAACTGATTGAAATGATGATTCTACAGTGGCCCAAGCTTCGCAGGAGAGAGGCCATGTGATGCTGCTAATCTAACCGATATGAATATCTGTTCATTCACCAGAGCCCAGGGCAAGATGGTCATGAGACCTGCTCGTCAAATGAGTGAATTCGTAAATTTCTTGAAAGCCAGTGGAAAGATTCAATCTGTTGTTAAATTCTCTTTTGATCATGTGCTCACCCCTTCAAAGGTTGAGGCGGCTTACATAGATGGGTGGCTATCGCCGTAGACAGAAAACAGAAAAAGCAAAAACGAAAGACAGAACTAAGCCAGAAGGAAAAGAAACAACTCATCCCATCATTTCAAGCACCTTCATAGTGCGAAGGATGCCCGACCGAACCAATCTGTGTATCTACCAACTTGAACGCCGACGGTCGTCTGCCTTCTTAACCTCAGCCTCCGCATAGAGAGTAAGAGCAAGTAGAATTGGACCCAGCTTCCTCATATCTCCGGCACTTTCGGTATTCCAAGGTCCGTACTGATGCATGGTCATGAATGAAGGAGGTTCGTCATCCGCGGGCTTCGTTTTCAGATAAGACACGTATCCGCTGTCGTATTCTGCGATAGTGATGAAAATCTCGTGCCGATTTTGGGATACATGCACCCGACTAAGTCCTATAAGTATAAGAAAGAATAGAGGGGATGGTAAGGATACTGATAGCTTTTCCAATGGAGCATCAAGATCGTTCTTAATGCAGCCTGTCATCTGGGAACTCTCTTGTATCTGAACAAGAATTTGATTCTCACCACGTCTGGTGACAGGCTTAACCTCGATGAGAGCCCAAGGATTTTCATTACCGTCATCGAGATATCCGTCGGTCCGAGCTTCGAATTTAGCGGCTTCAAAATGGGCAAGGAAAGCTTTCCTGTGCAGAGTCCAGTCACAACGCTTGATAACGTCGAAATGAATTGTGAGGGCATTGAGGAATACCACAAGAGCCGTGTTGACAATCTGCTCATCCTTGGTAGGTGGATACATCAGGTTATGGAGCTCATCAGAAACTTGGGCAGCTGGGGTGACGGGTGCCGATGGCACTTCTGACTCTGTCTCTGACTCTTCTTGCACAAGCGAATCATCGTCATCAGATTCCTCGAAAGTTGGCATTTGGGACGCCGAAGTGGGATTCTTAGATGGTGTGTCGTCAACACCCATTGTCCTGAACTCATCCAACAAATTCCCCCGATGCCTGCGCGTGGTAGCTCTTTGCCTGGCAACAGGCGTATCGAAGCTATCTGGTCGCATATGCTGCCTATTGTTAGCGGCTTTGATTTGGTAATGTCGAGCAATCGCAAAGCTGCCGTCTGGAATCTTTGCGTTTTTGATACTACGGCAATAAGCTGCCCAGGAACGAAATTCAGAGAGCAGCTCATTAGCCTGAGCAAGATAGGGCTCCAAGACAGAGGGCAGGTGAGAGAGTTGATCTCTGAGATGGACTTTCCAGAGAACGCGCAAGAGCAAAAATTGGGCGTAAGTCATCTTAGAAGCAGACGCAAGCTCAGCCGCATGCACCGTCTTTCCAACAAGATCGTGCTCCTCGACTGCAGCCTGCCATTCAGGATAGTCAATCGGCAAACGTTTAGGTAAATCTGCCATTCTGAGATAGAAAGCATCCACTGGACTCTAGTTCGATGGGTTCAATGATGGGCAAGAGAGATGGTCTAATAGGTCCCAGGGTAGGGTTGATCGAAATAATGACCATGGACCTCAACGCAGGATGCTGGGTAGCCGACACCTTGGTTTTAACGAAAATTTCTAGAGCCTTATTCACTGAAGCATATTCACTGAAGATGGATAGACGACTGCTTCACTCGTGCCTAGTCAGCGCTTCCCCGAGATCTTCCAGCCACAAAGCATCTCGAGAAAGCGCCAGTTGGGGGGAAAGTCGTGTCATCCTTGTGATCCGCGCACGGATCGCAGTGATAATAGGTAGTTTGGCGGGAAACTCCTCATTGTAATTGGATGGAAGAGTCGTTCTTTGTCGTGGCCGCTAAGGATTTACAGGTAGTCTCCGGGGAAAGTCTTGGGGAGATCCGCCGTCGCCCAGCAACAACTACCCTCACCGCCCGGACGCCAGCGGCAAAAACAAAATATGTAGATGGGGTTCACCTCCGCCATCTCTTTCTTCCTTTGTGCATCTCGTCCATCTGTCCACCAGCTACATTAACCATGCCTGTCCCTTTTGAAGCTCCTGAACGCACGGCAATGCGCAAATCCCTGCGTAGCCTTGAAAGGCACATCACTGGGCTTGAGCCGGACCATCAAATCCAGATGTTTCCGTCTGAGATAGATCAAGTTCAGTTCCTGCCCATGGTTCTAGACGAAGGCTCGAAGGACAGACCTACCTTTTTTTTCTCCATTTCCCGCCACCTTTTTTCTGAACGCAGATGAAGAGTTTGACAAGGAAAAAGAACTGGAGTATCCAGATTTCCATCCATTGCCCGAAGATGACGAAGATTACGAGTCCCCATTCAACCGTGCGCGTGTGACCGAACATTATTTCTCGTGCTATGCCTCACATTACTCTTTCAGCAAGAGACCCACGGGTGGTGAAATTGTGTGGTGTTTCGTCCCATAAGAGTACATCATCTTCTGGATTTTTCTTGTCTTTCTCACATATCTATAGAACACACAGCCGTGTGTACAAGGACCTCGATCGTTATAAGTATCCAGAGTTTGGAACAATGCGTTTTCAAGGGGTTAAAGAAGGGCCATTCGCACACCTGAAGACCAGCATCTGTAACGACCTGAACGCCGATGATGACTATCTTCTTCAAGGAGAACTGCTTCCGATCTTACGCCTGATGATAGCCCACCTGAGAAGGGCGCGGTTCATCGATCATATGGTCGCCCCGGTAAGTGTCCCTTGTATTTTCCCCTTTACCTCCAACTCAAGAAACAACATAGGTCTAATCCATTTCCACGTTAGGTGATGGCCTTTTCTTTCATGGGCCCGCAGCACGCTCGCGTCATCGAAGCCTATATGGACGGCCGTACTCTCGTGGTGCGCCCGACCAAACTGTATGATCTTCGTACCAAGGACGCTGCAGCTTTCAAGTCTTTCGCCCAGTGGTACTACGGAAAGCCACGTGCACCCACGGGATCCTCTCAGTAGCTTGCCTGCAGCGTTCCTTGCAATGGCTTCTTTGTTTTGTTTCATTTTGGCTAGGTAGCGTTGGAGCTGGGTAAGGATTTCGGTAGGCTGGTTGGCGTTTTCTTACTGTTTCGTTGGTTTTGTTGACTGGGAGCTTACATGATCATGAGTTCTTATCTTGTTATTGATATGGTTGGACTGTGTGCGATACCCTGAGTCATGTGGCTTTGTTTTTGTGATACCTAGGGGCTACTCATTGAATGTGATTTACTGGGGTATATGATTGGGTCCGTAGATTGATTAATAAACGTCTAAGAAGATACGAAGCAAGCAAGATTGAATCGCAAGAGGAGGTATCTGGCAAAGAAATCATCCAGCTCAATACAAAACACGCTCCATTTCCCAAGAGAAACAGGCACGACATGTCAAATTCGAAGATATAACCCAATTAACAGAATCTACTCGAACAAATTGTATCTGTCAATATACACCTTCGCCTGGCCATCACCACGTCCGGCGAGTTCTCGTCCACATTCGCACGAAATCCTTCTTCTCGTGCACTCCCAATCCAACGCGCTTGACGCGTCCCAGACGAGCCATCGAGTCGGCGACGTGATCCAGCAACGCCTGCTCGCTGCCGGTTATCCCAGCTTCCTCGGAACCACCATTCTTCTGGTCCAGGGTATCCAGGTAGTTGGCGTCGTAGGTGGATTTGCGCCCCGAAGCCGAAGCGGAGTCCTCCCCGACCTTGACCCCCTCCGCGATCCGAACTCGGATGCAATGCGTCGGCTTGCTCAGAAGTTTCCACAAAAAACTCAGATAACATCCAGGCACTGGAGTTACCACGTCCGAGGGGGTGTACCGTAAACTGACGGGGAAGATCTTAGTGGCGGACGGGGCGCTCAACAGCCCCAGACTGACGGGCAGGATTCCCCGACCATTGGTCGTCGTGCACTCGGGGAAAGTGACGATCGGTCGGCCGGAGTATTTTTGCACAAGAGTCGCGATATCGACGAGCTTCGTGCCTGGGGGAGGTGTCGGTCGGGGGGCAGCGAATGCGCGCAGGATCGCCTGCAGAAGCGAGATGTGTTCGACCTGGCGGGAGTTGGGATACGAGGCGGTGAAGATGGGGTCGAAGATAGCGGCCAGATAGACAGCATCGATGGGCGAGGTGAACGAGGAGGCGATGACAGATCCGCCACCTGGAAGACGCGCTTGATGTTGTTTGGACAGGGATCTAGAAATTCAGGGTTCGTAGTTCAGCATATGAACGCTTCTCCACGGTAGATTCAGGTCCTGGTTCTTACCCTTTTCGCACACCGTCCACCTGCAAGTCAATCCACCAGATACTCGGGACGCCGAGAATACACCACAGAGATGCTTTCTTCCCAAGAGATCCGATCGGAAGCCATTGTAGGACGAGGAAGTAGCTTAAACAGACGAAGACGAAGAACGGGAGGCGGAGGAAGAAGAGAAAGACGCGGAACGGCAGCTGAAAACTGAGGGGTTCAGAGGGAACGGGGAGAAAGGGGGCGATACCCGACCCTGCATCATTAGGAAGCGCGTTAGTCTCAGCCAGGGTCACTAGAGGGGGGCAGAGCGAACCTCGATCGCGAAACTGAGTGAACCTTTCCATGCTTGAAAGCTAGTTGTGGGGGTTGAAGATTACCGAACTTGCCAGGCGGGCATGTCTCCGAAACACAGTCCGTGCAGACAATAGAAGTGCGATCGAGTAGGACGAGCACAGGCTGTCAGACGATGGGTGGATTTGGAATGGGACTGCTTATCGGAGATGCAAAAGTCTCAACGGACGAGGATTCTGGAGGCCTTTCACATGCCCGGCCGACACCTGGCGCTAGCTGTTCTGGGAGCTGCCGAAGTAGCGGCCTGAGGCATCAGTAATTACATCATCGGTCGGACAGCCCTAATCACTCCAGTTACTTTCCTATCTTCTAGTCACCCTTATCACTATAAATGACAGGTAAGCTCGGTTTCCTCCTCAACAAAGTGATGCACAAGAGCTCTTGAGAGGTCTAGTCGTTTCCTCAATTCCTTGAATGACTTTTACGAGTCCCCATGCTTTTGAGAACCCGCAGAGGTAGAGTAAGAGTAGAGTCGCGTAGAAAGATATCATTTCTCTTCGTTCTTCTGACTTATGTTCGATTACGGCAGGTACACAGACCTTTCCTGGGTTGACGATATGTTCTTTTGTTTCCCAGCATTGTCTGCCTCCCCCAACCGAGATGCTCGTGATAAGAGCACAAACAGCGCCCAGATTCAACCCGAATTGCGGTACATGGCTCTTCACGACATGGACAAGAATGATGGAATAAGCTAAAGGGGGCATAGCTATGGTAGGTGGAGCGCCGGTGATTGAACTAGTTGAACGTTGATTTGCATATTCGCATTTTGTCTTATCGTCCTGGCTCAAATTCGACGATATATGGTTTGGATATATTGTTTGCTTTTTAATGCATAGGGGTAACTAAATCGATCCTTTATCTCACACTAAATGAATCCGGGGCTGGGTCTCATTTTTGGAAAGAAGAAACGGTTTATAACTATCGAATGCTCTGATATGGAGGCACTTCCACGTTTAACGCTTCTTCCATGTTGCTCAAGAAGTGCTGGAAGCCTGGTAGCCTCTCCTGAGCCTACGCTCGCAAAGGAAATAAAAAAAAATCCCTCGGAAGAAGGCGCAGTTTACTAGGAACAGAGAGACAATCGACGTTGACATCTACGAAAGCACCACTAACTATAATGCGATGCGGTTGTACAAAGAGGCGCACTGAGCACGCGGCGGCTCCCATCAAAGGCTTGTATAGGAAGACTATCGCTTGGAGTGGGACTCTGAGCCTGCCGTGGTTAATAGTTAGTTTCATTATTGGCAAAGCTCCTATCGGTGTTTGTGCTGGATATGTACGGATCTCGATTGCTTCCGGAGCGCTCAGCGGCGAAACTAGGTCTTTCATGAGTATGTGTCTGTACCCTCGGCGCTGGATCATGGGCAGTGCATGCCTATAGAAGAGTGTCGGAGGCCGGTGTTAGTGACAGATGTTAAATAGGTCGAGTCGAGAGGGTCTGGAGAGGAGGGGTTCGCTAAGGAGACAAAGAATCGACAACGACCGGGGAACCTGGATAGCACAGACGTAGATAGTAAGCACTAGAAGATTTGTTATCGAGGCGCAGCCTGGCATTGAATGGAATATTAGCTTTTCCTCACTTTTAAACCCACCGCCTTTTTTTTAGCAGTCGCAGAACTGGCAGTCGATATATCCACGTATATCGTATATAGTTCTTTGTTTGGTTTCTCTACCACTGCTCCGATCTCGCCAGCTCCAGACTGGACGGTCATACGTGATGAAAACCACACAGAGCACAAGACCTGGCGGCCCAACAATACAGCGAGGAAGGACTTCGCTTTACGAGTTGACTGGGTGGGCCGGGTGTGAGGAACTACCATCGGACTGTCGAGATGTGTCTGTTGTTGGAGAACGTGTTTGTGTTGACGGCCTTGCAGGGTTAGGTGCCGAGTTTGGAAGATGTAAGGATCACCCGGAGTGGATAGAGGAGGGCCATAGACCGTACTTTTCGCTAGTTCCAGCGAAGGTTACATAGGATTTTACCTTTGCTTGTGGGTGATAATTTGGCAGGTTGTTGTCATTCATGGTTGGTTCTTGTGAACATGTATACTTGTCCTGATGGGAACATGAGTCACGAGCCACACCCAGATCTACTTTCAGTCATGGAAACATCATCTACGGATTCTAGACAGTAGATCAATCGTAACCCAAGTTTGTAGAAGTGACCAGATAAATGACAAGAAGTTAAACAGGTGTCTGCAATCTGTCCTTACCAAACTTAACCCAGTCATACATCCAAATCTATCCAGCCGAAGACACAGTACTGTATATAAAAACGTAGAAACCCTCAGGCCATCTGGAATCTACATCCAGCAGTCAACGAAATAAATTATAACCTCCATCCCAAATCCAAATACCACCACTACCTTCAACAAGCAAAGAAATTAAATCACAATGTCCTCTCTGACGAAATATATCCCCTCAACTCGAACACTCAATACCAACCGAACCCGACCCAGATCCTCTTACTTCTCCACCAAAACCACCACTATTGTTATCATTGTGATCTCCATAGTTCTTTTCATGATCAGTTGGCTTTCACTTCCTTCATTCTCATCTTCGCGCGGCCTGAATCAAGAACACGATATAAACCACGGTCAACTATCCCCGGATATGACTAGTACTATTCAACTCCCTGACCCCGACGCCGAGCTTAGTGACGACATGTTTGATAACAACCTCCTCGATCTCGAGCCTCATTCGGATGACCATGACTGTCCGTATGCAATCCCCCGGGAAAGACGCGAGGAAGAGAAGAAGAGAAAGCGATGGAGTTCCGCTTCCTCTGTCCCGTCCTCGTCTGCCTCCGTGTCTACATTCGCGGCGTCCCCCTCTGGAGAGATCTGGGTCTCGAACATCGGGCCGCTTGAGAGGCTTCATGTTAAGTTATGCGGATTAGGAGGGTTCGCTGTTATGGTGGGGGTATTGGCTACATTGTTATATGGAAAGTCAGGTTAGGGGCTTGGAGATGGAAGGATATGATGGTTTTGGTTGATTTCGGGGGTAGGGTAAGCATGTATCATGTACACTATGCCTCGGTATCTCCGGTTATGCAGAGTCAATCGATGGGTCAGTCACGAACTGTAGCTCTAATAGACTACTTTCCTTTCTATACAACCTATAAATATACTATACTACACAGTCTAATATTAACAATCTAGCTACCCAACCTAAACTCCGATACTTACAACCCCCAAAAGAAGAAAAAGATGATATATACAACACCCCAAACCCCAACTATTCAAACTAAACAAGAACTCTGCCTCATACTTCCCTCCCCACCCCCTCCTCATCATCCTTCCTCTCCCCGGGCAACCGAAACATCCAAATCGCCACCCCAACCCCCATAAACGCCACACTAGTCATCATCCACGCCAACCCAATCCACATGCCCCCCAGCTGCAGCCCGATCTGAAACACGCCCGTAATCAACAAACTAGCCACGATATTCCCGACCGACTGCAGCACCTCGATTATTGTGAAGAGGCGCGCCGTTTCTTCCCGTCGCACGAGCGTCGTGATTAACGACCGCGCGAGATACACGAATGCGGATCCGCAGGTCTGTACGAGGAGACTGGGGATCAACACGGCGATGGAGGGCGAGAGGCCGATTCCGAGGGTTCCGACAGCGAGACAGATAATGCTGAGGCGCGCGAGGGTTAGGTCTTTTTTGATCTGCGGGAGGTGCGAGAGGAGGTGGCGGGAGATGGCGGGGAGGATGATTAGGAAGAGGGGGATCGTGAGGGCGGGTTTGAAGGCGATGAGGAAGTTGGATTGCGAGATCGTCCAGTTGTATCGTGTGGAGATGTATTGGATTAGGAACCATGAGGAGCCACGGCTGAGCCGGTAGACGAGGAAGGTGCTTAGTAGGAGCATGGTTTGGCGGTAGCGGAAGATAAACATGTAGGGCGCGATGTAGTTGCGGATGTAGATGCGAATGCGTGTGGTAAGGGGTGGTTTCTGCACGCTGGCCGTGGTACTGGTGGTGGTTGTGGAGGTAGGGGAGGCGAAGAGAGGGTCCGAGACGTCGTTGTCGTCTTCGTCGGTGATGATGATCTCCGGACGGTCGTGTTCCTTGCTGAGCGAGCGCTTGACGTCGCCGGTTGAGAGTCGCGAGAGCTCGACGCTGGCGGAGTCTCGATTCGACGGTCGAGCGTGCATTGTTTCCGGCAAGGAGAGCGCGCAGAAGACGCCGATGATGGTGACGCCCCAGCCGAGGACCAATGGCAGCCAGGGGTCCATGGCCATGAGCCAGGAACTGGCGGCGTTGGACGCGAAGTCGGCACCCATGCTGGCGACGCCGAATTTGAAGAACATGGCCGCCCTTACCAGTTAGATGTGATTGGTACAGAGGGCAGGGAGAAACTCACCTCTCGTCTTCGGTCGTCACGTCTGACATCATCGTCCAGATAATCGCAAACGCAACGACCGGGCCTCCTCCGAACAGCCAGGTGAGACAAGATAGCCAGACCGTGCGCAGCGGAAAGATATCGGAGTACCACATGACAACGAACTGGATCACGCAGTTGAGCAGAAACCCGGGAATGCTGAGACAGAGGGTCGGTTTACGACCGCGTCGATCCGCCAGCAGACCGTACGGGATTGCCAAAAAGATACCTAAAACAGGGTAAACAACAGTCCAACACCCACTGGAATCACTCCACGACGGGATTCGTCCAAGGAAGGGAACGCAGCCGATTCAGATACACAATCTTGGTCGTGAACGGTGTCGGCAGCGGATCGAACATACTCAGAATCCCGTCGAAAAACTCCATATATCCCTTCACGGCGGCCAGTTCGGACTGCACGTCCTTCACCTTGCACAGCTCCTCGTCCACTTGGCCGTTGGACGGGATCTGTGTGGGGTCGTATTGTGCATAGTATTCGCGACAAACGATAGATTCGTAGATGCGAGTGACAGGACCGTGGGCCATCACCAGGCCGACTTCCACAGCCAGGATCATGGTGAAGAGGGTGACCATCAGGCGCATGCGCAGGTTCGGGTCGATCGCGTTGGGCTCATCGCGAGGGGTTTTGTCGAACTCAGTGCTGTCAGAGTCGGATTCGACATCGAAATCGGCGCGATGGGGAGTCGAGGTGGCATTGTCGTCGAGAAAGGGGACATCTTCGCTGTCACGACCACGGTGTTCTAAGGACATGGTTCAGATCGGTGGTCATCCAAGGTAGTTTTCTGGTCGTTTTGGTTCCCCAGCGGGGAAAACGGGGAGAGCAAGCCAAGTATATAGGTCAAGATATATTTATAAATTAACAATCATCAGTTATGAATATATGAAGACCCAATACGGAGTTACATGAGCGAGTTGAAGGAACGAGCATAAAAGGGGCGGGGGGAGAAGAAGGGAAAAGGAAGAGAAGGCGGTGTTAAGGAAAGAAGTCCGTCGCGATGATCCAGAGGGAAAAAAGAATTAACGCGGGCGGGTGATTGGATCGGTTTGATGGCATGAGATTGCAGTGCTATTGCTTTTCCCCACACGCTCCGCTATCTTTAGTATAGGGGCCGCGTCGCTCGGTGGCCTATGACAGTCTGTAAGGGTTGGATGAGGCTGACTGTATGGGGCTGAATTGATAGGAGAGTCGTGGACAGAGCAGAGACGGTTCCGTTGGTCAAGTCGAGATACGATCTCCGGACTATGAGCAAAGTCCAACAGATGCGGCTGTCAAGATGTCCTGACAGAACGGGGAGAACCCAGAAGAGAAAAAGAAAAAAAGAAAAGTTCTCGAATGCCGCGCCCCACCCAGGGCACACTCGGCCAATCACGGCTTGAACCCCTGAGAGGGGCCAATAGGGGTGCAATCAATCCCTGAAGGCTTGCATCAACCCCTTTCCGGAAGTATACGGCAGTCAACACACTCCCTCATCCGGACAGGATTTGCCGTGCGCTTGAAACTGTGCGATTAAGTAATTTGAACAGGTCGAATAGATTAGGGAGCGGATAAAAGCGGCATCTTTCAGACTTCTAGTACAGTATAGGAGAGAGGAGGTTTGGTAAAACACCAGCAGCTAACTTGGTACTAAGAGGTGCATCCTGCTACAAAATATCCCAACTTCGGGGCATTGTTTAATCGGCACTATGGCGAGCGCACCTACGAATAGACCACATCACTAAAATCCACCTAGTTCTTACTAAATTGGATAACTGCATGAGAACTAGGGCAGGAGACAAGGCATCTACCCGAATTCTAATAAGGATATACCTGACATACTGCTACGAAGTAGTTTCGAGAGCGTACGGATAGTGCATGACGCATGAATAATAGAATAAATATATTGAACTGAGCGAGATGCAATAAATTCCTACAGTGTAAGTGTACTTCCAGCAACCCCCTTTCCCCATACCCATACCTCAACCCTAAACATCCTCCAACATCTGCCTCGTCCCCTCCCTCGCAAACACTACCTGCGTCACATGCAACACCTTCTCACTAAACCCTACCTCCGTATACGTAAAATAATAAATATACTTCAACCGGAACAACTCTATTTCCTCGTCGGAGAGGGAATGTTCTCTTCGCAGCGCCGGCGCGATCAGCGTTTCGTAATTGTCTATGAAATTTTGTCGATATTCGGCCAGAGCCCGGGCGTAGTGCGCGTCGTATTCGTGCAGAGACTCCAGGCTCAGCGTGTGCTTTGTGCCGTTGTTGACGGCTTCGAGGAACCGGGTCAGGCTGGGGTTGTGGCCGCCTGGGAAGATCTGTTTCGGTTAGCCAAGTTCTAGTAGGAGAATGCAGAGGGAGAGAACGGGGGGTCTCGTACGTAACGGGGTATAAATCTGGAGATTAATATGCATGTTAGCAATACAGCTGTCTAACGAACTCAAGGACAGAGGGAAGGAGGGACAGGTATAGGCGATACATACCCCTCACCCTGAGGAAACTGATTCCTATACCGCTATTTGTTATCATCAGCATAATAATCACCACAGACAGTTCTAGAGCCTCAAGCCAGAAACATACCAATTCAGGCATCAAGACCGTCTGCACACAAGCAATGCCTCCCTCTTTCTTCAGCATTCGATCAACCACCCCCCAAATCACCTCTAAATCCTCGTTCAGATTCGCTTCGAACATCTCGATCGCGACAAACTTGTCGTACGGGACCTCCGGTACCGGCAGACTTCGGTAATCGCACAAGAGGACGGTGATCTTGTTATTCAATCCTATTTCCTCGATTCGACGATCTGCTTCCTCTTTCTGTCGCACAGAGAGCGTGATACTCGTCACGCGACAGCCGGTAGTACTCGCGGCGCGAATCGCCATGCTTCCCCATCCGCTTCCGAATTCGAGTAGATGGTCTGTAGGCTGGAGGTGGAGGGCCTGGATTATGCGGTCGAGCTTGCGATACTGGGCTTGCTCGAGGGTGTCGTTGTCGTAGTCGGGGTGGGACCGTGGGAGATAGATCGGGCTGGAGTAGGTCATGTCTGGGGACAGGAAGGCGGCGAACATATCGTTGGAGAGATCATAGTGGGCGGCCATATTGAGCGCGGCGCGGTTGACAGTGTTGGTGTCGGTGGTGCGGAAGAGGAGGCTCGAGAGAGCGGCAAAGATGGTGGACGTGGGAGTGGTGAAGTTGGAGAGATTGGTGCGGTTCAGGATGAATATCTGACATGGTCAGCTCTTAGGACTGTCTGTGTGCTCTGAAGAGTGGAGGAGGAGGACCTGGAATGCCGCCTTCAAATCGGGTGTGGTAATTTCCTTGAGCATGAACGAGTCTGCGAATCCCTATTTCAATCAGTCAAAGTTAAGAGGGATAGGTGAGAATGTTACAATATCTGCAGATATTAGAATGCGATACCAGAACTTTGCATCGTGGACGGTGATCCAGGCACTTGGGCCGGTTTCGATGGACCCAAATGTCCACTCTGTGCCGTCTGAGCGGATCACCAAATGCCCATTCGTAATGCCCTTCAAGAAAGAGAGCACCAGTTTCCTGGCCATGTATACAGGCACAATCTGGGCACCCCAGAGCAGGGTAGATTGAGTGCCATCGAGCACTCGCTTAGTGGCAGATCCAAGAACTCGGCCGAGATCCATGTTGATCACGCAGGAGACCAAACACCCGTTCAGGGAGCGAGAGAGGATGGAAAGATGGACCGGAGGAGGGGGAGACGAAGCAAGAGAATTGGAAGTCCAAGCGAAACAAAGAGAGAATCGGCGCTGATCACAGGACCCCCCACTCCGGGACTAGCGCCCAGCCTTGGGCCTTTCTTTCTTTTCGCCTTTCTGGCGCGGATTGTGCAGTCGAGCAGCTTGTCCTTGTGGCTATATTATAATCCCGCCAGAAATTGCATGGAGGGGTATGATTACTATTTATCTAATCAGTCCGGTCAGGCTAGAAGTATAGTGCAGCCCATGATATGCCAGAACTAGAGATTGTAACAGACTAAGTAGATTCAAGAACGCGCTGCATGCTTTAGGTCTCACTGGCGGAATTGAAAATACTAAGCCAAACTACACCGAATCGGAACAGCTACACAGGACGATGAAACCAATTGAGCATATGGGTGCGTCGATCCGGTGGATCGCCGCTTAAGATTCCCCTCTTAACTGCAGGACGGCTAGATTGCGAATATTTAGTCTTCTAGTCTCTGCTGCATTGGTCGTGCAAGGTGCATAGCGTCGGCTAGATTAACCCTAACATCAAGCCCGTCAGCGGGAAGCGGATGTCGAGTATTTGTAGACCAATGACAGAATCTATGTAATAATATTAGAAGAAGACCTATTCATATAGAACACATCTTTTGCAGAATGTAGATTGAAGGCAATTGATTATGCTTGCGGGCTGTTCCACTTGTCTTTTTAGCTACTCTGAATGGGCTTCAAGTTTGCTTTTCGAACTGCCATTGGCCTCTTAGCTACACTAGATATTGCCCAACTTTGATCACATTTTATGAGCTTCCAGGCAATATAAACCGACCTCGACTGCCAAGCATAAACGTCGTATGAAGATAGAAACTACATTTTCTTGAACCCAACCGCTGAGATCTGCCCAAACTATATTCAGGACCCTGGCTCGTAATGGTCGCCATCAATGAGCTCGGTACGATTGCTTTGAGCTCCTTTCTATCGCATACGACATCTCTCAAAGGACGAATCTTTCGACCATACATGCAAAATTAGGCAAGCAGCGAAGAACGAATAGTAAGAAGAGGGAAGCGACAAGCTTCCAACCAAAGAGTACTGTAAGGATTTAGGTAGAGTAAACCCTGATAAGACATCTCGCGCTAGTCCTAAACAGGTAGTTCCTATCCGCTCCGAGACGCCCTGACAACTCCGATGTTTTCCGGATGCGGCGCTAGTCTAGATGCGGTAGTGGCAGTATGCGTCGGCCAGGAGTATGGGAATGAGGATGAGGTCCACAAACTATATTCGTTTTGGTCTAGACAAATGTGGCAGAAGAGAAAGACATGAACTTTGCAGAGTCTTCTTTGGTTGGCTCACAACTGTCGCTTTCATAGTTTGACTAAATTCATCATCTTCAATCGCGAAAATATGTATTGTCTTCCGACGATTTATTCTGCATCCATGTCTCAACTTGGCACCTGTTGGACTCGTATACATAGTGCTTTTCTTGGGCGAGCATCTTCTTGTTTTATCGACGGAGTTTGTCTTGTGGAACAGCCCAGTCTCTCTGCGTTTATCAACAATCCCCTCCATGACTGGGACCTGCGCGAAATCCTAGCTATCTCTCTTCCCCTTTAGTACAACGCTGCGCAACCAAGAACCTCAACATCTGCAGTGTAGCCGCGCCCTGAGTCCCAAAGACAGCGAGATCGACCTGAAGCTTCTTGACAGTCCAATTTCGCAACTCAATGCCCAGAAGCGAGTCCACCCCCAGCACTGACAGTGATCGATCACGTTCAACCGACGACAGAGATGCTGACGCCATTATCCGTTCTCGATCACTGACAGCATGCTGAGTACCTCCAGAACCCACACCAGCACCGGTCCCGACCTGATGCCTATTCCTAGCCAGCATCAGCTGCTGCAACATAGGCTGTCTTTGATAATCAATACTCGCCAGCCCATAACCACCGCCCGTTCCCAAGTTCAGCGCAATCTGCGCCTCACGCGGACCCTCCACCTCTCTAGCCGGATCACAACAATAATCCAGGATGCCGTAGAACTTGGCCCGCGTGATGAGTTTGAGAGTGCTGTATGCGAGAACGCGACGCAACAAGCTCGGATCTTCGGCTAGGATCCCGTCATCAACCATCGCGCCGAGATCCAGCAGAGTGGCCATTTCGCCTTGGTTGACGCGGTACCGGGCAAGTGCGTCTTCGTAGGTGTTCCCTGCGTCGTAGTTCGTTTGGCTTTTTATTCCGGCAAGACCGGATGCTGAGGAGAGGAGGACCAAGAAGTCCATTCTGCGAGGGAGGACCGTGTGGGGTTTCCATGATCCGAGGGGACTTGCAGTCGACGGCGTCTTTCCAGTCGGGGTAGGGCTTTCGGAGAAGAGGCGGTCCTAGGATGGGATGGCTTAGATATAGCATGGACAATGGTGACTTCCTTAGATAGGGGCAGAAAGACACGCAGAATTCGAGACAGGCATGCTGGGATGGTTTCACCTACTCTGGCCACAATAGACATTTGGATTACCCCCTTGATGGGTGGCATCTCTGACGAGAGCCGGCCAAGAACCTCCTTCATTGTCTCCAGGTTCGTCACGTCCCAGGCTGGCGTCTCTACGCGAAAGACCTTCGCTCGTAGCTCATCAACCAAGTCAATGGCAGCCTCCGCCCGAGGCCCGTATCGTGAAAGCAAGACGGGGTTCTTTGCGCCGCGCTCAGCCATCCATGGCGCCGCGGCACGTCCGATGCCTCCAAGACCACCGGCTAGTACGAATGTTGAATTGGGGTCCATGTAGAAGCTGGGACGCGTATTACGCGTGACCTAGAATTGGAGAATCAGTATCAGGTGTCGAACTATTCATGCTATCGAGACAACCAGCGGGACGAAATATCATACCTGGACCCGTGATTCAGAAGTCACTGCAAGCACAAACTGGCCCATACTCTCGCCCGTCTGCACCTTTCGAAAGACTGCTTCAACCTCACCAAGATCATAAACATGGAATGGCTGGACGGGGTAAATAACACCAGCTATACCACTGGCACCTTCCAAATGTCCAAATATTGCTCTTTACTGATCCAACCCACAGCGGGTCGTCCACAGCCCTAGCCTGTCCAAATGCTGACCCGAGTGCTTTGGCCGGGGTTGGATCTCCCACGGGCGTTCCAGTACCATGGGCTTCAACGTATCGAAGACAGGGGATCATGTACAACTCATATCTATCTATCCCTTGCACCGTACATACATAGTTCCAGATAGTGCTGCCAGCCTACCACCAGGATGAGATGCAAGAAGCAGTGAGACGATGCAATGGCCCCATTCCTCTAGGTGGAAAACTGTCAAACCCCGCGTGGCTCTCTCCCTTCAGGTGGTTCTGTATCTACATGCTATATTGTTGGAAATTGAGGATTTAGGTAATGTCACTATACCAAGAGCCCAACAGTAGGTTCACAACTTCTGAATCTTCTGAGCCGGAGGAATCAGAACCGCGGTCTGATGACTGATCGCAATCAAATTCATCTTCTCATCGAATAGCAACACCTCCATATCCATCCGTCCATTCAGAATCCGCTTACATTCGTTTCGTAGATAGAGCCAGCGAACGCCCTCCGCAGGCAGCCGCTGCTTGATCTCCGTCGACAACGTCAACGAGACATTAACCATTCGAGCCTTGAGCATCTTCGAGCCGTCATCATCCAGCTCTCGCCAATCTTCTCGACCTTCCTCGCGGGCCTTCTGCTGCTGCTCGGCAAACTGGAGAGTCGCTGCCATGCTTCCCGTGGACGGTTTGCCGTCTATGTCCGGGAATAGGTCCTCCTGCACAGGAAGTGACATTTCCACGATGAATTGAATCATCTCGGTAGTCCAGCGTGCGTAGGTATCTGTACCGGCTCCGGTTCCTTTCCGAACCAGAGACCCCTGCGGATGGCAGTCCCAGCCCGGTTCAATTCACTGCTCGACGAAGCTGTTTTCGCTGCGCGGGGTCCTCGGAATGAACGCCTTGGCGTAGGAATGGCCTCGTCGGAACCCATCCGGGTAGAAGGCGCAGTGATAGGAGATCCAGTCCGGGTGACTGTCTGTTTCGAGTTTCGTGAGGTCGATGGGGTTGGGCGCAGGCGAGGGCCGCCAGCCTGTTTGGAGTGTTACGCCTTGGGTTGAGAAGTTGGTGATTCTGTCCCATGCATGTTTAGGATTCTCTCTGGAAGAAGATAGGTGCGCAGATTTCTACTCACACCAGATCTCCCGAAGTCGTGAGTTTATTGCCCTGGAATGACTCCACGCGGAGAGTGGACCATCCCTTGCCGATACTCACCTCTCGGAGAGTCATTGTCATCGGCTTGGTGGGGAATACCGGACAATAGAATTGCACGACCGCGGAGCGAAGATCAATCTGATCCTGCAGTTTGGGATGGTGGCGAGCATAGTGCAAGGCATATTTGGCCATTAAACAGGCGATGTAGCCTCCAATTGTGACTGTCAGACAGCTGGGGTCAGTCATATGTAATTATAAAGCTGGAGAAGACAGAATGTGCGTTCAATACCATTTCCAATCCCAATTTCTGAGGGAAGCTGAACTGTAATTGAGGGGCCACTGGACGGCTGGAAGTCCAAGGCTTGAGAGAGACTCGTTGGAGAAGTAACCATGATGTATGCTCAAGTAGGCTGAAAAGAACTCTACTTTGAACTGTAGCACAGGGAAAACATTTGAGAAAAGAAAAGGGGATTCGGAGTTATAACAGGAGAGGCAAAAAGAACAAAGAAACAACCCTGCCCTGAACCATGTTCGGCTTACGAAGCCTTCCCTCCTAACTAGTTAGTGTTGGTTAACTGTTCCCAGACGCCTGTAGGGGCGTACCCGACACCCAGAAGACGCCGAACAGCTCCTGGTTGAGTCTCAGTTGCAGTCTCAACTGGAAATATCTAGTACGTATATAGGGTTATTGCAAATCGCTTGCTCTCGTTGCACAAGCGAGATAACCTACCACTGGAAGCAACTCTATCAATATCCGGTAGAGATAGACATCCCTAAGCCGCCAGTTCTCTTGGCCTCCCTCATAATCAGCAGTCCCTCTACAGTCCGCTCCAGAGTTGTCGTGGTGTTGAATGTACAGCGATAGCGGAAAAGCTCAGTCCCATAACATTGACAAGATACAAGTATATCTACATTAGAAACAATCTAACAACGAAATAAACATACATACATGCCCGATCCCGAGTATTCCATGCGCAGGGACCCGCCTACGTCAGTGATAAATACAGCCGAACCAATCCACCAGTCTAATCTAGTAAACCAAGTCCGGGAAACCTGCCTCGTCGAACAGCGTGCCCCGCGCTTGCACCATGGCCGAGACCTCCAGGAGAAATTCGTACAGGATCACCACGTTGGTGAGGACATGTCCTAGGGTGGATATCTGGGGCTCTTCGTCGGCGATGGCGCTCTCGTCATGGTCGTGGTCCTCTCCGTCTGTCTGTGGTTTCTGGTCCTCCGGGCTCTGCTCTGGCTCGGGCGCGCTGGTCTTGTTTGGCTCGTCGAGGTGGAAGGGCTGCGCGAGTCGTTTCCGGAGTTCTTCTGCGGCTGTTGCACGCGACGCGGATGAGTCTCGAGATGGTTGGGAATGCACGGAACGCTCCCCAAGTGGGGATCCCACGGCGCGTCGCGGCGAAGATCCAACGCTGTGCTGGGCCAGAGGGCGAGATGATCTGCCCCGAGGCGATCCAAGATCCTCTAGCGGTGCATTTCGCACGGCTCGATCGCCCGGGGGTAGGGAATGACGCGGAGCACTGCCGGATGTTGAGGTCGGCTTGTCTCCGTGGTGGAGTAGATCCCGTCGGGCGGCGACGAGAATGTCAAAGTCCGGTATGTCCTTGCGCCATTGATGAAGTTTGCGCACAAGGCCCTTCAACACGGCCGTCAGCGTGGGCGTGTCCGATTTGGACCACGAAGGCTCCTCGTAGGCCAGTTGGATCTGGTCGAGAAGATTTGTCTGCTCGGACGCTTCTGCGTCACCACGGCCGTATTTGTATTTAGCAGGATCCACGAGCAGCCAACCATCCAAAGACAGGAGATGCGAAGATGCAATACTCATGAGGACCTCCGTCAAAGCGAGATTGACAATGACACTGTTGGTAAAGAAATTGTCGAGGCAGTTCAAAAGCTCCTCCACGATGGGGTCGTCTTGTTTGATTTCGAAAGGAATGTCCTCCTCCGGGTCGTCATCCTCGGCTGGCGGGAGGCAAAGGTGAGATTCCACAATTAAAGTAGCGTCCTTCAGGTAGTTCTCGAAAGAGTCATCCAACGTAGGTTCGTCCAGGATAGACGTGGCCATGCCAAGGAATTGCTGCAGTTCGGCATTGAGGGCGCCGACCGTGCGCTGCTTGGCGGGCTGACCGGGGATGGTCCGGATAAGAGATCGTGCGAAGGTATGATGACGTTGGAGAACGACTGCCATTAAACGCAGTGTCGCGAGTACGGTTTGGCGGTTCGCGGATTGCATGCCAAGCAAGGCCAAATCTCGGAGGTTGAACAGAGATGGCGATGGCCGTGCCGCCTCTTCTGAGAAGGCAGCCAACACGTCCAGTGATTTCCGTCGGCTTACGGACATATCCACGCCTTTTCCGACCGGCGTCGACTCAAAGCCTGTAGGAGACGCCAGCAAGAAATGAAGGATTCGGTGCACCAGGTCATCCTGGTCTATCGATTCGAGAATTCGATACAAGTATGTGAGGACCGCAGCCGTGGAGCCTCCTTGGACGTCCGACGACTCGAGCAGAGATGGGTATCTGGAAGATGAATGTCAGTCGAGATCAGACGACCGGTCAAACGATGCTTACAGAAGCTGTTCGAGGAACAAGACCTGGAAGTGGTCCAGCAAGGTACCGTTGACCTCAGCGGATTTGCAATGATCAATGGTATCCTGCCAGAACAGTAGATACGACATGAACGAGTCCATCGTCACACCCAGCGAAGGCGGAAGGGCCGTATCTTGACTCCCGTGGTCTGACAACGCGATGATGGCCGGTACCTTCTCCTCTGGTGTTTCGGTAAAGGTCAAACTATTCCAATTAGACGGCCGCTTATCAATCTCATACAGAAACTCACCTTCCCAGCTGACTATACAGCGCACCAAGACCCGTTGCCATCAAAGTGGCCAGATCACTATCAATCAACCACCGCTCCAAGGCATTCGACCGAGAAGCCGTCTCGATGAGATACAGGAGTCCTGTGCGAGCGAAATCCCCCGCCCGACCGGCATGATGCACGTACTCGACCAGCAGATAAAACAGCGGAAAATCATCCTTCCTCATCGCACCGGCAAACTCGGCCCCGCTGGAATTCTGCCGCTCGCCGTCCTCGTCGGCTCGCGGGGCGAACCAGGCCGGGAGGATATCCGGCTGCAGACGAATATTGTTGGCGACGCCGAACAGCAGCTCGACGAGCCGTCCCTCGACATCCTCCGAGCTCTTGTCCGCGCGCCGAACCAAGTCCACCAAGGCGCGTGCGAAAAGTCGGTTATCGACCACTCCGTCGACTTCGGAGTCGATGAGGGTGTTGAAAAACACGGTTGCAGACCGCAACATGGCGTCGTCGTAGGAAGAGAGGGCGAGTTTCGTGACCGTCACGAAGATCTGGGAGGACGAGGCATAAGCCAGGCACGGATGGGGTGCCGGACCGCGGGATTCATCGCTGAGCACGGAGATCAGTCGTTCGACGCAGTTGCGCGCATGGGTTGTCGCAGACTGATCGCCGGAGGGGGTGTTCGTGGAGCGCCATATTTGCTGGAAATGATAGGGTCAGAGACAGAAAACAAAGCCGGTAAACGACCTGCTCACCTGGAGAGTGTTGCACGTCCGTTTGAACGCTGCCAATCGTTCTGTAGGAGACGTCGCCCGAAAGCTTTTAGTAGACAACGAACGGGAGCCGCCAATTAGACGAGACCACTGCTGGCATTAGTTCTGGTAAAGAGTTGCTCGTCGATGCAAGCGGAACAGCAAAGCGTGCACGTACAAAGTCCATGTTTCTGTGACCACAGCATGATACTACTCCGCGGAGGAAAGAAGCATGGCCGAGGGCGTGGGGAGAAGATGATGGAGAGCGAAGACAGAAGTCCGGCCAAGGGCAACACGTACCCGAATCGGGTTTAGCGCAGCGCCGTGACCCTGGCCGAGACGGGACTAGTGGCGGTGCCCCTATCTGCCTGAGGCCGCGACCCGTGCTCGTGCTCCGACAGTTCCATGTCTGCCGAGGCTTATCGACACTCATCGTCAATCGTTGGATACCAGGATGTATGATTCTACATGTCCTGGACTAGTTTGCAGGACACTACTCCCCTAGTTTAGTCGATCAATTGCGACCCTGATCCAATGTCTACATCTAACCCGTAAAGCATCTACAATTGACGCGACCTCTGTCAAGATCGAAGAGAAATACTGTTGAAACCCGTAGGCCAAACCCTAGAAAGCAAACTATCAAAAGAGCAAAGCGAAATATAAGAACTGAGGTATTCACATCGCGAGATGCAAGCCCAACCGTGCCCACCACCACAACGCCAAGAGAGTATGCGCCCGCTCTCCATCCCGGTCTAAAAGATCGCCCATCAAAATCATTCACAAAGAGAAGAGAGAAACGAGAAACGACAAACGAGAAAGGGGAATATGCCGGCCAACCTAATCGCTGTCGTCCTTCGGCTTGCGCCCGCCGCGCTTTCGTTTGGGTTGCTCGTTCTGATCGCTGCCGTCGTCCTCGTGCTTCCGCCCCGTGGGTTGATCCGGCACCTTGGCGATGATGTCGGCCAGGAAATCGAGCACTTCGTCCTTGGCCACGGCTTGTTTGAGATGCGACGCGGTGACGCGTTTCGAATTGCGATCCTTGGCTTCCTTGGCGGCTTTTGTGACGAGGGAGATCATGAAGAGTTCGAGGGCTTTCGCTGTAGGCGATCAATTAGTATACACGACTAACAAACAAAAAGACGCGTCGCGAGACAGCACACGGGCCAGGATGACTTACACACGGCAATTGGCGTCACTTGGGCCACCTTCCCGACGTCCTCGTCCGCCTGCATAATGCGCTTAATACGCGCGACGGGGAACTTTGTCTTCACTTCCACATTGGTGATCGGAGCCACCGGTTCGACGGGGGCTTCAGGCTCTTCTGGGACGTCGGGCACGTCGGGTTCGATGGGTTCGACAGATTCGACGGGGGACGGCGGTTGAGGAGCTTCCTCCTCGGACAGCGGCTCGACGTACCGGGGATCGGGGCCGGGCGCGACCTCGGCGGCGCGCGCGATGCGAGAGGACCGACGAGCCATGTCGGTCGGATCTAGATGGGGATGGGTAAACGGGGGGATGTACTGCTGATGGTTCGCGGCGAGCGGGGCGTGAGCAGGCTGATATTGCGGGGTGAAGAAGGGCGAGGCGTCGTAGGAGGCGCGATGAGCCAACGGGCTGGACAACGGATAGACAGGGTGAGTGACGGCAGGAGAGAGAGGGGATTGCAAGGTGGAAAAATCGGGAGATTGGGGTCGGTAAGAATTGTCTTGATCGGTCATTGCTAAGTGGGTTTTTTTTCTCAGCGAGGATGCGCGCGTGTGCCAAAGCGGTAGTGGCTAGTGGAAGAAATTATGGAGAATTGGGAGGGGCGTGGGTTACGGTACCTTGGTGTCCACTAGATGATGGAGTAGATTGGAGTTGATTCAGAAGAATTGAGTCGAGAGGAATGCACGAGTATGGAGTACTCGGTGAAAGGGAAGCCAATGCAGGGTTGTCGATTGAAGATCGATTAAGCTCTCGAGAATCGACAATCGAGAAGATAAATAAAAATAATAAAATAATAAAGTCCAACTGGCCCGAGCGTAGGCAAAAGGCGTGGGCGTACGACAGGCGGGCCGTGGGCACAGCAGCCAAAAGATGAAGAAGGAGCGCCTTTGGGAGGTGAGCGCGTCGCCCTTTTTAACCCTGCGCCGCTCGTCGGTCGCGCCCGCTCATTTGCTTCCTTTGCTTTTCTTTCTCCCTCCGAGGACGACCACCCATGGATTGATTCCAGTCTTCATCGTGAACTGTCTGGCATTTTACTTTTTGACTCTTTATTGTTCTTGTTCTTTTCTTTCGTAGAATTCCCCTCCTCATCTTCCCCTTGACACTCACTACACCGGTGTACTCCGTCAGTGTATGACTACTGCATACCAAAAGGATCCCATGAATGATCCTTTCATCATGCATCCCGACCGTTGATTGGGTCCCTGTCTGCATTCTGCCTTCGGATCGATGATGTAAATGGACATACCATTCGTCGAGAACTTCTGCCTTGGGTCATGGCTGTTGCTTTCTTCCTTTTTTTCTTCTCTTTGTACCAACACAACCAAGGACGCGCGATGATGATACGATGAGCTCCCGAGATGTGTCCAGAGAGACCGACGACGCGCTGAGACCTTGTGGTATCGCCGTCTCGACTCTCCCTGCTTGCCTCTTGGCATTCCATCGCTGAGGGTTAAATAACTTGATCTAATCTGATGCGCGTCTTGGTGGGTTGGGTTGCATGGCGTTGTTTGTAGTTTTGCACTCTATACTCCCCTCGTGGGTGTAGACATATCCAGGGGAGTAGTACTCCGTACCTCCCTAGTCAACCCAGTAATACCGTGATACCATGTAGGCAACCGTCTCATCCCTCCCCCTGATGACTCGGACGTCTGACATGTCGGAAAGCACCTGTCGCGTGAGATCGACAGGGTGTCCGGCCACACGTTCTGGTCTCGAGTTTAGCTCGTCGGTGTTATTGGTCCGCAGGCAGTCACCAACATGTGGAATGCTTCTACTCGAAGGTTCCTCCGCCGTAAACTTCGGTCGCCAAACCTTCAACCGCTGAGCTACCCAGGGGACAGTGGACGGTGACACACCCTTGCAGGAGTAAGTTAACTACGGCACTGCGTCAATGATGCATAAAGAGGAAATCCGCCGGGAGCCGCCCGCCCCCGGGGCCACGTTATTCCGACCCGTTCCGCCTCCGGGGTTTTGCTTCGGCCAAACTTCCTCATCGCTTCTCTTGCGACAAGCCTTCAAGATCTCCTCACTCGCAGGCTATTGCTTCTCTCGACGCCGTTGGACATGGGTCTTGCCTTTTAATTGATGGCCCCTCGAGACATGTCGTCTGTCTTTGCCATCCCGGCCGCCATCTCGCTGTCTTGAGCCTCGCTGGCTGATCTTTGCACCTCATCTCTTATCGCTCTTTTTCTCTCGCCTCCATGGCTGCCGCAGACCAGCCCTCGGGCTTGATGGAGATTGCGAGGTATTTACTTGGCGGTGATTTGTTGGTGTGTTGACGGAATGACTGATTCTTGTTTTCTCAACCAGCTCCCTCACGCAAGATGAAATCCCGTTCAAACTACGATGCGCGATTTGTAACAAGCTGGCCGTGAATGCTTTTCGCTTGCCCTGCTGTGATCAAGCCATTTGTGAAAGCTGTATGAAGTTCCATTTTCCATATTTTGTGCGTGTCTGACGGCTCTACAGGCCAAGCATCACTTCCCGAGACATGCCCCGTCTGCGCGCACACACCTCTTACGTCCGATCTCTGCAAGCCGAACAAGGCTCTGCGCACCACCCTGAAGGCTTTCCTTCGCACAGAAGAAAAGAAGCGCGAGAAGGAGCGACAGTCCGCTACGCCGGTTGTCGCCAATGGCACGACTCCTCTGGAAGGAACCCCCGCGCAACAAGACGCGCCGGCCCTCCCCAATGTCCCCGAAGAGAAGGCGACCGAGGAGCAGCCACGATCGCTGCCTGTGAATGATGCGGTTCCAGATCAGGCCCCCGTCGAAGCTAATACCGCGGAACATCAACTCCAGGATGTGGAGCCAGGACAGGATGCTCCTGAAGAGACTCCAGCTCAGGTAGGATCACGTCTGTTTTCAAATTAAATTACTTGCACTGACATTGGGTCACCAGGATTCTCATCCTGAAAATTTGCCTGCCGATGCGGCAGATCAGGCTGACGCTGCACCACAGGACGAACCCGTCGAAGGTGAAGGAAATGACGAGACCCCTGTCCAACCCGCCGAGGAAGAAACGCCCCAGGACCAAGCAGCGAACCCGATGCTGTCAAACGCTATGGGGTTCAACGTGGCTGCCGGAGCTTTCCCAAACATGTCTTGGAACAACAATGCCGGGTTCAACCCGATGTCCCAGCAGTTCATGGGCGGTGGAATGTTCAATTTCCCGAACCAAATGGGTTGGTACCTCTTTCTACACACAGTCACAGAGAATCTCTAACCAGTCTCCCCAGGTATGCCTGGCATGGCGATGGACCCGATGGCCGCGAATCAGGGGATGATGGGAGGCTACGGAATGAACATGAATGGCATGAACAATGGCATGAATATGGGCATGAGTTTCGACGCGGGTCAAGGGATGTACGGGGGATGGGACGGCTCGCAGAACAATATGTGGAATGGAGGCCAAGATAAATTCAATCCAAATGCTTTCGCAAATGGTATGGGCTCGCAGTATGGGGCCCCACCTGGATTTGGCGGATATAATATGTCTCAACCCAACGGAGTTCATGCTCAAATGCAGCACCAGCAGTTCCCTAGCCAAGATTTTCCGTCCGGCTACCATGGCCCCGGGTTTGGCAGAGGTAATTTCCGAGGTCGCGGTCGTGGCTTCTTCGGCGGTCGTGGTCGTGGCGGTTTCCCCGGCTCCTCTATGCAGGCTAACTACCCTCCTTATCAAAACCATAACTCCCCTAATTTCAATGCAGACATGGCATCTCAGTCGCACGAGGACGTGTCTCCGGATCAGCCATCCGGGGATGCGAAGGATGCCGACGGTGCTGGTGAGAATGTTCCAGGCAGCGAGCAGGAAGTCTCTCAGATCCCGTCCACCGACCTTCCTAGCGGTGCCGATGGTAATGCCATCGAGAGTGTCCCAGGCGACGTAGCAGGGGACGCTACCGGAGTGCAAGAGGATCCTTCCCAGCTTCGTGGTATACCGACCATCGATAGCCTCGACGAGGCCCACGCCCAGGACATGTCCAGCGGTCCCATGGGCATGAACGGCCACATGGGCCCCGGCTTTGGGCGAGGTGGCTACATGCGTGGAGCTTTCCACGGAGGCGGCCGGGGTGGGTTTGGCGGTCCCTTTATGTCCCAACCCAACATGCACCAAGTCCCGAGAGTCAATCCCGGCGTGGAAGGTGCACCCGCTGCCCCTCGAGCCATGCGCCAGGGACTTCCTAACACTAGCGTGTTGCGTCAGCGGAATTTTCAAGGACCTGGGCGATCTTCCATCCCCCGACCCGACGCTTCGCAGAGGTAAGACATTCCCTCATCTCGGAAAGTTTGGCAGTCTAACATTGACCTTTCCTGACAGTGCCACGCCCACCGCGCAGGAAGACCCGCAGCCGCAGTTTGAGCCAAGATCGAGGTCTCAATCGCGAGGTCGGTCTCCGTCGAAACCACGGAGCCATTCCCGTTCTCCTGCACGATCGCCTTCGCACTATGACCGCTCTTATCGCCAACGCTCTGCAAGTGTTGACAGAAATACGGAAGACTCTGAACGGAGACGCGAGCGACGCAGAAGAGAGGATCGGCACCCAGACCAGGCGGCGGATGACCGTCGCACCCGTTCTCCTTCGGTCGAGTCCCGCAAGTCGTCCTACCGTCGCGATCGAGCTCGAGATCGGAGAAACGATCGTCGGTCGCGTCGGTCACACCGCCGCAGCCGCAGCCCCAGTCGCAATGGTGACGCCCGCGACGCCGATCGCCTTTCACTAATCCCTGAGGATAAAGGTACGGGCTCTCGGAGCAGAACCCCGGCTGCCGCAGACGCGCTGGAATCATCGAGTAGACGCGGAAGAGACCGTCCTAGTCGTCGCGAAGAAGAGCGTGAGAGAGAGAAAGATAGCAGACGTCGGGACCGAGATCGAAACCGCGATCGCGAGCGTGACCGCGACCGCGAACGGGACCGAGATCGTGATCGTGACCGTGACCGTGACAGATATCGCGAAAGAGAACGGGACCGCGACAGGGAAAGGGACCGGGATCGCGATCGTCGCCGGGGCCGTGATAAGGATCGTGAGCGCGAGAAGAAGCGATCCCGTCGCGATCGCTCGGCTTCGCCCGCCGACAGCGAATATTCGTCCCGCCACCATTCTCGCCGCGTCAAGCGCAGCCGCGACGACGATCCCCGTTCTGGTGATCGCGAGCGCACCAAAGACAAATCCTCCAAAACCAACGACCCCGAAAAAGATCCCCACACCCTCGAGCGCGAAGCTCGCAACCGAGAACGCCTGCTGAAGGAAAAGCAACGCCGCGAAGCCATGCAGGCCGACGGAGGAGGCGGCGGCGGCAAATCCGGCCGCAGACGCGATAGTCGCCAGGAGCGCCTTCCCGGCGGTCGACGACTCAGCTACAAATACGAAGACGAGGAGAATGACGATGCTCGTGCTGCTCGTGTGGAAAATGAACGCGAAGCCAGTCGGTGGGCTTGATTTGAACCTTGCTTCTCTTCATCTCTTCTTCTTCCTATTGAAGCGTTCAAAAATCGCATATAGAAAAACCAAGCATGTCTGGTCTAACTTCCAGCAAATATTCCTTTTGCATTCGAGCTAATGCTTTTGGCATGGGACAAAAGATTGCCTTGTGGTAGAGTTCTGGGGTTCGGCTCTAGATACCTGCACTACACTACATACATACACCCTTTCCGTTCTCTGTAGATATCTGGTCATGTGGGATGGGATAGGCGGAATGGATGATGATTATAGATAGGACAATCTAATCTTCAATCTACATTTCCATTTTTGATTGATGTGTTGTTGTTTGGTTGCGTTGTAGTTGTCGATGGATGATGTAGACTTTTGGTTTGATGGGTTGGAGGCAAGTTAGGGCTAGCGTGTTATATATAGAGCGGGTTTTATTATAGGACCTGTATGTCAAAGTAACTGGCACAAGGTTTTACTGTGTAGAGTTATTCTGTGGAAAAAGAACGAAACATTCAGTGAAGTTAGTTATCCCAATTTATATATATAGTGGACGTATCGGATACTACAACGACTGATCGTCGCTCAGGTGAGGGCGACTTGTTGGGCTAGTTAGAAGTACGCACTTTGATATATATAGGTAGGTAACGTTCTTTGCCTGGGGTACTTGAATTACTTGCGTCTTGTTTCCTTCGGATTAATACGTCTATCTGGAGTCAGCTAAGTGTGTAAATATCGACTTGCGAGTGCTCGTTTGATCCTCAACCCACTACTCCAAATCACCCCACAAGACCATCCGCCGAAAACGAAGAGATCATGGACCCCCGATCCGAGCCCAAAGTCAAGACTCGAATCCTTGCCATATCAGACAGCGGCGAACCCATAATTCTCTTGCATAATCCCCCGGTCTCAAGGGCATGAAAGGGTTGGAACCCTTTGCCCGTACTAACCACTGTACCGGCTATGGCCAATCCTTTGCTACCAGGCGCCTATCGCATTACAAAGATGAGATTTGGGCGTCCATGATACTTGGATGTCAAAAGGACTTCCTGAGGACCTTGTGAACTAAATCGACTCTCGGCTTCAGGCCCAAGACATCGCACGTGACAAGGTGCTCGACCTTGTTCCAGCTCTAGGATCGGATCCGACATTGCCTGACCATGTTCTGAATACGCTGGCTCGTTTGCTTCCGGAGGCGCCCTTGGAATCGTTGTATGTGCTGAAGAACCAAGATAAGGTACCCCATGAAGTGGAAGAGTGTATATTGCCAGCTCTTCTTTCGCCGGACCCAATTATCAGACATCCTGCGAATGAATTTCTGGAAAGGCACGGGGACATGATAACCCTTCTTCCACGCCTAGGGCCAGAATACTGGGCTGCGATCTTCGTCTGGATTGCAGCCGCGTCTGCCGGAGACAACGGCTTCTGTTTTGTCAGGAATGGTTATCTCCATTTCAAATCACCCATGCGGTCTTGGAAAGTTGACATCAGGCAACCGGAGCAACGTTCTAAATGGGAACTGGCTTATGAAGCGATACAGCAGGATATCCAAGACTCGTTGGGTGATTATTGGGATGAGCTTGAGCTCGGCCCGGCTCCATCGAAGCCCGACTCGTGGCAAAGGCCTCCATTTTGGTGGGTCGATCAGGGCAGCACCTGGGCCTGGGGATAGCCTTCTATATGACAGGGACGCACATCTGACGCCCTTTGGCTGCGGACGTGTTGGAAAACAAGGAATGTAAGATGACAATATATTTTAGGGATGTTTTGTTATACACCATTCGGGTAGCAAGTCTTTTTGTATTATCCAATTCATCTTTCCTCTCATGAGTTAAATAGTGTATATTTGTCTTCTTCGGCAACATCTTCATCTACGAACAAAATTGTTATCCTCGCTGACATGTTCCCCAAGGTATCCTAACTTCTGTGGATATCGACACATTCAGGGTCATAGTAGTGTTAGTATTGTCGACTATACTTGCGAACAGGATATCGCCACCAACATCTACGGAAAATGGATTTATGGAATTGGAATTATCATTTAAATAAACCTTGAATGTTGCATTCGAAAGAAAGTTCGATCATGAAAAGACCACAGAACCCAGCACATAACCTTTAGTTGACTAAGGGAGACAACGAGTAGTTCCGGCTACTTATAACTTGAATCGGATTGTTCCAGCTACTTTAGAAAGATGTTAGTCTATAAATACCGTCTTCTATTCCTCGCTGTACTCCCTCTAATTACCCTTCCAAGCTATTACCAAACATCTATTCTAAGGAGTCATCATGAACCCCTCATCACAGCTTACAACCGGAGGGGACTATGGAAACCCTACGAAGCGCGACAGCGATACCCAGCCACTGTCCACAAAAGATTCAATCTCCCAGTTCTATATCAACGAACATCCGTGAATTCTAGAAATACAGCGCCTAGGAAGAGACGTTGAGCCATTAGAGAGCGGCTATGTCGACTTGTCTCTGGTTGAAAGTCCTCCAGGAAAAGAGATACAGCAACCAGGGCACGGAGTCTCACAGGCTGTCCCAAACAAAGAGGTGCTTTTGCAAGATCTGTTTAAACATCGCACATTGCGAGACGGCTCTCACGGAAAGCCCAGTCGTATTCTAATCCGTGGACATGCGGGCATGGGCAAAACGACACTCTGCAAGAAAATCATCCATGCGTTCGTCCGCAATGAACTGTGGCAGTCTGAATTTGATAGCGTCATTTTCATTGACTTGAGGGTTGCAAAGCATTTTTGGAGCGCTTCTAAGTTTTTCAAGGAGTGTTTTCGTGTTTCCTTCTGGCCAAAGGATTGGTACATTGAGCTTATGAAAGCCGCTGATGACCCCGGAGATACTAGAACGCTGGTGGTGTTTGATGGCCTTGAAGAGCTGTCACAGACTCAATGGGAGTCATGGGATACATTTCTGCACCGGAAGAACGTCATCATTACCTGTCGACCCCATGTATTGTCCAAATGGAAGCGGCTCCAATTTGATCTCGACGTTCAAGTGATAGGATTCCACGATGATGAGGTTTCATCCTACCTCAATAAGATGGTCCCGGACGCCCCGGACGTCCTGAAACCTCAATTTATGGATTTCATCGCGCAGCACCCGGTGATCAAGGACATGCTCCGCATTCCGATTATATCTGATGCTGTGTGCTCTCTTTGGGTCGATTGCGTGGGGAGACGGAAGCGAGTGACCATGGCTACTTTGTACCAAGAAATCGAGATAAGACTATGGCAGAAGGACCTAATTCGGTTGCACGGCATGACCATATCGCATTCTTCCAGTTACATATACCCCAGAAAGCTCTATGAAATCTTTAGCCGTGAAGTCGGTTTCCTCAGATCGATTGCTTTCTTCGGGGTATACAACAACATCACCGAGTTTCCAGAGAGTATCCGGCGGAAGTTTCAATCTTTGGAACTGCAAGTATTGGAACATGTCTTTGATATCATCTCTTTCTTACGCAGCACCGCGTATCGGTTCAATGCCAGTGTGCGGGACTACTCCTTTCTACATCCCACATTCCAACAATACTTCGCTGCGCACTACTTTTTGGACTGCTGGAAATTTGGCAAAGACATCGAGGCTCTTGATTTGAATTACAATCAAATCAATAGTCAGCCCACAGAATGTTTCAGAAAAGAAAGGCAGAATGAACGCTACGATCTTTTGTGGCAATTTGTCATGGGGGCTTTGAACTGTGAGGACAGGGATCAACTGGAAAAGGCACTGGAGAAGTCTTATGAGGAGCGCTGGTTCTTTTGATATGGCTGATTGCTGGATCACTTAGGCGTTGTTTGAATTCTATGATTGATTATTCCAAAGCCGGACAGACGGACAGACCGGGAGATCGAGATTAGAATGTAAGCACCATTATGCTACCGGTTCATGCTATTTAAGAGGCTATTTTGCTTGACAGTTCTTTGTATTATTCTGCAAATGATTTTAGCGAGAGAATGTATATATGTGTATTGATTGATTTAATTTGTCGGCAAAAACCATCTTGTATTCGTAAAATGCCTCCGAAGGGCGCAAATCCCTGGGGTGATACAGATTGAGCCCAGTCTAGACTGACATCTGCCGCATTAATGCTTTTTTAATTCAACTTATCTTCAAGCCAGAACCTCACTCACACGCAAAACTATGCGCATCCATAACGGCCCCACCAAGATACACCAGCTGCCCCGGATACCGACATAGATCGCGAGTAACAGTCGTATTAGTATCGTCGACCATCCTTGCAAATAGCGTATCCGGCGCATTGCCATTCTCTACCCAGTCCACTAGAACCTTGAACGGCTCCACAGGTACCGGTCCATAACCCCCTTCACAATGATCTGCGCCAGGTGCAAGAAAAAGGCGGTAGAAATCATCCACCTGTTCATTTTCGAGACCCATATTCTTCTGCACAGTGTCCCGATACCATGTCGTTCCTTGGTAATTGATAAATCGGTCTGCGAGACCGTGCCAGGAGAGGAGCTTGTGATCTGAACGTCTGAACTCTGTGAGATTCGGGTTCTCGGAGCCTAATACGGTGGTGAACTCGTCGACGGATTGGAGGTACATGCGCTTGAAATCGGCAATGGTGAAGTTCTCTAAGGTGTAGCTTGGGTCTTTGGATACGAAGTATCTCATCCATGGAACGCCGAGCGGAGCTGGGATCACGGATGTCGTATTGTTGGTGGTGTTCGTGACAGCGAGTCCGCTGAAAGAGGCACCAGGCGCGATTCCAAACCATGAGATTTTCCCGTCTGCGGATCGTAGGCCCTGTGTTATCTTTGATACCGCATCTGCGTGCGCTGCTGTTATTGTGAAGGTGCGGTCTGAGCAGTTGACCGTATCCCCGACCAAGTCACCAGTGTCGAAGTGACATTTTTGCGGATCAGATATCAGTCCATCTACGGCGCCGTCAAGGACATCGCATGCTGCTATGTAAGCCTTCTGGTATGCTTCAAAAACGCATTGCGGAACAGCAACGCTATCATGCATAACAGCCGTAGGCCACTCCATGCCCACAGAAACATTTGCGCTATGCAGTGCCGGCGAACTAGCCAGGATGCCATCAAAATCATCCGGATAACGCTCAGCGGAGGAATATCCCATCCTCCCGCCGGTCGAACAGCCCGAGTAATATGAGTAGATGGGATCGATGCCATAGAATTCTCGGATAGCGGCTTTGGCAAGAACAGTCATGTCGTGGATGGAGCGGTGCGCGAAATTCGTCACGAGGGGCCAGTTAGTCTTTCCTGGTTCCGAGATAGCCCATGCTCCTGATGAGGGATCAATCTTGCCGTTTTTGCTTAGGCCGGCGTCGGTGAGTGATGTCGCGTAGCCCATCTGTATAGGCTGTATTAGGTTGAATTCGTAGCCGGCGACGTAGCCTCCGCCGCCGGTTGCTAGGAAGCGACCGTTCCAAGTATCGAGTGGAAGCCAGATTTCGACATTCACGATGTCGCTGTCCCCAGGGTGTGTTAGGGCAATGCTGAAGTTGCAGAAATTAACCGGTGGAGTACTTGCTGTGAAGGTATGGTTCATCACCATATCTCCATGTGTTCGGAGAGTCTGAACGTTGTCAGACTTGGGGAGTGAAAGACTGCTGCATTTCTCGAACGAAGCAGCGGCCGTGTTCAATGAGAAAGCGAGCGGTGCCATCCACACCATCCAGAGAATAGTCAAATTAGGCATGTTTATTGGAAGGGATGAGTTGAGGTGTTCTAGTATTTCTTTCACACACACCTATGAACAAGGCATACCAAGTGGCAGAAGGTAATATCAGCGAAATTCAGATTTTTCTACACGCTTATGGTTCCACAAGAGGTATATTCATGATCAATCGTCTTATTTATAGATCCGTTGCACAGAGGGACCCCGCATATTGATCTACACTCGATCCGAGGTTCTGTCATGCGGGGATCAATCGAGTCATTTGGGGAATTCCTTGGCTATCAAGTAAATGATTGACGACTTATAATTCATCATGTTTGACGAGGGATAGGAAATAGAAGACAAATACAACAGTCTTACGAAGACAAAATGTATCCAGTGGAAACCTTATTCTGTCGTTCATGGATTTATTGCAGAGGAAATAGTCCCATGGTACTGTATGATATTTCTACATCTGTTGGTATTACCTTAATAGACTCTACTATTGGTCCTAATATAAGTTAAGTACAAGTTCACAAGATTGTGCTATATCTTGCTAAATTCGGCGATTACAAGGGACAGCTTCATACGCCGGACGGCTAATAGGACTGCGCGGGTCCCTGTATATTTTTTGTCTCTTCCCTGTGCTCTCTACAGTAATTTCTTCTTCTCTTTCATTCTCCTCACTCTGCTTCTACTCTAAAGCGAGCTGAGCATAATACTTCCGGCATTAAATATTCTGCATAAGGTTTGTAGGGTAATTCATTCCAGTGGCAAAAAGATCAAAAAATAAAGGCAAAACGCCGAGCTTTCTAAGAAATATGAATGTTCACACAGTGCCCAAAAACAAGGGAACTTGATACTCTTTTCAGATGGCATAAACATAAGAAAAGTATCCTAGACCATCACTAAGCTCATCAAATGCACAAGAAAAACCCCATATTAGAAATGACGTGTTGGAGTCCCGACCACACAAGAATTATGAGCAAGGTATCTAGAGTAGACATAGACCACAACATGAGAGCAAAGCCAAACGCTTCAAACGGTCAGATCAATCACACAGCGCTCCTTCCCGGTTGCTACAGGTGCATGGTCTTTGCCCATATGCTCCCTGGCTTTATCCTTTCTTTTAAACATCCTGGAGCAGCCTGGGAAATCGCATGTATGCGACCGAAAAAGATGGAGGGATCTTATATGACGCCATAGATCCGCGTCACGGTTGAATGTTCCCTGGTAGGTGCAGCCTTTCCATTGGCATTGTAGCGTTGGGCTTCTGTCGGTCCCGGATGTCAGCTCTGTGTATCTGGTAACTATCTGTGTAGGTGCATCTTACTCGTTTATGTTTGGTCGCTGGTCATGGCATCCATTGGTGGTATGAGTGGGATGATAGACAGCCTGTCCATTGCTCATGGGGACAGGTAACATGAATGACTGATGGAAGTTCACGTTGTTGGGTAAGCTGGTTGGGAAAGCTAGTTCCGGTAGCTGGACGTAGGCCGCTAAATCCGCGGGTGTACGGCTAGGTTGTGTACCGTGCCCTTGGGATGGAATCGGGCCTTCATCAATGGAGGAGGTCGCGATAGCATGATTCAGGGAAAAGCTTGACATGAGATGTGCCTGGGGCTCTAGTTGGTTGTGGTTGTTGATGGCGGCATCTTCTGGCACAGGCTCGAACTGGGGGATACCGGGAGCACTTGGCCAGTAGGCATACGGGTGAGACATTTTGTGCGTTCGTCTGTCCTGGGCTTTTGTATTGAGAGATAGGCAATCAATGATTCTGATCGGTGGTGATTGACATGAGCAACATTCAAAGGACTATCAGGAGGCAGATGATCTGAATGCTCCATTTATACCTTTGTAATTATCATCGGCGCAGGGCTCAAAGGCGGTCAGAATGAAGCGTACCCATGCATCGGCGCCGCCAAGGATCCAGTCGATCATTGTTGGTCTGAAACAGTGTTCCGGGAACCCGGCTGGTCGCGCTAGCGCATGGGGTCCATGACTGGGAAGTTTAGTGGGTCCGCGGGCGGCGCGGAAGGCAAGGCGAACCTTTCACTTGTGTGCCTAAACGACAGAAGTTAACTAGCGGCAGTCTCATCAGCTATTGAGCACAGAGTAGCTACCAAGTTTAGTATTGGTTAGGGCCAGGGATATAATTTGCCTGCCTGATTATTGGGTACCTGATCAAAGATGTATCGACTGACTGATAATTATAGGAGCGAGGACAGCTACTAACAGAAAGCAAAACACAAGTTATGTGATTTCTGTTAGTAGCATCTCTGTACACTATTGACGATATCCGCTGGCTGACTGCCAGATAAGAGTGAGTAGAGATATTTGAAGCCTTAAATACAGGGCATGATATAGAACTGTTGTATGGTAGAGGCTTTATGGAACAAATGACTTTTAGATCACAGGAATGGATGGCTAGCACGGTTTTAGTTGCATTATAACTGCTGGCGAAAAGCCAAAGTGTACTCATCTGGATCCCACGACAGAAACCTAGTTTGCATCTCCTCCAGTTTGCGAGCTACTAACAGCTCCATTTCGTCCTTTTCTCCCTCATCCAACAGACTCAACCGTTCTTTCCACGCTTCTTCGATATTCGAGGTAGGTCCAAAAAATCGCCGATCGATCTTCTCCCAATAGATCATATCGAAGGCAAAGCTATGCAAAGCTGTGTACACAACCCAGAAATCCCCACTCTCCCAGCTCTTCTGCATAGGACCGGAGAGTCGCTGATCTTCGCGTATCTGACCTTGTTGAATCGCTTCATCTTCGCGGTTCTTCATTGCGTTAAGGAACGTCTTCAGGCGAATATCAAACTGTCTCGTCCAGTCCTCAGGACCGTTTGGCCAAAGCTCGGGCTTCTCGATAAGAAGCCACCACGGCGGCGCATGGGAGAACTCAACAGGTGCCGCATATGTGAACTCCCAGTCAACCACGCCTGCGATTTCCATCTTTTCGTTCAGAAGCACGTTTGCGGGTCTGAAATCGTCGCACCAGATTTTGAACGGGCCCTTTTCGAGTGATGGGTTGGTGAGTCGCTTTTCTCGGGCGAGGTTACGGAAAAGCTGTCTCGCGACGTACTTTCGTCGACAGTCGTCTGCGGACTCGACGGAGTCGTTTCTTTGGTGGACTAAATGTTGCATGTGTAGGTCTGCGAGTGTCTGGATGTATGATGATGATGTGTCGAATGTGGTCGACCTGTCGGGTAGTTGCGATCGTGGAAGACCCCCTATACGAACGAGCTCGTTCATATTCATGGACAACGGGCGTCCCTTTACTTCCCAGGTGAAATTATTAATTTGGCTGAGGGATCCGATGCGCGGTAAAGAGGGAACAGACAGTCGAAGTAGAGCATCCGCCATCTGGCCATATAGCATGTCCAGCTTATCTTCGGCGATTTCCGGGTCTAGAATCCCTCGTTGTTCTTTCGGGCATCCCGGTATGTTAAGAGCGTCGTACATCTTGGTTTCATGCTCGATGTAATCCATAATGATAAACGGGCTGAGCTCAAGCGGACTCTCCTTCTTTGTGTCGGAGTGATGGATGAACGGAATAGGTATCGATGTCTGGTCCGCGATATATCGCATCACAGCGACCTCATTCTCAACTTTCTCCTCTGGAAAAAGGGCGGCACCAGGCTGTGACAACCGAATGACGGTAGCTCCATTCCGGTACTTTAGTCGCAGGGAAATATTGTAAGACCCCTTTCTAAGTATAGCAAACTCAGTTGCAATGCCTCTGTTGTGTTCCAGCATAAAATCCGCAATCGGTCGCAGGAAATCAACGTCTAGAAATTGCTCCAGCCATTTGTCGGCAGTTTCCTCCGCTTGTTCCCAGGCTAGATCATCGGGACTCATTTGTGTGACCATCTCGTGCGCAAAGAACTTGGTGGGTTGTGGACTTTTTAACGTTCAAAGGGAGGAGGGTCGAAGTTTAGCGGTGTGGATCTTCCAGTGGGGAAACCCCGCAGACTAAGCCCTGTCATCCGAGACCCTCTCCCGATAGGGAACGCGGAGAAGGCAAAAACGATGGCGGACCCAAAGCATTACTGAATATTAGAATGGGATAAGAAGAATGATAAACATGGTTAGTAGACATGGTGTTGTCAAAAAAAAGCCCCGGCACGAAAGGACAAATGATGAGGGCAGAGCAATTCATGGATTTCTTATGTAGGTATGGGATCAGTTTGGTGGCAAAGGGAGATGGCATATCCACATTCATCTAGCATGGTCGGAGTAATAGGGCTTTTCAGGTGTACCTGGCGATCTTTCGTGAGTCTAGCTTCTACTTGAGTCAACAAGCCAGTAACATGAAGAATTTTCCGCTTTCGCTAGCTAGTCGCAGTAATTGAAATGCAAATCAAGAACGATATAAATCTGTCACAAGCACCCCCGAATTAAGAAAGAAAAGAAAGAAAGAAAGAAAGAAAGAAAAGAAGGAGTCTCGGCTTTAGCCAAATGGCCTAAGCCAAGACCCGAGCTCTTTCAAATTTCAACAAGAGAACCAACCGTAGGTGAGCCGGTGGGGCATTAGCTACAGTGAATGGATCCAACACAGCTGGCTCAGTCTTACAGTAGCATTGGAGCCCTTGGCCCTTGGGATCGGCGTTTGGATTCCTCTGTTGACGTACGGAGCAAAGTAACAGTGTTTCTTTTCTTTTCTTTTCTTTCTTTCTTTCTTTTTTTTTTTTTTTTTTGACCCGGAATTTACTTCTGTCTGCTGTCGGTTAGAGCTACGTAGGCGTCTCGTAACCCCAATTTACCTGGTTTCCAATAAGTACAACGATGGAATCCCTCATACAGCCGGGTAATGCCTCACCATCTCGCCCTTGAGAATGCTGGGAGTTAGAATAATTTATGCACTTCCACCGAGACGGCTCGTACCATATATGAAAGACAAAAAATTACTCGGAAGAGCTCGAAAACAAGAAGGAGCAATATACGGAACTGACGGTAGCTGACATGAAATGGACTCGGATATCTACAAGGCTCGTTGATTTTCTGTAGTATAGGAGACTCGAAACCCAAGCTAGTAAATGGAATAATTTCTCAGTCAAATCGAAGTTGCCCCATCGACGGCGTCGGGATTCCGCGCTTGGACAAAACGCCACTAATGCAATCTAGATACCTATTCTCACTTCAATACCTCGAAATGACATTACAACTTGAATCCGTCGCCGGCTAGTCTACGCAATTGTATTGACCCGGTTTATGGTCCCTTATTGACAGTATCTGGATTGATCAGCTGACGTTGCTTTATTTTGTCGGGAGACGACAAACAGGACGGAAGAGGACGAGACAGGACGGCTCGGCACGGGACGGGACGGGACGGGACGAGAAGAAAGCTACCAACTGTGAAGTATACAAAAATGTGTCCGCACCCTCCTCGGTCCCATAAATGGTTAGATGCATACTGATCGATAGATCGGTGGAAGAATAGTAGAGAAGGCCCAAAAGCCGATTTGTTGAAGTTCTCGCTGATAATATCAAGACAAGGTAGAAAGATTGATTATGTATAGTAAAGGTCTAAAGGAGGAAGGCGAGGGCGTCTAATACAGTCCATGGGGTGTGAAACAGACATAAACCAGACGGGACAAAACGGAAAGGCAAGGGGAATGAAATCCGAAAAGATATAGAGCCACGGCAATGCTCTAGCGGGTAGGCAGAGCCGTAAGAGAAGCAGCTCTCTATTCAAGTAGCGCTACGTAATTCTCCAATATTTGCGCCAACGACGGATGAACCTTCTTGATATGCTCCTTCATCCTCTCCCTCCTGGGGGATTCCTTGGGGCAATCGGGGTCGACACATTTGTCTTTGATCGATAGATGAAACTCCTTGACGTGTCGTAATACGTCTGCTTTGCGGTTGAACGGCCTCTGGTGGGGGCAGTCCTTCCACAGGCACACGCACTTGTCTTCCAGTGCCCTAAATGGTGTTAGCTATGTTCGAGAGCATAGGTTCACAGGCGGAGGCGAGTTGGGGAATTTTCTCTCATCGTACCCTTGCTCGAGGATTGGACGGTTGTGCACTTGGGTCACTTGGCCGGCATGAACAGCGTCCCGTGCAGGGTTGGCAGGGGAGTAGCCATCTTGAGCAGAGGCTGAAGACCCAAGGTAGGTATACGCTTGGGGTTCCTGCTCGAAGCTCATGGGCAACAACTGTGCGCTGCCGTTGAAGGGCGGTGCAAGAGCATCGAGGTCTGCGTCAACATAGCCCCCATTTGCTTGAGAGGGAAATCGAGCGGCGTGTTGCATCGACTCGGGGCCAGATGGTTGACTGGGATTGCCCCAGGCAGCAAAGCCGTAGGATGGCATCATGTGACTAGGGCTTCGAGGATATGGGCCATCATTCGGCAGGGTTGGTGCAAATTGAGAGGCATCATTGAAATCAAAGACGTCCGAACCACGGTTGTACGAGTGGACAGGGGCTGCGGCCCTTCGTGACGGGTCCGGCACACCATCTACGGACGAGTAGCGGAAGTTATCAGGCATGGTTGCGTACGGAGTAGGTGAAGGAGGATGGGAAACAGTTCTTGGAAGGGCGGTAAAAGTCTAGGAGCTGATGATGGTTTGAAAATTGGGCTGATAGAGACAGCGGGATTATATGGGACTTATATACATGCAAACTAGCCTACAAATGATATGAATTAACCTTCCTTAATGAAGGGCCGTTGACTGCCATGGAAGCGCGCGTTGAGGTAGGCTGAGGGAGATAGAGTTCTTCGAGTGGCCCGGGCAGGGACCCACTCTGCAATTCCAGGTTATTAGTGGCGGACCCGACCACCCACCGCCTTCCAATATTTCTCTCTTATTTTTTTTTCCATCATCGCCGATCTATTTCCGTATCCGAATGCCCGTCTTTACCTCCCCGAACGGGCATGTCCAATAAACGGCCCATTAACCCTTGGTAGAAGAGGGCACATCCGTAGCGGGCTAAATCCCCCAAGCCTTCTTACGCGCATCATTTTACACCGCTGGAAGGCGCCATCTCACCCTCTCCACTAGGGATGGTAATAGAATGAATTCACTCTTCGGGAACGGCCAGACAGGTTTGGTCTGATAACTTATTCTACATCTAGACCATGGACTGTTGTCTACAACAGAAACTATTCATCAAGCAAGCGTGGAGGGGCACTAAACTGGAAGGTTGGGGTGGGGGTGCTACATGCTGCTCACGAGCACGCCCTTTTCTTTGGAAACAATGACACTCCGGGAAAGGAGTTCGGGGAGGGAAGAGAAATCGAGTAGCCAATGAAGAACCAAGGAGGGCAGGAGAAGACGTGCAGTCGCAGCCACAACTTGTCTTGGACGCCGCCGCAAATCTGTCCATCTGGGACAAAGATGAACGAGGTAAAATGTCAAAACGCCTGATGCAGCCAAGGGAAATTGGTCGCAAGCCTAAGGTGAAGAGCACAATTAGCTAGTTCGCTCCTCTCCAACGGACTTTTGCCCTCGTTCCAGATGTGCGCTGGTCTCCAGGAGAGAGTTTCCACCGACTAAAGGCAGAAAAAAAAGCTCAAAAGTAGCTTGAACGAGAGGACGTAAATTTCCAGCTTTCGAATGTGGACCGTACAGTACAATCATCAGGGAGGAATGAGTCCATTCGAACTCATCCAGCTGCCAGGGTCAAAATGAGTCTGACAGTTGGGAATGAGTCCAGGATTTGGTTTTCGTCGGCGACGACCGACAGAGCCGCCACTCCGCAACAAAAAAAAAAAAAAAAAAAAAAAAAAATCCGAATTCTGCCGGCAGAATCCAGGCAGGGCCCTACTACCTACCTTCTACCTGCCTACCTCCCACCTGCATATCTCTCGCTGAATTGCTCAAAAACGCAATAAAAAATGATCAGAGTTTATTTCTTTTGAAAATTAATCAAAAAAAATTTTTAAACTCCGAAATTCCAGTATTCCCGCAATTCTCTCTTCTTTTTTTCCCCCGTTATCTTTTTTGTGACGGTCGATGGCAGGTGCGCTTCTACCACCTTCCGCTTTGGCAGGGCTGTGGGACTGTTATCCGTGGCCTCCGGGATCCTGCGGTCCACCCACCACCAAAAAGGTGGTGGGTGGACCGCAGCGAAATTGAAGATTGCAGCAAAATTGAAATATATATAATAGTCTATATATAAAACAAAAAATTATGAAAAGATTATACAAATAAAATTTAGATTAGTTTAAATATATTTATTTAAAAAAAAATTCAACTTTCTTATATTTTTATAGAATAAAAATTAATTTTAGATTTTATTCAAAAATATTCAAAAATTAATTAAAAATAGAATAAATATATATTTTGAGATTTATAAATATAGATATATAATATTTATTGTGTTTTACTTATATATAAAAATATGATTTGTAACTATCTTTATAAACTTTTTATTAATTTTCTAAATCTTATTCTAATAAATTTACTAAATAAATTATATATGTAGATTTCTTTTTTTAAATATAATTCTATAAAATTAAAATATAAAAATTATTAAAAATCTTTAAAAAAAACTTAAAATATTTTTTTATATAATTATTCATTAATATATAAACATTTTATTTTATAAAACATTTTTATTTAAAATTTAAATATTTTTTTAATAAATTTTAAAATTGATTTTACATTAGTAAGATATAAAAAAATCTAAACGTTTTTTCTATTATTATATACTAAATAGTATGAGTTTAATTTATATATTTTTTTAATAATTTTAAATTATATATATAGATCTATATTAACTAAAATAATTATTTTCAATTTTGCTGCAAACTTCAATTTCGCTGCGGTCCACCCACCACCTTTTTGGTGGTGGGTGGACCGAAAGTTCCTGGAGGCCACGGATACCGACTGCGCCACCAAAAGACTAGAATACCAAGTCCCCAGACTTGGCTGCGCATCGCTCTATATAGTGGTTCTTGGTCAGTTCGTCACATTTTCGACAATCACCACAATTTTCGTATCAATCTCCAGCAAATTCTTGATCTTTTTCGCCATACCAATCAAAACGAACATAATAATGAAAAATCAATTAGCTTTCTGATCTTTCTATTATCTAAAGTAATTCTATATAGCTTCATGAACGTATATAGTAGGCGGTTGAGCGAGCGGTGAGAGGATTTTTTTTGTTGCGGAGTGGCGGCTATGGCCCGCCGCAGACTGTGGTACCTGGACCGTGATGTCGGGATTCCATCGCTCATATAATGGGGTCATAACACTGGACAGTGTGCGTCACTAATTCCAAGCAGGTTCTGCTGCTGCTTGGAGTCGGAAGGAGCAGGTCAGTTCAGACAGCTCAGATTCTCGATGCATCGGTCGGCGGGTGACAGGGGTATGCACGTAATGAACAGACTGTACATATCAACAAGTCTCCATTTGCCTAGTTTGGCCTTGGCCTAAACGCGCTCCCCCACCCCCGTGCCCACCGCGGAACGAGATCTACAGTTGGTCAGTCTGTCTGACTCCGTACAGCTCAGAGCTGGCGGAAACCACCTGGGTCCTTGCCAGTGTCTGCACCGGATGGAGTGACTCCGAGAGGGAAGAATGGGCAAAGGCAAAGAACAGATGTGGGCAATCTTAGTCTGTTGTCGATTTTTCTACAGAAGCGAGACCACGGATTTAGTACTAGAAGAGGAGATCGGGGCCGATGAAAAGGGAGAAATTTCGAGGCAACCAATGGCTGGAAGTGGAACACGACATGCAGGTAAAAGCGCCGCCTACGGAGTATGTACCGGTGGATAGCGAACGATGGAGAGAAAAGAAAAAGTCAAAAGGAAAATAGAATAATTCCATCTTTAGCACCACAGTAGATAATCATCAGGGCGGGACTGACGGTTCAACACAATGCATGCCTCATGGTTTCCCTCCCACCATCCTCCTGTGCCCTCGTCGCAGGGATCGGTAGATCTTCTGCATCCTCAATTTTCCAGCTGACTGCAGCAACAACAACCACGTGACGGGATCCATTGCAGTCCCGTTGAACGCACCTCCAGCCAGATGATTTCGGATAGACCAATACGAACAAAACCTCAGATACCATGGTGGCATAACAACTTCTTCTATCAGGTCTACCACAATTCTCGTTTTGCCGAGTTTGGCCCCGGGCTAAATTATGCAGCGTCCGCCTCAAAATGTTGAGTATTTGGCTTGTGGGCGAGATGTGCCCTATCCACCTATCCAGGACTCATGGTGCATGAATTTGTGCCCGTTTCTGCGCCGGACGGATTGACTGGCAAAAGGGGAGTGGGCAAAGGATTTTCTCTAATCGTATTAACATAATCGTATGCCGTAGACTGCGCTCCAAAATTGATTCTGCGTACGGAATAGAAAATACCCTCTGTCATCGTCCATAAGAAATGTTGTTGATAATTAGTTGAGATATTCGAAAAGATCTTCGGGCATGAGGGCAACAAACTGGGGAAGAAGGGGTTGGATATTGATAGAACTACCACTACCTACTCGAGCGCCGGTTTTCTTAAAATGCCGACCCACGACAACTGTAGATTAGGTTTCCGATCTTCGTCCCCACAGTACCTAGCGGGAACCATCTTGTCTTAGTCCCGCCATGAATACATCCACTTTTCTCTTGGTTTTTAGATTTCGCCTCAGGATTCGGTAACCTTTCCATTCATGGCCTTTCTAAGTAAGAAAAAGAATGATTAGACAGCATCGGGAAAATACGTATATACACTTACGGTACATCTTAATTTTGACTTGTTCATAATATCTACTAAAGTCGGTAAAAAGGAAATACAGTCTACATAGTCTACTAAGTATATCTTATATAGATATTTAGATCTAGAGCTAACTTTAGAATTGATCCCTGTGTAGTAGACTATATCTAAGCAAGTGACTATAATATCTGAAGTTATGATCTAGGGATCTTGACCTAGACCCCGTCCAGTCCGTATCAAGTCCAAATAATTGATTAATATATCAAACTTCTATTGGTATAAAAGCTTCAACCTACCTCTACAAGTCTCGTGTTTCTTCTAAAATTTTAGAATTCAACAAGATTAAATGCTAGGCGGGCGCACTATCTATATAGCCAATCGTTCTAATAGACTCAATCAGGTTAGATGAATATAACACAACATAAATAGCAAATGAAAACAACGTCTATCCAACTGCCAATGCATGCATTCAACCATCATAAACAACACACTCCTCCCATGCCTGCGCGAATGAAGAATGGTTCTTCACGATGTGATCCTTGATCTTATCTCTCCGGCTGAAGGATCTGAGACAGCCCCGGACGCCGCATTTGTATGATTTGATGGAAAGATGGATCGATTTGACATGTCGCAGGACGTCTTCTTTGCGGTTGAATGGCTTCGTGTGGGTGCAGTCTTTCCATTGACATAATGGCTTTTCTTCCCTGGCATTTCTGGGGAATGTTAGCTGCGCTCGGAAGGAGTGTCCGAAGGTAGGGAGGGCTGCTTTTCTTGACGTACCCTTCCTCAAGGGTCGGTTGGTCCCGTTCTTGAACCATTTCCCTGGGACGAGAAGCGCTGGGTGATGGGTCTGCGGCGGCGGCATTATCATGATTGCAGACTACATTCGGAAAGGAACGGGGCTCCAATGCGTGTTGGTATATCCCAGAAACCCGTGTTGAACTGCCGTTCATAGGAAGATGGGAGGCGGGATCGAGGCTGTGCTGCACCGCCGGCTGAACAGCCGCGTGCATCGAGTCGCTGCTGTACCAGCTTTCTAGTTTGGACTTGGCCTCATGAGTGTAAGATGACGCCATGTGACTAGGGTTCGAAGCTGCGCGCGCATTCAAATCAAAGGGTGAATAGTGAAAAGAGGAATTGGTTGCAAAGTCTCCTGGATCGCAGTCTATGAAATGCAAAGGCTCGGGGTCGGGTAGGGCTGCAGGGTTCCACGAGGTATGCGCAGCGCCATCCATGGACCAGTTGAAAAGGCTGTCCGACATAGTCTGTAAATGAAGGTTGGCAAACTGGGTATGAGAGATGAGAGAAGATCCAGGAGCCGGTGAATGTCCAGGAAGTGGGACTGAGAGAGGGCCGCCATATTTATACCAGGCCGGTGTACCGACCTGTCTGGACAGGGCCAAAGAAGTCGGTCAAGAAATGAAAGCCAAACGCAGAGGTAGAGAGGGTCGGTCAAAGCCGCAAGAACGCAAAATTTAATTTTATTTTGAAGAAGCAATTGCCCTGCCAGTACTTTTGCGTTTGACATTTCGTGCTTCGACTTTTGACGTGCTGTTTGCTTTCCGCCAGCCCCGACCACCCGTACTTTTGATGCGTTGTCAACAAGCACGACGAGTCGCCAGATGGTTGGATAAAAATTGAAAGGGCAAAGGTATCTTTGCGCACGCTAGCCCCGGGGAATTAGACCCGGAGGCTCAGTTTGAACACGCTGCAGTAAGCCGCATAATAGATACGAAAGTACTGCACAGGGGGCTTGTTCCCGACCTGACAGCAGTTCATTCGTCCACTTCATGCGCATGCGATTCGTGCACATGAGATTTGTGCACATGGGGCTCATGCATTGGGGACTCATTCAATGCTGTTGAACACCAAGAACGATGGCGGTTAAAATTTGGTCCATCATCTAGACGATTGCACTGTTGTTCACCGTTAGATCCCGTCTTAGTGCCCACAGCCCTAGGGATGACGGGATCAAACGCTGTACTACTCGATGCAGGTGAAGACCCAAATCGTTCGCCTGACCAGGGCCAGGGAAAAGCCAAAGATAAAATAAAAAGAAGTTGCCCTACCTAGTACTCTGTTTCGAATCTGGCAAAGGGCAATTTACCTGTCGAGGCCGGTTGTTGAATATCTCGGTCACGGTACTTTTGTCCATGGAACAGAGGGGCCTTTTGTGGCCCGACCAAAAAAAGTACCATGCAGGAAAAAATGAACATCCACCAGCCCGTGTCAGATGTGAGGCACCAGGCACCAGGCACCGTAGGACAACTCATCCTGCTCGTCAGACGAGACAACCCGAGGAAGTGGATGCTGATAGGCTGGCTAAAACGGGCACGAACCCCTTACTCGGTACGCAATCGGTAGATCAGGCTGTGGATCAGGGCAGTCAAGAAGCTAAAGAAATGTTCATGCACCTGAATCATCGGGTGCAGGGAGATCAACTCCCCGGGGATGGACAGAGAGCCGAGGCCTCCAAGCCCACCCAAGATCCCAGATATGCTGCAGGAGTCGGTCAACTGTGTTCTCTGTCTAGTTATGCCATAAACCAAGGTTTATTCTTGTTGTTTTTTTCAGAAGAACGGCCATGCACCGAGGTATTATCACGCCCTAATAGATGATTGCCATCATTTGATGTTGGTGCCTTTTTTTTGTCGTCTTCTGCGCAGAACCCTGGCGAGCTTTTTTAATGTGAATTTTTCTTTTTCTTAAAGTGCATTATATCTATTCCTGTAAAATTCCAGTGAAAAGCCTTTCTTGTTCTCTCTAAGTAATTAAGCAAGTCTGCTTAACCATCTGTTGACCTCTTTAAGATCGGTATTGCGGGTCATAATAATTAATAACTAAAAAAAGATTAAAGTCAGATAGTATAGGTTATATTAAACAAAAATATAAAAAAAATATAGTAAGCTACATATATTCGTATTTTGTTGTCAGCTATAGCACGAACAAAATCTGCAATTTCCTTTTAAAAATTACAGATTTGTCCTTGTACACTCTCCTAATCTTTGGCGGCATTTATTTGTTTTAATATAAGAAGATGTTAGTCTATCGAAATTACATCTTATCTCTTTTTATGCAGTTATCTTGTTCACTAAACACTAACTACTTTTGTTGACTAGTAGGCAATTGTTTGTTTTCGCCCGGAACTTTGACATTCTATACATAATTGTTTGAATTAATAAAAAAACGAAGTAGATTTAAGATTCAAGATTGGGGGTCGTTTTCCCTTATTGCCCCCTTTTCCAGAGGGTTTTATTGTGTTCTCGGCCTGAGTGTGAGCAACTCTCTGGTCTTATATGTGTTATAGTGTCAAAACTTGCTCGTAAACCAAGGGGTGAGATGGCCGAGTGGTTAAGGATCCTTAACGTATCCTTTACTATACTCTCTCTGTTTTTTTCCCCCTTTTTTTTTTTTCTTTCTTTTTCTTCCTCGGTTGTCTTCAAATTTTCCATGCCTTCTTAACCAGTACGGGGAGTTCTTCCCATGAAAACAGTGATGCTTTCAACAAATGATCAAAACGTAAAGATAGCGTAGAAGTAGCACAAGTACAAAAGGAAGACAGACAAAAGAAAGAAAATGGAAGAACAGAGGGGTCCATGTCTGATCAGCAATTAGCACTACGCATTGTTTTGGATGTTTTGGTGCCTTGAGGTTGCGATGTCATGTCACCAAGCATTTTGTGTCCGCTTGCCTCTACAGATTGTACGCAGCTTGGTCAATGATACTATGGAATATCTGTTCTTCTTCTTGAAAGTCTATATTGTAGCTTTTCCATCATGATTCCTTAGACGCTAGTGGTGTTTGTTTTTGAATTTGTTTGTTCAAGCTGCTCCACTCTAAATATCTCGTCTAGGACCCATGGACATATTTTGACCATCAGGCAGCGCGACAGGAAAACTGCAACCTCTCGAACAAACTTCTAGCCGAATGATTTACCGCCCATTTTACAAGCTCGGCTTCACATAAATGTATAGTATATCCCTTCAATCAGGTCTACCAGTCAATCAACAGCAAAAAGCAAAATTGGTATTTCCATTGACATTGCAATCATACTGCCAGCCATAAACCAAACACATATACCACAGAAGATCAACGGCTATGAACAGATAAAGAGAGAGAGATGGCTCGGTTCTTTTCAATAACACGACAAGAACGACAACCAGAAAAAAGAAAGAATACAATACAATTATCTAGGTACAAATCTAAAGAGAGTAGGGAATCGGCTAGCCCAGCTTGGCCTTGAGAGATTCAATCTCCGCAGTAAGAGTCTGCATCTGCTGTGCCTGGGTGGCGATGGTCTTGGTCTGCTCGGCAATCAGGTCCTTGATGCTGCCAATCTCCCGCTGCACGGCGTCGGCGGCCACGGCGGCCGTGGTGGTCAGGGTGGATCCGGCGGAGCCGGTGGGGGTCGAGACGGTCGGGGTGTTGGTCGCAGAGCGATCGTTGGTAGGGGTCGAGACCTAGATGCCGTTAGACAGGAGATATTGGATGTAAATGGAGTGCAGCTTACCTTAGGGGGAGTAGGCGTCGACTTGGCCTCCTCCTTCTGGCCCCAAGGGCTGGCCTTCACGGTGGGAGAGGCATTGTCCGGAGAACGCGAAGGGTGCTCGACCGGCTTGGGGACCTCGTCGAAGCTTGAGTCCTCCACGGGGGCGGGCTCGTCATCTTCCTCATCGGCGAACTTGTTGACCATGGCGGCCATAGAGGCACCCTGCTCCTTCATAGAAGGCGCAGGCTTGACGATGGGGGTAGGTTCGGGAGTGGGTTCGGGAGCCTTCTTCACAGGCGAAGGCTCGGCGGGCTTCGGTTGCGACTCCGGTTGAGGCTCAGGAGCGCCCATGGTAGATGTGGGCTTGTCCTGCACGCCGGTGACCTCCTTCAAGCCCTCGCCCTCGTAGAGGCTGGCCATGGAGATCTTGGGCGGGATGGCTTCCTTGCCGGAAACCCAATCCCCGGGTCCCATAGCAGGCGTGAGACCGATCGTCGGGGGGTAGATGTCATCCTGGAAAGACTCGGCACGACGGGGGACGATGAAGGAGATAGGTTCGATGTACGAGTCGTTGACGGTCTTGAAGGCACGAGTGACTTCGTTCTCGTGGGCGTTGACACCGCGCTTGGGCATGAACGCGATACCACGCTGGGGGTCGGCGGACTTGTATTCGGCAAGGTACTCAAACTTGTCGTTCTCAAGTTCGAAGTAGCGGATGTTTCCGTCACTAACAGTTATGGTTAGAGTTGCTCCGCATAAACCAGGCGTCGCGACTTACCCTCTGCCAGCCAAGTACAGACATTGCGTGCCATCATCCCAGAAAGGCATGCAAACACCAGAGATCGAGTCGAGCGTCTTGAACCCGTTGATGGGCTCCCGAGGCGCACGGATATCCCACAGAGCCAGCTGACGGTCACTCATCTTCGAGAAACCAGTGGTCGCGATGCGGTCGCGCTCTCCCAGCCAAACCGAACGACTGTTCTTGGCACCCGAGTGGCCTTGAGTCTCATGCGCAGGGCGCTCCTGACGCACATCCCAAATGCGCAGCTTCTTGTCTCGCGACGTGGTAACCAGCAGCGATCCGTTGGCACTCCAGGACTGCGACTGCACAATGTCGCCGAGGTTCAGAGTGAATTTGGGGGCACCGGCTTCGATATCCCAGACCTTCACGGTGAAGTCACCGGAGGCAGTAGCGAGAATGTTTTCGGCGGCGGGGTTGAAGAGAACGTGTCCGACTTTCCTGCGAGAGTGCAACACCACGTTAGGTCGACAGACCGGGAACCGGAACGCGATCCAGAGAACCTACTTGGGATGTCCGTTCAATTTTCCAACCGGCGCAATGTCCTGAACCTGATCGGGTTCCACATCCGGGCGAAGGGTGAAGTTCTCCGGAACGCGCCAGAGCAAGACCTGGAACGGGGTTAGTTGGGTGTGCGGTGTAGGCAGCCATCTCGGATCGGGATTCGTACTCTGCCATCGTCGGAGCCGGAGGCAATCAAGTCATCGTTGAAAGGGTTCCTGTACAATGATTTGTTGGTTGTTTTGTCCACCACGGTCGACTCCTATTCCACCACTCACCAGTCGGTGTCCAGCACAACGGCGGTATGGCCTCGGAACAAGGGAATTCGCTCCGGCAATTTGCCCCGTTCTTCCAGGGGAATCACAGCGAAAGCACCTCCACCACCGGCCTCCCAGTTGACAGACAGATAATGGGGGTTGGCCTAGAATGAGGGGAAAGGTCAGAAGTCTGCGGAAGTGTCGTCGGCGTCGGTTTCAGGGGCGGGTGATCGCGGACGCAAGGGGAAGGCGAACCTTGACGAGATTGGTGTCCCAGGCATTTCTCGAGATACGCAGGTTATCATAGCATTGATCCTAGAACGATGGTGAGCCATTGAGAGGGGAGGACGAGGCTAGGATGCGAACCTTTCTCGTGGGCCGCCCGAAGACGTGTCCTGATACCTGTCAGATTGCGGGCAGCTCTTTTTTCAAGGAGGGGAAAAGGAACGCTAGGCTGGCTCACGGTATTTGGAGGAACGGACGAAACGACCAGACATAGTGCTGGTTTTTATGGAACGGAAAAATCAACGACGAAGGGCCAAAAAGAACAAGAACGCAGGGAACAATACAAAGGAGGAGGAGAGAAGACAAAGGGTACGGAGTAAGCTGTCTGTCTGGCCGTGAAAGCAGGCTTAATTTAGTCCCGAGTGGAAACACCCGCAAGCGGACTAACGATGGAGAGGCCGAGTCGATGGGCTGCAGGCAATCAGGGAGGACCCGCTCAGGGGACGGCAAGACAGTAGGGAGACGGTGAATCTGGGATGCACTGAAACGATGAACACCAAGTAAGAGACTGTGAGGACTGAGAATAAGAAGGCAATTTGTTTCTTTTCGTTCTTTTTGTCTGCAACACAAACCAGACAAACCAAGCAAACTCAACTCAAGTCCCGTGCCAGTCCCGTGACCTGGCAGTATCTGGTATGGTAATCTATACGGGATGGGAACACATACTTACCGCTAGACTCTGTCCGGACTAGTCCCGCCCCACCAGTCCAGGCTGACTCAGCCCGGTTTGTTTGGTTTGTTTACCGCCCGCCGTCACTCCAGAAACGAGCGACACTTTTGATTGTTGCTCTCCGGACTCTCCTGCACGACATCCCGTTGGCTCATCGCATCCCACACCGTCGACACCAGACTCGACTCGCCGACTAGTCTCCCTTATTACCTGGCAGACCGGGTGGGCGCCCCTCGCATGCTGCAGTTCTCTTTCAATTCCATTGTCGTCTTTGCTTCTTCCTGCCACACCCGTCGCCCTACAATTCTGTCTGTTTACCTTCCCTAACGGCGGCTTCATGAGCTGCAGTCACCACCTCCGACTTCCTTGCTTCATCTGTTGTAAATAGCTAGCCGACTTTATATCCGTTGCCGCCATGGAGAACGACTATTCGGTATGTGCGCCGCAATTGCGCATGTTCTTGATCGTTGCTGACGCCTGAACAGACTCTGTCAAGAACAGCCGGGCGAACACGCATTCCCGCCGGTCTGAAGGAAATGAGCGGTGCTGGAACGAACTCGCGCTCAGGACTGCTTCCTCCGGGCTCGATTGCCAACAAAACGTCGGCCGTTCCGCGTATGTGGGAGAGAATTGTACGGCAGCAGGCGCCTGGAAGGCTAACAATTTCAGAACCCACTCGTGCGAGGAGTACCACGCAAGGCGCCGAATCGAGTCGATCCGGAGTTGCACCGTCGACGACAACACGTTCCGCTTCCGTCATGGGCAAACCGCACACCAGGGCAAATTCTTACGCCTCCACCACATTAGGTCGCTCCGCCTCTACCACCTCCCGAACGACGAAGAGTGCCTATTCCTCCACAGTCGGACCGAATGCGCGATCAAACCCTGGCGCTCGCCCGCACACGTCGATGGCCACCACCCGAAGGCAGAATGGCAACGCGCTACCCCGGCCGGCGACCTCGCTGGATACCCATAACGAAGAAGATTCAAGGATCCTGGGCAAACGAAAGGGTAGGCCAGATTCCCGCGTCTTGTTTTCCCCTCTTCCAGCCCTTCCACGGCCCTGGTCCCGTAGTAGTCTACATGGAAATAATCCGCCGACCAGTCCCACGGCTTGTTCTCCCCTCTCGGCATTAAGGGAGACGTCGACTGGACCTGGTAACTGTGATGTTTCGCTGTCTTCTGCAATGGATCGATTGAGTCTGGAATCCCCTTCACCCGCGATGGTCCCTACATGTCTTGCGAGAGATATCCCCTATACACATGACCCTGTATTTACCTGCTCATCTACCCCCGTCCGTCCCCCGCCAAGCAACTCATTCTTCCTATCCCAAAGTTCCTGCAAGCGAACGAGACCCCCAATCCCCCAATTTCTCACCAAAGATTCCACGATCACATCTTTTAACTCTCGTACAGGCGTTGATTGGGACCGCGAATCGCGCGAAAAACTTATGGATGAGCATTTCACCATGCTCATGTCGCGGATGAACCAGACGAGCCAGGAAAGTTTTGCCTACAAGGAAACTGTTGAACTGTACAAGTCGAGAGGTAAGCGTCTGTTTGATTGCCCATGCAAAACGAGGAACTGACAAATCTTGGTATCTAGTGAACGAGTTAGAAGAATCTCGAAAAGAGCTTACCGAATCGAAAGTCTCGTTGCGTGTCGAGATCGAAACACTGAAAGGCCAACTAGCAACAGCCGATGGCGCCCTTCGGGACGCCCAGAGAGACTACGAGATAACCGTGGATGAGATGGATAACCGGAGACGGGCTGAAGTAGAGGCTGCCAAGCAGGACAACAAGAAAGAAATTGACGCCTTGATGGCACAACATCTAAATGAGATGCAAGAGTTGCAGCGACGGTTTGACCGCGAGCTGGACGAGGAGAGATCCGCGCGCATGCGCGAGATTACCCAGCTCAATTCGCAGACAGCGATGGACAACCAACGAACCCAGATTGAACTGGAGCGCAAAGAAAGAGAAGCGGCAGCGCTGCATAACGACATTCAGAACCTGCGACACGAACTCGACCGGGAACGAAAGAGCACCCAGGATCTCCGCCATAACCTCGACACGGCCAGCACCAACGGCGTGACCATGGAGTCGTCCATCCGAGCACTCAAGGCGCGAATCGAGTTCCTGGAAGGGGGCAGGGAGGAGCAGTCCCAGGCATTTGAACGATTGAACCAGCAGATGATGGATGCGCTCGATGAAACCAATGCGACCAAAGAGAAGCTCCGAAAGGAGGAGACCCTGCGCCGGAAGCTACACAACCAGGTTCAAGAGCTCAAGGGTAACATCCGGGTCTTCTGTCGTGTCCGTCCGTCACTGAACGACGAACGCGTTACGGACGTCGCGCAAATCCAGTATCCCGACGAGTCGGACGACAGCAAGGAGATCTGCGTCATGGGGCCGGAAGAGAAGAGCAGCCTCGGCACGGTATCACGGAAGAACAACACTTTCGCCTTCGATCGGGTATTCGGGCCCTCTGCCCAGAATGCGGAAGTTTTTGACGAGATCAGTCAGCTGGTGCAGAGCGCACTCGACGGATACAACGTCTGCATCTTCTGTTACGGTCAGACCGGTAGTGGTAAGACCCACACCATGTCCTCGCTGGATGGTATGATCCCTCGGGCTGTCCACCAGATCTATGAAACCGCCACGGGTTTGGAAGAGAAGGGCTGGCGATACACGATGGAGGGCAATTTTGTTGAAGTGTACAACGAGAACTTGAACGACTTGCTGGGCAAGGCGGAAGAGCTCGACAAGAAGAAACACGAGATCCGGCACGATATGCAGCGGGGCAAGACGATGATCACCGACATTACGACCGTCCGACTTGACTCGCCGGAGATGGTCGAGACCATCCTGAAGCGGGCTGCCTCCAACCGATCTGTCGCAGCCACCAAGGCCAACGAGAGATCGTCTCGATCGCACTCAGTCTTCATTCTCAAGCTCATCGGCGAGAACCACATCACCGGCGAGCGCAGCGAGGGCACGCTCAACCTGGTGGATTTGGCGGGTAGCGAACGACTCAGTCAGAGTGGAGCTACTGGCGAGAGACTGAGAGAGACGCAGAACATCAACCGTAGTTTGAGCTGCCTGGGAGATGTTATTGCGGCGCTGGGACAGGGCAAGGAGGGCGGACATATCCCGTATCGCAACAGCAAGGTTTGTTCCAGTACCCACATTCGTACAAAATACCGGTGGCTAATTATTTCGCAGCTTACGTACCTTTTGCAATTCTCCCTTGGAGGCAACTCCAAAACATTGATGTTAGTGATGGTCAGCCCTCTGCAGGCGCATCTCTCCGAGTCCTTGACCAGCTTGAAGTTCGCCACGAAGGTGCACAACACCCACATCGGGACAGCCAAGCGACAGGCGCGCGTTCGTGATTCTTAATGATACCTTTGGATTTTGTGATAGGCCTTAATGATTCAGGCCTTGGATTAGCCGGTGTTTGGGTTTGACTTTGAGATACTACCTTGTTTGTTTTCTTGTTTCTGTTTAGGTTAATTTAATCGTCGTCCGGCTTTGACTTGTATGTAGACATTCCCAGTCAATCAACTCTATATACCATCCAATCCTGGCCAGTCAAAATAAGGTCTCCTCAATAAACTCCCTAATCTCATTCAACGTTTTCAGTCTTGCCTCAATCCACGGAAAATGCCCACATCCTTCGCAAACCACCAGCCTACTCGCATCAATCCCATTGCGCATCTTCTCCGCGCTCTCAACTCTACATGCCCGATCCTCCGCTCCAGCGATGATCAACGTCCGAGCCTTCACATCCCCTAACCGACGAACCATCTCCCCGGACTCTTCGTAGACCCGATCACTCCCGTAGACTCCCTCGTAGCACCACACTGACATCACGTGGCCCCCGATCGCAGAGAGTAATACAGGAACATATTCAGCTGGGTTGGAGAAGTACAACGGCCACATGGCGTTCACGGAAGCTGTGAATGCCGAGTCAGAGGATTTGTCCAGTTTGAGTTGCGTTTTGTTGGAGGAGCGGGGGTCGTGGTTGGGGGTTTTCAGGATGTTGGTGTTGGTTTCTGTCCTGTTGTAGATATGTTCTTTGCTGTGTTGCTGATTGTCTCCATCTGTATGCCTTTGTCTTTGTTCGTTCTTGTTCTGGTTATTGTTGTCGTTGTTGTCGTTCGCATACCCGTTCTCATACTGATTCTCATTCCCAACTCTTCTTTCCCAGTGCACATCCTTTTCTTCATCCTGATCTGTATCGTCATTTTCATCTTGACCTCCCTTTTTCTCCTCCTCCTCCTCCTCCTCCTCCTTTGCCCGAATACTCTTAAACCCAATCAACTGTCCCCCGACCAACACCAACCTCTCCACCCTCTCCGGATACATCTCCGCATAGGCCAACGCAATCGCCCCGCCGTTCGAATGGCCCAGTAGCGTGGGTATCTTTTCTAGGTTCAGATGGATTCGTAAGTCTTCAAGATCGGTTGCTAGTTCGAACGAGGACATGGCTGTTTGAGAGGTGGGTCGCGTGCTACGGCCTGTTCCGCGGGGGTGGTGGAATAGGAGGATGTAGGGTTTGGGTTTTGGGTTTGAGGGGGATGGAGATGGGGTGAGGAGTCCATTTAGGTCGTGTTGGAGGTATGAGGAGCCGAGACCCCATGCTGGGGGGTGAATTATTATTAGATTATGGTTGTTGTAGTGGTGGTGGTCGTGGGAGATAGGTTGAGGAGCATTAGTGTGGATAATGTATTCGAATGTGAGGTTTTTGGATGCGGAGTGGAAGGTGTGAGGGCCTGGGGTGAGAGGGTGAGGTGGAGGGGGAGGCGGCATTTTCCTTGTCGTTCAGGTGGTGATTTCTAATTTGAACTGTGTTGGACTCGTCAGTCATTGGGATTGCTCAATGAGATGAGGAGGGGTTGGCTTGTGTTGTGTAAAATGCGTTGGGTTTGATAGGAGAGAAGAGAAGGTAGATGTATATTTTGGTGGATGATGTCATTGCTATTAATGTAGCCAGTTCTAGGTGTCGAGTGAATGCATACCGGATACTTGCAGCGTCTTACATCTTGTTTCGGATCCTTCTGGAACATATTATATATATATATCTGTGCATATTGTTTGATAACTCTATTGTAACATACATGTTGACGTATCGGCGTACTGTAAGGGTATAGACCTTTGCCTAGTCTAGGGTTTTGATCGAGTTGGCAGAATGCGAACATCTTTTAATATATAGTCAGTATCATACGCTAATGTAAACGTAGAACCCGGATATATTGATACAATCGGTCTATCCTATTTAAACATCTTTTTCCTCACACCTTTTGTCTGCCCCGTCCTGTCTGTCTACGCCGTCTTTCCAACCTCGTTCTTCACCCACGCCTCCAATCCACCAGCAGCAATGATCTCTTGCACGTTGGCCGGCAGCTCACCGACCTGCTCCGTCCAGGTCTCGCCGTTCTCGCCCTCCTTCACCTCGACAACGCTGCGCTTGACGTCCCACGTCAACGTCCAGCCCGTGCGACGGGTGAGTTGACGCTTCGAGGCGTCTTCCGGCTGAGCAAACTGCGCACGCAGACGCTCAACCAAACGCGGCACTTCCAGACCCATCAGCGCGTTGTTGATGCTGTTTCGCGCGAAGATGTTTCCGAAACTGCCCGACACGACCAGCGGGATCTTCTTGGCAAGAATGGCCGTCGCGGCCTGCTCGCGCGACGATCCGCAGCCAAAGTTGAACCCAGCCACCAGGATGTCGCTGGCCTTGGCCGTGTCCTTGAAGGAGGGGTCGTAGTTCATCATGCACGCCTGCGCCATGTCCTCCTTTGACACGTTGTCCTGGTAAGTCAGCTTACCCGGGTAGATGCTGTCGGTGTCGAGGTTGTCCGCGTCGCAAAAGACAATCTCGCCGCTGACCTTCTCCGGGAAGCCCGGGAGGATCTCGGTGGCCGACTTCTTGGTGGCACCGCCCGCCGACTCGACCCGCTCGATCAGGGAATCCATCTGCTCGATGAAGTTGCTGAGCTCGTTCTCCGTTGTAGCGGGCATGCCAGTGCCGAAGCCGTGGTCAACGCCGTCCCAGTCCTCGGGCACCTTGTAGGCGCCGGGGCCGTTGATGATGCCGCTGAGAGCACTGGCCGCCACGACCTCGGGACTGGCCAGGTAGGCGAGCGCGTCACGCGAGCCCATGCGTCCCTTGAAGTTACGGTTGCTGGCACTGATGCCGACCTCGCCAGGTTCCAGCAATCCGGTGCCGAGACCGATACAGGGTCCGCATCCGGCGGGGAGGGGCTGCGCTCCGGCGTCCAGCAGAGCCTGCCAGTCGCCGGCATGTTCGGCAGCCTCCTGCTCGGGGGCGGAGGCGGCCGCGATGTAGAATTTGACGCCCTCGGCGATCTTGGGGGCCACACCCGGGTTGGCCTTGGCGGCATCCTTGAAGACCTTAGCGGCCGCCGCGATATCGGAAGCACGCGAGTTGGTGCATGACACGACGTAGGCACGGTTGATTTTGATCTTCTGCTGGACCAGCTCGTTCAGCGGCGTGGCGACCTTAACAGAGTTGGGCCCGGAAACGTGAGGCGAGAGAGTGGACAGGTTGAGGTAGAGCTGCTTGGCGTACTGAGCATCGGGGTCCGCTGTGAGGGGGTTGGTGAACAGCTCCTCCACCTTCTCATGCGTGATGCGGTCACGCGTGTTACGGTCCTCGAGAATGTTGGCCTCCGTGGCCTTGTACCGCAGCCAGCGCTTGAGGGTCTCGTCGATGGGGAACAGACCGGTGAGCGCACCCCACTCGGTCGTCATGTTGGCAATGGTCAATCGGCTATCCACCGGCAGACTGGCCATGGTCTCCGGGGAGCCGGTAAACTCAATGGCATGGTTGAGGACGTCGCTCTTGAACAGCCCGCACAGCGCGACAATCACATCCTTACCCGTGACACCCTCCGGCAGCGTCCCCGTGAAGGTAACCTTCGCCACCGGCGGAATCTGCCACCACGTGCGCGACGTGGCCCAGATACTGGCCGCGTCAGTGCGCACCACGGCAGTTCCCAGGCAGCCAATGCCACCGTAGTGGTTGCTGTGACTGTCCGAGGCCACCGCCATGCTACCCGGCCAGGCATACAGCTCCTCCACCATAACCTGGTGTCCAATACCCCGACCGGCAGGATAAAAGTCAATACCGTGCTGCTTGGCGAAGTTCTCGATCTGCTGGTACTTCTGGAGGTTCGAGGGACTGGTGTTCTGGACGTCGTGGTCCAGGGTCATGACGATCTGCTTGGGGTTGTGGACCTGCGTGGCACCCATGGACATGAACTTGAGGGCGACGGGCCACGAGTTGTCGTGCGTCATGCAGTACTGGGGAGCCAGACTGATGTAGTCACCGCTCCGGACATATTTGCCTTCGGGAAGGCCGACGGCATAGCGTTGCACGATCTTTTCCGTCAAGGTCTGCGGCGGGCGATCTTCAGCGGGAGGAATTGGCGCAGAATTCTCGTGCTGGGCCCGCGGGAAGGCAGTCGTGCTCAGCGAGCGAGAGGGAAAGGAGGTCGAGGAGATGGATCGGAGGAGATGGTGGACTCTCCTGCTGGGGAGAGTGACCGAGGGAGTCAACCGAGGCGTGACCTAAGTCCGTTAGACCTGCGGGCAATCGGCAGGACAGGAGTACTCACGGGTCTGCGCACAAGAGCGCAGGGGGGCCGAGCCAGGCCCCTCAATGGTATCGAGCGAGGAAGCATCGTTGCGTTACTGAACAACAAACTTTTGCCTCCATCGCGCCGAAGAGTCACCCCCAGGGCGGCACGTGATCTGGGGCTCCTATGTCGGATGTATGGAGACTCGGAGTATTGATAGTCCGAGATAGCGCCCTGCAATTGGTAATTTTGCCGCTTCAATTGGCCGATTCGGCGCTTCGAACTGCCGCGATTCGCTGTTTCCTGATTGGTGAGGCATCGAGTGGGGAGACCTGGGCTTAGTATGGAACCTCAGGCACCAACAGGCACAAAAATATCCCACATACTACCCTTGTAGACTGAATCATCTCTGTTGCTCAGCATCATGCTGAGTCTCAATCCTACCATGGTCTCATATATAGCTAACCAAAAAGAATGAGATACTTTTATTCTATCTTGCGAACGCCCCCGACCAGTTTTGAGCCTTAGCAGAAAGGGCATGAATGCAGAAGCCTCTTGTTTACGATCCCATGACCATCTGAACCCTAACCACAAATCCGAGCTTTTGACAATCTTGCTTTGATGGACCTCTGTCAAGTCCGGGAATTCAATGCGGCACCCGATTAATCCTGCTTCAAACCGACCTTACCAGCCTTGCGCATGCCAAAGAATCCAACCACGGTGCAGCACAGCATCAACGCAAACATGGCCCAGAAGCTCGCCCGATAACCCTCCATCAGAGCTGGCACCTCGTCCTTGCCCGACTGGTCGGTGATCACGGTGGAGATGACCTGTAGAACAGCCATTCCCAGCGCACTGCCGAACTGCGAGGACGTGTTGAACACCGCCCCAGCGAGAGCTTGGGTGTTGTCGGGAAACACGTCTGTGATGACAATCAGTCCGATGGTGTAAAGAGCATCGAAGCTGACGGGCTGTAGGAGCTGAGCAACGAATGCATTGCCCCAGTAGGGCCAGGAGGGTTGGATCACCGCCATGAGTAAGGGTGACCCGGCGCAGATGATAGAGGAGATGGTTGCGATCCAGAACGCGGGGACTTTGTGGACGAACAGCCCGATTACGATGTTCATGAGAACGCCAACGACCAGACTTGGTAGGATACGGAGGGATGCCTGTAAAGCGGGGAGGTCTTGGACTTCTTGGAAGCTAAGAAGAGGTTAGAGGGGAGATGGATGACAGCGAGATGATACGTACAACAAGGCTGCAAACAGCTCCATGGAGTTGATCACCGCACTGGACATGGCAACAATGGCACATATCGTCGAGAACGACGTGTTAGCCCACATCGAATTCGGGATCAAGGCCGGCTTATTTCGCTTGGTTTGGCGATGGACCCAGCCGACGAACGACGGGAGTGCGGCCACAGCAAGACACAAAATAACGATACTCTCGGCACTTTTGATACGAGAGGGATTGGCACTCAAGATCCTGCTTCCGATCAGCGTTGGTCATTGTCATGTTAAGAATGTACTCACGCCAGGAGATAACAGAGCAACGCCATGAACGCGGAGGCCAACCCGGCTCCAACCCAGTCGACCTTGGATTTAACGTTATGTATACGGTCTGCATATTGGTGAGATCGACTCTTCGGCACTGCCCACAGACCAATGACGGCGAATACAAGTGTGATGCCACCGGCGATATACCATCCTGAACGCCAACCGATGGTGTCAATCAGAATACCACCGATAACCAAGCCAATCGAAAAGCCCAGGGGCTGACTGAGACCGATGCACGAGAACGCAAAGTTTCGGCCTCTACCCTGAGGTAGAATCTGCGTGATGATGGACACGGAAGAGGCCAGATGGAAGGCGAGCCCAATTCCTTGGAGTGCTCTAAAGGCGACCAACTGCTCTCCCGTCCGAGAACACCCTTGACCGATCATTAAACCGCCGCTAACGAAAGCTCCGACCAATTCGACCCATCGCGGACCGATAGCATCGGCAATGGATCCCGCTAACAAGAGAGATGAGGCTGTAGCAAGACTGCTGACCGATGAAGGCCAAAATGACAACGAGGGGGGCAATTGGAGATCCTTGGTGATTGTCGGCAGACCGACGACTACCAAGCCGTTGATTACGCTGGCTGTTAGGGTAATGGCAAAGACTTGCGTGACCACGAGGATCCGTCGAAGATGGAATTTTCGAGACGGCGGCGGTCCGGCATCGTTCAAGGGATGCACTTGGTCAGTATCCTCTAGCGTAAAGGAGTTGATCTGTGTGGTTGTTGTCGTTGCGACAGTAGTAGTCGACATTTTGGCAGTCCCGCACAAGATTTTCACGATAATCGGGAAATCGAACTTTTTGACATCTTTTTCTCCGTCGTGGAGAGGAAATTCTTACTAGTTCACGCCTTGCGGTTGACCGAGCCGGACCTCCATGTGGGGTGACCCACCCCGGGGATGCCTGGCCCGAGTTTCTATAGAGTAATTCGGAGAAAGCTGGCGAAATCACGATGGAATCGCCGATAACTGCCCGGTATGACCTAATTAATGTGTATGAGGCCATTCGGACATGCCCAACCCTCGCAGTTGTAGGGCGTTGTCAACTAGTAACATCAACTATGTTTGTGAGCACAGTATGCATATAAATCTGACCATATCGAAACAACAATCCCAACACCAATTTGTCATTTAAAGTATTCCTAGAATTTCTAAAAGATAGTGATATTGTATTAGATCAATAGTATAACTTTACGAAATAGATTAGCGGCCGTAAAGGTAGTGAGCTCTATACATAGATTATCTTGTCTGGCAGGGATAACCTGGCTAATGAAATAAAAACCGAAATCATACAGTTACTACACATTCGGTATGTTCCTTCCAAGCATAGATTCAAGAAGATTATCCAGTCGTCCTCCTGTATCGGGTGTAGAAAACTTTTCTTCCCTGAGCGGCTCGCCTCTGTAAATGGGTCGAGCGAGTGGTCACTTTTCTTGGCTCGCTTCCATGGAGCTCGCAGTCGAAACCTTCTCTTGGGCGTTTGCGTTTTCAATGTGGGTTGTTTGATTACTCCTGTCTGTGGTATGCGTTGTTGGTTGAATCCCGTCAGTTATATTCTGAATTCAATGGTAATGTTTATTGTCGAAAGTGGCAATAAAAGTGGGACAAAAAGAATCGCAGCCTATGAACTCCAAGGAACTTACGCGGCCGGTACCCGGACCGTCACCAGAAGGACAATCCGCATTTCAATAGTATGCCTTTGTATCTTTCGAGCTAGGTGAATAATAGATTGCCGCACTGCAGGATGGGATAGGGGGATGGATGTTGTGGAGGGAGAAGATGAAAATTGTGCTGTAGTATTGACCTGTCTTACAGAATGTGCCTGAAGAATGCAGGTTTGGCGAGCATATATACCGCAAACACGAGAGGCCATAGATTGTGTCCTCGGATACATGGCCGGTGCCCATCTTTGGAGCCTCGGACACAAGCACCACAGTCTTGAGTCTGGACTCAAAAGCCCACTCAACTCGTACTCTGGATGAATTCCTTGCCTTGTAGGAATGAAATAACGAAGCCTGATAACCTTGTATAAAAAGTAGTGCTGATCGCGGGGCAGGGAAGCGACCTCGAGGTGCGCTCACTAGGAACGCTCCGACTTGTAGGGGCTTTGGCGTACCGGGGTCAAGGGGTCAACTTCGGCATCAGTTGCATAGTCGAGCTGGTCAATGATTTTGTTTCTGAGCCAACAAAAAGCGCATGCCATGTAGCTACTGGGTGCCCATGTTATCCTGTCTTGATAGCTGGAGTTACCTCTTTGTGCCGCCTTGTTATAGCTATCAGGTGTATCTGGGTAATAAATGCCGGGGTACCGCTTATCATCCGTGAATTGTAGTTGAAATTAAAGAATTTCCCCAGATTCAAAGGGCGAACGCTCCGTAGGCAGTTAAGCCGACAGTACCTCGTGAAACATCAATTCCGGTGTTTAGATAGTCGGCGAGTATCTAATATCTTCTTTCGCAGGTGGGGATTGTATCGTCGTATAGCTACGAAGAAGAGGATATGGCCTGCGTCGGTAGTTTTTCTTCGAGGGTCAGATTATGATTCCATCTTTACTCAGGCAAAAGCAGTACGCAGGCCTGGTCAGATTGTGGTCCGGCTTCGGCGAGAGATTTCTCGTTCTCAGGGTCTCGAGGGACATTCAGTCTGGGCGTATGCTGTTAAGGAGAGTTGTTATAGGCGGCGAATGACCTAACTCGCTGTTCAGTAGTCGAACACGGTCTTTCTTTGGCGCATGTCATTGAGACCGGACAACGTCTTGGGGCTGTGTTTTTGAAATGGGTTGATGTACACCGTCGTTCATGGCAGCCGTCCTGGTTCTGAGCCCTCGATTCATGTAGTGTGCCTAGATCATAGTCTAGCAAGCATGAGCCATGCCATAATACTATCGCGAAGTTCCCGCAATATTATTACTAGATCCCTCTTTCGTATACCCGCATAGAGGTTGCAGATGTTCGATATAGGATGTTCCCCTAGTGATCTTCACTCAAGGTATGACGGTGTCACTAGAAACGGGGAGGAACGAGACTTTCTGTCATTCTTGGAAGAGAGCCGTGTGGAGCTCTTTAAAATGTACCGTGTGTACCACTTCTGCAGTCAAAGCATGAGTATAGATGTCTGATTTGCGATAGAAAGGTCTTGACTTACGTTGAAAAAAGCCAAGTCTGGGGCCGCAGAGAGAAGACTGACAGAGGACAGACAGACAACAGAGAGTAAATAACGAATTGATCAGGAGGAAAGACGATGTCTCCACCGCTGAACGTGCTTGGGTTACTGTTTGACATTTGCCTGTTCGTCGTTTCGAGCTGATGGCTTGTATCTTGAAATTCAGAACCCGGTTCAATTCATGGTGTAAGATTGATAGAGCGGCCGATATGATGATGAGAAGAAGAAGAGGATGGAGATGAAGAAGGAATATAGGAGCTATCAAGAGGAAAATACTGGGGCATGTGACTACAATGGAGAGGACTCTAGCTGATGAGGGAATGGGGGTTTCTCTTCTATTCACTTTATCCAATGTATGTAAGTGAAGATCGAAGATTCGCAGTGGTCGTAGTTGGGATTCACCAATATTACAGTCTGACAAGGATGAGATGATATTCACTCTGCACCTGGAATTAGGGCTTTCTACGCAGAAGAACAGCGGAAGGAAGGAAGTGTGTCACTTGTCAACTAGGCTAACGGTGGGTAAAATGCGAGCCTTCCAGTTGATTAGCTTTTCGGACATTTTCATGATTCGCTCTGACCACATAGCGCAACATAAGTGTGTTCTACATCGGCGTATAACAAAGTTGGAAACTGTAATTGAGTGGACAAGGCTAGAAACAACCCTGGAAGGTTAGCATGATGCCCCTGACTCCGCATACGTTGTGATACGTCCGTTCTAGTGTCAAGTCAGCGAACGGACTGGTACATGAGACATTATTGTAGCCAGAAGTTTACTATCTATGTCCGTCCAGTGATTTCTCGTCTAGTGGTGAGATTCTATAGCCACACCCGTCCTAAAGAGGTATTCCATTGATTAAATTGCAGCGTTGGAGTGGTTAGACCATTCCAATAGAAAACTAAGTGAATAGAATTACCGCGTCTATTCCCCTCTACACGTCATCCAACAGCCATAAAACTAGATAACCTGCTCCCAGAACCCGTACCCTTTAGAAAGGTCCTCGTTCTCGAAACCACCAGAAGCATGGCCAAACCACCGCCGAGCAGGTGGTGCTTGGTGTAGAAGAAACACTACATCGTTGGTAATATTGACAGTAAAGCGGCCATCGTCTGGCACATCCATCGAAATCGTAAAACCGGCTGGAAGGCTAGTATCGCCTGGTAGAAGATACACACCATCCTTATCGAATGAGCGTATCTTGAGAGTGTCGTTGGCGCAGTTAGCTGTTAGGATCTCCCCGTCCTGCGCTAGGTAGCTGCTATAGTACGTGCCCCCGAACTTGGAGACGAGTTCGTACCAGACCAAACTGTAGTCGCCAACTCGGACATGACCCCAGTACCATGGGCCTAGTATCGCGGGAAGTGGCAGATCCACCCAGTTCTAAATTGTTAGCCCGGGTCGCCGTTTGCAGAGATTGTGGGTGATCTACTTTATCCTGATATCCAACTCCTGAGTAGCTTATGTGCTCACCAGCAACCTCAAACTTCACTGTCGCTTTGAGATCAGGGCCTTGGTTTATCCACCAGAGATGCGGTACGAGTTCGTATGCGCCGCCCTGTTCGTTAGGTCCACAGGGCAAATGCGGTGGCGCAACCTGACCGCCGGCGGTTAGCACGAAGGATCAAATACCAAGGGTAGAGAGATTACCTGATCCCACTCAATGCGACCTGTCAGATCAAACTCAGGCATGTCGATGGTGATAGAACCTCGATTAGATATGACATCACTTCTCCATGATATGTGATTTTTGTCATCATCAAACCGTCCCAAGCTGATGTCTCGACTCTCGCTGACAATCGCTCTGCGTGGATTGATTTCTTTCGTGAAGTGCGTCTTGTTCGGTAGCATGATGTCAACGATGAATGTCAAGATAGCGTCAGTTGGATTGGATGGCACCGATGGATTTGTGGGCGTCACGTTGAAAGCCATATCAACGGCCGTGATCAGGTCCTCCGAGGTGAAGTCAAAGTACCAAATCTCCCAGTTTCCTGTGGTGTTGATGGGGCGTCCATCTGTAGATGAGAAGTGCCGGGTAGTCAGGTCATTCGGTGGATTGAATGGCCCTTGATTATTGGAATGAGGGGGTAAGTGGAATGCTGGTCCTAGTAAGGGCCAAAGCATCGCCATCAGAATAGCGCTGAGGGTGCTCAAGAATTGCATCTTGTAAAAGACCACGCCCTGTGAAGTGTACGATGAACAGGTAGTCAGGTTTGTATTTCTGGGGAATCTTTAAGATCTTAAATACCTCATCATACCCTGCATTGGCTGTGTAACACTGACAGCTCACGGTTGACACGGCAGCTCATGTAACCCTAGGTCGTGTCTCATTCGTATATCTTCAGCTCGGAGCCAAATGGTTCAGCCATGAAATTAATGTAGGCCAACAGAACTATGAGATTTCACCCTTCCTCTCGTAACCCTTGGAACCTGACCAGTCAAGCTTTGCAGTGGTGAGAGGGTAACATCCGGCCGTACATTATAGTGATCGACAAAGCTTACGGTTAAGATTGCAGCCTTAAATCAAGCCAATGATGTTGCACGGTCTATGCTTTGAACCTCTATGTCGTTCCACAAACGCAGAAGTATTCACCGAGCCTGAAACATCTGCAATCGAGACAACAAACCATTTCCGGGCGAGGATGAGTACTAGGCAAATGCCCCTCACCTCATTGGAAGGAAGTATTACCCTTCGCACCGGGCCTTCGCTCAAGAGTCCATCACCTACTCAAACGTTCTATACCTATAGTGCGCAAACCTAACTGGGATATCGATCCGGCTCAACTGGCGGCCTTATTGGTGCAGTTCCACATGTATTCTGATTCAATTTTTGTTTCCCTTCAAGCCGGCTCTATTTCACACATCCTTCCTATTTACAGTGATTCTTTTGTTTGTCTTCTCATCTTTCCTGCCGGTCATCATTTCCACCCTGCAGGGGATTTCCAGAGGATCGGGCCCACATAGTCCAGGTGCTAAGATATCGAATGTTGTTATTACATTCACAGATTATGATATCAGCATAATGGTTACTGTACAGGTAACACCACAATCCTGCTACCCCTGGGGTTTGCGGTGCTTTTACAGCAACTGGTTTCGATTTGAGAACGCCGCTATTGGACGTATGATCGTCTATACATAGTGAAAACATAGAACTTGGAGCTGATTCAGGCGCTGTACGATAGGTGTTGATGGGAGGAATTCTTGTTAAGGAGGGGGCATAGCATTTGTTGATAAATATGACAGTTCAATTGCAGATGGACCGGATAGAGCGAAAAAGCATGAAGGAAAAATGAACAATGGTCACTATGCATTAGAAACTTTTAGATCACCTGGGATTTGACTAACGGCGTTTTCGCATCACAGGACAGCCCCCGGTCTTTTTGCGTGCAGAAAAAGTTCCTAGATCCACCGGTGTTCTCTCCGGCTTTGGTAGATCACCGGGAGCCAGCGGAGGATTGCTTTCCAGCGCCACGATCGCAGGGTTATTGGTCCACAGTGTCCCCGTCCAGGCAGTTATGAAGTCCACCCCGCGTGTCGGCATGTCAACTACCTCTGCCTTATCTGTCATCTCCTTCAATGGATGTTTATCCAACTTATCATACTTAGTGGCGAAAGGCAGAGTGAATCCGAATTCATCCAAAGGCAACGGACGATAGATTCGGCGTCTTGATTCCGCAAGCTCCATATATGCCACCACGTACTCCTCCCTTTTCAAGTTTTTCTTGACCCTTTGACTATAGTCTGCAGTTCTATCGGACCAGCTATCTGGATCATGATTCCTGTACAGTTTTAGAAACTCACATTCAGGCTGGCCATCGCGTTTAGCGCATGGGGATTCTTCCAACGCTGTGATAAAGTTGCTCTCGAGATCGTATTTGCCTTGGTCGGACAGGGCCGTTGACGTGGGCACGTATTGCATCAGGACTCCTCGCCTCCAGGAGTAGACAGGATTGCAGAAATCAACCATCAACAAGGAATCAAATACCTTGGGCGAGAGTAAGGACGTAGAGCGATTTATGTTCTGAAACATGTCGACTCCCCTAGTGTCCTCATATGACGGGGTAAGGACAGTGAATAGTCCATTATTACCCTCTCCTTCCAATGCCTTAGCAAATTGTATCTGCGCATGATCTCCCATGTCCTTTCCAGCCCCCAACACTCCGGGATAGAGCGTCAGCCTGAGAGTTTCTGGTACTTTTTTAGATGAAATTTTGTCCAGTTCTTGTAGAAGGCAAAGACCGAGTTTGCCTGAAGCCTTGTTGTAGAGGCTTTCATCTACCCAGTAGTCAGTCCCATTGGACTGCAGTATCTGTTAGCCTTCGGAACCTCCTAGAACAGTATGTAATACTCACAAAAAGATCAGACTTGGAAATTGCGAGGAGATCTAGATTCAAGAAATGCTCGGCAGGTATAGATATTCTTTGCCCCTGTTTGAAGCCGCAGTGAATGTTTACTGTAGTCGTCAATAATAAGTGGGCCTAAAACAGTCAGTGACTAAAGGTGGATCCTAGGAAGTGGCATCTGACCATCCATCTTTGAATATTGGGTGGTGACGGATTCAGTCCGCTCGCATTTTTGAAATCTGAATCCCGTCGCTTTGCAAAAAACGACTTGATTCCACTCGTTATAAACTGCTCTAAGTCGCGAGGCGACTTCAGCTTGCTCAATGGGTCGTCCTCTCTTTCGGACAGGTATTTCCTGTTCGCGAAGTCTTTGCGCTGAGCTGGAGAGGCGCATCGGAGATTAGAGTTGTTGCCAACCCAGTGTAGCCAAGGGCTAGAAAAATTAATGTCAGTCTTTATCCATTCAATTGGGTTAGATGCAACTAACTTTTTAAGTTCTTTCATGATAGGGACACCATTCACATGGCCTGCATTGGAAAGTCAACCCAAAATCTCGACATTCGAGACGGGGAACGGGCAAGGTTTACCGCTGAAGGGGCCAAGATAAGACGTCTCCGATCTAAAGGCATCAAACGAAGTGCCCTGGTATATCCAGGCACTCTCTGGTCTATCGACCGGGTTGTTTTGGAGAGTTTCCCGCTATATAAATAGTCAGAAACACATGGACATGGGACGCTATTTTCGGTCATACGCCGTAGAACCGCAATGTTTGCCCATCCACATCCCAGCTGGCCGCTTGCAGGACCTTTCGCCGGAGTCAAACTCGTCCGAGCCGATGATGAGAAGCGTCCAGCCATCGAACGGGTTGGCATCTTTGTACGTTACGATAGATAAAAAGCGAATGTGCGGGTTGAACCATCCCGCGTTGGCCGGATGATACTCGATGTCGACTGGTCAATATATCAGCATGTCCCATCGTTAAACATGGGAACCCGCTACATACACCCATCAGCAACACAAAAAACTCGAAGTTTGTATTTTGCATCCTCAGAGAACTTTGTCAGTATTTCATCATAAGTCTGAAAATGCCGTAGGTCGATCTGTCGTAGCAGAACGCCGAAGTCGCCGACGAAATTCTGATCCAGAAAAGAGGAACTGGCGAGGATGTCTTCATGCGGTACATTCCCGCGCCTGAACTGTCTCCAGTAGAGGTCTGATGAGGGTACCGGGGTAACATCATTAACTGTGTCTGAACTGTTTACACGGCGGGTGGAATCCATATTGAATGAGAAGAAAGACGCCTGTAAGCATGAACGGAGATTGGCGAAGGCGACGTCGAACACCCCTGAAAATTGGTACACTCCTCAGAATTCAAGACGAAGGCACCCTTATGAACATCGCCCAATTTTATGGGAAAGTCCAAATGACAAATGATTTCCCGGGTATTGAAAATCATGATTTCACCAGCTAGTGCATTAGGCAAGATGGTAAATGACTGAGTGACCGTCATATGACGTGGTGGACGTGGTGGTGTTATACTGGAGAGCACCATTTCGGACTAGTCCGGCAACTCTTACGCTATTACTCAGTCTCTGCTAGTAAACGCGCCATCGGAAGCTGCAAACACGAGTTATAGTGAAGTTGGAGCTTCCGAAATATAGTTGACGTAACCAACCACCGAGTCGCGGATGTAGCCCTAAGTTCAAGAAACAAGTGCTGTGCGACTTCTTTACAATTTCCGTGTTCCAATACATCAAGGCATTTGCCAAATAGAATTGGAATGCCATTAGCAACGTCATAGATGATTGTACAGGGTCCCTGCTACATGACACTGCATTCCCGAATGCGGAAGACTTCCTGGCAGAACACTCGACAGTGCAACGTTACACGTTTCTGGATTACCTCATAGACAATGGCCTATATAATGGTGCACGCATGTCTTCCATACGACCGCTCTTTTTCTTGACTCATCGTGCATTATCAGGTTATAGATTGGCCTGTTTTTACATTATTCTTTGCAAAAATCGATTTATCTCTCTACTATGGCTCCGAGCAAACTCCCACGGTTTTCTCCCCCGGGAAATCTCGATGACCTGACAGAGACCAACAAAGAGGAATGGTCCTCAAAGTACATCTCGAAATGGATGAATGATGAGATTGCCGGGAGGGTCGAGGGCAGAGAGCCGCTTCCGCAGTTCTTCAATGGCACAGTGACCGCATACGACCAAAGCCAAGAACCCGTGGAAATTTCATGGAATGCATTTCCCGCCAAGGTACGTTAGTCTTACTCGTCTTCTCGCTTGGAATTCACTAAAGCATCTGGTATCCACGCCCGCAGGTTCAGAAATATTTCTCTACTAGAGATGCTCTTCGGTGGAAAATTGCGGATGCAAGTCGCGTACTCCAAGACGAGTATCTCGAATGGTCGGTCAAAAGAGATGGGCCTGACCTCGGGGAGAGCAACGTCTTAAGTGTAGTAATGACGTGTGAAGGTCCGGAGGTGTGTCGATGCTTTAGTCCCCTAATCATTAAATTCATCTAACTGATTGTGATTGCTTCGTTCCTAGTATTGGTCCTTCCTGGGAGATGCCCAGCCGGATAAAATCCTGCAGCTGTATCGAGAATTGAACTCGGATGCTGCGGACCAGATCCGTGAAGATGATCTCTTCTTGACTAATTCGCAGGATCAAACAAAAAGGGTCTATGATCCTAGGAACATATGGAATTATACCACTGATCAGGGCACAATCGCACACTTGATCCAGCCTGCAAACACCCTCAGCGCCGAGATTGACATCGCAGCCCAAGCTACAGTTATCCGCAAGAGAGACGACACTGACCCGATTACGGACAAAAATGATCTTATCCATTGCAGCAAATATGGAAATCCCTACCGACACTCCGATCCATTTGTAAGGGCTCTCCTATCGTCAAGATGAACTTACACAGAGGCTGACCTTCCTCAGATCGGTTCAGAAATCAACGGCCTCGCTCGTGATGGCAAAACGATATCAATCGCGGACCCTGTTGCATTATACATCTCGAATTTCGAGGACAAGTTCTTCAAACTAGATAAGCATGGCGCCGAGAGCAGTACAGAAGACTTGGTGGATCTTCCGTCCGGAACCATTAGATACGAACGCGGTTCCAAGGGGTCTTATCTACGTGTACGCATCCAGATTCCTGACCGCACTTTCGGAACTGGGCCTAAAGAGGGGAAACAACTTACCGTCACTGATATCTATGACACATCTACCGACCAATATATCTATTATGGCGCCCAATTTGCTGACCATATCACGATGTGTGTGCGTGGTGTTGTAGCTCCTCCACCTTACCAGAGGGCTGAATCGAAGAACTGCCCAGGAGCTGCACCGTTACTGGCAGCATCTGCGTGTAGCACGCGCTGAGGGTTTATCATATGTTCTCATTCTATCTCATGAATCTCTGTGTTCAATTGCTTAAGTAGTTGTTTTGTTCTTCAGGGAAATAGTGGAGTAAAAATCCCACATAATGAAATATCATCTCTCAATCTTCGTGCCTTTTTGACAGTTTGACTTTCGCTACATATTATTCACTGTGCTCTTGTAGCTTGTTTAAATCCGTGAAACACATTATTAGGTAAAATTTCGTTATTATTCCCAACTCCTAGGACAATGAGATTGTGGCACATGTTGGATCGACGTCCAACTTACTGGGCCTTCAACAAGCTCAGTCACGGGATTCCCGGCATTTTGGTATATTTTTGGAAGGCCGATTGCCCATTATAAATTAACAGGCTTCTGGCAGCCGTTTTTGCGGCGGTGCCTGCGCAAAAGAGAAAACTCATTGAAAGGTTCAGAGTCCAACGACATCGATCTCAGATTTGTCCACCACTCTTGGCTTCCAGGTATCTGTTGCTTCGACATTTAATGATAAAGCCGATACGGAGTGTGTATGTAAGACAGGGGGAGAATTTAAATTTTGTCGGAGGCCGATTCCTACCCAATGTCAGAGCCAGATGAGGCCTGGGCCTTCGTCATGGTGAACCCCGGACCGAATCACATGACACCAGGCGATCAGTTGAGGTTTGCACACCACAGGATTTCATCATCTTCTCCCTGAATCTAACCGACATAGAGACCGTGTTTTATCTCCTATGGGTTACTACCGTACAGCCGGCAACCATGGATCTACTTTGTGTGATATGCGACGCGGTCATGTCCGCCAACCACATCTTCTTACGAGTACACCAAAACAAAGACTTAGAATGGCGCCAACGGATTCGTGTTGGTTAGTTTCCCCCGATAAGCCTCGACCTGGCAGGCAGTTGATGCTGCATAGTCACACAACATAGTTCCCAGTCCCCGGGGTATGTTAGCGGCGTTGGTTCTTATGACGCTTACAATAGAATTTACGTCCCCTTGGTCTTTGACACCTCCGAGGAAGATCCTGACATCGACGTCGAAAATTTAAGGCGTTATGAAGAAGTACGAAACATGTGCTTCTGTTGCCATGAAATATGCTGGGATATTCTCGTACGGAGAGTGTCAGCAGGCCGCTCTGATATTGTTGCTACCAGACTCGGCAATTTCATACATTACTCCCAGCTATATAAGTTCAAATTGGGGGACATCAAAGTCCGAAGGTCGTCCAATGAGATAATATATTGGTATTACCCACCAGAAGACGGATCCCAAACAGAGGATGACATTTTCCGGGCGGAGCCTTTACAGCCTGAAAACATGTCCCAACTACTGCAGTCGTCCGGCATACAGAGCTATTACCCACCCCGTGCCCATGCAATACCTCTCCAAGGACCACTTGGGAGCCAGGATGCGTTTCAACGCCTCCCCCCGGAGATTATACTCTTACTTCTTGCAATGCTTCCACGTGCCGATATCAAAAACCTACGAGCGGCCTCGAGGTCTGTTGCATCGGCTAGTCATCCGGCGACTTTACCGCAGCAGTTCTGGCGTTCACGCTTTTCTCCGGAGTTCGAGATGGGATTTGCGCTACCGAAACACATCACTGGGGCTCATGATTGGCGAGCTGCTTATGTGGCGGTCAAGAACGCCCTGAAGGACCCCAATGGCTCTCCTCACCTGAAGAACAGACGTCGAATCTGGAACAAGGTATGCGCTAGCGCGTCTTTATTCAGTCAATTCATGGCCGGGCGGTCTTTTCATGACATACAAACTACTGAATACCGGCTTTTGACGAAGGAGGAGTATTTACGGCGCACAAGCGCTTTTCCGGGGTAGATCGGTTGACAGCGTCCTGGTGGTTGGTAATAATTGTTCTATTCCAGTCAAATCTCGCATCGTCACCTATCATTTCCATGTCTGCTTCTGTGCAAGATCAGGGTACTTGGTGATACGTTCTTTGCGGCTGAGTGGTTGTCTCTTCTAATGGGTTATAATAGTTTTTATTATCACTTTTGTTCTTTCATTTCCTTCGATCTTTCCATTTCTCGAACTGTCTTTGATACTATTTTCTTTACTCTAATCAGTAAAGTAGCAAAGCCCATCTCCACGAGCCTCTCCATCTCTCCATAGTCATGTCCCTAAAGAGACTCAAAGTAACATTGAATCATTCAAATTCGCATTTCAAATCTAAGCACCCCAACGCCAGTAGAATACAACGCTAAACAAGCTAGAGCTCTAGAAACAATCACGCAAGCAATGCAACAATAAGCCCACCAGATATGCATCCATCAATTAATACAACTCACCATCTCCATCCAAAGGTATACACCTCCAACAACCTCCCCCCTGCCTCCCTCCCCAGAAATCATATTTCGATTAAGAAGGCAGCTCAGTCAACTGCTTCCGTTGTGCCTCGTACGTGTTTAATTCGTTGATCGGATACTGATGACCGATGCTTGGTTGCCCCGGAAGGCTATAGTGGTGATGGGGAGGTATGGGTGATCCCGTTTTCGCTGCTTCGGCGGCTTTCTTGCGTCGGTACCAGAACCATCCGAGCACGGCTATTAGGATCACCCCTGCTGCAGATCCGATGCCGATTCCTGCAGATGCGCCGGCGCTGAGTGGTGTTGATGAGGATGGGGATGAGATGTTAGAGAGTTCGGATGTAGAGGACGCTGTTATTGAGAGTGAGGGTTCTGTGTTGACAGCGGAGGTACTGAGGTCGCTTGATGTTGGTGTCTATGCCAGGGTCCATGAGCATTCGATCCAAGACAAGTTGCTGGGGTGAAGCGTCGCAAAATGTCGACCTACCGGCGTCACGAATAACACTCCCAGCGCATACAAATGTAGTCCTGGCTTCTGCGTCACCTCGTCGACGTTTATCGTATTGGAAACAAAGTCCGTCAATGTCGCCGTCACGACTCGCTCCGTGGTGTACTTTAATCGACATGGGAAAAGCGAACCATGCGCTTTCTCGGTCTCGGATACGGCGCAGGTAAAGACGTGGTTACTATTGAAGGTCGATCGGATCTCGTTAGCGCTAGGTTCCGGGAGACATGTATGGTATGTCGGGGCATCGTGAGGGGAAACCAACTTCGGACAACATGTTACCGTATCTCGCTGATCACTCCCTTCGCATGACGCGGTTGTGTAGTCGCCCGGACAGCTCGTTCCAACATATACATCCGACGCGGCCCATGTCGGTGGAAAGCAATCGGTCGTTTGGCTAGGTCCGCCGAGCACGGTGCGGTTGTCGTGCTGTTTGTTGGGCCAGAGCCAGAGCCAGTAGTCCTCCTTGCGCAAGCATCCTGCCTTCGACGGTGCCCAGTCCGCGGGTATTGTTGGTCGCCTGGTGATTGTGGTCATGTTATGGTTGGGTGTAGGGAGGCGGATCAATAGGGTTGAGGGGCCAGAGGAGGAAGAGAAGAAAGAAAGGTGGAAGCCGGAACAGGAAGAGATCGAAAATAAATTGCGCGTGGATTTCTTCAGCCCCGTTGTGAGGGGAAGGCTATCGTCTGCATTTTCGCCCCCACGTGGCCTGCCTCGTAATAATGATTCTGGTCAAGGGGCGTCAGAGTATCCAAGACCTTGGGCCGGCGCCTTGCGTCCCTAGCTGCTTGGCACCATTGGGATGGTGAGCTACCAACGCCCGGTGTGCGAAGAGTGGGTATAGCAATGGGCAATGTGGGATCTTGTAAAGCTTGTTGATTTTCGGTAATTCGGGTTACCGGGAATGAAAGAATGTTTGAATTCGAGGATATACATATAGTCTAGGTGGCAATATATCTGCGTTAAGCTGCATGTAGTCAGACCGGGAAACCCCCAAGACTATAAATACTCCAGGTTCATTGCGAAGCCTGCCACGCTTTGACGTAGGTTGACATGTTCAACAAGAACTCGGTGCGCTTTGGTTCCCATCCCAATACGATCTTCGCCCGAGATGCGTTCGAATTGCAAACCAGGCTCAGGGCCTCCAAGAACGGATTCCCGTGAGTGCCGGTATGCTCCAGAGACGCCTTCACATCCAGCACAGCCTTTGCGGCTTCCATGATCTCGACGATAGAAACCGTCTCGGTCACAAGGTCGAATATCGGCCATGCGCCTAGTCGGCCATCGAGGCGGTCGATGATCAAGTGCACGGCAGTCGCGGCGTCGTCCACATGAAGGATACCAGTCCGTGCAGCCTTATTAGCAGGCACTTGGACCGTGTCTGTATTCCCGGTTTTCGAAGCCTCCAACAAAACACTCCACCAGGTATCGAACACCCAGGAGCTGCGACCATACATAGCACCAGGTCGAGCAATCGCCACATCCAAAGTGTCTCGAGCGGCAAGAATCGCTTGTTCATGAGCTGGTCGCCACGCAGTAGCAGTTGCAGGCTTGTCTGCGGAAAGGTTGCTGCCGACAGGGGAAAGGTCGCTGACGCGGGTGGGAGGGGAGCCATGGACCCATGATCCAGAAACGTAAACGAAGCCGAGCTTGGGAGCGAGGATCTTTTCCTTTGAGAGAGCGTCTTTCCGGGCCTTGGATGCGCTGATAACTGCAGCCAGGATTTGGCCGTACTGCTCGTAGGCGGACGACGCGTCCACCACGATGTCGATGGCGTTTGTAGAAATAACTTGGCTCAGGGTTTCAGGGTTCGTGATGTCGTCTTCCACCGGAGTGATTTCATTGATGAGCAGGTTCTTCGCTTTTTCCGGGCTCCGTGCAGTACCCCAGACTGTATATGTGCCGGCACGGAGCAAGGATTTGGCGAGTGAAAGGCCAAGGTAGCCGGTGCCGCCGAGGATGAGAACGTTAGGCATGTTGGTTTTGGGGAGTGTGAGGGTTTCAGGAGGCTTCTAGGGGCTTTCACGTTGTGACTTGAGTTGCTTGTTAGATTCATCTCATATCTTGAGTCCTTCAAGCATTTTTATACCCCCGACTCATCTTGCACGAACGGTGTCATCGCATCGCAGTCTCGGTTCGAAAAGATTGGTAATCGATAGTCCCATCTTCCGGACACCGATGGTAACATTGGCTGAAACATTGCTTTCTAATCGCGTTGCATCCATCACGATGACTCTCGGTGACCGATACATTGAAGAAGCAGGATCTCTCTGGCCAAAAATAGCCGATTTATCTCCGGTGCTTATGTCATCATGCTACGGACATGTGACCAATCATGCCCGCTGGGGGTGTTCAGCTCTTCGGCCTTGTCGATCTCCGGCTTCATCTCCGTCTGACAGTATCCACTGCTTATGGCTCCACTGGTCATGTCCATGAGGAGGTAGGTCCGATTATCGAGAATACATTTCACTTTGACTGCTTTCTATCCTGTGTTTGCACGGTCTTGCAAAAGCGGACGCGCATAATTCTAACTTGGCAGGGGTAGCTACTGATCATGAAACTACACAGATGGTACCAATATTTCCTTCGATTCAAAATAATATATCTCGACGAAAACAACTCAGAAGCATCGAGTTCAGAGCCATAGTTGATTCAAAAATCCAATTAACACAATTGTCCTGTGCATCAGAGATCCGATATACTAAAGATCGCCAAAATATCGATCCGCCAAAAGCCCCAACTGCTTTGACTGACCAGCTATCGTCTCAACATCCAAGATACCCTCTTCACTCACAAACGTATCAATCAGACTGAACGGGACCCATTCGAAGTAGACGTTCTTCACTTCCACAATACCACTGTCCACCCCCTCGTGAAGAACCTTCATCCCCTTTATCCCGTCATTGCCCCAACTATGAACCACTTCCTTGGGCCCGTTGTCCTCCCGCTTATTATCGTCGATTAGGCCGCAGGTCCCGTTGATCTTTTCGAGTCCGCTGAGCACGACGACCTGTGCCTCTGGAGACACGTGCTTTGCGCTGAGAGCGACGGGCAACGAGCCGGTTTTGTTGCTGACGCCTTTGTGCGCGGAGATGCGGTCTGCGCCGAGGAGGACAATGTCGACATTTTCTGCGGCGAGGGCGGCCGAGGCATCGGTGTAGATTTTGATGCTGAGATTTTTGTCTGATCCCTCGAATTGGGTTTTGGCTCGGCAGAGGATAGACGATGCGATGCTGGCGCCTTCGAAGAGTGGCCGGGACTCCAGGACTCGCAGCTCCAGCGTCTGAATGTCTAGCGCGGCGAACGCATCGAGGATACTGTCTCGAATAGTCGAGCTGGCTGACATAGTGAGGATAGTGATTTTGTCTCTTTTCCCATCGGCAAGGAAGTTCAACTTTAGGTATTCCGTAAACGACTCCAGAATACGGCCTGTGTTCGCTGTTCTTCTCCTCACCTCGAAGTCCATCAGCGCGAGAATGCGATCCCACTTTACGTCGTCATCCGTGTTCTGAATCAAGACGTCGTGGATCCCCGCGAGGGCCGATAACACGGCGTTCAGAGTCGCTGCAGCCATACTCTCGCGCCCGTTCTTCACTAAATGCCATGCGACCATCCGCACCGTGGCCCACCAGTTCTCGTCCAGCCCGTTCCGCGTATGCATGATGAAATCGCGGAACCCCGACAAGGCAATGGCTGTCAGCTCGTTGGCGCCACTCTCATGATCGTTGTGTAATCGGTCTAGGCAGGCTGCGAAGGCCTTCCCAGCTCGCGGGTTGACCGAGCCTTCGAACCAGACTCGGTGGAGGGATTCCTTTAGTCGCGGGACTTCGCCAAATGATTCGTTATCCGACACCGCTCGTGGATCATGCCATTCCCATCCCTCGTGCTCCCAGTCTATCTTGATCGTACTTTCGGGGCTGATGAGTCGGAAAGCGAACGGGTGAATCATCCATTCTCGGTTCACAGATGGGTCGCTGAATGTAAACGGTTTGCCGGTTCGCCAGAGGGATAGGGATGCAGGCGTGAGTGTTGTTTCTTCCTGAAGTTCGCGCCAAGCGGCCGTGAGGGGATCCTTGTCGTTGCGACTGATGGTACCGGAGATGGGAGCAAGGTGGTGTCTTGGCAGACTGTTAATTGCGTCTTTCGTCGGGGAGAAGGGGCGGAATCGGACTCACTGGTAAGTGTTTACCTTGTCGCTACGACGGAAAAGCGCAACGACAGGCTCATTCGGTTGATCAGGTGGAAAATGGAAGATAAAAGAAGATACGACATCCCTTTTCTCAAGGGTTGAGGATGAATGATTCGTTGTCATTGTGGCGTGGTCTTCGAGAAGGTGCTCACCATTCACCACTTCATGTGCAATTAAAACAATTGCAGATGATTTTCTTCAAGAACAAAACTCAAATATATATAAGGTCCTCCCCATCCAAATAAGCTCACCACAGTGGACGGATTCGTGGATTGACAGAAGGAGGTGAGTGGCGATCAGAAGAGGGGAAGCTCCGATCCTCACACCATCCGGCAATCAGACCACCCAATAACCGCCTGCCAATCGCCATATGATTTGTTTGGCGTTTCTTCACAGGAGCAATCCCGATTTCGAGAACGAGGGGCTCGACGTCGAGGCTGGTGGGACATGATCCGCGGGATTTGAACGGCCACAAAGACATGACGTCACGGTCGCATCAGTCAACATCATCTTGATATGGAGAGCTTTTGATCGACTATCCACGCCTGGTTCCAGAGCTCTTGGGCTGCTTTTGACAAACGCTGATCTTGATACTCCTTGTTGCTGACTAGATTAACGGGATCTCATCACCATGCCGAGATACACGGGCTCTTGCTACTGTCGGAAGATTGAGTATGAGTTGAACATCTCGTCGCCGGACGATGCGCGCACATCCTTGTGTCATTGTCGGAATTGCAAGGTTGGTTTGGGCTAATTCCTGAGGCATCGGGTGACGGCTAAGGGTAATGGTGGTTACAGAAAGCCTTCGGAACCAACTACGGTCTGACAGCCAAGGTCCCCAAAGACGCCATCAATGTCGTTCGCGGAACTCCTAAAGAACATGCGGCAGATAATGGGTCCGGGGTCGTGATTCATCGCGAGTTTTGTGCGGAGTGTGGAAGCTTTATTCTAGAATATGGGGTGAGCCGTGCGACCTCCATGGAAAAATGGGTTATGGTTGACGTGTTCCTAGGATGCCGTCAAAGAACAGTTCCGATATCTGTGTGTTGGGTCCCTGGATGATCCGGAGGTTTTGCCACCAAAGGGAGAGTTCTTTTGTAGCTCGCGAGCTAGCTGGATGCCCGAGGTTCCCGGTACGTTGTCCTCGTTGTTGGTGTGGTAATGGCTAATCCTTCCACAGGCGTCTTTCACAAGCAGCAGGTCAAAGAATAGAATCTATGGCATTGACATGTGAGCGGGGCTTTCATGATTTGGCACGGCTCATCATGGTTTGACAGGGCTCGCAACTTTATGTACCTATGACAAGCCATGCTGTATTAGCTATCACGTCAGGATGTTCCTTAAACAGTCCTGTTGATTTGTTGACATTCACCTTACATTTCCTCCTTTATTTCTGATTTTCACATGTTCCTTCGCCACTCTTTCCTGCGTTCCTTTACTGTGTCCAACAATAGGAATGTACTGTACCTAGTTCTGTGGTCAGCCTGTGACGTCAGGCGGCTGGTCTAATGCTGCTGGCGGCATACGCAATCCATAGAGGGGGAAGACGACAAGTACAGGTCCGTGAGGAACGTTAGTTAAGGCGTCCCGCCACGCAGGTGCGGTGGTGGTTTACCCGACAAGGGGCCCTGTCCGCTTTCAGTGTCATCGTTAGTACATCTCAGCGTGCCGACATGATAGTAAGCCATACCTCTGGATCTGTAGCTCCAATTGAAATACAGTTCTTGTATCTATTCAGAGATATCCTCTTGTTATTATCGTCAGATTCGTACGGTCGGTATAAAGCAGCTCCCTATCACGAAGTCGGGTTGCTACCAATAGTTCACCTAAATGAGGAGGCGCAACACATGAAAATCTTCGCGACGTTTACACCGAAACAATGGATTCACCATCCAAACATATAGCAACTGACTCCAAGTAGCAAGAAGGGTGTGAGAAGTCCCAAACTGGCAAGGCTTAGGCTACCAGGAAGAAGTATGCAAGTAGGAAATGAAAATGCAAAGCCACCAGTGGTAGTTCATGACGCCATCCGGAGACAGGAAGAGGTCCCTGGCATAGCGTGACGATACCCGCGTGAAGTATTGGGTCCGCCGGGGATATCGAGATCTGATAGAAAGCTACTCCACAAAACATCAAGCCTGAACACCAACCATCATCCACTCACGCCGACCGATGCTCTTTGTCGCGTAGGATGTGACACTGCAGGTTGTTTCGGCCGTCGGATCGTTTTAGGCAAGGGGGCCACGTAGAAGCACAGGATTTGTTGATCTAGACAGTGCGCGCATCGCGGTCGCTGACGATCGCATGTCACTCCCCACGCTTGGCATGCCATGCAGGGGTAATTCTCCCGCGAGGGGATTTGCTCCTGTGGGGCTGGGTTGGGAATGTAACGCGCCGTGTCGCCGGTGGCCGTTCCTAGGCCGGTGGTCTTCCCCGGCACCAAAGTGTAATTTTGGTCTGTCCCAAGTCGCGGGGAATTTTGAATTGTAGGCTGAGATTCGACGGGTACGACTGTCCAGCTCGACCATAGCCATTGTGAAAAACGCCGCAAGAAGCAGGTCCTCTCGGGTAATCGACTGCGGAGGGTGTTGCAGGATCGTCGCGTTTCCGTGCTCTGCATAGTATTGTCCGTCATGATGGCGACGCGTGCTGGAGGCGATGAGAACGATCGGGACTGGTTCTGGAGTTGGACCTTTTATCTTTGACCAAGTAGCCGGTGGCTTCCAGGATTAGCAGCAGTAGTGACGTCGCTGTCTCCGGGGTCCTCACCCGTACGGATGATCGACTCTAGTCTCGACACGATGTAGACTTGCGAGAGGAACTTTCGACTATCCTGGTGATTTGAAGAAAAGGTACAGGACAAACAGACGACAGAGGTGAGGGGGAAATAAGGAAGGGGAGAAAATGTCCGCCAGAAAGGAACACAGGGAGTAGAAATATGGCCGCAGCCAAGAACGACGCCGGCCTCGGGCCCAACACGAGCCAAGAAAGCGTCGATCGAGGCCTGAGAACGCGTCAAGAGGAATCTATCGAGCGAGTGACAGGGAGGATGGAGAACAAAGGGATCGAATCCAACCAAAAAGTGGGTTCCCCGCATCAGTTGGAATGCGCGTGCCAGCTCATCTCAGGCACCCGGTCTGGACTGGCGCCGAGTGGATGAGATCGTCATTACATCAGAAACCGGAAAAAGGCTGTTGATCTTTCCCTGAGGAAAATCAGGAACCCCAGAAACTGAGGTTTTCTTCGATGGAAGACTTGAACCACTTGATATTGGACGTTTAACCACGGAGGAGATGGATAGCAGTTGTCAAGGGAGATGGATGTCATGAGAAAGAGTCTTAATGGCTTGACGGCGGAGGCCCCAGGCCGCCCTAGTGGCCGTTGTGGCAGCCGTCAGGCTGTCATGCGCTGCACTTCCTGTTATCAACACGACTAAACATCGGCTTCTTGCAGATCACCGGTGTCACCTCAATCTACATTAGCGCTCTTCGGACGGGTTTTCGAAAATTTCCCACTCACATACCCCAGGCAACTATCACAAGTCGAAGGAAGAACGCAGTGGTCTTAAAGACATCCACACCAGCGTATTTGGGAACTCATGGCTGGTCGAGCGGCGTTCTAGTGAACTGCAATTTGCTGCGCAGGGTATAGGGTAACACAAACAGGCTTTCATTCCTGGGAGACAAAGTAGGTGCTGATTGAGTCTTGCGTGACCAGAGACCGTGCTACTGTTCATCCCTACTTTGGACTTTACGGTTGCCTACGCATTTTTTTATACGTTCGACGACAGTCATAGGTGGGACAAAAATTTCTTGCCTGTTCAGTCCGTATTCCAATTACTACCCCTTCCAGACCCATTCTGATTGCCATAGGAATATGATGTTTGGTACTGTATGAATAACAAATTAAAGTCTACCTCCGAAGGATTTGGCAATGGTTTGTCAGCCCAGCGAGTCGGAGAATTCGGAGTGTGCAGGCCAAAGTGTGTGCATTCGAGGGCAACTTTTGGTAGAACAAGGATCCCTCCCTTCCTTGTAAGACCGGCATGTTGACGTTCAGCCCAGAGCGTTGGCTAGTTTGTTTATTTTCATTTAGGCTAACTCAATACCCATGGGGGAGGTCTCATTGACAGTTTAGTCTATGTACACAAATGTAAGGCATATCCACTAAGGCTTGAAATATTTCAACAAAACTGTTCCGTTTAATTCTAGTCTACATGTTCTCGCTGAGGGCTTTCAAGGCGTCATATATGGCTAAGGTGCAATGCGCGAAAAATGTCGCAGATTGCTGATTCCATATTCCGTCATTCGCACTGAATACGGAGTACTGCTGATCCTCAAAATGTGGATCTGATACGGCCCTCCCGAGATGTCTCGATGGTGCCGCTTGCTATGACGAGTGGTGACACTACAAGGTCTATTCGTCTTTGACATTGCAGGAGATCGTGTATAAGGACGGAAAGGTTCACCGATACTCTCAATCCATGAAATCCGCAACCAGCCAGCTCATTGCAAGTTAGGAAAGTTTTAGAGCGGACGTGGAGTGTGCAAATTTCAACAAATGATGTGCGTCTTGGAGGCCGGAAAAAGACGTTTTGTCCAGACTTCCCATCGACCCACCGCTCATAGTCTGAGTTCCAAACTAGTGATCTGCATGATTGCGTCCTTTGTAAAAATTTGCCTATCAGCTCCGCACGTGTCCCGTCCTAGTGCTGCATAGTGCACTTGCAACAGGAAAGCCTTAGTGGTGCTGACTGAAGTTGTTAGTTTGGGGCGTTGGAAGGATTTATATTCCTAATGCCTACAGGATAGACCGAAACAAGAGTATGGACAAGAACCTCGTGGTTGTTCGGGGAGCTGAGCGTGCCTAACAGGGACGAGGTAGGTTCTCGTCAATTGTTAGCATCGCGTAGGCCAGGGTTTGAGAGCTGTCAAAGTGAACTGACTCGACGTTTCCAACGGGTAGCTATGACCCTTCTAGTGTAGTCTGATCTAGACTTCTATTCCAATAGCCAGTCCTACTCCGTCCGTCTTTGCTCATGTTTTGGTTCCCCGACGATCCAGGACTGCAACCGGCATTCAGACATGACCGATCAGCGGAATACCTATCATTGCACATCCATTCCATTCTGACCGGTTCGCAGAGAGGGCAACTCATGAGGGTGCAAGTCAGATAGCACCAACTATTGGGCGGGTATCAAATTGGATCTTTTTGGCATTGCGCGGGCTTTTCGCAAATGGCTCCAGTCTGAATGCTACTGCCAATCGATTTCATCGTGCGCAAGAAGTTCCATTGCAGATCCATCAATATCCACTGCAGAGTCCGTCCAGCCCTCGAAGTTTCTCGTTCGAACTCCACGGGATAAAATCACGCCCCCGGGTCCATCGAGCTACTCCATACGGTGTGGGAGCTAGAATACCAATCCTGATCGCTGCCTGCCCTCATTCTGAATTTGTTCTTTATTCTCTTCTCGTCACTAGTGTTTGTTGATTGCCATAAGGGGCGCTGTTATTAATTGCTTTTCTGCGCTATAATCATAATTGTAAACATTGAGGACAAAACGTGCTATGCCATGCACGACAGCTCAATTCGTGATATCAAGGTTGGCGTGCCGTGTGGAGTTACAAATTCAACGAACGAACGAACATGACACCCGCTGCGCGCAGGGTGATTACTGCCAGAGCAATTCAACCTGTCTAAATGTCAGCAACAATGGAAACAAGGGATATTACGATGCCGACTGCACGGACGACACGCTCCAGGATGTGGCATGTGGGACGCAATGCGGTAAAGTTCTCCGGAATGTCGTCGGCTCCCACGCAAAATAGTCGAACTAACTAGTCTCCTGACTCATCTGTAGGCGATCGACCTCTCTCAGAGTGATAAGGAACTCGAATACTGGGCACTGGGCTTGTTGCGGGCACAACAGCACCATGAAATTCGACGGCTACGGGCTCTGCTACTTCCTCGCCATCATCGTCATCATGAGGCCTTGGGTTGGTGCCGCGGCGGGAATCGTAATTGGGGTGGGAGCTGGTGTCGGGATGATCGCTGCGCTCCTAGCACTATGGTATATACGGCGGAAGAATCCTGCGCAACCTCAAGATGTACCGACGCCATATGGGTACAATGGTATACCATCCCCGGCAGTCCAGCCGAATAATATGCAACCTCCCTGGACTTATCCACCGCCGGGACAATTGCCACCACAGGAATTGGGGAAGACGGAGCCTGAGAGGAGGGAGTTGGTCTCGCGAGCTAAATAGCTTGCACTTGTCGCGACAGTATATTGAAGTGAATTGATGGAATGGTTGTTGATCAATCGAGAGCGAATACCCGAAGAGCCCCCTGTGAGGGCTCTGAAATGTTAGGGGGTGTGGCGGAGAGCAGGGATGGCTTGTATTATAATGTATATACGAAATTTTCTTTGTGTTCAGAGCCTGTTTATCAGTGCCTGGAGTGAAACTACTTTCGTGAGAAATCCTAAGTACCATGATTCTGCTCGAAATGAAAACAGTGCTGGTAAAGTGGCATGCTGAGACGTGCTCCAGGTATCGGTAATGCGAATCGTTGTATTAATTCCATGATTCGATCATGAATGTCCTCAGACTCTTCGTGTGGATATCAGGAAACCTTTCATTCAATCGGCTTTCCTTGGGCAGATCGAACACCCCGGCAATCGTAAGACGGCTCACCAGTACGGTTGTCTCGTAGACTTCATCTTCCGAGTACGGGCACCCAGGCGGCATCTCAGGGACGGTGACCTTTCCTTGCTTGATGCTCTCAGGGCTGTCATTCACGACCTCGAATTCATTTCCTAGTAATCGTTAAGATATTGCGCATCGTTCAGAGTAATCGGCAGGTGTTCATACCTCGCACCTCTTGGCCTAGTCTTATGGTGTCGTTATATGTAGGCTCATCTCCAACGACAATGCTGAATTCAGGCCAGTCGTCTACTTCTAATAGCCTAGCGATGAATCTCGCCATGTCTTCGCTGTGTGTCATGCAGATCCTATCATTCCCGTCTCCGGGAATAGCAGCCTTGCAATTGGCGATGTCAGTGCCGAACGTCATCGGCTGAAGATTGCTCTGGGCCTCCTTCTCGGGGTTCATTCCCCAGTAATCCATGAAGAAACCGGGGATCACCCGAGTGTATTGCAGATTGGTCTTCCCGAGCAGTTCCACCGCGTCTAGGAAATGTTGGATGCTCGGGTCAACGTGGAGAAGTCTACGATAATTAGCGAGGGACTGGAAAGTCAAGGGTATACATACTCTTTCGTCTGTATAAACGAGTATTCACTGGGGATGAATCTCGTCGTAGCATTGGATTTGTCCGCAGCTTGGATCAGGTTCAGCTGCGACTGGCTCGTTTGTTCGTCGTAGATCGAAATGGCGGAGATGACAGTATGCACTGCATTTTCCTCCAGTACCTTTGTCAATGACGGGATATCATCGTAGTCCACTTGCACCTTTTCCCTCGTTTCGGATGGTTCTGGTGTCTGGACTACCTTAGTAACTGCAACATTCGGTGCGAATGGTAACATACGCTTCGAGTCAGGATGATGACTTTTCCCTTTAGCTTGCTGACAATAGTCTTGCCGACACCACCGGTGCCTCCAGCTACAGCAATGGCCATCCTCTCTGCAAGTGTGAAGTGGATGCGTGAACAGGAAGACGCAGGTTAACTCCGATTCATCCGATGATGCTATCTGTCCCACCTTCCGTATAGGGCCTAGTTTGTTTATTTTCGGTGCCTTCTTGCCTAAGGCAACCGCGGCTGATAGCTCTTCCGTGGGTCGTCTAGGACGGCAGAATTGCGCCTAGACCGCCAAGGCTAAATTGACCGCCTTCAGGAGACCTCGAACCTCGATCGCATGATGTGTAGGAAAAGCACTCTTGCATCAGTAAATTGCCTCCCATAGCCCCCACAAAGGCGATAATAGGAAATGGGTACCATATTCTGAATGTCACCGTCCTTGTTCCTCTTTTGCTTGATTTCTGTAAATCCAATCGCCTCTTTCATACTACAAACCGTCTTCAAGTGCCGTAGCCCATACAAATTCTGTTATTTTCTGACTGGCACACTCCCAAATGGTCAATGAAAATCTGTGGTTTTGTTGAGTTTGAGGTCACATGGCCCCTCTACAGTGCAGCCACATACATCTCCGGAACTGTTCTCAGGTGTGCGTCGTCGACAAATCACTCTAATGACCTCTATGGATCAAGAAGTCTTCTTAGGAAGGCTCAAGAACATTCAGTAGGATAGATTATGATACGGGTTCGAGGTCCCTCAAAAGATATTGTCATATGTACATTATCAAAGACTGCTTGTGATTTATCGATTTATGAATGAGAGTTGGAAATATCGTGTGGATGTGCCATTCTTTTTGGGAATGAATGGAATCTCTAGCTGACTTCAGTTGTTGGGTACATAGCTGGTCCTTGCAATTGCCATGGTATGGCATTAATTGTCGCTATATCCTTTGCTCTCAACTGGCCAGGACTCACTCAGAGTGCACCACCCTATCATTCAGCATGCTCCATCATGACTCAAAATACCTACTAGATCACATGCAAAAGGTTACAAAAGATAGATAAGAGACTTGTATAGAAGGCTCGAAAAATTCGCACTGCCGCGCCTTTGCATTCACATCACAGTATAGGGAAAACCTCAACAGGACATAAAAACCTATACCAAGGCTGGGGCAACAATGATTAAATAAAGCAAGCCATCAAAACCACGCTTGATACAACCAATGTTGAAGCGAAAGATAAATACAATATGGAAATAGAAACAAGAACTAGACAAATGGTCTACTCGTCAAGGGTGTCCATCGCCCTCTGCCGGAACTCCTCAAACCGCGCCTGATCAACATTCACAGCAAACACCTCCCCATGGCCACAGTGGCTATCAGGGGTGCCAGCGTCCTGTTTGCAGTAGAAGTACCGAGCTTCATCAGACGCGAAAGTATAGTCAAAAGGATGCAGGTTGGGGATATTGTCTGGGTTCGCGTTGTTGAAGTCCGTGTCAATCAAGGCGCCGTCTTTCTTCTGGCATGGGTGATCGAAGGTGGTTTCGGTGAGGGTGTGGTTGACTGCGAGAAAGTCAAAGTGGACACGGCTACCTTGGCCGACACTCAGGATGGGAGGGCTGAAGCCTCCGTCGTTGTTTGGGCCACCGACGATGACGGTTTGGATTGGGGACGCGGGGCCTGGAGACGTGACAGGGCTGGGCATGGCAGCTGCGTTGGTGAGGAGGGAGAAAGCCATGAAGGAATGATTTCATCTTTGGGCCGTGGGTAGCTATTTTGTTCTCTAGTTTGAGGATTACAGTAGGAGCTGGATTTGCTGGAGATCCCTAGGGAATTTCTGCCACTTTTTATATTGGTTAAACTGTCCTTTCTTCACCATGACAAATTCCTGAACCAGATGCCGTGGTCCGTCATAATTCTGAAAGTCTTTCATGACAGCCTCGCGAGAGCTGTAACACAGGGCTATAAGGCCTCCTTTGGATCGGCAGGTGTCGAGGCACGATTACGGCCCCAGCTCTGACCGTCATGGGCATCGTAGCACTCAGGCCCCGTATATGCTGTACAGGTAAACCACATATGGGTAGGAAGAAAAGCCTCATTTTATGTAACAGTTCCAAAATGTCTTAGATCTCAGCTCATTTGGGCAAGCTGATTTTCTATGAATGTCTCAAATCTCCGAGACCACGAAGAGAAGATACGAGAAGAGACGCGCACACGCTGAGGGGAATCGCCTCAGCTGGTCTAGGTTACTGTATGCTATTCATATTGCAACAAGTAAGCATTAGTAGCTGATTATTCAACAAGAATCTTACTTAGTACGTATACAAGCAAAAATATGCCTTATCCTGCAGTAAGTAAATCCATGTACCGGAAAGATGACCTTTGTTTGAACACGAGCTCTCTTCGCCACGTGGAACAGCCCTAGGAAAATTGGATAACGATATATGATGCTGCAAGTGGATACGGAAAAGCCCCGATATTCAAGACTCGTAAAGCGTCCAGTCAAATAATTCACTACCATGAAGTCTGACTTAGATGTCAATCATCATTATCCCATTCGTATAGCTGGTGTCTTCGCGGGTGGAGATGACAGTCACACTCAGCCGTGAAATTGGCTCATAACAGCTTGCATACTCAGGGAGGACACGTACTGGCTAGAACAAATGGGAGGCGAATGCAAGTGAGACATTGAGGTCTATGTTTAGCGCGACAAAAATCAGGCACAATTTATATTGTGCTTCTTGGGAGCCTGATATGGCTTAAGGGATTTCCCTGCATTTTCAGACTCGCCGAGCGTCGTTTAATGTAACACCAGAATCTTACCTGTGATTTACTTGGTCTCCTGGTACGCAATCGCTTTCCGATGCGTGAAATAGAAAAGTGAAATGAATACTGACCACATGGCCAATATCTGCGGTATCTATAGAGGAAGACGTTCCAGATATATATATTTGCGGAAGATAGAAAATAAATCTGCCTACGCGTTTGTTACATTTGCATTTTCTTCGTTATGTTTTTGATAAGCTAGCCCTCGTTGAAGAAAAGAATAAATACAAAAAAATGAAGCAAAATAAACGTGAAATCAAGGCGTGCAGTAGGGAGAATTGAGGGTGTAGTCCACCGGGGCTAAGCCGCCCTCCGGGCCCGCTTGGTCGCCCGTAGGCCGTTCCCGCCCGCTAAGGAAAAAAAAAAAAAAAAAAGCAAAATCCAGTAAGCGATGACATGATGTCACAATCATCGCGACAACATCCTCCAAGCTCTGTACTACTAAACATGATCCTATTTCCGCGCTGCCACCTTTTCGAAATCGGTGATCAGCCATGGTGTCCGACCTGGCTGATCGCCTACATCCAGTCCTACCTGACACGTGTATGGAATTTGCATATCCCGCCTTTCAGCAAGACATCCCCTGCCGGGGTTGCCGCCGATATCATCATTGAGAATCTTCCGGACCCGTCTTCGTTCACGTTCGTGGATCTGTGTTCTGGTGCAGGCGGTCCGTCGTCGACTATTGAGTCTATTTTGCATGCGCGCTCTAAGGCTCAAGGGACGCCTTCTCCGCGCTTTATTCTGACGGATCTGCATCCGCACTTGTCGGAGTGGATGGCTGTTGCGAAGCGCCAGGAGAATGTGGACTATGTCTCGGAGTCGGTTGATGCGACTAAATGCAAGAGAGTCGCGCCGGCGAATCGGAAGGAGTGTCGGATGTTTAATCTCTGTTTTCATCATTTCGATGATGAGCCCGCGAGGGCTGTGTTGCGGAGTGCCGTTGAGTCGGGGAATTCTTTCATGTAAGCCCTCCTAGCTGCTAGATAGGTAGATATCAAGTGAATTCGGCTGATTACCACAGTATTTTCGAACTTGCACAGCGGAACTTTACCTCCCTGTTGAACATCCCTGTCATGATTCTCTTTCCTTTCTTTCATACTATCACGAAGCATTGGAAGTCTCCCCTTTATTTGTACTTTACCTACCTTGTACCCATACTCTCCTTTGTTGTATCATTTGATGGACTGGTTTCGACGATGAGATGTCGAACGCCAGAAGAGATCCGAGGTCTTTTGAATCAGCCGGACTTGGATGTCAGTGAATGGGAGTTCAAATCGGGGAATAGAATGGTTTTCTGGCCCTTTGTCAATATCTACTGGTATGCGGGCGTCAAGAGGGAGAATTCATGATCGGATGGACATGTGTCTTGTTAATCCTGGTGGCTATGTACGGTGGGTTTTCCCCACAGCTTGCGCAGACCTTTCTCTGTTTCCTGCAAGACATCAGTCCCCAGCATCTGTCTGTATCGGTATGACATGATTAAACCCCAGTCCGTCTCCCATGTCAGTCCGGATATGCTTAGAAATTTGTCTCGGAGCCATTGTGGTGTTCCGTCCTCCAAATGAAAGATTCTCCTGTTTCTGTTTGCGCCATCCACGTTCCGTGATGTATATGGTTTTCGAATCTGCTCGTACAATTTAAGAACAGCTGGGATATCAGCAGCCATGCTTTCTTCCGGGGCGCTTTCTCTCCGGGATGCAATTGAGCCTAGGAGCATTCCTAGTACAGCACCGTCCTCGACCGCCATGGCGGCTCCTTGGGCTTGATAAGGAAGCGTTGGGTGACAGGCATCGCCTAGGAGTGTAGCGTGTCCCTGACCCCGTTGTCAGTCTCGCAGACTACGCTAAACAAATATCGTGAACACGGACCTTTGACCATGTGTGTAATTCAGGGAGGTGGCACAGCTTCCACTTCAAGATTGACGGGATACAAGAAATAATCTTTCTTAGACTACAGCCATTTCAGTAACTGTGGTACTTAGGAGGGATAAGCACACTCACGTTTCGTCCCAATCCCTATATCCGTGTCGAACTTCACCGAGATCGCCTTGTTTAGTACGTATCCCAGCCGGTAAGTCGTCAGGTTGCAACAGAACAAGGTTGAACTCCGTTGCGCCACGGAGAGGATAGAAGACGGCATGGTTCTTTGGCCCAAACCAGGCTGTCACAGCAGTTTTAGAACACAGCTCATTGATTTTAGGATCGTTGAGGCTCTCGAGTTCACATCGGGAGAAGGTTGCTCGATATGCGAGGTCTCCTGTTTCAATCGGCGGAGAAGGCTTGCCTAGGACCGCATTTCGTACCGTGGACCAGAGACCTGCGGCACATCAGTGTTAAAGGAACACTTTTGTACATCAGGTGGATATCGAACCGTCAGACCCCACGATCACATCACCTGTGAACCTCATTCCATTGGCCAGAATTACCTGTGGAGTCTCGAATAGTACATCTACAACCAATGCATCTGGGCGAATCATAACACCTATTGAAACAGCCAACCGCAAAAGGATCTGATGGTAATCTGCCCTATGAATCATACTGGATGGGGTTAGCTCAGGATCATCCTTTTCCTTGCAAGAGAAGAGCATACATCCAGGGGGCTCCATATTCTTGCGTGACAGTATCACCACACGGCATCGAAGTGATTAAACTTCCGTCCTTGTACCGTCGAATGTCCATCGATTCGATGATGGTGCCTTTTTCCAGAATCTTTGGTAAGAGTCCCAGCTCTTTCATGATTCGAGATCCATTGGGTGGTATTTGGATACCCGCCCCAACCTACTCACTTGTTATCATCTGTCAAAGTATGTACCTTCCAGAAGGCCACAAAATATAGAGCCAGCCTACCTCGGTTATTCTTGGTGATCGTTCTAGAACAAGAACTTCAATGTTTTGGCGGCGGCACGCGATCGCACATACGAGGCCTCCTAGGCCGGCGCCGACTATGATCACTTTCATCGCGAAGTTGTCTCGGATTCAAATTGCATATGTTTGAAAGGCAAATTATATAAATGGAAAATACCATGATTTTGTGATGTTTGTGTCAAGATGAGAGAGGGGAACTGGAGGTGAAGAACATGATATCACGGCCCCGGATTAGTCATTTCCACGTGTGGCCTGATCGCTCAGGCTGTTCTTCTACGCTAGTGTTCAGAACTGTCACTGAACATGAGTAGCAAAACTATATACATTAATCTCTATATGAATAACATAGGTGTTGTGGTCCAATTCTTGAAGAAATGGTTAGCCTTAGCATCAGTTTGTCACTCTCCTAGCTCGGATCCCCGGGCAACGAAGTCCAACCAAACACAACATCTAGCCCCTTGCGGAGAGGGCAAGGAATGCACATTATTCGAAAAGTCTTTCCAGGAAGAAAAGTCAAGGTAAATACTGGGACGAGTCCTGAAAAAAAGTAATTTACACGATCACCCGAGCGAATCAATACTGCCTAGTGTCGTCAAAACACAGTCTGCATTCCCTCCTTCCAAACGTCAAGATGCGCTTACTGGTGGCCATCTCTCTCCTTTGCCCTGCTTGGACAAATGCACAAAAATGCGGAATGGCGATGCAAGTGCATCAACAGGAACCAAGTGAACCAGGTGCAAAGACCCTCACGCCAAAAGAACAAACGGACCGATTGTTGGAATCAGTGATGACTCCGCTCATGTTGGATTATATCCGATGTGACGGTGATAATGGGGCATGTTTCCTGTCTGAGCCTTAACTACCTACAATGTGACGTTTGCTAATTTGGTTGTGTACTAGTCTTGTCTTGTCCGGCTGGATGTGGAGAAAGCCCATGCCGAGGAGTTGAAAGCAGAGTTTAATCTCAAAAAGACTGCAAATATCGAAGTGACTGATGCGGTAGGTCAGGTAAGCCTTGCGGAAAGAGCTCTTATAGATTGCTGACTGGTCATCACATAGTTCTGCCCGGATGTGAAGAGCGAGTTATAAGGACCTGGCAGGCCTGTCTTGGAATACTACAGATACGAGGGATGTTATATTCAGGAGTCATGACTTAAATAGCAATTTCATCACAGTAAAACAGCTGCAACGACTTCCACCTCCCATACCCCTGAAGTACACAGTCCAGGACCTTGGAGTAATCGGCATCCCATGTATCATGGGTAATCGCCCAAGCCGTGATCCCACCAAAACACGAACTCCTCGCAAATTCCAACTTATGTTTCAGGGATTCCTTGTCATCGTACGCGATCCATCGCTCGCCGTTCATTCCGATCTGCGCCCCAGCCTCTGGATCAAATTTGGTCTCCAGGTGTCCCCATTCGTGCTTGTGATGGAGTCGTCCGTACATTAGTTCGTGCAACTCCGGGTTTATCATATCCTGGATCTCGGAGTTCATGAGCATTCCGGTCTTCTTGCTGCTGGGTCCGCCTGGGGCACCGGAGACGGCAGGACAGCCGGGGGCAAGACAGTCTAGGCTTTGGGGGAGTAACGATGCGCCGTAGAGTGTGAGAACTAGATTTACATCGTTAGGGTGGATGTAATTGCGCCATAGGAGGTGTATGGCCACGGTTACTGTGGTTAGGTTAACCACAGGGCCGAGAGTGTCGGCATGCCAGGTATCTCCTGGTGAGAGCTGGGTGTGGAGATCAATTGGCAGGAGATTAAAGTAATCGACTTGTCGGTTAAGCTTCCGCAGGTTATAGTTATGCAGCGCGCTCAGCGAAGTCGGAAGCGTCATGCTGAGTCCGTAGCGGCCACCCGTCATCTTGAGCGCCGCTTTGATATTTTTGATCAGGCGCGGGAAATTCTCATAGTCGTCGGACTGTCCATCTGGATGTTCCCAGTTGACCTCAACCCCGTCAATATCGTACGTTGACATGAAAGACGTAAGAGATCGGAGGAACACAGCCTGATACTCCTCCGAGGCGGCCAACCGTGAAAACACAGTCGAGTCATGCACGCCCCAATCGTTTGCCGACAGTCCACTAATTGTCACAGACACTCTTAGGTCTGGGTCGTACTTTTTTCGCCGCGTCAACTGTTCGATCTCCATGGCATGGTGCCAGAAGATGGGATTCAACTCGAACGTGACCGGGTTGATGGTGACAAATGCAACATTCACGTGCGTGTACGTTGCGTAGGGTATCTTGTCGGGCATGAACTTGTTGCACGGTCGTATACCATTCCAAAGCTCGTAATAGCCTGCGAATCGCTCGCTGATTTCGGCCCTGGAACAGCGCGGTGGTTCTTTCTCGCGGCAATCAACGCAGTTTTCGATGCCGCAGTAGTCGGGCCCGACACCGCAGACGCCCGATCTCGAACAGCAACCACTTTCACATGGATGCGACTTGTTACAGCGCTGTACTCTGCGCGGCTTGACGGCCTGCGAATTGTCATCTTTGTGGGTTTCAGGCTCGTTGTCGAAGATAGTCATGCCCAGTACCAAGAGGAGGCATATTAGAAGGAGAGCCTTCTGGCAGGGCCCCATGGCGTGGCCAGGGGTGATATCAGCAGGTAATGGACCCAAACTGTTAAAAATGCATTCTTAACGAGCGAATATGGCTCTCGGAACGCAAGAGCGTAAGATGTCACGATTTCAAATTTCCGCTAGCCCTATGGTTGCATCGCGAAAACCCGCTCATTTCCCCCATTCGGGACGCTAAGCATCTAGCGCTCAATAGTGTCTTCACTAATTTCCCCGGTTCAAAGCACCTTGCGAATCTTTCCAGTCTCACATTCCTGGGTGAACAAAAGGAAACAAAATCATGACTTGCAACAATGTCGACTTCGAAAACATTGAAAAAGATTATCTACGCTCTAGTATCCGCGTTTCTGTGCATCCGAATCCTGCGCCGACTATGGCCTCAACATGAACATCAAGAACATCTCGAACCAGGCCCACTTTGCGCCTCAGGAGTCGTGTACACAGTCCAGAAAGGCGATACCTGCGATAGCATTTCTCTCGCACACAAAGTCCCCTCTCACGGGTTGTGGGAGGCGAACAAAGAATCTATCGTGATATGCGACTTCCTGGACAGCCACGTCGGGATGCAACTCTGCATACCGTTCTCGTGCAGAGAGGTCTACAAGGCTCAGGAAGGCGATACCTGTGAGAGTATCGAGCAGACGCACGCAGAGGTCTTGCGTGGCGAGAGCTTTATAAAGCTCAATCCGTGGCTGCAGCGTGCTTGGCTTTGTGACCAGCTTGAGTCAGGCTCGTATTATTACGGCAAGACGTTTTGTCTGGGCTATCAGGGTGGGTTCTTTGGGACTACGGAAGATGTCCCGAATCCGGTGTTTCTTGACGAAAACCGTGATCCTGTCCATCTTGGTGGCTCTGCAAATGGGCAGAATCGGTTGATTGCGCACACATGATACTTGTTTTGATATCTTCGTCTGAGGAACGGCTATTTCTCTCATGCTCATTTTGGATACTATACTAAGCGCATGGTCCGAGGATGAATGGAAGGAAAAATGAAAAAAAAGAAAATCGCATACAAAAAAAGGGTATAATCCAGAATGACGCCAAAGCCCAAACACCCAATTACCGATTATGCGCCAAGACCTCAATATCTCATGACCCTCCCAAAAAAAAGAAAAAAACTTAGTCAAAGAAAGGCAGCGATAGGAGAACTGTTTGATATTGGACAGCCATTAATTCCTTCCAAGTTGGTTGACCTCAGCCCAGTGTCTAAGCCCCAGTGAGGCCCCTGGAATGTGGCAAATGCATCATGTACCCGTCCCGAAGGATGCAGACTCCTCTCACACGGCCGACGAATCTTCCCAGAATATGGTCTTGCTTGAGAAAGTGGAATGATGAGAAGGATTCGTTGCAGTCCTCAGCATGGCTTGTCACGATCGGAAGACCCGGGCTTAGGGGTCTAGAAATGCCACAGTCCATTTGGTATCATTTCTTCAGATAAGATGGTTCATTATGGCGGTTCCCATTAAGAACGATGGAGCCCTTTTCAAGACTCCCGAGGGACTCTTTCCTCGCGCACCACCGCTGCTGCAGGGGGTTCGGGCATGGTGGATGCCTCGGCCTCGCCGTCTCTGTCTGACTCCATGCTCGCTCTCACTCCGGCGTAGACCGCCTTGCACAAAGGACAACAGCCTTGTCGCTTAGTGAGCCACATATCGATGCAAGCAGGATGAAATATGTGTCCGCAGGTTAAAGGCCGGACCTCGTCGTTGGCGTCGAATTGGTCGACGCAGATGGCACACACGGAATGTGAATCGCCCTCGGAGGAAGGACCCTCGTGGGCATTGTCGCCCTCATCTGATGTTTGTTTGTTTTGGGTTTCTTGTTGACTGGGACCGCGAGACGTGGTTCGCTCTATTGTCGTTGAAGGGCGATCTGCGCTCTCTTGGCTCGGGGTTTCGTGGGCGCTCTTCCAGGCACTATAGCCTACTGTAGGGAATCGACGGTCGACATCTTCGCTGGTCATCACCGGTCGGACTTTTTTTGGCCGGATCGCTTCAATGTCGGGCCTGCGAAATTGAGGATAGAGTTCATCGAGTCCGGATCGGCGATGCCTGCGCCATACTCGGGTTCTACCGTAGAATATTGGTTAGCACACGACGAAGGGAATGGCACGTTAGATGCGACAGGTCCTCGTACGCGAAAATGATCAGCACCACGAGTGGCACCTGAATTAGGAAAAACAAAGCCCACAGTGCTGGGTTCGTCATGTTTGCGATGCTATTTGTGTCCTTCTAGAAGCCGTCGAAACATTGGGCGGCATTTCCTTTAATAATGGAAAGCGACACGGTGAATCTACCAGGCAGACAGAAGTCGTATGCCCAGAGAGGCTCGTCTGTCGTCAGATAATCCGGCCCCGCACGCCCTGATAAACAAAAGAACGGCCAATTCGTGGCTCATGAGGTCATGGCGCCTTTTAGTCCCGAGGGGACGCTCCAACCCCGTCGCTGCATTCGCTGTTGGATCCTCCGCAGCCAAGACGCTGGGGTTGGCACTCGCTGCTCAGCCACATACAGATTCTCGATGCAGCAGTTAACTCGTCTTCGAGAGAGCCTCTGGGTTGTCAATTCTGGGGTTTCCCACCGATTTGAAAAGCTTAGTTTGCCGCGTGGAGAGGTATGCGACTTTTTACTGTGTTTGAGCTGTGCCTTGGTCGGCTCTTTGTCTGACATGGCGAGGTTTACGATCGAACATTGCTTATTAGGTAACACGATCAATTGAATTTATCGTGTTATGTTGCCTCTGAACTTTATTACAAGCATATTCCTCGGACCATCCACACTTTTCATGGCGTTGCATGGTTCTCTTTGACCCTCTGCTATGCACCAAGCAGGAGATTGAGTCCATGTTTATGACTCTTGAAATTCCTCGCCTTCGACTTTGGCATACAAACTTGTTCAGAAATAGTCAACCTTGAGGAAGGTCTTGAACTCTCCCTCCTTCAACTCCTCGCTCTTTCCCAGCCATCGCAGCAACCAGTAGGGAACTCTCGAGTGCGAATCCGCGGGATAGTGCTTAATAGCCCAGGAAGTGACATTCTCAGCGCCAACGAAGAGCCCGTCCTGCTGCTCGCCGTCCACCACGTGGTGGTAGAAGTCCACGGTAATGCTCTCCTCGGCCGACAATCCCCAGCTGAACAGTCCCGTCGAGGAGCTGACGTTCGTCGACTGGAATTCGCAGCCGTTGTTGACGGAAACGCAGGCATCAATCACCGAGGGAGAGGCTCTACTGCACATCAGAGGGACGATTGCTTGGTCGCCGACGTATCCGATTCCGATCTGATGTAGATACTGGTCAGTTTGGGGGAGATAGATAGTCACTGCGAGTGGAGCCTACATGTCCACTCTTGTCATCGCTGGAGAGCGAGATGGTCGTGTCGCGGAAGCCTTCCATGCTGCAGGCCTTGTCGGTGGCCGTGGTGTTGACGCATCCATCAACCACCGCCATGAAGTACCCCGTGGTGCCGGTGTACGGGTAGTAGGAGTTGATGTTGTAGCATCCGCCTTTGGCCACGACAGGCTGCACCGACGAGGCGTAGGCAGCTCCGAGGACGGAGAAAGTAGTGAAGATGGTAGAGATCATTCTGAGGGTCAATCAGGATTAGGCGGGTTGGTACTGATCCCAACCATGAACCTGGCCGCAACACTGTCTTTATACCTTTCCATGTCCACCTGGTTCAGATCTGAATTTTTCGATCCCCAATGTTCGCCCCTGGTACTCTTACCCAGTCGGGCAAAGTTGACGCTAGACTAGGCATCGTCTCCCGCTAGCTGTGGGGGCCGTTCCTCAACCTTCGGCTAGAACGTGCCTGGTGAATGGAAGATCGACAGGGCAATGGGGCCTTCCGGACATGGCCGGACGAGGGTAACATTTTATCAGATGATTTAACTCTGTGCAGTGTGCAGGCTGCAGCAACTTGACCAAGTTCTAAGGGAAATAGGAAATGCGGATCTACTAGATCTACACAGGCATTGTCGGTGATTATCTTGATCGGAATTCCACCTAACCCATCAAGTTACTGCTGTCAGTGAGATTACCGTTGCATTGCACCAATCTACTTGGCACTCAATCATGATGTGAGTCACCTTTCTTGTCGACATGTGTTTTTGAGTAGTCTCTGCAGAAGCGAGGCTGGGATATACATGATACCCCGCGAAAATTGCAGCCACGGTCATACTCTCTGCTAGTGCTTATTTCTATAGTGGTAAACCTCCTGGCTAAAGAGCCCCACAGGCTATTGTCTGTATGAAGAGACCTGCTGACATCAGGCAACAGAATGCAGCCTAAATACTTCTTCAGCAAGCGTCGTCAAAGGGACAAGGCGTGACTACTCATCGATTGGCTTGTGATTAGTGATAGCCTAGTGCTATGCCTTCATTTCATAAACCTAGTAATTGTTTTCGAAACCTGTGTTCACACAATGGCTTGTGCTGGTCAGTTGTAGGTATTCCTACTTGGGATACTTTCAATTGGTGTGTGTTGAATGATATTCTCTTGTTGGACTCAATATACGACAATGACCTGCAAACTGCAAGTTTCTGCCTCTAAAACTCCTGTTCATTCTTCTTGCACATGTTAGTCTACATACACCATATGTATATGTGTTCCACTCTCAAGACGTTCCCACGGAAATATTGAATCCGCTGCCCTGGAGCACATTCACCGACCAGGAACCTCAAAGATATCCGCAAACGGATCCCAATCCGGATCAGTATGTCTCTCGTACTCCATCAGATTAGCAACTGTAGTAGAAGTCGCCTCCCCGTATGCCCACTCAAAAAACGCCAAAGTCGCATCCACCCCCGCGGATATCCCAGACGACGTCCAAATATTGCCGTCAACGGTCCACCGCGCGCGTGGCACCCAATCCACCTTTGGACCAAGCGCCACCGTATTGTTCCACGAGGCCTTGTTGGTCGTGGCGCGCTTCCCGTCAAGAACCCCAGACTGCGCGGCTAGTCGGGACCCCGTGCAGATGGTGATCAAGTACTTCACCTTGGGGTACGTCTCGGCGATGAACTCGATCGTGCGAGTCATGTTCGGGGACCGGGTTCCCAGTCCGCCGGGGACGATGAGGACGTCCATATCCGGCGCCTTGTCGAGGGTGTGCGTTGGGATGATCTCGGGGAAGCCGGTGGAGTTGTGGGCGTTCATTGCGCTGGCTCCCGGTCGTGTAGTTACTGGATCGAGGGTTTCGGAGAGCAGGAACAAGTCAACTTTGTGGGAGGACGTGAGGCGCTGGAGGACCTCCAGTGGACCGAAGACATCCATGAGTTCGAAGGCTTGGAAGAGTAGCATTCCGTACTTTTGGGGCGGTGTTTTCGGGGCCTCGGGTAGGGGAGTTGGGCTGGCGGTGGGTGCTGAACCTAGGCGCTATCGATCAGTAACTGTTCCTGCGTCAATTCGAGAGTGACTGACTCGATCCAAGACTCATAACGAGCGAAGGCATACAGAGACCCAAGAGACCAGCTCTCAGGTAACTAACGTTGGGGAGCTTCATGGCGCCTCTTCACAGATTATGTTCGATTGAGGATTTGGAAATCAATCTTGCCCATGGCACCTTGCCCATCTTTATACCTGTCAGCACAGTAAACACAGCCCGATAAACGTTCGTAAGCAAGTAACATAGTCGATCAGCCATTCTCCGTCTTCCTATAACTTCTCAATCCCTGCCAAGAACTCCGATGACGCCAGGATTCTCCGGCCAGGGATGCTGAATCAACGGGCGAAAATGTACTGCTTTTGAGCTGATTTGAGTCTGTTTCAAATAATCACCAATGGATGAGGTAGTTCACGTTGGAAAGTGTAAGCCGAGAGACTTTACGTATGGGGTATCTGAGTAGGTTCGGTCTTGACTGCTCACAACGTTGGAAAATATACTACGGCGATACGCCGATCGAGAGCAGTTGCTGCCATTTTATTATCCGTATCTCAAGCGTAATTAAAGAGTGCCTAGTTTATTTTTACCCTTCGAAAGAAGCCAAGAAATGAGAGATAGCAGGAGAAAAACAAAGCGAAACTGAACGGTGGCATGGAAGGTAGATGCGAGCCTCAGGCTTGAATTTATTGAGGCATCCAGGCATCCAGGCAGCAGCAGGGGACAAGGCCCCAAGGCAGACTCATGACTCGATTAGGCTAGCGCTGGAGGAAAGGTCGCGGATTTTCCATCTCTTTGCATTCAATGCGACCGATCATCTGAACCCAGCAAGAGTTTCATCTAAGGTCATGTTCTCCCATACAGTTGCTTCCTAATTCCAGTTATCAATGACGGATTTTAACCATTTAGCCAGCTATCGATGGATCCATCCTCGGCCGTCGGGTGAGAATGTGGCTCCATCACCATTCACCATCCAACCTTCTCAATTCATCACAGTCTAGCCCTTCATCATCCTTAATGTTTTCAGAATGACCTGGATATAGCTAGAGGGCCGGGTCGCAGTATTCGCGAGTTGGGACGGTCCGTCGCGCCGAGGTACGCCTGAAGCAAGAATCCATATCAAACCACCGGGCTGACACTTTCAGGCTTGCACCACATGCCGGCGGAAGCAAAGAAAGTGCGACGGACAGCGACCAATCTGCTCCTTATGCCGTGCCTTTAATTTCTCCTGTACCTTTTAGGGGACTAACTAGTGGTAACGTTTCGCTAGTGCTTATGTTGCAGATTTAGAGCGACGCGTCAAGAGTATGGAGGAGCAACTGCAGCGTCAGAGTCCACCAGCAGCTCGGCATGACAGTCCGTTGAACATGGGTTTGCTTGCACAATCAACGCCTTCTAAACCTTCCTGTGAGTTTTGAACACGCTTCGTGGGTAGTTCTCGGCACTCTGCTTGGAATATATCTGCGTTTGGGATGTGCAATTTTCTTTTACTTCGGGCCCACGGAGCAAAAGGAATCACCGCCAGATCCCGAATTATATGCTCCTTCATAGATAGTTAATGTTGAATTGTCTAGGAGCTTGCCGCAATGGAATACCTGATATTTGATTTTCGAGACTCAAAACTACTGCTGATATAGAAGACCAATAGATTTGAAGTACGCTGCGCTTACCTTTACTCGCTATGACCTGATATCAAAGATATAACGTCACCAGGTAGAGAGGCCTAAAGCGGCGGGTAAACGTTCTATATACGTACTATCTGATGCTTCTTTCCTTCTGAATGAACGATAACCTTGTTATAGGAGATTTTTAGCTAGTGGCACGATATGTCTCCTACTCTAAATAAAACATGTACATACGACCACAGGGTGTGGAGAACAGGGCTTCCCGTCCGCTCAGCCGTACTTAAGCCACACGCCGGCCGGTTAGTAGTTGGGTGGGTGACCACCAGCGAATCCCGGCTGTTGTATGTTTTTATTTTTAATAATTCACTATTTAATTATATTAACCCGTTCTTCCTTTAAATCCCCCGGCCAAGCCTATTATATTAATATGGCCTACTCCCAAGTCCTCAGCTAGAAGTTCTCTGGATTTCTGCCGAGAGCTACCCCTAAACTCTTCCCAATGGTAGCTGGACGTACGCTGCAGCGATGGCGTTAACCCAGCCACTCCACATAATTCTAGTTGTTACTCTTAGTCTCAAATCATAATTCTCTATTATCGGCCGCTCAACATCAAACCATAAACATGTTTTGAAATAGTGAGCGGAATATTAACCAAGACCTAATCAGGTGATTAAGCAGTCTATATATTGTTATATTGTAACCTGGCGATATTTTATTACCAGTAACTACCATATAATACTATTAGTTTACTATACCTGGCGACCTGGCGAGACTGACCTGGCGACCCTCTTTGTCCGCCACTACTAGTGTGGTAAAAGTTGCGTGCGAGGAAATGTGCGCAGTGATGTAAAAATAAAATAGAATTCCCGTTTTAGTTCTCCGGAATCGCCGTTTTTTCCCGGAGGAAGATCATCATAAAGACCGTCGTGCGTCCATGAGCGATGAGAATCCGAGGGTTTTAGAGCTCGCTTACCGTAAATACGATATTAAAAATATTATTAGAGCACTAGGTTGCGGGATGAAAAAAGCTAAGGATATTCGATGAGGGAAATATTTTATAAGCGCTTCTCCTCCATTCGACAAAAGCGTGCAAACTCTGGATGTTCTGGATAAGAACCCTGCCGAGGCGCTAAGGGGTTTATTTTTTGATATTGATACTGTCTTTGAGGAGAAGGGGTGGAAGTATCTGGCGAGAATAGACAAAGACTATGATTTAAATCAGGCTGTCAGGGAACTGGAGTGGAATCCGGAGTATAGAATTGAAAGGGCATTAGGGCAATTGATGCGTGGCGAGCAATGGAAGAGTGACTTGACATCAAGAGTCGGCAAGAAAGGATATAATGCTGTCAGTACAGGGGTGTATACAAAGGGAAGAGAATATGAATTTTTTGAACCGAGTAAGCTAGGTCCTAGAATTATAATGCCAACTATGTAATGTACTAGTGTCAAGATGGTAAATAATTGTATTTTAGAACCACATAATAATGTCTAGGGAAACACCGTCCTGCTGTTTAAACTGGGCTATTCCAGGGTAATAACCGATAACTACCGACTGGGACTAGTAATGGTCATCACCGTCACGGCATAGTACAGGTCAAAGAACATTGCAACAGTCCCGAGACATGTCTTTACATAAAGAGAAACTTCTCTCGTAACTTCTATTTGGAAGAACTTGCTCATGCATCTCCATTTGCCCCCGAACTAACTGTAAGAGATCAAAGGAAGCGCGATCTTCTTTCTTCAAGTCTTTTCTACCCTCAAGTATCCGGGTCGCAATTGTGCCAAATCTTCAGCCAAGGCGAAAACAAATATGACATCCAGATAATCTGGTACAAACTACTTTCTCAAGCCGTCTTTGACTTGACCTTCTCCAAATTCTCCAAATATCGGTAAACATCAACAAAAGATGTCAGCCATCTTTCTTCCCTGTCGTCACAGGGCTCAAGAGGACAAGTGTAGGCCCGTCTCTCATAACAAAGAGATGGCAAAACATTATGAACAGCGAAATACGCGTCATCGTTGTCCTCCGACGAGGATGTGTTTTTCGTTCGAAAGACGTCCCCTTTGTCGTCAGTGACAGGGGGATTGGCGGTTTTGATGCCTTGCGTTGGAAAGAAAGGCACATCCGTGAAATAGAAAGGCATTCCTTCCATTAAAATATCAACCTGATCCTTGATGAAGTGTGAGCGCAAGGTTTGGGAACTTTGGGAACCTTGCTCATTGTCACTCAGCAGTCGGCTTTCTTTGCCCGAGAAAAGTCCATGTTTCTCCAGATTGCGAAGCAGTTCTACCAATGCCGAATCAAACGGGATCACTGGGAAAAAATTGTAGCGAAAGTGCTCGACTGGCGTAAAGGACCTCCAATTACGACTCTTGATTATATTGGCTGTCTTTCGCATTCGATCCACAACATGTGCAATGTTTGCCCGTCGTTTCTGTTCCGGGTCCAAAGTACGCTTCAGCAAATCAGGATTCTTTTCCAACATAGTCCCGGCAAAGTAAAGTTGGTCAGTGGATCGCTGTACCATCCCCATCTTTGCATGCTTAACGGCCGCAATACATCCCTCTAGCTCTTCCACCGTTTCGCAGAGGCGAGGGTTAGGCACGCCGTTTGGGTAAACCGAACGATCGACATAGCGATCTAGTGGTGTCGTTAGGAACTGCTCCAATAAAAGTGCCTTGACCGGGCTTTTAATGTCTCTGGCCATGTCACTGGCGGTCCAACGACGTAGACCATCGAATGTTATCGCCTGAGCATTACTTGCGAGAGGCCCTCCGCGAGGTCGGTAAAGCGATCCATCAAGTTGAGCAAAAAAGTCCAACTGCGCATGCAGACTGATTAAAGACTTGATAAAGTTCTGCGTTTGCAAAATGTTCGTCTCGTTGTCCCCAAACATTATTTTGTAATGGGGATGTGATTTTATGGCCTCCACCACGGTCGGATCGTCGTACCAGATCAGCTTGAGGACATCATAGACGAGTAAGTCACCGATAATCTGATGTGCTATTTCAACCGGCAGTTTTGCCAAGCCGGTGACTATATCGTTGAATTTCGGCATTTCCCAAGTTCTTTTCAAGTTGACGAAAAGAAAGGTTCAAATTTGAATGATACGTGGCAGAGCCTCCTTAAAATATGCCAATCCGAAAAACCCAGCCTCGCACCCCACTGATTTGGGGGCGAGTTTCTTCTTGAGTCATACACTAGTTCGATGGAGCCAATTACATGGGCAAATGTTTGCTTCTATGAAGATCTACGCTGAAGTAGCCCCTCGGCGGGGAATTTAAATTGATCGGTCGCCACTGTCACAAGTTTCTTTCTTTGCTATCAGCCGTATTGAACGCGTTTCTTCTTTTCAAATCTCGGCCAGCCACCAAGATGGACGAGCTTCCCGAGTTTCTTCCGAACGTACAGTTCGAGATCAAGCATGCCGCAGCTCTCGCCGAACAACTTAAATTAGACCAAATCAGATGCAAAGAACGCCGTACGCCCAGCCGACTAGTGATAGTTTTACCCAAACGAAAACCCTCTGCGTCGTTACTTGATGCTGTCGCCTGGCATATCACACCGTACAAAGAGGTGCCTCCGGCACTGCGATGGGCTCGATGCGAAGCAATCATTGAAAGCATCACTGCATACTGGAATGGACTTGATTCCCACTGGCATGGACATGTGTCATGGGCAATACCACAGACCCACGAGCTTGACGCGACCCTCAAAGTATTGCAATATCTCGAGTCGAGGTCATCCGTGTCTCATATTACGCAGAGGAGCTCTTTCAACGATGTGGTCAATGCAGTGAGATCTCACCGGGGCATGAATAGTGTCATGCGCAATGACTTCCACGAAGAAGCCGAGGCACGCCTGAAACAAAGGGCTGGAATGACACCAGCTAAACCGCGATGCTATATGTGTTACCGGCTGCGCTCCAGCGTCGGTACTCATGATATGTATCCTTCGCTTTGTAATGATTGCGGAGACTTTAACTTGAGCTCGTCAAATCAATCGCTGCCGCCGAACCTAAGGCTTTCCGGGAAACTCGCACTTGTCACCGGGGGCCGAATCAACCTGGGATACCACACAGCTCTGAGATTACTTCGATGCGGTGCCCATGTCATTGTTTCTTCGCGATACCCTGCCGATGCAGCGAGTCGATATGCCCAAGAAAGCGACTTCCAAACATGGCAGTCAAGGCTCAAAATCATTGGGGCTGATTTTCGGACTGCCAGAGACGCATTTCGGCTCGTTCATATAGTCAAGGAACTTCTGCGCTCGTGGGGTAATGATCTAGGAAGGAGAAAATCAGAACGCACCCTGAACATCTTGATCAACAATGCCGCCCAAACTTTGACAGATCCCCTGAGAGCGGAAGCTAGGGCGATATCTCGCGAGGAGCAGTTGAGAGATGATCCACGTACTCAAGCATTGATCGCAGGACAGCCTGGAGACGGATATAGACCAATGATCCGAGGGGGGATGCATGCATCCTGGATCCCGAGCATCGAAGATGATACCAAGAAGCTAAGAATCGAAAATGACTCCAGCAAGCCGGAAGACAAAATCATATCAAAGAGTTTACACACGAACAACGCTGAGGATCCAGGCAAATCCTCCTGGATCCAATCTCTAAACGAAATCCCCTACGAGGATCTCATCAGCGCACATTCCGTCAACGCATTCGTTCCTCTAATATTATGCCGGGAACTCCTCCCATATATGGGCTCACCTCCAGATAATCAATTCTGGTGCCATCGAGACCGAGCACAGGGCTACATAGTCAATGTCTCTTCGCGTGAGGGTATTTTCGAAGACGTTTCTGATTCGCGCAGTAAGGCCGGATACCATGTACATACGAATATGTCCAAAGCTGCCATCAACATGATAACGGAGACCGAGGCTGGGGCTGCATGGGAGTCGTGCCGTGTGGCGATGAATACAGTTGACCCGGGATATATGAGTGCGGCCCCGGACTGTCAACCTCAGGGTGGTTGTCCGATTGGATTTGAAGATGGGGCTGCTCGGGTATTGTGGCCTATTGTTGTTGGAGAAGATGGGCGAGCTGTTAAGGGCAAGTTCCTCAAGCATTTCCAGGAGGGTTCGCCAATAATTCATTGATGGTAACTACTCCACCACAAACCGTACCACGGACTGTTTGATTGCTCCTTGGGATGTCTCGGATCCAGACGAATAATGAAGTCTGATACTATAATTCCAGTGTCAGCTTGAAGGATGCAGGATTATTGTGAACAGAGAAAAACTTGAAGGATTACAATTATTGAACATATTCAACATACGATAAGCAAGAAATATCAATCCATAGACCATTATCATTCTCAACTCAATTACTTAATATAGCATGGGATCCTTAGCATGCATCAGTTTCTGTTATCCCATAACCTTCGGGCACTTCAGTCCTTCCTCTGAACGCCCTGAATCCGCCCTGACCCCGCCTGTCGACCTTGTTCATACCAGCAACATGGAGACTTATTAGCGTACATTAGCGTAGCCATTTGTGATTTTGGTATTTTTACAGTATCTTACGCCAGATTCTATGTACCCCAATCCTGTCATAATTCATATACAAAGCTCAAATCAACATGGAATTCAATACAAGAGAATCACCCGCTCTCACCCTGTTCTCACCCTGTCTATTGCGCACTCACCCTAATCACCCGAGTCGCGCGACGCTAAAGCGGCGCTCACCCTATTCTCACCCGGACGTCACCCACCTGGCTTCTGGCCGCGTTCAAGCCACACGCCGGCCGGTTAGTAGTTGGGTGGGTGACTACCAGCGAATCCCGGCTGTTGTATGTTTTTGCTATCTTTTTCTTTTTCAAGATAGATAGTCTCTGTCTATTCCTTGGGTAAATTCCACAATCTCAAAAATTAAAGTCTATCTATCCCCTTAAAGACCCAGCCTTGAGTTGCGAATAAATTTTCAAAATGTTGAAAAGATTAGTAGTAATTGTCTCCAAACCAAATACTCGTTTAGAAATAATTATACTATATCGAATACAATGTAGCAACAACGTAGAGTGGAGATGCAACCTTTTCATTTCGAAATTTCATACTCCCTGGCATGACCTCGGGTGACACGGACTTGTCCCCATGCCAAATTGTCCCCCAAGGGCCTAGTAATCGACTCAGAGTAGTAAGATCAGTTCTACACTGTTGCCGCTTAGTCCGGGGCCCCGCATCCTTAGAATCGTCAGGCTCTCATGCGCCCGGAGTTCCTGCGAATACCATGTATGCAGTTACACTAGCAGAGCACTCTGGCGCCACAATCCTACGTTGTCCAGGGCTTGTCTGCATCTAGTGCCAATGATCGGGTCCCTTCATTCCTCAGCTAGTACGCACGCCGTTAGTTCCCGTCGCTTATATGTCCCGTGCCGAGTAAAGATGGAAAATTTCCGGCGGCACAGCTGGCTTGTTGGGTTCTACATTTGTAGAATGGATTCCGCCTCTTGACTCTTCAACATGGCGTCGTGCGGGGTGCCTTTAGAGACGGACTCGTAGTCCCCGTCAATCGGATGTCTAGAGAGGGCCTTGAGACGCATGTGAAGCTTACTGTCACCAGCATCAGAGGTGGAACAACACATTCCGCCGAGGTGATAATGCGAGAGCAGCTAGGGTGTACTCGCATACAGCATGAAAGTTATACAGCCAATTCCGCTAGTGCTGCCGAGTTCGAGTCGCGATTCCATAGGATCAAGAAGCGTTACGAAGCTTTCTGAAGCACCACGATGGATTTTCTCCACTCGGAGAACTGGCGGGCTGCTTCGTCTACCATAAGCACCACATATTCATTGGAGGGAAATTCACCCCACGGGAGAAGCGCGTGGCATTGTTGACCTAAGTACGGACATGGTGAATTACGGCTGGAGTGACATAAAAGGCAAGGCCATACCCATTATCCAATACGCCGACCTAGAGAATCTTCCAGGGTAGATATTGTACTACTTTGCCTTCCAAATACTTCGCCTCTAATTTGATCTGGAGCCAGTGGAAGTAACCAAACATGTTACGACGAGTTGAACATGCTGTCGTGCTCACTCTAGGCCTCTTTGGCACGGGCTCGGTCGTTGCCGCTGGTCCTTGCGATATCTACTCCTCGGGTGGCACGCCCTGCATCGCTGCGCACAGCACAACTCGGGCCCTGTATAGTGCGTACAGCGGTTCGCTCTACCAAGTGAAGCGCGGCTCTGACGGTGCCACAACCAACATCGCACCGCTCTCTGCTGGGGGTGTCGCGAATGCCGTCGCGCAGGACTCATTCTGTGCCGGCACCACCTGCCTTATCACCATTATATATGACCAGTCCGGCCGCGGGAATCATCTCACTCAAGCTCCGCCCGGCGGCTTCCAAGGCCCCGAAGCCAATGGTTATGACAACCTGGCCAGCGCAATTGGCGCCCCGGTCACGCTAAACGGTCAGAAGGCGTACGGCGTCTTTGTCTCGCCCGGCACCGGCTATCGCAACAACGCAGCCAGTGGAACGGCAATCGGTGACGAGCCAGAGGGCATGTACGCCGTCCTGGATGGAACCCATTACAACGGTGGCTGCTGCTTCGATTATGGTAATGCCGAGACCAACAGTCTCGATACAGGCAATGGCCACATGGAGGCCATCTACTTCGGCGACAATTCTGCCTGGGGGACTGGCGCTGGTAGTGGCCCTTGGCTCATGGCGGATCTCGAGAACGGTCTCTTCTCCGGCCTCAGCAGTGGCTACAACGCTGGCGACCCGTCTCTCTCCTACCGATTCCTCACCACGGTCTTGAAGGGGAAGCCAAACCAGTGGGCTATCCGGGGCGCCAATGCTGCGTCCGGCTCGCTATCGACGTACTACAGTGGTGTGCGGCCAAGCGCATCTGGCTACAACCCTATGAGCAAAGAGGGTGCCATCATTCTTGGTATCGGTGGCGATAACAGCGTCAGCGCCCAAGGCACGTTTTACGAGGGCGTGATGACATCCGGCTATCCGTCCGATGCCACCGAGAGCTCGGTCCAGGCCAACATCGTCGCTGCTAAATATACGGTCGCGCCACTGACAAGCGGCACGGCGCTCACGGTGGGCTCCTCGATCTCGCTGCGAGCCACCACATCCTGCTGTACGACGCGTTACCTCGCACACACCGGCTCGACCATTAACACGCAGGTCGTCACCTCCTCCAGCAGTACTACTCTCAAGCAACAGGCCAGCTGGACTGTCCGCTCCGGCCTGGCCAACAGCGCCTGCTTCTCATTTGAGTCTAAAGATACCCCCGGCAGCTTTATCCGGCACTATAACTTCGAGCTCCAGCTCAGTGCAAACGACGGCACAAAGCAGTTCCACGAAGATGCGACGTTCTGCCCACAGACAAGCCTGAATAGCCAAGGAAGCTCTATTCGATCATGGAACTACCCGACCCGCTATCTCCGGCATTACAACAACGTGCTTTATGCCGCAAGCAACGGCGGCGTCCACACTTTCGATGCTACTGGCTCATTCAACGATGACGTGAGCTGGGTGATTAGTACCGGCTTCGCTTGAATGTTTGTTCATCTTCGAAGCATCGGTTTGGAAGCAACTGTCCCTATCTGGTTTGCTCTTTTTAGGCGATGGTGGTTAGGGAGTCCTAGCTGGTGATTAAGAGGACTTCGAAGACCTAGTTCAGGTTTGGCTGTAGAAGATTTGTCCTTGTTAGTGAAAGGATAGGCACCGTTATGAGCATCTATCCATTTTTTTATCCAGTGCTCGCATATACTTTCCCCTATCTTGCACCTGGTATTTGGATTAGACACACTGTGCCACCTATATTCAATTCCACAAAGTTTATATGCTTAGTGCGGCGCTCCATTAAGCAGAAACGAATTCGGTTGTCCGACATCATGTCATAAGGAGCTGTGAGGGGAAAAGGAGGGAGAAAGCGAGAAGAGAACGGGCCGAGGATCGGATCGTGGCATGAGCGAGCTGGTGCGTGTACTGATTGCCGACGGATCGGCCCGGAGGGAGCAATCTGGCTGCGGCCTGATCAGAGTATGGGCGGGCTTTGGTACTATCAAATGCATGCACAATGGGCTATTTCCGCCTATTTATCATCACTCCTGATTGCGATTGCGTTGTTAGTTGGTATTTCAACTGTATGCTATGCGGTGTGAACTGCATCTCAAACCAGGGTTCTGACGGAGTATCAATGTCTATTGATCCCAATTCCCAAAACAGGTGATACAATTTCCCAATAGGCTAGGCTCGTAACGTAGAACCTGGACCTAGAAGATATCTATCTGAGTTATTAATATGGGCTCAGCAGAGATATATTGGGAACTGCACCAATATGTAACTATTGGCTACCGATTAATAAAATAAATTATGTACCACGGAAGCGCAAGTGAATCTAGGGATTGCCCTATCTTAAAATTGTGCCTCTGACCAGCCTTGGGCAGCTATGTTACTAATTACTCCCACCCCCTGTCAGGGTCTGTGCCGTGTGTACAGACAGGTTTGAAACCGGCCCGTCGAATCCCGATGAACCTTGCTCTGATGGGCCGACAGGACTTCTGTTCATCCGCGTTGTAAGAAAATATGAGGTTCCTACGCTCCTTGAAGGTATACCATTTGCCATTAATCCCACGGATTGCTTTCCGTAATCAATTGAACACGGAGATAGGCATATTGAGTCTTCCGATTCATCAGTACATACGGTTAGGACGAGGGCGTGGCTCAATGCCCGGATCCCGGATCCACCGGTCACCCCTTGTAGGGCTTGCGAAGTCCCAATCCATGCTCTGCCACTCGCCATTTACTCCAAATTCTCCGTACACCTGCCGATCGAGATGATTCAATCCGATGCGAGGGATACAGATAGACTTTGAGGAGAAGCTCCGTTCTGCCCCCACCGGGCTGAAAATGAGCTGGGTTGGTGGCTGTCAGATGATGGCGTCGAATTATTGAACTTTATCTGGAACTACCGATGGTACTAACTAAACAAGAGGATTTCTTATCGAAGGATGGCCTACCAATGTCAGTATTGCTCGTTGCTGATGAGACCTGTCTGATCTGACCCTCGTATGGAGTACCGAGAGCAAAACACCTGATAGGTCCATACCCGGATGTGGAACAAGATGCAGCAATCGACTCGCGTCAGCATGCAATTCGTTAAGATGTGGTCTGAGAGCCCCCACCAGTGGATCAGCGCGTCTTGGCAGCTGAGAAGGTACCTGCACATTCGGCGCAAAAAGCAAGCATGCCGTCCGCCTTATTTAAACACGCGGTGCCTTGCATCTTCCAGAGTTGTCGACCGCTGGTGTTGACCTCATCTCAACCTCACCATTAATCCCATTCCCTCGACCAATTTCCAAGAATCTCCCTCACAATGCTGCCTCCACCCGCGGCCTCCAACGATGTGCTCCCTTGTCAGATCCTAGCCGAGGGACTGGGCTTCGACAATCGCGACCACGAGCTATGGTGGCTCAATACCGCTGAAAGTCTCAACCGTGTGATGATTCAATGCGACTACAGCGTTGATATGCAGTATAAATACCTCTCCTTCTTCCACCGACAAGTGCTCCCCCGCATGGGAACCTTCCGACGGCCCGGGGTCGAACCGGACTTCATCTGCGGGTTGTCGCATGGAGGGCACCCGTTTGAGATCAGTGTCAAGATGGACAACACCGCGACCACCTGTAGAGTGGGCTTCAGCCCCATTGGGCCGTTCGCAGGAACGAAACACGACCCACTGAACAGCCACAGCAATCGCGAAATGCTGGCGCAGTTGACGACCATGCTCCCCCAGATTGATCTGCGGTGGTTCGATCATTTCCATGGCCAATTCGCCCTCGACCAAGATCAGCAAAACGCCGTCACGGGCAAACTTATTCGGGAGTCTCACGGAGTCGAGAGCCTATCGATCGACTTCAAAAACAACGACATGGTGCCTAAGGCATACTTCTACCCCATCCCTGCCCATATTGGATCGGGGACGTCGTTATTTGACTTGGGCTTCCGCGCGCTGGAGAGTTTGGAGGCGACTCGGGAGGATGCCGGGTTGAAGTCGGCCGTGGCGGTGTTCAAGGACTTTCTCAAGTCGCGCGTACCCGCGGAGGGAACCATGAATGGATCCCTGCTGGGCATGGTAGGCATCGACTGTCTCCATCCGAGCGAGTCGCGGCTGAAACTGTACCTGGCGAATTTCCGCATGGACCTCGCCACGATTCGCGAGTACTGGACCATCGGCGGTGTGATGAGTGATGAGACCACGACGAAAGGACTGGAGTTGGCGGAGACACTGGCCAAGCGTTTGAACCTGGGTGACAAAGCTTGTGACACGATCGACCCGGAGCGGTTGCCGTTCATGTTGAACTATGAAGTGCGGCCTGGGAGCTCGGCAATCAAGCCCCAGATCTACTTTCCCTTGCTCGGGGTGAATGACGAGTTCATCGCGGATGCATTGATGGATTTCTTCCAGGTTCTCGGTTGGACGCATTCAGCGAGTCATTACAAGGAAGAGCTGCGACAACGATTGTAAGTCTTTCTCTTGGTATTAATCTAGGAGGATAATACTGACTGATGCTGTGTAGCCCCCGGCAGGATCTATCGCAGACGACCAACGTGCAGCGATGGTTGGGATTCTCCTACTCGGCGCAGAAGGGACCGACAGTGAATATTTATTATGATGCTGTCGCGGGAAATGTTGCCAAGGCGTGAGAAGCAAGAACCACCACCATTAAGTGTTAGATGGCTGCATGATATCGAATGATGTTTTGACGTTGATACTGTAGAGGCCCGTGACCCGCCGAACCATAAGTCCAAGAAGCACTTGCTCAACTGGGTTTAGAGACTGCAGTCACCTAATCGTCTTGTCGCCTCGCGATGATCGTCTGTCTTATAATAAGAGCTACCAATAAGATGTACCAGGCGCCGCCACCTCATCAGTCTGCTCTGCCTTCATTTCCCTTGGTGGTGATATACAACGAGATGGATTTCCCCTCGCCGTCCCCGTAAGGCGTCCCTACTCTGTAACTCGACCTCCCTTCTTCTTTAGTCTCCTCATACCTATCTCATATTATTATCATAATATCCGGGTAGGCTTGAAATGTCGAATTATATATTATGAAGGCCCTCGAGATTTAGGGCACACATGGCTGGACGCAGAACAAATTTTCCATGGCAGCATCCCATGGCCAAGTGCTTTCGGGATGAGGCTCATGCGCGTGTTTGCAAGCAGTCTTCCCGGAGTGCTCTGAAATTACTCAACAGAGACAGCTAAATGAGTTTTATATAAATAATAAAAAAAAGTCTGGGTGCGTGTCTGGACTAAATGTTTGCGTGCCCGGATGGCTCCCGGGCCGTCCCTTTTCAGCTGTACTACTACACTAGTCCTGAGTAGGCAAGCGAAGTACCTGCCAAGACGTCTATACGCTGTGACCAATCATCGACATTGCTTGCCTGTAAATCCATGTTGGCGTTGGATAACATAGTGGGAGTATAGGTAGAGAATGCCAGGATCAGAGGCAAACACAGACTCTATAAATTCAGACCACTTCCACGCCGGCGTTTCCAACCGAGTCCAAGGTTTATTTGTTAAACCCTCATTCCCTTGACCATGAATACCCGCAGTGCCTTGTTAGGTGAAATCTTCCTCCCACTTATTCTCCTTCCTGCTACTACTTTCCTTGCAAGGCCATCAGAATTGAAACTGACAATCATAATATCCACTAGGCCTTCTGTTGTTCCCCGCTGCATTGGCAGGAAAGACCGGTCCTCGCGCGGACATACGTGCAGACATAAATAGAGACGGCACCATCGATTTGACCGGTGACACGGACGTTACGGGGAAGCAGGAATGGACCGAGTGTCGCGGCGCTGTGTTCCTCCCTAATATCGGAGACACTGACCGACGATGCTCTAAGAAGGCCCTTAGCGGACCACCACTATCCAACGAGGAGCTAGACAAGTGCAATGATGCCTCGGACAATATCCAGCGAGCTTCCGACCTGATGGCTCCTGTCTGGACGGTCCCCATTCTAGGCCTCCCTGGCGATGCTCAGGGCTTTGTCTCCGTTGTTCAGAAGCGGGCGCGCGAGAATGTTCGCGTCTTCCGCCCTGATGGCGCCGGGTGGGCGTTTGTGAACTCCACTCATGCGTTTACTAAGAAAGAACTGGAGAGGGGACTGAAGCTTGGTGTCGATGGGCGCGATACTCGCCGTCCCAATGGCTGGGATGGCCACGCCACTCTGCGCTTTTCGATCATCGGAAAGAATCTAAACTCGACGGATGAAGTGCATATGAGAGTCGCCCCAGTGCTTACTCACCATCACCTGCAATCCGTGCAGCAGGTCATTACTGTTCAGGGAAACGCTACTGAAACGCCGTGGCAAAAAAATATACCGAAGACCTCTCAAAGGCCGTTAGTAACGCAGGTCTCGATACTGATGTGTACCACTTCAACCACAGCAGCGATATCTGGGCCCAGGACTTCATGGAGCCCGGATTTGCTAATATGCCCGGACCCAACGGTACTATCTCTATCAGAATTATGATCCGCTGTCCCCAGGACTCCCGTGTAGCCGGTCGCCAACTGTTCGAATACTACCGCAAGGCTGGCGTAGGAGCAGTCCAACATCTCGGCGGCGCGCGTGACGAGATCAATTCTGGTGGAAATATCGAAACCGTGCCTCCACACAATGCCCACGGAAAGTTATGGCCGGCTGGGCGCGTTATCCTCGGTACCCATGGTAAACAGAAGCACCATATTCTTCCCTACCTCCAGGCGCAGGAGACGCAAGACCCAATTCTCCTCGATACTGACTGGCTAGCTATCGGCCATGTGGATGAATTCCTTCAATTTCTGCCCGCTGACAATGACCGCGGGTGGCTGGTGGTAGTTGATGACCCTCGAGCAGGAATCCAACTGCTCAAAGATCTCCAACAAGCCGGCCACGGAAACATCCCGTCTATTTCCCGTATAAATGACACACAAAGCGCCCCGATCATTTGCGAGAAGAGCTTCGGCTGTGACGCGATACCAGTCACGCCCTCGACTATCACCCAAGCCCTCGACGATACGGAACTGCTGCAAATTAACCACGAATGCGCCAAGCGCATTGACGCCAACATCGAGACCCTGAAGAAAGAAGTCGGCCTTACCGACAAAGACTTCATCCACATCCCTTCCCTGTTCAAGAGAAGCGAGCTCTTCGGTGACGACACTCAATCTCGCAAGGTGGATGCGTTCTTCCCAGGCGTCATCAACAACCTCGTCCTCACTGGCTTCAACACCTCCATTGGGCCCAACCCATGGGGACCGTCTATCAATGGTACCGATGTCTTTGCAGCAGCCATCCGCAGAAAGTACGCCGATATCGGAATTGACCTCGTCTTCATTGACGACTGGAACTCCCACCATAACTATGGTGGAGAAATTCATTGTGGCAGTAACTCGGTTCGTGATATGTCGCAGGCATGGTGGCGAAATCAGGATGGCTAGTGCTCTATTAGCTGTGCTGCCTTGACTCTGTTCGACGATGAGCCCTCTTGCCTGTCCTTTGTAAGTGACGTAATGACAGAGTTGGTGAATAGGTTTCTGTTGATTATATTTTCCTTTCTCCCCAGATGGTCGGTCCTCTGTCTTGTACATACCATGGCGCGACTGTGTCCCATATGCCTATACCTCAACCTCATCATCATAGGTAAGAAAATACACTCTTATAGGGTGGCTTGCGGGCAACGAGGCAAACATTCAGCACAGCCAAGCCACCACATGGTCTACCAAGCTGGTTATGGCTCGAAAGGCAGTCATTCAGCTTGTTTTGAGCGATACGGGGAAGGTGGGAGGCTGTAACTAGTTTGAAAATGATTGATAGTTGCTGCGCATGTCCTCAAACTTAAGAAGAGCCTATTTTACCATATAATCAAAGCCAAGGAGCTTACTGAGGGGAAAGTGAACCTTCTCATCTTCTTCTCTAGCCCCCAAATGCAAAGTACCATTCTCCATCCAATCGAGTTTTGACTATTGGCCGATCCTCAGGGATCATGAAACGACCCCCAAAAACAGACCTTTGACAATGGAGCACCGTAAGGATCGCCGTGCCGGCCAGCCTTGGCGCATCGTGCTATACCTACAGTGGAGTTTCCCGAGGCGTACGGTCTTATGACAAGGCTGTATAGACAAACGTCCAAGCCCAGGACAGGTAGACCACTCTTCTTCCCCGGACCCTTGGTACTTGGCAACTCACTAGAACCGACCCGTTTCACATTCGCTCAGCCTCTAGAAAGGAGCCCCGCAGTAAGCGTTACACGCCACAACTAGAAGCGGTTTATACATATCTTCGTACCTATATCTCTATTGTCGCGGTGGTGCCGAAAGAGTGTCGCTGGGAGATACCTGAGTCTCATGAAACACTGTAGCCCGAAGCCTTTCGCCTTGGTTCGAACTATCAGACCGCTCCTGTCCCACATCGCTTTGCATAGAAAGTCGTTACATCGACAGATTATACGTATAGTGTACCTTGGGATCGACCTTACTGATTGAACACAGCCAAGTCTTACTAAAATATTAGCACATTCCAGTGACCTTATATCCCCCACCCCGTCGCCCCTGCCCCTTTTACCGCAAAACCGACCTGTTTAAACAGAAGAGATCCAACTGTCATGTCAACCATGCTCCGACTGTGCTTTCACTAGCCAACACACCGCCCATATCTTCGCATGATGTCTAACGATGACCGGACATGCTACCTGCCTGATGGTAAAAGTGCATCTGACCAGGTCCCCTGCTCCTCCAGTGAACACACTTCCTGTTGTAAGAGAAACTCTCTGTGTCTAGAAAATGGATTTTGCATGTCAATCGACCAACCCTACGTGCTATATCGAGGAGCATGCACGAACGCAAAATGGGACCAGGGATGTCCTGAACATTGCAGTACGTACGCCCAAAGTATCTTTACGAGCATTCCTGTTCACCATACAATTATGTGCAACATGCCTCCTTCATCCACAGTAGTACTTACTTTGACTTCCATAGACAAGGTCGGTGATCCTTACTGGCTCCAGTGGGAGGACAACAAAAACGGACAGCACACGTATTGTTGCACCTGGTTCGGAACCGTTGAGAACAGGAGTTATGGTTGCGACGGCGCGACGACTTTCACCTTACCCGACACCGGTGTTCTATTTGGCGGAGCCCTTCTTCAGAACGTGACCACGTTCAATGCCACAGACACAGAGTCCTCAGGTGGCTCGCCCAGCAGGGAAATAGCTATTGGAGCGGGTCTAGGAGTGTCTTTGGGGTCATTGATGTTAGCATTCCTGGCGTGGGCGCTGTTTGAGCGTAGGGAACGACTCCGCGCTAGGTGTATACCTGTTCCCACGAATACTGCGCTCGGTCGTCACCCCTCGGGCTATGTATACCCGCATGGAACTAGAATGGACAAGCCTCCCGTGGAACTGGATCATAATGCACCTATACCGGAAATTATGGGCCGGGAGAGATAGGTGGCTTGTCGAGAGATTTAGCATCATTCAGGGGAGCGAGAGCGGGATGGGGACATTGAATCTAATGCGATCGGTACTTTAGCGTAGTGGTTTAACTCCTTTAATATGTGTCGGTCGATTTGCTGTCATCTGAACATGAACTAGAAAATAATATTCGTGGCATTTAGTTGTCCGTGTCATTTATTAAGTACAACAAAACATCCAGACCTTACACGCATCGCCATCATTGACTATAACGAGTATTCTCAAACTCTGGAAGAGCCCATTTCACCATCCACTCAGACTCAAGGATTTGCTGAGCGGAAGGACGGTCCTCCGGCCTAAAGCGAAGCATCGAGCGCAACATTGATAACAGAGCATCTCGTTCGCTTAGTTCAAGAGGCGGCTTACTTTCCTGTATCCGTGGTCGCTGCACACTCCTTTCGAAGCGATCCTCCCATGGTTCGCTCGGTTCTCCATGTGGGCTGGTCTTGCTTTGACATGCCTTCGATACTTTCGACCATTCAATCGGTAAGGGGCCAAGCAACACGACCTGTTGGCAGGTCATGTCATCCTCGTTTGTCAAGAAACCTTCGAATAGTGATCCCTGGGCAATGATATCCCAGATGGTGCAGGCAAGTGGCCAGATGTCAGATGAGAATGTAAGAGGTTTAGCTGGCTCGAATCGTTCCTCTGGCGGGCGGATTAAGAGAGGCGTGTGAGAATTGAATTTGTTCTCTTGTAATGGAGAGAATGCTTCACCGAAGTCTGAAAGGCAGATCCTGGACTCTGAGATTGTCACATCCTCGCTTGGCTCTCCGAGCCAAATCGGTATTATACCATATTGCGGGACGCCTGGTGGGAGCTATTGGCCATCTCACCGATTAACTGGCTCCAGTATCGGCTCTCCATACTTCTCATATAACATCTCAATAGATAGCTGGTCAAAATCACAGGATGTTTGAAGGAGGATATTTCCACGATGAAGGTCTCCATGAACGAACCCTTGGGAATGGATATACTCGACTGCAATCACAAGCTGTGCTGCGATCGATCGGGCTACCTCAAGTTGGAATAGGCTGATCCATGATCCATTCTTTGCATCGGAAAGACTCATTGTCGCGGGGCTTGTTACCAAGCAGACGTGACTACCATTAGGGCCTCGGAGTTTGAACCTTTCCAGTATCGAAGGAATCATAGATCTGCCTATAACTGATGATGGCTGCTGGGGTTCCGATAGCTTCAAGAGTACATTATTCTCGAGGGGATTGGAGTCCGCCGTACACACTTTGACTGCGACAAACTTGTTGGATAATTCGTCTTGGGCCAGCCAAATCGTCGATTATGTGCCATGGCCGAGTTTATGGACCACCCGATAGCGATCTTGGAAACGTATGCCAAGTGTTACTGGGTGATAGCCTCCGGGCCGGTAGTACTCCATTCGTTCTACATCCTCAATAGGTTCATACAAAACGCGATTTGTCTCCGTGGATGAAGTTGCGAAACTGAAGGCAGTAGCATGAAATGCACCCCCGGCTTGATGGAAGGGACATGGTCGGCTTGCCTCATAAATGGGACCAGAGCGAAAGAAAGGTGCGAGCAAGCGCAAGGGCCGAGAAAGCAAGGGGCATAAATTGCCCATCATGAATTATGTCGCAATAAGGCGTCGGAATTTCCGAAGTCAGATTGCAAATCGAAGGCGGCCTGTCAGCTCGATCTATGCAGTTGACGCATCGGGGGGAGAGGCGCGTTGATGTTGAAGTCGGTGTTGGTCTGAGTGAGCCCCTGGGGAACTCCACTCCGCCTTGCTCGGCGGGAAGAAGAACATGAACAAAACTGGTATGTAAAGTGCCAGCATTTTTTCTTTATTTTTTCCTCCCTGGACTGCTCAGCTATAAAGAGTTTTTAAGACATAGCCTCAAGCCGACATATATTTTCAGTGGCTGCAACCCAAACCGGAAACTACCAACTCAATGCGAAAATCCTAGTGTGATTTATATAAACCCACGGGGGTCCCCTTTGTATAACAACATTGTTATCTTTCCGTCTGCATTGAAAAAAATGCTTCAACACAAGCCCGAGTGGCTTCCAGTAGCGCCCTGGAATCTTACAAAAGCCTTTCAAGTCTAAGTCTAACAATCCCCGGGCCCAATTGTGAAGTGTGCTTTAATAAAACTATCGGGTCTGGCCGTCCAGTGAAAGGTCAGCATCGAACTTCTGTTGGACGCCCCCGAAGAAACGAGCCCAATAGTTTAACGCCAAATGAACACTAGCATATGGCAGCTCCTTGGGAGTTCAAGCCTTGCGATGGGATCTAGCAATCTCCATAGGCAGACAGGATAACAGAATAGTTCCCAACACTAACGACATACTGGCCTTCGTGATTGGAGACCGGCAATTAATTAGAGGATGGATTTAGCCCGAGCAAGACCAATTAAATTGGAACGGTTGCCAATGATGATGCCTGTTAACTATTCTTAGGAGGCAGTCCGCCCTATCCGAAAACCAAATAACCCTAGGAGATCCTGGTTCTCGCAGTTCCCTTTCTTCACTTTCTTTCCGATTCAATTCATTCACTCCCATTTTGACAGCTGTTCCCTTACTACTGTTTACTTCCGCACTCCAAGAGACACTATAATCATGATCTTGGAAGCTCTGGTAGGCCTATCCATGGCCTACTTGGGCTGGAGTATAGTGAGCATGGAAATCAATTACCGCCGGGCATCTTCAATGGGCATACCCTTAGTACGGATTTTCATCGATCCTAGTAACCTGGTCTGGATGATCGTGAGCCCCCATGTCTTTCGCATCCTTGATCTCCTTCGGATAGACTTAGGCAACCTTAGCCGCTACGGTCGCAGGGGATGGAATTTTGCCGATAGGGCAAGATCGCATGTCCAGTACGGCCCCGTCTGGGCGCTCATAAGCCCCGTGGACATCTATGTCTATGTTGCGGATGCAGATGCAGCTCATAACATTTGCGAACGACGGCTCAATTTTCTGCGCCCGTCGAAGATGTATAGTAAGATTTTTGAGATGCTTTGCTTTTCGCTGGCAAGACTAGGGCTGATCTAAGTACCTTTTTAGAGCAGCTGGAAATATATGGCCCCTGCATTTCAACAGCTAGCTGGAAGGACTGGCCACGGCACCGGAAGATTCTCGCGACGCCGTTCAACGAGAGCATCATGACTTTTGTCTGGGATGAGAGCGTGAAGCAGACGCGGCAGATGTTGAGCACCTGGACGGCACCTTCGACTTCACAGATCAGGAGCGTAGCGAAGGACACACGGACGCTGTCACTGAACGTGCTGGCTGCCACGGGATTTCGAAGATCATACGAGTTTGTCGGCGCAAACAACACCACCACTACCCCTGCGACGACAGGACCTACGCAAGTGGACGTAGAGACGGAAAGGACCGTAACAAGCTACCGGAATGCTCTCCAAACCGTTCTGGACAACTGCATCATGCTCATGGTCATGCCACGGCGGCTTCTCTCGCTGCCATTTGCACCAGCATCATGGCGTCGTATGGCGAATGCGACAGTCTCTTTTCGAGCACATATGGCCCGCATGCTGGACGACGAGATAACTGCTTCAAAGCAGGGAGCGTCTGGCTCCGGGGGTCTCATGACCTCGTTTGTTCGGGCCCTGGATTTGAAACAAGCGGAGGACGCGAGGGGTGGCAGTGGCAAGGGCATGAGCCTTGATGAGATCTTCGGGAATATCTTTGTTATCAACTTTGCTGGGCACGACACGACGGCGAACACCCTGGCGTTTGCGACGTTGCTTTTGGCTGCTTACCCGGACGTGCAGGAGTGGGTGGCCGAGGAGCTGCAGCAGGTCCTAGGTTCGGTGAATACAGAAGGAGGATATAGTGAGATTTTTCCGAAACTCAAACGGACCAAGGCTGTTATGGTATAGCTTCCATATACTTTTTCGATTCCCTAACAGGGAGACTAACTAACTGGGTCTTGTCATCTAGCTCGAAACTCTTCGCCTCTATCCACCTATTATGGCTATTCCTAAATGGACAAACGATGAACCGCAGAGTTTGCAAGTCGGGGCCCAGACTATAGTCATCCCACCCAACACAGGGGTGCTTCCTAGTATTATGGCGCTCCAAACCCACCCGGCATACTGGGAGGATCCCCTTTCCTGGAGCCCACGACGTTGGATATCGGCACCGAAGACCCAACAAAGCGAGGCATTGTCTCTTGGAGACGAAGTAATCATCACCCCTCCTAAATGCACATTCTTCCCGTGGTCCGATGGTCCCCAGAATTGCCCGGGAATCAAGTTCTCGCAGGTAGAGTTTGTGGCCGTGATTGCGAGTTTGCTACGGAATCATCGGCTCGGAGTTGCGGGAAACCTGGGCGGGTCTTTCGAAGAATCAAAGCGGCGGATCCTTGATACGGTCAATGACGTGGAACTACAATTGCTAGTGAGTATGAGGGACCCTGATCGCATTCAGCTGGTGTGCAAAAAGGCCTGATCTGCATCCAAATGACTGCGGAGTACTACTGCATGCGGAGTGGTTTTACGTGTACGATATACATGCAACCGCGTATGGCATAATGCTGCATTCGAAGTTCTACTGGGTGGGGGATAAAGTCACATGTGGATTGGAATTGCGTATGGAACACTACTGCCTTAGCTTGAGAAAGGTATCTACTGTGAGAATTCTGATTCATGTGCATCAGGTTTCATGAGCTCGAGCGAATCTTGCTCAATATCGTGCCATACTAGTGTTAATGAGTGGTGTGCCACCTCCCCTCTATATTCTCCTTGGAGATTCAATGGTGCAGTGTTCGAGTGTCAGAAAGGCCTGACGAATCACAAATCCTTAGTACGGAGCAAATATCTCTTCAAACGCCGTGGTGGAATCTGATAGATATGTACCAATCCTTGTTCGCCAGCACATCGGTCAGGAATTGCGCGTTCCTCAAAGACATCCAAGAGCTCCTACGAGTCAATGCCGCGTCAGTAGAGTAATTCAGTTGCCTGAGATCTCCCATAAATGCTGTGTCTCCTTACGTTAGATTATGGTCATACCATGAAGGCGAAGTTGAAATCCTAATTTAGCACAGTCAGCTCATATCAAAATGGCCCGGATAGGGAGTGTACGTGTCAAACGACAAACCAGGCGTACCCTTTGCTATACTTGCATCTGACTATGCCGTATCTACGGCTCATGCTTTGACCCCACGGAATTTAGATTATGACCACCAGTGTCATCAAATGGTCAGCTCCGACTTTTTCAACACATCCGGGGATAGAATCGACAATTTTTATTTCGATGATTTTATCCAGTACTGCCTATCCGAATAACATATAAAGCCATCGACTCTCCCCCTTCAATCTGACTTTCATTCCATAGCCCACCAGACAGAGACCAGCCTAGCAACTCCACACTTCCAACCTGAACCCTCCCACATTCGCTCATCATGCGTGTCTGCCTTCTGCTCGTCTCTGCCATTGTGGCAACCGCATCTGCTTCCGCCTTGGGCGCACGCAATGACAACAAGGACTTTGACAAGGATAAGGACTTCGACAAGGACAAGCACTTCGACAAGGACAAGCACTTCGACAAAGACAAGGACTTCGATAAGGATAAGGACAAGGACTTTGATAAGGACTGGAACAAGAACCTGATCTGCGGTGTTGGCGGCGTAAACGCTCCATTTTCCTATCTTTTCGTTCCGATCAAGAAGGATGTATCGCTAATTTAAACTATTGAAATCCAGATCTCAGATTTCTTTGACTTCAAGCACTTTTTGCACCATATCTGCGACTGCCCTAAGTTTGTAAGTTCTCTTTTGCGAGCACAGGAAGCTCAGATACTAATAAAGACATGATAGACCAAGTCCACCCCATTCTTCAATAAGGAGGTAAGTCGAATCTTTGAAAACCCGTGAGTAACTCCCGTTAACCAGTTTATAGGGCGTCCTGGTTGGAAACGTTTGTGCCCGGGAGCACCTCGACGGAATTAAGCCACTTGAAACCCCCGTGTGGTAAGCGTGGATCGACCGGCCTCAATTGACAACCAGAGCAGAAAGCTCGACTTGTTGATACCATGAAGGAGGATCAATATGATCGGTTCAGGCGGTCTTGGTTTGGTTCTGTATGAGGGCTGGGATCCGCCCGAAACATGCTTTCTCCTCGAGATATCTGAGGAGTGTGCTCAGCTCCAACTGTTGTCATTCATTTGCTGGTCTTCGTTAGTGAACGATAGTCGACCAACATGGCCACGTATCGGTTTCTCTATATTGCAAGTATCCAATTATGACTTCGTAACGTATCAGCAGCGCTCCATCTGCCTGATTAGTAGTTTCATCTGAGGTGGTAGGCCTTAACGAATGTGTTGGAAGTGAATATCGTCTACATAGCCCAGCCACCTTTCGTGGCTCTAATCGCAATCATGGGCTCGTGGCGGGTACTATTTCCAAACTATTGTTCGTTGGAGGCATGAGCTGTGTTGAAGTCAACATATAGCAATTTTATATATGAAGCATCGGAATTCGCAGTTGACGCAGTAGTTCGGGTGACATAGAGCGCATTCGGCAGTTGATGAGCATTCTTTTGGTAAACTGTAGCTTGATGGCAAGCCGGCCTATGCTTTCCCAGTTTGATAGAATACGCATCAGAGAGAGGAGTTGTCATCTGGAGAAGCAACAATCGCTGCATGATCGATTTGGGCAAAACAAACAGACCGCTTTCCCTAACCGCTCCCTCCCCATATTCTTAATTGGGGATAGTGCTGGCACGTGATAGTCACAGGACCGTGGGGCGGAGTTACACGACCGCCTATTGGGGGGAGGAGTTTCCATTTGTTTCTCGCACGGATCATCCTTTTGATCTGCTTCGGGCTGCATTCAAAGGTCCGTCACAGCTGTGCATGTCTATACCTATTGAACCCTTCTGTCGGATGACTTCCGGTCATGGATTTAGCGCAAAAGCCTTGTTGCAATGCATCGAACCTGCTAGACTTGGTTGTTCCTCCCAGACATGAATCATGATCTACATTTGCCAGCTCCACCTTGATATTCGTCATCGCGGAACCCCGATTGCTCATCGGCAGCCTATCTACGGAGTTGAATTCGTGATAATTCCCGGTCCCAGGAACGTCGGCATAACCTCATTTGCTTGGCCCACCGAAAAAACGGCGCGGTGGCTTCTTTGCTGTGCATGATCAACATCCCGGCGGAGCACTGTCATTTGCAGAGTCTATCGCGCGAGGTGTGGGAAAGATGAGGTGCTGCTGCGACTTGCCATGTGGTGCGAGTTAAATAATTGGGGTCCTCCCAGGGCATAAAAAAATGCGCTCTGCAAATAAATGTCCGCTGTCAGCTTGTCTGTGTAGGACATTGAAATAGCTTTTTTGGTCGACACCATGGCGGAGTTGACTGAGAACAAGGAACTGGGTGTTCCCTCTTCGGAGGCCAATCCGAAGTCGGCGTCGGGTACTGCTAGCCCCGAGGTGAATGAAGATCTGGGCATCAATGAGAAGGCATTGCTGCGCAAGTTGGATATTCGGCTGCTGCCCCCGTTAACGATATTGTATCTTTTGTCTTTCTTGGATCGTAGCAACGGTAGGTCTCCGTGGAATGGCCTGCACTGGGTGATGCTGATTTGGGGTTAGTTGGAAATGCACGACTGGAGGGCATGGGTGATGATATCAGCATGAGTGTGTTACGTCCTACTATCGAGAATGCGACCTTCGCTAATACCCAGTCCGCAAACAGCTGGAAATCAGTATCTGACGGGCTTAACGCTATACTTCATTGGCTACGTCCTGTTTGAAATACCCTGCAATATCGTGTTGAAAAAGACTACTCCTCGAATCTGGCTACCAACACTTACCTTAATCTGGGGTATTGTGGCGACACTTCTTGGAGTTGTGCAGAACTATGCAGGGTACCTTACCTCGCGAACGGGTATGTATCAGGCGCTCTGTCTCACGATAGATCGACCGCTGATTGCAGAAGGGGTCTCTCGGCTCATTGGATCACTTGATCCGTGAGACCGAAAGGCTTCGGGTACCTTTAGCTCTTGGGATTGCGGAAAGTGGCCTTTTCCCTGGCGTGGTTTTCTACTTGTCTATGTGGTATAAGCGAAACGAGCAACACTACCGAGTGGCTCTATTCTTCAGCGCTGCATCGCTGGCGGGTGCTTTTGGCGGCATTCTCGCTTGGGTATGAACTTCTCGTGTATGGTGGCATCATCTTACTGATTCTATAGGGAATCGCACACATGCGAGGCGTCGGGGGTTATAATGGATGGCGATGGATTTTCATCTTGGTGTGTTCAGTCGAACACCGGCGGTGACTTCAGCTGACGAGGAATAGGAAGGACTACTTACGGTGGTAATGTCTATTGTCGCATATTTCTGGGTCTACAATTACCCTTCGACCGCCGAATTCCTGTCCGAGAAGGAACGCGCGTTCATCCAGTACCGCTTGAAAAATGACAATGACTCAACTCGCGATGAAAGATTTAGCTGGACGGCCGTCGGCGACGCATTCAAGGATCCCAAAGTATGGTTATATGGTCTCGGATTTCACACCATGTCGCTGCCCTTATACACGCTGTCTCTGTTCTTGGTGAGCCTTCTCCTGTATTGTTTGGAATAACCATACTAACAGAAATAGCCAACAATCATCAAAGAGCTTGGCTACACGGCCGCCGAAGCGCAATTACTCTCCGTCCCACCCTATGCTGTGGCATTCGTGCTCACTGTCACGGTGGCCATTTTCTCGGAACGCACGCGCATTCGAGCCCCCTTCATCATGGGGTCCTCCGCGCTCGCCTGCATCGGATACATCCTCCTTCTGACCGACCACCGCCCGGGAGTTTCCTATCTCGGCACCATCTTCGCCGCGGCGGGCATCTACCCAGCCGTAGCGATCGTGCTGTCTTGGCCGGCGAACAACGTATCCGGACAGACGAAGCGGGCGATCGCCAACGCCATGCAGATTTCTATCGGCAATCTCGGCGCGGTTCTCGGAACGCAGCTTTATCGCACAGAGACCAGTCCGCGGTACTACCTGGGACATGGGTTCGCGCTGGGGTATCTGATCGCGAACATTGCGGTCGTAGGTATTCTCTGGGAGGTATTGAAGCGAGAGAATGTGCGCAAGGCCGAAGTCCGCGAGAGGGAGGGCTTGCAGGCGCTAATGGGCGATATTGGGGATGCAGAGGGGGACTTCAAAGGGGATAAAGATCCGAGGTGGATATTCCAGGTTTAAGCGAATGACAGTAGTGAGTTATCGCTTACATGTCCGTTAATTAGACTGTATAGAGCGATGTGCATACCGTGGCCCTTTCGCAAATATCGAGCTACAACTGCTAGCTAGCAATTAGTCTCAAACCAAAACCGGACGTTTTAATGTCATTCCCAGTCCAGACTCTGATCGTCAATCGGCAATAAATGAAAGCAATTAAACGAGCCAAGCACGTGGTCGAACTCCGCGATGTCATTTCCTCCAACGAAATCCGCCGCCGCCGAACTAACGATTTAGCTTCCCTGCAACGACGCTCGTCAGTCAACCCCGCAGGAACAGGTTAGAGCGTCCGTGGCACGATGTCTAATTTCCCCGAGGATATAAATGCAGGTACGCTCTCTGAGATTGGGAGATGAATTGAATGAACCAGAACCAAAGCAGTAGAGATCATCTGGGAGAACGCATCCACAATGTCAATCGCAACAACGGCCCTACTGCTTAGCTTGAGCTTAGGCTCTGCTACGGCCGTGTCTAGCTTTGAGACTCTGGAGCATTTGGGTGCCAATTCCCCTTGGTTTGCTGGTATGCTTCACAAGGACTTTTGTTTCATGCGGGCGCATTCAGAGTCATCGGGTTAATTATGGCTAGGACCGAATGTCAATTCCATCCCGTCTACTGTGCCGGACGGATGCTCTGTCGACCAGGCAGTATACGTCGTTCGTCATGGAAGCAGGTATCCCGATCCCGGGGCCTATGATGAGTGGCAGGCTCTCCATGAGGCTGTGCGTGCTACCAATCTGTGTACCATAATGTTAAAATTGGTCAACTAATGAAGCGGCAGTTCCAATCTGCGGAGTTCACTGCTTCCGGTTCGTTGAACTTCATCTCCAACTGGGCTCCTGTCTTGAAGCATCCCGATCAGCAGATCCGACAGCTCTCGGTCACGGGGTACAAGGAACTGTACGTTATTCTCTCCTACGTTCATCATGAATTGCTTCCTTGTTCTATTCCATTCCCATCTATGCACCAAGACGGGCGATTGACATGCAGTGAAGGTATAATCTCGGCGCCAATCTACGCTTCCGGTACCCAAATTTCTACGCCGACAATACCCCCTTCATGCTCTGGGCAAACGAGTACCAGAGAACTATTGATTCCGCGAGGTATGGACAAATGCCTACTCTCTCACAGAAAGACCCCCCCTGATTAATCATCTAACGAACATAGACTCTTCGCACGCGGCTACCTCGGCCCCAACGCCTCCTATGCCAACGTCATTAGCGTGAACGCGTCTGCTTCCGAGGCCGTGGGCAACTCGCTTGCCCCGTCCGGACAATGTCCCAACTTCAACGACGCCAGCGGCGGTGAACAAGCCTCCACGTGGGATAGCATCTACCTTCCGCCGATTACAAAGCGCCTCAACGATTTGATCTCAGGAAACCTGACCCTCACCGATAGCCAGGTCTCCATATTCCCGTACCTCTGCGGCTTCGAGACGCAGATCACTGGCCGAAGAAGTCCGTGGTGCGAAGTATTTACGAAGAAGGAGATCCTCGATTATGAATATCGGCAGGATTTAAGGTATTATTATGGAACCGGTATGTTGCCCTTTTTGACTATTCCACTATGTGGTATACTGTGGATTTGCTGATTAGATGTTCATGAAGGCCCCGGTGTGAACAAGAACATGACCGTCATGCTCCCCGTGCTTCAAGGAATCGTCGATCTCTTGCAGACAGGACCCAATGCTACCGCGGAGACTGAGAATGGCACTGAGACTCTTCCGCCGCTAATTGTCGCGTTCACACACGACAACGAGATCAACGAGCTGGCGTCGCTGTTGGGCGTGTTTGATGAGCAGAAGCCACTTTCGGCGAAGAAGAGAATTACGAATAGAGTATGTCTTCTATCCGTTTGTATATATTCTCCGCCATCTAAAATATGTTTGTCCAGCTTTACGCCAGCAGCCGAGTCAACCCCATGAGAGGAACCATCGCATTGGAGCGACTGCATTGTGGCGACAGCACGAACGTGCGCATTTTGTTGAATGATGCTGTCTACCGTAAGTCACCTCATACCCCATACAAATCCTCAGGATAGGTATGCTAATGATCGCTATGATGATAGCTCTCCCGTCCTGCAACTCTGGTCCTGGGAAGAGCTGCCCCGTTGAGCAGTACGCCTCGTACGTTTCTAACCAGAGAAAGAGATATGGCTCCTTCGCGTCTATCTGCGGACTCGAAGAGAAGGAAATCTCGGCCGGAGATAACGGCGCCGTGACCTTCTTCCAGGACTTGACCTTGGATTATCTTAGAGCTGTTAAGCCTTAGGCAGGATGGCTTGCAGTTCCTCTGTACGTATGTCGGCGTCCGTATCAGTATCATGAACGCCAACAGGCGCGACGCGGGGATTTTGGTTGGGCAACGATCAAGAATCTAATTCAGCGGGGCGCACAAATAGACATTCTATTAGCAATGTAATGGCGAACCCGATTAAGCCTTGGGGTTTTTTTTTTAGAGATAAGAGAATTCTAAATTTATGTGTGCAAAACTAGTTCTTTACTGCTTGATTGACAGACCATTGAGAAGACACTCACTTTTTAGTTATCTGCACATAGTTCGTGATCAAAGTCATAGGCATCAGCGGCCCTCGAGATCCACATGCCCTCCTTGACATCATCTAGCAGGGCATCGAACACGCCGACATGTGCTGCGGCATCCCATTCCGTCCTGGTCACTGCCTTCCATAAGGGTGTATTTACCGGCAAAGGAAACTGCAACTCCCGAGCAGTCAGACTTGAATCTCGGTGTGTGTCACTGGGTCGGTTTGCAATGCTGCTAGTGGCCCGGTAGACTTTGTACAGAGCCAGATTGAATCGCTTGATCTCTTCAATACCCAGCCAGAGGTATGGAGGGGAATCACTAGGGGAAAACATTGAAAGTATCTGAGGATAATATAACAGCCCCCGTGCTTTGCAACTTCTGACAAGCGAGTTGAGCAGGTCAGCGTTGGTCTGGGTGAGAGAAGGCTTCAGATCTATGCCGAGATTCGCCCCGCCGAGTTGCATGAGCGCGAATATTATATGCAGTAGGATTGCTTGGTAAGTGGAGATTGGGCATTGGATACTGCCTACATCTTCTGCAATAGAGACATCCCATACGCCCTAGTAACACGTCTCAGTACTGTAGATACCCGAACAAGAAAAGCCTCGTGAAGGGGCACCCACTCGTTGCTGGCTAATGGCCATAGCCAGAGTATTATGGATCTCAATTGCTGCCGATCGCGTATCTGGCTCGTCGCTCATCCACAGCCCAATGACAACCATAGCCTGTATCAGGAAGGGCGATTCGACGTCCTCGTCAAAGGAGCCCTGATGGATGAAGAGCCAGTGTGGGTGGAACTTCTCAAAGTACAGATACAGAAAGTGCCGTGTACGCTTGGAGCGGTCTGCATTGGACGATGGAGACTCCGGGACGACGGCACTTGTCGGGCGACAGGGGGAAAGAGCTTCCTCAGCCGTCCGGTCGTCGAGAGAACAGTGGATCCGTCGACGTAGACACTCGCTACATGGAACTCCTCCCTGACAGCGGGACTTTGCGCGCCGGCAATGCGCGCAGGCATGTTTGATATCAGGGGGTCTGACGACTCCATGGATCTGGCGCATGTGGCGCCAAAGAGTGTCACTACACTAGCCTTAGCGGCTGGGACAGCGACGGGGGAAAAGAGTGCCCTTCTCACCTTCGCCCAAATGTTCGACTGCAGGTCGGACACTGAGATGACTGACTTTGTCTGTGTTTGGCGCGGTGGCGGGTCGGATGTTCCGCATGGGAGTGGTTTGCTCTGCGTAACGGAGTCTGTTTCCTTGGGGGCATCGTGATATGTGATTAATTTATTGTGTATAGGTTCTGTTGCCACCCGTGGTGCCCGTGGTGGTTGTGTTGCCTCTGCTTAATAATGCGTTAACGGGACAGCCATTACTTAACCGAGTAACTTATCTTGACCCATTATTAGGTAGAATAGTTATCTCGCGGCCTGCATTATAATACCATCCCTTTTTTTTTTATTAACTATCTTATAAAATATATAAATCCATGTATAACCCTGAATGCATGCCGCAGCCTACCCTAATCATCCTAGCCACCCTCAACACCCCGAATTCGTTGTAAAAGCGCCCCCTTTAATACGATCTAGAAGAGTTCCTGATTAGGCTCAGTAGGGTACTTTTTTTAACAATACCCGGAATTGTACCTTAGCAAGAGCCAGTACTAACAGATAGCCCTACCTACTACTTAAACAGTAACCAAAGGCATGATGTGATACGGCGAGATCTGACATTTCATTCGATGGGCACAGCAAGAGAACGAAGCACTAAAGACCTTGTATCAGGCAGATATGCCAAAACATCTCGAGAGCTCAAGGTGTATAGTCCTGTCTCTCATGACCGAATGGCATCGAGATCATCGCGAAACGACTGCTTCCAGGCTTCGGCCCCCCTGACCGGTGTCCACCCAATGCGCCGGCCAACTTTCGCGACCGTCTTCGCGCTCGAACAGAAGTGTTCAGCAGCCGAGATGAGCTGTTCGGCATCGAATACCTTACTTGTAACTTCAAGGTGCGGGATGAGGATCGTTACCACTTCCTCCAAGGTATCAAGCACAGTAACCTCCTTCTCCGACAGCAGCCCGCATTCGTAGCCAGCCTCCGCGATGAGCTGCGAATACTCCAGCCACGAATGCCGTCCGGTGGCGCTGAACAGTATCCCTTTCTTCCCAGTGGGCAAAGCCTCGCCTCCCCGCTGCAGGATCTCCTGCACAACAAGCCGGTAGAGGTCCGCAAGATCCTCAATGTGAACGTGGTCGTAGACACCGGAGCCAGCACCGAAGACCACCGCATGCCCGATCTTCAGGATCGCCTTCATGTACTGCGTGTGGACACTGACCCTGTTAAACAGGCCCGTGCCAATTCCATAGACGATCGGACTCATGATCACAAGCGTCTTAACGCCCAGCTCAAGGCCCGTGTCGATCACGCCCAGCTCCGTCGTCCGCTGCGCGAAGGCCTCCTCCGCCTCGAGCCCTTTCTCATACGCATACACATCGCCCGCCAGATCATCCAACTCTCTCGCCGGCGCTCCTTGTTTGGTAATCGGCTTATCACTGACGTTGGACGCACCAGATGTTTGAATGTACCAAACATCACGACCGGTTTGTTCCTTCCGCTGCGCAAGGCCGCGCAGGAGGGCCTGGGCGGATGCGGAGTGGTATCCCAGGGTGGTGTTGATGATGACATCATGCCGTGCCGCTACCGCGGTGGTGGTCTCGAGATCGTCCAGGCCGCCGTAGAGGATAGGCTTGACGCGCTCGCCGTAGGTAGAGGTGAGGATGGCTGCGCGGTCCGCGCCTCGGAGAAGGCATGTTATAGGGTTGGATTGGGTCGAGGCGGGAAGCTGCAGCAGCAGCGTGGTTAGGACACTGCCTCCGACGAAGCCCGTGGCCCCGGTGAGGAGGATCCTGGCATCAGATGCCATGGTTTGCTAAATCGGGGATTTCGGGTGGATTGGCAGAAAAGATTGCGTTTCGAGAAGCGGTGGTCTCAATTTGTAGGTGCTCCAGCCTGGAGAGTAACTTTGAAGGGCCTCGCAACCACAGTACCATTGCCTGCTTTAGTAGAAAACAGTCCGGTGGGCCTAGTTAGATAAGACAGGCGGATGATTGCAAAGCAGAACAGAAGATGATATTCACAAACCACGCCTGCGAATTCTTCCTCAAACAACACCTCGGAGCCGCCACCGGACCAGCCACCGGAACGTCCACCGGAACGTCCACCACGTCTGCTATGTCTATGATACGTAATAGTATGATTACAAACCTGGCCTCTGACTTTTACGAATATATAAGGTCACATTTTGACCCATTCACAGCCACTATCGCAATTGCCTTCATTTCAACCCAAACTCACCCGAGAAAGCAACCACGCCGACAGTCAGGCATTCGATATGGCGGCGGATAAGAAACTCAGAGTCATCATTGGTGGGGCGTCCGGCGAGACCGGGATGTCCATTATGAATGCGCTCCTTGCATCGCCAGATCAGTTCGAACCTATTGCTTTGGCCCGTCCCGAATCCGTCAACAAGGACAACTATCAGGACCTCATTCGGCGAGGTGCCTCCGTCAAACCCGCCGACTTCCAAGATATCGACGCGCTTGTACCCCTACTCACTGGCGCTGATGTCGTGATCTCCTGCCTGACGCTGTTGCAGAAGGAAGCAGAGGAAGCCTTGATTGACGCCGCCTACCGAGCCGGTGTTGGCCGCTACGTGCCCAGCTTCTTTGGACCCTGTGCTCCGCCCCGTGGAATCATGCCGATGCGCGATATCAAAGAACAGTTCCTCGATAGGTGCAAGCGCCTGTACCTTCCCTACACCGTCATCGATATTGGATGGTGGTACCAAGCCAGCCTCCCCCGCCTTCCCTCTGGAAAGTTAGATTCGGCTATCTCCTTTCCAGAGACCCTCATCGGCGCCGACGGGAATGTCAACTTTGCCGGTACAGATGTGGCCGACATTGGCCAGTATGTTGCCCGCATCATTGCCGACCCTCGCACCCTCAACAAGCAAGTCTTTGCCTACAGCGAGGTGACAACTCAGAATCACATTTGGGATACCATGGAGGCTCTTACCAACGAAACGATTCCGAGGAAATACCTCTCGAAAGAAGAGGCTGAAGATTCTTTAGCATGGATGCAGGAGGCCATTGCCAAGGACCCAACAAACATACAAGTCATGTTAAAGCAAGGTCTGATCTCGTACGCGTACAGCTGGGCCATCAGAGGCGATAACACACCTGAGCACGCAAAGTATCTGGGATACCTCAACGCTAAGGATCTCTACCCGGACGTCGAGGCCAAACCTATCAACGACTTCATCCGTGAGATAGTGCACGGCACTAGGGTTGCTTGTACTTACGTTGGCCGCCCGGAACATCCACTCAATAAGGCTAAAGCCTTAGCTGACAACTAAACTCCTATTGAGTGTATGGGAGTTTGATAGACTCTAGCTAGGCGTACTATTATGGGCTATTGATAGTATTCAAACCAGACACTTTTCTTACCCCTAAGGCAAAATGCTTCCATAACTTGTAATCGAAGTTGTGAATCAGGTAGGGAGGGCAACCATTTTAAGGAATCTTCAGGTAAGTGAACCCCTCTAAGACAGAGCTCTCCCCGCCAGAGTAATACCCAGGTATAGTAGATCAAAGTACTGGCCTATATTACAGGCAAATAAGCCCTATTTTTGCTTTGTAGGCTATTCCAGAAAAGAGACGAGCTCTCGGCGCCAACGGAGACTATTATATCACAAAAGGCGCGTAGTTAAGTCGCCAATGGAAAGAGGCGCTCATTGGGATATAAAAAACATCCAGTCAACCCTCAGAATAATAATCAGTCCATATGATAATGTCATTGACAAACTGAGGACTAGTGCCGATTCGAACCTCCCGCCAGATAAAGAACTGGGGGGCCGGTCAGTTCATATTCTATTCCAGGTCAGGCCGGCTCTTGAGTGCTACTTGACAAACCTTTCGGTGGTCATTTTGATCTGTTGGACGTTGGCCAAAAATCATTTCTCCTATGCTTGAGGCACTTTGTGATTATTCTTAAATAAACCGGGATCGTATCTTGATGAAACGGCGGGCCATCCCAGGAGTATCGAAAACACGTAGATTAGAGCTAATATATTTAATCGTCTCTCACTGAACTCGGCTACAAGAGCAGTTTTCGAGATGGACAACCAATTAGCGGTGAAGGGAAATGGCGCGACGGAGTATAACAGTGATATTATAGGTAACGTAAGTATCACTCTATGCTCCAAAGATTTCTACTCCTACTCTTATGATACTCAGGGTTGTTCCTATGGACTAGGTCTCTCCACGTAGATACTTGCCTAGTTGGCGATGTGTGATCGCCGAAGGGTTTCTAGACTGGGAAACTGAAGAGAAGCCCCATTTCATCTCGCAGGTGGGGTCATACAATTACCGCCCGTTTATTTGTCATTCTTTGATGGGAGTGGCGGACAGAAGTAGACACGCGTGGAGAGGCAGTCATGAAGTTTCCGTTAGTAAAGGCGCGTTTCATTGAGGCTGGCTTACCTAGTGCACTTAACTCCCCGCTTACCTCTTACTTAATTGATTGTGACGAACTGACCAAGAACCACTATATAGAGCGATAGGCAGCTAAGTCTGGGGACTTGGTATTCTAGTCTGTTAGTAGTTTAATGGTTAAACGTTCCACATTCCATACTATACATAAACTTCAAAACCGGAGGCGGTAGAAGGGCACCTACCACTGACCGTGACAAATGATCGCCTCAGGCCTACTTTTAGTGAGCAAACAGCGGCGAGGGATGAGCACTAAAACGGAAAGGGAAAGCCTTCTACCTGGTGAGAAAATCAAGTACCTATGTAACTTTAGCGATATAAGTCGAAATATCAATATCAATGTACAGTGCAGCCCGATAGATGAAACCATCTCACTCGCAATCATAAACCACGCGCACCTGAACTAGGAGAATCAAGCATCCCTCAACATACAAATCCCGTTCCTTAGGCCCGCTCTCCCATACTTCTTCATGTCTATCACAATGTCATCCTGCACATCGCGGAACCCGCATTTCATGTATACATGAACCCCTTCGTCCGACGCCTCCAGCCAGGCGGGGAGCTTCAGCCGTTCCACTTCTTCGAGACCGTGGTTTAGGAGTTGCGTTCCGATGCCGCGGTTTTGGTAGTCAGGGTGGATGACCAGCACTTGGAGGACTGGTGCAATTGTTAGCAGAGAATGAGGTGAGATTTTGCGTCTTGTGCTTGGCCTCATTGTATGACGTGCTTGGAAAATAAGACAAAAGAGGTGGATTGAGGAGGGGGAAAGTAAGAAATGAAGGAAAGGAACTTACTCGCCACCCCAGGACCCTCATCCTTGCCCAAATTAATGTTATTCTCAATCCACCTCTCCCTCCTCTCCACAACCTCCGCCTTCCAATCGAGATACGCAGCCGGGTTCAGCGCCGTGCTCGGCACCTTCCGAGCCCTCTCTTTATCTTCCTTCGCAGCCTCCAAGTAGCTCTGCCTGTCCGGGTAGATGTTCCACCAGGACCAGCCGACGAGCGTTTCGTGTTCTGTCTCTGTGTCGGAACTAGTGGTAGTTACGACTGCCTGCGTGAACCGCGCTGTCGGGTCAGCGCGCATGATATTCACCATATCGGACGCGAAGGAATCGACTTCCTCGTCGAGCGGGCCGTACATCAATTCGAGAAAGGTGTCGGTGGCAAAGGCAGCGTTGTGGAGGGTTGCCAGGGCACGTGCAGTAGTATGTGTGGCGGGGATGGGGCTAAGGGAGACTTGTGGTCGAGACGATGTCGCTGGGGTGGCTGTTGACATGGTGGGCTGGCTCGGTGGTTCGGGTAAGTGGATATAGGCAGGGTGAGGTACTTTGATGGAGGGTGAAATGAGTGAGAAGAGAGTAGTTGGGGACAGTGTAAATCGTGACGAAGAAGACTTGAGAATATATCTATCAACAGGGGGTACTATATCTATTGATCTATTTGGCTAGGGAGAAGGATTGGCAACCTTACCGGATCGGGACGCCGATGAAGTTATTGTCTATACCGGACTAGGATGCCGACACCGCACCAACGAGGTTATGAGGGGAGTTGGGATGCATATGTTTGGGTCTTAATGAGCCACAGGCTGATACAACAGATGCTATTGAGCTTTTCCTGAAATTGAACACCGGACTTCCAGTATTATAAGTGTTGGTTCTCTTCACTCTAATCAATATTCACCGCAGAGCAATCACAGTGGAAGTTATCGACCGGTGTAGAGAATCACCTGTAATATCGAGTCCCTTTCTGCGTCCTCTTCGACCATACCTCTAAGCACACCGTTATCTCGACGCAACAGCTCCGAAGGGCGACCAATTTCCAACACTTCACCACCGCCCAGGACCAGGATTTGATCAAAATCAGCCACTGTACTGAGACGATGAGCAATCACAAGCAGAGTGCTGCCATTTCGACCAAACTCCGACCGAATTGATTGCTGAACGACGCTATCTGTTGTCTTGTCTACTGCCGAAGTCGCTTCGTCGAGTATTAGCAAGCGTGGCATCCGGGTCAGAGCTCGCGCTAGACACAGAAGTTGGCGTTGACCGTGTGAGAGATTTGAGCCTCCATCAGCGATAAGGCTATCCAAAACTGAGGCGTTATTGTCGTCCTCTGTATTCTTTCGTTTGCCATCCTGCGAAGTAGGATTGTCGGTTTCCCCATCCCCTCGCCAGTTAGCTTTGCTCCATTGAACCCGAGAAAGGGCCGAAAGAAGCTCGGCGTCTTCGTGGTTACCGAAAGGATCCAAATTCGACCGCACTGTACCTTTAAAAACGAAGGGAAACTGAGGAATCATGGTTAAACGTCCCCTGACGTCTTGCAAGCGGATTTTGGAAATATCGATCCCGTCGACGAGAATCTGTCCTTCACTGGCCTCAAGCATGCGAAATAGCGCGAGTGCCAACGAGGACTTCCCAGCGCCTGTTCTTCCAACTACTCCAACGCGCTGGTTTCTGGCTACTCGAAAGCTGACATTATGAAGAGCTGGGGCGATGTCAGGGGCATATCGCACCGTTAAGTTCTTCACTTCAAGCACTCCCTCATGAGGCCAGCTGACTGGTGCAGGTTGACCCGAGCTATTCTCGGTTTCGAGGTTACAGTACTCCAGAATCCTCTCCACGCTGCTCAGGTCCAGCTCCAACGATGCATACCGGCGGATCCCCATGGAGATTGACTGCGTGAGTCTCATCGTAAAGCTAATGGTGAACCCTGCAGTTGAGGCATTTACCCCAAGGATGACCACGGCAGCAGCAGAAATGGCCGTGAAGATCGCACCGATCAGGTCTAAGCGAAAAGCGAGCCACTGATTGAATAACCAGCTGTGCCACTGCGTACGAGCCCGGCGGTCAAGCTTCTGTCGGAATTGTCCCTGGTAATTACCAGTCTTTCCAAATGCGCGGATCGTCCACAGGCCTGCCAGAGACGACTCGATATGCTCGTATATCGGGCTTCGAGCGACGTTGTCGAGCCGCTTCAGCTCGCGTGCACCGACCAAGTACCATTTGGCGTACCGGGTGGTTATGGCTCCGAGGATGCAACTCGAGATGAGCAAAAGGGGGTTGACGACTAAACCCGGGACCACAGCCATTAGAACTTCCATAGTGTAAGATAGGATGGCTCGCACATCGTCGCCCAGTTGAGCGTCCACAAGATTGAAGTCGTTCGAGAAGCGGTTAAGCACTCTTCCAACAGGGACTGTATCTATCCACTTGAGAGGAGTCCGGAGGACACGATGTAGGAACCGACGAAATAGGCTATGTGAGGCCTTCATGGAGCCCAGTATAGCAAAATAGCTCCGAAGTGAGCCAACGATGCAGACCAGTACAGACAGGATAACGTAGGTTTGGGCGTAGTATCTCAATTGGGCACTGTCGGTCCCTGATGGTGACTCGTATGATTGACTCCACACGCCGAGCCACCAAGCCTAAATAACATCAGTCGCGCATTCTAATAGAACCATGAGGTTCGTTGCTTACCCTGCTAAGCATGAGCCCGCTATAACTCAGGAACCCCATTACAAGTAGCGACCAATAGACCCAAGTACCACTCTGTTTAATATAGTCTTGAAATATCCCCCATTGAACCGAACCCGATTCCCGCGATTCATCAGAGGTAAATGTCTTGCTCGGAGGTTGGCTTATATCTTTCTCTCGTGATATTTCGCTCTGATTTTGAATGGCTTCTATACTCAGGTTCCGCAGTTCACTGCGACTCAATGTAGGTGAGCCAGGTATGTGGTAGTTTCTTTTTGCAGATATCTCCATATTGGTAGCTTTGCCGTACGATGCACTGCCTTCGCCGACGTATATTACACAGTTAGCGAGGTTCTGACACAAGGATACATGATGTGTTACAAGAACACACGTTCTTTGCCACGACAGAGGTCCAGTCAGGGCATGCTTGCATATGTGAGCCGCGGTATGCACGTCAACTGCGCTGAGTATATCATCCAAGAGTAGCACCGTGGCTCGGGAATAGAGGGCTCGAGCGAGAGACAGTCGCGATTTCTGGCCACCGCTTAAGTTGGCTCCGTTTGGACCCAGTTGAGTCTGTTCCCCGTCACAAAATCTCTGCAGATCGTGATCTAACGCACAGGCAGCTAGCACCTCGTTATATCTTTCGGGGCTGTACGGCAACCCAAAAAGAATATTGTCTTTTATTGTGGTGGCCTCGATCCAGGGCGCTTGGGGTACGTATGCCATTGCTCCCTCAACGAGCCATTCCTGGTCTTGTTGGAAGGTTGGGTTCCATTCTCGTCTCGTTGGGGCTCTTACGGTGCCACTGAGAATGTCACATTCGCCGAGCATCGCGGCCAGGAGAAGGCTTTTGCCAGCGCCCGTGGGTCCTGCAATAATAGTTAAGCCGGCCTTTGGAATGTTCAGGTTCACATTGCTCAGAATTGCCACTCTGCCACCTGTCTGCCCATGCCATGCCAGGGATGCATCGTGAAATTCGATATCTTCACACGGAAGCACAACGGGAAGCTGCTCGGGCGTGTTGAGGTAGTCCGAAATCCGTTTCGAACTGATAACGCAATTGAGGACAGAAGATATAATTCCAGGCATGGCTGTCAATGAGCTCTGCATGGTGTTAAGAACGGACATGACCGTGAAGGCAGTGGCGGCCGAGAGGGACCCGTGAACACTTGAGTGCACCGTCAAGGCCACTGTTGATAGAACCGTTGGTGTGAGTAGATATAGAGCCATCAAAACGAGATTCCACTGGAAAGCTACTCGTTGTGCCTTGAGTTCCTCGTCGCGCAACAAGTTGATCTTCTCCTCCCATTGCTCTTCCATCGCGGAAATCTTGATCTGACGAATACCCTGCAGAGCCTCTGTCACTGATGCCATCTTGCGGTCCCTGTATTTCATCATGGTAGTATTGGCACACGTATAGCGCTTTACCGTATACTTGTTGAGTGGCCAAAGCAGAATGACTATTGTCACACTGGCAAGCAGACTTTGCCAACCGACAAGTCTGGCGAGAATGGCAGCAGATACAAGGAGCCGTATCGGAGTTTCGAAGATAGCGTAAGAGTTCAACATGAGATCTGATACACGCTTCACATCAACTGACATCAAGGTCATTATGCTTCTAGGATCTGCCGTGTTTCTCGTGTCACTTTCTTTCTCTGCCGGTGAAACAGTCGGGGACGCCAGATCTAGACGGGTGGTCTTGTCGAATAAGGCGACCATCAGATGCTGCTGAACTCGCAGCGACAATGACCGGTAAGAGACCCAATACCTCCTGTTGTCAAGTATTGCCGATGCAACAAGTGGCAGACACAGACCAACCACATATGCCCAGGAAACCGCCCATGAACGATTGGTCGAGTTAAGTAGACCGAATAGTGCTGCCTGTGGAGCGAAGCCCAAGGCAGTAATCGTGATGCCCATCAATGCCTGTACAGGGAGATATCTGTATGTGAGATCCCACAAGGCAAATACGAACGGCCACTTTCTTCGTAGCACAGTATCCCTCCGATTCCTCAAGAAGGGGGCTTTGATACTACTCGCACTGTAACCATCGGAAAGGTGAGGAAGATCCTCCATTTCTAGGGTCTCCTTTTCATTGGCAATGTGCAGAAGGGGACTTGCCCAGCTGAATGATATTCTGCGCAAGAGACTGCTCGCATCTTCCTGGTCTAAGCTCCGCTTCTTTCGCAAGGCACCTTTCGAACGATGAGTAAGAGTCCAACTACAGCAGGCACCCCCTAGAGCCGCAATGACTTGAAGCTGAGACAGTAGTAGACGTTGTTTATCGAAGCTACCACTGCTGCGTAGTCTATGGCAGTCAAACCCTATGACTACCGCGGTTACAAGACGCCCGGTACTTCCTTGTAAATCAATAGGGAAGCCAGCACTGTCCGGCCGCTTATAGTAGAAAGACAGACAATGAAGTAGATGCAGTGTCTGTTACGGTTAGCCATCTCCGTAGATCAATGTGGATTTCAAGATTATCTTACCCACATTGACAGTTGTAGACCGATATCACGTTCGATGGCGTCTCGCTCAGAATATGTGGATGAAGTCCATAGACTCACCACAGCCAGTGCGGCGCCAAGTGCAGTCCATACCACAATTCCGTTCTTGCCATAGACGGCCCCTCTTTGAGGATTCTGCATGAGTTTGCGTTATCTAATTTAATCTGCGTGACAGGCACCCTATTGCTTGAAGAAGCGCAGTCTTCGGTCATAAGGAAGGTAAAGACGGGCGGGAAGCTAGATTGAATACGTTGACTTGGTTAACGAAAGCGTAGCCATGGGACTGCAAATTTTCCATTGCTTCGGTGTGGATATGTGTATGGAGAACTATCTTCACTGCTGCAAGGGGTATCCCGATAGACATCATGCACCCGATCGGAAAAGTTGAGCTATTCTCCACCGCGTCATTGATGCAAGGCTCTATGATCGACAGATCCACAACGAAGACAAGTCATAGCATACGGCTTTTGCTTACAGGTCATCTGAAGACAGGTCATGCTGGGTCGCCAATAGCTCCGCGCATGACTCCATCACCACTTTTGCCCCGACAGACAGTTTTAGGGTGTCATAGGCCCATAGGGTAGTTCACATCTGCTATTTCTTAATTGGGCTTTGCAGCAGTAGTCTTGATTGTCGGGTGCCTTTCTTGTTGATTGGAAACGGTATCGTATTTGATTGTGTCCCTTTATATATGTAATCCACCGAGTGACTAGGTTCCTCTCTACTCGGATCAATTGAACTCTTTATGCTTCTACAATGTTGAGAGGTATGCATCTAGCGACCTAATTTTTCGGAATATGTACCCAGTCTCATATCTATGATTACATATTCTATGCCACCTTGCCAGCCCGACTATCTGCCCGCACCTGCTTCCATGCCTCAAAGGAGGCTCAAAGCCCCATATGCCACGATGACTACCTCAACCATGTCTTTCCAGCTCACCTTACTATTCGCACAGCGATTTACTTTCTTAGCCTCAGGTGCTCGGTACACCCCGTCGACATCCTTATTCAGGAGCTGTCGTCTCTTCGGTACAGTTGGTGGCCATGCCATATATTGCACCGGAATGGATAATTTCATCACAGAAGAGAACAGGAAAACGACGACCGCAGGACTCGGGGGAATAAGCTCTCGCGTTGGCGTAGTGGTGTAGGCCGCGCACCGCCACAGTAGTAGTATGATCGCGTAGACAATCCATCCCACATACATCAAGACCATAGAGTTCAGAAGACGGGTCCATAGTGGTTTCCGGTGCGTGGCGGAGCGCTCGTTAATGGAGGATACCACCGTGCCTGTAATTTCGAAGCTCACGATGTTTCCGGGGATCCAGGAGCGGATGATACGTGCGGTGTTTACTAGAAAGGGTCATGTTAGTGCGCAGGAACAAATGTGCTGTGTGAAGAGGTACTGACATGGAGTATTCCAGAATCGATTCGCTTGGTGGTTTTTGGCGGCTTTGACGCTGACATCCTTGTGGATACGGGCGTAACAGAATTTCTGCAGCAATGTGGCAAAAAGGAACATGAGATAGCATTGACCTAAGTTATGCCTCCATGACTCGGGCAATTCCGCGCCGGTCCATTCGACTGGGTATAAAGCCAAAGGCAGAAGGAGAATGAATACCATGTTGGGAAGAGCAATGTAGGTCTTCGCAACGTGACATAGTCCCAGAGTACGCTGTAGCGCAGTCCTACGACTACCAAAGTCATTGTTTGACAGGAACCAGCCAAGGTTCCGGTATGAAAGGATGTTGCCGTCAGTCTAGAGAGAGCGTCAGATTCGGTCACAAGATAAGACAGGTACCGGGGTACGGTGATCAACCTACCCAACGAGCACGCTGCTTGAACCAGGCAGCCAGAGAATCGGGAGCCAGTCCGAACTGTACCTCATCTTTCACAAAGGTAAGGTCCCAGCCTTGAGAGGTTAGAAGCCAGGCACATAGGATATCTTCTCCTGCATTCTGCAGAGGCCACCCTCCAATACTATCCAGAGCCTTGCGCCGGCAAACGTAGCCAGACCCGGTGCAACAAGTACCACCTAAGCTATCATTCATCGGCTCTGTCAAGCTTGCGAACACATTTGTATCTTGCCCTAGCATGTCGCCCTTCGGGGTATTGTAGAACCGCTAGCTATAGATCAGCCATGCAAACTTGAATCAGGAGATACGCCAGATCGTACCTGCGGTGGAATAGCCATTGCTACATTTTGATCCCGGAGCAAATGAGGCACGACACGCCGAAGCCAGTCCTTAACGGGGATCATGTCGACATCTAATGCTGCCACGAACTCGGCGCCTCCACCTCTTCTAGCGCTCTCTGCCAGTCCATACCGGAGATTTCCTGCCTTGTAGTGATGCGGGACGCCTGTTTGCTTCTTCCGGGCCAGATAGGTGACATTCTGAAAGCCATTGGGCCGTTTACTGTTGAAACGGTTGGCTGCGGCTTCCAGTGCCGAGCTTTTCGCGTCATCTAGCAAGAACACACGGAAGCGATCTCGCGGGTAACTCTGTGAGGCTGCCCCCGCCACGGTATCCATGATCACGTCCAGATCCTCTCCGCAACAGGTGATACATACATCCACAGCCGGGGCAGTCTCTCCATGTAAGTAGTATGATGGACGATGAACGGGTCTGCGCCCGAATGGGATATACAGAAGAGTCTCGAACCGCGACACAAAGTCCGATCCAATGCTGATCACCTCCATCAAGACATTGAGCCACAGGAAACACCAGACCGCGAGGCTAGGAACAGAAAGCTCCCAAGTGAGCTTCACTCTCCATGCCAGATATCCGAAGTAGAGAACCCATGTCGCAACGTGGCCGCTTGCAGTTACTGGCGAGTCCAGTGGAAACTCCTCCAAGGGGGCCGAGGACTCCTCAATATGGTACGCCGGAGAACTCCTCCGAGACAAGCCGGTTGTCGAGAGTTTTGTACAAGTGTTTGACATACCGCTTATCTATCATGGACTGTCGTGGTCAGTGCAATATTGTTCTTAGCTCAGTGTTGTCGGGAGACAATGACGAGCTATTTATCTTTATTCGCCCATCATAGCATCAGCTACAAGACCAAATCATACACGCAACTAACACTGAGTGCAACCATGCACGCCCAATGAAGCTCGATTCAAGATGAATTCCGACATGCAGATCTCTTGTTGGGAGAATATCTTCTCCGACCACACCGCTCCCTTGCTCCATACGTGGCTGAGGTATCGGAATGGATCTATCAAATGTGAGGAGAAATTTACCTGTACATCGGACCTCACACTGACACACCGCTTATCAGGGGGTCCTGAATTCCCCGATTAACTTCAATAAAAACCAGCACCAGATAACTATAGCTAACTAACCGGTGAACAAGCGCTGCCGACGTGGCCTATGTCATGGGTCCTGCGCATGGAACAACATGTCTCAGATGCAGAATACCTTGAATTGAGGAGGTATTTATCAACTCGGAATGCAAGCTGCCTGCCAGTGACGTACGTCTCTTCTCGTGATTCCGAATCCAAATTTCAATCCACGGCCACCATTGAGTACTAGATCAGTGGTAAATATTCTGCAGACATTGTCACAGATTAAACTCGTCTTGACCCCCGGGGCAGCCCAGGAAAGAGCACAAACGAGTTTCGGTTCCACAGTGTCAGTCTGGTGTATCAAGACGAACTCCCTGAAATGGGTCAAAGAACAACAGTCAAAGATGCTCTCCAGGCCGAGGTCCCGTGCGACATGATCGTATGCGGAGCCATTCAGGACGTCCAGCATGAGCGAGACTATTCAACTCTTGTCATCAACGACGGGTCGACTGTGACTCCAATTCATGCCCGATTAAGCAGGGCCCATATGAAAGATGGATCTGCCATCTCAAGGGGCAGCACTATCCAAGTCCACGGGCAGGTGAAGCCTCTGGAACCATCGTGCCTCGACCACGACAACAACCCAGCATTTGAGATAGAGAGTTTCTCAATCCTTGGCCGAGCTGATCCAAATTCCTATCCCCTTTCTACCGTCCATTCAAGCCCGGAATTCCTCTATCAGAACCCCCACCTCCGTGTCCGCACGCCACAGCATGCCCTACTCGCGCGGTTCCGCTCAACCGTCATGTCCGCGCTGAGCCGATTCTTCGATTCTCACCCCGAGGGCCCATTCTACCAGGTCCATCTCCCTCTACTCACATGGACAGACTGTGAGGGAGGCGCAGAGGTATTTGCCACGCCAACCCAATGCTCCAAGCAAGAAGGCAGCGAAATGAAAGACACCTACTTCGATGCACGACGGTACCTCAACGTCTCTGCTGTTTTCCACGCCGAGGCATTCGTTCAAGGGCTGGATCGCATCTGGACACTATCGCCCTGTTGGCGAGCCGAACGCACCAATAGTCCGCGTCATCTCGCCGAATTCTGGATGCTTGAGGTCGCAGTCAATTATATTGACTCGCTGGAACCGCTGTACGAGCTCCTGGAGGAGACGATCCGTAGTATCGTCTCACACCTGCAAGACAGTCCCGCTGGACAGGAAATTCTCGCTCAGTCAGACGCAAAGAGCACAAACCTCCACCAGCGTTGGAACCAGCTCCTTACCCTGAACTGGCCGCGCATTACCTTCGCCGACGCAACAAGGCTTCTTAAACCCGTCCGCGCTGCGAAAGGCCATCACCCTCCAACGACAACCTCCACTCCCCAAGACGTCACGCCAGACGAAGAAATCTACCTCTGCGAGCATTTTAACGCCCCCGTCTTCCTAACGCACTTCCCCTCACAAATCCGTCTTTTCCAAGCAGCCCAGTCCGCCAAAGACATCACCGAGATATCCCCGGGAACAGGATTCCCTCCCTCCCAGACAACCGAATCATTCGATCTTCTCCTCCCCGGCATCGGAGAGATCTGCAGCGGTGGTCTGCGCGAACACAGACTCGACGTGTTGATCGATACCATGCGCAAAAAACGGTTCCTGCAGGGCCAGGCGAAGGGTCCTGTTCCGGAGCGGAATGCGCCCGCAGATGCAGAGCCGTATCCGTATCTGCATCGGGGTGAGGATCTGAAGTCGGTCGAGTGGTTTGCTGATTTACGGCGATGGGGCACGTCGCCGCATGGTGGGTTCGGAGTTGGGTTTGAGCGGTTGTTGCAGTATTTGACGGGGACGGATACGGTCAAGGAGGTGGTTTCTTTTCCGCGCTATTTTGGGGTTTGTGGTTGTTGAGGGCATCGAATGGAATTTGTGATCGGTGGTATGGGATATTAGTATGTAGATGAGCCTGGTGATGCTTTGTAGTGTTGCAGTCGATATCGACGAGTTCTAGCAGGTCAGCAACGCTGACTCGGCGCACCGTGGTGGGTGAGGATATTTCAAGTTCAAAGTGTCGTGATTAGCTTGTCTAATGGAAATGATGTCCGCGTTGATTCTATATACTGTACAAGAAATAACATCTAGATTGTATACCATTGATAGGTCTCCTCATCTGCAACCTCATCCGGTTGGACTTTGTTGCGACGCCACGTGCGTCGCGCGTTCTTCTTGAACAACGACCCTGGTGTCCATGCCAAGTGCCAAGTTCTCGGATCTCCTAGGGTCCTATCCTCGCTGATCGTCCCGTGGCGGAAATCGAGAGGCTCTTCGCCATCCTCGGCAGGAGCCGGCAGGCGCATCCAGTAGCGCACGCTGTCGGGGATCTCTTCCCGGTTGTGACTGATCATGATGAGCGCCTGTTCATCGGTGAGGCCGCTGAAGCGAGCATTTGCGATCGAAGTGCTATAGCCCCTAAGCCATGTCTCTAAGGGGGAGGTACGGCGTTTGGCGGTGGAAGCGCGGCCCCGGCCATGCTCGCCGACCTCGAGGAAGTGAATGCATTTGTCGCGGATGGAGGCCGACATGCCAGAAAACGCCTCGTCTAGGATGACAATGTCTGGTCGGTGCACGAGGGCGCGAATGAAGAGCACCAGTCGCTGTTGTCCCATGTTCAGCTGTCCGAATGTTACCGAGTCCGCATACTCGACCTCGTAGTCACTCGGAGTGAATGCCTTCCCGGCGCCGTACGGGTATTGCAGCTTAGGGAAGTGGGACCGCGCTTCTGTGGTCACCTTGGGCGGTTCTTCGCTCATGGTCACCGCAGCGTCGGGGTCCAGCTCACCCTTGAAGTATCGTAGCGTGGCGCTCACGTCGAGATCCCTCGTGTGGTCCAATATGGGCTTGCTGAGGAACGTTTCCGCAAAGGCGGACTCGATCGACTGGCGTATCGTCAGTTGTCGCGGGAAGAAGGCGTGGATCTCCGGCGATGAATGACCGAGACGCGACTGTAGCTCGAAGACGGAGATCGCCGGTTTACCCGGCTCGGGCAGACGCGAGCGCCCGAAGAGTTTGATGGGCAGCGCGTACGCCTGGGGATGGTCCGAAGTTATGAGTGACAGCAGGGTAGTCTTGCCGGACCCGTTAGCGCCTAGGACTGCCCAGCGTTGACCGCGACGGACGGTCCAATGCAGGCCGTCCTTGACTTGCTTGTTGACGTTTTGCCTCCAGTCCCCGAGGACAACCTTGTCGCCATACTGCACGCGAACTCCGTCCATCTCGATGAGCGCCTCGCCGCCCCGGGCGGAAGAGATGGTCAGTTGACTCTCTGTCCGAGCAGGGACCTGGAGGTCCCACATGAGTGTTCGATCAAGGTAACCAGCATCCATATCCTTCATGGCCTTATCATACCACACTTTGTGCTTGTCCTTCCTCCATGTACGGGAGGCCGGGCGCCCGTCGTAAACGGCCCTCCAGACCTCCCAGAGCTTCTCTGTGTCTGACCGGGGACCTTGAAAGAGGACCTGATTTGAGTTTCCGAGAATCATGACGTGTGTGATCCACTCTGGTAGAGAGTCTTGGGGCCGCAAGGCGAGAATCAATCGGGGGTTAGACTTGGCGGCGAGGCGTTGGAGCAAGTCGGAGATGCTTCGCACGGTGGCAGGATCAAGACCCACTGGCAGAGGTTACTCAATGGGAATTTTCGAGAAAAAAAAAAAAAAAAAAACAGGGGTAGCGACTTACTGAACGGGTCATCTAGTAAGAGTAGTTCAGGCTTGCTGAGAAGAGCCTTTGCGATGCGGGCCCGCCTCGTCTGGCCATTGCTCAAGTTCGCAACCGGCATATCAAGCAGGGGACTCAAGCGCAGATCGACTACCACCTGCTCGAACAGATCCGGGTCCCGCAGCGTACCATCCTCCTCGCCTTCTAGCGGATTCAGCGAAGTCTGTCCCTTGAGGTATTGCCGAACCGTCCAATCGGTCTCTTCCCGGAAACTCTCGTACCGAGCACTCAAGTACGCACCGCGAGTGCCGCCGATGGCGCCAGAGCCCTCTCCGCTGAATCCGATATATTGAATGGCATTCCTGAACGAGCGTAGACGGGGGTCTTTGTTGGCAATCTCGTCCGAGAGAAGGTATGGATAGGATCGAGCGGCGGGTGGCAAGCAGATGTACTGGCCGCGGAGAACGTCGAGCAGCTGGGTTCGGCCGTACGACCCGATGACAGCCCATTGCTGGGGGGTGTTTTTATTCTTGGATTTGCCCCCGATCTTAGTATCGGACGGAAGCTCGAAACTGAAGTTGGGGAAAAGCGGACGGTTTTGGTTTTTCGCGGTGTCATCTGGGGTGGGATAATTTTCATAGAAGGTTCCGTTCTGGATGCGAATCAATGGCGGGGAGGATGAGACTAGGCGGATTTGGAGTGTGGAGGGGGGCCTCAGTATCCTCCTACGCAGAATGGGTGGACGCACGATGGTCTGGATCGCCATGATTGAGTGACCAACAGACCCGACCTGCGGGGGAAGTGGAAGTGATGTCTTCAAATGAAGCTGGATCGGTCGCATCGGAGCATCGCCGCGGGGAGGACGGGGCCAACTCCGGCATCACGTGATGTTTGGTGCCTGGGGCTGCACATTAGTCATCTTCAACCAAATCTTGGCGTTGCTTGCCTGTCGATGCCTTAACACCCTGGATCCTGAGGCAGATAAACAATTAACGGCCTTTTCTTCATGCCTGATTCTAGAAGCTGCAGGCATCTCCAACTCTCCATCTCCTCTACAATGTCCACTTCAGTCTTTACAGTCTCATTCTCCGTTCCCCGTCTTCCCCGTAAACCCTCTCAGCCCGGTGGGTTCATCGCCGACTGCTGGTTCGTCAATCATTACTCCATTTATTAATGGATTTAATTAATGCGATTCCTCCGAAACCCCGTCCTCTCCTTATCGATCGGTCGATCTGACATCTTTTCAATCTCTGTCCTTCAACCCCCTACTCTCTCTCCTGATAAGAGCTTTGATTATGGCAGCTGTGTCCGCTCAATCCAACCGCCAATATGTCGGCTTGGTCTCCGCCGTGAGTCTCGCCGCTCTCGTCACCATTCCGCTGCTTACCTCCAACCTCTTGCGCAATCGCAAGTCCAAGACCGACGAACAATCCCCTCCACTGACCGCAATTCCCTCCTCCCTGCCTTTGTTCGCCGAGGCCCGCCGCATCGCCCAGAATAATCCCGAGAAAATTGCCATCGTCGATGCCACCAAGGGTCAGAGCTTCACCTTCGGCCAGCTGCTGGCCGACGCCGCCGCCCTGAAGAAACACATCCTCGAGGAATTGAAGCTCACGGAGACCGGAGATCTGGAGGAGCGACGTGTCGCCTTCCTGGCACCCAATGGTTATGACTACGTGGTTACACAGTGGGCCGTGTGGGCGGCCGGTGGTGTGTGTGTGCCGCTGTGTATGGAACCCTATCTTCGTTCGATTAAAGAATACCTCCAGCTGACGCGATCGCGCATGTAGGCACCTCTCACCCGGTCCCGGAGCTATTGTATACTATCGGTGACTCCGATCCGTCCATCATTGTTTTGCACCCGTCGTTCGAACACTTTGCCCAGCCTCTCCGCGACGGAATCACCAAAGACATCCCGTTCATGGCATTGACACCCTTCACGCAAGCCGAATCCGCCAAGTCAATCGTCTTGCCTGCATTCAGCCCTGTTAACTTCCTGGACCGCCGCGCCCTGATGATCTATACCTCCGGCACGACCTCCAACCCCAAGGGCTGCGTCACCACCCACAAGAACATCACTTTCCAGGCCAAATGCCTCGTCAAGGCCTGGGAGTACAACCCCTCAGACCACCTCATCCACGTTCTGCCCCTACACCACGTGCATGGCATCATCAATGGTTTAGCTGCCAGCTTGATCAGCGGCGTGACGGTGGAAATGCACCCGAAGTTCGACCCCAAGACTATCTGGACGCGCTGGCAGGAACGCGGCTCGTCTACTATGTTCATGGCCGTGCCGACCATCTACGCGCGCTTGGTCGACTATTTCGAGACGCACATCCGCGGTACGGAGCACGAGGAGGCTGCCCGCAGCGGCGCCAAAGCATTGCGTCTTATCGTCAGCGGCTCCGCGGCTCTGCCCACTCCCATCAAGGCCAAGTTCGCCGCCATCACCGGCCAGACGTTGCTGGAGCGCTACGGCATGACCGAGATTGGCATGGGGATCAGCTGCGGGCTGGAAGTCGAGAAGCGCATCGACGGCAGCGTCGGCTGGCCACTGCCGGGTGTGCAGGTGCGCTTGACGGATAAGGAGACTGGGCGCGTGATTGACGCCGTTGACGAGGATGGCATGATTGAGGTCAAGGGCAACAACGTCTTCCGCGAATACTGGCGCCGACCCGAGGCCACGGCCAAGGAGTTCACGTCAGACGGCTGGTTTAAGACGGGTGATGTGGCCCGGAGGGACGAGTCCGGTGCCTATTTCATCCAGGGTCGCGCGTCCGTGGACCTGATCAAGTCCGGTGGGTATAAGATCTCGGCCCTAGAGGTAGAGCGCAAGATGCTGGGGTTGGACGCCATCCAGGAGGTGGCTGTCGTGGGCCTCGCGGACGAGGAATGGGGCCAGCGTGTGGGTGCGGTGGTGAAGCAACGTGAGGGTGTAAGTCACTTCTTTTTCAGTTTCTCTTTGATGTCTCTCAGATGCTAACAAATCTGCAGACCGACCCTCTTGACCTGCAGACTCTCCGAGCCCAGCTGAAGCAGGAGATGGCGCCGTACAAGATCCCCACGGTATTGAAGCTCGTGGACGGCATCGAACGCAACGCTATGGGCAAGGTGAACAAGAAGACGATCATCCAGAAGTACTGGCCTGAGTTATAGATCTGTTTTCAATATGACATGATAGATTGTACAGGTACCAATTAGATAGGTATACAGATGGCGCTATTTTAATGAAACTTTCATGCTTGACTCTGAACATGGCCAGATAAGAAAGGATTCCTGACCAATACACGACAAATCTCAGAACAGCAGAAACGGCACCCATGAATCAGAAAGCTATGAAAGAAAACCACCTAAGTCAGCATGTCGACCGCCAACGCATACGCCCTCTCCTTCCTTTCCCACTGCACAGTACCCTCCTTCGCAAACTTATCCCACGCATGTCCACAGCCTTCCATCCGCTGCACCACCACACGCCTCTCTCCCTGTCCTTCTCCATCAATTCCTCCCTGCTGCAACGCCGCCAACCTCTCTCCTAACCTCTCCGCCTCGCCCGCCAAACTACACTGCCCCGCCGTCACAAACAGACATTTCTTCGGAAACCTGCTCAAATCCGTCATCAACGCCGGCGAGACCCTGGTATCACGCACCCCTCCTCCTCTACCGCCCTCCACACCACCCAAACCCTCCTCGGACCCAAACAAATAACACCTCTGAAACACCCACAACAACCACCCAGGCAACGGGCTTCCACCCTCCTCAGGAGCCTTCTTCGTCCACGGCGAAATACTCGCATCACAAGCCGGATAAAACGCAATCAGCGCGCAGAACGTATCCTTGACACAATGACCCGCGAGGGAGACAGCTAGGGCCCCACCGGCACTGAACCCGCCGATGCTGATCCGTGACGGGTCGAATTTCTCGGGTTGCGAGTGTATCCAGTGGACCACGTCTTCCACGTCGTGGAGGGCTGCGGGGAATGGGTGTTCGGGTGAGAGGCGGTATTGGATGTCGAGTACTCTGATGGGGACTGTGGTGCTGAGGTGCCGGCAGTAGGCGTCGTCGAGGCCGTGGCCGGGGAGGACGAAGCCGCTGCCGCAGAGGTTGAGGTGGACGGGCGTTGGATTGTTGGTAGTGGTAGTGGTAGTGGGGAGGGGGTCCTTGGTAGTTGGAGAGTCTGAGCTGTGAGGTTCTAGGGCGTCTGTATGGGGTTCGGGGTCGTCAATTAGTCTCAACTGAGGTCTAGGTTCAGGTTCAGGCCCAGATCCAGAGGTAACCGTTGGCGGAGGATAGTAGAAATGGACTTTGATGGATCGCCCTGCATCGCGAGACGGGATGTATTTGATCTCGTCTGGGGAGGCTTTGATCGGGGGCAGCAGCTTTCGGAGAAGACGCAGGGTGACGGCGATGGATTTGAGGATGAAGTAGGGGGACATGGTTATTGTCAACTGATGGACAGTCAAGCTTTCGCGAAGGATCAAAGGAGAAAGTCTAACGGACCCAGTTCTCCATTTTTACATCAATGTCGGTCTGAAAGCCTGCTCCCGCCGCCTTGGCTGCAAAGTACCAGAAAGCCTCCCTCAGTGTAATTTCCCCCGAATTCTGGCCGGCTCTGGCGTCGTGGCGTATGGGCTCGCTATATTCTAGTCTCCAAACGCCGCCGCGGCTCTTGACCTGGCGCAAAAAAATGGTCTCATCGTACGTTGTCAGAAAGCCATATCTGACCTGACCGAGGCGCAGGTAGCGCGCTATTTGGCCTGCGTAGAGGTCGTTAATCCATAGCTTTTCATATCATTGTAAGGAATTGATCTGCTTACCCACGACCTTTCGCAGATAGCGGCCACCTTCCTCGACGGCATCGGTGAGGCTGTGCGCTGGGACCCATCCGACCTTGTCCTCCCCCACACCCCGCAACTCTCCCGCGGCTGTAATGCACCCCGAATCAGGCACCCAGCCCCCCATCACCGCATTAGACGCCCGGAAGTCGGCGAAGGCTATGTCGAGCCCGAAGACCCGACAAGCAGCGGAAACGGCCTGGCCGATGTTGTTCGTAAACCTCCCCTGTACACCTGTTTCATCGCCCACCCAGACGTGCTCGTTAAAGAGGCTATGGGCAGGGACAGGACCCCATGGCCCATGCGCGAGCACGTCTGGGTGGGCTGCCCAATCCGTGTCCCGGCTATGACGCCAGGCCTCCGCCGCAAAGGTGCGCCAGGGCCTCAACTCTCCCAGGTATCTCAGGTTGTGAATTGCGCTATGTTCTGTGTGCCATTGCCCAAGTTTGAGGTCCGGGATGGTGGATTTGATGATATCCTCCGCGCGTAACGCTGCCATTTTTGTTCTGAAAAAATTATGTGCTGATGTTTGAACTTCGAAGCAGCTAACAGTAAATCCGATTTCTACACTACCTACGCACTAGCACAAACACAAGCAACCATTCCTTTTTTGTCCAGACCCACTAGTTAGATACTCTCAAAGGCCATACCGACAAAGTGAATAGAGATACAGTCATAGAGAGCTACTAATCTTTCACTCGGTACCGCACTTCTAGATCTCTGTCTCCGTTCTGCCGTAGAACCCATTCCTGAGTCTGCAGAAGGCTTGCCAGCCGATTTGCCCTCAGCCGCAAAAAAGGACTGAGAGCGCGACTAACATTTCACCCTATAATCAATTGGATCTTCGTAATAGACTCAAGATGTGATCAAAGTTCAGGAGAAGAAAAGCTTAGTAAGTTGAGAATTACGAGGGCTCTGTCAGGTGGGATATTGACTACAAGTACCTGGTGAATAGACCAAGTTGACATAATGTTAGGAAGGTGAATGGATTCCGAGGTGAAGATATCTTGCATTAAAGCGGAGAGGGAATTTATGCCCAGTACAAGCGAATCAACTCTTTCGTAGGACATATATATATTTCTCTTTCATTTCAATGAATGAGTGTGTGTACGGTTGTTGATGCCATCTGATTGTGTGTAGAGTGGACTACTTGCAATATAGCAGAACATATGATATCAGAGTCCTAGCAGTAGATGGCAAAGGGAAAACAGGTAGCGCGTGAAATCGAGATCCAGAGCAACTTGCGCCATCCCAATATCCTCCAGCTATACGGGCATTTTCATGATCGGAAACGAATAATCCTGTGTCTCGAGTACGCTGGAAAGGGGGTATTATACAAGCGTCTGCAGAAACAAGGCCGATTCCCAGAGTGGAAGGCAGCGCAGTACATTGCACAAATGGCAACGGCTTTGCGATACCTACATCGCAAACACGTCAATCATCGGGATATTAAGCCCGAAAATATTCTCGTTGGTCTCCATGGGGAGCTTAAGATGTCAGATTTTGGCTGGAGCGTTCATGCGCCAAGTGGTCGACGGCTCACGCAGTGTGGGACACTCGACCATTTTCCCCCGGAGATAGTGGATCCGAAGAGACAGGAGAAGCTGTATGACGGAATGGTAGATTTATGGTCTCTGGGGGCTTTGCTGTATGAGTTCCTGGTTGGAAACGCGCCGTTCGAGGACACGCCTGTTATGACACAGAGACGAATCGTGAAGGGGGACATGACGGTGCCCTCTTTTGTCAGCCCCGAAGCTAAGGATCTGATCCAAAAAGTGAGATTATCCTAAACAGTAGTATCACCCAAGTATTGACAGTGGTCCAGCTACTCGTCGTTGATTCCGAGAAGAGTATTTCTCTGAAGGAAATCCGAGACCATCCCTGGATACTTAAGCACTGCGCAAGCGGCGGAAAACAAGATAGAGATTGAGCCACAAGGGAACCAATAAAGGCATTGTTGTAAATACCAGGATCGGAGTTTGATGGCATGCCTTGAGCGGTTCCGCTAGATTGGTAATGCATTTTACCAAATGAAGCTTGTCAGAATTTACTTTCGAGATTGTTCGGGCAAAGAGGACGTAGCTACAGTACGGTGTAGTTCCTCCGTACAGTTGGGAGGCATCTGACAGCTCCACAGTTCTGCCACCGCCCAGGAATGTGCCCCGCCCAGCGATCCACACGATCCACAACCTACGAAGGATCAACAATCATCAATATCTTGCTCGATCTTCCGGTCGAAGTATTGGATTTGATACTTGAACAAGTGAGAGATCTCCAGTTTCAGGGACTTGAAGCGGCTTTGTCAAGCCAGCACGAGTCTCCACAATATAGCCATTCCACATCTGTATCGGTCTCTGATCATATCCGCACCGGAATCGTCAATCGACGAGTTGGTTACCAATGTGAAGAGGATACCACCAGAATACTACATGCACATACAGCAAATTGGCTTCAGCGTTCCAATTCACGACTTTGTCATATCACGGTGTACAAGTTACCACGGCGGTGTTCGGCGCTGCTACGAGGATGGTCTCAAGGTCAGTAAAACGCTGATTCCCAACTACAGACACCTGAAAGTGACATAATTTATTAGGGCTGCACCCGGGCCCCTCTCTTCAACTTAGCCTGTGCGCTGGATTCATTAAGGATCTCAGATGATCAGTTGCGAGAATTTCGGTTCGCAATGCGTTTACCTTCCCTTGGACAACGGCTTATATGTGCCCAGATGGGAGGTGGGAGCATGCATTCCAGAAGCTCACTTTGGCGGCCCCGACTCTCTCCTCAGTAACCAACGGAGAATCCGATCTATTACTTTAGTGACAGAGGGTGAATGCGGTGCGAGCACACACGGGCGGTACTCCGTGAACCTTTCTCAATTCCGAGAACTACGGTCCCTTGATTGGAGGGGCTTGATGAGATTCAATGATCTAGAATTTGTCAGAGAATGTATCGAAGCTCACGGCCACCAAATCGAATCACTCACTCTTGACCTGCTGGAATGGGTAAGTGCGGAGAGACATTGGTCTCGTGGTATTTGCGAACGGGCCACTCACCCCTCTCACAAGGTGTGCTCAACATCCGCCCCCAAGACCAGAAGGCCATATTTTCATCCCTTGTAAATCTTCATCCATCGGCTGTTTCCTTCTCTCATACCGGTATGGGAATGGCTCACGCTTTCAATATCGGACGCCTCAAGAGTCTAACGTTACGTAAATGTCCTGGGTCTCTCACGTGGATACGCGCAATCCTAAACTATGGGGCGCCAATGCGGTTGAAATCTCTCGAGCTTTCCCTCGACCCCGACAATCTTGAGATGGATGCAAACACATATCTCATGGACACAGTCTGCAGCTTCGTTCATCACCTCCCCAACTTGGATAATCTCTATTTGATGCTTCCTGACCCGATGATTTGGAACGCTCTTGCGTTTTGTTTATCAAAACACCATAAAGTCCATCGCCTTGTGATGCACCGCGTTGTGGGTCGGCGTGGCTTTAGATGCAAGGATGGAGATATACTATGGCCTTCTCATCTCGATCGCACATTGCAAAAATGCCAAAAAGCCTGCTTTGGATCGTACATCCCACCCGTGGATCTGGTATGCGTTTCTCCTGGATCTTCGTGGCAACATAGCTTCTGACGATGAACTAGCTCAGTAACTGGCGAGAGATTCAGCCCAGACCCTCATGCACTTTAATACATCTTAGGACAAGTGGGGCAATCCTTGAGAGATTTGTCACATCCTGTCCCACCAGCTGGGCAGCTGCGGCCCTTCATTCTTACAAGTATGGTGAGGGTAAGTGTTCTTCGGCTCTATCGAAAAGAATCATTTATGTCCTAACGGAATATAACTCGGGACAGATTTTGAATATAAACCCTGGGAAATATACGAGTTTGCGCAGTGGGAATTTGGTGCAGATGGTATTCCGGGCCTCCAGGTACTCGCATGGGGAGATTTCTCTTACCGAGGTCGCTATTCAAAGTTTAACCTTCTCCTTTGCAAGTCCGAGAATGGCTATAAAACCTTGAATTCTTCTGATGTGGCGTGCTGGAATCTTGTTCAGGACAATATGGACATGCTGGCAGCCTGCCCTGATGATGCTCTGGTGGGATAGATCTGTGCCTATACGGGCAGAGCTGTGGCCGAAAACGGAATCTATTACCGCGCTTGAGCTTACATCCTAGGAACGACTTACTAAAGTGCTCTCTATATACCACCTACCGGAGGAAATTTATGGAACGCCTCGACTCGATCAAGGCTACTTTACTTGCCCTTGAGTAGATAGCGGAAGCTGGAGAGCGGTACACTCGTCTAATGAATGGTCCTTTCTGTTATGCGAGCAGGGAATATACCGGCCTTTATCCTGGTATTGATGCCAAACAAAGCCGTCGTTGATGTCGATAGCAGCCAGCCAAGACAGTCCGGTAGTTCTCATAACGAGCAGGGCTATTGGGTTTTGACGCCCATAGTCTCAGCTATTTGGTAACATGCTGACTGAGCTGAGACGAGTGGGAATATTGGCCATTAAAGCAAGATGGTTGCCCAGCCGCTAGTTTTTCGTCGAGCAGCCTAAGAACGGTCCGTGAAAAGAATAGTGTTTCTTCTAGACCACGATCAAAGCATTCTCAGCTTGCTCAACACAGGTTATGTCGAGGATTAGTTTTGGGTACGGAGTTGACGTCATGGCCTGCTGTATTTGGCCATGTGCAACTAAAACAAGAGCATCCTTGCATGGACGCAGACCAAACTCAAAGAAACCGGGAAAGGCTATACCCTGACAGGATTTAAATCCCTCCTGGAAAGTTGAAAAAGGCTGATTCTACGACTTTACTCCGAACACAAGCACAACTCACCATTCTCCCTTCATCCACTTTACGATGCCATACCCCTCGAAACAAGAAATCATCAAACTATTCCAAAACCTCGAAGCGTTCCCCGAGGGCCATGAGTGCTTTTTCTCAAGGACAATCGAGCGCTGCAGCTGGACCATCACCGGCCAGCATCCATTCTCGGGACATTGGACTTCGACACAGTCCTTCCTCCAGGCCGTGTGGTGGCCCAATACGAATCTGATGGCCTCACCCGGTCCCACCTTTATACTTCCGGAGGGACATGAGAGCGTCATTTACAATGACCAGGGAGAAGCAGCTGTTGAGCTACGGACTATTCGTACGGTTGTTAAGCAACATGGGCGGGAGTATAATCAGCACTATTCTTGGCACTGCAGGTTCAATGAGGATGGGTTGTTGGTCAGCGTGAAGATTTTCCTGGATTCGATCCATGCGAAGGAGGTTCTGTTGATATAAAACGGAGGAAGAATGTATTCTGTGAGCAACGTGCCAGCCATGGTACGAATAATGTTTGCAAGATATCCTTGGATGTTTGGTCAAGGATAAACTAGGACTGGTCTTTATCTAGTCTGTATTATGTAGCCATGTATGATTATTGCGCTTGTATATCTCCTTGATGTTTCTGCTGATGAATTCAGTTGCGCTGTGTCTGAAGCTCAGATTGTATTTCTAAAGACAGGTTTTAGACCCTCAGACGAATATCAGCTACCTGAATATAACCATCATCATTGAATGCGCACAGTCTTGGATTATGTTCCAGGAACAACAGCAATCAGAGTGCATCCTTGGCACGCTCGGAGCCAAGTCCTTGCAATTAAGCTGCCTTTGATCCCGTTGTTCTTTCGGAAGTGGACTTCTTTGCAACTACCCAAAGACTATACAGTCTGTGGCTAACGAAGTAATGTCGGCTCGAAAGCCCGCTCTCAGTCTAAGAGAAACCAGAATGCCTCTCTGACGGTGGTTTCCCCGACGCTGAACCCGAGCCTGGCGTTGTGCCCAATAAGAGGCCATTATCTCAGCCTCAAGTGGCCTCAGATGGGTAGAGTAGACCTTGTCGGAAGAACATAGTTTGTCTGTATGTCGAGACGAAGTTGTATCTGATCTGTCCCAGGTGCATGGAGTGCGCTATCTGCCTTGGTTACAAAACGTTATATTAGCACATTTTAACCAAGACCTCTGCATTCAGACGGTATGCCTCACCCAAAACCTTTGCAAAAAATTCCAAATCAAGACCGAGGTTGCAATATTGGGGACGTCCCCGAATACTGGGCGTCTTTATCTCCAGAACAAATCCCAGCTCCCCCGAGCAAACCAGGAGCCCGGTTACGGAACCCATTCCTTTATCGACTGTCTGGACGCTGCCTTGTGTGGTCCCCAAATATCATTGACCCCAGGCACCGGGGTCTCTCAAGCAACGAAGAATGCCGTAGGACCAAGCTGCACTGTACGCCCGTAATTTCTAGGCTTTCATAAAAGGATAGTTTAGTTTATATATCAGTTTTAATAAGGGAAGCTTCCTTAACTGAAAAGCTTAAATATTCTCTATACCAAATGTCTACTACATTGATCTTGTGTACCCTAGAGCTATAATAAACCTAAAGTTACCTGGGGATCCATGGTTCCCAAAGGGTGTAAGGTTGACATCAGTAGTGAATCTTCCCCTCACTAGTATTCTTCTCCTCCCCTTTCCCTAGTCTGACACTATCTCGCTCGCTTTACTCTCACCCTCACCCGTCTGGCCAGACGTTTTTTTGTTAAACACTGAGAGTTTCTTTCCGATCTCAGATTTATCCGCTCTCCATTTTTCCTCTCTTGACCTTCTTAAACCCCCCTCATTCTCTCGGTTATTTCTCAGCGCCTGTGTCTTGTTCGCTCCCTCCCCCCACCCCACTATCTGTGTCTCCCTCTTGCTTCTTCCGTTCTATCGAAGATGCGCGCAGATCCGGAGTTCTTTGCAGTTGGTTTTGTTGGGGAGGTTATTGATTTTGCGAACCCCGATTCTCACTGGATCCTCACCGAAAGGTTGCGCGAGCGCCATGCTCAGCTCATCGCCGAGGAAGTCAACGAGAGACCTTGGGCTTGCTCGGCAGCCTATGGCACATTCCGTGCCAAGAACGTGGATGACGAGACCCAAGAGGCTTTCATTCGTATCGTTATGCAGTAATGTCCCCCCTTGATGAACTACGCTACATGATTTTAGCAAATGCTGACATTTGACTTTTTCCTTATCTAGGATCAACTACGTCGGCGGTGAAATTGCGTCAGACGAAGAAAGAGCCAGCCGAGCTGTTCAGTCTCTACCGGAAAACGGACAAGAAATGCTTGACGCGCTCGCGCTGATGGAACAGGCGCAGTGCAGATCAGCTCCGCGGTTGTTAGGCGTTTCAAGCAGAATACAAGCTCTAAAAGAGCCAGTGCCCGGTGGCTTTTTCACCTGCTTGCTTCTCGAAAAGTTACCTGGCCAAAAAATCGGCCCTTGGTTTTGGGAGCTAGATCTTGGCCAGCGTGATCATATTCGAGCTCGTTTCAAAGAGGCCTGGCTGTAAGTGGTTTACGCATTTCCTCTTTTATTAAAACAGCTACAAAGTCTCTGTGATCTTTGTAACCAATGTGACCTTCTTTCAGTGAGTGTGCTGCTATTGCTAAGTATCGCGTGGTTTCGGCACCTTCCAAGGTGTTCTGGGATGATACCACTCAGAGAATGTATGTTTTCTATCTCCGCATCATAACGATTTTACGTTCGAGGCTAACAGGGCTAGCGCATTCTATGACTTTCTGACGGGCTGCAGAGAGGACGATCCGATCCGCTGGAAGGACGTGTACTTCATTCTCTTTGGTTTGGCAAAGGCGCCTCCCCAGTATCGCATGTGGGGAAAGCACACGGAAAGTTCAAGTACAGAAGGCTGGACGTTTTGATGACTGGTTTCTGGTATCCCCAACCTGGTCTTCTTCTGTCACGCCATCTGATGTCTGCGACATAACAACAGAGAGGGGATGTGGGGACCGGAGAGGAATTCGTCCATTGTGAACTCGAGCGACTTGGGAAGCAAAATGCTTTGGAGGTGTACCTGGTAGCTTGTGATCCTTGATAGCGTGTTCTTTTGACTTGTCGGCTTCATTTGACGTTTGTCTCGATAGAACTGCAAGCGGCTTTCGAGTTCGTCGGAGAGGCTTTTCATTCTGTTCTTCAGAATATTTGGGAACAGAAATCTCGACGATCACGAAGTGCTACTTATAGGTGTCGGACTTGGGCTGCTCTGGTGCTCGGATCCTGTTTGATCGACGAGGGTGTGTAGATGCGATCTATAGACCTTCTATTGTCAATTCTGCTCACAGACGTGGTTTAATAGCCTCGTAAGAAATGTACCTTGAAGTCTGAGTGTGGATTGGCTCCCTGGTATCGTTCATTCTCATCTTGAACAGACAAAGACCTGAGACGAGCCTCGAGAACCTTGGTAGCCATACTGGATCCAATTGCTTCCCAGCCTCCTGGATTCAAGGGAGCGCATTGACGGGTATGACGATATTTATGAAGAGATCCGGCGTCGGTGACCTTGCTGTGGAAAGAAGTGTTTTTCTAGGATCTTGTTATGTGAAAGGCCTGAGCTCAGTAGACATATCTTCCTACAAAGGGGCCCCGTGGACACCTTTCCGTTGCCATGGAGATCTAGTCAGTTTAACGGAAGTACTGCATACGCCACATACCGGCATCATACTTTATAACTATCACATTTCTAACTCAGCAACTAAAATACAAATCCCGTAGTATATCTACCTATGCTGCCACCTATCGTTTCATGATACCTCTGAACCATCTGGACCCGACCCAGCGCTTGTTCGTGGTCCGCCCTCCCAATGTCCCCATAATCCAGGTACCCGCTGCGGGACACACCCCCGGCAGGCCACCCACTTACTCCTAATGGATCAAGGGAGCCACAGCCTGGCAGGAAAACCGGCCGCCGATGCCACTCTCCGCCACCTTCTCGAAGTTAGAGCACTCCATGACCTCCGAAGTAACGATGGAGAAGTCACCCCCGACTTTGTCCAAGCTGGGCAGAGAGACTCTGTATTGTTGATGGGATCGTTAGCTACCTATCCGTGTTCCTGTCGCTAATACTATATGGTTGTGTTGTTTGGTGTCCGAGAACCGGGGGAAAAAGGGGAAAGTGAAGAAAAGAAAAGAAAAAAGGGCAGCACATACTCATAAAAAGCTCCACTAAGGTCAACCTTTCCTCCAACCGACTTCAACGATGGCAGGCTGACCAGCGTGACCGAGTTCAGGTCCTTTCCGATCAGGTCCCCGGTGATAGCGACGAGCTTTTCGAGACGGACGTAGTCGGTTATGTCGGAGCCGATCTCGAGGTCGCCGAAGATGGTGGTGCAGTCGGAGGTCTTGGTCTCATTGTTCAGAGTCTGGTTACCGCAGACTGGAAGGGTGGTTAGTATTGGATGCTTCGTGAGGACTGAAGAGGAGAGACGGGAGGGGGTGGTGGCATACTGGCCATGGACACGCCGGCCAGGGAGAGGATCAGATTGAAGTATTTCATCGTGGTGGTGTTTTGCTTGAGTGTTTGGGTGGAAGATTGAACTGGTTTGTGATGGTGATGAAGGCTGTTCTGCTGTACAGAAGAAAGTAGGTATTCAGGCGGATGAAGACACGCCTTTAAATATTCAAACCCTCGACCAGAAACTACACAAGAAGATGCTATACCCATCAATGGACCCCAAGTTTTAAACAGCCGTCCAACCGTTCAGTCATGTTGGGAGGCTCAGTAAAATAGGGGCGGTGAAGTATACGCACTGTATCAAACATCCGACCAACGATTATGCCCTATGAGAACTGCGATCTGGTTGGCACACTCAAGAACCAACCATACACAATCTCCCATAGTTTCTCGATCTATAACCGTTTCAATTCATGGATGGTCTCTCTAGCGCCAACCGCCGAGGGGCGATCACTGCGCGCCGAACCGTCTAGTGTAGAGCTTACGGGCGGATTTTGCAGCCGAGGATGCAACCATGCAGGGTCTTGTCTGCGACTAAAATGTACGAGCAACAGTTACTGGGGACTTTGCGGGCCGAGAATGTACGAGTCTACTAAGTAGCAATGTTTTTGTCAAGATATTGGACCGTGAAGGCACCCTTGTTCTCAACTTTCATTCACATCTCTACCGACAGGCGCGATGAGCCACTCCCCGGCATCAAAAGATTGAAACTCATTACTACGCTGTCTGATTACAGTGGTATTGGCCCCAGGAAGGGGATTGTTACATAGATGATGCCTAATGGATGGTCAGGCAGGTTGAAAAGTCTTGGGTGATCTGAATCTTCTTACCGTTGGAAGGTGTATATGTGGTTTGGATTTGGGTGCTTTGTCATTTGGTTATTTAACAGCTACTTGATCTATCACACTGGTTCCGTTCGTTAGCCAACCATCTCCTGCTACTTTCCCTCCGATCAGCAGATGGAGACGCAGAGACAGCATGTGTAAGCCTTGATAAATAGAATTGAATTACGAGAGACGAATATAATGAAAACAAGATCCAGTCCCGAGCTGTCTCGAGAATTCGAAAACCCACAGAAGGGGCTGAAAGGTCATTTGCCTCAGATGTATCTTTTGGCCACCGGGGGGTGTGAGACTCCAACATCTCGACTTCCCAGATCTTTGTATTTCAGCCATCAAGGCGTGCACTGATACTACAAGCCTAGATGTACGGAACGGGGGAAATGTTCTTTGTAGTGAGGAAATTCATCTACTTGGAATATTCATGGAGATCGTTTCTGATGAAGCGCGTGAAAGATTATGATGGTCGTGGAAGCATACTGCGAAATGGCTGACAGATTGTGCTTCAGGCATATCATGAATGCCCTTATAGCAACGTATGGTATAATGTCTCTCCGTTGAACCTTTCACTGGTCTGCTGAGATGCATGCTATTAGATCTTTAATCTATCATGAAAAGGTATACGACATTTCAACCCCAAACGCCGCTGTAGATGATAATGCAATCCCCAATCCAAATTCAGAAATAGCAAATCAAATCTGTCCCGAGCCCCGTTCCACTTCATCTTCATCACTTCACTATCACTGACTGAACTCGAATTTCAACTATCTCTATCAATATCATCATTCGCTTCATTTCCTGCCGCCAACACCGCCAGGTTCGCGTTGATGTCGTTCTTGTTTTGCTCGATCCGCTGACGTGCCTGCGCGTCGCTCGAGGCTTGTGCTTTTTGCGTATATATCTGGTTCTGCTGCGCCATCATCTGCGCCTGGACCTTTTAGCGCTCCTTGCGTTCTTCTTTTCTTTGCGTTTGTCGCATCCGGGGTCATTCAATCGGTCGAATAGCTATTCTTGACTTGGGTTCTGAATTGGCAGTATATACGACGGAAGAGAGAGGAGTGGCTTCTCGCCGTCTGCAGCTGTCTCCGGGCCTTCTTGCGCTTGAGCTTGCCGAACGTAGGGGCCTGCCCCGGAACCTTGGGTGAGAGGGCGCTGTAGTAGGAGGCATTGGAGGCTTCAGGGTTACCGCCTGGTGGAGGGTACTGGGGTGGTGGGGGAGCGTAGAAGAAATTATCGGGGAGCAGACACGCTCAGTGAAGGCGGAAGGCTGTTGAGATATCCGTTGCTGAAGGAGAGTGCGGGAGAATGTTGCGGGTACGTGGGGGCCGGAGCCGGAGCCGGAGCGCCTGCTGGTGGAGGGGCTTTTTGTAGAGCGGCGGCAGAATAGGGGACGTATCCACCGGGGAAAGAAGCAGACGGCGAGCGCTCGCGAGAGGCTGAAACACCATTCTCTATGCCTTGGGGCTGTGAAGCCAGTTGCTCAGCGGTTTGAGAAGGCGCGGGAGGAGACGCGGCATGAGATGAAGAGGTCGGAGAGGGCTGTCGAGACGAAGATGGGGGAGTATCGCCGAAGTGGAGTTCGTCGCTGCCGTTGTAGGAGAGGGATGGGGAGTGAGGGCGCGAGGAAGGCCTACTTCCGGGCTGTAATTGCATCGGGTGCGGCGAGTAGCTGCCACTCCGCTCTCGTGTCTGCGACTGGGAGGCTGAGCCACTGGGAGCACCGGGATATGCACTGTAGGACGGCGACCGAGAGCGAGGCGATGAGGGAATACTGTTTCCTCCGGGTAGTAGTGACGTGGGATACAGCGAGTGGCTGCTGCTTCGCTCGCGCATGGTCACAGGCAGTTGTCCGATCCCAAGGCCGCCGGCATTTGCCGTGCTGAAAGAATGCGAATGTCGATATGAGACTGGCGGAGTGGGTTTATCGGACTGCGGGGGAGTGGAGATCTGCAGGTTTCAATGCATGTTAGCGGATGATTGAGGTCGTAATCTGCCATTGACAGTGCCGGAATCGCCGTACCGTAGGTGTAGGAGGTCCGTAGAACCGTGGAGGCGGAGGGTGGTAGCTTTGAGGTCGACCTCCTCTGCTTTGCCCATCCTCGACTGGACGGTATGATTGGAATTGGGAAGACATGCTGTGTTTCTAGAAAATAAATAACTATAGACAAGCCACGCTAATATGAAAATCGGCAATGTTGGCAGGAAGTCTCAGTGAAGAGGAAGGACCGGATGCTTAAATCACTTTCCGCCAGAATCCTGGGCCCCCAAGGATCGCGATATTACCCTTCCAGCTAACGCCCTAGGGAAGAGGCGGTGTTAAAGGTGGAACGCCGGATAATTCAGCCCCCACAGCAGGCCTTTGAAGATGGTGATATAGTGCATCCGCCGGCATTGAACACGACGGCGGTTTGCAGCTCGCGGGCTGATCCATTATCGGGGCTTTGACATGCGTTGGGTGCACGGACCTGTCTCCATCTTTTCTTTGAGTGTTCCGATGGCAGAGAGTCTAGAGAGGGCTTCTGATCATCGATGGTGTCATAGACCGGTAGCATCTTTGTTGATTTGAGGCTGAGCGAGATAAAGTGCGGGTGAGGCTCACCAGCGGCCGAGTGGAGTGGAGCTTCGCCGGAGCTTCCATGGCCATTCTGGCCCCCACTGCTTTCTGCCCAAATTCGCAACACTAAACACCGCTAGTTCGCCAATAACATTGCCTTGCGACGGCATTCACATCTCATAGGAATTTAGCCCTGTCAAGCAGCCATGACTTACGGAGTAGTCACGGTATTACTGCTCAAGGTGACAAGGCCAACCGGGAAGCCACACTGGCTATTCCACGTCTCTCGAATTCAGCTGCTGTTCCTCCATCGTATCGCTAACACTGAGAGCCACCCACAGTTGATGGCCTTATTCCTCATTGATATGGTACCATTGGCGGTTGTCGGGGTTTAGGGTTCAAAATTCGATCAGGGCTGAAAAGCATCAACGAGCATGAGAAAAGGAAAAGTAAACAGCCAAGACGGGTCAGGTGGGCTGAGCATGCGTCTAGACCCGGATAGGCATAGCGTACCTTCCAAGGATTGGAAACTTGGAAAGGCTGTGTTGATGCCATTGCAAATTAAGGAGTAACTACACAGTGTAGACAGCCTTACGGTGTACAAAGAACTACGGATACATACTTCATCCGTTGATTGTTTATATCCTAGGGTTGTCGCTCTAGAGCATATTTCATGTCCGCTATAATGATAATCTAGCATACCGTGTTTACACCTTCGATATGCATCACGGACTGATGGCAGTGGGCAAGGATGAGCGGAGGAGCTCGTATTAATTCGTGATGACATGACAGCATTAACTGGCGTGGTGTACAGCTACGACTTTTCCTTCTCGAATCACTAGCCAGTCATGCGTCCTACCCGGGCTTATTGCACCCTATTTCGGTGTCTTATGAAAATATTCAACTCAGCCTCCGTATAGCTGACGGAGAGGCCTCTTATAACCTTTTACACCGTCATTTGTAATTATCCCACTCAGATTCCCTGCTATACGTGCTGTGGTTAGTTGGTCAAGCTCTAACAGCCCGGTGATGATAGCGCAGTATGAGAATATTATGAGGGAACATATCCCGAGCCGAAAATATATATCTATCCCCGATCGGCCACTTATAGATAGTGCCACTAATTTAACCAGACCATAGCTCAACTAACGCCTGGGATGATGACTTGGAGGCTGGCTATTAAGTGGTCAATAATATGAGATTTAGATAGTCGTTGATACGAAACACGTGTTGTAAACAGGGATGATGAACCATCGCCCAATTCTTGGCACGTTGAAACCTCAGGCATTCACATATCCATCGGAACATTATAAATGTTGAGCACCTCCATCACTGGTTCGGAACCGAGCGACCAAAAGCGCTATTACTGTACAATAGGTACGATCTTTGATGTATCACCCATTTTCCAATCCACTGGCCAGCTAACTGCTTTGCAAGTAGAGTTGACGGACAAACACTCTGCATAATGCGTATATGGCTAGTGCTTATTCTTGTTCACTGCATGCTAATGTTTATGCATATGCATAGGCAGTGTAACCAGTAAATTATACAGTTCAATTGAGTCGGATAAAGACTCAAGGTTACCTAAAACTAAGTCCTAATGAAAAGCCCCAGGAAATTGCAAGACGTGATATCGCTCTACCAGATGCATACATGAGCGCGGTGTTATGAACTCTAAACCTAACCAACAAAAAGCAACTGTAATCATACAGTATGGGTATATATAGGCGCCTATCCTAAGCCCTGGAGGCCTCGGCCAGACCAGCAATTAACGACTCCGAGCGCGTCATCTGGGGCCGCTCAGTCTCATCGCCGTTCGTGTCTAGGCCCTTTGCTACTAGATCTGTGAAATCCACGCCAACCTCGGAAAGAAGACTGGCCTGGTCGTGCACGATGTCGATGCATTTCTGCCAGACGGTGGTGCCGCGCTGAACGCTGCTGAGTTGGCGAGTGAGAAGGGCGTTGAACCCGTCCAGGTGGAATTTGGCCCATTTGATGCAGGCGCTGGTCATGACGGATGGGAAGCATTGTTGGTAAATGCTGATGGTGTTCTTGATCAGAGTGAAGTAAACAAACGAAATCTGGAATATGTAGAGGGGGAGGTCGCCTTCGAAGACACAGGATCTAAGTCGAGTTAGTACCTAATCGCGGCTGGCCGAGATGAAAAACCACATACCGGATTCGCTTCGAAACGACGTCCGTTCGAGCCTTAAGATAGGCTTCCCGCGCTTGGTCCTCGAACCCGAGGCGGGTTAACCATCCGACATTGGTCTTGGTTGCATTCATGAAAGAATGCGTGTCGACCAAAGATCGAGACAGGACCCCGGCCAGTTTGGCAGCTCGCTCGTCGACCTTAACATTGATCACGTCCTGCGCGACCGAATTTCCCTTGAGACCTCGTGCGAGCTTGCGTAGTCGCTCGATATTAGCGACAGCTTCGTCAAATCGCTGCAGTGCAATGTCGATATCGAGCTCGTCCACTTGACCCTCCACCCAACGTAAATTCTGCTGCTTTCCATCCACATCAATGCGTACCTCTGGCGGATCGCCCGAGAAGTCCATAGTATCGAGTGAGTCCGGTTTGACGGCGTAGATCGACTGTCTGGCTCCCAAGTAGTTGTAAGACTCGTTCGATTTGCTGGCTGCTTCAGTTTCCGACCGAAGGGTTCGTCGTAGATCCTCCACGGTCTTTCGGAAGGTAGCTAGAAGCTCACTCTTGGCAGAGCTGTCCCGCTTGTCATGGCGATAAGTAAATGGCTTTGATCCCACGCGAACGTTGACGGCGTTGGTAATGCCACGGTCTTCGGCCTCTTCGCGCGATACTCCAGGCCCAAGATTGGCGCCCAGATCGATCATGTCGACGTCCTGCAGCGGCCAGCACCCCTCGGCGACAAGCTTGGTCGGGATCGGCCCGCGATGATTCGGGTTGCTTTGGTCGACGCGTTTCCGTTTCTTAGCTGCCACCAACAAGTGATCGTTGAGAAGCACAATATGAACGGGTCGCCTCGGCTTCCAGGTCGCCGAGTCCAGCTCGACCCAATGCCCCGTTTCCATCACAATGTGCCGACCGGGAACAACCGGAAGGAATTTCTGAGACCCCTCGACAGTCTTCCACAAGGTCTGTAGCTGTACATTCCACATGCTCTCCAAATTAGCGACGGAGCTTCGATTTGCGTTACGTTTCGGTAGGCGTTCGTCGACAGTCGGCGACATTGGGTTGGGAGCGTTGCCGATGGACGTCTGTCCTAGGGCTGTGGTGAGTTCGGACATCAAGGTCCGGAGAGTGCGCATCTCCCCTTTGAGCTTGTCGGCCTCCTGACTGATTTTGATGAATTGTGTACGGTTCTGATAAACATTCTGTTGCAGGTCGGTAGAGGTTCTGTTTTTCACCTTCCGGAGACTCTTCTGGTACTCTTCAATGTCTTCCTCAGTGGCATTGCTGAGTAGGTTGGCCACGTCTAGAGAATGACACAAGGTCGTCGGTTAGAAACACGGGAACGTGGGTGAAGTGGTCAATTGAGGCAGGAGAAACTCACATCTATCGACAGGCAAGCTGGGATCGCGCAACGCATTCAAGTCTACCTGCGGAGGCCCCGAAGATTCTCCCGACGGTCTTCTACTCTGCTGCTGGGGTGGGCTTAGGCCACCAAACTGGGGCGGGATCTTGGGGAGGCCGGGTACTGGAGGGGCATTGACATCGAAATCCGGGGTTTGATTGAAACGGGTGGAGTAGCGCCGCTTGACTAGGTCAGAGGTCGCATCGTTCTGAGGAGTCCGTTCGCGTGACCGCGAGGAACTTGCGGTCGTTGGTGGCTGGCCGGGATCGGCTGGTTTATGGGAAGGCGGCAGCGGACCGGAGATGGGTTTCGGAGCACTGATCTGGGGGCGAGGGCGACGCGACTTGCTGCGGAGAGTCAAGCCGCGGGATTCCATGATGGGAGAAAAATGGAGGGAGCAGCCTGTCGGAGGGGAAGAAGGGAAGCAGCAAGAAGTCCGGGGGGGAAGAAGAGGAGAGATGATGATGATATGTTCAGTGCCCGAGCGGGACAGAAACACCGAGGCGGCCCAACGATGATCCGGCGCTTCAAAATTATGCGGCAAAAGAGGCTTCACTCGTGATGAGCTTCACCTTCCGCCTGGTTCGTCCATCCTCTTCGCTTTCTCTCGCCTTTCTTTCGTCACCCTTTTTTCTGTACTTTAGTATATCCGGACTTAATTTTATTCACTTTACACTTCTCCCAACTCCATAATGCAGACCTCCACCTTGGTCATCGCCTCCGCCGGCACGGTCTTGACCGGCCTGTTGGGTAAGAACCGAACGAACCGCCACGGCGGCTTCGCGCGTTGAGATCGAACCAGTTGCTAATCTATGATGCCTTCCTACGTAGCCTATGCCGTGTACTTCGATCACAAGAGACAGACCGACCCCGAGTTCCGCAAATCGTTGAAGAAGAACAACCGACGAATGGCGAGAGCCGTGAAGGAAGAGGCGGAGGCCCAGGGCGCGATGGAACGGGAAACCATCAAGCAGGCCGTTCAGCAGGCCAAGGATGAGGGCTTCCCGGCCGACCTGGAAGAGAAGGAGGCTTACTTCATGTCCCAAGTCTCCAAGGGAGAGTCTCTCTGTGCCGAAGGTATGTTTCTGCCGCGATGACGCGACTCTCCCCCAACGCCCCATCTATTTCGTCTATCATCTATCATCAAACCGATTCGTTGGGCAATACACTTACCAATATCTTGATGTAGACAAAATTGAGGCCGCCCTGGCCTTCTACAAGGCCTTGAAGGTGTACCCCCAGCCCAAGGACCTCATCTCGATATATGACAAGACCGTCCCCAAGGAGGTGCTGGAGATCCTGGCCGAGATGGTCGCCATGGACGCCGGTCTGAAGCTCGGCTCGTTCACTGGCGAGGGTGGCAGTGCTGAAAGCCACGGAGTCGAGTAAGAAGTTGCCTTGATCCCGCCAGCGATTATTCGTCTGCGCCTCTGCATAAGATCCTTGGCCGATCCACGTGTTTCTTGTGGTGGTCTTGGGCTTCTTCTAAGACGGACCTATCTCATGTCATACTTCGACCTTCTGCTTTGGTTGTCGCCATGTAACACTCTCATCATCTCCACTATTTCTGTACTCTCTTCCATCTTGGTTGTTTCTCCCCCCTTCGCCCTTGTATATTTGCATTTGTTGTGCCTTGGCCATTGGTGCGGCGGGCCATCTTGGTATTTCTCGGCGCCATGAAAATTTTCCATCTTTCTTGTTCTCTTCCCCCTTTTCTTTTTTTAGCCGGTTGAGGTTGTGCTTTTTGACTGTTGGGGGCTCGGACAGATGTCTTGCCAATTTCTGGGCTCCCAACCCCCGGTGATTTTTCCTTTCTCATTCTCCTTCTTTCCCAAGTTTTGGGCTGTATTCTAAAGATGCTCCATGGTTTTAGGTATTAAGTAGGATTGGCAGGATTATTATTTAGTGAGTGCAGGGTAGGACACACTGCCGACGTGGATCGCGATGTGAATTGAGTATAAAATTATGGCATGAACGCACCCGACTCCACCTAGGTGATATTCAGTACGGAATACTACCAACTAGTAGTTTCCAATTTCGATATCCACGCTGCAGAAAGCCCGAAACCGCGTCCCCTGACTCTTAGACCCGGCGTAAGCGATGGGACCGGCGCTAGAGGGCAAGTTAGACCCTTCGCCAAGGGTCCCTGGCCCAGACAGATGAGACACTGGTGCGGTGGATGCTGCTAGTTGCCAAATGCCCAGCTCTCTAGTCGGCTTGGGATGGTTTAATTAATTCTGGGCAATTGGGGGGCAATCTTGGAACTCGCTTTCTTCATTCTTCTTATTTCTCGTCGCGGCGCTGACACCTCCTTTCTTCCTTCTTTTTCTTTCTTCTCCTCCCGGCTTCCTTTATTCTGACTTCATCTTCTTGCTCTTCTCACACTCGCTACTTCCGTTCTTGACTGTTGGTTTTTATCTGCGTTTTTTGCGCCTGTCGCCGTCACTCTTTTTAGGCTCAACCCACATCTCTTGTTGTTTTTGGCTCTTCCTGTGGAAGATACCGTCCAATCGCTTACCATCACTACGACTATTGTTTATCCATATACGTGATTCATCCGCTTCAAAATGGTTTCGGTGGGTACAGCGCAAGACACAATATCGAATTCTAGCGCACGCATACTGATCGATATGGCCGTAGACTCATGCTCGCCTTTTGGCGGCCGCCTGCGCTCTTGCGACGACCGCCCACGCCGTCACTCCCATCGAGGTTGAGGGCAAGGACTTCGTCAACAGTGACACCGGAGATCGGTTTCAGATTATTGGTGTCGAGTAAGCAGTTCGTCTTGATGGCGCGGATATTCCATCGCGTTACCCGGTCTGGAAAGCGGTAGTACTGATCGTCGCCGATCGTCAACAGTTACCAGCCCGGTGGTTCTTCAGGAATGTCGAAGACCGAAGATCCCTTGAGCGACCCCAAGGCGTGCTTGCGTGATGCCGCTCTCATGCAGAACCTGGGTGTAAGAATGCATCTATGATACAGCTCTCGGCGAACTTTTGTACTCATGCGACTAGGTCAACACCATCCGTATTTATAACCTCTACCCCGGCCTCGACCACGATGAGTGCGTCTCCATCTTCAACGCGGCCGGTATCTACATGATTCTCGACGTCAACTCTCCGTTGTACGGCGGTTCCATCGACCGGACCTCGCCTAAGTCGAGCTACAACGACGTCTACTTCGAGCAGGTCTTCGGTATCATTGAGGCCTTCAAGAACTACCCCAACACCCTCGCCTTCTTCGCTGGTAACGAGGTGATTAACGAGCAGAGTGTCAAGAGCGTTCCCGCTTACATGCGTGTAAGTAGCCCGGTCTCTCTGGACTGTTGTCTACGGTCATGCTGATGGGTTGTTGTTTAGGCCGTCCAACGTGATATGAAGGACTACATTAAGAAGAACGCTAAGCGCACCATCCCTGTCGGCTACTCCGCTGCCGACATTCGTCCCATCCTGTTGGATACCCTGAACTACTTCATGTGCGAGGACTCGGACGAGCCTAGCTCCCACTCTGACTTCTTCGGCTTGAACTCGTACTCGTGGTGCGGCGAGTCCAGCTACAAGAAGAGTGGCTACGATATCCTCACCGAGGACTTCCGCAACGCTTCGCTGCCCGTCTTCTTCTCCGAGTATGGCTGCAACGAGGTCCAGCCCCGTGTCTTCACCGAAGTGCAGGCCCTCTACAGCAAGGAGATGTCGCAGTCTTTCTCCGGTGGTCTGATCTACGAGTACACCCAGGAGGACAACGACTACGGCCTCGTCAAGCTGAACAAGAACGGAACCGCCTCCCTGCTCGTCGACTACGAGAACCTGCAGAAGCAGTACGGCAAGCTCGACATGAAGGCCATCGAGGCTGCCAACAAGACCCAGACCTCCTACAAGGCCCCCAAGTGCGCCTCCAGCCTCATCCAGAACAGCACCTTCCTCGACGACTTCAAGCTGCCCTCCCGCCCCTCCAAGGTCCAGGACATGATTGACGACGGTCTTAAGGACGCCAACACTGGCAAGCTCGTCGACGTCTCTTCCAAGGATGTTCCCCAGACCATCTACGACCACAAGGGTAGCGAGGTTACCGGCCTTCGTCTCTCCGTTCTCAAGGACGGCCAGTCCAACGCGCCCGGCGAGCACACCTCTGGTAGCGCTACCTCCGGCGGCTCCAGCAACTCCGACTCCGATGACGACGACGAGCCCACCTCCAACGGAGCCGGTCAGATCTCCGCGTCGTTCATGAGCCTGTTGACGGGTGCTGCTCTTGTGGCTGGTTTCTTCCTGTAATGATTCAGTCTTAACTTGTATTGACTGATCCATTAGTTTGTTTATTTTAGTTATACATATTCTTGGTCTGCCTTACATATTTTATATTTTTGTTCTTCGGATTCTTTCTGATTTCACTATGGTTGGAATGAATTGATTCCACTCTGTTTATTTGTATAGAAAGGTCTTGTCAGAGAACCTTGCTCGGTGCCTGGCTTTTTGTATTCACTGAGTGTTTACTCCTACATCGAGGTTTATAATTACTTGTACTTCCTATTCGCCTAGTAATTGACGATACTTTCAGAGAGAGCTGTACAGCAGCGTAGATTGACCGAATAGAAAGTGGTCCGAAGAGCTTGAATTGAGATTCGATATATACTTTACTGCCTGTATATCCAACACTTAACTAGCTTCAACACAGTACATACGGCGACAGCGTGTGGAGAACATGGCTGAGCGGACGGGAAGCCCTCTAAACTTGACCCGCTAAGTCTGTTCTACTTAAAACTCTCTACTTCTATATCGCTCTCTTCCGAGCTACGTACAGTGGTTAGATCGCCTACTACCACTTTGTTCGCTTCTCCCAAATCCATCCTAGATGAGACACTACCAAAGAAAAATACCAAATCCCACGTTTCAAGCGTGCGGTATATGTTGACTCTTTTGCCTAGTATAGCAGATTTATAGACAGGTAATACTCTTACTTGGTTGCCAATCACTTGAATTTCCGACCAGGCTTTCGTCGTATCCACTGGCAGGCTGTAGAGAGATGGAAGGCGGTCCTGTTAACGATACTAGGTCTTTGATTTGTAACGTGTCCAATTCAAGCTCACCTGGTTTTGGATGTCATCCTGGGCGGCAGGAGGAAGATATGAAGAAGTCAGTGCCAGTATGATGCGCTAGCATACGTGTAGTGATATGTTATTGTATAAGTTCAGAATCAATAACATTCTAAAGCAGTAATCCTGTATACTCGAGAAGGGGATACCTAGAGGGCAAAGCTTACAAGAGTCAAGATAACTTCTGCTATTTCCCTGGCCTGGTTGATATAAAATTCCACGTATCTCACCAAGCTGAACTACTATTTTATTGTCTAGCCCCAAGGCTTCGGCCCCCGGCTTCAAGCACTAAAATTGATACCGGAGAAACATTTAACACTTCCCAAACGACCGGTTCCACGATAGGTATATGTGTCACCGTTCTGGGTCCACCGCTCAGGGTCAAAAAGAGCATGGGTCTTGTACGAAACTTCGGCACAATCCTGTCGACTGTTCAATGTGAGCAATATGTTCAACGACTGTATGGGCAATGCATCACGTACTATTGAGAGATTTCGCAATTGTCCACCTTTCCAGTAATAGTGAAACTATTGGTCCAGCTACAAAAGGCACATTACTAGAAAACTTAATCACACTTGGCATGAGTGGAGACATTAGAGGCTACTTGGTGAGATGTATTGTACTCATATATACCACGCTCTCGTGCAGGGTATGCAAATTTACTTAAGAAGTTACTGAAAAAATGCTAGGCAGCAGAAAGCGGCGAGAACAGACAACTTCGTATTCACAAGGACTAGATTCGTAATCGTAGAATTAGGATATAATTGATAGGAAGCCGCAGAGAATTGAGTAATTCTATTTGCGAAGCCAAGCTTGAAGTAGGGTGATGAGATATGCAGCCATACCAACACAAGTGAAGCTATATTTACAGGAGGCGGGCAGAACCATAAACTAAGAAAGGAATAGCTTGAAATACAACTCGGTAAATTGCCATTAGCCCTTTGAGGAATCCCGCAACTATCCTTAATACGGTATAAACTAGAATGAAACTAATTAGACATTAAATATTTCGAGCGGAATGCTGTATGCCAAAAGATGCCGGGGCAGAACAGAATCAAGCGACTAGACTCGTGTGACCCGAGTTATCAAATCGCGCAAGCTATTCATTTCATTTAAGTGCAGGAGTGAACCGAGATGTCGCCAGCTTTAGCAGGGCAGGGACGATCAGCCGCAGGTTCTAGCCGGGGAGCTTCAGCCAGCCACATTCTTTTGCTGATCTCAGAGGCTGTTTGGACGAATCATAACAGAGAGAACCTCTATGTGGGGCGGGTGATGAAAGTAAACTACCGATTTACCTTGCATATCTGGAGAATCTAAAGAAAGGCAAGCAGTGCTTAACACAGTAGATAGCGGACGCCTTTGGCGCGGTTTTGCCGCGTTATCCCAGGCCTACGGGAGCCTTCGGTCCACCCGGATGATGGATTCCCAACCTGCCGGGAACTTCCTGGTTCCAATGGCGGCTGTATAGTTGCTGTTCGACAAGCGGATACTGGGGCAAAGAAAGTGGCTATTGCTCCGGCAACGGTATACCAGGTGCCTGTGAGCCAGCAGGCAGTGCCACAACAAATGGTACCTGCGTTCCCCACTGGGGCTTCAGGACATGCACCAATCCATCATTTGGACCGTATGTGTTCTTGATATTTTAACTGATTTATCGTATGGTGTTGCTAATCAATACTCTAGGTGCTGCTCTATCTACGGATACTGGGGGGATGGCAATGATTCCTGTGGAGCTAGTCATTGCTACTCGAGGGAATGTGATGACGATAATGGTGGACAAGTATAAGCGGAGAATCTGGTCTTCCATTCGCAGGAAACAAGACTTGCACTGGAACCCAGTTTGGTAAATGTTGTTCAACCTCGGGATATTGCGGAAGCACTGATGAATACTGCGGCGAGGGCAATTGCTATACTGGTGCATGTGAGTAACTTTCCCACTGGAGTACACGAAAATTTGTCCATAACATAGAGAGACTCATATGTAACCATAAACAACGATGCTCCCATGATATCATGAGTTCGTAGAAGGGGACTGCTTGGAGCTTGGCTTCCTTGAATCGCAAAGACTTCACTGTAGACATAACCACACAGAGCAGTATACTCAAGACAATTTCATGAATAAGTGGATTTGCCTTTTTATCCGCCTTGGTAATTTTCCTATTAATATTATTTGCCTTTTCTTTGATGAATTACAAGCAGCGGCACTTTGAACCAGTCTATTGTGCAGACCCCGAAAGTGGTTAGCCTCAAAGTAATTTGACTCCTATTTAACCCCGGCCGCACTCCATCTTCCTCACTTCCAAGAAACTTCTTGCCCAATATTCCCTACTCTTGCAATGGTTTCACCATTTCGAATTACTCCTGAAAATCCAGTCAGGGAACTAGGCCATCTTGATTATGAACGCTGTGCTGCATTACATAACGAAATTCTACGACACGGATGGATAGGAAGTGGCAAACCTCCGAAAGAGTTTCGAACGTGGTGGGAGGTTTATTCCCCCTCTGCGGATTTTAAAGCAAGGATTAATACGTATTTATCTATGTTCTTAAAGAGAGCACATGTATCGGAACATGGGCCCCATTTTTTCTTCTATTGGATTTCCGACTTAGCACACCCCGAGTCTTTTTTTCAAGAGGACTGTGGGATGGTTGATGATGAGGATTATGAAGATCGCTTGGTTTATTTATATTCGATTCCAAATACCTTAAATGGCCATGAAAAGGGCCTGATGTGGGTTTCTGGTCTTTTTTCTTTTTTTCTTTTTTTCTTTTTTTTGTCTTCCTTTATCCTATTGTGAGCAAATCTGGTGATGCTAACACCGGGCTTGGACAGGTTTGACCAGCAAACGAGTATGGCCTTTTATGTTCCGGAGATTTATGATCTGCCTGGAATGTATACAAATAAGGTCGGATGGCATCCTCTTGAGGTTATTCTTGACGCGTATCTTCAGACCATCGATGAGGGAAAGATCAGCACAGTGGCTCCTCTAAGCGTCGTACAGACCATTCGAGATCATCAGGACGATGCTTATAAATCTAAGTTACCTGAGCCCGACGTCATGAGCCCCTGGTATCTCCATACCTTCACGGAAAGGGACATAGAGAGGGCTATAACTGCCTTCAATCGATTGATTGATGCAATTGAAAGACGACTGCCGAAAACGCATCACCAGAATAAAAGCAATCCTGCCTTCCCGTGGCCCGATGCTACAGCCTTAAAACCAATAGGCAACTTTCCAAGGCCATGCTTTGCTTACGAGTTCTTGAAGTCCATCATCAAGCGACCGGTGAAATTCCGATGTATTGCTCCAGGGATTAATCTACCAGAACCCTCTGACATATCCGAATATCTGAGCCCCAGAGACGCCGAGAGCTTTCTTGAATGGAGATCAAGCATGAAGCCATATGAAATTCCTGTACTACTGTTCCCTGTGGAGGGTGATGACCTGGTCAGATGGCCGCACCATTCCAGTGGCAAAGTACGCGCAGGGCTATACTTGACCCGAGCTGTTCCTAGGAACGAAATTTCTTTCGGAGACGCATGCATTCTGGCGCTTCCGTTTGGAATTGGAGAAAAAGGGTGGGCGCGTCAGAGTAATGGCGTGCCGGTAGCACTTGACTTGGATACTCGCTACGATAAACCCAAAGACTCGCATGTGGACCTTTATCAGAGTTATGGGAATGGGTTCAATGCGCCCCATTGCGTGCAACTCTATAAGGTGCTTGAAAACTGGGCACATAGAGTGGAGAACGGTGATTGGGATGTGGGAGAGAACGGGGTGCTTGGCGGACCTGAAAAGTTTAAGGATGCTGACACCGAAGAACATTGGCAGAAATACTGGATTCCCCCTTCTTGGTGATTCTGGCAGCCATCATCCGAGGTTCCGTATTTCTCCCTTTTAGGTTTTTCATATAACCAGGTATTAGTTGAGAAGGTTTCCCAATGCCAGGATCAAAATTCAAGATTGTTCCTCGCTATATCGGGGGCGATGAAATTTTGGACATAAGAATAGCTGGAACTCAGTTCTTCAGAGTGAGATACAAATCAAGAGCCACGTTTGAGTGACTTGAACCTAAGTTCGGTATCGCTCCAGCTTCTCAGGGAGCGGATATCCCCCAATCCTGAACACGAAATCGAATACTTCTTTCATGAGTCCCATAATGTGCGCCCCCGTCGAAACGCTCGCTCTGATGAGTTCCATCGCCCCATGAAGTCCATTAGAGACCTTTATTCAAGTCAGTCATTCTAGACACTTGGGTGTTCTGATACATAACGGATTTCAAGGCCCTGTAGGCATTTCGGGGCTTCGTACTACTGGCAAGCAACGTTCTCGGGGATCGAACTTTACGTGGCCTGTGATACTGAGATGTGCAACCCTACGTTCTATATGTTGGTTTCTTACACAGAATAGAGCACTACCATTCTTGACAAAGATAAGCCATAGAGGGCAGACATATGCACTGCAAGACAGGGTACATAGCGCCAATCGTACGATTCCTTCTGATAGGAAAGAGGTTGCAACAGCCTACCACGGGATCTCTGATCCGTCAATCACATCAAAGAACTTGCCCGAGGTCTTCTCCCGAGTTGCATGGTCAATCTGTGAGAGTCAGTCGGCCTCCTTTATCCTGTGAGATTGGATAGGAACCACGTACTAAATCCAGAATGGCATCAATACTCTGGCGCTGGGTGTGCGGGGCCTCGGGCAGGCCCATCGTGCGGGCACTCTCGTTGCCGCTCTCCGTTTGCACGAGGCTTTTCCATTTGGTCAACTTATTTTCGTTCAAGTAGTATCTCTATTCGCTTACCCGGGATGCACAGCAAAGGCGATGAAGCCCTGGTTGGCGCTGTGGATGGCACTGCGAGTCCGCCGAAGTCAGCCAACTGCCCTCTCCTCAGGATTACGAGTCAGCCAGCAGTTTCTCACGTAGTAGTCCAGTTCAAAGCGGCCTTGGCAATTCCGTACGCCGGAGCAATATGAGCCTTGTGGACCTCAAGCCGTCCAATGGAACCAGCAGCACTGGAAATTGACACCCACTTGGGTGCCTGGGACTTCTCAAGCAAGGGTTTGACAGCCTGGTACAGAGCCAGAGGACCGAGGGTGTTCACAGTAAACGTATCGGTCACGATCGCAGAGCTCACCACATCCAAGGGCACCATGGCATTCTCGCCAGCTCCGCCTGCATTGGCCACTACCACATCGATGTGGTCGACTCCCGCGAGGTTTGCGATGGCCGCCGCCGGATCGGCTGAGTTGCGGCATTCAATTTCCACTAGATGTAGACGCGAGCCTTCTGCCTTGCGTAGGGCCTCCAACTCCTTGACGTAGCCAGCAGTGGTGTCGCGGACGCTGCCGATGACGGTATGCTTTGGCCGAAGTAGAAAGGTTTCCACCAGCGTGCGTCCGATTCCTAATTCCCGTCAGATCAATCATAATGGACAGTGCTTGCCTCGGCTGGCACCAGTAATGAACACCGCAGTGTCATCGGAAACAGTCATAATGGCTGGAAGTTGAATAGAGGGATACGGTCGGGTGAGAGTCCGTATCTAACTATGTCGCGGTTTGATTGATTGATCTGAAGAATCTAGTTGGAAATGAAATGTGTAGATGGACTTGGTGTACAGCCGTGTATAAATAGATATCGAACTAATACGGGGACGCTGTGCTCTCGAGGTCTCAAACATTAATAATGATTATCTAACGCCCAGCGCTGTTTCTTTGTGTGCTTTGAAATCAGACGCTCGGCGCGGGGAATATAGAATAGAGCCCTATATTTGGGGCTATAAGGGCCTGTGCCAGGGTGGCCTATGGTGTATTCTCGAGCCTATCCCTGGTCCAGAGGCGTTTTTAGTGCTGACAGCTGTCCAGGAGACAAAGAAAAAAGACAGCCTCATCTTATACCTCACCAGTACTAAATATCTGCCTAGCCAGCACCGAGCTTCTCATCCTCCTCTGGAATTTCATTTTCTTCTGCGCCATTGAACATGAGCAACGCAGCCCCTCCCACTGCATGGTCGCTATCCGCAGTGTTGGTCACCAGCGCTGTGGTCTTGGCGCTCGTTCGCGGGCTGTACCTTGTGGTGTACAGGCTCTACCTTAGTCCATTGACCTGATTCCCCGGGCCTAAGCTGGCGGTGCTGCCGAGCTGGTACGAGGCATACTATGACCTGATCAGCAAGGGCCACGGCGGCCAATTTGTTTTCCAGATCAAGCGGCTGCACAAGCGGTACGGCGCCATCGTGCGGGTCGGGCCGAACGAGGTCCACATCGACGATCCGGACTACTATACCGAGGTCTATGGCACGGCGTCGCCCTCCAGGCCCATCGACAAACTAGTGCAGTACAATCACCGGTTCGGCATGACCGAGTCGATCATTAGCATGGTTGAGTTTGAGCACCACCGCATCCGGCGGGCGGCCATCGCTCCTTTGTTCTCGCAGACCGGCATCAGCTTTCTGGATTGCACTCGATTATCCTCCCCGTGAACTTGTGCTGACTTATAATTCCTGTGTCAGCCTTGCAACTATCTCTTGGCTTAGCCTAGAGCCTACCATGAGTACACCATAACCATCCCATGAGGTATGGTGAGTGGCAGATCCCCGCGGGCGCGGCCGTCAGCATGGACGCCTACCACATCCATACCAACCCGAGCATATTCTCTGATCCGCATGAGTTCAAACCGGAGCGGTGGCTTGGGGACCCGATGGACTTCAACGGTAAGGACAGGCTGTTGTGTTATCTGATGTCCTTCGGTTGGGACTCCGGGGTGTGCGTAAGCATGCATCTCGCCATGATGAACAAGTACGTGGCGTTGGCCACGATCTTCCGTCGGCACAAGCTGGAGCTGTTGAAGACCGACCGGAGGGATGTGAGCTTCATCATGGATTTGGTGCGGCCGATGCTGAAGTGGGACTCAGAGGGGGCGAGAGTCACTGTGAAAGAATGACTGCTGGATGGTTCAGGTAGAAGGTATTCATGGAGATAGATCGCCAATGTACAACACGGTACTATCGTCGGCGGACACGTTCGGCCATGAAAACCTTTTTGCACTAGAGCCTGACTTAGGCCATCTATTACCGAACGACCAACGAAGATGGTGCGGGATAAAGGGTTCCCGCTATTGATGCTTACCATATGGAAGAAGCAGCAGAAAAGACTAGGTGTATGTATGCTATAAATGTGCACAAAGGGCTATTCGCTAGAAATCTTGATGGTGGGGCGGATTGAAACACAATATGAATGAATATCAGTATATAATAGTGGCTGTATATGTGTTCATGACAAAGTCGGTGTTGGCTGCCTCAGGCAACAGGGCCCGAGCCGACTAGAGGCAGCAGGCAAGCAATTCCGAATTGCTAGGTAATAAAATGGACAAGCAATGAGACTGGACTTAATACCTTGTGAATGAACAATAGTTAAGTCTGTCCTGGGATAGCTTTTATCATTTATAGAACCCGAGATATCTGAATTCAATATGTAAGACTTTTTTTTACTAGCTGGATATCTTGGGTGATGTAATACGAATCGTCACTAGTCGAGAGATATAAAGAACGGATATATTTCCCTGCCAACCACGACTGGGGCATGATTCTAGTAAGATACTATGATAGGAAACATGCTGACTAGTATATCAGAAAAGAGCCATCCATCCCACCCCGGTCAACCCCAGACAATCGATCCACCCACCGAGCTGCAAGCCAAGCCACATTATGTCATAACTCGCTTTCATGTCACATTGATCTTGATCATGGTCGCATCGAATCTCCGGAACGGGTTCCAGGAAGGTCGACTATGGTGTCATATGTAACACTACGTACCCCGTAAATCCAACTATTGACTGGGGCTGAACCGAGAGATTTACAGGATGTGGAGTCCGGCCAACCAGATTGACTATCACACACTAGATCTTCAAGCCTCACGCGTATTCAAGTGATCGGCCGAGAAGGTGAGGCTACACCGTGTAGGGTTGGTGATATCTTGAAATTGATTTTTAATTTCATGAAAGGTGAAATTTCGCCTACTTTTCTTCTGTCGGAAATTGAGATGCGGGATCTTGTTCCCATTTAAGTAAATATAGTAAGCTTTCTTAGGAAGCAACTACGCAGAAGAGCATTCCTACTTTTAGGACCCATTTAGTTTAAACATAGGTTTATATAGGTACTCTTGGCGATTTCAAACGGTTTTTGAATTTCACGGAAGGAGATTTAACTTCATGAAAAATCGAGTTTCCGAAAAGTCAATTGCGATTCCCAGCCAAGACACAATTAATGATCTAATGATTAGATCAATGAACGAGAGATACCTCAGTAGATATGTGACAAGTAATATAAATAAGTCATTCACCCTCTCGATATCTCATTCATTCATTCGTACATTGGAACACACACTACCATAGCAAGCTCAAACTTTATACTATCTTAACCTTTCTTCCCTGAGCTACATCCGTAGGTTCCTTTCTTACTTTCAATTCTCTCTCAGCCCTCACCATGCTATCTTTGAGCCTCCTCGTCTCCATAACCGCGTATGCTACAGCACTTGCTCTTCCTCAATCCTCCGGTGATCACATTCAAACACTGGGCGACGCCGCTGCGCAATGTGGCAATCACAAACAGATCTCGTGCTGCAATAAAGGCAACTCCGCCGGGACCTTGCTAGATGGTCTCCTCGGTGGGAATTGCACCCCTCTTGACCTTTCGGTTCTAGGTATCTGCCTACCCACCTACATCCGTACTTAACATTCTGACCACTCTTCATGACTGACCTCCAAATCACTCACTCAGCTATTGATGTTCCTATCTCCTCGGCATGTAGTAACCAGGTTGCTTGCTGTATTGGTGATCGGAATGTATGTGTCTCTCCCTCCCTTCGGTGTTTTAGTGCCTGTGTCTGTGACTACTGGGTATTAATGGGGGATTAATTGTTGGTAAATACTAAATCTCTCTACTTAGGGCCTGTTGAACCTTGCATGTACCAACTTGAATCTCTAGGTTGATGCTACCAAAGGGCAGAGCGCGGCTGGTCATGAGTGGGTCGAACTGTGGCTTAACTCCACATGCACATATAACTCATATATCTGTGAATAATCATTGATCAATCGAGTAATACGTAACATGCCTGAATTTCCTTTCTACTCGCATTGTGTTTTGGAACTCTACATTCCGCGATCTTGAATTGAAATAGCGACCTTGTTTCGCATCAAGATTGTATAGAATAAATATGCTGTGACACGGATTTGCCTTGTTGTACTGTACTACACACCTCAAATGATGACTGTCTTGGCCGTACAGTAGATGTAGATGAGTATTCTGCCTATTTGCCTACTTGATTAGTCCCCTTCCAAGTTGACCAAAGTGTTTCCTATGTAACATTCTATGAGAGGACGGGTACTAGCTATAAAGAGAAGTAAGCGGTGATGTTGTTATAATCAAAGAGAGGTTATCTCATCCTATCTAGTGCAAGTAAAATCACTTGGTTCTACTAATGTGGTTTACGATAGGGCTGTGAGATGGATAAAGTTGGAGATTTTTTGGATGTTTTGTCGTTGATTCCTCTTTAGTAATGTGATGATCCATTCATTGTATAGGCATCGTGTGATCTTGAATAAATAGGTATGGTTCTGGAAATTTCGTTTATTTTGTATAGAGAGGAGAGTTTGTGGCCAGTCCTGAGCACTGAGGAGAGAGACTACCTTCATACCAGCTACGCATCAACGGGCACCAACACCGCCCGATAATACACCTCACCTCTGGCCAGCTTGCCCATAGCCTGATTGATACCCTCTTCGGTCATCGGAAACTTCTCCACAATCGGCTTCACCTGATGTAAGGCGGCGAATTCCAGCATCTTGCGGTGCTGGTTCCGCGACGCGACGAGGGACCCTTTGACGGCGATTCCTTTCAGGATCAATGCTATGTATGGGACCTCAAAGTTGCCTTGCGTGACAGAAAGCGGGTAGACGGTGGACTGGGGTGCCATGATAGGGAGAATCAGGTCCCATCGAGGGGGCACTGAAGCGGTGACGAGAAGTCTGTTTAAGGGAGAGGAGACCTGCAACTGGGTGGCGTCTTTCATGGCGACGAATTCGTGCGCGCCGAGATTCATTGCTTCGTCGCGCTTGTTCTCCGAGTTGGAGAGAACGACCACGCGACAGCCCATTTTGGACGCGAACTGGATGGCGAGATGCCCGAGGCCGCCAACTCCGAGGATCCCCACGGTGTCGCCGGGGCGGATGTTTTCGAGCGCGGCGAAGGTGGTCGCGCCGGCGCACTGCAGCGGTGCGGCTTCTGCGTCGCTGAGCCCGTCAGGGATCTTATGAAGGAAAGCCTCGCGCCAGATGGCGTGCGAGGCGAAACTTCCTTGGTCGTGGTTGGCCATGCCGTATAGACTGCGCTGGGGACAGAATTGCTCGGTTCCCTGGACACAGTGCATGCAGTGACTGCAGCTGTCGACTTCATAACCCCAGCCGACCCGATCACCTGTCTTCAAGGATTGACAGGCAGGCCCGACAGCCTCTACGATCCCGACACCCTCGTGGCCTAGGACCATAGGGGACGCTCTCTGGTACCAGTTAGTGGTTTTCGGGGATTGGCCCCCGTTCGTGATACTGCATTGCGACTTACATAGCGTAGGTCTGTAGAGGTCGATTAGCAAACAGTTCTTTGAGGAGAAGAATTTGTTTGAAATTACCAGTGCCACACACCCCAGATGCAGTTACCCTCAATAGGACATTGTCACCAGCGAGCTCATCTGGCTTTGTGGTGGTGCTCTTCACAGCGATACCGTCGCTTTGACCCCTGAACACGGTGATAGTAGGCATGTTACAGACTGAAGCGGTCGATTGACTGTTGGCCAGAATGGATACACTTTCCCGCGGACTCGAGGGAGTAATTATAGACTCGGCCAGATGTTGATAATGTTCCCTTTTCCTAGATAATTGGATTCGTGCAACATGCTAAATCGGAGTGCCGGAGCGACTTTGAGATGCGAAGACGAGAACTCCGAGATGTGTACTACCCTTGTACCATCTGTAGGTTAGACCTGACGAGAGGACTTGTCAGAGCCCAGGAATCCAGACCTGATTCGTTATTGAACTGAGGTAATTGTCGGAACTACTGAAGCTAGTTCATCGGGGTCCTGGATGATGGATGAGACTGACCTAACCACGGAGCTCCAACAAGGCTGAGTACCATAGCTGTTGATGAAAGGATTATTTTGCTAAAGATAGATTGAACGACACAAGCTGATATAATGGTGTCTTGTGATCGCATTGATGATCTGTCAATGGTTGATATGGCAAAGCGCAATGCTAACAGCACTAGATAACAGATGCATGGTACACGATTCATGCCACGCTTACTCTTTGAGCTTTTGAGTAAAAGCGCTCACGAAGTGACAAATAAAAGCAAGAGCTGAGACAGTCTATGTCACGGGGTCTGTGCGATCTCAGCCTCGGAGGCCACGGATTGAAAATCCTGCAAGGCATTAGACAGGATCGAAAGAGCTGTAGCATGGACTTCCTTGACGGGTACCAGAATAGCAAAATAGCATTCAGCCCCTGACAAGGATGTTCCTGGCTACTAGAGCCAAAGTTACACGACGGATGACATACACTGCTGTCTCATCAGCCCAGTTGGTATTTCACCTATACGATGGCATCCGACCCACCCCCGGTGGGCGAGTCCAACAGCGTCGCATGATGAGTTAAGTATCATCTCAGTAGCTCAGCCTCCTGACTAAGCCTGGGCTGATGCTCACCGAATTGGCGCAGGCCGAAGCGATAAAAGTCACAACCGATTCGCTCTTACCTCCAAAGGGCCGACATGACTCCGGGAATCCGAGATCTAAGGCACCTGTGTCAGAGGCTCTGCCACAAATCTGCCCATTCGGCATCGGGATATTTTGGCAAGATTGAATTAAAGCTCAGGTAGAACTCTGTATCTTCTGTACTTTGTCGGCGCTGAAATACCTCTGTTCACCTTGCTATCATGACGGGAGTCATCGAAATGATGTACAAGACTACCTTGCTTGGCGTATTGGCCTCCTTTGCCCATGCTAGCCCACTTTTCGGTTCTTCGTTCGGGGTCCCTGGAGTCAACGCAACCTACGATTATGTTGTGGTAGGTGGTGGAATGGCTGGTCTAACCCTTGCTACAAGGTTAGTCCAGCAGTCTGCAGGTACAGTGGCCGTGATTGAGGCGGGGTCCTTCTACGAGATTAGCAATGGGAATCTCAGTCAAGTGCCAGCATACACAGGGGCATACTCCAGCAGAGAACTGAATGACTGGCATCCCTTGATAGATTGGGGATATAAGACGACACCACAGGCTGTGAGTGAACCCGAACAGTGAAACCCGGGTGACAACACATTAATTGTACCTCAGGGCGCATACAATCTCTCGATTCATTATGCCCGGGGAAAGACTCTGGGCGGGAGTTCCGCTCGAAATTCAATGGTTTACCAACGCGGGACGGTGGGAACACACGACCGATGGGCTGATATGGTGGGGGATGATAGCTATCGATGGGACAATTTCCTGCCGTATTTCAAGAAGAGCGTGAAGTTCAGCGAGCCTAACATGGATCTGCGGTTTCCTAACTCCACGCCAGTTTTTGATGCCACAGCAGCGGGCCGGGATGGCCCACTCTCGGTTACATACCCCAACTATGCACAGGCATTCACCACTTGGAGTATCAAGGCTTTCGCAGAGGCCGGGATCCCAGAAATCCGGGGCTTCCTGAGTGGAGAAGTGATTGGGCATATGTATGGGACATTCACTTTGAACGCCGACACGATGACCCGGGATTCTTCTGAAACGTCATTCCTTCGAGAGGGGCTCAAAAACCCGAAACTCGTGGTTTACCCAATGGCGATGGCTAAGCGGATACTGTTTGACAAAGAAAAGACAGCCTCTGGTGTGCTTGTTGAAGTTCAAGGTCTTAAATATGCGTTGTCGGCTCGAAAAGAAGTCATTCTGTGCGCAGGAGCGTTTGGATCGCCTCAACTCCTGATGGTTTCTGGTATTGGACCGGCGGACGTCTTGAAATCTTTAGACATCCCAATAATCGCTGACCGACCGGGGGTGGGGCAAGGAATGCAGGACCATGTTGTCTATGACCTTGGATACCAAGTAAACGTTGAGACTATGTCCTCATTAACAAACCCTGCTTTTGCGGCGAAGCAAGCTCTTTTGTTTACCAAGCGCGCTGCAGGTATGCTAACCGGGTCAAACACCGAGGGCCTGGCGTTTGAGAAGATCCCGCCGTCTCTCCGAGCAGGCTGGAGCAACGAAACACACGACAGGTTGAAAGCCTACCCGGACGACTGGCCGGAAGTGGAATATATCACGGTGCCTCTACCAGCAGGAGAGGTGAAAGCCGATGCAGGTGCCAACTACGCTGCCCTGGCTGTTGTCCTAGTTGCTCCCGAGTCTCGAGGAACGGTGACAATATCTTCCACCGACACCAACGTGGCCCCAGTAATCGATCCGAACTATTTTGCTGAACCCTCCGACGTGGACATTTTGGTTGCTGGCTTCAAGCGTGTTCGGCAATTCTTCGACACAAAGGCAATGAGAACCATCGTCATTGGCGACGAACAAATTCCCGGGAAACAGGTATCGACAGACGCACAAATCGCAAAGTTCATTAAGCAGAGTTTTAATACCATCTGGCATGCGTCGTGTACCTGCTCCATGGGCAAAGTGACTGACCCGATGGCCGTAGTAGACGCACAGGGCCGGGTGATCGGCGTCCATGGGTTGCGTGTGGCGGACAGCTCGTCGTTCCCTTTGCTCCCACCGGGGCATCCTATGTCAACCGTCTGTGAGTGTGATGTTTTAAGAGGCGAAATTCGATGAAGCGCTAACACTGCTCTAGATGCACTTGCTGAGAAAATTGCTTGTGATATCTCCGGTAATTGCTAAAGGTGAGATTCGCTTGCTGTTGGGTAACCTGTAATTAGCATTGTCAACCATTAAAAGGAAATGATCACTGGACCGGGAGAGGATGGAGCGGATTGAGATAGACGAGTTCGCGATTTCCAATGGAGGCCAGAAGACAAATTCACGACCGGGCCCGAGGGAAACGAGCTTCTGCTAGGCAACGTTGAACACGTTTGTTATAAGATATAATATAGATGAATGCACTAATATGACAAATTGCAGAGTAGCCGAGATGTATTAGAAACACAAATGTATCAAGCATAAGAAACAAAGTAAGATGAAATGTCAAAACGAAAAACGAAAAAGGTTACAAAGCTCGAGCCTTGCCCTTGCCCTTGCCCTTATCTGGAGAGCTAGACAAAGGAAGGGATGGAAAGTCCTCCTGCTCCTGTGGCTGTTCCTCTGCGAGACTCAACTGAATGGCGAATTCAAGATCAGTGAGTTCTTGCTCACGGCTGCTACCGCCCACCCCAAGCTCATGGGGCGGTGAAGGATATTGGTCAACGTGGGGCTGACTTTGCCAGTCCCTAGATGATGAGTTCGTGGTGAAAGGGTCAGATTCGAAGTGTTTCGGCCCCTCATCAAGCAAACTGAGTCGAATAGCCTCGGCGATGTCGGGAGGCAGATCGTCACCAACAGGGTCTTCGTACGGGGATGAGGAAGATGAAAGTTCATCCGGGGCGAAGGAGCTATCGCGCCGGCCAATGGTGTCACTAGAGGAGGATGAACTGACGATAGAGCTAGCGGCCATATCGCCGCGCTTGAGGGCCTCGCTGGCAAATGCCTCCTCGCTCAGGAGCTGAGCGTATGCGATAACTTGGTCCTCGCTGACATCTGGACCCAAGAGATCAATACCAAACCGATTGCTCAGGTGTGTTTTCTCCTTTCGGTCTTCTATCTCCTGTCGTCGCATCTCGACTTTCTCGTCTTCGATGTGGTCGTAAATTGCTCCACGACCACTGGTGTTGAATCGCTGACCCTCGGGGGTCGAGTTTACACCCTTGGGACCACGACGCAGGCGACGCTTGCCCGACTTATACTGGTCGGCAGCAGACGAGCTGTACGACCAGTATCGCAAATGGGTCCCGAGAGCGACCATTCCACGAAGAACAGTCGGGTCTGGATCTAGACAAATGGCCCCGGTAGCGTAGAAATTGTTCCCAACGCCTTGGATGGAAGCTTCCGCCTGGATCAAACGACGACGAGCACGGGAGGAAAAGCGAGAATTGATGGTGCGAATGGGCCGCGTGGACGAGGCTAGTGGATCCCAGGCCTGTACGAGTCCGTCATTTCCGCCGTGGACCAGGTAGAGAGAAGACAGCGCAACGCAGGATACTTGAGGCGACTCGGTCTGGATTATGCGTACCGGATTGACGGAGTTTATGACTTCGGAGTTCTTGGCTGTCGGTGATCGGAGGTCCCAAACCATCACAAGCCCAGTGTTGGTGCCAACAGCCATGTATCGACCGCGTTGTCCAGGGATCTCCAGATGCGAAGATGGTTGCTTCATGTGCGGAAGCGGGGAGGACATAGTTGAAGAGCCTGTCGAACTACCAGACATCCCAAGAAGAGGGTCTTCCTCGGCCGTAACCAAGGCATAGGTTGACAGATCCAAAGCACTGGTCGTAACCTGGACAGACTTTCGATCACCAAAAACAAATTCAGTGATGCGCCACTCGGTGTTTGAGGCCGAAAAGACTGGTTCGTTGAGACGACCAGACGCTCTCGACGGCGGGAAGCTTTCAGATTTCTCAGAAAGAGTAGGGGTGGCAGGCCCACCGAAAAGAGACGAGGTAGCAAAGCCAACACCACCTTGAGGGTGGTTATCCGCAAGGTGTGGTGGCAAAGCCGACTTCGAAGCTTTGCGCATGTACCTTCGTATCGATGCTTTCTCCTGCTCCCCGATACCTCGGGTGATGACGGTGATTGACTCGCCGGCGCCGTGGCTATCGTCGCCGGCAAAATCGAAAACAAGGTCGCGTCTCATGTCCCACCCTTCGCAGACTTTCCGGAAATGCTTCGGCTTGAACGACAAAAATTGTTCAATTTCTCGTGTCTCAGCCGCAATTTGGTCCTCACTCAATTTCATTGTATCGCAGGAAGATCGAGGGCTGTAGCTGCCATCAACAGGCTCCCGACTGTAAGGGTCTGGCTTTGCAGTTCGTCTACTGAGTTCGACTAGCTCCCATCTAACACTTCTCCCGGTCTTCCAAGCCAGCATGTTCATCTCCTCGGGGCTCGGCTTAACCGACGGAGCTTCAGGCTGCCGTGGCAAATCCGAGAGATAATACACCTCGCCCAAGGCGTTTAGTACGGTAGCCCAAATGCGACGACGCGCATTACGTCGAGGAGAGTAATTGTCATCGACAGCGATAGCAATGATGGGCACACCGGGGCACAGAGCCCACTTAGCAGTGACCTGGCCTCTCTCGAAACGTTTTTCATACGTAGGATGGGGACCCAGTGAAAAGGCCGAAAGAACACCAGACGATGTACCGGACAGCATTCCCACCAACCCGCCGGTCATTTTAAGAACATGGGAAGACTTGGCAATCCAGACGGCTGTGACACCTGTGGTAATCATGTTCAGGGCGGGGATACCCAATCGTGGCTGCGAGATGGTTTCCGTGAGATCCAGAAATCGCCCACGCAGCTCAGTGGTCGAAATAAAATAACTGCGACCCTGAGGACATCCCTCGCCGTAAATCATGCCGTACGGCTGACTAACATCCATCTGGTTTGGCAGACCGACTATGTTCCCAGGACCCAGCCCATACTCGGCATCACCGGGATACAAATCGGCAAAGTGTCGGAAAAGCTGATGGTCGGAGAGACCCCACGTGCCAACTTTCACATTGGACGGGTCACTGGCCGATGCGATGCCCTGTTCCGAAGCTCCATGGATAAACAGAGGCTCCTTCTTGGCAACCTCGGTCCCAAATGCCCCATGTAAATGGCTCACAGGGTACAAAAGCTGCGAGGTGTAGGTTGCGACCGCACTCCCATTGCGCACGTTCGCTGCGCGAACAGTTCCATGTTTCTTTGAAGGTTCGAACGAAGCTGGCTTGCCTCTGGAAAGGGATCGAATAAGACGGGTTCTGAGAATGTATTCGGATCGCCAGGACGCCAAGGCAGTCAATCTAGAGAAGAAGCGCTTATCGGACGCCAAGTTCTCCGGTTGATCATATCCAGTGAGCCGAGTGTCATTCTCGGTGGTGTAGGGACCAGGGAAGAAACGGGAGAATGCGATCCGCCAGGCATGAGGGGTTGTAACCAGGCTGTGGAATCGTCGTGACACCAATGCGATCGAAGACAATGATGGAGGGGGAAGATGCGAAAGGATGTGAGTCAAGACCTCTATAAGTCCATGCCGTCAGATGATTGGTTATTCTTAGAGACTGATAAGACCGACGAGTTCACATACCGTTCGGGAATACGTCCAGAGACAGGCTCGAGGGATCTGACGAAGGCATCACTTGAAATGCAAGATCGCCTTGCTTCCTGGCCGATTGACCCATTGCATTTGCATACTGACTTACTTTATCACCGGGTGGCGTTGACAAACCGGGAGGAACCGGATTCAGGGGCGATTGATCCCCGCCCGTCGTTGACTCATGGACGGTTTCAGGGCCTCCTGTCTCACGGTGAAGACCGGAGCTTGAGTGTTCGACACACAGATCATGTCCATGCTGGGTATTCGAGTGCGACTCGTTGGAGGAAGGGTCTGGTTGCGTCCGGTCAAACACTGTAGCGGGCTCTGGTTGCATAAAAAGGTTTCGCGGGGTAATGGGGATCAATGTAGGCGACTGAACCAGGATGAGGGTCTGGATCAGTCGAAGTGTCGAGAAAGAAGCCGGAAAGGGCGAAGACGAGAAGTAAAATAGCGCTCGAGGGGACGAGAAACGATGAGAGGGAGAAGGAGGGAGTAGGGAGGGGTTGCAGAAGAGGAAGACGCAGAAGGAAGAGAGGAAGAAGAGGCGTGAGTCAAAAGGCGATTGGAGAGCGACCTTGCCACCAATCACGTCTCGTCAGTCGGGCGCGTGTCAGTCACGTGAGAACGCGCCGCAGAAGAACCCGATTGGGAAGAGGCCGTGGCCTCGTTCCTCCCATCTGTCGAATGAATAGTATATGTGCCAAAGTCTGATGGACAGTGATGAACACGAAGTTATTTTTGAGACCGCAGCAGTATAAGATTTTTCTGAAAGTCTTGTTCTGCCTGTTTCAGGCAGCACTCGCCCTCTGAGGGCCCGCGCAGCTTAAATTGACCCATCAAATTCGCCATTTACTACACCTACATCATCTTCGACCTCCGTATCGGACAATACCAAAATGCCTGATCTAGGAGGTGAGTTGAAGCCCTGTCTTCTCTCTAGCCACGATGCATCCCTGCTAACAAGTCCAGACGCGGAAACCATCCGCATCCTCGTCTCAACCGACAACCATGTCGGCTACAATGAACGTGATCCCATCCGAGGCGATGACAGCTGGAAGAGTTTCCACGAGGTGATGTGCCTGGCAAAAGAAAAAGATGTGGACATGGTGCTCTTGGCTGGCGACCTCTTCCATGAGAACAAGCCGTCTCGAAAATCCATGTATCAGGTGATGCGTTCGATTCGGATGAACTGTCTGGGAGACAAGCCGTGTGAGATTGAAATGCTCAGCGACGCGAGTGAAAACTTCCAAGGGGCCTTCAACCACGTCAACTATGAGGATCTGGATATCAACGTGGCGATTCCGATCTTCTCCATCCACGGCAACCACGACGACCCATCCGGCGAAGGTCATCTAGCGGCCTTGGATTTGCTGCAGGTTTCGGGGCTGCTGAACTACTACGGGCGGACTCCGGAGTCAGATAACATCCACATCAAGCCGGTCTTACTTCAAAAAGGGCGCACCAAACTCGCGTTGTACGGTATGAGTAATGTTCGTGACGAGCGATTATTCCGCACGTTTCGCGATGGCAAAGTCAAATTCTACCAGCCGTCGATCCAAAAGGAGGACTGGTTCAACTTGATATCCGTCCATCAGAACCACCACGCATACACCGAGACAGGTTACCTGCCGGAGAACTTTTTGCCTGAATTCCTAGATCTGGTTATCTGGGGACACGAACACGAATGCCTGATCAACCCCCGACTGAACCCCGAAACAAAATTTCACGTCATGCAGCCCGGTTCCTCGGTCGCAACATCTCTCGTCCCTGGTGAAGCAGTGGCGAAACACGTCGCCATCCTCAGTGTTACGGGACGCGAGTTCAAATGCGAGCCAATCCGCCTGAAATCCGTGCGGCCGTTCGCCATGAGGGAGATCATTCTCTCCCAAGAAAAAGGGGCGCAGAAGCTAGCGCGCAAGGAGAATAACCGCACAGAAGTGACCCGATTCTTGATGGGAATCGTGGAGGAGCTCATCGAAGAAGCGAAAGCGGAATGGCTAGAGACACAAGACGACAACGAAGCAGACGAGGAAGAAGAGGTCCCGCTACCACTCGTACGACTGCGTGTCGAGATCTCAACGCCTGAAGGGGGTAGTTATGACTGCGAAAATCCACAACGATTTTCCAACCGGTTCGTCGGCAAGGTCGCCAATGTCAACGACGTGGTCCAGTTCTACCGAAAGAAGAAAAACACTACCGCTCGCAAGAAGGACGATGAGATCGATGAAGCCGCCGTTTCACACCTTGCCACCCTGGACACCGTCAAGGTTGAACAGCTAGTACGCGACTTCCTTTCCGCCCAGTCTTTGAGTATCCTCCCACAGAATTCCTTCGGAGACGCGGTGGCCCAATTCATCGATAAGGACGACAAACATGCGATGGAAATGTTCGTCAACGAGTCGTTGGACAGCCAGATGAAACATCTCATGTCACTGGACCGCGACTACGAGGACATGGACGAAGTGGCCACCGAAAGCTCGCTCCAAAAAGCCATGGAAAAATACCGTACCCAAATGGAAGACATGTTTTCACGGGGCGTCAAGAAACGCACTCGCGGCAAGAAGCGCTTCAAGCCTAAGCCAGACAAATGGGACAGTGATCTCGACGGCCCCTGGGAAGACGAACCGGGGGCGCTGATCCACTCCGACAACGAGGGCGGAGATCCCAACGCGGAGGAAGCAGGGGCAGACGGCACCACCGAACCACCTACCGGTCGGACATCGGCACGAGGCCGAGGTCGAGGTGGTAGGGCCGCAGCATCCACTACCACCAGTACTCGCAAAGCGGCCACGAGCACCAGGACCGCAGCAGCAACCACGAAGAAAGCCGCGCCCGCCAAAACCAACAAATCTCGAGGCCGACGAGCCGTCTCAGACGACGAAGACGAAGAAGACGACGATGTCATCATGCTAGACGACGACGATGACGACGAGGCAGACGCAGCCCAGGTCCTGTCTGACGATGAAGAAGACGACGATGACTCGCAGTCCTTGTTCGTGAAACAGCCACCTACCAAGACTCGATCCAGGGCCTCCGCCGCGCCTGCAAAGACCACCACCAGCCAACGTCGTGGCCGCACTGCGCCCTCCCCTGCGCCGTCCTCGAACACATTGGGAGGCACCGTCCCCGCGCCTCGCCGAGGTGCTGCGTCCGCACGAGGCCGGCAAACTCAGACGACACTGAGTTTCACCGGCTCTCAGGCCAATGCCCGTGGTACTACCGCTAGTCCGTCGAAACGACCGACTCGCGCAACTCGACACAGGGATGTCAGCGTGGTGAGTGAGGATATCGACGATGATAGTGACGATGCTTTTGAACCTATGCCTAGCTCGAGTAGACGTCGGTAGGTCGCTGTTGTTTCAGCGGCAAGGAATCCGTCGTGGAAAACTTGGGTAGGTTATGATATCGTGGTCAGACTGTTTTTAAGTTGCATTTTTGGCGTTACATCTAATCCCAAGGAAATTTCTCTTGCTCTTTTAGCGTGGAATATAAAATCTCTCGACTTTCGTACTTCTGACTGGATTAGTCTTCCATCAAGTTACACATTGCATGACTGTGCAAAAATATACACAATCCAGCGCCCGCAACAACATAAACAAAATATACAACAACCAAGAACCCATCCTTCCCTACAACTTCCCCCGATTCAAAAACCTCACAGGCAAATCCACCCACCTAGCCCTCAAATACTCCGCCACATTCTTCCCCAAAAAGTCCACCGTCGTGGTGATCCCGACGCCTCGATCCAGCAAATTCCGGAACAGGAAATGCACCGCTTGCAAATTCGGCAGCTCGAATCGGTCTATCTCTAGCTGCGGATTCGCGTTATATTCATCCCCTAGAAGCTCTCGGACCTTGGACGTTGTCAATAATGTCCGTAGCCAGAGGTATTCGTCGCTGTGGCGGACCCAGAATCCGCAGTTCGCGTCGGGGCCCTTGTCGCCTGACCGCGCGTGGACGATCCATCCTAATGGTCTTCGCGTAGTAGGGCCGAAGTCGAGCGATCGGGTGGCTGGGAGAGAGGTTATGGGCTGGGAGGGTTGGCGAGGTGGGTATTCTTTCGTTAATGGGGGTGGAGGGATGTCGAGGATTTGGTTGCTCCAGGGGAGATGGACTCGGTGCTTCACGTCGGTCTGGGGGAGCAGGCTGACGTAGTATTCGTATACGGGCTTTGGGAAGCCCTGGCGGAGGTCAAGGTGGAATGTAGCTCCCGGGTACCCCTGCATGATGTTGTCGGTGATGCGTCGGAGGAAGTTGTGAGGAGCGATGTCCTCGGCATCGCGGGCCTGCACGACAACGCGGAAGGTGACCGTGGCGCTGTTTTGGGATCCAGGGTCGTCTGGGACCGAACCGAGTGTGGAGAATTTCAGCTCTGTGAACTTGGACGATTGTGGAGCGAGAAGACGGCGGATTTGGTCTTCCAGCATACGAGCCTTCTCGTCGATGTCTAGCCCGACCAGGTACCATGAGACCTCGGCCTGGAATCCCCCACGAGCGGTGATCCCGACTTTGGTGGTAGGAGGAGGGGGTGCAGATCGAACTCCGCGCAAAGCAACGCGGTTGGTGCCTATTTGTTCGAATTGCAGGTCGGTCAGAATGGCTGTGACGTCCGAGTTGTAGTACCAGGGACCTTGGATCTCATAAAGCAGCTGGGACGAACAAGTATCGACCGTCACGGCACCTCCTGTGGCGTAGGACTGCATGGTGATCACCACTTTGCCGTCCGAGGAGATCTCAGCAATCGGGTATCCAATGTTGGACCATCCATCCTTGCCTAGTTTCTCCAGGGGTTTGAAGCCGGTGAAATTGCCTCCGCAGACGTAGTTGCTACATTCGATGAGATGGCCCGCCACAAACGCATTGGCTAGTTGGTCTAGATCACTGCGTTGCCAGCCATGGAACCACGCCGCAGCCCCAATTACGGGCGATGCGTCCGACACGCGTCCACAGAGAACAATATCGGCGCCCTGAGCTAGCGCCGCGGCGACCCCTAGGCCACCCAGATAGCATTGTGCAAATATGGGGTCGAAGTTCCAGTCGGAAAGCGTTTCTCCGGTATATACGTTCTTGAACGTTGATTTGCCAGAAGCCAAGGCGGATTTCACAGTCGCAAGAACTTCATCACCGGATACCCAAGCCACCTGTTATATGTCAGCGTGGAGTAGGCACTCTTCGATCATAGTGAGATTATGCACCTTTAAACTTAGACCTTTAGCTTTCACCATCTGCGTGACCGCTCGGTAAAGGCCCTCGGTGTCGGTATTTCCCGCATTGACCGCCACTTTGATAGCATGCTTGGCCAGATCCTCGAGAGCCAGCTGTAAGGCCAAGAGAAACGAAGACTCGTATCCCGGCAATCCAGGCTGCCCTGAATTTGATGTGCTTGTATGTTGCTGGTCCTGATCCACCCGCCGAGCCGCTGCCGTGACCATGTTGGCTTCGCTCATGAAGTCGGCAATGATGACATCGATCGGGTCTTGGGGGTGATTTCGAGCGAATTCGGCGATGGCATGGCGGCGGTCTGAGGCGGAGCCTGAAGCACCTGCAATAGAAGGTATTTGTCTGAGTTGTTCGGGTTCGCAAGCCAAGGGAAGCCATGGGGAAGGTCTTACCTGCGATCCGGATGGGACGAGAAGTCATTGCTTGTGTGGGAATAACATCAATTGAGTAGGTACTCTGAAAGGTGTAATGGATAAAGGGGAAAAACGTTGGGGACGAATGTAATATATCATCCTTTGTCCTAATGCCGGCCGCGGATCTGCAGAAGCACGCGTACTATTGGAACGCTATTTGGCCCATTATTCGGAACCCGAGGAGCTGGTCGGTTCTCGGTCGGGGGATGCGGGGTTGACAATCCACGATATGGGAAATGGTAGACTAGTCGTACAATCTAAATCATTTGATGTAACATGCTCCAATCCGACATAACGATGAGGACTAGGTTTGAAGTGTAGAGAAGATGGCCGCCTATCCCTATGATGTCATCACATGCCTATCGATAAGGAATGTCGACCTCGGCCATCCTACAGGAACGTTCTTGGTTTAGAACTTGCATAATTGAACAGCTTCCGTTTGATGCCTATGTTTAATAGTCATAGTTCAATGTCAGGCTGGTCAGGCAAAAGCAAGGACGTGTCAACATTGTCTCAAATTGCTCTAGTATAACTGAAAGGGGTTTGCTTCAGAAGATATAGATTGAGACCCTAAATTGGCACAACTAGACTTTCTATCGAAGTAACCCGGGGTGGTTAAGGACCCCAATTGAGTCAACAGAAATAGGGATTCGAAGTCAACTGTGAATGTCCAGTTTAGCTTTCCCTTACACCAGTCTACGAAATTATAAACCTATTGCAGCCCTATTCTACTATAAAGTTCACCATAATTCTACCACCTATCAACTTCGGTACTTATTTCACTGCCTTCGTAGTACACTGTCTCCGTAAGTAGTCTCCCACTGGCCCAGACCTCAAAGTGAATTTGACGATTGTTTCGACATCCAGGAAGTCCAGTCCTTCTGTGGGTCTGCAGTCTGGGACTAGACATTGCCCAAATAGAAAAATCTAGGTAAGGACCGTCTAGAAGGTCACTACCTACGGCTCTCAGGAAAGGGAGTCACTGTTCTCCCTACCTATTTCCAATCTTATACGCGTCCCCAGACACGTCTACTATTTGATGCACGAACTAGAAGAACGGTTGCGCGAAACCATGAGTCAAAGAACGATAGTATATCAACGCTATAAACCAAGACTATAACTCGTTCTCGTTCCTATCTGGTCCAATATAATCTGCCCCCCAGCAGCACCCGTTCCCTCATCGTCCAACCGAGAATCTATTGAAACGACGCGACCAATGCAACCACTTAAACAGTCAGACCAAACCACCTCGCAGCGCCCATCGCAACAAGCATAATCAAAACCGACGTCTTAACCAGGTCAATCTCCGCCCGGTACCGATACGACCAATTCCGCACCTCGGACCACAGCACCGACCGGCCGCTATCTTTCACGGCAGTCTTCAGACCCGGTAGTCCATCCAGGCTGCGACTGTTGTTATCCCGCTGATAGGAGTGGAGCTCGCCTGCCGCGACCCGCTTACCGGCCCAGTGGCCTAGCGTCTCGCGGTCCTTGAGATACGGCTTGGGAGAATTCGTGTCGGGATCGGTGGTCAGAGAGAGTTGCGGGACTCCGTAGCCGCATGATGTTTGGACCTGGATGTTTCATGGTGAGTATTCAGTTTAAGGAGAATGGATAGTAGTTTTTAACTAGTAACTATTATGACAAGGAAATGACTCATCCACCGTCATGTCCAAGCCGTAAGTCAAATCACTAGAAGCGATCAAATGAAATACAAACACACCTTAAAAATATCCAATCGAATAATCGCCCTCGCCCCAGGGACTGCCTTCCCACCCATGCGTTCCAGATAAGGCTCGAACTCGGGCTGGTTCCATTCGATCACGGAACCATTGCAGAAGAACCGCATAATACGAGGAGATGAGTCAAACGAGCAGAACATCACCGTGATGCGACCGTTCTCGTGCAGGTGGGAGATCGTCTCACTTCCCGAGCCGGTGGCATCGAGATATGCGGCCTCGTTGGGGTTGAGGATGGCAAAGGAGGCGTCGGGGAGGCCCTTTGGAGATAGATTCACATGCCGGCCTTGGAGGGGGGCGGAGGCGACGAAGAAGACGCTTTGACGGAGGGCCCAGTCGCGGAGATCCGGGGAAATGGAGTCGTAGAATTTGGGCATGTTCAGTGTTCAGGATAGAAATGGACAAGGGAATCAAGACTGAGATGAAATGAGGGCAGGATGGCTGGGAGTCGATAGAGAAACATTGGAAGTGGAGGTGAAGGAAAAGCTACGGCGGAGAACTCCGACGGAGTCATACTGGCCGGCAGGGATTGGAATTGCCGGCTGAGAAATTATAGACTTTACTTGTATCATGCATTCTAGCCTTTCTTTTCAAATAATCATCGAAACAATTCCCCTCACGGATCCAAACTACGCAACTACGCAAACTTGCGCCCCTCAACCTTCACGACCGGTCCGTCGTACACTCGTTGCGCGTGCACCCAATACACCACCCCCGATATGCTCATCAATCCCACAAATAGCACACAGGCCCAGTTGAAGTTCTGTGCATTAACCTGATACTCATTGGGCCAGAAACTCCAGAAAAACGACCATGTCGAATAAAGCATGGCCATGATATTCACCGGGAAGCCGAATTTGCCTAGCGTCCATCGAGAGGGCGGCAAGGGGGGATCGTTGTTAATACGGCGCAAGATGATGCATCCGATCGAAATGAGATAGGTGGCCATGAGAGCGACGGTGGAGAGCGACAGCAAGGCGTTAAAAGCAACCGTCGAACCGATGTTGATAAGGGACATAACCATGGAGAAGGCGCAGGTAAAGATAATCGAGTTGACGGGGATATGAAGCTTTGGATGAACCTGACCTAATCATGAGAAAGATGCCAGTATACCACGGTCGGTGAGACTTACGGCGCCTAGCCAGCTGGAGAAAGGTAGTCCGTTATCTCGAGCAAAGGCGAATGTTTGACGCGACGCGGACGCTAGCGAGCTGATGGTGATCATGATGAGCAGAACCAGTATCACCACCACGAGCACTGTTGAGCCGGCTGTATCCTTCAATGCTTGATGGAAGACGTGGATAAATGGGAATCCGGTAGGAGAGTCGATTGAAGCTTGCACATCGGGCATACTGAACAGATAGGACAGAAGCAGGCCAAAGGAAAAAGGCATGTTCAATACGAATGCCCAGATCATGGATTTCGGAACCACCACGCTGGCATTCTCAATTTCTTCGGCTATACACGGTCAGCATCTCCTTTCGGAAACATTCATCACGGAGCACGTACACATATGGGCTACCGAGTCGGAACCTAGAAACGAAATTTAGTCAGAATGGATGACACCAACGGAGGTGAAAATCTACACCCACCTAGTACAACAAACATGCTAGACACCTGGCCCACCATAACAGTGAGAGAGATTGATGGCCACCCGGCTCCGTTGTCCGTGAATCCGGTGAAGACATCTTTAGCCTCGGCTTTCAGCGCCAGAACAAGCAGTGTGACAATAACAGGAATAAAGGCAAAGAAATGGCAGGTGACAAAGATGCCCTCGGCCAATGGGAGACGCTTGGCTCCAAAGACATTGAAAAGCGACATGCCGATGGCTGCTGCGAATACCAATAGTGTACCTTGCCAACGGGTCGGAGCATAGGATTCGTTATTCAGGGAAATTAGTCCTTGAACGACGGTTCCTACGAGATACGAATCGAGCGCAACGATACTTTGCCACGAGATTGTCGACAGCCAACCTGGGCTGCGTTAAACTTGAGCTTCACGTAAGGACAAACTTCACCTTACCTGATGCATAGCTGAGGAACTTTTGATACTTTCGAGGAGCAAACTCGGAAACCCACTGGGAATTGTCAGTCTTGCTTGTCAAGATTTGGGGTGCCACTCACATGGTACTGACCACCTGCTGTTGGTGCCCTAGGTTATGTCAACGTATGATATTAAGCTCAACCTCAGGAAAGCGCACATGGATGCCATCTCCGCGAGCGAGAGGACGATAAAGGACTGGCCGCAATATGACCACACCAGCGACCAGAACAGCTCTGGCCGTCCGCCCGCAATTAGTCCAGGTGTATTTGATCTACTGCAAGTCAGTATATCTAAGCCAAATATTATACATGGGGCTCATACGTCAACAAAATTTCCCAAGTTCCCATGACGCACGTGGTAAAGCCTATTGTACTGACCATTCGGAAATTCCTCTTCCCTTTGTCAGTATTCACTCGTTTACATGGAGGGGCAATGCTAACCCTGAGTTCTTGCTTTTTACCCATCCGTTGCATATCACGTTGATCGGAAGCCGTGAATCCTTGCTTGACTTCCTCGGACAGATCACTCAAGGCCTCTGCATCTGTCTCTGCCAATACATGATGGGGTGTCTGTCCTACACCGACCTCCTTCATCTCTGTTTGGTCTGCCATCAACGTCGACATGTTGGGTGATTTCTTTTGTAAGGCACAAGTCCAAGTCGTCCTCAAACATGCGAAAGGGAGAGAATGTTGTTCTGGACAAATTTCATCTTCACAGCCATGAAAATGGGCAGCTGCGGTTATTAGGAAAATTTGTTCAACCAGGGTTGACCCCGGGGTGGACCTGCTGTAAATTGGAACGGGAAACTTGATTAACGTCGTACGAGGTTGTCGAAGACCCGTCCAATCGCTTTCTTCCAGAAAATACGCCAGCAAGGGGCTCCTGGCGCAACGTTACAACTGACATTGGTACTTTGGGTGCGGCGCAGGAGGGATGCGCCGTTAGCTCATGCAGCCAAGGCTTTGGCACTTAGGCGATGTTGAATCGCCTTATTTCCTTTGTCACGACAAATCTCCTTCTAATTTATATCCTTGCGGAAGAATTTCTGGGCAAGGCGCCTGCTCTCATACAGCAAATTGCACTTTTACTTCAGTGAATAGGTGAGTTCAGCTGTCTATGAAATCTCCGCAGGTCAAATCTTCGAAATATGGATAGTTGCCTGGATTCCAAATTGCATTTGCTGTATGAGAAGCGCATATGAACGTGGTTTTCTCGCATGTGAGAAAATATTATGGAGGCAACATTTTGGAACCGACGACTTACTAGAACCGCCCTGCTGGGACTTTTCCAGAAGTATGATGCTCTTTCCAACGGATGGGGCGGTACACAAACCCCTTCACTAAACTCGCCATCCCTGCCAGTTTCAAGGGAAGAATGAGTTGATAAAAAATCGCATCGCAGCTATTGTACAATCTCATCTATCTACAATGATTTTCCTCGTTTCCTTATGCTCTGCTGGACGACTATAAGCAGAGGATCTTCTTACTTCATGTCCGTATCCTTGTTATGTCTTCCGCAGCGAATGATGAAAACACCTACATTGAGGTTACGCCGGATAAACACGGGGCTTTTGTGATCATTGCCAGCTTGGTCGGTTTGATCTGGACCGTGTTCATCATTGGGATCCGGGTATATCTACGCATGCGTCTGACTCCCCCATTTGGTTGGGATGATGTAGCGGCTATCTTTGGCACGGTGAGTGATCTTACCTCTTTATGGGCTCCAATGCTGTAAAACTAAGAAGCAGTTACTTGTTTTAGATTGTTGGGGTGATTCAAACTTCAGTAACACCCGACGCGGTCAACCACGGCATTGGCACGCGAGAGTCGTTGCTGACATCCCATGAGGCGGACGTCGCTTTGCAGGTTCCTGAGATCCTCTCCTTACCCGTGCCTGCAGCTAATTCTGTTCGCAAGCAGAGGCTCTACGTTTCCTGGCTTCTCTACCCGATTGCCGTGTGTTCTTCGAAAGTCTCTATCGCGCTCCTCATTGCGCGTCTCACCAGAACCGAATATCATCTCTGGGCAAGCTACGCACTCACGGCACTGAGCTTGCTCTGGGGTATGATCTCTATGTTTCTTATTGCGTTCCAATGCAGCACACCTCAGCCATGGAATATCGGAGCTACCACTCAATGTAGAACTATGGTACCAAGCCTTCACCTTCTCTCCTTGTGATGTTTGCTAATATCACTTCCTACCAACTTGCAGTTCGCTCAATGGGCAGTCGTAGAAACCGTGAATATGGCAATCGAGCTCCTCATCCCATGTCTAATCATCGTTATGATCTGGTCACTACACATGCCCATCGGAACCAAGATCACCGTCGTCCTCGCCTTCTCTTTACAGCTCCTGTAAGCTTCCCTCCCCTCTTCTCCATCCAGCCTCCAGCCTCTATCTCACCCATCCACGCAAAGCTAACATCAGCTCAACCCAACCCCCCAGCGTCGTGATTCCCACAATCATCCGAATCCTCTTCCTTCAACAAACCACCAGCACCACCAGCGCGCAGGCCTCTCGCACAGACCACACCTTCACTCTCACGAACTCAACCCTCAACACCGAAGTCGTCATGCATTTCTCCCTCATAGCAGCTACATTTCCCTGTCTTCGCAAATTTCTTCAGGCGTTTGATATGCATATGGGCGCTACGACTAATTTGACGAGCGAGGGAGATACGGACTCGAGTAGCTGCGCCTTGAAGTCGGTGGAGAGGGCGCATGCTGGAGGAGGATCTAATGCGGAGATCTATCGGGCGATGCCGAGGGGCCATGGGATGGGGAATGTGACGATCGTGTCGACTGTCGAGGCGAGTTCGCAAGGCTCTCGGGGTGCGGTGTTGCTTGGTGGACGGAGAAGCGAGGAAAGTGATGGGAGTCAGCGCGTGATGATTCGGAAGACGCAGCGGTGGGAGGTCGTGTCGTCTACAAAGTGAGGTTATATATTCAACATAAGGAATATGGGTATATATAGGTGTATCAATTTACATTATATCATGTCACTTGTATGGTGAATCTGTCTATCAACTGCATCTCTGTATGTGCATGGACACGCTCAATCCAGCGCAAAGCACCGCTCCACCGAAACCTCATTATTCCCCCACCAATTCGGCATCGAGATCTGCTTCCCAGATCCAAAGAACAAGAAAATCAACAACATGTTCAGGTTGAACCCCGCGTCGAACGCCGCGGCAATCATATAGCTATATCGCTTCCACACCTCGAACCGCTTTCGATACGCCCAGTACATGACCACGTACCCGCCAATGATCGCAGACGTGTACCCCGTGCTCACATTCCCGTAGAACACGGCCATTCCAGAGAAAAAGATACTCACGTTCCAGAGATCGATGCGCCATTTGGGGAGGAGTCGATGCGCAACGTACAGGATTGGCGGGAGGACGGCGCCCACGAGGAACGCGTACGGCAGGACACGGAGCTGGCCTTGCGCGAACATGCGCTTGGGCCCGATCACGGCATACTGCACGCCCATGGTCTTGTAGCTTTGGAGGGTCTGTCCGGTCCATTGGTTTAGCGGGTCGGGTTTCACGCCGGTGAGGTAGTCGGATTTCGTATTCAGGACCCACCGCATCACGCCGTAGTTGATGGGGACGCCGAGGATGGTGCCGAAGATCTGTGAGAAGAAGACCGTCCGGGGCGGAACGTGCATGTAGTGTCCGATCTTCTGGTCCTGGAGCATGGTTTGTGCGCGGTACCATGCGTCGCCGGCGATGGCACCGTACGTCGATGGGCCGCAGGGATGGCGATGCTTTTCGCCGGCCGGCGTGTGTACCATGTATCCGTACATCATCTCGTTGAACGTGCCAATGGAGAGCTGGTAGTTGGAGATCGCGTAGAGCCAGCCGAATGGGATGACGAAGATAGCGGAGGTGATAAGCCCGACGAAAAGCGTCCAGATGGGGATCCAGAGGTACCCGCATGCGAGGGCGATTATGAGGATGAGGAACGCAGCGAGAAATAGTACGACGTACCACCATATGGGTACTTCCTTGTACGAGCGCTGCAGGACGTTTAGGCGGTCATGGTATTGGTGGTTTATGGATTGGGGTTTGGAGCCGTCGGATGAGCGACGGAACGAGGCAACAAGTTTGGTGAAGTTTGAGGAGATCTGTAGGCACCCGAAGGTGGCGATCCAGGTGATTGCGGCGGTGATCTTGCCATAGTCGAAGAAGGTGGACCATGCGTACTGAAGACCCATGTACATGGGACCGTACTCTTCGAATGCGGTCTGATTGAGGCGGAAGTCCGGGGTTAGGACTTTTAGCACAGGGTACGTAGTACCGTTAGCCATGAGGAGGCTATTGGACATCAGGTCGTGTTTGTAGGAGCCCAGGTTGCCCCATTTGGCGGCGGGGAGAAGCACCCAGCAGTTGAAGGCGAATGCGAGGAAAAGCACAACCTGCGTCCACCACGGAGTGAGAAGAATGGACGAGCCGTTCCAGTTGATGTTCGACCAGTCCAAGGAGAGATTGAGGAAGCCCATACCACCGAGCCCGGAGCCAATAAAGTTGGCGACGGGGTTATGCGGTGCCACCCAGCACAGAAATGCAAGGGACGAGGTAAATGGAAAGACGTATTCGGGGAGAAATTGCCACAGTGTCATACCGAGGAAGGACAAAAAGAAGAGCTTCAGCTGCCGTCGTGCGAGGGGCGACGAGGTGTCTTGTTTGCGGAAAGTTTCGAACAATGTGGTCTGCATCAAAGCTTGCGGCCAGATGTACGACGGGTCATAAAGGAGGACCTGGCGCGCAATGGCAGCAAACGCATATCCAACCCAGACTATTGCAAGCATGAAGAAGATGCCCACTGCTGGGTTCAATCTCTCGTCATAGAATAGCTCCGCCAGCGCGATGGGCGTGTATCCTTGGTTATAGATAGCACCCGATGCCGCAGTCACTGTGACGAGGACGTGTTCTTTAGGGCTCCAGGGGCCGGGGTTCAGACTAAACGACCAGGGCATGAAAGGAACCTTGATGATCCATGGTGGCAGCACTCGGGCCAGAAAGTGTCCCGCATAATGGCAGGCAACTTGCACGAAGAAGTTGGAGTAGGGGGCTTGCGTGGTACGGAACTGGCTCATCTGGGAGAGAAACGCTCCCGGCACGACGAAGACCACGGCTAGGATAAAGTATCGAAAGGTGATCGTTGGTAGGGTGGGATCATCGGTCAGATTTACCAATTGACGGACCTCCCGGGGTAGTGCACCTATCTCCGGATCTTCTTCTGTCTCCTGTTCGATCGCGGTGGTTTCGCTAACTTTCTTGACATTTTCCGTGTCCTCGATGTCGGGGGTCGCAAAGCTCGGCTCTTCCGTCACAGTTGCTGATTTAGACATCTGACTGGGTACCTCATGACTAGTCACGTTCGAAGAATCCGATGAATTCCCTGAGGATTGTGCCAGGCGTCTCAACCTGGCTGAGAGGCCCATTTTGGGTACAAAGAATCCGGGATACGACAGCAGCAGAACTAGAAGACGCTCTCATCGAATCCCACAATAAATCCGAACATACGAAGGAACAGGTGCGGCCCACGATATAAGAGTAAAAACCATCGTTTCCTCATACCAAGGACCAAATGACGTGCTCCGATTTTCATTAACAACGGAAACCTCCATGGTGACCTTAACGACGCTCAATGCAACGTCGCTCAACCCATCCTGGCAGTCCGAGCTCTAAGTCCGGGTCAATCGGCGGCCTCAAGCGCCATGAAGGAAAAGGCTAAGGCCTGGCAGAAGCCAAATTGAATGCTTGTGACGGGAAAACAGGCCCTTCGGAGATCACAGTCATCCAGTAAGAGCGAGGGGTGCAAATTGAAGAGTTTGTTAGCGGATGGCGTTATCCGCAGCCATAATTGCTGATCGTCGGCCGTGATGCTTATTGGTCGACGGGGGTCAACAGCTCTAAATTCCGAGCGAACGTGTTCGGCGTCCATCTAATCGAGTAGAGCCCATCTCGCAGTTTGTTAGTTCATGCAAATGCAAACTTTGAGGTCCAATCTGATCACATTGTGCAGTCAACGAGGGTCTAGCTGCAAATTCGATTCGGGGATGTTTTTCGCGCTAGGAGACCTTAGCGACGCAAACCAACTAAAAATATGTTATTCGATCCTCATGAGACGTTTTGGCGGGCTTGCAAACGCAACGGACAAACAATTGGATACTGAGGTCACTTACCTCAATGTCCCCAAAACTCTCGCAGGACTAATTTTCACTTCGCTAACACTAGTGCTCTCTTTCAATTGAAACGGGGTGGAGTTAATTGATGCATGCCGATGATTAGCAGGAGTCAACGACAATTTCATTGGTAGGACCGAGTTGGCAGATGTGTAGGGAAGATGACCTCGCCCGAGTGACGGCGGCCTCTCAGGGGTGTCTAATGGGGGTGTCACGTGGTCAAGGTTCATGGGTATAGTCCAAGATGCACAACAGGACGTGTTGAGTATGATACGGCGAGAATCAGGGTGACTGTTGCATAAGAATCTCAAATGATACCCGTGAGCCACGCAAGGAAAAGAGCCGACTTAAAGCATAAAAAGTACTCGATGGAACATGGTCCTAGCAGAACAGACATATTGAATGTCGGACTTTCAGGTATATGATTAAACAGATCTATACAAGTACATGTGAAAGAAGAAATAAGCCGGCATTGTTCAATGCCCCTTGCTCTAACCAAAAATGTTGCAGCACCAAATGGTAGATGTATTTGGGGAGCAATTTCCTGATGTTTCAGGTAAGAACCCCCTAGTTGGTATAGACAACCATGTAGTCTCCCTGAATTGAGTCTTCGCCCGTTGTCTCGGGGTTGCACAGCCAAAGCGGTTCGGATGTGGGGCCTCCGCAGTCCAGGCTGGCCTCGAAACACTTATAAGTGGGAGTGAAGGTGAGGAAGGCACGAGTACCCGGTTTCTGAGTGAGCGTGTTGCCAACGGTGAAGGTCTTGGATTCATCCACGCTCACTCCGTTTTCCGTGGCGATCGACTCAGCAAAGTTGTATCCCATGGTAGTGGACACTTCACTCTTGACGATGAAATCGCTACCGACAGAAACACCAACGCTGACGTCCATTCCGTTGGTTATGGTTTGGCTGGAAGAGCTGCTGAGCGTGGTTCCGGACGAGATACTACCGCTGATGGGGAATGAGCACGCGTCGTTGCTACCGCAGTACTGGGTCGATCCGATGATAGTCTGCTTGCCAGCTTCAATGGAAGGTCCCCAAGTATCCACGGCTTTGCAGCCCGAGCCATCCCAGTCTTCGTCTTCGCGGCGCTCAAGCGCAGCCTTCAAAGCAGCGCGCTGCTCGCCCTTGGCGTGCTTTCTCCTCGCATCACGCTTTTCCGTCGGGGGCTGGACCTGCTCCTCCTCACGCTTCGTGAGGGCAGAATTGCCCAAGTTCATTGATCCACAATCGCCTTGTCCGCAGCAGAATGTAGCACCGATATCTTGCAGGGCCTAAGGACATCACAATATTAGCATGAATCGTTATACATGTAGGCACGTATGCTGATCACCAACCGGAAGAGAACTGTAGAAACATCCTGGAGCGCCGACGTTGAGGATTTGGTTTCCGGGCATTTCTACCCCAGGAACCATGCCGTAATTCTTCTGCGTATAGAGGTTGATCAACGCGAAGCGGCATCCAGGGTCAAGGTCCTGAACACGCCACCAGACATCATATGCGCCGCTCCCTTCTCCGGCGGCTTCCTCCGGAAATTCGACGTTACCATACCAGGCGACATTGGACAGCTTCTCGCTGATACCCTTCGGCTCCACTGCTTCATCTGTCCATCTCGAATCTTCGGAAAATCCCCAAGTGAATGAGGTGGCATTTTTACATTGGGGGTCCAGATGAGGAGTGATAGTCATGGCCTGACACACCGCAGCCAGCATGGCAACCGCAGCAACTGTTCTAGCAGCCATGTCTGACAAATGAAAATATGGGCTTTCAAAGGAATGAATATAAAGAGCGTAGTATTTTGGTGCCCTTTGGGGAAGGCCAGGGGATAATATTTATACTCACCATCTTGACTAACCCACACAACCGCGCACTTCTAGCCCGGATTCGATTCAAACTTAGCACCTCTATCCACCAACCTGAAGGATCAGTTGTCATGGGTGCCTAGCAGCGTTTCGCATATGGCCCCCAGGGCCCCAGATAGAATAGGTCGCATCCTCGACTCGATTAGGAAATAGACCACTATCCATAAGGGTGACTTGAGTCTAAGATGTAGAGTCGTTGTGAGACTTCCACCCATTGCCAACTTGTTCTAAGCCCCTGCCAAGCCTCGATCTAGGGCGTTTGATCAATGATCATATTCTGATTGCTGGGCTAACGTCTGGGCATCGGGGGCCAGCTTGATTTGGGCACAATGATTGGGTCCGCTGTTCAGGACGCTTTCATACGTCGCTTGGCAAATGACAATGCCATTTTGACCGAAAACAAACCCGTTTGGGTATCTCGTTCATTCATGCGCAGGGCTTTTAACCATAGTCAAGATATGGGATTAGCCAGATCACCGATATTTAGTACCCACCCCGGTTAACATAACCGGTGGTATAGATTGCTAGAGACCCTCGGTTGAGGAAAGCAAGATCCAGAATTTTCACTTCTAACGTTGGACCCTAATCAAAAGCAGTCCCTCGTACTACGCCAAGCGATGTAGTCGGTTAGAATTGTCGCATCTTGGCAGGAGACTCAGCCCTGCGCTAGCTTTCGAGAGTCGAGCAGTGGCTCTGCGATATGGAGCCATATGGATGCCGGTACTGGCATGCCGATCCTTTCAGTGGATATTCCCTGGGCTCACGAAGAACGATATACTCCGTAACCCGCCAACAACGGAACTAAACTGGCTCGCCAGATATGAACCCAAGGCCATATGGCCGCTTTCCTCGAAACATTAGTCAAGTGAAAATGCTTCCCACGAAGCGCTGCGGTCAATATCTCTGGCGTGACCTAATCAACAGCTGATCCCAAAGGTTGGCGTCAAATAAGATGGTTAGCCCCTTGACAAGTAGCAACAGGAAAGAGACCTTAATTTAGCATTTCCACTAATCATCTCTTGCGTTGCCTGTTGGATTCTGTGGTTCTACCGGTTCAAGATGTTCTCGGCTCAGTAAATCCGGAATTAAGCCGGCGTTTCTGTATGGCCAAATTCTAAAGGGTTGTTCCTCAGTGAAGTCGCAGTCCAATCAGGCAAGCTTGTGGTTCCAACAGCATCCTGATAGACCCCGCGTGCAGCTTAGGCGATTCACATTGATTAACAACTGGGTTCCATGGGGTCCGACTTGGCAAAAGTGGGGGTAAGATTAAAGCCCGAACATGCACATTGGCGACCCATATCATGAGACGGTCGTTCCATGTTTGCTGAATCTGTCTGGCAATTCTTGGACGGCCCTGGTGTTTACCGTCCTTGGATCTCGAGAAGGCTCGGTTCGGGAATCAGGCTATTGTCGAGCTCCTCTCTTCTTAGAAGCTGGGTGCATGTTTCGTATCTAGTTTACTATACTCCGTAGGCGCTCCATTGTAAATGAGCATCAACGGGTCCTTGAGGATGAGAAAGGAGAAAGCACGGATTGAAAAATGATAAAGTAGCACAACACCCAACGACTGACAGGGCTTGCTTCAATAAATTGATATGATCGGCACTTTTGTAAGTAACCTAACCGGTGGCTTGCGGGATAGCCGGCACGAAGTTCAAATGCGTAATGGCCACTGTGGATAGAATCCACTCTTCATCCGCGGGCTTTTGTCGAGGAGGCAATCAAGAGGATGCGTTGGACTTCTCAACATTGAGCCCTTTCAGAATGTCAATACCAGACATCGCTCGATGATTAACATTCTGACAGATCTTCACTTTGCGGATAACGGGGATCTGGGGTTCAGAGTACAAATCGTCAAGTCGATCGAAACGCTCGTCAGGGGCGGAAGCGAAAGAAGGATGGATGTTCGGGTAAGTTTCCTCGTTGCATCTGGTGGGTATCCACGTGACAGATCCGTCGAGTGGAACTCAATGCACGTGACCTTGTCTTGTCCCGAATAGGCAGCTCGGCTTTCCTGTTCCTCTGCTCGGTGCTTCATGTCACTGTCACTTGCTACTATTTAAAGAGCCCTCGTGACATATGATCCATAGGACTGGAAGAAAAAGGAAATAAAGACCGACCCTCCTTTTCAGCGGAGTCCAAAAAGCGTTGATGAGATGAGTTACCCATCGCCGGGAAAATATATATTGTAGTCGAATATCAGTTCTACAAACTCCTTCGTTTCTTTCGGGAATTGATCATCGTCCATCATAGATCTCTTTCATTAAAATTCTCATGCCTTGCTGTTAGCATTCTGAAATACTATCCCCAGATGATGTTAAATCGGGACCATTTGCTCGTCCGTATCGGCACATTCTCCATATCATTTTCGGCCTCGTATAAGGCCTGACCGATAGGAATATCATGTAACGGAACAAGTTTGGACTTCTTCATAAACTTGTAGCCCAGGTAGAATGACAGGACAAGTGGGATGTCCCTGCATATACGTGAGCTTTCTGAAAGATCAAGATGATGGCAGGAAACTTACAGATAAGAGGAGACAAACCAAGACGGATCCCAGTTCCCTCGAGTAAACACCACAAAGCCTCCGGTGAGCAAGAAAATCAGACACATCGCCAATGCGAACCAAGAGGTATACACTAGGTCTGTTAGCGACGGACTACACTGATCATCAGGAAATTATCTTACAAGACCAAGAATTATGCCACGGCATCCTGTGCGGAGACACTTTCTGAACCTTGAAGGCGTTCAGCAATCGGATGTGATTGAATGCAATCGTAATCCACGAGATGAGAACTCCCGCGGAGGTCAGCGTTAGGAACCAATTGAACACTGTATACGCTCCACTGGAGCAACTGAGATAGGCCAAGCAGGAAACCATGATCTGCAATGCAGAGCACACGTATGGAACACCACGCTTGGTCGTCCGCAGGAAGACCTTTGGCGCATGACCCTTCAACGCCAATCCATACAATGTGCGAGTACCCGCAAGCATACTTTGATTTGAGGCAGACCATGCTGAGCTCAACACGCCGGCGTTAATGATCGATGGCACGACCTTGATCCCGGCACGCACGGCGGCAATAACAAACGGACTCTGCGCTGCAGTTCCCGACTCATCTCCGAGTCGAGGATCATCACTGCGAACCAACATTCCCACGATCAGGACGGCCAGGAAATAAAACAAGGTGACCCGCACGAAAACTCTTTTGCATGCCCGAGGAATATTTTGTCGAGGGTTGCGCATCTCCGCAGCAGCCATCGCCAGACTCTCGACGCCGGCAAAAGAATACACTGCGTTAGTCATGACGGCCCAGAACCCCAGAAAGCGGCCCCAGGACCCTGTCGCGATATACTCAACAAAAGGCCCAGGGTGTTTCCAATACCGAAACCCCAATCTCTCCTGGCCGGGTACGCCGCCCAAGTCAATAACGAGTCCCATCAGGATAATACCAATCACCAAGAGAACTTTGATTACCGCAAGACTGAACTCGATCTCTCCGTAAACGCGAACCGAAAGGAGAGACACCGATGCTGATAGCACAATCAGAATCGAGATCCAAATAGCGGCGTTGAGATCCGTCCAGTACTGAATCAGCACAACCGAGGCGGCGATCTCACTCGGAACCGACATAAAAGCCCCATACACGACATTCCAACCGATCGCAAAAGCCAACCCCGGATCAACCAGGATCTCGACATGGCGAACAAATGACCCAGTCACAGGCATGAGAGCGGACACTTCACCGAGCGCAATCTGGATGGCGCACACGACCAGCCCTACAAGCGAATATCCCAACAATGCACCCAGAGGGCCGCCCGTCTGTATAGAGCCTCCTAGACCGAGAAAAAGACCAGTCCCCTGAGAAAGACAGTCAACGTTACACGGTCGTGCAACTAGCAAGGGTTAGGCGCAGGGGAACTTACAATCGCACCCGCGATCGCGATCATCTGCGTGTGACGCTGTTGCAAGCTCCGCGATAGATTTTGATCCTCCTCATTTTGAACAATGGCTGCTTCCTGGTCACTCGTCTTCGGCACCGGACCAGCCTCAACGTGACCAGGCGACAGCTCCCTATCTGCGCCGATGACGAGAGTTTTGGCACTCATGCTGACCCGTCCAATTGGAATGCGAAGAGTCGGAAAACAAAACACCGGAGAACGAGTGTTCAACCATACATCGAAGGGGAATCGAAGGGGAACCTCAAGTTAAGCCCTCATGTCATGATCAGTTCCGAATGCTGGCACCACCACAACACATCGAAGCGGGCGCACGCGAGAAGAAAAGAAAAAATAGAACAGCAAGGAGGTCATCGAGGTTGCACAGCACGCCATCACACTAGATCGGATACATGCTTAGCGGTGGGGCGGGGAATGCAGACTTCCTCTTGACATGATTAGGGCTTCCGATCGCGACAATCCGTGAATTCGACTGTCCCGAGTTTCTGGTGATAACGATAACATTCAATGAGACACAACCATTGGCCTTCGGATACTTCTCCCGAATTTCTCTTCAACCCACAAAGCTTGATCGGTACAAGCGTCGAAGTCTTTTAGATTAAGATTTCGGGTGCTCGGAGGAACTCCGGAGGATTGGCACTTGGCAGCTTGACCTGGTGTCCAGAAGCAAGGACGAGAAGTGCCATTGCGGTCTTTAACAACTAGCGATCACAGCCGGCTTCTTATAGCCCAGAGCAGACATGAGATCTTCTTGGTAATTGCCAGTTACGATGATGAATATGTTAACTATTTGAACGGGCAGGACTCCTCATCATCGGCATTCATGACCATGCAGCAATATGGTCCATATAATATAAACAATGCCGGCCATATCCAGGGCGTCTACATCCTGAAGCATCCGACTGAGATGTATGCGGATAGCTGCGCGTCGGGACTTCACTTCTTTTTGGGTGGCCATGAAGGGGGTGCTTGTGGAGGTTGTAGGAAGAAAGATCGAAATCCAGAAGAGTGGATGACTGGTTACTTTTACTTCATCGCTGGTCATGGCGTATTGGATGCCTGAGGAGCCTGTGCCAAGCTTTCCGCCGGTTGTCTCTAATTCAGTCCGTCTACGAGGAATCTGGACGAAGGATATATACAGTTACTGCTGAGGCCGTGATAGAAGTAAATACTGAAGGATAAGAAATTAACTAGAGAAAAGAAGTAAGAAGAATAGAGTGGGATTCGATCAAAACTCACATAGCCATCTAACCCAGCTAAGCATAAGGTATAGCCATGTGTTGCGAAACCTCCGGGTGCATGCACATAAAACCACATTCCTTGATAGAAGGTCGTCCAAGTAGAAGGTCGGGCTCGCTACTATCAATCACCAGGAACCTGGTCCAATAAACCTTGTCTTTGCGGACGAATTTCCATGGAGCCTCAATACTACCAATTGGCTGGACGTCCTTGGATCGATCTTGGAGTTGAATCCGCGGTCCTGTATATGGGTCCATCCTAATATTCAGACGTTTCTGGATGCTGCTAGACATGATATTAACGTTTCCTTCGAAATCCACGCCGAGCTGTCGGTATATATGGTAGTGATTATCGAGGGTAAATAGAAGCACCCCGAACAAATAGTCACGATGCGCCGAGCCCGGGACTTTGGGTTTCCTCGGGTCGAATTCGATAATCGCGAACTTGAGACCACCGCGTAAATAGCCCTTGAAAAGTTCCGATTCGGGACTCAGCAATACGTCAATCGACGAATCCCATTCTTCACTATCATCAGATTCAACGTAGAAAGTCTCCCGGATTCTCTCGGTTTTTCCGTTGCTGACATGATAAGTCGCTTCTCGTCTTGCACAATGAAATGGCCCCCGTTTAAGTTGGGAATGCGGATCGGCGATGGACCACGCCCACACTTACCGTCCGGGAGTTTTGCAAGGGCTTTCCTTGAGATTATATTGAATTGTAAGTGCTCCAACACAACTGCGCTCAGAAGGACGGTGTGTGACTTCTCCGGAGCAACATTTGGAACGCTGAAACACAGTTTCCGCGGCGCCGCCGGCCGTTCTGGGATAGCTGGACCGGTATGAACGAGGGTTTGCTTTGCAGAGCTCATCTCGGATTCACTTTAATCCAACGAATGAGGCAATGGTTCGGGTGTTGGCCTGGTCGAGATACAGGTGGAAATTAGACTCTTTTTATATGAATAGCACTAATGGGACATGGAAAATTCTAAGTTGGTTCCCTGGTAGCCTCCCTTGGAAACTACGGGGACTTCCAGGAAGACTGAGGTATCTACAAGGGCACTGCATTGAACATTCCATTCAATAAAACCCATAGCATTGAATACACTGTTTGGGGCAACAGAGCCCAACGTGCGCACCTCGAAACATAATGCAAGCGTCCGAAACAGCTCTATTTGGAATAACCAGGCGGTACAAGGAACGGGGGATTCCTGCTTGAAAAAAGGAGACATCAAAAAGAAGAAAAAGAAAAAGAAACACCCCGAAAATCAGCGATACACCAGGGACACATTCGTCCTAGGCCGGCAACGGGCCGTCGTAGAGTGGCATATTCTTTGGCGCAAGAAGGCCGTACATGCCAATTGTCGCCTGCCCCACCAGGGCATCAAATTTGATGTAGTCGGTTACCAGAAAGTCAGTGGTGTATGTAGTTTCGCTACCTTGGAACTGCCATCGGACGTTTCGGGCGATATGGATGATGGGTGTAGTGGTTGCTGCCCGTACGCAGGAGTGCCGAGTTCGGCGGTGCGATGCTCTATTGCCAGGTCTACAGGAGAGCTTGATCGATGGCACTCCCTGCCTGCATCTGGCATCTCAACATCTTACATGTCGGCATTACTGGCATCCTTCATCTGAACGTCCGAGCCGGAGAACGAGCAGCTCATCGATCGTGTCATCGTGCGAAAAGAGTGAGCCTCTGGGATGGAAGGAAACGGAGTGACGAAAGGGGCCTATTTCCCACAAACAATTTGCAGCACAGTTTGGGCTTCGTTGAAATGCTGCAGCTTCCAAGATTTTCGACGAGAGACGGGTAGGAATAGATGAAAATGGTGGAAGGGTTGGGATCCTGGCGAAACAGAAAAGTATCAAAAGATTTGATAACAGTATGGAAGAGTTCGCAGGAGGAAGAACATTCTACGATGCTGTAGGAGGTCTTGTTGCCTTTTTGAGGGCATCGCCAACAGTGCTACTGTCAAACGGGCAGCGTTCAGCCACAAAGGCCGAACCAGAGCCTTGCACATTTGCAGAGGATGGAACTTGCTCCTCTGACAGGAAGCTAAGCATAGCCATCTACCGTCTGCTTTCAAAGAAGACGCTGGCAACATCGATATCCCTTAGTGAATTGGCTGTAACCCCAGTAGAGCGATTGCAAAGTGCAAACAGTGGATGAGGTTTGCTAACAGTGGGATCTTGAAGGCCTTGCTAATGGCGGACTTTACCGGGTTCATCAGCCGTGCTTCTTGATCCTCTCTTTGAAATCCACTGGGTCCATTTACCAATCATATGGCAAGTGAGCTATGGGAAGCAAACAAGTCTCGCTTACTACGGTGTGAGTGAGATAGTATGAGAAACAGCTAACTAAGTGCGTAGAGGCCGATGCTGCCATGGTGTGGCCAGCCCGCCAGCCCGCCAGTTGCAAAGAAGAGGTAGGGGGACCTCTTTGGAGTAAGTAGAGCTATGGGCTCGATTCCCGTGGCGGGCACCTATTCTACCCGAGACTGTGATATTAGGAGTACCAATCAGGGATTGTGGGCCTAATGACGCAAACAGAACAAGCAGGATGAAGCGGAACAGTCATATATGTGTGAAATACACAGCCATTCATTCATTTGTGGGATTTTATGGCGTACAGGCACCAGATTCTGCTTCATTGGTGAAGCGCCTACATAGCCTGTCGTTCCAATGGCTAGGCTTTATCAGGTTGATAGAATTTTGATTGATTTATTGGATCTTCCGAACGTTGCATCCATTTGGACTGTCCCCATTCCCTTATTCCAAGTCTAACGGCGGCTTTGCATTTCCGAGAAATTAGCTCATGATTATCACGTCTAGGCCCTCTAGCCTCTGTGACAGATGACAGATCTGCGAAAGGTCCTTGCGAAATCAAGGGCCTTTTTACATTAAAGAGGCCCTCCGTCATTAGTATCTATTTTCAGGAACATCTCAACATGATTCCGGAGTGTTCATTGACCTATCCCGGGCCCTTCAAGTACGCAGTCAGTCCTGACACTCCAATGTCGTAGATAATATCTCACAACAGATCCAACATATCAATCCCAAACCACTATGCAAAATCGTCACATCAACTCGATTTTTCCATAGTATGACTTTCCGCAGCAAAACCGAAGCCAAATTCCGTCTCCGTCGTCGGCGGACCGGCATAGTTTCTATACCCCCAGGCCCAATACCAGAGAGCTGAAATGATAACAAAGCCGACGAAAACGACAGAGGCGTAGTTCATGCTCTCCTGGGTGACAGGGATGGTTGTTGGCATCGAGAAAAGGGGGATAGCAAGGAGGGTCCATGCTAGAGGTTCATGGAGTGTGGTTAGATCATGGATGGTCCGATGCATTCGCATGCGCATAATCGACAAGAAGGTAGCGGGGCTGGGTCCCAGGATGCTCGTACTCACCGATACAAACGATATTGCAAAATATGCCCAATGCGCCGAGATCAAAGTTTCCCTTCTTGACGTCTTGGCGACGGCGAAGAATAAGGGAGACGGCAACCGGGGAACCGTAACTCAGCGTCAAGAAGATAACGCCTACACCCGAAAAAGCGTTAAACGCGGCCGTGGAGCCGAAGTAGATTAGTCCTAAGAGGATTTCGATGACCATGCCGAGCATCATCGCATTCAGAGGAATGTCTAAATTCTTGTTGACCTTTTTGAACCATTTCGAGCCAGGGATGGCGCCATCGCGGGCAAACGCCCAGGTGCATCGGGACGCGGCGGTCACGCAGCCCACGCCACACAGTATACCGAGGATCAGGAGCGGGATAAGAAGACAGAAAGCACCTGCGGAATTCCCAGTGGCTGACAAAATGATCGTTGGGACGGGTTGGCCGCTGGCGAGGTTTGCTAACATGGCGATATCGGGCAGGACGAAGCAGATAGGGATCAGGATACAGAGACCGGCAAAGAAGTTGAGGGCGACGCCGCCGACTATCGCTTTGGGAACCTGAACGGCAGGCTTGTGCACTTCTTCGCACATTCTATTGCAATGGGCATCGCGGTTAGTATGCTTGGCTGCGCTGGGAGGACTACAAAGACTTGTACGGAGACCCACGAGGTGACCATGCCGGATGCTGAGAGCCCATAGGCAGCCTGGAGCAGGCCGATACAGAAGGACCAGCCGTCGGGCCAGCCTGACTGCGGCTCAAAACTGGTAAACACCCATTTAGCAGATCGCCGGCCGTGAGCTGCAACGACAAGGATAGTGATTATGAGAGCGGCTACTCCTGCGAGGGTCCAGAAGATGGCGAAGGTCTAAAGAGTACATTGCATATTAGTACAATGAGCCAGATGCGAAGGATTGCTTGTAGTACCTCTAGATGTGTCAGCCATCGGTTACCAAAGGCGGAAATAGCATGGCAGAGCAAGGTGATAGCAAGGAAGATAAGGTAGCTCTGATATGTTTCAAAGTTCTCTGTGATACCGACGCCGTCGGCGTCCTTGAATACATTCAAGCTTTCGACAAGAAAGAGCGCCGTGGCAAAATTGACCGCGAGGGTAATGGTGATATTCCCTGCAATATACGACCAGCCGCAAACCCAGGCCGTGACCCGACGACACCACTTGGGTGACAGGGCAAAGGTCTGATAATACACACCGCCAGCAGTAGGATAGACCGAAGTGATCTCTGCTAAAGACCCAGCCACGCACATCATGACTAGAGACACGGCCACCCAGCCCCATACCATGTTAGCTGAGCCACCGCCTGCCATAGTATACATCATGGTTGTGGATAAGCCATATGGCACCGAGGCAAGAATGAAGCACATGAATATCACCTGCCATGTTGATCGGTTGCGTGATAATTCGGGAATATATCCTAGCGATTCTAAATTTGAGTCCGCTGCTGCACGCTTTTCCGGCTGGTGTGATTCTGTCATTTTGTGTTTGCCAGGCCGGGTGTCCCGCGGTTGGATTGTCGTGACAGACTAGAAGAGGATAGAGCTGCAAATTTCGAAGCTTTAGCCCGCGGTCTGCATGGATGGGCTGCAGGATGCGCTGTCTCGGCCACGGGAAGAAAGAAAAACGGTCAAAAGTAACCAATGTAGGAGCGAAAGACTTGCAATGAGGTCGATCGAAGAAGTTGCAGATGAGAACCAGTGAAAATTTTCCAATAGCCCGGAGGCATCAAGTCCACTCTCGGTAGTGATACAGTTGTGGGTTGCTTATGTTGGCGTGCGGCACGCGCTATCTTTGGTTCAAGATCGATGGCTCCCATTTGTAGATAACATGTGGCCGACAGCAAGAATGGGGGATTGACATCTTGGCTGCCCAATCTGGGTTAGTGGGGGACCACACAGGTACTGTTTCGCGTCAACAATATTAAGAGTCAATTCGATGAGCGACAATGGTGCCCTCTCCGAGTATCTTTCTGGGGGTGAAGAGGGTCAAAAGCAAGTCCAGCTTGTCGGCCATCCTGATATCGCCGGTTGGCACGAGGGCCCTAGTCCCGATCAGGGAGCCAAGATGTATCAATAAGCTTTTGGGTGGGGCCAACTTAGTCAGCGTTTGCTTTTCTTTTTCAGCCAATCATAGCCTTTGAAAGTGCCGAGGTGAGGTCTTTTTTTCGCTTGGGTGCGTTAAAAGTTCGGATATAGATAGATGGCAGTGCCGCTGTGTGCTGGGAGCAGATGGTTGACGTAGAATGGTAGGTGAGTAGTATAAATCAATACTGTCTGGTGGCATGTCTGGCTCGATTCGAATGTCGAGGTAAGGAATTAGATTCTCGGCCATCCTGTATGTACAGATTTGAGATGGAAATATAGACCATAAAAGATCCTCGCATAGAAACCTGCAGCTGTCTGCAGGATCAAATCCCCTGCACGGGGTATCCACTCATCGATTGCGTTTAGAGCCACCGAGCAATGACAAGCACGAATCATTATTAAAACGCTTCGGCCCCCGTAGCGTGACAGATTCGCCCGTTTCCAGTTCATCTGATATTGCCGGTGACTTGATTGATTACTGTTGCCCCAACCCTCAAGCTTGCTACATTTGGTTCCAACCTCTTCCATGCAGGCCGGTACAGCACGCATGGACACCAACACCTCACCGACCTTCCAACCACCTCGAGCGGAGAACAACGCCGTTGACAGGCCCCATAGCTAACATGGTGGTGACGATCGGAGTAGCATGCTCTGGTTGCCAGATATAATGGCGGAGGAGGGATCACCCGGTCCGAGAACCATTTGAGAAGAAAAGGGGTATTGAGCAGTTCCAGCTTCACATATCTTCCGTTCAACATCAAACTATTAAGAAGCTCTCATTGACAGATTTTGCCCTTGCCAAATGAATCCACGTGACACCCGGTTCGAGATCCAAGGCCCAAAACGTCTTCAGAAACGACAAGACCCGATGCCGATCCAGACTCCCGCTAAGCTGCATGATATTCAACATCGCATGCTCGATCGTCTCCTGCATACTCGGAATCCCGCGACACTCGGTTCCCGCTATAAACAACGGCCACACCAGATCGTGCGCGAAGTACGCACTGCGCGAAAGATAGGAAAGATGCGTCAAGATGGCGTCTCGTGATATCCGGATAAATCTTTCGGAAGGGTCGTCCGAGAGAACGCGATGGCTGTAGATGAGGATCGCATGGTAGTACATATATACGAGGTATTCGAAGTCACAGCGGGCCTCGCTGGATTTGAACTCCATGGTTTGACCCATCTGGATGATTTTGTACTTTGCGGCTTCGGTTTCGTCGAAGACCTCCTCGAGACGGGGGATATTCGAGTTCAACCAGGGGGTCGATCTTAGGCGCTCGGCTCGGGTGACGGCGTGCATGATGCGAACGTATTCGGAGAAGAAGCTGATGCTGCCATGAGTAGGGATGTTTTCGGATATGTCGTCATTTGGGTCGAATCGCGTTAGATTAATAAAGACGGAAGTGTAGTAGTATTCGTAGAGAAGAAAGACGTCGGAGAGATCGACCGAGCCGGCATGCTGCGTCGTTTGAGTCTTCCATTGTACGATTGCCCTCGCACCTTGAATGTGGATTAGCCATCGATCAGCCTCAGCCGTGAGTAACTCCAGATTGTAAAGAAGGAGCACAGAAGCCAAGGCACAACGCGCGGGATGGACCCAAGTCGATGGATTCGAAACAGTCTGAAAGAGGCTCAACTGCTGCGACAGCGATGAAAGAGCCCTATCGCGATTATAACCGGACACGGCCTGCAATCTACCGAACCAAGGATGATCGGCCGGGTACTTGCATGCGAGATCCTCCGATGCCATGGCCAGCACGGAGAAGAGGACCGTCGGCGAAGTGTGTGATAAAGGTAAGACGATATTCCGCCACGGGTTGCCCGGGCCATCAACCCAGGCGAGTTTCGTGGCAACACCTTCGTTAAAGTGGCGAAGTAGTTGGGATGTGAGATTATTGAAGATTGAAGTGGGCTGAATAGTGAGGGGTGATGGGACCTCTTTCTCTACAGGCACACATTTCCCCATGAACTTTCCTCTGCTTGCAACGCCTTGATCCCATCGCAGATGCACTCCATACCCCGGACAGTCGAAATCCCGCGAGATGCATTTTCGGCACTTGGGCTGGGTCCGATCACACGGGATACGTCGGGATTTGCATTTTTGACAGTCTGCAGGACCGCGTTAGTGACGCGCACGACAAATTTGCATCACAATTTCATTTACCTTTATTGGCAGTGGGCACAGACGGTCCCGTAGAGGCCATATGAAGAGATGAGAACGCTTCAACGGATCAAAGGGGACGATGCGGCCTGGACGAGTTGTTTGATTGGTGCTTCATTAGCGAGGTTGATGGGATGGTCTCACGATAAGTGAAAAGTGGAAAAGTAGGGATGTGAGTGGCAAAAGGTACTTTTATTTAGCCGTCGGAAGCTCATCCGAGCCGATCCTTGGGTGCGTGGCAGTACGGCTGTTGCCCTACCTAGTGTCTAGCTCTATGGACAGCGATCATTTGTCATTTTCCTCAATCATATATAATGCTTTACATGCATGTCATATTACATCTCTAGTTCATTGTGTGTTCAATCTCAAGGTATTCGTCATGCCCTAACAAACAACAACTAAGTAGCATTATTTGCGCATGTCCAACTAGCAGACTTCGAGCTCTCGTTGATCGATTTTTCAAAAACACAGTCCCAGCCCGCACTAATCAGAATACCTTGTTTCCAGGTTTGAAAGAAAAGGAACTTACAATTGCCCATGCAATGCCCAAGATAAGTACATTCATCACGGTGAGGCAAAGTATTCATTGCCAACCACAATATAGCAGGGAGTCCATCTAGATTTATCCATTAGTCTTAGCAAATCATAAGAAAAGAGGGTAGTTTCCAATACTGACAGCTAAACCAGCTTCCGAACAGCGAACTCTTTGCTTATTTGAGTAAACGCAAAGGACAGCATGCGTGCAGAGAACGTACAATAAGACTCAAGAGGTCATTGAAGACCGGGATCGACTCGACCCAGATAACCGAGACAATCACTACCCACGATCCAATAGAGACTGCCACGCCGGGACACCCTTCGGGCGAGTCGGTTATCGGGCTGAACAAAAGTCTGAGTATGATAATGTGGCAAAATGCGTATCAACTACTCTCATCGTTCCAGAATCCGTGAACCCCCTGTCCCAGACCCTTCTTCCTCGCCAACTCCAGCGCCAACCGACTACTAACAAGGTTCATCATGAATCTCCTTCATATGCGGCTTATACGACCCAATCAGCGAAACGAACCGGTTCTTGCGAGAGAGGCCTGTACCGCCGAGAAAGAAACCAAGGGGTCCGTAGATGGTGTGCAGCAGGTCTGGGGGCACGAGGAACCAGTGATCAGAACTCCCAGTCTTTGGTGTCTGATATGTCTTTCCACAAGCGAAATCCGGGGGGGCACTCTTGCTAAACCAAAGAGGACGTAACACACATCCTTCCAGGGGATCGGTTCGTCTGATTTGTAGCCCGTAAGAAAGTCGTAGAAGGAGCTAGTTCCGTTAAGCTTGAAAGTCAATTTGTCACGATATTGGGATCGGAAACGTACATGCGTTGAGTGGTCTCGTCCCAGAGGATCTTCGAAGGTGCGGAAATCGGGCGATACTGGCCGATAGTGGTACATTCACTGGGCACAAGTCAGTTGCCTTGCAAAGGTTATAGAGATTGCGAATTCATTGCGATAGAAGAGGAAACGCATAGACCGCTTACAGCCACGCTGCTTTGAACTGAGCTCTGATGAAGTCGCGCTTTTGAAGATCGAGCTGCCAAAACCACGGGCCTATCTTTTGGCCGGGAAGACTTTCAAGTAGCAAACATGTATAGAACCCGCCCGGAACTGGATCAGTCGAACTTTGTACTTTGCGGGCAACGCCCAGCAACCGCGGCGCTGAGCTACACTGCGCCTCTTCGAGCAGCGTCAGGGCGTCCAACATATCTTGGCCGTATCTTGGGAGGGTTTGCTTGGCTTGACGAGCCCTTTCTTCGGACGACATAATCTCTCCTCCGGCATGATACACTCTAGACAGAAAAAAGCTCAATATCAGTATACGTATGGGGGATCTATCGGGGTGGGTTGTTTACTGCAGAATGATACGAACAAAGGCTTCTTGAGTCAGGTCCGCCGTGTTTTTGGCACGGAATGTGCCATAAGAGACAGATGGTACTGCCCACTCGTCCTCGAGAACTTCATCGGGAGTCATCTGGGCATGGCGTTCTCGCAACTTTTCGGTAAGCGTCCAGACGGAATTGAGACTTGGAAACGAGATAGGTCGGCCGATGAAAGTGATGTCGAAGAACTCCAGGTCCTCCATGGTTATTGAGAGAATTGAGAGAAAGACGAGGAAAAGAGAAGAAAGGTAAAGATAAAGGGGACCAAAGATAGAGAGGGAGAGAACGAGACACTGAAGTGCTGAGAGATAACGGAGAGGATGGAGAGAAAAGAAGCTCGGGAAGAATAAGTGAGGAGTAGGTAGCAGGTAGGTAAGACTGAGGTGTACCATTCACTGTTATCCCCAACTGATGTCAACCTTACGCCCTCTGGAACATGCGGATCCGCAGCCACCCTATAGCTTTATCCAGACTAGCCTGGAACTTTCATATACTCTGTTTTTTCTTTCCAGAATGGAATGAGGCTGTTTGATGTATGGTTTTCACGAGGACTCCTTGATATAGTTCTGCAAGCTCACGCGACTGCAGCCACCTGTGAAACGTGACCTGCACCCTCTAATTGGATCCCCAGCTCTTTGTCTGCAGATGGCCTCCACGTCGGAGCATTCTGGCCTGTCTGGGAGGCATGGGGAAAGTGGAAAGGCACATCTTCATCCGCCTAGATCCTACTTTTGCCTATACATCAGAACAGCATTCATCACCTCACAAATCAATTGATTCCTCTACTCAAAAACCCATATAAAACACTATCACAATGAAATACATCAACCTGATTCTCTCTCTGACCGGCATATCTATGACCAGTATGTTACTATCCCTTCACTTCCATCCATCTCTTCAGTTCTGTTGAATTTGGCCACTGCACTAAAAAGGGTCAACCCTTACTTAGCAAGGGCTTACTCTAGTGCACATCTCCCGCGGCCACAAGTTCTCAAAAGTATCCAATCACCCGTGTCCGATGCCGGTGCATGTGCCACAGCTGTGGCAATTGTGGCTGGTGACACACGGACCAAGCCACTCGGGCAGCAAGTGGATTATGTAACGTCATCGGGAAACGATCAGCAGCTGGAATGACGTCTTGTCCGGTGGGCAGGTTTCTTTCCTCGCAAAGGGATGATCTTTTGCTGGTTGTTACACGGTTTGCGCATGGTCCGAAGTTTTAAAAAACCCTGTTTACCCCCCTTTTCATTCCTCCGCTTGAGCTGTGCCACATTTTCCTCATTCATCTCTTGGAGTTCTCCTTTCCGCGGTGTGTTTACTACTGAACCGACGCAAGCCAAGCGCCCAGACTTTGTTGCTTGTCGGATGACCTGACTCTAATTTAGTCTTATTCTTACTTCTTTTTCTCGTCAGCTCTCTGGAGGAGAAGTTCTTTTACCACAGAGACCTTTCTTCGTTTATTGTGATTTAAAGACTCATCTACACAACTGGACAGCCATGTCAGGTCCACTTATGTCTTTGGTGGGGAAGAGGGTTTTGGCAGAGTCCGCGCGAAATCATTTTGGACAAGAGGTGAATTTTCTATCTAGGACTGTTTGTCGCATCCATAATAGCTAATCAATACTGCTTGACTAGGACCCATACTTTGAAGAAGTCCCTGCTTCGCGTTTATCCCGTGCGTTTGGCAAAACGACTCAAAAACGGCGCAAAGCTGTTCCGCCTGGCCTGTCCAAGAACGATGAGCAGGTGTTGACCCAGGTCAAGCGTCGAGCCTACAGACTAGATTTGTGCCTGTTCAGTTTGTGTGGCATCCGGTTTGGCTGGGGGAGCGTAATTGCTTTGATTCCTGTGTAGGTTTTGACTGAGACTATCTTCGGTATGGCCCGACACTAACCATGTTGTAGTGCCGGAGACATCCTCGATACCTTTTTCGCACTCATGGTCCTGAGGAGCTGCGAGAATATCGACGGCGGGCTTCCTGCATCACTGCGGATGAAGATGACCATGAACATTATCTTTGATTTCGTCATTGGCCTCGTCCCTTTCGTTGGAGACCTCGCAGACGCCATGTACAAATGCAACACCAGAAACGCCGTGATCCTGGAGAAGCACCTGAGGGAAAAAGGGGCCCGGACTATTGCCAAGAGACGGAAACAAAACGAGGATCCCGACGTGGATTACAGTCTGCCAGACGAATTTGACAGATATGACGAGAATATGGTCGATGGTCGTCCGTCTAGACACGCGAGTCGGTCGCGCAGCAAGAGGACAAAGAGTCCAGCCAGACCTCAACCAGTTAGGCATGCGCAAAGTAACCGACAGGAGCGCAAATGGTTTGGCGGATCGGCTCCTCTGGATGATGACCTGGAAACTGGCGTCGTTGATAACACAAGACGCTAGATGATGATGATTTGTCTTTGATATGAGTATACCCCACTTTATGAGATATCTAGGAGTTGGCCCCGACGCGTGTAATAAATGATAATACCATTGTCTTTTCCTCGAATTCAGCAGACCGCAAATGGAGTGTTCACTTAGCAGCTGAGATCAGGGCGAGACCGAGCACAGGCGTAGCAGAACCCGGGGGTTTGGCCCTCGACCGAAGTAGGTCTATCTTCGGCCTCCCAAATGGAACTGCCGCAGAAGGTGCACTGAGACTTTTGGGCCGGTCCTTGGGAAGATTGAAGCTTGTTTGCGGTTCTGGTCACATTTAACATCACGCCAGGATATTTTTCACCTTGAGTTTGGACATATCGCATCATCAATTCATCAATAGACAGGTTCTTTGTTAAGGTGTTTTCAGACGGTGGCTCATCCGGCAGGATCATGCGGGACAGTTCTGGGAAGAAGCTGGCGTAATTACGCAGTTCGACCGTGAACAAGTCGCGCAGAGCGAAGTTGAATTCTAGCCCAGATGGAGACATGCCGTCCGATACTTGCCATGTCAACGAAGAGCCACGTCCCTTGGCGACGTTTGCGAGAGTCTTCGCAGCAAGCGTAGTATCCGAATCTCCCCATAGGATGGTCTTTGCGCCAACTTCCTTCGCGATAGCAACGATAAGTCTGTTCCTGAGGGCGCCGTCCACGTCAGCCTTCGATGTGGCGGATTCGATGGAGGACCGGAACGCATCCAGGCGCTCCTTATGCGACAAGGAGGGATTATCGGTGAACTTCGTGCCGGCGAACTGAGCCATCGTCTGCTGCATATCAGGGACATGCTCGAATATATCGTGGAAAGGGATCCGGGTAAATGTGCAAAGCGGGAAGAGCTTTTGCGCCAGCTCGAAGCCCTCATCATGCGCCGGCTGCGAAGGGGAGATAGTCGACGGGTCTATGATGAGCACATGGAGATCGAATCCTGGTGGCGGGTGGGATTTGGAGCGCTGAACTCGAACTTGATCGTGTAGCAAATGCAGCAGAACCGACGAGGAGAGGCCGTAAGAGAGGGGAACCAGGATTTTGTATTCTCCAGTTTTTGGTAGATCCCTCCGTAGACGATATTTCTCCGTTCGGCGAAACACCTTGTAACCGACGACTCGTTTATAGCAATCTCTGTTCAAACCCGAAGAAAATGTCTATTGTCAGTTATTGCACCCCACTTCCGGAGTAGGTCGACGGAGGAACGCACATGCATACTCGACGTTTGCGGAGGGTCAAAGTGGACTCGACCTCGCGGCAGTCCAAGCAAGGATCTAACAATTCCATTCCAGGCATCTTCTTTGATTTTTTTCAAATCCTTTGCTTTTCCTGGCGCATAAAGTTGTGGTGCAAAACGATCGAGATCGGGGAAGAAAAGAAGCCAAGGCAGAATTCTCTCGGCGGTGCGACGACGGGCTTAGATAATTCCTGGCGGGACAGTCAACACGCGGCTTCCCCGGTTTGTAGCCACGACTGCTACTCCGAAGTGACAGGCTGACGCATCGATTTATACCGTTGCCGTTGGATTTTCTTTCGACTCTCCATCGCGATACCTTATTTTTCCTTGTCTTTTTCTTTATCTTTCTTATGACCCCGGTCCGGTGAACAATCCTTCTCGCGCTCGGTAACTCCGGAGCCTACCTGGTAGCACCTGGTTAGCTCCTATTTTCACGACCACGATGAAGGGCTGGCTCCAGACCCTGGGCTTGACTGCCCTGTTGGCAGGACAAGCGCTTGCAAATGAAATCGAATTGGTGCGCCGAGATACCCTGAGAGACTAACCATCCGATTGTCTGACCGTTGCGTGCTTTTTAGACACAAGATGAGGCCCATCGGCAACGGTGTTCGGGGATGTACAGTCGCAAAGCTTGGGGCGGACAGGTTGATCCTTTCATATTGACCAAGTTTGTCTCTGAGTCACCTGGTGAAGGTGATCCTCTCGTCAGTATGGTAATCTTTGAATGGAGCGATGAGGCTTTGATTGGGAGACTGGTGTCGGACGACGCCGAGGTACGCTCCGAACAACCTATGATTGACTTCCGATTTCGCTTCTAAGTGCATTGTAGGAGAAAGAGACAATCTGCGATGAAGCTAGTGTACGAGCGAAGCTATGTAAAGAAGAGGAAATCGGCTCCTTTATCCTCGCCGCCAACGCGACCGACGCCTCCCTATTCCCAATCATGTCCAAAGCGATAAACTTGAATAAGCCGGAAACGATCAACTATCCGATTAAGAAAACCGGCTTCTACTGCGTGAGCACGTATGGATACTCTGGAAAGGACTATAAAGCGGTGGTCGAATTTAGGAATGCGTATGGAGAACTTCCGGCTGCGCAAATCGCCAAACTACCATTCTATGGCGGCCTCACCATTGTCTACGCTGTGGTTGGAATGTATGGATCTCGCCTAGTCATTTGTTTATTGAAGATGTGTTCTGATTTAAGACAGCTTCTGGGCTTTCCTATATGTGCAAAACCGACACGACATTTGTGAGTGATCTCTCCCGATTTTGTGTAAAGAAAGACTCTAACCTCCGACAGTGCCCGTGCAGAACTACATAACCGCTATTTTGGTTTTCTTAATCGTCGAACAGTTGATGACTTGGGGTTTCTACGGTACGTCATCGTCCGAAATAACATCTTCAACTCGATCGCTAACCGCTCCCAGATTATCAAAATAGGAATGGTCTAAATGTTGGTGCAAAAGCATTGATGGTCATTGTTGCAGTCCTCAATGCGGGAAGAAATGCCTTCTCGTTTTTCCTCCTTTTGATCGTCTGTATGGGTTATGGCGTTGTCAAGCCCTCCCTCGGCCGCACCATGGTTTATGTCCGCATCCTCGCTATAACTCACTTTGTCTTCGCCGTGATATATGCTGTAGCAAGCCTATCGATCACCCCCGACAGTGCTGGACCCCTTGTCCTCCTGATCGTGCTTCCGCTCGCCGGTACATTGACTGCCTTCTATGTGTGGACGTTGAACTCGTTGAATGCCACCATGAAGGACCTGGTTGACCGAAAGCAGAAGGTGAAGGCTATGATGTACAAGAAGTTGTGGTGGTGCATTCTGGGTAGCATTATGGTAATCTTTGGGTTCTTCTTCATCAACTCGATCGTCTTTGCTGGTCGCAGCGAGGCGAGCTTCGTGCCGGACCACTGGAAGACCCGATGGTTTGTGCTGGACGGCTGGCTCAACCTCGTTTACCTGTTCGACATTGGGTTCGTTGCCTATCTGTGGCGACCTACCGCCAACAACAGACGATTCGCCATGAGTGACGAGGTAAGTACCGGAACTTTACTTTCCACAATTCGTACTGACGACTTGTCTAGCTTGCCCAAGACGACGACGGCTTCGAGATCCGGTCCTTCGGTAGCGCTTTGGATGAGGAAGACGTTCTTGCCGACAACGAGGGACAGCATCCCTCCGAGCAGCGCCGTGACCTCTCACCTGTGCCTCCTAAACCCGTTCCTTCTGCACCGCGCCAACGGGAGTCTTTGGACGGAGAGACGATCTTCGCCGTCGGTGAAGACGGCGACAAATGGACCGATGACGAGGATGAATCGCCGCGCAACTCCGGCGAGCACCAACGACTCACTGGCAAGGACAGGGACTAAAAACTAGATCTTTCTATGCCACAGAATGATTTCCTATTGGTGGTGGATGACACCACATCGTGGTTGCAACGCCTGCATCACCTTGTACTGATACCTGGGGGCCACCGGACCCCATTCTCAATGAACCGGAGGAATTGAACTGCTTTCTCTTCAACCTTGGCAAGCAGGCATCGGAACGGCGTTCGGCCTTTCGGTTTTTGTGTTGTATCTTTCGTTTTCATGTTCACTAGCTACGCAGATTCTTTTAGATGACGAGAGATGAAGCCGCTCTCATAATGTAAATGTTCGCAAATCCGTTGCCTACCGTGTACCTCTAGCGACATCAGGTTCAATATGGCCCAATTGCCTATCAAGTAATATGTTTATTGCACTTATGTCTATCAGGCGAATTCTTACCCATTTAGGTTTAAATCATGACCTGGAATGATGACTCAAGGCTACCAGTGGGGAATGTAGAAAGGCCGGATGTCATTGTTTCTGACAGTGACCATTCCATTCTTCCCTCCGACTTATTTCTTCTACTTCTCTCGGTCCCTCCCTCTCCTCCTAATTCTTCTCATCTCTACATTTCTCCCTCTAAACTCTCCAGACAACCACCCCCATCACCAGGAAACCAACAATGCCAAACTCAAACACCACCGACCCTCCACCCCCACCACCACCCACCTCCAACTCACCCCCCGAACTCACATCCTCGCTCATCACCCGCTGCAAAACACTCCTCTCCGAGCTCGACGCCTTCCAATCTCTCGTCGCCTCCACGCAACGAAACCCCCAAATCGTCGAAGCCCGATCTCTCCGCTCAAACGTCCTCTCGGAACTCCGCACGCTCGAGAAACTGACGGAGAGGGTGCGCGTGGCCAGCGCGGAAACACACAATGACACCGATGCCAGTGCCAATTCCAATGCTGACGCTGACGCTGACGCCGACGCGGAGATACAGAAACGGCTACTGCACGCGCTACGGTCCTCGAATCTGCCGTTCTACGAGACGGTGTGGACGATAGCGAAGAGGTCGTGTTCGGGGCTTGTGGCGTTCGGGAAGAGGTTTTATTGGGATGGGGAGAGCAGGGAGGGAGAGAAAGAGACGGAGGGGAGAGACAATTCTAAGGCCACGGCCAAAGCTCAGATTAAGGGCAAAGGCAAGGGTAATGGAGGCAAGGTTAAACGGAAGAGTGTCTATGTGGATATCGTGGCCGATGACGGGGAGGAGTGGGTGAAGGTGTCGACGATCTCAGAGACGAGGTTGTTGTTCGAGATGGCGAAAAAAGGGTGGGAGGCTGATTCGGAATCCGAAGACGGGTCCGACGAGGAAGGGGGACGGACGATCTTGCAGAATTTCAAGGACGGTGCGGGCTATGACAGTGACGATGATGACGAGGATGAGATTGAATTGGTCAAGTTGGCAGCGGATATGAGGAAGGCTGCTAACGTGACGAGGGTGAACTACAAGCATCCGCGGCTACGGATGGTGATTTCGAAGATTGAGGAAGGGAAGAGTTCAGACATCGACAATTTGCTCAAGGTAATACGGAGCTATGGGGTCGTAGTCGATTGCGGGGAGGGCAATCTGGGTTCGTCTTCGTCGTCAGAAGAGACCAACCCTGAAGATGTGCTTGCGAAGGAACTCCGTCGACTTCTGCCCACCCCGTTCAAACGGTTTACGTCCCTGTTAAATGTGGATTGTACACTATTGCTTGCAATCGTTTCAGACGTGTCTTATTTCAAGAAGATACCCCCGTCTCCATCACTCCATAGAGCCATCCTCCGCCAGCTCGAGGTCGAAAGTCAGCGGCCATTGCTAACCACGGAGCTTTGGCCCGCCATGGGTGCGCACGAGTTGGTGTGCACCAACGAGGCAGCTAGACGGATGCGTGAGATTGTGGACGTGATTGGCACCGATACTGAAAAGAAACGGGCTGAGATTGTGATGGCCGATCCGCCATTCAACGACCGCGATGCGAAAGACCTCATCCATGACCTTCAGCAATTGTCAGACTATGAAATCCCATCACACTGGAAGCTGCCCATAAGAATAGTGGATGCCGGTCCTGTAATTGATGCAGCGAAAAACAACGGCCAGTTGCCTCCGGTAGCCCACCAAGTAACCGAGATACTGTCTGATATCAACTACAGCGTCTTCATGTATGGGTGGGCCACTGCAACGACAACAATATCCAGCAATCGAACGGTGGTTAAACAAATCGAAGCCACAGTGGAGATGCAAAGAAACGGCGATGAAGATCTGGAGGGACCGCAGATATGGGTCTGTGACACGGCCAGGAGTTTAGTGGGCAAGGAAAGGGGCCGAAAAGACTAGAAAATGTTTCCCTGAGATAAATCATAGAAAAGAAATTCCATACGGCGGAGATGAATGGGCCTTTTCTCAATGGGTAGTGGAAGATATCAGGCATCATCGAACAATCCGCATGGCGAGCGAAAACAAGATTTGAGATTACCGCGGTTCGCGTGTTGGTGCCTTAAGCCAATCCCTGTTTACTTCTCGGAGGGCTGGTAGCTGTTGTCCGGAAGCCAAAAGGCCAATTCTTTATCAGCCGAAGCGAAGAAATTATACCTGGGGTTGTACTCAATCACAGCGGTCCGGCCGCGATTGGGCAACCGGCATGTTGGCTGTAACAGGCCGTTGGCATCGGGAGCCTGCTGCGTGTCCCACACGAGAACGTCGTGCTGGTCGCCCGAGCCTCCGAACACAAAACGACCGTCCGGAGAAAAGCAAGCGTCGCCCTGTCCGAGAGGCTTGCCTGTAGTCGAAACCGGGGCTGCTCTACCAGGCGAGCCGTTCTTGCCAACCAAGAAGGCCTTGACGGTGCCCTCGAAGGCATCGAGAACGAAGTGGCCATGGTAATCGGTTCCAACAAGCAGGTGCTTGCCATCATTAGAGAATTCAAGACGAGTCCAAGCCCTGCCACGAGTGGACGGGGTGTATTTCTCTTCGTAAGGTGCCATATCGAAAGTCGAGAACGGAGCTTTGTCATAATTGCGGAAGTCGTAGAGGAGGATGGACGACGTGGACTGGGTAGCAATGGCAATGACCGAGGCAGAAGGGTCAAACGCCACAAGATAGGGGGTAGCAAGCTTCAGCTTTCCCTGCATGTTTCTCGAGCCCAGGTCCCAGACCGCAATGGTGTCGTCTTTGGAGCAAGAGATGAAGGAGTCGCTGCCAGGAGAGACGGCCAGAGAGGTCACCTTATCGGTATGACCGGAAAAGTAGCGAACATATCCCTCATTGTGGAGATCGAGCAATCTCAGGGAGTCTTGAGCAGCATCAGTAAAGAACAATAGCCTAGGAAGCAAACTGTGGACAGTGTGGCATGTGGAACGTACCGTCGACTTTTGTGCTAGCATGAAGAACCTGACGCGCATGGTGTGTGAACCTGGCCAGGTGGGCACCGTATTTCTTGCTGGGCACCGACTTGGTCATTTTGCCTTCTTTGATGTCGAAGATTTGGATGGTTTCGTCATCTCCAGATGCCACCAGGTGTTCGCCCTGGTCGTCGAAATCAAGAGAGGTTACATATTTGGAGCTTTCTGGTTTCTGTCGATTGAACGCCTGAAAAAGTATCAGTCTAATTCGGCTAAGGACTTGACAGCAGAAAGAGCCGTGTACAAACCCTGGTGGGACGAAAGCTACGAATAATGTCCGACACTTTCTGTGTCTGTAGCTGCTGGGAAGCCTGAGGCTGCTGAGACGCCTGCGGCGCTGCCTGACCTGGCTGGCTGTCCGCCATGATTGATTAAATTAAACGATACGGCGAAAGAGCGAAGTCAAAGAAGCCTAGATCTAGTTGAAAATTATGGGTCTTCGAGATGACTATGCCCGGGAAGTTCGATGAGTCTTCACTCGGCTCTCACTAGATCCTCCGCAGTGAAGGAAGAAGCTTCCAGGCTCCGGCTATCAACGAGGCAAACGCGATCTGCCCAATTTCACGCGTTTGACAGGCTCTAGCCTCTTCGGGTCAAGACCAGCCTGACCAGGGCCGACCGGGATCGGCCGGGTGGATAATCCGCTCCGACGGTTAGACTCGGTTGACCGCCCGACGTCGGAGGTATGACCAATCACCGCCCGTGGAATCCAATCGGCGAAGCTTAGACAGATCGCTCGGCGCGAGATTATGAAGGAAATGCTACTTCTTACACCTCCGATCTGACCCTTCGCTCTCTTTGCACTGTTGGACCACCCTCTTTGAGCAGCCGTTCAGGGCTAGGACATTCATTTGCGACTCTCTCCACTCTGCTGTATCTTGTTTCTGTCCATTGAGGTTAATCCTCCTCTGTCGCCGACGATTCTGCGCTCTCCGCCGTTGACCGGGGCTTTCATTCAGTGAATCATGTCTACCACCACAGGGTATGTTTCGACAGTGAAGCGCGAATCAGGCAAGAAATTTGGCTAATTTTCCTGTCACATACAGAGCATTTATTGCGGGCGGAATTGCAGCATGCGGAGCGGTCACAGTCACCCACAGTTTTGAAACGGTGAAGATTCGGTGCGGAATACTCTACCACTGAGCGCATGCCATTCGCCTTCCTCGTCTGACGATTGTCTCACTTGCAGTCTGCAACTACAAGGTGAATTGCAAGCAAAGGCCGATGCGGCCAAGAAGTACAAGGGTGTGACGCATGCCGTCAAGGTTATCCTACAAAACGAGGGCCCTAAAGGGTTGTTCCGAGGCATTGGTGTTGCTGTAGGTCATGAATGCGCATAGTGGCAGGCTAGTGGCTGACTGAACGGACCTAGTATATATATCAAATCCTGCTCAATGGCTGCCGTCTAGGGTTCTATGAGCCCGTGCGTACGACGCTCACTTCGGCTATCTACAAAGACCCGCAAGTTCAATCCCTGGGTATCAACGTTCTCGCCGGCGCTTCGTCGGGTATCATTGGTGCTGCCGCCGGCTCTCCATTCTTCCTGGTCAAGACTCGTCTCCAGTCCTACTCTCCGTTCCTCCCCGTCGGCACGCAGCACAACTACCGCAACTCGTTCGACGGTCTGCGCAAGATCTACACAACCGAGGGTGTGAATGGGCTGTACCGAGGCGTGGGCGCAGCGATGGTGCGGACCGGATTTGGTAGCTCTGTGCAGTTGCCGACCTACTTCTTTGCCAAGCGACGTCTCACGAAGCATTTGGGCATGGAAGAAGGCCCGGCTCTTCACCTAGCCAGCAGCACGGCCTCTGGATTTGTCGTCTGCTGTGTCATGCATCCCCCAGGTATGCTCTACGATATGCTGGGTTGCGCACCGTCCCGCTAATCATTGTTGTTTAGATACCATCATGTCCCGAATGTATAACCAGACCGGTAACCTGTACAAGGGCGTATTCGATTGCTTGTATAAGACTATCCGTACAGAGGGTCTGCTTGCCATCTACAAGGGCTATTTCGCTCACTTGGCCCGTATCCTACCCCACACTGTAAGTTATCCCTGTGCACAGACGAACCACCCCGAACATATGACTAATCTTCTTGCAGATCTTGACCCTCTCCTTGGCCGAACAAACCAACCGGTTCATGCGGAAGGTTGAGGACCGGCTTCTCTCCGACGACCTGAAATCGCGTATATAATTGAAGAGTACGGGATTGCCGTGAGCTAGTATAAGAGGGGGTGAAGTCCTTGATTTTTGATTTGGTCTTTGGCTAGTCGAATACCCGGGCAATGGTAAATAAGAGGCGTTTGAACTTGGGTTGTGTCGTCACGTCACTATAGAGAATTTTGTACATAGGAAAGAATACTACATCTAGACTGCATGATATGATCTGCAACCTTGCATATAATTTTGGACCAAGTATTCCGAGAATCCAAAGCGCTGCATCGCGTTACAGGGGCCGATAGATCAGTCGCGTGGGATATGGAGCGTATAATACGGGTAATGCTTCACAATTGACACATGCCAATTCCAAAAGGAACGTGTTCAGATTCCCTTGAAAACCTAAAGGGATGTGAGAGGAATCAGACAGCACACAGAAAGACACAATCCTAGAGTCAATGTTCAGAACACGCCCAATTCCACACCGACGCGTCTCTGTTTACGATGTCATCATCGACCGCCTTGGAAGAAAAGAAACGAAACGAGAACAGTCCCCACAGGGGAGCCCAGGCCCAGACGCTAAACGTCAGCCCCAAAGCATCCCTGAGAAATTAGATCCGTAAATCCGAGGTGGGTGCCTGGAGTAGGCAGAAAGAGCCACTCTACACGTCGCGTCGCGTGCTGCAAGGGCAAGGCTCTTTGCTTCGTCGGAGAAACACTAGCTTATTCTATCATTATCAAATCTCCATTCTGGGCTACCGCTGTGGGGATGAGTGGGTAGGTTTCATTTGTCAGATTGCAGTTCCTATTACTGAGGATTTCCTGGACTGGGTGAAGGACTTAGGGAGACGCGTTACTCCAGTATGGAGAGCAAAATAGGAACAGTCACAGGTAACACGGTAACACAAGACCTGCACCAAGCATTCATACTACAACACACTCAAGAATAGATGGGTTATATGTAAACTAACTACTGAATAATTGCAAGTGCGCTAAATACTAAACTTAACAGGGAGTCATGGTCCATGGGTGGCCAGAGTTAGATCGACGGTGCAGGGAGAGATGAAATCTCATCAGATAAGATTAAACCACCTCTGCTGGGCGACGCGACATACTCGGCAACACCCTCTCTGGGAAACTGTGGGAATTCAGGTATGTGGGGATTAGGCACATACCTAAGAAGTTTGATCATTCAGTGGAGAATCCAAACACCGGATGGTAGGAAACAGCAGTGGTCTGACCCAACCACAACCCGAGTTGGAGTGTGGACGATGTTGTTTTCCAGTTTCCTGTAGGGGAGAAGCGTGAAGACGCGACCGGCAGCAGGGAGACTCCGCCAGCCACCGGCCCCAGAGGCGCGCCAAGTCACGTGCACCGTGACTTAGCCCGTCGCGCTAGTGACCGCGCTCCTCGTCCCAAGCAAGTATTTCTTCGCCCGGTTCTCCCACTTCATCTGCCATTCTTTCCTCATCCCATTCTCCCTGCTTCATAGTTTGGCGTGCTTTTGTGTCAGTGTGATCAATTCGTCTGCACTTTGCATTCTATAAATCTCTCAGACACTGTCCATCATGTCCTCGCAGTTCACTCCCTCCAAGCAGGTACGTGAGGTCATATGTCGCCTCTCGCGGCCGACGCGTCGCTAGTCGTGTTCAAGCTAACAATGTACCTTTCAATAGGCTGCTTCCTCTCTTGAGAACCTCAAGATGAACGACTCGCCCGTCAAGAAGCTTGACTTCGAATCTGTCGGCAAGGAGAACGTGCCTTCGTCCACCCCCGCTGTCGACATGACCGCCACCAAGCCTGTGGCGGAAAAGCCTGCCGAAACTTCCTCCATTGTTGCTGCTATCAAGGAGATGGAGGCCCAAGAACCTTTGCTTCAAGAGAACCCCAACCGTTTTGTCCTCTTTCCCATCAAGTACCATGAGGTGAGTTGACACGTCCCGTACGCGTCACGCGTAAATTGATTTTTGCCGCACCCTTCCGAATGATCCATGCGTCACCCCCACTATCCAATTACCTTCGCTAACCTGCCGTCTTCTCCCTCTTAGATCTGGCAAATGTACAAGAAGGCCGAGGCTTCGTTCTGGACCGCCGAAGAAATTGATCTGTCGAAGGATCTGCACGACTGGAACAACCGTCTGAACGAGGATGAGCGTTACTTCATCTCTCACGTTCTTGCTTTCTTCGCCGCCTCGGACGGCATTGTCAATGAGAACCTGCTGGAGCGCTTCAGCGGAGAGGTGCAGGTTCCCGAGGCTCGTTGTTTCTATGGATTCCAGATCATGATTGAGAACATCCACTCGGAAACCTACTCTCTTCTGATCGACACCTACATCAAGGAGCCCAAGCAGCGCACCTACCTCTTCGATGCTATTGATACCAGTACGTTTGAGCACTCCGCATTTATCATACAGGAATTGCTAACATTTCAAAAAGTTCCCTGCATCAAGAAGAAGGCCGAATGGGCCATCCGATGGATTCAGGACCAGCAGTCGACCTTCGGCTCCCGTCTCGTCGCCTTCGCCGCCGTTGAGGGTATCTTCTTCTCCGGATCTTTCGCTTCCATCTTCTGGCTGAAGAAGCGTGGCCTGATGCCCGGTCTCACTTTCTCCAACGAACTGATCTCTCGTGACGAGGGTCTCCACACTGACTTCGCCTGCTTGCTGTTCTCCCACCTCAACAACCGCCCCAACAAGCAGGTTGTGGAGGACATTATTGTCGAGGCCGTCGCCATTGAGAAGGAGTTCTTGACCGACGCCCTTCCCTGTGCCCTTCTGGGCATGAACGCCAACCTGATGTGCCAGTACATCGAGTTCGTGGCTGACCGTCTCTTGGTGGCCCTCGGCAACTCGAAGTACTTCAACGCCACCAACCCCTTCGACTTCATGGAGTCGATCTCCCTGGCTGGCAAGACCAACTTCTTCGAGAAGCGTGTTGGTGACTACCAGAAGGCCGGTGTGATGGCAAGCACCAAGAAGGATGCCGCTCAGGACGAGACCAAGACCGGCAACGGTGGTCTCTCGTTCGATGAGGACTTTTAGACTGATGCTACACGATTATACCCGGCCTTGTGGGCGGCCATTGGATACGAGCTAATTTGTTTTTTTTTTTTTTCACTACCCCTTGTTTCGTTTGTTCTTTTTGCTCCGGTGCTACTGATTTATGAGGTTTTCGAGGGATGCGCATGGGTCTGGCGTTTGACGGCGGGAACTATTGAACGTATTAATGTCTCATCACATTCGGTACGTACTTGTATGGTATGGAATGAATGGTGGACTGTATTTAAACGAATAGGATATTTGTACATTCGAGTTGGATATTTGCATTTCTTGTTTAAATAGTCTAGAATCAAGTGATCTATCAATGCTTTCTTTTCTCAGAGAGGCCTGGGTTCGTTCTTTTGCTGTACGTTTACAGTCTTAGACTCCATTGTAGGCATAGTTGACTTGCATCAGTCCTTCACATGAGAAATATTTTGTGTTTATGTACAAGACATACATCATTAAGTATCGTCTACCAAATGCTGGCTCCTAGGTGTATCCAAGTCATCAGGGGAAGAAAGGCAGCCCAGCCCACAGTCCGTGGAACTGAAAGGCAAACAAAAAGCAAAGATAGAGAAGAGAAGATAGACGACGTTGGCGCACTTTTTCCGCTCCCGATCAACCAACCATGAGACGTGCCGATCGTCAAACTCATCGCCTAGTATCCATCTAGGTGTGCGCATGCGCAACTAGAAACTCAAGGCGTCCATATCCATGCCCACTGGTTGTGCTCCCACCGCCCAAACAGACCGGCATCATATCCGCATGTGCCCTAACGAAGAAGCAGCCTCCCAGCTCACCTCTTCCCCTTCCCACCCTTCTTCTTCGATTTCCCACCCTTATTGCTTGACTCCGTCTTAGCCGCAGGTGCGGCGGCGGCAGTCGTCGGCGTAGCCGTACCATCCTCAGGAGCATCCGCCATCTCAACATCAGCGGCCGGAGCAGCAGCAGCAGCAGCGCCCAGACCCAAACTAGCCACATCTGCACCGCCGGCCAACTTCCCCAGACTTGTGATCAAGCGACCGACCTCGGCGGCCTTGTTGGTGCGATACTTGAGACATAGTCCGGCGGAGGGGTTGAATGTTTTCAGCGTCAGCGTGGCGACTGGCGTCGTGGTCGTCTGTGATTGTTGGGATTGAGGATCGGTGGGGGCGGCATCTGTCGTGGATGTGGATTTAGGTTTGTGTGAGGGGAAGCTGTATTTCGTTGTGATACGGGTCTGGAGGGGTCAAGTTAGTTAATCTGGCTCGTGTCTTGTCTTGATGCTGGCTGGCTGGCTGGTTGGTCTTTGAGAGGATAAGAACGTACGGTGTCCGGGTATGCTTCGAGTAACAGGGCCGATTGTTCCAGGTAGGCCTGGGGAGTTGGGAGGTACGGCATGATGTAGGTAGGGGTTTTGACGGTTTATCGTGTCTGAGAGAGTCGATCGGGTGGAGGATGAATTGTCGAACTGGCCGGCGCTGGCTGGTCGGTTGGTTTGGAGCGACTTTGCATCTGCCATCTTTATAAAGGCGGTGGGTGAACTTGGTGATGGTGCGTGGTGCTTGTTCTGGGTTGTGGTCTTAGCGTTAGTGGCATAGAGGGCATCTTCCATTTCTGTCTTCATCCATGCATTCATTTGTATCCACAAATATATTCGCCATTTAATCCAGCAGTCTATATTGTACTTGTGTCTTCTTGTATTGTTTGATCTCATTTTCGGCTTGATTGTTCGCCGACTATTGCCATATATAGCAACTATATATTCCTCAGTCTATACTTCCATTGTGCTCTGCATAAGCTGTGCTGTGCCATTCGCTCTTTGCTCGACCTTGTGATCGGTCAACTGTGAGCTTCACAACGCCTCCAAATCTTGGTCTCTACTAGACCCAACGAAGGATAAATGTTCAAAAACAACAGACAAGAGCCATAGTGCAACAAATATGATTCTCCTGCTCTTGTTAGTGGGCTACCACTTAGATGGGAAAACGTTATTTGTGGCAACATCAACATTCAGCCAGAGATTCAACATTCAGCCAGAGATGAATCAAGAGTGACAAAGGATCCTGTGCAGGACAGAAACCAACGCGAAACTGTCGCGAATTGTGGGTGACATCTTGAACTGTATGTCTTTGATTCATTTCCTTTCAACATTCAAAACGGTCCACTGTTGACGCAGGCAAGCTGATTGCCTCTAAGCTGTATATACAGCGGACATTCGAGGACGAACCTTCATATCATTCGTGCAATTGGTCATCAGGGATATGGCGCATATTATGAGGGATCTTGACGATCTCGTTACAGACACGGCGCATCCATCTCTGCGTACGGTCTCAACTATGTCGAGCCATCTATATCTGAGATACCATCAGATATGTCTTGCCTAGCTCCAAGAACTTCCCAGTGCATGAACAGGTCTTCACGTCCACCTCCGGAGAATTATGCATACATCCCCCCCCCCCAGCTCAAACCATTACTGAAAACGTCTCTACAGTCTGCAAAGATTTTAATTCGCACACTATCTTTCCTCTATGAGCAGTCATCACTTGGTAAGTGTTGTTCCTGAATGCTCTTCGCACTGTGGGGATTGAGCAGAGATCAATCTAACCTCCAAATACAGAATCATTCCTCCCATTCTACCGCGACAGCATCTTCTCTGCGTTTATACTTGTCCTTGCGGGGTTCATCGATGCCTCTGCTACCAGACTTGCCGAGTTACACAATGGCCATCTCACGGATGCTGAACGAGGTGATCACAAACGGAAACATGGTGGCTCAGATGCGCAAGGAAGAGCTGGACACCATCAATGATAGTGATGGGGGGCCAATTTTGAATTTGAGTATAGCAACATCTGGATGTAATACAACCACTTCTATCTATCTATCGTTTGACTGAACTACAATACCATCTCAATTGGTTATACCCTTCATCGTAAACCCACTCTCACCGGTAACGTCACCCTCTTCAACCGCGAAGGTCAAGGCCCCAGTATAGTACGCGCTCCCCTCGACACGCACAACGACCGCATCCCTCTCGTCCCCCCTATAGTGCTTCACACGCACTCTTTCCTCCACGATCTCCGCCGAAAAAGCCCCGGTATCAAAATGATTCGACACCAGCGAATTATACGCCCACCTCTGCCCCAGAGGCCTCAAGCCCTTCGCATGCGCCAGGGCCATTCTCGCCGAGACACACGACCCCGTCGGCGACCGATCGATCTGGTTATCCGCGAAGAAGCATAGCCCGGTCTCTGCGCCGTCGACGCCTTCCGGCCTCGATCCCACCCTGCCATCCACCACCATGACCGAATACAAGAACGCCAGCCTCTCATCCTCGACGTTCTGCAACGCTTCCACCACCACCGGATGCGTCGACAGATACGCCTTCAGCTTCTTCACCGCGTGCGAAATCGCATCGAAATCAACCTTCCCCAGACCTCCTTCAAACCCTAACTCCCGCGCCCCGACCAGCGCATAGAACGCGCCCCCATAGCTCACATCCAGCGTGATGGACCCCCGATCCCCGAGCTCCGGCCACTTGACTTCCTCCGGGATCTGCACCTCCAGGTCCCGCGCTGTCGCATACGCCGGGGTACTCAGGAACGTGACGGGTCGGGACGGATCCGATTTCGACCCATCCGCTGTCGTCGGCACACTCACTCTCACCAGACCGCAGGGGGCATGAATATTCACATTCACCCTCGCCCCGCTCCCATCCCCAGCCGCCTCGTCCACAACCAACCCCCTTCGACGCGGAAACACATCCAAGTCATGCGTATCGACTAGGAACCTTCCCAGCGCGATCGTCGCATGTCCGCACATAGTCGAATACCCGCCGTTCGTGGTGAACAGGACACCGATGTGCGCGGCACCGCTGCGCACGAGCTCCGTGTCCGACACGATGATCGCGCCGTACATGTCGCCGTGGCCGCGGGGTTCCAGCATCAGGCGTTTCCGGATGTGGTCGTTGTGGGTGAGCGCGTGGGAGCGCTGGTCGAGGAGTGTGATGGCGGGGAGGAGTGGGAAGCCGGAGTAGATGATGCGGGTGGGTTCGCCGGTGGTGTGCATGTCGATGCATTTGAGGGTTTGGGTGCCTGGTGAGGGCGTGGAGAGGGCGGTGGCGATGTCCATTGTGGGTGATTTTGGAAGGGATTGGGTATGAGATATGAGAAGGGGAAAGACGAGGAGAAGATAAAGGAGAGGAATAGAGGTGAATTCTAAGGATAGAGGAAGCTAGAAGGGAGGGCTGGTTGATGAATAGTTAAACTCGTTGGTGGAGATAGGATTACTTCGGAGACATGCTCCGTGAGGGTGAAAGCCTCCTGAGGGGTTTGATCGCAGAATTGCGGAGTGTTTCTGGCCTAGACAAGTCAAAGGGAGATTGCAATTCTTTGATTCGGCCACGATACCTGGACAGGTCAGAATCTGGCGGGGTTGAGGGTCGGAGGGCTGTTCCGATGCAGATCGTATCATCTAATAAAATGCATCTCATACTACATACGAGCATACATCCAAAGAGTGCCTATCTAGAGCTTTCAACTATTCCAAGATTTTCTGCCTCCCCAAAGCAGAAGTATACCAAATCCTCTGCACCCTCTCGCGCTCAGAATGCCAACGCTTACTCCGCGTCCTCACAGCAACCTTGACCCTCTTCTCACGTTGCTTGCAAGTATATCTACGCGCGTGTCTTCCGCGGATCACCGCATATGCACAATCGCGGCTTGATACCTGATTGTTCTAATGATCCGAGTCATAGCCTAGATCCTTTAGCTTAAAAATTAAATATTAATTTAATTAGTGCGCTTTAAGACTCTATATCTTTAGAAAATGACGAATGATCACTACTTATAGAACTTACTGCCACGCACCCAAGGATCGGCTCGGATGTGGTCCGTGTGTTACCAGCCACGATTGCCGCAGCTGTGGCACAGGCACCGGCATCGGCACTCTGTGGCGCACGTTTCCATTTCGGATGACTGCGCCACAGATAATCACTGGTTCGGCGGCTGCCATTCCAAGTCGCGGTCGGCTCGGCTCAGCTCAGCTTCTCTTTCGATTCCCCAGAAGAGTTGACTCGCTCTCAGCTCCCTTGCCCTCCTTTGTTATTACTCACAGTCTCTTTCGCCGATTGACAAACCGTGGGTTTGCTCTCTTATCACTATTGTTTTCATTTTTTCCTCTCAGCCACGGCTCGCTTCAGGTTGGCGCTTCTGCCAAGCACCCTTCCTGGAAGCTGCATCATCGCTGCGCTGTCCCCTCCAAGCGCGCGCTCGCTCTCTCCCTTCTGCTCCAACGCTCCTCACCTCAGGGGCGCTTTGCTCAACATCCGGTTACGTTGAAATGCTAGAGTACTTCGTACAGTATGACCGAAACAAAAATGCAGTTGGAAGATTGTATGTGTTTGCAGCCTTTGCTGGCTCTTTTCCCCTCCCTCGGTTATGCCGGAGTTCTCGCCCACGACTGTCAGCGTGATACTGACCATGCTTCGCCTTGATCAGGGCTGGATGACTTATGCGTCCGGTTTATCATTAACTTACCTCGCGAAGAGTTGGAATCCGTCGAACGGATATGTTTCCAGGTGGAAGAGGCGCAATGGTTTTACGAGGACTTTATCCGGCCGTTGGATCCGGCTCTTCCCTCGCTGTCGCTCAAGGCGTTCGCGCTGAGGATTTTTCAACATTGTCCGCTCATGTCGCAATGGTCTCATTATCACCACATCACCGCGTTCTCGGAATTCTTGGCCTACAAGACCCGTGTTCCCGTCCGCGGAGCCATCATGCTGAACTCGGACATGGATGAGGTGGTGCTGGTCAAGGGCTGGAAGAAGGGTGCCAATTGGAGTTTTCCTCGCGGCAAAATCAACAAAGATGAGAAGGACTTGGATTGTGCTATCCGTGAGGTCTATGAGGAGACCGGGTATGACGTTCGCGAAGCCGGGCTGGTCAAGGATGAAAAGGACGTCAAGTTCATCGAGATCACCATGCGTGAACAGCACATGAGGCTGTATGTCTTCCGAGATGTGCCTCGTGATGCGTACTTCGAGCCTCGTACGAGAAAAGAGATCAGCAAGATTGAGTGGTACAAGCTATCGGAACTACCGACGTTGAAGAAGAGTAAGCAACAGGATCAAGGATTTGCGGTCGCAAATGCGAACAAGTTCTACATGGTGGCGCCGTTCATGAACCCGCTCAAGAAGTGGATCGCCCAGCAGAAGAAACTTGATCCGAAGACTCATGTCGGGATCAAGCAGGTGTTGCAGAATGAAGGGGAGATCTCGATGGATGAACCCCTCGCTACTCATAATGGCATGACCCCAATCCAGGCGCCTGTCGAGATGGCTGCCCCGAGCACATTGCCCGAGGTTACAAACTCTCAGGATGCTTCGGTTCATTTAAAACGTCTTTTGAACATCAACGCTGCCGCTGTGCCGCAAGGTCCTTCCCTTGTGAAACCACCGCAGACCTCAGGTCCCGACAGCTCAAAGTCAAATGCTCTCTTGGAGCTCCTCAGGAGTGGTTCTTCTCGTGGACCCGCACAGCAAGCCTCTCCAAGTTATGAACAGACATCGCCACCTCACGTTACGGCGGGAGCTGATCCCTCGCAACATCAACCTTATCCTGCCGCCCCATTGTTCCCTGGCTTCCCTCAGCAAGACCAACTTCACGGACCGCTTGATAAACTGCCACAGCTACCCACTCCGTCCCAGTACGGATCCATTCCTCACCTTCCACCTGGCACTACTCATATGAACCCACATGTGCCTCCCGGTGTCATTGCCCAAGGATTCTCCATGAGCCCTCACGGTCCGCCAGGAGGACGCCAGGATATCCCACCTTTCGCACACCGTCCGCATCCCGCACAAACTTATCCTGATGCCGCTTTGCCGCCGATTCTGCCAATGGCGCCTCCTGAGGCCCAGGGCCACGCACCGGCTCCCTATCAGCGAACTGGAGATCCTCAGTTCTCTCAACAAGCTCAGCCTACTCATGTTCAAGGAGCTACTGTGCCTCACGCCAGTAAGCTGCCGCCGCCGAAGCTAACAAGCCATTCATTGGCGCTATTGAATGTGTTTAAGGACGATACAGCGAAAACACCCAAGACTCCCAAAGCCACTCTGGCAGCGACTTCGCAGACGGCACCCGTCAGCGGACGCAAACCATCACAACATCAGGACCAATTGTTAAGTTTGCTCAAAGACTCGCCCAGCGCTCCCGCTCCCGGTCCGGTGGAATTGTCAGCTCATTCGGTCTCTCCCTCTCGGAAGCGAATCCTTCAACGCCCTCGTGATAATACCAGGCCCCAGGAGCCCGCAACTCATGCCGGGGCACCTGTTCCGGCGCCCAGCACATTCGCTCCAAAGCCGCCTGGCAAGAAAACGCAAAATGGGCCGAACCGAAAGACGAACAAGGAAAGAAAATCGCAGAACCTTGCTTCGCCTATAACCATATTGCCCAGGCCGCAAAGTGCCAAAAAGGAGCAAACGCCCACGCCAGTTGCAGTGAACCAGTCCTCGCGGAACTCCTCTCGATCTCGTCCCGACCAGAAGATAAGGACTCCTGAGCCCTCGAAGCCATTCCAGCCTCAAATCCTTCGCCGGTCTGAAAACCTTGACAACATTCTCCCAGTACGAACGAAGGCTACGCCCGACCCGGAACAGAGTGGAGCCGGCCAAGAAGCAAAAATTCAAGCCGGGGATGGACGCCGCCCAAGTCATAATGCGTCTCAGAGGGATACCTTGCTCTCGCTTTTCGGCAAAGCAAGTGCTTCTCCTGCGCTGTCTCCTTCGGGACAACTTCACCTCCAGACAGCTGTCCCTCAACCCTCGGGGAGCTCCTCCGTCGTCAGCCCTCTTTCACCTCTTAATCTCCCTACCGGAACTGCAACAAATTCCGGGGTACCAAGCTTGGATATCAACCCCAGCAGAATTGCGTCGCCTGATAACAAGGCGTTTCTATTGGGATTCTTGGAGGGTGTCGCGAAAGGCAACAAATAATCGCACCTTTAATTTGACGTTTTGCGTTGTTCATCAGGGCTGGACAGGAGAGAGATAATGTACTTAAATAGCATACGATCACACAATAGCCGAGGATTCTCGCTTTCGTTCCTTGAATGGCAAAGCCTATTTTATATTACTCTATGTCCTTGCTGCAAGTATGTCAATTGACTCTTATAATCTGCATTCCCAGGCCACCCATTGTATGCATTCGGGCTTCTGAGGCGTTCAGACGACCCTGCAAACTCACCACTTATATCGTACAAGTTTCTGGATTTAATTGAGGCTCAGGACTAAACTGTGATTTGTTTCCAACTATCGATAGTGTGGTATTTGCGACGGCTAGTTTGAACGTGGAGTGAGTTGAGTGATTTGATGGGCTGAAATTTGTAGAGTTATATATCTTGGGTTTCAGGCAACATTGGATCCTGGATTTACATCAGATCCATTCCGCAACCATGGACTATTTCCGACATCCACTTAGTTAGTAGAGTTGACGTATTACTACCGGGTGTCGTGCTAGCGATGGGTGCGTCCATGTGCTTCCTTCGGTGAGGTCATAAGAGTCCTGTTCTGCCGATATCCACCGCCCTCCCATCGATGTCATTTGCGGCGTTGATTTGTAAACCCTCTGCCGACAAGCATCCATTTTGTTGATGACCGTCTGGGCGAACACGATGCGGCCGAACGCTCATTCCAGCACTGTATGTGCCCGCTGTCTCAGCCGCGGTCGGCTGTTCTCGACAACAGCTCCATCCCGTGTCTCGCAGAAGAGCGATGCCCTGCCTGCCCCCCCACCGACCACCGGCTATGCGCGACTCACGAACCGGGGCCTGATCTCGATCACGGGCATCGATAGCACGACTTTCCTGCAAGGTCTGATCACGCAGAATATGCTTGTCACCAACGATCCGAATCGAGCAACCCGCCACACGGGATCGTATACCGCCTTCCTTAACTCCACCGGCCGAATCCTGAACGATGCGTTCCTCTACCCGTTGCCGGAAACCGAAGCGTCTGCGTCCGAGGGCCCCGCGTGGCTCGTCGAGGTCGATAAGAACGAAGTAGCCAGCCTCATGAAACATCTCAAGAAACACAAGCTTCGGGCGAAGTTGAAGCTGCGGGCGCTCGAGGACGGCGAACGCACCGTCTGGTCGTCGTGGAAGGAACACACCGAGCCTCGATGGGCCGCGTATAACCTCGAATCGCCCGCCTCGTCGCCGTTCTCCGCTTCCTCCCCCGTCGCTGGCTGCGTCGATACCCGGGCACCGGGCTTCGGATCCCGCATCATCACCCCCGGCGCGGAGGACCTCCGGTCCCACCTCCCGGACGAAACGCACGTGGCGGGCTCGGAGGTCGATTTGGGGTCTTATACGGTGCGACGGATGCTGCATGGTGTGGCGGAGGGACAGTCGGAGATTATTCGCGAGTCGGCGCTCCCTATGGAATCCAACATGGATATGTCACGGGCCATCGACTTCCGCAAGGGCTGTTATGTGGGCCAGGAACTCACCATCCGGACCCATCACACTGGCGTGGTGCGGAAGCGCATCTTGCCCGTGCAGCTGTATCCAGCGGACCAAACCGCCACTGAGACTGGCGAACTCCCCGTCTACGATCCTTCCGTCGATCTGTCGCTGCCCCCGAGTGGGTCCAACATATCCAAAGTTAGTGCGCGGAGAGGTCGCAGCGCAGGGAAGTTCCTAGGTGGGGTCGGAAATATTGGTCTTGCCCTGTGCCGTCTGGAAATGATGACCGATATCGCGCTCACCGGCGAGGGAACCCAGTATACTCCCGGCCAAGAGTTCAAGGTGTCGTGGACGGGGGCGGAGCAGGAATCGTCCGAGGCTCAGGAGTCGGGAGAAGTGAAGCTCAAGGCGCTCGTGCCGTCTTGGACCAGGGATTTCATTTTCTCGGGTGGCGTGAGGAACGCCTCCCATCAAAACCGTGCCGACGAGGGTCATCGGGCCAGAGATTTTGTGGAACAGCTGGGGGAAGAAGAGGAGGCACGACGCCATGAGTGAAGACCTTAGCATACCCTCTTGTGTGTATATAACCGTTAAAACTGAATTGTACAATAGTCTAGGGAACAGATGATGGTGCTTGAGACATATAATAGATTTCATGGGTATCATATTCTAGTTGAGATAAATCTATACAAAAGATTAGAAAAGAACGCCAGGTTTTTGAATCAAACCCATTTTTGTACACGCCTTGAGAAAGTTGTCAATCAACTCTGACCTCCGGCAGCTGCTGCCTCTGCTGCGTCTGCGGCTTCATCTTCTTTTCTGAGCTGCTCCTCAAGTGCCTTTCGCTCCTTCTCACGTTGCGCCGTCTTCAGTCGCATCAATGTCACTTCTTCGAGGCTAGGGGTATTCTGTCCGTTGGGTTGAGAAGTAGAACTGGGTGCCGATTTCGCCGTGTTGGCCGCTGCCGTGGAGAACGAAGAAAATGACGGTTTCCCGGGTTTCTTTGCAGCGCCATTGGTGTTGAGTCCTGGGAAATTGAAGCTGGGTTTTGGAGATGGATTTGCAGCCGTCGGTCTAGAAGATGGAGGCGCCCCATTTTGCTTTGAGTCAGAGGTAGCGTGTTTGTCCTCGTTCGCGCCCAGATCCGGCTGATTGCCAGAGGCCCAGTTGACCGAATCGATCAAGGCCCAGATGCTATCAGGTTGGTTGACATTCTCACGCTTCTTCTTCTCACTGTCCAACACAGCGGCATGTGCGCTGACGATCGACGCGAATATCACCACGCCCGTCGCGACGGTCCTCTTTTCCCGCTTCTCCCCCAGACGCTGTCGCTTATCCTTGAGCATGAGGACATTCTCGATCTTTCCAAACGAAGCGAACAGAGAAGTCAGGCCCTCCTGGTCGAGATCTAGACCTGCACCTTCACGGACCCAGCGCACTTTCACGCCGCGTTCCAGTTCTGGCACATTCGCGCCGCCTTCCTGCGACCGATCGACCCGTTCACTGCTCCTATCCTTCGCCCTCTGCGCAGCCTCTTCCTCCTCGCGCATCACCCTCTCCTCATCCTCCGCCTCTCTCTTCAACTTCTCCTCCACCTCGCGTCGCCTCCGTCGCCCATCCTCCGCAATCCGATCAACCTCCCTCTGCAGCTTCTCCTCCGCATCGTCATCATCAACCACCCCCGTCCCCGCCATCCCATAGGACCTCTTAACACCCCTCTGCGCCGCCCCCACTCCATTCGCACCCGCCCTCTCCCTAGCCTCCAAGTCCTCTTTCATCTTCCTCTTCGCAGCATCCATCATGTCCCGCTCGCGCTGCTTGCGCTGCCGCGCCTCGCGCGCATTATCGTAGAGCTGCCGGACCGAGGGCTCCGAGAGAACATCGTACGCGATCTGGAGGAGATGGAACTTGTCGATGTCTGCGGGGGTCGGGTTTGCGATCTTGTCCGGGTGGTATTTTAGGGCGGTGCGGCGGTAGGCGCGGCGGATTTCGGTCTCGGCTGCGGCAGGGGAGATGTCGAGGAGGGCGTAGAAGTCTTGGGTAGAGGCCGCGTGGGCTTTGAGGTCGTCTGTTGAGGCCATCGTGTGTGGTTTTTGTGGTGTAGGAGGTGACGATGGATGGGTTGCGTTGCGACGCGAGGAGCTGGGCTAGCTAGCTAGGTAGTGGGTTTGCTAGCTGGGGAGTTTCGATGTGCTCGGTGAGAAGTTTGAAATCGGTGGAGGAGTGAGAAAATAAGGGATTTTGTTTATGAGAGAAAGGTAGAGAGAAAAGAGGTTGTTTGCCCTCGCAGTGTTGGGCTTCGGTTGTTGGCAGAAGAAAAGTAGATTCGAGGGTGGCGGAAGTTCTTCGACGTCTTCGGGATCGGCAAGCCTTTCCCTCTTCTCTAAGGTAATCCGTACCACCACCTCCTTTAATATCTCCACTCCATTTATTTATCGGAGTATTTTCGTGGGACTGTTCCATCCATCCTGTTGTTTGACGACATGTAGAGATTCTGGTAGCTTTTTGTCTCTTTGTTTCCACCAATGAATAAGACAACTCGTCACATAATCCAAACCTAGGACCGAGTACGACATACTCAGGTTTGCGGATAGCCTGACGATTCTTGACTGATACAAAAGGGCAATTGGATCACACACTTTTCTGTCGTCATAAGATGTTGACGAGTGGATTCAGCTCGGTGCAGCTACTCGATGAAAACGTACGATGAAGGGATGGAGGGATAGCTCTGCCAACAATCCATTGAGCTCCAACTAGACATCTACTCTCATACTATAGCTCATTCTGTTGCTATCGATTGCTTTGGACAGCTCGTCAGGGTGAACAATGGGATGTTCTCTACTGACCATATCCTTTGTGTCCCTTGAGACCGCTCGTGATGTTAACTGTTATGCTTCTATTATTTCTTGCTTGTCGGGCGTTCTCTGAGAAGACCAGACATTTGGCATCGACTGAGAAGGCATGCTCACATTCCAATTAGCTAGTAATAAAGAGCTCTCTGAGTTGGTGGATATCTGTCCGTGATGTGCATATTCACCTCCAATGCCCAATCGAGGATGTGGTGAGGACAGGAAAGATTAACAGGTGCATGAGAAAACCCCACAGAGTCAGAAACAACAATAGAAATAAACCCAGTCTCGCTACCTTATTCTGAATCCTACGTAAGAAAAGAGAAGCTTGAACATGCTAGGGAGGTGGCACGTGGTCTTCCCGGAGCATCTTTAGCAAGACCTCAGGAACAGTCTTTTCCTTTTCAAACAGCATCACCAGCACACGATCTACTATATGCTCCTCGGTCTCCAATATCCTGAAATCGAGGATGGACCATGCACCAATCCCAGCCCCATCCCTAGTAGCCCTGGCGATGGCAATTGTGAAACATAAACCCGCAGACCAAGACATCAAAGGTACGTAGCTGACCATCTTCAACCTAGCGATAAAGTCTTCCATCATATTGAACTCATCCCGATATGTGCATAGAATATATTCTACAGATCAGACAGCACATCAAAGTCAGCAAGGAGAACACCCACTTCTACCCCCAGGAAAAGTTCTTCGACAGCGTCTCGTTCTGGCAAAAAGCGTACGAAAAGTCCGAGGCGGAGCAGAGCAAACTACTCGATCGTGTTTTCGAATTGGAACGCCGAAATGAAGCCCTGCTTGCTAAGCTACAGGGTCAGGAGAAAGATGCTGGGAAGGACGAGGCAGCCTTGAAACGGAAGACACCTGCGGGGAAGAATGCTGCGGGAGCGAGGAAACGGGCAAGGACGCAAGTGAGTATCGGTGATCCGAGAGCTTTGGAGTATAATTACGGCTTGGGTGATAGTGTAGGTGGGGGGTTTGAGTATTTTGAAGAAGGTTAGTAGGCCTGTCTTGTGTTTGTGGTGCGAAGTTGCTGACAGTTCTAGTTACTGGACCATTCATGAGGCAGTTCTATGCGCTGCAGAAGGCTTTACAGAAACGTCCTGGCAATGGGGAGCTTGCCCAGTCTGTCGTGACTCTGTGCCGAACAATGGCTACTGAGATGAGCAACCTGAGTAGCCAGAAACGAGTCGCTAGTGGTCGCGCAAAGAGAGGTTCACTTCAGAGCAAGGAACCTGATATACTCGCGGTCTTGCATAGTGTTGACTGCGCTTTCCAACTTCTTTGTCAGGCCTTGGAAAGGCTGTCAGGCTCGTGCGCAGAGGCAGGGTTGTTGGTGTATCATATAGTGGAGCTGTATGAGTCCACCATGAACGCTCTACAGCAAGAATGCAAATCGACAATCGACCGGCCATCATGCGACACAAAGGCAAAGACTAAGACATCCAAGTCTAAACAAAGTGCGAAGTCGAAACGGCCTGTGACGAACCAGTCTTCCGGTGCACAGTTAAGCCCTCACAGCGAAATAGCATCGCAAATCGCTCGCCTACTGAACAGCATGATGATTTCCCTTGACGTTGCAAGCGCAGGACACCAAAGCCTACTCGAAGGGTTTATCTTTGTCCTACTTAGTCGTGTCGGGAAATTGCTGAGCTTGTTCGTTTTCCAAGATCTACAAATTCAACCTGATCTTCATGCAGATACCGAGAAGCTTCCGACTCCTGCGGGCTTACATGAAGTTGATATGAAGGAGTCACAGTCGGCAGCAAAAATGGAAGCAAGGCATGCCATCTGGCTTCTAGAGAGAGCTTTGGCTGTCATGGATGATTTTCGGTCCTCGGCTCCATTATCAGTTTCCCAGTATATCAGTGCAAATAACATATTTTCTTCAAAAGCTAAGGAGCGACTGCAGAGCACTCTCCTACAAGCGGTTTTTGGGGAAAGCTCCGAATGGGGACAGGCTCTGCAACCTATAGCCAAGCCCGATCAGAAAGACCTGGACAGGTTATTGAGCTGTTCTCAAACTTCCGAACAGGCTACCCCGAACTGGTTTATACAAGAGATCTGGAGACTACTCGGTTGGGAAATGCTTGAGAGAAAGTCCGTCTAGACCCATGATGGCCGTCAAACATTACTTTGCTCTGCTGGGATAACTACGATCTACCAGGAAGGCTCATACATAACCATATAATTGCAGAAATGCAGTATCAACAGTTTTTGTATTCAGGTTCTCGATTTAGAGACCGCTATATATTAGTTATCTGATATGCATCACTTCAAGTTCAGGATACGGGCTGCATTTCCACCCAAGACTGCCGCCACATTGTCCGCGTCCTTATCAAAAGTAGCGTTGATTGCTTTATAGTTGGTCGTCACACTCGGCCATTGTTGGCCCTCCTTGCTATCTAGAGGAGGGAAGAACGGATGATCGGTACCTGATAGCCAGTCAGCATAAACTCAACATCATCGAACAAGTGGAACGCACCAAAAAGCAGCCTATCTGTACCGGACGCCTCCAATGCGGCTTGCAGTCCAGCCTCGCCGTATACGACAGCATCTAAGTAGATGTTCGTCTTCAAGACATCCCAGACGCTGCGCTGCGGTCCGGGCACATCGCCACCATTGGCAACGAACTTGCGTTCATGGTGAATACAGCTTTCTATGCGACCGGCCAAAAACGGAAGCGTGCCACCTGAATGCGCCAACAGGATCTGCAGTTGGGGGAAGCGATCGAACACACCCGCCAGGAACATCCGGGTTACTGCAATGGTCGTCTCGAGGGGAAATCCCAACGCCAACGGGAGAACATGACCGTAGCGATTCATCGCATCGGTACCGCCGAACGCCTCGTCAGGCAAGCCATAGTGGGGATGAAGAAACATCAACGACCCGGTCTCTTCCAACGCGCCCCAGACCGGATCCAGACTCGCGTCGTCCAACCCCTTCCCGAGCCCCGATGTACCCATGATCACTCCACGTAGATGCGGCAGCGTTTTCAGCCGCTTGATCTCGTTCACCACGATGTCGGAGCTGGGTGCACTCAGCGGCAGGGCGCCGAACGCGTAGAGAGTGTGTTTCTCATGCAGCGCCAGCGTCTTCTCCGAATCTGCGACTTCGTTCACCTTCGCGCATGTCTCCTCCAGATTATCGTTGATACGTTCCGACCATGTCTGCGCCTCTTGCGGCTCCAGGAAATCCAACCAGGGGTTGGCGAGAGAGATGACGCTGGTGTTGATGCCGTGACGACGCATGAAATCCAGCTTCACGTTGATGTCCCAGTAGGATGCATCGACGGGTCGGCCCCGCTCGTCAAGAGGAATCGAGGGATCATCGTCCGAGGAGAGAATGATCAGGCGCGGGTCTGCGTTGCCAGCAGGGTCGTGGACGTAAGGGACGGTGTTGCGTCCTCGCAACATCTCCATGTAGGCTGGAGGATAGACATGGGTGTGGATATCCACCACGAGAGACATGGTGATGGTTTTCGATAGATGAGGTGGGCAACACAATCGAAGGGGAGGCGAATTGTGTCTATGAAGAGATGAAAAAGAAAGAATGGGGGAGATCAGAGGCAGGTGAGTTGTCCTGATCGAATGCGGGGAAGACGCTGAGGTTGCATATTGAGGGGTCAGACAATCAGTACTATCATCCCCAGCATTATCGACAAGCCAAACCGATAATCAGATAAACTGCGATTATCAGATACCCATTCTTCACCAAGAAGTTTATCAAGATAAGCTATCTGCCACCGCTGGAACCACAGGCAATTTGGCTTATCGCACCTCCCCGCCCGATTGGAGATCACTCTTCCTCGTGATCTCACCTTCTTTCTTTCTTTCTCTTCCCTCCCGCCACTTCTTGGCCGGACTGCTATTTATCTGTTAGGACTGGCTTTTTTCTGTCTGAAAGCTTCCGTACACTACAGATAATTTTGCCGCTGCCTCTCAGGCACGATGGAAGGCAACCTGCCACAACAACAGTGTCATCCGGCATCTACTGCCGTGGAGAAAGATGGTCTGGTTATCCCCGTGAGTAGTCTTTACCTCTGGGTGGTTCTAGCTTCTTTATTCGATGAAAACGTGCCTCTCGCCGTCCGGGCCTGATCAAGTATTCGATGTAGATCATTGACTTCAATCCCTTTCTGAACGGCACGCCCGCCGACAAGCACGCCGTTGCCACGTCCGTCGTAGAGGCCTTCAAAACCTCAGGCTTCCTCTACCTCAAAGACCACGGCATCCCGCCCTCCGTGGTATCTGGGGTCTTTGGCTCGTCCGCGCGCTTCTTCGCTCGACCCCAAGAGCAGAAGGACGGTTTGTGCTGGACTACCCCACAGGCGAACCGTGGTTACGTGAAGACGGGGCAAGAGAAGCTAACTCTGCCGGACGATCCCCAATCGGACAGTGATAAGCTGCGCGCAATCCCCGATCTCAAGGAGACGATGGAGATCGGTCGCGAGGGCGTGGACGGGCTCCCCAACCGGTGGCCGGACCATCTCGACGATGAGGGCAAGAGCTTCAAGGGAACGATGCTCTCGTTCTTTAACATGTGCAAGGCCCTCCACGCGGAGGTTATGCGCGCCATTGCTCTGGGCATGAACCTGCCCGAGCACTTCTTTGATTCCTACGTGGATCAGGGCGACAATAATCTGCGACTGCTGCATTATCCGTCCGTTTCGAAGGATGTGTTCAAGGCGAACCCGCTGCAGGTCCGCGCCGGTGAGCATAGCGATTACGGATCGATCACGCTTCTATTCCAAGATCGTCGCGGGGGTCTGCAGGCCCGCAGTCCCAGGGGGACCTTTGTAGACGTCACGCCCATCGCGGACACGGTGGTTATCAATGCCGGGGATCTGCTGGCGCGGTGGTCCAACGATACCATCAAGAGTACTCGACATCGGGTGGTAGAGCCTCCCCATGCGGCGGACGAGGAAGGCCCAGAAACGTATCCAGACCGCTACAGCATCGCGTACTTCTGCAACCCTAACATGAGCAAGTTTATTGAAGCCATCCCGGGAACCTATGGGGATGATCTGCGACAGGCAAAGTACCCTGGTATCACTGCCGGAGATTACCTTGTGCAACGTCTTACAGCCACGATTTAACCGAACCGAAGCCTTGTGTGATATGTATTCGTTGAGTTTGAGTTACATCTTGTGCGACAATCTGATTCCTTCCTTTCTGATCTAGTCGAGCTTGCAATGCTACCAAAAGAATGATCAGGACTGTATATACGAATTCTATATCATATGTTCTCGATTTAGCCTGAGCCATCTTCTCTATTGATTCTTAGTACATCAACAATGCATCCCCCGTAATCTCCATGTCTATCTACCAGACCATCTAATAACTCGACGGCAACACACTCAATCTCCCTCCATCCGTAACCGTAATATTCCCATTCAAATAACCTCCCGCAGCACCCGCCATATACAGCACCAATCCCCCAATATCCTCTGCTCCCCCAGCCCTCGTCAATGGAACCGTCTCCCTTTTAAACGACCCGTCCGAAACCCCCTTATCGTTCTCCCCGAAACTATCCGCCGACATCTCCGACAGATAGAATCCCGGCGCAATGCCATTGACCCGTACATCGTACCCCGTCAGCAGCGTCGCCAACACCTTCACCAGGTGATTCACCGCCGCCTTGGACGTGTTATATGCGATACTGAACGGCACCGCGCGATTGAATCCCGCAATCGAGCTCGTGATGATCACCTGCGCCGTTGGGGGCGAGAGCACATTCTTCTGCGGTGCCGGACGGCGCTTATTCGCGGCCTCTAGTAACGGCAGGAAAGCGAGCACCGTGTAATACGAGCCCGTGACGTTCACGTCAAATGTCTTCGTGAAGTCCTCCGGGGGAATGGACCACAGGGCGTCGCGGACTTCGGAGAGCGATGGCCGCGCACCGTCGGGTTTCGTGGGCGGGGCGCGCGCAAGAGGGCCCAGGATGCCGCTGTTCGCGATCAGAAGGTTCACGTGGTCGGTTTGCGCGGAGATTGTTTTATATGCCGCCTCGAGGGACTCTTTTGAGGAGATGTCCGCCGTGATGGGGATGATGGTGCCGTTTGTGTCTTGTGCGGCGGTCTCTTGGAGCGCCTCGAGTCGTCGGCCGATGATGAAGACTTTCGAGGCGCCGTTCGCGGAGAGCGTGTGTGCCATTATACGGCCGAGGCCTGGACTGGGGTTAGTTCTTTGCGCCTTGTATGGTATGGGTGTAGAGAGTGACGGGGACTTGCCGCTTCCTCCGCCAGTGATGACAATGACTTGTCCCTGGACGGAGAATAGATTGGATGCTCGGAGATGAGACATGGTTCTTGTCTAGATGAGGAGATAGATGTCTAGTATATAGGCAGATAATGTCATAGAGAGTCCGGGGTTGAATGGGAAACCCCGAGTCTATATGGGAGTTGTGGATAATCGAATTGAGGATACCAGAGATGGGAGTTTCTTGCTGGGAAGAGTTACAAAGAGAAGTTGGAGAGTTGACTGGATGAAGCTGGCAATGGCGAGGGGTGAAATGCGGGGCTGCGCTGGTGATGTGATTTACGCGGATTATTAAGTGACGATCCTCTTCCTTGGTGATACCTCGGTCTATCCTTCATGTTGCACATTGGAAGACAGTCCTGCTGTGTTCCTTTCCTTTCCTCATTTACGTCTCTCGATCTGCCTGTTGTAACTGACAGCGATGATCTAGATGACTTCAAAGCATCACATCAATCATGGCAAGGTCTAAGTCATTTCAAGGTAGCTTCAATACATGTCCTTCCATGACATGTTATTCCGTTGTTCAGAGCTCAAAGATTTGATGACTGTTATGAACTGACAAACTTCTATCCTGTCTTTTGCTTATAATCATCATGCTGATCCGCTGGCCAGAACTGCCGGAAATGAGGGACAACGGCCTGCAACGGCTACAAAGATCAGGAGTACAATGAGGTCATACTCGGTGACACTCCCAAGAGATCAATCTGAAGCCTGATTGTCTGCGGTTGTCGGAATTGAAGTCCATCGGATCTAGCTTCCAAATACCATGATTCATGGTTGACTGACGTCTTCGCTTCCGAGCCAGCCGAAAGCATCGCAACACTGGCATTCTATGTGTATCGTCCACGCCGAGATGACGTGACCCATTGGAAGATCTACAAGATCAGGCCGATTTGATCGATGATAAAATAAGATGCCCCGATGCATGCACCAAGACTAGCCAGAATTAGCTAGGGATGAAACCTGGTTCGGAGCCGTCGATCTGAGGTCAGCTGCAGCGGGATTCCACCTTGGGAGCTTCTCATTCGCATATCGGGCATTATGTCATAAGAAGCTTTTTGGTTCAACCAACCCCAAGCTTTCACTCCTCGGACTTGTTATAAAATGTATGGGACTTGAACCCTGCTCTGGTTATCGAAGACTTGCGTCAGAGGTAGGCGCCGTGAATCCCCCATGATGCATTGCAGAGAATCAATATAAATTCGCCGTGGACCTGGCTCAGGTCGGTGGCTGCATTGTCTGTACCCTTGCAGATAATCTCCCAGGGGATTCTCGTTGATGATGGTCGCAAATCACTTACTGGTGTACGGTTTGCTGGCCTTGCTGGCCTGGCCGCCCTTAACCTTGGCTGCTCCCAATAGAATTGTGGCTCGAGCGAGCTCATCCGCGCCAGTGGTCAGTCACCCAGCTTCGTTGTCTCATGGGCCGTATAGCGGTACCCCTACCATCACAGGGGCACTCAATGCCACCTCTATCGGGCCAGGAATTTCCAGCCTAGGAGTTGCTCCGCCAGCTACCACCTACCCCAGTGACGGGCAGCTTCATGATGCAGAACCCGGCCCATATATCCCTGCTGGAGGAGTTGGGACAAACGGAACGACTCCGGTATACAACGCGAAGAGTGATTTCGATTATGAATCTTTGGTAAGCACTCAAACACTAGTTAAAGCTGTTCGTGCTAACCTTTGCCAGGCCCTTGCTCTCTACCAAGAATATATCGAACTTGATCTGTTCCACGATGGGTTGGCTCGCTTCTCGGAGGAAGACTTCACTGCGGCCGGACTGACTGCGGAAGATCGATATCTGATCCAATTCATGGCAGAGCAGGAAGTCGGACATGCCACCATGTTGACCAATATCCTAGGTGCCAAGGCACCCAAGCAATGCAACTACAACTACCCCTACACCACCGTGCAGGAGTTCATCGACTTCTGCCAAAAGCTCACCCGCTTCGGGGAGTCCGGAGTCTACGGCTTTCTAGGCCATCTGGACTCGCGAGAGGCGGCAACCCTTCTGGTGCAGTCGATCACCACCGAAGCCCGTCAGCAGATGATCTTCCGGCAATTCGAAGGCCTCTTCCCCATGCCCGTCTGGTTCGAGGTCGGAGTACCTCAATCCTGGGCCTGGACCTTGCTGGCACCATACATCAGCTCCTGTCCTGCCGGCCAGACCCGACTGGCCTGGCAGAACTTCCCAGCGCTTCATATTCTAAACCAGCCGAACCCGACCCGCATCAATGGGAGTTCTGCATTCAACGAGACCCACGCCGGCGGCGGCATGAACCCTTCAACCAACTCAGGTATCCCAGAGGCCCAGTCATGTCTCAATTCTACCGTCGCAGGCACGAGCTGCAGTCCTGCCATCACCCACAACCGCACGCAGCCTCTGTCCCACCCCGGTCGCTCCGTTTCTCTCACCTGGGACGCGCCAGGCGCGCAGGTCGGTCCTAATAACAGCTACGTGACGTCGTCCCAGGCCGGGCAGCCGAAATTCGTCGCGTGGGTCACGCAGTTGAATGTCACTTATTCCGCGTTGAGCTCGAACGGCAGTGGCTCACGGAGTGGCACGACTGTTCAACCGGACCTGCAGACGTATGCCGGCGACCCGGCCATCAACGGGACCGTGTTTATCGCTATCACGGACTCGGATCTGTATCTGACACCGTTCAATCTGAGCATGATCAATCCGCATGTGGTTGCAGGACCGGCTCTGTACCAGGCTGGTTAATTGTTTACCTCAGCTGGTCAGCTAGTCAATTGATTGATGCTGGTGGTTGCATTCTGTACTAATATGGAGGGAATGGGAGGACGTGAATCTTTCTTGTAGTTGGCATGTACTAATCCTACTTAATAGCTCTGTCGGTTTCAACACAAAATGTGACGATATTTGACATTCCGAATCGAGTCGTATTGCTCAAGGTAACCGTGAATAGATGGCTAATGCAAGCCAGAAACCCAGCTACTGTGCTCCGTACAACATAGACCCCGACTAGATCCCATCGTCACTTTGCAGGAGAGGTAGCACGAAGGGTGCTAACTGTGCATGCCACCTTCAATATCACTCGATGTCGTACAGCATTATCGCTTAAGCATGGTAGTCAGCGGGCGACAGGTACAGACAGGCACAGGCACAGGCACCGATGCACATGCACTACTACAAGCCATGAGGTTTCGCATTATGACTGAGATGTCTCAGTTACTTCGCACTTTGTCACCTGAATTGTCGTAGATTAGGGTACTAAATCGAGGAAGCAGAACATGACCAGTCAATGTTAATTGATCAGTAGCACCACCAGCAATCCCCAAAATAGAAAAAGAGAAAGGAAACTTCGAGACTACAACCGGGGATACCAAAAACCCCCAAATCCAAACCAAACAGACAAAAATAAACAAATCTTAGCCCCCCCGACGCTCAAACCTCGGCTGAACATAATCCATGTTCATTTACCGCGCTCAGCGTACAGGTACAGATACCCACCATCCACCTCGCCAGGAACGGTCTATATCCTAGCGCATCTCCCAGAAAAGCGAGATAATAAACTAACTCTCAACCCTTGCAAGGCACACATACACACACACACCATACACCCTCCCTGTCTGTCTGTCTGTTGACGTGGCGGTAGCCGGCACAAGTTGGCAAGGGCCAGGGCATGGGCCGTTACAACAGACTAGTCGACCTACCTAGTAAGTCTCCTCTCTCCTGCATATTGGTCGCGTTTAACCCTGGTTCATGCGGCATGGTGCATGTTCACGTACATGGGCTTACATGGTTAGGTCCTTAGAGGGAGGGGGAGGCAAAAATGTTTCTATGACCCCCTCTCTTTTTACTGTATATCTCTCTCTCTTTCGTCTAAATTAAGCGCAGTACCTGGACCTGTCTAGAACTAGGACTAGGATTAGGACTAGGGTACTGAGACATAAACAGAGAGAGAGGGAGAGCCTTGCGAGGGAGAATATCGAACAGATCAGATGAATGAATTCGAGCGATAGACAAAGCCCCAGACCTATCGCATGGTATTCCGGCATCGGATTCGCTGACCAGCCTACTTCCACGACCGACTTGCGTGCGCGCTGCCTTGCTGCTCACCTTTTTTGTCTACTTTGCTACCCTACCTTTACTCGAGTCTGCAGATCCCGCTTCCTTCGTTCCTTCGCGCCTTCGTTAGCTCACCTGACGATGACGAGGGAATCAAGCGAGAGAGAGAGAGAGGGCGAGAGACGGAGGGGATTGATTAACCTTGTTTTTTGGCGATCGACACAAGCGACGTGATGATCGCTCATGCCAGCATCACAGGGAATAGACAAGAGAGCGGATTGAGGCTCGAAGGGCTGGTTGATCGGACGGGATTTGACGGCCTGTCAATCGGTCAGGATGGGCGAAACTAGAGACTATCATGGAGACTAGGAAGTCCACGCGTCAGACTCAGCTGTTTTCTATCTAGTTCCCGTGAAGCGGATCTGATTTTGATCTATTCGTTGTTGATTTTTTTTTTTTTAATATATATATATATATAATATATATTTTAAAAAAAAGGTTTAGTACTTGAATTTCAAAAGATGAGGCGGGCTGACTTCCCACCAGTAAGTATCGCGATCACGGCCACACCGAACATGACATCGAAGTAGAGCGATCGTCGATCGGACTCATTTTCACTTAGCGGTATCCGTATTGTGTAGTTAGTGCTACCCAGCGACGACAACAGAGACGGTGAGCTGAAACCAAAAATGAGACCACGAAAAAAGAAGGTGGCGGGACCGAAGACATCCGGAAGCCAGCCGCGATACGGGAGGGACGCCGAGTTCACGCCGACGAACTCTCCCATTCTCGAGATTATCTAGTGTAGGCTCTAGATAATGAAGACGGTGTACTCCGCAAGAACCAAGCTGACGGCGTGTAACCTTCCCGAACAGGCAAAGGCGGAAACAATCGACTTGTCGCACTAAAAGGCATCATCTCGTGGCCAGAAAGAAAGAAAAAGACATGCGATGCGCTGATCGCGAGCGAGATCATCCTTCCCCTCCGTCGGACGGGAGATCCTCGTTAGTGGCAGTGTACAGGGACTACGCCACAGCAAGTCATTCAGCTTCGATTGCTATTTTTGCTTTTTTTATGTTGTCATTTCATGTCTAAGCGACGGCACTATTTTATCATGATTATCTCGACAAAGCTGACAATCATATGAAAGCGATTCAAGCTGGGAGAAAAAACAAAATCACTAGTTTCGTTTAGTTCGGGGTTGGGGCCTTTAGGGCATCGCCGGTCGTGGTTCGGTATACCCTCGACTTTCCTGGCAAAGGTCGGTGTCGAGAAACTTTATTATTATCTTGATCCTCGGGATTTAGATCATGTCCTTGAACGGAAAGAGCAGACCGAACGGAGAGAAATATATTAATTAATTAATTATTAATTATTCGTTATATCAGTCTATATTACACCAAGTACAGTAGAGACTGAGCCCTCGATGTAACCTCCTTGCCTGTCTACCTACTTTAGTCTCCTACTCGGAGTCGAGAGATCAGTGCCCTCGAGGAAAGAAAAGGATAGAAGAAATAGAGAAAAAATAATCCATTTCGGTGCCTTGCAGTCTCCGCCTCTTCCCGCCATTTCCATCCAATTCTATACTGTCCGATAGTAACTCATGGATACTTAGATCAATCATCAGCAAGACCCTAGAAACAAAACAAATCAAAATCTCAGAAGATGTAAGCAGAAAGAATGAACAGCTAGGCTTTCCCGCCCCAATCCAGATTCCAATTCAGACTGGACGCTGTAGGGATCCTGTCGTGACCTGGTCGGGTTTTCGTGTTGTTTCTTTTTCTTCGCGTCGGTGTGTTTTACTTCTCTGTCTGATCTCGCTAATCAATCAAGTCACTGGGTAAGTAGTTGGTTGGTTGTGGATTACTTATGTAGGTATGCCAAGATGTATGTAGAGTAGGTACACACAGACCTACACTTACATACATGTAGATGCAGTTAAATGCAGCAGTGTAGGGCAGAAAAGAAAGACGGATAAGGCAAAAGTCAAGACACCCATTTACCTTCTGACCAACTTTGTTCTCTCTCTTTGTTTTCCAACCCTACCGACTCTCTCTCTCTCTCTCTCTCTCTCGGAGCTTATGTACATACAGTGGTTGCTTGTTTCAAAATACCCTCCGTCCCTACATAACATCTACCTACATCTGCAGCCCCAACAAACCTAAGCAAACGACACGATATACTTTCCAAACACACAAAACCCTAACCCAAATCCACCAAACCCAAGCACATCCGTATCATTGGTTCGCCATCGGATTTCAATTCCAGCTTGCTTACGGCCCTTACTTACATATTTACCTCCCCCCACTTACCTGCATGCCTACCTGCCTACCTGTCTGCCTGCTGATAGTTTGACCTTGCGTTGGGTACGGGTACTCCTACAGCCATCGATCAACAATCAAGAGCCAAGAGTGAAAACACTGAACGGATTCTTCGAGAAGGCAAACCGTTTGCCTTGGGGGGGTGGTTGTCGAGTCCAGGGTAGAACAGGGCAGGACAGGGACCCCGGAATCTGGGCACGGGGCTTAGCACTTTATTTTTTTTTCTTTAGCCGACCAGGCAGGCATGACATACAGGTGTCTGGCTGCATCTCGCCGGTTCAGGTGGACGGGGATGCAGGGTTCTCGGGCTCTCGATGTATGTATGATGTCATGGATTCTATGGACATACGATCTAGAGAAGACGTTTAACTGAACAAATGAATAGCTGAGGTCAAATGAAGTCGTATGTATAATTCGTGAGAATCAGAATGCAAATATGTTCACTTTCCTTGAACGCCAAACCCGAAAATTCCGCGCCGAAAGAAAAAAACATGTCAAACGCCAAATCTCACCAGAAAACCACGAGGGAAAGAGGTCAAAGAGCAAAAAAAAAAAGACACTAAACTAGACGCCATCGGCTTGGTTCCCCTCTCGCCCCAACAAAATTTCTCTGCTCCCTGCATTTTTAGACCGTAATGCGTTCGTGATGCATGAGACCAACCGTCTGGAGACTAGCGCCCTTGAACCGCGTTAGCAGGGATGTGACTATCTCCCGGTACGTGTTCATCTGCGACAGCTTGAACCGTTGAATCTTCCCGCTCGCGGTGCGTGGAATCTCCTCCACAAAGATAATCCCGCCGTCTAGCGCCTTGTAGCTGGCCAATTGTCGCCGCGCGAACTGGTACACTTCTTCCGCCTTCAACCGACTGGTTGTCAGTCCTTTCGTTCGCACGACAAATGCTCGAGGCACTTCCGTGCTCCCATCTGGAGAATTGACCCCCGTCACGGCCACATCTTCAATTTCGGGGTGTTTCAGGAGCACTGCCTCTATTTCTGCCGGGGCCACTTGCCAGCTGTGACTTGCATGTTAGTTTGCTGTCTTCCATTTTTGTTTGCGGCTTTTTTTGTTTGGTTTGGATGCAGGGAATCAATATGGAGAGAGGGGTAAATGACCGGGGTGGTAGACACAAAAAGAAAAGAAAAAAAAAACAAGAGAAAATACGTACCCTCGGACCTTGATCAGCTCCTTCGTGCGCCCAACAATGAAATAACCCCCGTTGTTCACATAAGCCACATCGCCCGTTCGAAACCACCCCTGCGAGTCGGTAGCATCGTCGCGTCCCTTGTAACCAATAAGCACCCCGGCGCCACGTACATACAGCTCACCCGGGGTGTTTTCTTCCCACACCGGAAGGCCATCGCGTCCGACGAGAAGCACCTCGTACCCAGGTGCCAGTCGTCCAATTCCTGCCGCACTTCCCGGCTCTCCGTATCGGTTCTGGAACACCACTCCGACCTCGGTCATGCCCCACAGCTGCGATGCTTGCGCCTCGACATGGAGCATGTCCTGGAAATGCTGCATGGAACCCCCGTCGATGGGGGCGCCGGCCACCCCAACGTACCGCAATGACGACAGGTAGTCGGCGACCGGCAACGAGGTCCGGTTGAAGGTATGGATCATGGCTGGGACCATGTAGGTTTCGGTGATCTGATACTGGTACACCGCCGCCACAAACTGGGTCAGATCGAAGCGGGACAGGACGAACAAAGGCTGGCCACATCGAATGGGAAAGATGTGCGTCCAGAGGGCCCCAAACAAGTGGAACATGGGCAGGGACATGAGTCGCGTTACTTTGTAAGGCACGTCGTAATGGATACTAAGGTGATGCGATACAATCGCATGATGCGACAGCAAGGCTGCCTTGGGAAGACCCCCTGTGCCGCTGGTGGAGAACATGGCCGCCGGCGTTGACTTCGCAATGGCTTCATTATCGAAAGAGATCCAATCATTCTCGCCGTAGCCGAGAAGGTGGGCAAAGTTCAGACAACAGCCATCCCCACCTCCCGGCAGATACGCTACACCGGCAGCGGCATAGGCCAATGGCCCGGCCAGAAGGAGCTGTGTTATGTGATCCGGCGCGGTCTCGTCCAGCAGGCAAACCTGGCTGGGGAGCATGCCTCGGTTGGCGGAAGCATCAAGGACAGTTGGCAATGCCTCGCGCGAAGTGATGATCAACTTGGGTTCGGCCAATTGCAGTATATGGTCTAGTTCATTGGGTTGGCTGCGGGCATTCGAGCCCATGAACACGCCTCCGGCACCGATGATACTGAAAAAGAGGGCGGGGTATATGATCTGCAAGAGAAAAAAAGTGAGATCGAGTGAGTCAGTGCGAGGGAAATCAAGGAAGTGGGAAAAGAGGGGCACATGGAAGAAGAGAAGCGAAATAGAAAAACAGAAACTAAAAGATTAAAGGCCAAAAAGTATGGTCTCCGCAAAAAAAACTGGGGTTGCATAATCGGTGTAGAATTGAATTGGGGAAAAAAGAAAATGAAAAAAAAAAAAATAAATAAATAAATAAAATAAAATAAATCACTTACGTTGTTTCCCAGGTGGACCAGTACACAATCACCACGCTGCACATGATGGGCCTGTAGACCAGCAATCAAAGTTCGCACCAGCACTCTGAACTGGGCGGCATTGAGAGAACGCGAGGGGTCCTCGGCATCGATGTAAATCGGGCGCTCCTGGTCGTAGTGGACAGGTCCCCGAAAAGCAAAGGACAATAAGTCGGTGTATACGGAGGGTCCCGGCTGGGGATCCGCCAAGCACGATTCCCAGAGACCCATCGTTTAGTCAGAAGAACTTGGTTAACCTTGGGCGGTGAAGCACGTAGTAGGAAGGTCAAGAGGAAAAGTAAGGAAAAGTCAAAAAGATAATTGAAATGAAATTCAATCAATTGGAAGGTGCGAGGGGGAAAAAGGAGGATTGACAGGGAAAGTGGACGGTGAGCAGTGAATACAACGGGATACCAGGGGGTGAAAGTAGTGAATGGGAAATAGAAAGAATCGAAAACAACTTCAAACAAGGGACAACGCCGGAGATAAATAAGAAAATTGAAACCCCCCTCATATCGGAAAGCCCCCAAAAGGAATCAAAGGTTTTTGTCATGCTGGAGACATCTCAAAACAGAAGTCAAATTAACAGGGACGTTCCGGCGAGTAGTCAGGGCAATTTTCCTGGGATGAGAGATCCCAATGATTTGGAATTTGTTAGGGCGTGGCGCCAAAACCCGAGTCCCGACACATCGTCACTCACCAAGTCTCCGCTGAGATCGGGTCGCTGATCCCTCGACCGTCTATGGGGACGCTTGCGCCTAGTCCGTCAAATAACACGCCGCGACGCCAGTTCAGATCTCAGCCGGTGGGTCACCTATCATGGCCAAGTCGAAAAAGCAACTCACAGGCGAACATGTCCCGTCATGCAGACGAACTAGGTTCATGATCACCTGTCTCCATAACTTAAACCAATATTGGGCATGGGTAGACCTCAGCCCGACCTGTCCCTGTCATCCATCCGCGCTGGGGCCTTTCCATTGGACTGTGCTGCGCCTGTCATCAAGGACTTTGTCGTTTCTTTCTTTCAGGTCTTCACGTTCGTGTGTCAGGTCCCTTTCGTCCGTGCAGCTGAGCCCTTCGCTTCACATCCTTGTGATCCGAACCGCACTAACGATCCAAGCCCCAGGGGCTAATGGCTTCTCGGAAGGTGTGCAAAGTCCAATCCAAAGTTCGACTGACATCGGTAGGTTATGCTCGATCCGGCGGGAGCCAAGTATCCACCCACAAGGGCCTAAGCCAGGCTGACGTCCTTTCCGTCCGTTTTCGAGTTCAAATCCCAGAACGCCGTGCAGCCAAAGCCATCTTCTCCCGTTCCCTGTCTCTTTGTTTCTCGTTGTCGAAGGAGGCGTACCCTTGCTAACAAACCCCGCTCGCTAAAAATGGACAAGGGGAGAAGATAGAAATAGTGTAGATTGGACTATGTCATTAATATGGCTTGGTTGGGGTGGAGGGGGGTACACACCATGCCATTGTATCTGACCTCGACCACCATCCGGATGAAGTCCGATGACGGATTAACCCCCCCATTGCCCCTCCACTCTTCAAAGAATCGATTAGAATTCCCAAAAAAAGAGGATCGACCCATTGTCAGAAAAAGCAAGAAAAGAAAAAAATCTGTGCGTTCCGCATGAACTGGATCGTGCTTTGCCGAGCCTGTCAAGCGAATCTCTCGATCATACCCACTTCGTGGATCACGATGGGACCGATTATCTCCCCATCAGCGCGCATCGTTCGTTATCACGATCTTGGAACGGTGGAGCATGGGGTGGCAAGCGTCTCCTCCTTCGTGCACACGCCGATCCAAGATCCCTGACCGGGTTGCATTGCCCACCTTGACCGAGAAAGACTGGGAAAGTCTCCAACTCTCTAGACCATTCGGTTCAGCCCAGCATTACCGCTAGACTCGTAGACCAGGGAATGGGGCTTGGATCCTGGTCCCCCTCGTGGCACCGTTCATTGGCTCCTTATCAATCCCATTTCCGGACCATGGAGAGCTGAGAAGTGAAGCCTGGAAGACATCATGCCACTTAGCGGTGCTCATTGGTAAACTCTTTTTCTCGGCTAGTATAGCGGAACAGTGTCCCGTACAATAGTCTCGTTTCGTGGTTGAGGAAGGAGGGGTCGGAGGACAATTTCTAAGAATTAATAATTGAAAATGTCAAGAAGAATAATCAAAAAGTGGAATTTGAAGCTGAAGCCCGAGATGGACCGCGGCATTTGCTCAGGTGAGTGGGAATGGGAGATGGGAAAAGATAGGAAAGATGGAGTCAAACACGCGGGCTGTGGGCAGATGGTGCCATGTACCTTTACGCATCGGGAAATGCCCTGCCTCAGGTCTGCCACGGCGAAGCGAATGTCGTCATGCACGAGGCAGTCAAGCCTCAGGCCTCGCATGTGTCTCCTCCCTTCACCTTCCCTTTCGTCGCCGTGTGAGACGTGCGCCTCTCGGGAATCCCCTTGCTCCACCATCAGTCATTCGCCCACTAAGTCGTTTTTCCTGGATGGTATATTATTATCCTGCCTCGAAGTACCGGGACTCCCCTTGTTCCTGATCTTTCATCTCAGACACATACATACTCTTTCATATATCATCGCACATACTTGCCTTCATACCCTCATCCCTGTGTCCCTCCAACTTATTCTCCGTGATTCGCACGGGCATCATCCCTCCTCCACCTCACTTTCCTCTTACCTCCGCCTCGTATCTTCTCCCAAGCAACCATGTCGTTGTCAGAGAAGAGTGTCATCTCAATGCCCCCTGCAGCCGTGTGTGCGATGGGCTCGTCAAGGTCCAGTGATGCCACACTGGCAGATGCCGTCATCAAGGCTATTCCTGAGAAAGTGGAAGAAAATCCTCAGGTCGAGGGATCCTTCGACGTCGAAGCTCAGGTCAACAAACAGAGGAGGTTTCCCTTCATCCGCTTCACCCTTCTCGATGTCTATCGTCGTCTTTTCACCTTGGTCTTCCTGGCCAACGTCGCGGTCTTCATTGCCATATTAGTATCAGACCGCAAGCTCATTGCTTTGGTGAACGCTACTGCTGCCAACCTACTCGCTTGTGGTCTGGCTCGTCAGCCTCTGGTGGTGAATGCCATCTTCTTCACTGTGTGCTCGATACCCAGGACTGCCCCGCTGGCGATTCGTCGGATTGCGTCGAAGGTATACCATTATGGCGGCGTCCATAGCGGATGCGGCATCGCATCGTTCGTCTGGTATGCAGGCTTTGTGGGTTTGATGTCCAAAGAATACTGGGCTCCGGCGACGGGTGTATCTACAATCTCGGCCGCTCCGGTGGCTGTGGCATATGTCATCTTGGTCTTGCTGTTGGCGATCATCGCAGTGGCATACCCCGGCTTCCGGTTCAAGAAGCACGACTATTTCGAACTCACACATCGGTTCTCCGGCTGGCTCGTCGTCGCGCTGTTCGTGGTCCTGCTTCTTCTATTTGTGAATGAGCTCAGCGAAGCTGCAGGTGTACCTTTCGGTATCTTCTTGGTCAAACTGCCTGCCTTTTGGTTCCTCGTGGTCACCGTCGTGGCCATCATCCACCCATGGGTCTTCCTGAGAAAGGTTCCGGTGCAGCCAGAGTATCTCTCCCCCCATGCCGTCAGGCTGCACTTCAAGCACACCACCACTACCTTTGGGAAGGGCATCCAACTAGCCAAGCACCCTCTCAAGGACTGGCACGGCTTCGCTACCTTCCCAGACCCCGACGGGAAAAGCTTCTCAACCCTCGTATCCAAGGCCGGAGATTGGACTGCGGGATGCATCAAGGAACAGCCCACCCACCTTTGGAAGCGAGGTGTGCTCATCTATGGCTTTGCGTACGCCATGCGAGTCTACCAGAGAGTCATCGTCGTCACCACGGGCTCCGGCATCGGGCCATGTCTCTCCTTCCTGGGCGACGAAAACCGCCCATATCTTCGCGTCGTATGGCAAACCCGAGCTCCGCAGCGAACCTATGGCAAGGAGGTTATGAACTTGGTATCCAAACTGGATCCCAACCCCGTCATCATCGAGACAAATCAGTCAGGCCGTGTTGACATGGTGCCTATCATCCGACAGCTCTATAAGGAGTTCGATGCTGAGGCCATCTGCGTTATTAGCAACCCATTTGTGACGAAGAAAGTCGTTTATGAATTAGAGTCGAGTGGCTTACCTGCGTTTGGTCCCATCTTCGATTCATGATCTGGTTTATCATGTTTGTCTGATTCTTGCTTTTGCATTCTTCTTTCCATATCTTTTCATTTTGGCTTCATATCTTCCTCTTTTTTCCAGTGTATTATGGACGGTTGATCCGAAGAGCGAGGGCGAAAGGCGCAGGGCGCAGGGCGAAAACAAATAAGATCCCAACTACCCCAAAATGTACATACATACATAGTTCGTCGAAACAAAGGAAATGGTTCATACAAACTACGAATGCGTCAGCCGACCAGGCTGAAAAAAAGGTAAACCTATTCCAAGCCATGCAAACATTTCCCGGTTGCTGTCGTGTCAATGAATGTGAGGCTGTCCGACAGGGATGAGGTAACACAGCTCTGCTTACTTGCAGCTCTGCCCTCGGGGATGTGGGAGATCGCGTGGCCTGTGCATCGACGAGTTAGATGCGACGGGTTCGCTCGGAGAGCATATCTAGTTGATGGTAGAGGGTGTGAGGGAAGGAAAAGAGGCTGAGATTTTGGGGACGGCTGACTACGAGTCATTGAAGGGGTGGCGGAAAGTATGTTTGTTGGGTATTTGTCTGAGACATCCCCGCGTAGATGGTCTGGTAGGTAAGGAATTCATGTTGGGCTTGTGGGGTCGAGGATTCCTCGATAGTTAATTGATATCATTTTTGAACTTCTAGATTAACTTGGATAGGCAAGTCCCTTCAGGCACGAGGAATTCACAAGAAAAGGGTTCTCATGGTGGCCCTTCTGAATAGCAACCCTGATGTGATACATCATTGACACTGACAAGACAATAGGAGATGACTAGTGTCACATTCAGCTGAAGCCACGCTGCTAGTAAGAGAATAGCTGATTGCAATTCGGATCGTCGTCTCTTTGTTCTCCGGGCAGGGTATCCTCGCCAACAAAGTAATATTGGGAGGATGGAGACCCGAAAACTCGGTAAGCTAATGCAAATGGGATCATTTGCTCACATGTGATGACAACAAACACACAGGCAAGTTTGTCGAGAACAAGGAACTCATAGGATGGAATTGCTCGTGGTATGTTCTAACAGAGTGGCTGTGTGTTGTCTGTTATGACAATGAGTTGTGAGAATGACTAGGTCGGCGTTGCTCGGGTTCCATCTCGGAAAGCAAAAGACAGGGTTATCGACCAAGGGCCATTGTATAGATTGACTGGTCTCCTTCTAGGCTGAGTGCAGTGAGGATCTGAGGTACGTCAGCTCGAGAAATCTGCCTGAATGTCTGTGAGATCACAAATGCATCCCTGGCGATTGCTATCTCATTCTGTCAGATTTAACCGCACATCCAGTAGAGATAAAGAACTGAGACATTGTACCGTTCTAGGCAGAGCTATCCTTGATCAAAAGGAAAATCTAATAATGTCTGGCTCTATACCATGTCGGTCAATATTTTGAATGACAGCGGCAACGAAGCAACGTTCGGGTCTTGGGTCAGATGTCCTTCAGATCAAACATCTTGTCCTGCGTGCAATTAGTGTCGTCGATATCCAATGCAGGTTTCGGTTCTCGTCAAGAGCGAAATGCTGTACCGACTGAGTCCTTTATTGGAGCGAGCCAGACACTAGATTATCGCGATTCTCAACAAAAACAGCTTGTCTGTGGTAGTTGGCTATTCTCGGTTCGATTCCATCCTATAATACAGCGACAGTCATTAGCTCTCGAACACAAAAAGAGGCATTACTCGATCAAGAACCTGGCAGTCTTGGTATTAATATCGCTCGAAGCTAATTCAAGGGTGGTTGAAAGCCGGCAAAATCGCGGAGACAGTCAGAGCCAGAGTCACGGGGGGGGTCACTGGTTCAGCCAACGTGACTTGCCATCGCCCATAACAGAAAGACGACGGTCATGCCATGCCCTCTCCAAAAGACGACGATTGCCTCCTCTCACGATTGCAAAGTCCGATCCCTTGACAAGGGGCGAGAGGGCAAGCTTTGCCCTTTAACAGCCACAATTTCTTCGACAATTCTGGCTCAGCGCTCATTGGCGGAAATTAACCAAGACTCGCCATCCAAGCGACGAGAGTCCGACGCATCAGTTGATGCCGAGAGCCTGGACTGCCCGATCCCGCACCTCGGGATGAATCGACGCGCTGAGAAGAGAAGGGAAACTCGGAAACCTGATGAATATTGCCTAAATTCGCCCGCCGATGCCCGCGAAATACATGTGAGACATGGAGAATTTCAGGCATATTTATCCGGCACCAGACGCTATGAGCGAGGCCGACTCCTTTCAGCAATTTGATGGTCCAATACCAGGAGGAGGCGAACCAGTCATTTAGCCTGTCAGGCCTGTGCCAGGATCGACTAGACCGGTGTTGTGGGGACTGGGGATATTAGGTCGTATCCGGGGCTCTCTCCATGGGGTGGGTGACCGTCTTTGCGTCTGGCCATCCCGATCCGAATTTCCCTGTCGCCGCCGGGATATTTTTCTGTTAAAAGGAGGAGTTTCCCCACTGTCGCTACGCGAAGAGATGGCGTTAGGAGAGCAATCGGCTGTGTCTGCGTCTGTCGAGCAAAGATGGGCAAACTCTACACGATCGGAGTGGCATGCTTTGCTGCCACAGGTAGTTTCTTATTCGGTTATGACTCTGGTAAGCTTTCTCTCTCTCCGACTCTGTGACTTCGAGTTCAGAAGTGTGTTTACTCATTGACTATAGGTGTCATGACCGATGTCATTGCGTCGCCCAACTTCCTCAACTTCTTCAACACGACAAAAACATCCTCAATCATCGGAGCGATCAACAGCACCTTTTCCGGTGGAGGTAAGCCTCGCTCTAGATGCCATACATGGAACGCGTTGATTGCATAAGTCCACCACTAATATGGTACGATCCGAACAGCCGCTATCGGAGCCCTGACGGCCGGTCTGACAATCGATCGTTTTGGAAGAAAAGCGACCATCCAGCTCGGCGCCTTGCTGGCCACCATAGGCGCTATCCTGCAATGCGCTGCCATGCAATTGGCCATGATCCTGGTGGGTCGCATCGTGGCCGGCTGGGCCGTTGGCACCCTCAGCATGTCTGTTCCTGTTTACCAGGCTGAGTGTGCGCATCCCAAAACGCGAGGCCTGTGAGTTTTGAGCCCCGGATGCCAGATACCTAAGCGACTATCGAGAGACTGATGACGGATAAAACAGGATTGTTGGTCTGGCACAGCAGATGATTGGCGTGGGTTTTATTGTTAGCACGTACGTTTGCCCCGACATTAACTGTTGTCTGACATATGGGGTTGCTGCTAATTCTCGGGAACCAACAGATGGATCGGCTATGGATCTCTCCACGCCCCGGATAGTAATAGCGTCCAGTGGAGATTTCCGCTGGCATTCCAAGGACTCCCTTCGATCATGCTCTTCATTGGATTGTTTTGGCTGCCAGAATCTCCGCGTCATTTGATCGAAAAGAAACGAGATGAGGAAGCCCTTCGTGTGTTGAAGAGACTTCATTACGACGGCACCAACGAAGACTGGATCCAGTCCGAGTTTACGGAAATCAAAGCTACTATCGATGCAGAGAGAGAAATCACCGCGACCGGATGGCTGGTCATGTTCCAGGTGCCGCAATGGCGGACACGACTGATGTACGCCCAGTCCTGCTTTCCCCGAATTCCTCATCTCAAATACTGACAATGTTTCTAGCCAAGGTACCTTAGTTCAAACCTTCACTCAAATGACCGGTATCAATGTCATCAACTACTACCAGAACATCATGTACGTCCCAATCCTCAAGCCATCCCAGTTCCCACCCATATCTAACCCTCAACCCAAGGTACGAGAACCTAGGAATCACCGGCAACCGCGCCACGCTCGTAACAGGAATCTACAACGTCGTCGGCCCCCTCGCCAATCTAATCTTCATCACCTTCTTCCTCGACCGCGTCGGCCGTAAAAAGCCCCTCCTCTTCGGCGCCGCCGCCATCACCGTCGCCCTCGTCTGCGAAGCAGCCCTCAACTCGCAGAACCTCGACGGCACCCGAACAGGCTACAGCATCGGCGGCGTCTTCTTCCTTTTCTGTGTCACCTGTATTTTCTCGGCCTCGTTCGGCTCGATTAGTTGGGTCTACATGTCGGAGGTCATGCCCATGCAGATTCGTGGTAAGGGGAATGCCTTTGCCACGGGTATTGGTAATTGGGTCGTTAGTACGATCTGGAGTCAGGTGTCTCCGATCGCGCTGGATCGGATGGGTTGGAAGTTTTATTTTATTTTTGCGGCTTTTAGTATGTCCCCTTTCCCCCTTTTCCCCTCTTGAGCATACCTACAGGAGAACTATACACAACCACCCCATCCAACCCCATATACTAACATTCAACTCAACCAGACGTCGTCATCACCATCCCAACCATCTTCTTCTGGTTCAAAGAAACCAAGCAAAAGTCCCTCGAGGAAATCGATCTCCTCTTCGGCGGTAGAGCCCTCGGCATGCTCAGCAACGATCTCAACGAGAAAGGACTAGAAGTCGAAGCCCATAACTCGGCCGTGGAGCAGGTGGAGCATGCCCCTGAGGATAAGAAATAGATGGTTTGATCTGATCTACTGGACTTATATTTTGAACGGGTTGATCGCTGTTCATGTTGCCTACCTGCTTTATCTACCTAGGTACCTACCTACCTACCCAGCTATTTCTCTGAAGTGGGTCGGTTAGTTGGTACGGGTCTATGCGTCTGGTCTAGGGCATGTCTGTGGTAGTTAGCTCTAACTAGCTGGTTCGTCTGGTAGATTATACAGATAGCTACGAGGTTAAGACTTGAATATGATACATATATGCCATTTCAAAACGACCAGGACTACACATACAACTATCCGTAAACTTTGTCAGTCTTCTGGGATCATGCGTTTTGGAAGATACATAGTTTCTGAAGAGACGAGTAGCTAGCTAAATGACTTGACATTAAGTCTTCGTAGCATCAACCCCAATATCCAGTGAGTCATCAGCAGACTCACAACCAGTTAGTTACCCCATACCCCGCCCACAGAACGAACAACTCGAGATCTGGTATCCATCTACCCCACGATCTACAATCAGATTACAAGAAAAATGGAGAGGTCCAGTTTAATCCGTTAATTAGATATAGATTTCATTAAAGTACTGTCCAGATGTGTCTGTAACACTGCCATCACGGGGTATGCGCAAATATAACAGACAAAAGATATAAAAATAAGCACAAAGCAGAGAACAAAACGCAGCCCCGGACAGATATGATGGGTATCATTGCAAGAGAATACACAAAAAAAAAGAAAGAAAGAAAGAAAAAGAATCAGCAACTTTTTTTAATCCCGATTTCTCCGGAGGTGGGAATACATGACTCGTGTCGTTTAGGTGGTTGAACAAAGGAAAATAAGAAAATAAAAGGCAGACGGTTCCGGTATTAGGTGGTTGTAATTGCCAGTGGTGAAAAAAAAAGCAAGCGAGCAATCTTGGTTTGGAGTTCGAGTTGTTGAAGTCGTTCCATTCATCAGTTTATTCGTAATGTCATGAGGTGAAAATGAAATGAAAATGAAAATGTTAAAGCGGAGAGAGAGTGTGTAGACGTGGGTTTGTCGTGTTCGAATCCGAATGAGTCAGTAGTTATGAGGACGCTTGGGAGCTAACAGATGGGGCTCGGGCTCGGCTTCCGAGCTCCATAGGCTCCGTGATCAGATCATCGTTGGTTAAACGGGATCGTCCCCGAAGGGAGGAATGAGTGGACTCGCTGTCCAAACGCAGAGAGTCCATACGCTCTAGATCCTCGTATTCAGGAAGCGCGAGTGGCGACCCGTTGTAGTCCTCCATCATGCTGCTACCGTCGAGCATGGTGTATCCGGGAGGACTGGCCGGCACGTCCTCGTAAACGGGAGGCATCTCTTCGTCCCAGCTGATGCCGAGTCCGCTTCGTTCGGTGACGTGCAAGTGGAATTGCATGCGGAGCACTCGTGCGGCACCCGTGGGCGTGATGAGTCTGGTGTTGCGGTTGGGGCAGAATTCCTCGGCAACGATCAACTCGATGACGAGGTTGTGCTTGGCCTCCAATCCGCCGGCCGCTTCAAGATCGCACACCGGGTTGCAAGTGGGGTTGATGTTGGCCTCGAACTGCATGCTGATTTCGCCGCCAGCGGTGTCGAAATCGGTCTTCCAGCCCTCCTTTTCTTCGTTGTGGCCGATGATGCGGGTCTCTTGGTGGAGAACTCCCTTTCCCTCACCTCCGATCTTGTGCGCATGTTTGGAGCAGGCTGTAGAAACGATCTTCTGGTGTTCCTCGATCCGCCACATCATCTTGCGCAATCGCCAGCGGGTCTGGGTCTCGTCACCCTTGTCAACAACACCGCTGAGGGTCATCTGGACGGGGAATGTGCCGATGGGGTGGACGACGGAGGGAAGAACAATTCGGCCGGTCAGGTTGGTGGGAGGGAAGATACGAATGGAGGACTTGTCGTTTCCGGGAAGGATGGCACGTTTGATGTGCAGCGGCATCTCGAAGTTGTATTCCTCACCATTAACGTTGTGAGCGTGCGCGGACAAAAAGTATTCGATTTTGCCCAAGGAGCCGTTGCAGGATGCAGGCGAGTTGCCGGGGAACAGGTAGCTGAATGGGAATTCATGATCACCGCTCTTCAAGCTCAAAGGCTCCGTCAGGAAGTTCCAGTGAGTCAACTCGTCGGTTCGAGAGGAACAGCTAGAGCACTCCCTCGACACCGGCTTTTTCGTAGTGATTTTGGTCATCAAACGCATGTCGAACTTGTCCAGGAAGATCTGCTCTGCTCGCTCCGTCACAGCGATCTTCAGGCGACCCGAAAACAGGGCGCCTGTTGAGTTGGCCGGGGTTCCGTAGCAGACCAGGGGAGGAGATTCGACGATCACGTCTAGTTTCGCCGACGTGCCGGCGACATGTTCATTGGCATGACGCTCCTTGGAGCGAGAGGCGCGTCGGTTTCCACGCTTCTTCTCCTTGCTGTGGTCACGGTGCGGATGAATGAGGTGATCCAGCTGATCCATCGCGAAGGATAGGCGGCGTTCCGGAGAGCGTGCCCTCTCGGGGTGGGCTGTCACGGTAGGTTTCTTGGCGACCATAGCCGGGTTGGGGATTTCATTGACAGAAGAGGTAGACGACGAGTTGGAGTGGGAGGAAATGGAGGAAGGGTGGTGGTGGGAGTGGTGGTGGTGGCGCACGAAGCTGGGGAGAAGTCGGCCAGGCATGGTGTCAGAAGTCAAGAATGTACAACGACGCCGTGCCTAGCAAAGAACAGGATGGTTTATGAAGATATTTCGCGGATAGATAGATCGACGTCTATCGGCAGGTTCTTGGTAGATGGTATTCCGGGGTTTAGGCTGTCAACTCGATGATGGTGCTTCAGGATTCAGTGCGGTGCTGTAGTAGTTGAGTTTCCAAGGAGACAATCCAAAACATAATCCTCTCTGGCTTAAAAGATTCGACGTGGACTGGAATCGAGTATGACCTGCACGGAACAGGTCTTGAGAGTACAGTTGGGATGAGACTATAGAAGCATGAAATGGAGGAGAGGAGCGAAGTGAAGAAGATATAGTAGGTCGATGGCGGAGTGTTTCTATAATCTACCGGACCAAAACACCAATACCAAAGAAACAAAGAAACAGAAAGAAGAAAGTGGGCGAGCAGCTGCCTTTGAATGACTCCGAACAAGCTTTTCTTTATTAGCCCAGAAAAACCAGAATATATACTCCATAAGAGTACAAGACCCTCCAGGGAAAAAAAAAAGAAAAAAGTTTTTTTTCGGAAAAAAAAAAAAAGAAAAAAAAAAGAATTAATTTTCCACAGTGCAGTTTCTAGGAGGTTCCCACCGTGTAACAACCAACAGGTACCTTAGCAATTTTCTTCCCTGGTCTGGCCACTGCCAAAGTGGAACCCGGCAGAAAAGGCGTCACGGTGGGTCTTACCGTACGTCTTTCCGTACGTGACCAAGTGACAATACAGTCACCGCCCTTGGAGGCCGGCAGACTTGGCAGGCTGGAATCTTCCCCCCGAGATTTGAGACGATTCTGACACTTCTTCTCTCATCATGAGCCAACGAGCTTGCGTGTTCGTCCGCTTTCTGGCTAAACTTAGCCATCATTACATCACCGGGTTGGCGGTTTTCTTCTCCCTGGACGTTTCATTAACTTCTCATTGAACTTAGTTAATCTTGCCATCAGAATTATGGAATGTGGTCGACGGATGAGTACAGAGTAGTACAGTAAGCATGGGATATTCTAGATTCCAGAATTCGTCACGCAGATCACGCAACGCTTCGAAACAACAATGACAACAGCCTTTCCGACAATAGTGTGATTGGATCTCCCGAGTCTTTGCTCGCTTGAGGGGAAACTTTGTCAATGATCTGAGGGTGTTCCCGACGAAAATCGACGGTCGATGAATTCGGTCCAAAATGATGCGATCGCTTTTCATCAAACATGTGAGATCGACAGACAGCTCCCTGATGATCCGATTGAGGTGGTATTTGGTCAGGTACCGCCTTCGCTGGCAAGTGGCTGATCAATCAACAAACCATTCCAATTCCTACCGCGTACACCTAGTCATCTACTGCACACCCACCTAATAACTTTGCATCATTTGACAACATTTCAGGAGGATGATCGCAATATCGTCCTAGTTTAGCAGAGTTTCCCCCAACACATGACGCGCCATTCTGCACCGGCCAAAAGCCCGTGCGCCATGACTCACGATTGGATTTCCCGGGTCCGTTCCCTAGATGCCATGCGTCCCGAGACCATCTGAGCCCTACCTGAACCTGGATGGCGCTCCTTTGGACAAATGGACACTCCCCTCGCCTGTGGATCCCCCGTATGCGCAAGTGGTGACTTGGACCTGGGGCAGTATTGTGGAGGTCGTCACAACGGCCGTCCACTGTCCATTGAGTCCCTCTTGGAGACGCGATCATTCGATCCGCTTGCCAAATTGTAAATGGGATGTTGCGATGTTCTTTGACCGACGTAACCAAGGAACCGAAAGGCTGAATCCGGTTCTAGACGGACTGGACTGTGTACAAATGTTCCTCAATTTCTACTGTGATTGGTCAGTTCCATACTTAGAAACTCAAGAGCTGCCACGACGACAAGAAGAGACCCATGGCGGTCTCAGTCGACGACTGATGGATGGTCATCGACCCCTTGCCAGCTGCGTAGCGCGCTACGGCGATGAACACCGACCAGCCCGGCACGCATTATCCGGAGCAAGCCACGAGCACGGGCAAATTCCCCGCGGGCCTTGCATTTTGCTTGGTTCTTTGCTGCTTCGAGCAGGTCAGCTGCCGTCATCAAACCATCACGTGGCGTCATTCGTTGCCCTCAAGGTCCGACGGGTCAAAGGCGGTCTGGCGCAAGTGCTGCCGTCAGTTACAAACGATACGCGGGTGTACCGTACCGCGCTAGTTGGAGATCCTCTGGATGCGTGATGCCGCCTTTCCTCTTCGGCTCTAAGGAGGGGCAGACCGCTTTTGGGAGGCGACGCTAGACCCGTCCGAACCGGAGGCCACCCGTTCGCTTTGGGAAACGGCCCTGGAAAAATTCGAATCCTTTTACAGAATTTTTATCACCGGTACACTTGTATGGTTGCAATTCTCCCTGGGTTCCACCCAATAGAGGGTCAACGGGAAAGTGAAGACAAAAAGGAGGGAAAGAAAAAAGACACTGGAACGACCGCATACGAATGAGAACCAAAAAGGCCCCATGAGTCCAATTCTCAATCCTCCAATATGGATCGACTATGCTATTGTGGTAAATTCATACGGAGGGACCTACGAAGTACAGCAGGATTATGTGTTCCTGTCGCGGTTTCTCTCCTCAGATTTACTACTTTCGGACAAGGCCAAGCTGCACCCTAGAAGGAAGATTTCTGGGCAATCTATATTTTTGCTGCTCATCCCCGCACTCCAGGGAATCGAGCATCTGCGGGGCATTGCATCATACGACCGTCTCGGATATGATGCCGTTGGCTGCGACATCCGGGGATGCCAGAGCAATTGAAGCCGGTGCGGACGTTGAGTGTTGAAGGAATAGATCGAGATATCAGTTGATCCCGATGGATAGAAGTTGAGGACGACAACAACAAACAGACCGAAACCCACCCGACCCTGTTCTAGACACATTCGCTGTCATGGCGAGTGACCTGTGCGCCCTGCGCTTTACAGGGAAATCTTCTCCCGGGACGAATCGCTGTTCTCCCGCACCCTCCCCATTACCTAACAGAATCGTCGCCCACGTCGCCCATTGGAAGCCGCCCTGCCCTGGCGACGATGCTTAGGCCTGACGCTGAGGTCCCTCAAGGAAACGTTGTCCGTCCCGACTCTTGTAGCGTTTCGGCATGAGAATGCGTCGACTGTCTCCCCGGTTGGCCGACTCGATCATGCCAGAATCATCGGGTGCGATGCGGTCTGGTCGTTCAGGGTTCCGACTGAGGTGATCGCCCTGTATCACCACCACCTGCATAGGCGCACGGTTTCTTCCGCCGAATTTTCCCATTGGATGGGGATTTCCTGCCCAGTTTATGATCCTCAATCCGGCTGATCCAGTCAGGTACCGTCGACCTGCCACACCGATCATTCTTGGTTGCTTCAACTGTCTACTAACAATGGCACACGGTACCTTGTGAGGGCGAGTATCAACATGCCAACTTCCTCTTTGGGCATGGCTCCCTCGTGGGTTCTACGCAGTACACCGTAGGCCCGTCTTGAGTCGTGAGTCGTGACCGGCCCGGTCTGGGGCTTCAATGTGGCTCAGTGTACGGAGCAGCTTAGCAAGCCAACAAGGTAGGTAGATGATCGAGGATCACGTCAACTGCTTTCGGTATCAAAATGGCCGATTCATTGAGGCATTTAGAATTATCACGTTCACCGAGCGCGATCCTCTCCACCTGCAGGGATCACTAGGTACTTACTGCCAATAAGGTACTCACCTGCCTAATTCAGCCCCTGTAGAACTCCGTGCGACTGCGACAGCTCTCTTCCTACCCTACAGGCGACAGTGCAGAGCACAGAGGTACAGCATGAACCACATCGAGTCCTGGATATGCACGTATGGAGCATGGACCTCTCGGTCCCCATCGCATGCAGATTTACACGACAGCTTGCTGGCGAATGCATCCACAGAAGAATTCTCCGATTGCGCGACTTGTGGGTTAGCGATTAACTCAATTCAAGTTCCAATTCAATTCCATCGGTCCTTTCCGCGGGAAAGTAGGATAAAAATACAGAAACCAAATACTAACAAAATCCAGAAATCAAACCCCACCAAAAAAAAAAAGAAAAAAATGTGCTAGACAACAAATTTCCAGTGTTAGTCACTCAGTCGGTGGCACGCCATCGTCCCGACGGAGGATTCCCGGATTTTCCAGGCGACGGTTCGGCCTAGCGCGACTCCATCGCCATGACTGACTCCTTTTGCGCCCTCCCTCTTACCCTGGAACTAGCGAGTAGCGCCTCAAACAAAAAATTTTTCTTGATCATTTGGGATTGGAAAAATGTCCACTCCGACGGTACCCTCCTAGTCTGGTTGGTTTGTTAATATAGAGGTCGGCGAGTTCCGAAGCTCTACTACTACAGAATACATCCATTCGGAGTAATATGTAGAAACCCCCTAGAATAATAATACAAATAGTCAATACCACCTTCCCTGCCCTCATTCAGGTATCGGATGGACTACCGCCCCTAGCTAAAGTCATCATTCTTGTATTTTATGTGTCCATTTTCGTCATATTTGTTTCGGGGCCATTGGTTAGCCTTACATAATAGGGCTACCTTGGGCTATCTTGGCAATATGGAACTTGGTAAATGAGCGATTATTTCGACTGATGGGGTAGAGATTCTCTTGGCATTGTGTTCTGAGAAGGAGCAGGAAATAGGGCGGGAAAGATCATTTCCATTTTCCCACGGGGCTTGGAAAATTCGGTCCATGGATTCATGATGGATGGATGGAATTTCAGTTTCACTTTTAGATTGGTGGTTCAGTTTAATTTCGGAGCCCTAAATCATAGGAAACATCCTGTACCTACGGTTTATATATGTGTCAATGGTCCGGAGTAGAAGTTCGGAATATAATTCCTGCTAATATGGAGGGCTTCGTATGCTGGTTTATATGTTGCTCTGTGAGCCCTATGCCTTCGGTATACATCAGTTAGTATGACCGGTTAATGTGGTTCGGTCTGCATTATGTAGAATTTAAAAGGTCATTGAAAATGACATTCAATATAGTCAATTGAGTTCCAGCCATGCTCCAAACTTCATTTTCACGGCGTCTCTCGAAATAGAACTAACGCCTGTCTCAACATCCTGTGGCATGATATGCTCTGTCAACTGTGCCCCGCGTCTTCTACGGAGTATATAACCCCACCGGAGTCGCCTTCCTAAACAAAATGACCAGCTATTAGAGCAGTAACACGGCACGCAAAGCCGAAGACAAACGTCTGTCGATTACAGAGAGCTGTATTCTCGACCACCTCCCCCTCTCCATTCTCCTTTCCACTGACCAAATGGGGCGTTAATGAAAATGACCAATTTTGCCGAGGCTGACGAGGATGCCGACGCTTATCGGATCACGTGGTGATAAGGCCGCAGCCCCGGATCGTCAATTGGAGCTTCACTTTCCGTCCTGCCACCGTGTCTTGCGGTGTTTGCAGACGAGACGTTCAGGATTAGCTGGAGGCAGCTAAAACCAAGAACGCAATTGACCGTCTGGAACCCAAGCGATCCAAGTGGTGGTCTCGTGGAAGAGCTGGATGCGCTCCACCTGATCTGATACCTACTTACTCCGAATCGACCTTGAGTTGATGCTCCGGTCCACCGAGTACTTCGATCCATCTAATACGTCCCTTCCTAATAAGGACCTCTCAATCCAAGACATCCGAGACGAGGATCGAGACAAAGTTCATTACTGCATATTTCAATAATTCGGTTTATTGATTGATTGATCACTATGTCATCATCATTAATCTCCTTAGGAGTTGCCATCGCCGGTGTCTTCCTCTTCTGGACCATGTCCTCTACCTCGTCGTCCCCGTTCGCGCGCAATTTCCCCCGTCTCTATAACCAAAGGATATGTTTGCTTATTGCGCACCCGGACGACGAGGCCATGTTCTTCGCGCCTACCGTGCTGGCCCTCACCAAGCCTGAGCTTGGTAATCATCTCAAGATCTTGTGTCTTAGCACTGGTACGTATGCATCTAACCCACATCTTACTCGATGCGTGTGCTCGCCACAGAAAGAAACAGAACTCGAAAGAAGTGGTCCAGTGACCATAAAAAAAACCACTAATAACATGGCATAAACAGGAGACGCCGACGGACTCGGCCACATCCGCAAAAAGGAGCTCCAGCAAAGCGCCCTGCAGCTCGGCCTCCGCAACGAATCAGACGTCTACGTCGTCGACGACCCTGCCCGTTTCCCCGATAGCATGTCCACCATCTGGTCGGAGTCCGATGTATCGGATCTCCTGGCCTCTGCCTTTGCCCCGGATCTGCTGACCGGCTCCGTGCCGTCTTCCGCCGGCAACACCACCGCCGCCACACGTAAGAGAGATGCTAAATCTAAACACGCCAAGACCGACTCCTCTCCCTCCGCCACCATCGACGTGATCCTCACCTTTGATCAGCGCGGTATCAGTAACCATCCGAACCATCGCTCGCTGTACCACGGAGCGCTGTATTTCCTGCGCGCCCTCATGAAGGATAAACCCGGTTACTCGTGTCCTGTGTCGCTGTATACGCTGCACACGACGAGTCTGCTGCGGAAGTATATCGGTGTGTTGGACGCGCCGATCACGATGGCGCGGGGGGCGGTTTCGGCGCTGGTCTCGAGTTTGTCTAGATCCGGCTCTAAATCGGGATCGGGATCTGCGTCGAGGGAGGGCGGGGACAAGCCGTCGCGGTTGCTGTTTGTGAGCTCGGTGGGTGAGTGGATGACGGCGCAGTCGGCGATGGTGAAGGCTCATAAGAGTCAGATGGTGTGGTTTCGGTGGGGGTGGATTACCTTTGGGAGGTATATGGCTGTTAATGATTTACAGAAGGAGAAGATTTGATTGTGGTTCTGTGGTTGGGATGGGCGGACGAGGGGAAAGGGTTGAACCTATGTATTCCCTCCCTGTATGTATGTATAATAGTGATCCATGAATCGTCGTGATTCTTGTGTATGCTTTTATGAATGGGAATTGTAAGTTGCGAGGTTGCTCTGGCGCAATCAACCTCGATAAATGGTTGGGATGTCTGAACCGACACTTTCGATCGAAATCGAGTTAACATAGAAATAAAGAAGCATTCAATGGTGTTGGGTGCCTAGAAGGGCTACAGAGGGATGCGAATTGACCGGTAGCGTACACTTACAAACACCTAAAAGCCTACACTATGTTGAGTAAGGTAGCTAATATAAATTGTTTATTCAGATCATTCATTTGAGATTACGTTGTCTCATTTCAGCATGTAACTTGGAATAAACGAATCCATTGGAAAACAAACTGGCAATCCACTCCCAGGTGACCACCACGAACAAGGGTATCTGATAAGATCATCCCAGGCATCTGAAAGATGACACTTCAGAAGACAAACAATTCGCTGAAAATAAGGAACACTCAAACTCATGAAACAAATACTAAAAAAATCAAGCGCAGGAAAAAACACAAAGCCAGAGTGAACGTAGTCGACCTGACATGTCAAAGCAAACACAGCAACCAGGTCTCTCTCTTCTCAACCATTAGCGTAACCGAAGCCCTCGATGGCGGTATCTGCAGGATCCTCGTATTCCTCATCTTCGGCTTCTCCTTCCTCTTTCCAATATCTAACCTTTTTGAAATCATGAGCACGGTAGAAATTTTTGAGATCCTCATAATTCGCGCAGTCTGCTATGGTCTCGTAAGTGAAAGGATCGTGGGGTGGCGGGTGCGAGACAGTGCTCCGTTCGATAACGCCGGAGAAGAGACGGTCTAGGGGTTGGATATGGAGGCTGGCCTTGGATTTGTAATATGGTCGCCTTTTCAACAGGTTGGCCCAGAAGGCGTCGTCGTCGATTTCATCGGGGTGAACCTCTCGTTTGAGCCCATTTGTCGGGGTCGGGCGGCGAATGGGAATTTTGTGAAACCCGGTATACCGTCGAAATCGCCAGTTACTGAATCCTTTTCTGTGTATCATGCCGCCGGAAGTATGGTAGTGGATTTGATCGGGGAGGAAATCCTGCCACTCCTCGAGGGCCTGCGGGAGGTAGCGTCGCTCCCAGGCGTATTCGGACTCCCCCGGGATTTCCCAATGGTTCTGGATGATGAGGAGTCGGGCGAGCCGCACGACAATGGTGTAGGCCTCGGCAGCGCGTAGCCGCAATAGGTCATACTCGTACACAGCGTTAGCGAAGGGCCGTGATTTGAATCGCGAAAGATCCGCTGGCCCACGACGTTTCTTGGGCCCTTGCGAGATCTTGCTGTTGGTCAGATAGCCCATGACTTTCGTGCGCGCTACTTTCTGCTTGCGTCTTGTTTCTGCTAAGATGTTGTACGCCCCCTCCATGTGTTCCTTGTATAGGGGCCAGTTGTATTGATCCCATGCCGTCTTAGCCATCATCTGATGAACGTGGGCGGTGGGCTGAACGTTAAATGGTTTCGACGTCATGGTCTTATACATATCGAATAGAAAATTTGGATCCACCTGGCCCCGATCTTTCCCTGGAAGGTCGATTCCGAAACGACGTCGCGAGAGCACAAACGTCCGCTCCATCAGTTCTAGCCAGACCTCCTCCGGAATTGCAATGCCGTATGATTCGGAGAGGTGTTCGATGGTCCGCAGCGCCGCAAGCATGTTACTTGACGTGCCAAAGGCATGCGCCACGGCATGTAGTAGATTCTTCGTTGGATAACAAGGGGATGAGCGCGGAAAGGGAGTGACGGGTTCTTGCGTGGGGTGGTTTTCTGGGTCCAGCAACGCATCCACGTCAACATTCCAGATGGCCTTGAGAAGCCTTTCGATTCCGCTGATGGCCCCCACGCGGGAAGACGATACCATCACCTGGATGAAGGTGTTCTCGTCACCCTGAAACCCATTGCCGATCATTTCGTTCAGTGTCTCGACGACATCTTTCCGCACACTTCGAGCTTTGGTACCGAAGCCCGTCCACCCAGGGTTAGGAGAGTCATACCCTCGTTTGCGGTAAATGTGCTTGGTGATTCGCAGCCGATAACCCCCCCGGCCAGTGTAGGTCGAGTCCCAGACTTTAGATGCCATGAGATGGTTGTAGCAGGCAGCGTCGGGCTGAACCTCGTCCTCTTTCATGTTCTCCCAGACCTGGTCGGCCATGTGAGCATCTCCCATGGAACTCGCACAGCTGAGAAGATGAGTGTACTCAGCTAGCCCAAGTTGGTGGCCCGTCCGTTCTCGGGTCTGAGCAATAGCCATGACGTTGTTGGCGAACTCCTCGAAAATCACCTCGAGCCTCTTGTACCCTTGGACATGAACGGTGGTCGGATGCAGCGCTCGGTGGATGGTACGGAATGGCTCGATAAAGTAGGCGGGCGAGAGCAAGCGGAAAACCTCGGCAAAGATGCTCGGCGTCATGGTTGCAATGATTGTTTCGAAGCGCGGATCGAGCAGGACACTCATCACTTGATCTGGTTGCCCATCTCGGATGATGGCCCAGAATTGCTTGATTTCATTCCATTCAGGCGCCTGTGCATACTGCTCCTCTTGGGTGGTGGGGGTCTGCTCGTCAGTTGGGATGCCGGTCGCTTGATCTTCCCGTACAACATCTGTAGAAAGCGAATCTAAGAAGGCGGGGAAATTGGCCACGTTCCGATGGGAAGTATGTTCGTGAAGTTGGTTAGGAATGGAGGAGTGCGCAGCAGTAGAAGATGAAGAGTAGCTCAGCTGCCTCCACCGGGTGGAATCTCGGGCGGATGTTATCAGTCGAGTGGAGCCTGGATAGAGAGCGAATCCACACTGGACCTGAGAGCCAAATCTCTGGCTCGCTCGTGCAAACCTCCGCATCACCGCGACTCGACTCGTGCCGTTGACAGACAGCAAATTGTTGACAGTAAGGAACTGCACCAGTTCTGCACTCGAAACACGACGAGGAGAAGCGTCACCTGTTATAATTGGGCTTGCGGGGGCTTGGCGATCAGATCCCTGTCCTTCTCCTCATTTCGCCTGCAGTAATCCCTCCTCGGTCGGCTCGCTTTGTTCTCTCTTTCCCTCATTCCCTTGGGTTCTCCCGTCATGGCCGACACCGAAGATACCGGCGCTGCCCCCGTCTCTGAACCTTTGGATTTGGTGCGCCTGTCGCTCGATGAGATTGTCTTTGTGAAGCTACGTGGGGATCGCGAACTGAAGGGTCGTCTGCATGTGCGTTCTTGCTCCCGGACAAAGCTGGCCCCCGACTTTTACGCGCTTGCAGATCTTGCTGACTTTGATGTTTTCTGTCATAGGCCTACGACAGCCACTGCAATGTGGTCCTGGGGGATGTCGAGGAAACTGTCTACGTGGTAGAGGAGGATGAGAACGGAGAGGAGACCATCCGCGTATGTGATTGACAATTTCCCTTTCGCTGTTACTCCCTCTCTCTGTCCACTCCTGACGGGCAGCTGGGAAATCATCTGGCAATGAGCTAACGGATTTCTCCTTCTAGACTACCAAGAAACAAGAAGAAATGCTGTTCGTTCGAGGTACGCTAAATGAGACGCAGCAGACATCCGCAGTGTGAATTTGAAAACCTGTCCAGCTAACAGTCTGTTCCCTCGCGTAGGAGACTCCGTTGTCCTGATTTCGCCGCAAGCATGAGCACGACGTTAAAAAGCATGGAAGTCTACGAAAGTCGAGCCGATCGGATAATAGAGCGAGCATAATGGAATAATTCATGGGAGGAACGCTAGGACAAGGACGGGAGACTATTGACTCCTACACACGGTGGATCATGAATATGAGACCATGAAATTAGGCGATGACTACACAATATCGGAAGAAGGTTTTAGTTGCGTCTTGAACCGTCTCCGGAGCTTAGTTCCCTGGGTAGATTTATGAGAAAGACATTCTGGGCTGGGATGGCATGACATGAGAAATCTTGCCTGGCCGATTTGTGTCACCAGAGATGAACCCACCGCGACAGCAGTCGTCAGCGTCCTGTTCTGTAGCTTTCCATCAGTCTAGCAGAGGAGACTTTATATTAATTGATCAGAGATCAATATGACACAGCCCCATGATTCACAGTGCTCTGGCAGTCATCAGTTGGCTATGACTCAACCACTGGGGCGGTTATCGATAAAGAGCAGCTTTCCCCGATCAGCCCCGTCCGTTTGCCTGTCCGCTTCTCTCGCTCTCCATCACCTCTGCTATCCTGTTCTATCTTTTTCCATTCCACTTGCCTTTGCAATCCTAAATAATCTGTACGGGCTCCTTCCGTCTCCGCGACTTCCTCTCAACATTCAGAGTGAAATTATGATCACTCGAATACGAATCTAAATGCGCCAGCGGCGGCTCTTGCTCAACCCCCCGACCGTACAGTACAACCTCAACCACATCCTATATTTTTAGTTCTCTCTCTCTCTCTCTGTCGACGTTATTATACTTTTCTCTCTTTCTGGATATCATTACCTATCATTATGCCTCCCGGTGGACCAAAACTTACGCTGGAGGAGCGGCGAAGAGGCGAGATTGTAATCCACCTCTCTATACCCCGTCCTCCCCCCGTCACCACCTTCATTGCTAACTCCTCGTCAAAACGTACAGGCGCTCAGTGAGTTTGCAGAATATGCCGACAAACAGCAATCGAACCGCTCTGCCCCCATAGCGCCTAGCGACAGCGGCTACTCCACAGCTAGCGTTTCCCGAGCCCACGAAGAACACGCTGAATTGGAAATCCTCGATCAGCTAGGGTTGTCCGATGAGCCGAAATCGATCAAGCTAAAAGACCTTCTGCTGGGTACAGGTGACCAGCCAGAGGACGGTCTGCAGACCCTAGCCAGCCTGGTGCAAACTCGCATTGACGAGGGCCATGGCGAGACGATATTTGACTTGGGTCTCGAGGATGGTGGAGAATCGATGGCGTTCGACCTGGAGCAATGGAACACGGCTTTGCGACGTCTACAGGAGGCAACCAATACCCTTCCGGCGCATTGTCGCATCCTCATGACCTACAATGTCGGAGGCCCCGGCGAGTCTCAGGTGCATAACGAGCGCATCAAAGGGGCTTGGGGCAAGATCCTCATCCGACAGCCTGCGGATAGCGTCGAAGAGATGACCGAAATTCGCGTCGCAGTTGTGGGAAATGTGGATGCTGGCAAAAGTACCATGCTAGGAGTCCTCGTAAAGGGGAATCTAGACGATGGTCGCGGCAAGGCCCGGGTCAATTTATTCCGCCACAAGCACGAAATTGAGAGTGGTCGGACTAGCTCAGTCGGATTGGAGATTATGGGCTTCGACAGCCGAGGTGACATTGTCGGTAGCTCGCAGGGTCGCAAATTATCCTGGGAAGACATCGGCAAACGGTCCGCAAAGGTCATCTCCTTCACCGACCTGGCTGGCCATGAGCGGTATCTACGGACCACGGTGTTTGGTATGCTGAGCAGCAGCCCCAATTACTGTCTTCTGATGGTTGCTGCCAATAACGGTCTGATCGGAATGAGCAAAGAGCACCTGGGTATCGCATTGGCGCTGAATGTCCCGGTCATGGTGATTGTCACCAAGATTGATATCTGCCCCCCGCAGATCCTCCAGGAGACTCTTTCTCAACTCAATAAGATCCTCAAGTCCCCTGGAGCGCGCAAGATACCCGTGTTCGTCAAAGACATGGAGGAAACTATCAACACGGCGACGCAGTTTGTCAGCCAGCGAATCTGCCCCATCTTTCAGGTCTCCAACGTTACCGGAGAGAATCTGGAACTAGTACGAACGTTCCTCAATATCTTGCCGCATCGTGGCCAGTACAATCCAGATGCTCCTTTCGAATTTCTTATCAACGATACATTCTCCGTGCCGCACGTGGGAACGGTCGTGTCGGGCGTGGCCAAGTCCGGCGTGATCCATGCCGGCGATCCAGTGCTCGTGGGACCTGACTCGCTCGGCCAATTTACAACAACCACGATCAAGTCCATTGAACGCAAGCGGATTCAGGTGAATGCCTGTTTTGCCGGCCAATCCGGTTCTTTCGCCTTGAAGCGTGTACGTAGGAAGGAAGTCCGCAAGGGCATGGTTGTTCTCAAGAAATTGGATCAACCACCCAAGGTATACCGCGAATTTGTGGCGGAAGGTACGACTCATTACACCATCTCCAAACCCAAACATGCATGCTTACTCTGTCATTATAGTTCTAATTCTGTCCCATGCGACCACTATCAAGCCCCGATATCAAGCCATGCTGCATGTTGGAGCGGTGAGCCAGACCTGCTCCGTCATTGATATTGACCGCCCCTTCATTCGAACGGGCGATCGTGCTTTGGTGGCCTTCCGATTTGTTCAACGTCCTGAATTTTTGGCTCCTGGGGATCGAGTGCTCTTCCGCGAGGGTAAAACCAAGGGACTAGGGATCGTCAAGAGCGTCGGCTACGACCCGGAGAAGCCTCTAAACCCGGAAGGGAAAAAGGAGCCCGAGAAGGAGAAGGGCAATTGAACGAATATGTCATCGACCATGGATAAGTCGATTGGGGAATTTCCTTTTTTTTGGGTTCATAGGTTGTATGCTACGTGTTTCTTTGCTTTTGCTGGCGAACTCCTTACGAGAGCTCTCTCTCATTGAATGCATCTGCCACCGGCGTTTGCTACAACTGGTTGAAATCTGCTTGGTTCAGACATCCCCCGTCTGCTGTGTAGGAGGTTATATGGATCATCATTGGCGGGTTGGGCCTCTGCGCCGTCCTTGTCGAAGCCCAGCACGTGACGTGACGTCAACGCGACGACGATGACATCAAAGCCACCTGATCGGCGTCTCAATGGCGAATTCTCTCACTTGTTCCATGGAGTCAGAAACCCAATCTCCCGCATGCTGAACTCGTTCTTAAATACCCCGTGCGAATTTCGTCTCTTCAGCTGTTTCATTTTCTTCTCGGCAATTAGCAATTGATTCGAATTACGCATCGTACTCTTCCATCTACTCTACTCGTTGTATACCTCAGTCCTAGATCTACTTACTGCCTATCGACTCCTCAGGTTACTTCATCCCACATTAACAGTCCCCCACCCTCTATTTCATTCGAATCATTGCTCCCACCATGGAGACCCTCGACAAAGCGTGGCATACCGCAGCAGACACTCTGAAGAGCGAGATCAACTCGTACCAGTCCCCGAAGCAATGGACGGAGTACGGCAAAGAGGAACCTCTCTCCGGAATCCAGGGCAAAGGCACCCCGACGGATCCGTACGACGCCGGAAACCGCGATGGTGAGTGCAATTGAGTTCGGCTCTGGTCCTCCGTGTATGACGGAGTCCCTGTGTCGTTCCCACCACACTCACCCAACCACTCAACCCCCTCTTCCGTCCGGCCTGCACAGGTAAGCTAACTTATCGATTCAATTCGTCCGCAGAGCAACCTGGCGCTCCAAGTGGCCAACAAAACACCGCCGTGGTTCCCGAAGCCCTGGTTTCGACCGCCGACGATGCAGTCCCGGGTTTGAAGCCCGTTACGAATGGAAGTCTGGATTCCCGTACGGATTCTGTCCCGTCGGGGAATAAGTTCGTGGGTGTCATGGATACCCCTGAGCAGCGGACCCAGCCTCCTCCGCCTAGCTTGACCTCTCCGACCACTGGTCGTGCCTCTAGTGTTGCGGCCGGTCTGGACGGTCGAGACTCCATGGCCGCGTCGGCGGCGGCGGCGACGGCGGCGGCCGGTGGCTCAGGTACTAATGGAGTCAAGGAGAATGGCGTGAAAGAGGAGGAGAAACCATCCTCGGCCGCTGCTGCGCAGGTGCCCCGGATGCCGCAGGATCCGCAGAAGTCTCAGAACCCAATCACCAGTACTAAGACATTCAGTCAGACCCCTACCACGATGGAAAAGACCGAGGATGCCCAGAAAGCTCCCAGCAAGGTCACGAACATCAACGACCAATCTGCCACCGTGCCGCCTACTACATTCGGCTCTCAGACCTCTAACAAGGAAGACGATACCCGCCGTCTGAGTCTGCAGAAGGATAAGTACACCGGCGCGGAGATGAGCAAACGACAGTCCTTGCTTGAGTCGAGACCTCCGGGTACCCTGGCTGGCGGCAACCAAGGCGGTTCTGTCGACGAGGGAAAAGACTACATCAACAACAACGCTGCCGGTCTGTCTATCTCCGGTACACCTGGAATCCCGAGTCGACCTGCTGCCACGTCCAAGGCCAGCGAGGAAGCGCTGAAGGGCCCTCAGTGCTCGGCGAAGCCCCCGTATGATTTCGAAAAGCAGTTGGATGACCCGGCTGGTAGACGGAAGTCGAAGTCAAGTACGCCTCCTCCACCTTCCATTCACATTCCCCCTAAGCCTTATATTATACCATTCCCAAAGTATGGACAAAAACGTACTAACCTCTGTATTTGTCTGATTAGGCCACAAGAAATCCGACTCCACAGGCGACGCCAATGCCGCTAAACCCGCCGAAAAGACTCCCTCATCCGAGGCATCCACGAAGAGTGGTTCGAAGAACGGATCCAAGAACGGTCTTCACAATACCATGTCTCACATGAAAGAGAAGATTGAAAAGGTGGTCCATCGGGGTCATCAATCCGATAAATAAACCTGTCTCTGTCTCTGCTTTTGGAATCTTGCCTACCATTGAATGTCCTTCCTTTACTTAAGGGCATGATTGATGGGTGAAGAATGTGTGGATTGTATTGACGATTACGACTGTTTCCGAGTTCCGAATTTCCTCTATCTTGTGTTTTTGGTAGCTGGTTTGGGTTGTCCTTATAATTCTTTTCTGCTTGCCTGTTCGTGGACCGTTTTGGTCTGGTTCTTGTGTACTATATCCTTTTCGGTGCTTTTCATTATCTTTTCTTAACCAATTGACTTGGTCATGGTCTAATAGTGTATTGATAGGTTGTGAAATTGAATATCTTATCATATGAAAATGAATTACACTGTAGGTATATGGTCATTGCTAATTAACATGTCATCTATCTAATTCTTCTATATCCCGCTCCATTACATTCGTTTAACTGTACGTGTAACAAAGCCCATCCAGCTCCGTAACCTGTCGGACTACTCAAACAACAACTTCAACTCCTCAATTCGATCCTTCTTCTTATCATCCTCCCCTCCATCCCCACCAACCCTCAATCCCAAGGATCCCGCGATGTTCATCTTCCGCTCCTGGACCCGTAACATGCGGCCCTCGATGGAGTCTTTCACAATGAACCTCGTCACCGAGACGTCCCGCAACTGGCCCATCCGATGCACGCGGTCGATCGCCTGCGCTTCGATGGCAAAGCTCCACCACGGGTCCATCATGAAGACGTTGCTTGCGGCCGTGAGGTTGAGACCGACGCCGCCGGCGCGAAGACTGATTAGGAGAACGCGCGGAGTCGGGGCGGGTGGTTTCTTGGCTGTGGAGTTGAGACGGAAGGGAGTTGTGGTGCCGGGTTCGGATTCGTCCTCGATGTCTTCCTGGTCGTAGGAGTCGAGTTTGGTGAATTGCGCGAGGACTTGGGCGCGCTGTTTCTGGGGCATGGTTCCGTCGAGGCGGAGGTAGGGGATGCCTTCCCGGTCGAGCTGGGGGCCGATGAGGTCTAGGAAACTGGTGAATTGGGAGAAGACGACGGATTTGGTGTTCGAGGGGACGCGGTGGAGGTGGTTGATGAGAGAGTGGATTTTGGCACAGGTGTGTGCGGTTGGGGAGAGTGGGTTGATTCGCCGGAGGGAGATTCGTGGCGCGGATTGTGTGCTTGTAGGAGGCGTGCTGCTGTAGATGTCGGTTTCGGCGGTGGGTGTCGTGTTGGGGGATTGGTGGCGGATTACTTCGAAGATGTCGCGGTTGCTGACTGGTGCTCGGCAGGAGAAGCATCGAGGTGAGTCGCCTTTGTCGGTCTGATGGCGGATATAGTCTTCCAGACACTTCTTGCATGCACTATGCCAGCATGCGGTTACCGCGGGCTCGATCATGGGCTCTTCGGAGCAGATGGGACACTCTCCGCTGGACTCGTTTTGAATCTGCTTCAGGGCGTATGTTGTGAACTTGGTCGAAGAGTCTTGGGTCTCGTTGGAATCTGCTTCTTCCGTTGCCGTTGTGAATTTATTGATCAATTCTTGCAGATCCATGTCATCCTTCAGTCCGTTGCCATCATCCGCTGCAGCCGCCGCGTCTTCCTCGTCTGCAACAATCGCTTTGTTGCGGGTGAGAACAGGATGACAGCATGTTTGGCGAAGGCGCAGGATCTGGGCAAAGATTGTTGTGAAAGATTTCAGAAGTGTTCCAGCTTCCACATTTTCATTGAATGTTCGCTTTGCCCGAGTGTAGATATAGTCATAAATCTCACGTTCCTGGTCCGAGAGTTGGATCTCTTCAACCGTGATTGTCCGACGAGGAAGGGGCACCAGAGGCTCTCCTTCAGGCGTCTTCATCGTTTTCGTACGTCGAAGCACCAAAGGCTCGAGCACACTCTGAACGACGTTAAGTGCGCGCACATAGTCCTTCGATTCAAATGGCACGGTAATGAAGGTTTTCCAGAACGAGAAATTGTTCCAGGGCTCAACTTTCAGAAACCGCACCAAGCTGAACAGATCCTCTAGGCGATTGACGATAGGCGTTCCTGTCAACACCCAGCGATGGGTGGCCTTCAGGTCATAGCAGGCTCTGGCGGACTTTGACAATCGGTTTTTGATCATATGTGCTTCATCCAGAATAACACGGAAGAATTCCACAGAGAATAAGCCGCCAGTACTAATCGAAGAAGACATCTGTGATATGAAATACCGATATTCCGACAGCACAACGCCATAACTAGTGACAATCACGTTCGGGGCTTCCGGGTTGTTTGCCGAGCAGAGCGTTCGCAGATCCACAAGTTTGTCGTTGCCATAATATAAGTGAACTTTCATCGTTCCTTCTTGAGACGCCTTCAATGCCTCACTCTCCCATTGTGAGATCAGGGATGTGGGGGCAACGACAAGGGTCGTGTAAGGAGCAGGGACTACAGCATTAGAAGAAACAGGAAGTCTCGTAAGATCACTGACCGAGCTGGGAGCGCTGTCTGCGTGATCTGGGTAGACGTTGCGATGAGAATGGACTAGAGCCATCATTTCGATGGTTTTACCCAAACCCATTTCGTCTGCTAGTATGCCACCTAAGCAATGTTGCTCCTGTGCCGGGAATTCGAGGCTGAGCTCGCCGGAATATGGGTTGACATAGAAATGGTCAACACCCTCAACGACTGGGAGATTATTGTCGTCCACGTCCTTGGCCGGCCACACGTATTCTTCCCACAGCGGGTGCATTGATCTTTCCCGGCCAGACTTGTTGTCCCTCTCTTTTGCCAGCATCCAATGCAGCGCTTGCATTTGATATTTCCTAAGATTCATGGTGAACGTGGATGGTGGTTCTGCCGTGGGCATGTTAAAGTCGAACGACTGGGCCTTCTTGTAAAGAGTGTCCAGCTGGTCTTCCTCAAGCTCTCCGGAGTCCTCTTCCTCGGACGAATTGCCGTTAGACTTGCTTTCCTTTTTGTTCTTGTCGTATTGCTCTGCAATTTCTGCAGCGCGAAGCAAACCCTCTTTCTTGTGCTTTCTGGTCATGTCATTAATCGATGTCGGGTTGAGACCGATTTCGTCGAATAGATGCACCAAAGCAACCTGACGAAGACGCAGACGCTTCTCCTCTGCGCTTTCTTGCTCCTCGAATATAGTCGTCGATCTGTTATCGTCAAGGCTGCTGTCGACGATCCAGGGCTGGAATGCCTCTATACGGAGATAGCACCATAATTGCAAGTAGATCGTATCGTTGACACGAACTCGGTCCGGAGAATAGACGCAAACGCCTTCAAACTTGCAAGCCTTCTGGTCGATCAGAGTCGACACCCATTCCGCCGTCTCTCGAGGCAACCTTCCAATCTCCTGCCCGGCACTGTTCGTGAATCGAGTCAAAACATCCCCTTTCTGATTGGTGATGAGTCTGCCTCCTCGACCACGCTTCGAGACTGGCTGCGACCTTGCTCTCTCGATATTGACCTTGTCTCCGTGCTTCAGCAGCCCCATTCCGCTCCTAGTGGCCCACGCACCAACGCCAAAAGCCCCGATGTACCGCACTAGAGGTTGACCCGTACGACGCGGCGCGCTTGCGTCCTGTGTGGGAGATCTTTCAACAGGGGTAGGTTGCGAGGGGGTCGTCCGCTCCCGAGGTATCAAAGTCGTTTGGCTCACGGCGCGAGAGGTTGATGTTTTCCAGGACCCGTCGAAATAGACATTGACGGCCCTCTCCAGATCGTCGCCGGCAACGTTTCGGATTTTGCGTATGGTATCCGCTGGAAGTTGTTCACCGACAATGCTAGTAAAGGCTTCCGTATCGAATCCATTTGCGTTGCCTTGTTCGAGTGTCTCTTCCACCGTCGATTCCTCCCCGAGACGCCTCGCTTCCGCCGTATCGTTCGATGTAGGGACCGCATCACCGTTTATATCGTTCGTATTGTGTGTGTTGGTCTGACCCAGCAGGCCATTGTCATGAATCGTCGCGTCTTCGGCCGTTCGTTCGTGTCCATTGATCTGAGTTCGGACATATGGGTCGGAGGCAATGTGGAAGTGGTCATTAGAAAAGAACGGCACCGACGGCCTCAGTGGAGTTCGCCCATTTGACGGCGATTCAACCTGTTCCCCATGCCCAGTAGAAAAGTCATTATTGCCCTCGTCCAGATGAGAGGACCGAGGAGCCGACGCGTCAGTATCTGCGCCTGTGGCGCTGACTTCTTTTGTTGCGGGAGACGGGGCTTCCTCGTCCACGAAAAAGCGGCGTTTCTTTAAAGGTCTGTCATTGAGATCGCCGAAATCCATAATTTGTTGATGAGCCGGGATTTTGGGACGCAGGAGACCGGAGTTTCACGAGGAAAAAGATCGTTAATGGACAGGAGGCGGAAGACGCGCCGAGACACGCGAAAAGAAGCGCCCGCCCGACGTCATGCGAATTCCGCGGAGGAAAAAAAATCTACCAATCCGAGTCCTTTCTTAGGCCATTACACAGCAACGATCTTTATCTCAATCGATAATGATTTCTTAATCGGTGTGTATTCAAGATCTGGGGTTTGGGATTTTGAAACTAACAGCACAGGCATTCACCTTTCTCAGTCGTCTACTCTCTCTCCTCCCTGTCCAGTCCTTTTGAGTCCGCCGCAAACACCATGACATTGCTCAGCGACCTCTGTCTGACCAACAGGCAAATATGCCGGTCCTTCCTCCGCTCTCATCGACTACAATCACATCAGATCCGACAATTCAGCCGGTCTCAACCGGCACTCAGCCAGCCCGTCGTCGGCGCCTCTGAAGCCGAAGTCGCCGCTGCTCGAACATACTGCACGAATCTTCTCTCGTACGGATGCCAAACATAACTCTCACCTCAGGAAAGAAAGAAAAGCAGAACTGACACTCCCCGAACCCTTCCAGAAAATACGACCGACCCTCCTACACCCTCAGCACCTTCATCCCCCGCAATGCGCAAACGCTCTACCTCGCCCTCCGCGCCCTCAACGTCTCCCTCTCGCTCATCCCCGACACCACATCCTCCTACACGATCGGGCTCATGCGTCTCCAATTCTGGCGCGACGCAGTGACCAAAACCCTCGCGGGCGCGCCGCCCAAGGAACCCGTCGCGATCCTGCTCGCCTCCGCCATCGCAGACCTGCATGCCCGCACACAAGGCCGCGCCCGCATCAGCAAAGGCTGGTTGACGCGGCTGATCAACGCGCGCGAACAAACCCTCACCAACGATCCGTATCCGAACATTGCGGCGCTGGAATCCTACGCTGAGAATACCTACTCGACGCTTATGTATCTCACCCTGTCTGCCATCCCCATGACCTCGGTCACGGCGGACCATGTCGCCTCGCATGTCGGCAAGGCGGCGGGCATCGCGGCCGTGTTGAGAGGATTGCCGCTTGTGGCGTTTCCGGGACCGCAGAGCCAGCATGCGAACTCGGCGGGCGCGAATATGATGGGAGGTGGGACGAAGCAGGGGGCTGTCATGCTGCCGCTGGATATCATGGCGCAGACGGGCGTCAAGGAGGAAGAGGTGTTTAGGCAGGGCGCGGAAGCCCCTGGGCTACGGGATGCCGTGTTTACCGTGGCCACGCGCGCGAGCGACCATTTGATTACGGTGCAGCAGATGCTGAGCAATCTGCGGGCGGGCCAGGATGTCGGACATGATTTTGAGCATGAGGGGGAGGAAGGACACCAGTATGGTGAGGAGACGGGGGCTTCTCGCGGTCAAGGGAACGAGACTGCGTTGGATGAGGTGAATCGGGCGTTTGGCGTCTTCATGCCCGCCGTCAGTACGAGGCTGTGGCTGGACCGGTTGGAGAGTTTCGATTTTGATATCTTCCGACCGGAGCTGCTTGGGTCGGAGTGGAAGCTCCCTTGGAAGGCTTACATGGCTTTCACGCGCAAGACTCTGTAATGCGCTATCTGAGAGGTCTATACCCATATGTATAATTCATGTATAATAGGAAAGAGTCACCCCGGTTCTATGTACAAGCGGTTCTATGTACGGCACTTGTGCTCAAGTAGCACGTAATCAGGCGAATTGTCAGGATCTTTTGGTGGCCTTCTCCCTCCGCCTCTGTTTCCGTGAGCTCATGATCAGACGCCGCTGAGCAAGTAAAACAATGTAACGCTTGAGTTTATCACGCCTAGAGCTATGGGTTAGCACAGTCTCCGTAAATCAGGGACAAGGACAGGTTACATTAGAAACACCGTTGTTGCGAAAACAAAAGGGATTGCAATCATCCAAAAGTACCTGTACACTCGAGAATCAGTATACCTCAGGCCCGATAAACCACCCAAAGGGTTGACTTACGCATCGCTATGCTTGATACCAAAAAAGCTCTCAAAGTTCATGCCGAAATAGCCCTGGTACGGTTAGTTGAGACAGACACTACGAGTAGGGATGAGGCAACCTACCGTTAGGAAAGTCAAAGGGAGATAGAAACAAGTCACAAGTGTGAGTTGCTTCATGCTTTCATTCTGATACGCTCCTACCAGGCGTAAGCATGGTTTCTTTCAGGATCCGGCCAACAATGAAGACTCACCAATAGTATTGAAGATAAGGTCGATCATGTTGTCGGCAGCCCGTCTCATCTGGTCATATCCCTCAACAATCGTAATACAATGGTCTAACGCATCTCCCAGGTACGTATGGCACAGGGGAGAAATAGATATACTGGTGCCGCTCAGATTTTTCAAGTTGGGCACAGCCCCAAAATACCCCCCAGGATCTGCTCCGGCAGGCGTTGATGGCCCCATGTTTTTGAATGCACCGAGACCTGGGGTGCTGGCAAAATCCGACCGGTGGTCTCGGAGGGCATTGATCACCGTCACGATGGGCTGCATCGAACTCCGCAGAACTCCAATTTCAGAGGTCAGGATGTACAGACTCTTGGATTGGTCGATATCAGGGTCCGTCAGAACCTCTAGCTCCAGGTCACCAATCGCGTCTTGGTATGCCATAGTCACGGGGATAGCGAGGTCGATGATCGCATCGAGAATGGCCTGTACAATCATGCTGGCATCACACGATTGGCGCAGCATTGTCTCCGGAGTACTAAGGCGACGGACTATAGGGGCCTCGATATCGTCGGCGCTTGTCTCGAAAAAGGAGGTCACAGTGTTGTCTCCGTGCAAAAATATAGACACTTGTTCAAGGGTCACGCCTATTCCCTTGGGAGCCAAAACTGCATGGCGTTCCATGAATGCAATCCTATCCTCGTTCGGCCCCCCTCGATAGCGCTGAATGCTCCGAAACGTGCTCTCAGCTTGAGAAATATCATCGGCCTCTGCAGGCTTGGATTTACCTGACGAAGGACGAATGCTAGCACTAGTGGCGCGTCTTTCACGTAATATCTCCTTGTGGGAACGAAGCCCGAAGATGTCTTTCAATGCTGCCAGCACAAGACCATGTCTAGTGGGCTTCTTCGGAGCTAAGCTCTTGGTACTCGAAGTCGTACTTCTCTGATCGGATCTCCATTGCGAATGCCCCTTTTCAGATTCATCATCCGAATCGCTGCTTTCCACATGAAGCTTAATCAGTTTCTGCAGTGTGAGCACGATGTATGCGTGGTCTGAGTACCAGTCTACTTTGGTACGGTTTGTTGTGTTGATCAGATCCTCGATTGCCAGCCTATGCAGTCCTTTCTGGTTTCCCAGAAGCCTAATTACATCCCAGCTGAGACCATTGACGTTGATCCATCTGCACTGAACCCATGGCTCTCGCTCTCTGGCAAGGAACGGGCCCAAAGTGTCGTTATCAAGCTCATACTGCCGCATTTCATGCTGAGAGAAATCCACGACGATGATTTCGCATCTTCTGTGCAGATCAGAAGGTATATTACTCATCCAGTCGGCATTATACGCTGGAAGGGGCTTGGTGGGATCAATCCCAGGCTCTGTTCCTGGTTGCCAGTTGGGATCGTGAGCCACCGAGTCCGGATGATACGAGCGGGCTGTGTTTGAGCGTCGCGTGCGATTCCTGATCGTATCCTGGGAGATCCTTCGAGCGGCAGGAGGCAACGTTTCGGGAAATGTCAAATCATCTGCAGAAGGGGGGATGCGAGTTGTCGGGGAGACTGCATCCCGCGCAATTGAGCTGGGCTGTGCTTCTATGTCGATACGATCAAGGGGATGCCCGTCCATTGTGACGAGCTTGCGTTTGTATACTCGCTGGTAGTTAAAAGAGCCGAATCACCGTAGACTCATCGGTGCAAAAGAAATCAAATCACACAGATCTCGGAAAATATTGCTGCGTTGCCAATTCTTTCCAGTAAATCCACGGGCGCAAAGGGACTGGAAGGACAAGCTTCGGCAGGTGGGACTACCGCATGGCGGGGAGATGACGTTTGCGAACGGCACGACGACCCTCCATCCGCAGATCAAGGGGAGAAAAGAGGGAGAAAATATGACGGTTAAAAAGCCACATGCAAACAAAAGTGCTCTTTCCTGTAAATTAGGCCGGGTGAAACAACTAGCGGGTGAGCTCAAGGGACGCAGAGCTGTAAGTTTAGTTCGGAGTAGATAACGATCTAAACTTGGCGCATTACTAGCGCGGTGGCGATGCAATGATGACGGCGGGTCTTGGCCGAGCTTTAATTACGTGAAGAATCCCAGTGGCATGGCTTGATGGGCTGGAATTTGCCAGTATTATCAGATTGATTTCGAGATGCTAAACATGGAAACTGAACTGTCCCACTGTGTGATATGAATCAACGGAGCCATATTGAGACTTGTCTGAGAATGTCCGGCATGTGGGCAAGATGGCATCTTCCAGGTAGGACATGTCCCATGCATACGCTAGATTCAGGGATATGGGAGTGGATCGCTGGCTATGTGGGCAGCTGTAGGGCTCTTCGACATCTGATGGGGAAAAGACTGGCCAGAATCGGTCTATTTATGCAATGCGTCGTTTCAACCGCATGAGTATTCTCGATGCAGAGGGGGTATCTTAGAAATTATTTTCTCATAGAGAGTTTCGTATCGTCGTGAATTCCAGGGTCCATCAAGCTTCCTGGCCTCGTTGTCCACTTCTCTTTCTGGTCGTAAGCTTGAGCTGAAGTGGTATGAGATTTCTTCGCGGCCCCGGGACATCGTTTCGAGTGAGAGGCTTTCGACACACAGGACAGGTTCCTCGGGGAGTTTTGCCGGAGGTATCGGCTCGCTCTTCGCTGAATTTTAGGGTGTCGATGATGCATTTATGACAAAAGAGATGCCCTACTAGAAGTCAGCGGCAACTTCAGAGTTTTCTGTAAAACATACCGCATGCTGTACTGGTGGCATCAACAGGTGTATCCATACACACTGGACATTTGTACGCCGTCAGGACCGACCGGCCCCCCTCGTGCTCAGATTCTCGCTGCGCTTGGATTGCATCTTCCCGTTGTTTTGCCAGAGTTTTTGAAAGGGATGGCGGCCCCTCAGACTCAGTCAGGTCTATTGAAGTGGTCGGCTCCGTCTCTCCATCACGTTCATCCAAGCCAGTGTCTGGTGACAGGTTTGCCGCGCTCAAGCGACTTAACCGGCGGCGTTTCCTGCCATGGGGAGTTGGCACGGAGGGTCCATCAGGGGAGGAGCTTTCGGAGTCTTGCGAAAATGGATAAGTCTCGTAAGGATCCGAGGAAATGAGAAAAGCATGATCAGGCGAGTTCATGGTGTGTAGGGAAAAGAGAGACCGAAATAAGATGTGGCGGAGAGCGGGGTTCAGAGATGCAAGTAAATGCAGATCAGTCTATTGGAGAAGGCTCTGTCAGATTCCCAGTAATATTAGCATGCTGGGAAGGAGGTCTTGACTTCGAAGTCTAGCGAGAGAAGTGAAAGTGAATGGTGCCTAAGGAAACAGGCCGAACAGCCGAATGCTTATCTCAAAGCATCACCTGATGATAGCGGTGGGGCATCCTATTCGAGCAGGCGGTGACAGCAATCCGGAAGATCACTAAGTCCGGATCCGCTGCACGGCAGATACCGCGATAGGAAGGCGACGGGTCATCCTTGCTGAGGCCCTCGCAAGAGCTCAATCCCTCGATAGTACAGTTGCTGGTTGCATACTTCACTATAATACCATGGGCTGAATCAACTTAGTTGCTTTTATCCTTGCACAACAAAATGTTGTGGAGTCACTCTTGTGTACCTTATTCTAGGAGCGTGATTCATTCTTGCTCGCAGAGATTGCGCTCGCCACTTACTGCCCGGCCGCGGTCTTTTCTAGTACTAGCAAAGTACTATGCGACTCAACATGATGCGCGAAATGACCAGAGAGAATCGCCATCGAGGTCTTTGTCAGGTAATCTTTCTCTCCGTTCTAATGGCATGCAGTATATCGCAGATGCTGATTTTGTAGTCCCCGCGACGGCTAGATTCAATGAAATCGGAGTCCAACAATTGAGCGACCACGTCTTCTCTCAAGTCTTTCCCAGTAAAGGAGCTCCCCCAAATCCAGACCTAGTTGCACTATCGAAGGACCACCTCGCACGACATGATCTACTCGGAAAATCCCAAGAGGCCGCAGAGCCAGTTGCATTCGACATGCCAAAACTTCAGGGCCAGACATTGGATGAGCACTTTTACAAGCTAGGAATGGATGCGTCGGAACCCTATTTGACCTACGCGAAAAGCTACGCCACCATCAGCTCCCCGGAAAAGCCACGCCAGTGGGTTAAACGCAGCGGTTGGACGAAATACAATAGTGATGGGTCTTCGGAGCCGGTGGATGCGCCTAATGAGTCAATATTGACATTCGACACGGAAGTGATGTATAAGGAACACTCTTTCGCTGTCATGGCATGCGCTGTTAGCCCTACGGCTTGGTATGCCTGGTTGTCGCCTTGGCTTTTGGGGGAATCAGAGAAGGAAGTGCAGCTGATACCTCTGGGGGACCCGTCGCAACCGCGTATTGTCATTGGTCATAATATCGGGTATGATCGTGCGCGTGTGTTGGAAGAATATGACATGAAACAGACGCGCAACTTCTTCGTTGACACCATGTCACTTCATGTCGCGGTAAATGGCATGTGTTCACAACAGCGGCCCACCTGGATGCGGCACAAGAAGAATAAGGATCTACGAGACAAGATGGCCGACGAAAGTAATTCGGCTGAACTTGCGGCTCTTATCGAAAGCAAATCTCTAAGCGACGAGGAGGAGGAATTGTGGGTGGGCAGAAGCTCTGTGAACTCCCTTCGAGACGTCGCTAAGTTTCATTGCGATGTTACGATTGACAAAGCCCAGCGTGACTACTTCGGCGAGCTCGGCAGAGAAGAAATCTTGGGAAAACTTGAAGAGCTTCTCGATTACTGCGCTGCTGATGTGGCTATCACTCATCGCGTGTACAAGAAGGTTTTTCCAAACTTCCTCAAGGTCTGCCCTCATCCCGTTAGCTTTGGTGCTCTCAGGCATTTGTCCTCCGTCATCTTGCCAGTTAATCAGACTTGGGACGAATACCTCACAAATGCCGAATCAACCTACCACCAACGTCTGGAAGATGTGCAACGCAGACTAGTCGAGCTGTGTGATGAAGCTCTAAAAATCAAGGACCAACCAGATATGTACATGAAAGATCCCTGGCTACGGCAGCTCGACTGGTCCGGGCAGGAAATAAAAATGGCCAAGGGCAAAAAGAAGGGCGACCCTCCGCGGCCGGCTGCAAGGCAGAAGAAGCCCGGGATGCCTAAATGGTATAAGGATCTTTTTTCTACTAACACGGCGGATATCAATTTAACCGTACGGACGCGGATTGCGCCCATCCTTCTCAAACTGTCATACAGCGGACATCCCCTGACCTGGTCCGACAAGTACGGCTGGACATTCAAGGTTCCTCGCGAGCAAATCAAGAGCTTTGAAAACCAGCCGGTCGTGCGCTGCAATATGGCGGAAGACAAAAATCCCGAATTGCAGAACGACTGGAAACACGCTTACTTTAAGCTTCCACATAAGGATGGACCACAAGCCCGCTGCGTCAATCCCTTAGCTAAAGGGTATTCGGGTTACTTTGAGCGCGGACTACTCACTTCGCAATACGCCCTTGCGAAGGAGGCTCTGGACATGAATGCCTCGTGCTCCTACTGGATCAGCGCTCGTGATCGGATCATGAGTCAGATAGTTGTCTACGAGGATGAAGTGCAAAAGTCGGTTACGAAGAACGATACTGGGAACAGAGTTGGGTTTATTTTACCGCAAATCATCCCCATGGGAACTATCACCCGACGAGCCGTGGAAAATACCTGGCTCACAGCAAGCAATGCTAAGGAGAACCGCGTGGGGTCTGAGCTCAAGGCTATGATCAAAGCACCTCCTGGACATGTCTTTGTAGGAGCCGATGTCGATTCTCAAGAGCTGTGGATTGCCAGTCTCATTGGCGACGCCCAATTCCAAATCCACGGTGGCAACGCAATTGGCTTCATGACCCTGGAAGGGTCCAAAGCAGCTGGAACGGACATGCATTCACGTACTGCCACGATCTTGGGCATTTCTCGCAACGATGCGAAGGTCTTCAACTATGGACGTATATATGGTGCCGGCGTTAAGTTCGCCGCCACACTGCTACGTCAATTCAACCCGTCAATGACCGAAAAGCAAACCCAGGAGGTCGCAAGCAATCTCTACAAAGCGACTAAGGGTACCCGTACTACTCGCCGTCTTCTAAGTCCAAATCCTTTCTGGCGAGGCGGTACTGAATCATTTGTATTCAACAAACTTGAGGAGTTTGCCGAACAGGAACGACCCAAAACGCCGGCTCTGGGCGCCGGGATCACCGAGGCCTTGATGCGCCGTTTCATCAACAAAGGCAGTTTCATGACTTCTCGCATTAACTGGGCGATTCAGTCCTCCGGTGTCGACTATCTTCATCTTTTGATCGTGGCTATGGACTATTTGATTCGACTTTACAACATACAAGCCCGCTTAGCAATCACGGTCCATGATGAAATCCGGTACCTTGTCAAGGACGAAGACAAATATCGCGCGGCCTTGGCTCTACAAGTCGCCAATGTCTGGACCCGCGCCATGTTTTCACAGGAAGTTGGCATCAATGACCTTCCCCAGTCCTGTGCCTACTTCTCAGCAGTCGATATTGACCACGTGCTTCGCAAAGAAGTGGACATGGACTGCATTACTCCATCCCATCAACAGAAAATCCCTCACGGCGAAACTCTGGATATTGTTCAACTTCTGAACAAGAACCAGGCCGCCTACCTCGATCCCTCTATCACTCCACTCTCCCCGCCATCTCCTGAAAAGTATCCCTACACGCCACGGGAATCTGTCATGTCCTCACTGCAAACCTCAAACGATCCCGCATTCATAAAAGCGCAAATCACCAAGGACGATAAAGAATTCCGCGACATCGTCAAGGAAGTTTCAAAGGCCAAACTCGCCGCGAAACAAGCCAGTGCTGCATCCGCAACTACAACCAGGGGCGGCCGCGCTAAATCATCCACCACCCCGTCTGCCGAGCCTCAAAAGGCTGTGCTCGTTGACATCGGCTCTGGTCTCTACCGTGACTTCCGAGCCGTCCCGGAAGGGAGCAGGTCTCCTCAGTCCGTTGGTCTTAATCGTCAAAATTGGAAGTCCAGGCCATCAGCCAGGGCTTGAAAAAAAGCCTGACGTGACCCTCTTTTCACCATCTCTCTTTTTTTTTTTCTTGCCTTTCTAACGTCCCATTTTGAATTATTAAACTGGTAGTGTACATATAGGATCTTTAACTGTGACCATGGACTCCTTGTATCCAGTCACTCGATATATGATATCTTCTCGTCTTCTGTATTATTTAATAGCGGTTGTTTGAATGCATTGGGATGGCGTCGTGTGAGCAGTTGCGGGGACATGATCTATCCTGCTATTTATCTATGCACTGGCTGTATCTTTGTTCGTGTATCGTTACTTGGACTTTGTCTGTACGAGTGGCATGTTGAAGTACGAGGTAATCAATATAGAATGAAAATAAATTTTATTAATGATTCTGGCTGATTTCCTGAAATATAGCTGATGATCAGATAGGGAAAAAATAGCAACGTATTTCTGAGGTGCTTCGGCTCAGCTAATTATATGTTTCTCGCTCGTTTAACACAGTTCTAACAAGTCACAACCACACTATTGAAAAACAAATAAAAGCACCTATATTTAGATATATAATCCAACTCGTAGATCAATGAAGAAATGAACAATCCAATCATTCACGTCTTTTCTGCCCAGGATCTAATGTGTTCCGTCGACTCAACCCGTTCCCATCACCGCCACGCAGCATCGCGTCACCTTTCTTTCCTAGAACAACTTCCAGGGCCTGCACAAGCGCCGTAGCATCATATTTCATACCTACCGGAATCTCTGAGCCATCGGCACCGGTTGTAACGATCTTCCGACCGTAGAGACGGAGTGTTTCGATGCCCATGTCCGCAAGGCGATCGCGGTCGACGCGAGGGGTTCCAGGGCCGTCGAGGTGCAGGATATGCGTGACGTACGAGGAGTATGGAAGACTAGGATCAAGAATTGAAGATGGATGCCGCTGGTGGTCCGGTAGACGGAGGGTCGCGTGGCCGCGGCTTTCTTCACCAGCGCGAGTGATCGCCTCGACGAACTCTATTGCTGTGAAGGGCTCGGAGGGCGGGCCTGTTTCGCGATCTAGGGATCCGTTTAAGATAAGAATCTTGTGGCGTGCGGGGCTGGTGACGATTGCTTGCCCGACTCCCCGGAGGATCAGAGAGGGAATAATTGATGTGTATAACGAGCCGATACTGTAAGTGATTGCCTGCGCATCGCGCAGGGCTTCGAGCACGCGCGGATTGGCCGGGGGTCGGATCTCCTGACCGTATGGATTGATGTACCAGATGCGGGTAATGCGTGACGGAAGGTCCTCGTTCTCTGACTTGGAAAATTGAATGTTCTTGTTGCGTAAAGTAGGTAGGGATCCGGGCAGGTGGTCATCCTCGTAGGAGATTGCGTCCGAGACATCAGGCGGCTCGATGTCTACGCCATCGGCGAGTAATAAACTAGGCCGCCGGGACCCTGGTCGAGGTTGCAGAGCAGTAGCCTCGCTAGGATGTGAAATACTATTCTGACCGACGATGACCGTGCCGTCGCCCAGAGAAGCGGAGATGTGGTGTGAGAAATTGGAGTTGATAGCAGGAATCACACGAACAACGTCTGATGGAACGCCACAGATGCTTCCTAGAAGGTAAATTGCGCTCTCAAAACTGCCACTGAAAAGGCGAGCGCCGGTCAAGAACAAGTTGCCAACACTGGCAGAGGTGAAGTCGAAAGTGGATGATGGCGGTCTGGCGCGTTTCAGGATCTCCAGGTTCAGAAGATTGAAGAACGAGCGGATAAGCTCTTTCTTCGCGGGAGTGACCGATCTCCATAGATTGGATGTCCCATCGACGATGGACTGCCATTCGGCAAGAGCCGCCGCAGCATCTGGTGGGAGGCGATGATTGAAGATGGTCTTGATTGCGGCCCGTTCAGAGTTTGGCGGGCAGTCGGGGATGAGCCGGACCAAACGACCTGGGATTCATATGAGATAGAGGATCAAAGCATGAAAACATTGAGTTTTTGTGAGGAACCTACTTCGCACATCGCCAATCCCAGGGCCGCCAAAGATTCGGATCAGCTCCGAGGATGAACCTCCATTATCGCTGATGGGGATAATGTAGCTGAGCAGACAGCTCTTGCTCTCGCGCACGCTGCTGAAAACATCGACCAAGTTATTAGCAGCACTTCCTCCCGAGAAGACCACCAGGCCTCTGTTGGGGGTGGTTGTTGAGGTCATGCTTGATGGAGACCACGGATGATGTTGCGAATGTAGCGAGGATCATCTAGTTCGCTTTAGTGTTTAGGTATTTCCCCTCCTAGATTGCAAGGCAACGACACTCCCCACCATGTCACAAACCCATTCGCCGTGGTCCGTGCGATGCAATGGGGCAAATCCAATGTACACAAACGGTTGAGAAAGAATGGGGGTACAGGAACGAGAGATGGAGGAGGCGAGAAGCGGAAGACGAAAGCAGCGAAAACGGCGGGCGAACGAGAAAAAAGAATTTCCCGAATAGGCAGGCAATATCTCCCCCCGTGGACACCCCAGGCCAACAAATCTACTATACAGCATCAACACTACCAAACTGACAGGAGATCTTTATTCACTATGCTATTTACAGTCATTGTTTCACCTACTCATGCATATGCGGCCCAGCCTAAGGATGTCAATGTTAGCCTCTGTCGAAGAGTTCGGGGACTGCTTGTTCTCAACTTACCGCAATAGAGAACCGCTAGGTTCTTTTCATCCGTTGCTTGCTGGATGAGCTCGTTGACTGTTGCCGTCACGCTCAGTGTTTTGCCCAGTTTCTTGGCCACTACAGTCAACGCACGGTCAGCTTCGCTTGGTTCGTTAGACGGGCGTTGGTCCGCCGCACGCGGAGGTTCAGGCGCCCCATTCGATTCAGGGGCGTCCTGGATCTTCTTCATCCGCAATGGAGAAACAGTCCAGCTGTACAGGGGATCGTAGCGGAGCACGTCCAAGATTGTCATTATACTATACGATTCCTGACGAAGGGCCTCGAGTGTGAACTCGCAACAGCGTCGGAACACTCCCTCCGTCATGGTAATGCCCATCCCGTCAACCAGATCACGAGTCAATCGGAATGGAACCACTTCGGGGACTGGCAGCACTCGACCTTGCTCAAAAGCTACTCCCAGGTCAATATGCACTACTTCACCCGTTCGTTCGTCGAGAAGAATGTTGTGACCGTGTCGATCTCCTAGACCCAGAACATGGCCCAATATTGAGATCGCAGCAGTGCTTCGCGTGTACGCGAGTCTCTTGGTGAACCAATCATCTGGGTTATTGAATTTTTCCATGAAGAAAAATCTCATGACTGGATGGAAGTGGTCAGTCACCTGGCGGAAGGTCTTGACCCGGGTTTCAAATGATCGGGTCTGGACATCACCAATGTGCTTCCGGCACACGTTAGGTTTCATATCCTTCGGGAAGTATTTCTGATGTGCTGGCATCAAGAAGTCATGCAGTGGCACAGTGTGTGGGACAAATTCAATAATCCCGGAGTTGGACGTCAAAGGGAGGACTTTGTATGTGCGAATCCCCAAGTTCCGCTGTCGAGTCGCTTGGTGGTCCTTGAGAAGGCTACTAACTTGGTCAAATACTTGCTCCATGATAGCGTCTTGCCGTAGATCATCGTTTCCTCCTTTGAACTGTTGCATACAGTCAGAATGGTTCGAAATTCTTGCAATTGAGACGAAGGGGCAGAGAGATATAATTCTTACCAGCTGTTTATAACGTTGACCATTGGTGGCAAAAGCAGTGAGAATCTTCGGCGCACTAACACCAGATGCGACTGTGAACTCGGAATTGAACCGAACAAGCTTAGGAACATCGCGATAATCACAGTCAATACGAATTTCAATACTCATCGTGGGTGGCGGTAGTCTTTGAGTAACAGCATCTTGCTCGAGACGTTGGCCAGACAACAATTTTTTCAGAGGGACTTTGGCACCGCTTTTAAGCTTGTCATCCATCCGGTCGATGGCGAATCGTACATAGTTAATGTTTGTGTTGTGGACAGCGATCCAGGTAGGCCCGATGCGCTTGTCTTTCTTCAAGCATTCTACCAACCTGCTTGCTGCTCGATTGCGTGAAAGCGCGGTCTCGTCTTTGCCACCCTTAGATTTGCTGCTCGAGAATATTTGATACATGCCGTGGAATGGATGCTCCACGCAGATGCGAAAGATGAGCGAGAATAGCATCTTTTGGAAGTCATCGGAGACATCCAGCAATCGAGAGCTCAGCTGGTTCATTAAGGGGGCGAGCTTCCTGCTAGGGACTTGATGGAGATATTTCGAGACCGCGGCATTTGCAATATCGCTTTCGGATGTATCAAGCCACAGAGCACAGAATCTGAGAGCATCGTTGTTGTACCTTTCACTTTCCTTTAGACAAAGGAGGTAGTTCTCAAGAGACTGTTGAAGGAATGCCTCGCGGCTTCGTCGTAAACGTTGGTACTCTCGATCGTCAAGGTCAAACCATTGCTTTGTCTTAATTCGGTGGTACCGAAGACCGTCTCTGTCTTTCGCGTCTGCATTCTTCATCATTTCTTCCAGATCTTGTACCTCTTTTTGCTTGCGGTTGCGAATTTGCTCGATTCGTCTGAAATCCTCCAAACTATCGGGATTCTGTAGTTGCTGGTCACAGAACATCGCAAACCCATGGTAGACTCGACCAGCCTCTTCGCCGCCTGTTCGGTTTTTCAGCTCTTTAACTGCAGGGGCTAGATACTCCTGGATAATTGCTTCCGGTTTTTCCAGACGTGCCTCGGCAACATGGTGGCCCTTTTATCGTTAGCTTACTCACGGCAAGGGGGTATTCATGGAAGATAGATCCCGGACAATGACCTACCAAAGTCACTAAAAGGTCGGCACGACTTAGGGGTACCGCCTGTTTATGTAGGTCGTTCTGCTCATTGAGCTGTTGAAGCATTCGAATTGATGCAGTCATTTCACCCTGGTCCCATAAGACGTTGGCCAAATCAAATTTCGCCGCGCCTTCGACATTAATGCCTAAAGAAGTGCAGTGATCAGCAAGCTTAGAAAGACAAACGGCGGATTTTAATGAGGCTTGCGCAATGCCATGATTCCTTGTAGTATTGAGTGACTGGCGAATGACATTCACTTCTAGAAGTTGCGCTTGTCGATCATTTAAATTGATCGCAGACTTCAGGTAATCTTTCCGCTTGATTGACGAGAAAAGAGCCTCATGGCAGTTCAATATTTCTCCCACCTCGTGCACACTGTACATATCGTTAGAGATCTTTCACAAACTAAAAGGCTCGGGTGGGCAAGGAGGCCATACTTCGTGTTCTTTAACCAGGAGCTTCTGGTTTTAATCTTTTCCCATTCATGGTCTATCTCCTCAGCAGATTTGGCACCCAAGACATCGCTGATTTCAGCCAATGTCCCAAGGACCCTTGTCGCAGTTCGTAGGGACATTGCTGATCGACTATCACTGGTTAATGAGCCAAGTGTTGCCAGGAAGCTTTCCTCGATGGTCACAGAGACGTCAGGTAAGGCAGCTGACGTGTTAAGAGTTTGGAAGGTCCTGAATATGGTTGCAGAAGGCGAAGGGTTCAACGGAGAAATTGGGATGTCCCATTGTCTCAGGTTGGTTGCAGCTTGGAGCATGCTTTCGAATGAGACTGTCATGTCCTTGGTGCCTCCTCCAGTAGAGGTGAACACGCAATTTGCAATTCCTTGTAGGTTTGTCGAATTCAGCGCCTTCAACACACCAAGGTTGTTCGGATTTCCCGACATCTGCTTTTCACTATCATACTGTGCGCTCTGAAAGAGAAGATTTTTGAATCCAGAGCTTTCATGTTCGAGAGTCTCCATGACTGACTCAAGGGAGGAACTTTGTGGGATGCCGTAGAAAAAGTCCGGGTCATCTATATTCTTGAAAATTTCATGGAGCTCTGTTGGCGGGGCACTGAATTTAGCGACTGATGAGCGACGCGATGAAGACACCGCACGGGAAGCATGTATCTCGAGAAACAACAGCGCAGTTTTTGGTAAGCGACAAGCAGTGGCAGCTGATGACGCTTCGGCGAAATCTATAGCAAGCCATTCATCACGCTCCACAATGGTCGTCTCGTTGGGCCTCGGTTGGTTTCGAAGATAAAGCATGCAATTGATTACGAGCCGTGCATGGGGGATGGTCTTGTCATTAACTTCCCGCAAGGCCTGACTGAAAACCTCTGAAATCCTTTGACGAACTGTTCCATCGCCATCAACTTCTGTGGATAAGACATCATGAAGAATGTAGGGTAGGATATAGACTGCTAGGTCAGGTATAGCAGAGAGAACATTTTTGAGCGGCCCAATAACGGGGTCCTCAAAGGACGCCTTTGACAGAAACAGTCCCACATTGCGAGCCCAATGTGAAATTGAAAGGTCCGGATCCCAGCTGATCACAGCATCAGGCACTTCGGATTCACGTATAGCAGGGCATTTGTAAGGAGTCCAGGTAAGAGCCTTCATCAATGACGGTGGTATGACAATCCCAGACTCTTCATAAACGCTTGACTGTGCCAAGTTACTGACAATCAGTTGTAAAATCCGCTCGAAGAGACCAACATCCATGGGCTTGCTGCTCTGTAGTCTGTTGCACAATGTTTGCAGTATACTGGCTTTTGAATAGAAAAACGGATCCAAAGGCAGATGGGAAATGTTGGTTTTGAACAAGGCCAAATCCTGCTCTCTCAACAAATCATTGCTAATACTTCCAGTAGCAGCAAACTCTCGCCCGATGATTCTTGCAGCCCATAGTTTGTATTGAGAACTGGTTTCAAAAGATTGCAGAGTTTCATAAATGGCCACAGTGTTAGGCGCTTGGCAATTTCCCTCTCCGGTTGTGGACTGACGGAAATCGGGATGTTTATTAGAATCGATGCACAATAGCGATATGACATGATCTGATGTAGGTTTGCTCAGTAAACTTTTGCCCGAGCTTCGGTCATCGAGAACGTCGAAAAGCAAATCACGCTTCGCTGTGCCACTTGGCCTCCCATCTGTCGTGAGACCGCCCTGGGAAGACTTGACCATACGGCGAAATAGTTCACGCGTCGCACTGTTCAGCACCGAAGAGTCGTAGGTATCCAAATACGCCTCGAACCACTGCAAAAATGCTTGGATGGTGGATAGTACAACTCTTGACAAACTCTCGTGAACCGTGTTTGCCGGAGGAAAAGCCACAAATTTTTCTAAAGATAAGAAAGTGGAAACAGTAATTCCAGCCATGAGACTTGGGTTCTCGATCAAATAATCCCGGCCTGCCTCCAATAAATACCAAAAAATCCCCAGCGCATCCTCGGAGCAATAAATGTCCGTGAGAAATGGTCGGAGAGAATGGAGTAGCATCTCAAAAGGATAGTCTCTCAGCATGACAGGCCCGGCCACACATACTAAGATTCGAACTTTTCGTATAACCGAACAGGCATGAAGAGACCCAAGAGCCGGATGTATTAATTCCAACAAGGCGCGGCAGATGTAGGAAGCCAGTGTAGGCGTCCATATTGTGTCAAGCTCGTATCCGCTCCGCTTGCAAAAGAATTCGAGCTCGTCAAGGAGGTAGCGTGCCCTAAAAGAGGGCTGTTGGTTGGCAGGAAGAACAACCTTCGAAGAACTTTTGTCCGTTATGTTTTTCATAGTTTGGAGAGCGCTTTGGTAGTTGTCGCGTTTCGAGAAAGCCCTTTCAACCTGCTCGTACTGGTCCATCGAGACAAAGAAAGTTGCGATTGTCTGTGCAAAGTGCTGATCAATTGATTCCAGGAACCTTTCAGTCCCTAGCATTTTCTTGACCCTGTTTTCCACGCCTTTTGGCTGGCTTCCTTGCCCAGGGGGAGTACCGATATCTCGTGCAATCGAGTAGGCCTCTGCTTTGTGGAAGGACTCTGCTAGAAGTTGGGTCCATGCCTTTTTCATGAGCTTTGAAAGCTCGGCGCTGTCATTTTCCCTTGCGCGCATCATTATTTGGCCAACAATCTCATCCTGAACATCGCTCAGCATGCTTTCGAGGTTCGGATAGCCGAAAATGCTAAATGGCATCAATGCAATTGATTCTGTTTCGGTCCAGGTGTACAGTATCTGGGAAGAAAACAACCGAAAGAGTTCTCGCGTATCTTTAAGCCCAAGAATCCGTGCAACACTACCCACACATTTTTCGGCGTACCAAAGTGATTCCGGGACTTGAGCTGGGGTCTCAAACATGTGGTAGATGCTCCTCCGCAGCAAGGTATGCCACTGGGAAGCTAATTGAGCTAGCATGAATAATCGAAGGGCGATTCCCTCGCACCAATCTGGGTCTCTTGGAAGACTTTCTAGGATGTCATCGAAAATAGCGTCATGATCCTTTAGTGGATATTGGTCAAACAATTGACAGATGAGATCTGCAGCGCCAAACTTCACGGCAATATCACCTTCCTGTATAATAGTGAGAAGGCTGGTTCTTGCAGACGGGCTTGATTTCCCACTGGTGAAGGAAGTGTTCGATTTAAGAACACCTCCCAAGAGCTCGGCGAATCCGATCAAGACCGATGGTGAAGCTCGCCCTTTCGTTAGAAGCACATCGGCAAACCAGGTATATATGTCTGAAGCTGAGTCGCTCAGGTGGTCACTTTGGCCTGCTACCCACGCTTCGACAAAGCTGTGCATCAAATTGATACAAAGAATGTGAGAGTTTTCGCAGCGCTCGAGCTCATATGTTTGCAAACATTTCTCACCCGTGTCCTCTAATACCCTTAGCATTGAGCTGCGTTCCATTCCCGAGCAAGCGCGGTAAACATGGGGTAAGAAGTCGCGCGCCGACAAAATGTCAACTTCATCCAAATCTGCGAGATACTCAATCAAATCATCACTTGCAAGGTGCCTATCCTCATCTGTAGGTACCTGTAGCCTCCGGAAAACAGACAACTCTATCGTCAAGCAACGCTGGAATGTAGCAAAATCCTGAAACAAGGGTACCGCCTCTCGGTTCATGTTTATGATAGCCCTGGTCTCTTTAGACCGATCATTAGAGCCCAGCAATGGATCGTCCAAGTCCATATGGTCTTCGCCATGAGCAGAAAGCTGCCCTCTTTGAGTCTGACGGTGACCTTCAAGGATTTCAGACAAGGGATTGATAATCTTGTGAAGGAACTTGAAGATTGCAGACTTGGGCTCTGGGAAGCAGAGTTTGTGGCCGAGAAAAGGAGATAGGAGCATGAGGCAAGCCTGCACGAATTCCAGGTCACGATCACCCAAACATAAACATATGTTTCCCCATAAACTCTCAGTGTTCTTCTGTAGGTTCTGTAAGCGCGGCTCGGCTTGTTGTGGCATGGACTCCGTATACAATGTAGATATTATGCAGAAGGATGCCAGTATTTGCACAACATCCACAGTGATATGAGTAGATCTATCCTCAGACAGCGATCGCCAACTTTGTAGGAAAACCTCTGATTTCACGTGCAAAAGCTCCAAGATCATGGTATCATTTGGGTCTTGCTGGGTGAATATTTCCAGACTCAACTCCTCTTGTGGGCACCATATGTAGACAATGTCGAGGGACTCCTCCAGGTCAAAAACGTAACCCAACAGCCGCTTGGTCTTGTGGAAGAATTGCCAGCCTCGGGCAACTAAGCCCACTGGTCCTCTGTATTGTATCATAGGTAGGGCATGTGGCCTGTTCGTGCAAGCTAGGAACAAATTGAAAATGTCCAGAGGACGTGCAAATGTAGCAACTTGCGCTGTGAGTATTCGATCAGTTATTGTACCTAGATCCGTCATTAGCAACATCAACCGAAGGATTGCAAGTACAAAACGAACCAATTGTCCAAGCCTCTCGTAGCCACGTGCAGATCAATTTAGACGCATGTGGAACGGATCCCGGGTTTACTTGAGCAATTGCCCTCGTTACCGTCGCCCAAAAAGCCAGCGATGAATCCGACATCAAAGATGGCCCGTTCAAGTTCACAGATGAGAGCATCGAATTAATAGCTTCCGCGCTTGCTGAGTACTCCAGAAGTTCGAACTGAAGAATGGAAGTCATAAGCGTACAAGCTGCCCTCGATGTTGTATGGGAGGTAGAAGCACGGGATGTGAGATCCCAAACTCGTTGCCAGGCGTCATGTAAAGAGCTGGAGTCCACATCTGGACTACCAGCAATACTGTTACGAACATCGATTAGCTTAACCCCCATGAATAACACTTCTAGTGGGAGACATTAGGCAGTAAGGACTAAGTGCTCCCATTAATCACCTACCTTGCAATCGCCACCATTGTCCAAGAGGATATTGTGCTGCTATCGTCAAGTATGCATGGAATTAAACGCCGGAGCAGTAATTCTTTTGAATCGGCGCCCACTTTTCCTTGAACAAGGAAGGGAATCAGCTGTAGCGCGCACACTCTTGTCGCACCTGAGGATGTTGTGGAATCTCGGAAAACGTCTTGGATCATTGATGTGAGACGCTGCTTTTTGCTCGATGTCTCGTTTGCAGTACGAAGCAAGGCTAGACGAGAAATAACCTCTTCCGACATTTCCATCAATTTTGCTATGGCCCATACTATTGTCCAATTGTGCTCTGATCTGGGCATTTCACGGCGAGGTCCTATTAAGAACTTTTGCTCCTGCGAAGAAGCCTTTTGATAGAATGTCAATTCGTCAATCTGCAGAGAATCCTTCTCCGGTCGTCGAATGTATTCGGAATATAGGGTGTCCACCAGGTTGTCAATCAGTTGAGTCAGTAATTCAGATGGCTCCCTCCGAGCCGTATCGATTATGATGACCATACAAAGCATGATAGTGACAAGTAATTCATCCTTTAAGCTTGTCAGCTTGGTGGCCCACAAGTGTCGGATCGTGGGAATCAAGTCCAGCAAAGATACTCGAACAAGGCTTGACTGGTCAAATAGAACTCGCATGGTAACAGAGTTCAGGCTACTGATCGCGGCTAAGTGACCACTTCCAATGCTTGCTGATGACTTGAGGAATTTCGCCAACCCTTCAAGTATTCTTTCGGCAGAATCTTGAATCGGGGCACTCGGACTCGCTGTTAGCACCTGAAGGCAATTCAGAGCCTCAATTATTGCGCTCTGATCGCCCCTGGGCTTTTCTCTGACAGCTAATGCTGAAGTCGCCCTGGAAGGTGTCGAGCGACGACTACCACCGGTCCGAAAGTCATCTAGAGTGGATCGACGGCTGTTTGAGAAGGATTGTTCTTTCTCATCATCTTCTGGGAGACTTATGCTTCTGAGGCAGAAGCTTACAAGCTTCTCCCATTCACTGGCACCTAGATGCTCAACATGTGGAGGGTAGTTAAGAAGTGTGGACAGACATTTGGTGTAATCAACGCCTAGGAGGTCAAACAAGTCATGCCTTGGCGTCAATAGGGTGTCGGTTATATGATCGGTGATTGCCCGGACAGATTTGGCTCGCAGATTAGGCAAAAAGACATCAACGGCCGTCCGTATCACAGATGCACAGGTAGACAAGCGAGAGGCAGATGGCCCCTTGGAATTTGCTCGGGTAAACACCGACTTCTCGGCTGCGATGAGCCGGAAAAGAGATTCAAAAATTTTATGACATGCCTTATCATTCAACGAGCTCCTACAAAGCGCGCAGCTGTCAGCTCCTGCAGCGACAGAATGATAGTCTCGACATACAATTTGGAGTTTTGCTTATTCTGCTGGAAGATATGCTTCAAGTCTAGCGAAAATTAGTGAGCGAGTTGAGAATAACTTTGCCCTACCGGCATACCAGCTAACCCATCCGAGCGCTCTTTCTGCTTCTCAGATGACAGTAGCACGAGTGCTCTGTCAAGAGAAATTTCGCCCATGGCGGTGCTGATTTGTGGCTAAAATCTACGCAAAGCAGCCAAAGCCTATGGATACCATTTGCCTCATGTCAAGGAGGAGGTGTGAAGAGCACTCATTATTCGATAGCAAAACTCTGCGATCACCAGTCACAGAGTACGTGATAGATGATAAAAGTAGGATATGACAGTCGATGGCGGTAGGTCGCAGACAGTAAATAAAGTCGGTTGAACAGATAGATTGAGCGGGCGGTGCGGCTTTGGTCTCGGCGCAGGAGAGCTCCGCCGCTTTTAGCTCGGGAATTTTGGTCGCGTCCTCCGACCTTTTTTGGTCGGTGACAAACACATGGTCCTTACCATCCTTCTCTTCCACGGCGCCCCCCGCCAAAGCACGCACAATCGCTGAGCATGGAAGACCAGGATACTCTGGCTGGCCTTCGTGGTCTGTACCAGGATCTTTCTGCTCTGTCGAACTCTTCTTTTGTAAACATTGACCGTCTCCGAATCGAGCTGGAGACTCACATTGAAGATTTCAGGAAACTCCTCGATCGACCCAGGAAGAACAATAACAGTCGCCAAATTGTCATCTCCGGTGTGTATATTCGCTATTGACCTTCAACTCACGGAACGGCTGGTCTTTCTGGGGCTAAGGGGTTTGCTGATCATGTTTGCGACAATCTAGGGAAAATAACGGTGAACAACGTCGAATATTCAATCAACGATGCATTCAAGGAAGGGGCTCTGCAGCTTGCAGATGCTCTGGATATCGACGAGGTGGAAGCCGCGGTGCTGTTTTTAGAGGCACAGGAAGACGCACAGGCGCTGGATCGGACCCCTCTCGTCGCTGCGATCATGCGTTTCCACGAACGTCGGCACTTCTTGCTCGACTCCCTGCGCCTTATCTTCCAGGAATCCTTCGAAGTCGAGCGCGAAGCGAATCAGACCCTTATGCAGGAGGCTCTGGCCTTTGTTGTCGAAATAAAGGACGGCCCTTTGCGAAACGCTTCGCTTTTCGCGCGGAAATGCATGACATCAATGGAAGATATTGAGAAATGGATTGCTCTCCTCGGTGAACAAATTCAGAAAGCCACGATCGTAGGCCAATCTGAAGATCTCGAGGTAATGGAAGCTATTGAGTACCAGCGCAATAGCTTGCAGCAACAACATGAATCTCTGGGGGCGATCCTTTGCTACTTGTTCAAAGGGCCTTACACCAGTTCCGAAGATCTCCGCATACTCTTGAACCGCCTAAGAAAGCTCGACCGATTTGATAGCCTACTGGTGCATTACATTCCTTCGATTGTTTCCTCGTTCGTCCAGCATGGATCACCTGAAAGCTCCGGTTCACACAAAGAGGCGCGGGGCCTGCATACGGCGGTGACGTCCACCAAAGACGGCCAATCTTGGCGTCTTCCGACTTTCCACTCATCGGTCATTGCACTCTGGCTTGCGGTGTACAGTGGCTGGGATTTTGACGGTCCATCTTCTCCAGTTCCCGGCGTTGACCTCGCGAAGGAGGCCGAAGAACGCACCAAAATGTTTATGACTGCGCTGGATGATGGAGGATTAGACACAATGCTGGCCATCTGCTCCGGAGTTAACAACGAAGAATGGGCGGATCCGGCTCGCAGCGAACTAGTTGCTTTGTTATTAAAAGAAAGCGCCTCGTCCACGCTCGATTCGGGTGCCTGTTCTGCATTCTTCAAGGCCCTGTTGATGGAGTATTTTGAGGTATTCGCAGAATCTTGTATCGCCAATATGCCAGATGCTGTTCGAATGCTCAAGTCGGAAGAAGACTCTCAGAGATTGGATCAAATCACTGCACTTAGAGACGGTCTGACTTCGAGTCTCCACCGCGGTCTAGTCGAAGCTCGGACTCACCTTGAGACTTTCCTCGTGGTTATGGCTTTTTCATTTGAGCAACGTCCGGATGCTGCACAGGAATTCTGGGCAGACCCGGATGGAAATTTGTATGGTTTCCTCCAATGGGCCTCGAAACGACAGACCGTGCCGCGTGTCAGTGCGTTCTGTGAATTACTATGTTCTATTTCAAGTGGAGAAGAAAACGCCGCTGCGGCGCATAGATTCCTCTCTGAAGAAGATAAATTCCTGTCCGCTAAATTCAAGAGATCTACATCTATGAATTGGTCGCAGATGTTTGCCGAGCTGCAGCTTTATGCGACAAAGGTCACGGAAAAACCGTCTTCTTCGCAATCCATGCTTCGAGCTCGGAAGTCTGAGCCATCTGACATGAGTGAGCCAGAAAGCCCCGTGATGTTAACTTGTTATCTACGGCTCATGGGCCATTTATGTCGCCAAAGTGTCGCGATCAGAGACTGGATGCTCCTTCATCCTTCCTTCAGCATTGTCACCACATTGTTGACCTTATCCAGTGGGCCAATACCCACTCACCTCAGAGCAACTGTTTTCGATACCCTGTCAGCCTTAATGACTGACCGGACATCTTCGAACGGCAATGAGATGTGGCTTTCGATCGATCAGTGGATCTCCAGCGGGTCAATGAGCGCTTCTGGCCACGGGAAAGTTCCCTTGGTCTCAAACCCCCTCGTGTGGCATGAGCAACAAGCTTTCCAGAAGATTGGCGAGAGTTTCGACCAAGCTAACGCCTTTGTGACCCTTGTTTATTCGCTCGTGTCTCCAACCACCGACTCCGCGGATTACCACCTCTCGCTTCCTTTCCCCGACTCTTTGGGCTCGTCTTATCGCATGCCGGGTATTGAGCCCTACATTGATTTCGTCCTCGGCCGAGCATTATCGCGACGCATCCCCGATCTCAACGAACGTCAAGTTCGTATGCTCACCTACAATTGCTTGGACTTCGTTGTGACTTGTCTGAAATCCTTCAACGAGAACATTGTCACGGTCCTCAGTCAGCCCAGCATATCATCGGATAATAAAACTTCATCGCTGGTCAATTACATCCGGCTTCATCCGTTTGCACGGGTGGCTGAGTGGCTCTTTAATGAGGATGTTATTAAGTCAATATTTGCAGCGGCTAATCAAGATATTGCAGATGTTGCTAAGTCTGCGGCTGACTCAGTCTTAGTCCTGTCTGTCGTACGCAGTCTCGAGGTCATGGACCTAATGATGGATCTCCAGTCGACCTACTTCAATATTGTTCGCCCATTGGTCAAGTCTCAGGCAGGAGGAAACCGAACCAATGTAGCCAATTCTGCGCTTTCTGCATTCGAAGACAGTATTCTCAACTATCTGTCGATCATCCCCGCTTTATGTCTCTACTGCAGCACTGGCCACGAGCAGCTCACAGTCACATCCATGGCGCTTTTGGAGAAACTCTCCAGTTCTAAGAAGCTGAACAAGGCTTCGTCTCCTGAATTATCCAAGTGGAGATCGTCGAATAAAATTGTTGAGGTCCTGAGCTCAGAAGTGGATGTTGACAGTGTATCGCGCCCGCTTGTCTCCCAAATGCAGCCGGAAGCCAGAGAACTTGAAGTTGGAGCACAGTCAGCCGGTTACATTATTCGTGAGAGCCTGCTCGCACTTCTAAACTCCTGCTTGGGAACAATCACGGATCAGCCAACGATAGCGCACATACTTCTCGGATTCCGCAGTGTGGGAAACATACTGGATGTCTCTCCCGAGGGCCTCTTCTCGCAGCAAGCTTCTTTATTACATGCAATTATCGAATTTCTGCAGAACTACCCCGATGAATTGAATGGGAACATCTTACCGTGGATGGTGCGCCTCAAGCGTATGGGCTTCGAGGTTCTGAAACACCTGTGGTCCTCAAAGCTCTCATCCTACTTCACGCTTTCGGAAATGCGCGTCAACCGCTTTCTCCTCAATACTCTCGCAACCCAGCCCATAATCGGACTACACACCCCATGGGATGGGTTACCTATCTTGGCCGAAGAATTCTGGGTTTCCAAATCAACGACTGCTCTTGCGGAATTCTTACTGTACAGAAGCTATCTGTACAATTATGCCGCAACGGAGATCCGCTCTGCCACCAAACTTGGCTCACCGACTCTACAAGGCGACATCCTCGCAACGTTGTTTGGAAATGCAGTGTCAGAAAATGGCGAGGGTATTGTAACTCCTACTGTCTTCGACCTCTTCGACTTTGCGGACCTAGACATTAGACACCCCCTTTCCCCACCTGAGTTGGTGCTTCTTAGGGATATCGGCGTGGAGGCGTGTGCTAAGGCACAGGCTGATGACTCGCTTGTTATTTATAACATGGCCGAGCTGGAGGAGCTTATCCAAGTCAGGAAAGAAGAGCTGCATTCAATGGCGCATCTACGAACTCCAGATGAGGAGCAGTTTATAGCCGAGGCCGAAAACTTGACTCTCTACATACTATCGCTCAATCAGTCCCGGCAGATCACCTACAACCGCTACTTGGCTCTCCAATCTTGGACGGAGCTCATAACAACTATTCTCACATGCTCTGAAATTGAAGGTGGACGGAAATCGACTTTTATACTACATTCAATTCAATTGATCCTCCCTAAGCTTGACGCCGCTGTGGAGGAAGACTCCCCTGAGGCCATTGAATTGGCCCGCCTTGCTGAGACCCTGGTTAGTAACCTAGAGTCGTCCGAGACGAGCGGAACTCCTGTCCGACGAAGCGGGGATGTCATCGATGAAAAGCTTCATCAACTGTTCCAAATTTGCGTTCGGGGCATCATTCTCGCCGCGGGCAATGTTAACCTCCGAGAGACCTTCTATAACATCTGCTCGCACTACATCTCCCGTGTGATTACTCCGGAAACGGCACACGGGGACAACAAGCAGCATAGCTATCAGGTCATCAGGACAGCGGGTCCGACTTTGATTGAAGCCGTATGCGACGATGCATATACTGGTCAAGAAACATGCCGTGTGTCAGCTCTTCTGTTATTGAATCTCTTGGCAGCCCTGGATAAACGAGAGGAGTCTACATTGGCAGAGTCCATGTCTCAGTCGAACTATCTAAGTCTATTCTTGGATGCTATTCGAACGCTTCCGGTTGAGCTTAAAAATGCCCAAGCCAGTGGTAAGCCCATACCGCAAGGAAAGGAAATGTGCACGTCAAGAGTAATCACAGCTAACCCCCGGATCCAAGATACGCCCTTGCTGTTGTCGTATTACGAGTCTCTGTTGTCTCTCCTCCAACAACTTTGCCAGACTAAGAACGGCGCCATCCAAGTTCTCGGGACTGGCCTTTTCCAGGCAGTGCGTGATTCGCGGCTATTCGCGGCTGATCCTGATCTCGGTATTGGTTCGTATTTACATTTCCCATGGATTGAATGACTCTAAGTCTGACAATGACAGACATTGATAACCCTGACGCCCTCCGGAAATACTACGACCTTCTACACTCGGTGCTCCGCGTCATCGTTTCCGCTGTATTCTCGCGTGGTCTTCACAACGAGCAGATGATGGAGCAAACGCGGGCCTTCCTTGCCGAGAACAGACAAAGCATGGTCGGTATCTTCAAACGGGTTGCCAAGATTGGAGGTGCAGGCACTCCAGATCATCACGGTGCTCTCGGTGACCTGGCGAAGTCGTACATGGCGCTCATTGCCGCTACGGATTTCCTAGAGGTATGTATGGCCACAAACAATGCCACCGCTCGCTTTGCTGATGTAAATTTTAGTTTGAGGATGGCGAAGTAAAGGACCAAATGGGTACAAATATTTTCTCCTGAAAGAGATGGAACGAAACATCTACAAATGTTTGGAGGGAGTATCGGAGTGTGTAGTTTATGGGAATGATGCATATGAATTAGCTAGGAGGCTGTGGCGACATCTAGCCTATCCTCACATTTAGAGTTGGGAGGATGAAAATAGGACAGGCATCCAAAAAAAATCATTGGACTTTTTTTGAAATACAATCTTGAAGCCATCTGCAATCTGCCGATGATTTGCGCATAGGTTTGGCTGATTTACCTTTCTTAGAGGGGAGAACCGGCAGACGGACGTATTATCTTATCTCCGACTGACCAACGTCAATGCAACTGCGGAGTGCCTGCCTCCTTCGATCGTCAAGACGCATTTGCCAACACCTTCTCATCACGCAACCCTTTCCTTTTATCCGTTACTCCTAAGCGCAACATATACATTGTGCTTTGCTGAATTCCAAGCCAATTTTGCCATGACCTGTTGATCTTCAGCGCCGTCTGGAGCTTTTCGACGCTGAGCGATCTCCACCGTCCTCGCCCTGGGCAGAGCCGAGTCCATGCAGCAGCCATCGAGAGGCGCCACCGAGCAGAGGAGCGGCAAGCGCAAGTCAACCGGTAAAAGGAAGCTTTCTGATCAGGAGGAGATTGCGCGGAATCCTCAAAATCAACAAGCGACCATCTCGGAGCTCCTGTCCAAGAATCATACCACCTACGACCAAGAGCGTCCTCATCCTCACCGGCAGTCGTCCCCAACCACCAAGCGTCCGCGATTGTCGCCTTCCCCTTCGAGCGGACAACCTACATCGAACCCACAAACTCTATCCTCTTCCGACAGAATGTATAATTTCGCAAACCAAGATTCTCGAACTAGCGGACCGTTCGGACAGGCGACGTCCGGGTCACATACCCTTGGTGGAGCTGCGAAAACTCGGCCCTTCAACACAGCGTCGCGTCAGAGCAACTTTACACCTCATACGGGCGCAAAAAAACTGGTCGTGAAGAATCTTCGAACAGGATCGCGATTCAACCAAGATTCGTACTTCGAGAAGGTCTGGAGTCAACTTGATGCGGCGCTGGCGGCGATCTTCAACAGTGGAAAGCCCGAGGTATCGTTGGAAGAGCTTTATAAAGGGGCAGAAAATGTGTGTCGTCAAGGGCGAGCGGCTCAATTAGCCAAACAGCTGCAGGACCGGTGTCGAGGTCATGTGGCTGGAAAGCTACGCGATACACTGGTGGCAAAAGCAGAGAGCGGCGATAACATTGATGCGTTAGGGGGGGTGGTTGAGTCGTGGGCAACATGGCAATCCAAGCTGGTATGCGGTTATTACCTTTCCATCTGCCAGTGTGCTTTGAAGCTCACTCTCTTTTTTTGGTTTTTTAGGTTACCGTTCGGTGGATCTTCTACTACCTCGATCAATCGTTTCTTCTTCACTCCAAAGACTATCCCGTTATTCGCGAAATGGGTCTTATCCAGTTCCGAAACCACATCTATTCCGACTCTGTACTGAAAGCGAAAATTTCACAAGGCGCATGTGATCTGATTAGAGCCGACCGCGATGAGGACCCGAGCATCATGGCGGACTCGTCATTACTTCGGAAAGCGATCGAATTGTTCCACGGCCTCGATGTTTACGCGGATGGCTTTGAGCCCCTCTTCATCTCCGAGTCGAAGAAGTATTTTGCATCATGGGCCCAACGCGAAGCATCGGGATATCTCGCCACATTCGCCGCGAATAGCCATAATCTGATTGAAAGAGAGGTCAACCGGTGTGAGCTATTTTCGCTCAACCGAAGCACTAAGCAGAAGTTGTCTGAACTTCTGGATCAAACACTAGTGTTGGATCAGCAATCAGTCCTCCTCAATCAGGCTGACATCCTTGGCTTGCTGCGGACGGGGAATAAGATTGCTCTAGAGAAACTCTATTCCCTCCTCGAACGGAAAGACCTTGGCTCGAATCTGAGAGCAGCGTTCACCGATTTTATCGTCGAAGAGGGCGGTTTGATTGTTTTCGATGACGAGAAGGAGGCGGAAATGGTTGCTCGCCTGCTCGAGTTCAAACAGCAACTCGATGAGACTTGGATTCACTCTTTCCACCGAAACGAGGAGCTAGGTCATGCTCTCCGCGAAGCCTTCGAGACATTTATGAACAAGGGAAGAAAGTCCCAGGCAACCGGAGGGACCGACAATCCAAAGACCGGCGAGATGATCGCCAAATACGTAGACAGACTACTGAAGGGCGGGTGGAAACTGGCACCTGGGAGAAAGGCCGAGGATATGCCACTTGCGGACGAAGATGCCGAGATCGATCGACAACTAGACCAAGTTCTCAACCTGTTCCGGTTTGTGCACGGAAAAGCAGTCTTTGAGGCCTTCTACAAGAATGACCTTGCCCGTCGCCTGCTCATGGGTCGAAGCGCCAGCGACGATGCCGAAAAGAGCATGCTGTCGCGACTCAAGACAGGTATGTACCGTGACGTCTTGGGTGGCTTCCAACTATCACGAACGCTGACACTGGCGATTAGAATGCGGATCCAGTTTCACTCATAATTTGGAGTCCATGTTCAAGGATATGGATGTAGCGCGCGATGAGATGGGGGCATACAGTTCTCTTCAGCGTGAACGTCAACACCGACTACCGGTCGACCTCAGCGTCAGCGTGCTGTCAGCATCAGCATGGCCGACATACCCGGACGTTCAGGTGCGAATACCGCCCGAGATCGCGACTGCTACGACCGACTTTGAAAAGTTTTACCATGGCAAGTATAACGGGCGCAAGCTTCACTGGAAGCATCAATTGGCACATTGTCAGCTGCGGGCTAGGTTTCCCAAAGGAGACAAGGAATTGGTTGTCAGTTCATTCCAGGCGATCGTGTTGTTGCTGTTCAACGATCTCCCGGAAGGCGGGACGCTCAACTATTCTCAGATCCAGGAAGAAACTAAATTATGTCAGTCTTTCTTCTTCGGGCCACTTATAGCATTTGCTGACATTCATTCTTCCTTCTAGCCGACCAGGAGCTGAAACGGACGCTTCAATCGTTGGCATGCGCCAAGTACCGAGTGCTCAGCAAGAAGCCGAAAGGCCGGGATGTCAACACCACGGACGAATTTTCATACAATGCCGGGTTTACCGACCCGAAGATGCGCATCAAGATCAATCAGATCCAATTGAAGGAGACCAAGGAGGAGAACAAGACAACGCACGAGCGCGTGGCGGCCGACCGGCATTACGAGACCCAAGCAGCGATCGTCCGAATCATGAAGAGTCGCAAGACCATTACGCATGCGGAATTAGTGGCCGAGGTGATCAAGGCTACCCGAAGCCGTGGCGTGTTAGAGCCTGCAGATATCAAGAAGAATATCGAGAAGTAGGTGCTTTTCCTTTTTGATCTAGCAACGCGAGGCCACGTTTACTAACTGCGGTACCAGGTTGATCGAAAAAGACTACATGGAGCGGGAAGAAGGGAATCGGTATCAATATGTGGCATAACGTGTTGATAAGACTGACTGACTTGTTCAACGAGTACTTTGGGAGGTTGGCGACATGACGATCACATACGGAGTAATTAGGTCGTCGTACCTTGAGCTTTTTAGTTTCTTGTTTGCACTTTGCAATAATGTAGCCGCCATATGGCATGATGAACTAACGACGGATCGTTGGCTTAGGAAGCACTACTTTACGGAGTGCTTATTTGATTTGTTCATTCGTTAGTTTGTTACTTGTTACCCACCCATCGTACTTTTTTTTCCTTGTTCCCATGAGTCTTTAGCCTACAGTAACAGAAGCGGAGGGGATCGAGTCAACTCCGCGACCCCACCACAGGTTCTATGACCGGTTTTCACGGAGTAGTCCAGCTGTAGGGGTACTGTAAGTGTAGTTCACTAAGGGTACGGAGTGCTCCGCAGTTAGGTCTCGTGAAACTGAATTGATACCTGTTTACCTACTAAGATCCGGTGGAGCAAACCATTCAATCGACCCATCGAATCCTGTAAATTATATATTCTGAATTAATAATCCTTGACCATATGATGGGAGTCCGGTTCCATCTGGCCCTGTAGGTAGGTATACCGTAGGTAGTAGGTAGTAGGTAGGTAGGTAGGTAGGTAGGTATCAATGCATGCATCATTACTCCCGACAGGGGCAAACAGACAAGACAGCACTCGCCCGAGAAACCCGACGGGCGACTCGGCAGAGAAAAGACACTCTGGCTGACTGTACGGTGTAGGTGTAATATCGCCGGAACGGGTAAGAAAATCAACAAGAAGAAAAAAAGAAAAAAATTTCCCCGGGGAATGCGGAAGGAAGACGAAACGGTCTGGACGAGGGGCGAATCCGGGTCTCACGAGACTCACGTGGATGAGCCGATCCCTACAGGAGATCGAAAATAGAACTGTGTACACTGTACGGAGTACGTACTCCTTTCTTAGCTCCCTGTCGAGGTGCTGGCCTGGAACGCGTCGAATTGGTTTGGGAAAAGTGGTCCCCGCTAAGATCTGACAGCGGAGAAGCCTTTTTTTTTAAGGTCCCATGATCCTCATTCTGTTGGGGATGGTTAGATGGGTCGTACTTCGGTTCCCTTTCTATCTGGAACAGACGTACGTACCCCCCCCCTTCTAGTCAGTAAGGACCAATTGCGGAATTATTCTGTTGCCAATCATTTTCCTTTCTATTTTTTTGGCCAGCACAGCGGTATGGACGTGATAGCGGTTACGCGGCTAAGTTACCGACGGAGACGGTAGATTCTATAAATCATATGTATGCAGCTGCACGGCGCAGTGCCTGGATTCCCAACAACACTCCAATAGCAACTGGTCACGGGCTCAGGCACCTCTCGACCGACATACCGACATACATACTCCCTACAAACACTGGATCCCGATCTACACGGTGTAGCACTGTAGGTACTATTACTGACCCCTCCGACAGCTCAATTGCAGCTCTGCAGGATGCACGTATTAAACTTCCAATGGATCCCAACGGAAAAGCTGGAATTGTCAGCTGAGCCGGCCGAGCCAGCTGTGCAGCTTGCTGCTTAATGAAGGTATAGTTATCCCTTAGTGATCGGCATGTAGATACCGTACTATTAGTCTATTAGATAGTAGTTCGGAGTAGCACGGTTGGGGTTTCCAGAAAAGAAATACCACCAATAGATGAATGCATCAGGTACTTGTCTAGTGCCCTATGCCGAGGAATCTTTGCCCTTACGGGGTAGGGAGTCTAGGGAGTTAGTGAGGGCAGAAAGTCCAGGGTTCGCGAGGGTCTTGATTGCAAACGCCTTACGAATTCGGAAGGTTTCCCTTGGGGCAGGGCATATCCGTGGCATGCCCCCTTTCTGCAATGCTGCAATGCCATGTACGGTGTAGGTGGCGGACATCTTTGGGCAGGTATGTAGATAGATGATATTATCTCGGATCTTTTTGGCTAGAGACTTTTTCTATTCTAATTCTTTCGACCGAGACCGAGTGTCCGCGAGTACGGCCGATAGTGATCTATGATCGAAGGATGTAGCAATACCCAAACCAGAGGTGTTTTAGCGGGATTCCCGCAGATGGTAAGCCGAAGCGCCCACGCTTCCAGAATGTCCCCCGGTTCCAGACCCGCGGCCCACGGGGTTGGCTACCTCTACTCCGTACATACCAGGTCAGTCCATCTCCATGCACGTCCCATGTACCTTCGTCCTTACGGTACCTTACTTGCCGGATGCCCACTTGCCTATCCAGGCGATGGGTCCCTTACGATGTTGTTCATGTGAGCAGCAAAAAAAATCATGGAAGACATGGGTAAACCGGATTGCCTAGACCGTTACCCAATGGTGAACTCAGCGGCCGCCTGGTTTGAAAGTATTTATCCGGGGGGTTGCTCGCCTTCCTGCTCATCCGATTCCTATACTTCTTTCCTCTTATCCTTCCTTCCTTCTCCTCCCCTGCTCTATCCGTCTCTCAGCTTCCTCGGCTCGCCTTCCTCTCGATATAGTCCCATCCGAAATCGGATAATCCTGTCGGACTCTTTTCCATCTATACTGCCTCATTCGCGGACGAGACTCAACAGCCTCTAAACCAATCATCGGAAAACACTCACGGGAGTACTTCCATCCAATCGATCTCGCCTGTCAGATTCCCTGTGAGTTCCATTAGTGAAATGATCATCCCCCCTTCGCTGCACTCCGGACTGCCGACTGACAGATGCGCGACTCCAGTGAAACCAATCGTCTGCTCCACTTTTTTCCCCGCCTCGGACGGACTGGATAGCGATTGCTATACTTACGAATCAGCCTGGTACTGTCCTTGTGAATCAGCCCGGATTTCTTACTTTGGCAAATTCGCCTAGAAATTTGGCCCGGTTGTCTTGGTTCTCTACGATAACCATCCCTGTGCGCGTGTTCATATAAAGAGCGAGCAATCGCACCGGAAAGCAATCGCAACACTTCCCCACCTACAAGACGGCTCGACTGTTCGCGCGTCCAATCCGGATTTGAGCGATTGATCCTAGTTGTTTGCTGAGACTATTGCGCAACCGTTGCTTCATAATGCAGAGTACGTCAGATTGTTCTTCCTTGTTTTTTCTTTTTCTTTTTTTCTCCTTCTGTCCATGATGATCAATGATTTCCTGGCTCGTTGATCCCCCGTCTGGTGTTCATTTTCCTCGGAATTATCCACACTTGCGATCAGACCCATATATCCTGGCGAAACTCAGATGTTCCCCACATACCCCAACCCCAGACACCCTGCATTACGGCGTACACTAATGCCAACTCTTTAGCCAAACACTTTTTCTCGGACCCGACCCATCTGGTCCTTACCGCATTGCATTCACTCACTCTGACGAACCCGTCTCTGGCTTTTGACCCTGAAAACAAGATCATTTTCCGCCGCCCGGAATCTATCAAGAAACCAAAGGTTGCCATCGTTTCCGGCGGAGGTTCTGGTCATGAGCCGGCCTTTGCTGGCTACGTCGGTCAGGGCTTCCTAGATGCATCCGCCGCCGGTACCATCTTCGCCTCCCCCTCGGCGGAGCAGATCCGCAAGGCGGTCTTGGATTGCGTCGACAACGAGAAGGGTGTCCTGATCATTCCCATGAACTACACGGGCGATGTGTTGAACTTCGGTATGGCAGCCGAGAAGGCTCGCGCTGCGGGTATCAAGACTGAATTCTTCGCCATCAACGACGACGCCGGTGTCGGCAAGAAAAAGGGCGGAAAGGTCGGCCGACGTGGTATTGGCGGTGGAATTCTGATCTTGAAGATCGTCAGTGCTTTGGCAGAGGCTGGGTGAGTGGATTCATGTGTCTTGGAAGATTAGAAGTTCGCGTCGCTAACAAACCCTCAGGGCTTCCCTGGATGAGGTTTACGCCACCGCTCAGCTGGCAAACGACCACCTTGCATCCGTGGGCTCTTCGTTGGAGCATGTTCACATCCCCGGTAGAGCCATGCCCGAGGATGTAATCCCCGATGGTGAAGTCGAGGTCGGAATGGGTATCCACAACGAACCGGGGTCTCACCGCGTCAAGGCCAATCTCCCAGAGCTGATCCAAACCATGCTCTTCCAAATCCTAGACCACAACGATCCCGACCGCGCCTTCCTCACTCATCAGCCCGGGGATGAATTCGTCCTGTTGATCAACAACCTGGGTGGCGTCAGCCCCCTGGAGCTCGCGGGTATTACCGATGAGGTCTACCGTCAGCTCGAGCGGGACCACGAAATCAAACCTGTCCGAATCATTCAGGGAACTTTCTTGACCAGCTTGAACGGACTGGGTTTCAGCATCTCTCTTCTGAAGCTCGCAGACACCGGACTGGGTGCTGGCAAGTCGTTCTTGGAGCTCCTTGATGCTCCTGCCGAGGCAGTGGGCTGGTCTGCTCCCATCCCTTCGTCTACCTGGGCCGCTCACCGAAGCGATGCTCCCGTAAAACTCAAGGAGACGAAGCTTGCGGCAGAGAAGCCCAGCAACCTAAAGTGTATGTTCTTGAGCCAATCTTTTCCCGAATCTTGTACTAACCTTTTCAAACAGTGGATGTAGCCGTTCTCAAGAAGGTTCTCGGCTCCGGTCTCAAGCGTGTCATCGACGCCGAGCCTTTGGTCACTCGCTACGATACTATTGTCGGAGACGGTGACTGCGGTGTCGGCTTGAAGCGTGGCGCAGAGGCCATCCAGGCCCTGCTCGACAACCCCTCATCGAACCTTACCGAAGATGTTGTCAACGCTGTGAACCGCATCGTCACGGTCGTTGAGAACACCATGGACGGTACTTCTGGAGCTATTTACGCGATCTTCCTGAACGCCCTTGCCCACGGTCTTCGCGAACAGGACACCGGCTCGTTTACTCCCGCCACCGCAGATGTCTGGGCCAAGGCCCTCAGCCACTCTGTCAACGCTCTTTCAAAGTACACGCCCGCCCAGCCCGGCGACCGTACCCTGGTCGATGCCCTGGTCCCCTTCTGCAACACCCTTCTCGAGACCAAGGACGTCCGCGCCGCGGCCAAGGCCTCGCACGAGGGCACCGAATCGACCAAGAGCATGAAGGCCAGCCTGGGCCGTTCCGTCTACGTCGGCGGCGAAGAAGAATGGGTCGGCAAGGTCCCTGACCCCGGTGCTTACGGACTCAGCGAGTTCTTGGCCGGTATTGCCGATGCGGCTTGAACTTCTAAGCCGCCTGCCTAGCCTCAGGAGCTATCTATATTCGGGACTCTATAATTCTTTTTTTCTTCAATTCGGCGGTATATATTGCATCTGGTGGTGTTTTTTTTTTCTTCCAATATTAATTTGATGACGATCATGACATCTTTTGGGTGGTTTATGAGGGTGGTCAATAATATTCCATATTCATGTTGTTTGCGGCTTTAGCTTTGTTTGATTGCGTCCTTATTTTACTTTTGGTGGTTCTAGGTATATAGCCTGGCAATTTAAATAATTTATCGATTCAACATTTACTTTCTTGATCTATCTGTCTTTCATGAAATATCTTATTTCTTATTCCGCTTCTTACCCGTTGTTTTAGTGTCAGGTCAGTTCTGCAAAGAATATTATTACATTTCGTTTTGAGGTAATCCCGAGTACAATGTTCATTCTCATGCACTCACTCTACCTTACTATCCGTACCATGCCACACGTTTTTCTAATTTAGACGACAGACCAAAAAGCTGAAAGAAAAAGAAAAACGCCCGTTTTGCCCCTTCATAATATAAGAACAGATGAAAATGTTGAGAATAGGAGGGGGAGAAGAAGAAGAAGCAAGAAGCCACAAGGGAATCAAGATCGGTTGGGAAGGGAAGATAGATAGAAAAAGAAAAAAAAATCCCCAGTCCAGGCTGCTTCTTGCTAGGTCGATAGATGGAGGGGAACAAGCGTGTAGGGCTCTTGTCCCTTTTAGGTTATCGAAACCCCTTCTTTCCTCGTCATCGGAGAAAGGGAAAGAAAGGGAAAGAAATAACCTCGGAATTCACAGAAGAGGGGTATATCGATGTCAATCGTTCAGAGATAGATTCATGTCCTTTGCGGGCCTGCCTGTAGCAGAGCAGGGCAGGGCAAACAGTCAAGCCGACATCAGACCGAGTATCCCCGACAGATTGCGCATGTCACGTGAATCAGATGGTGGGATTTTGCTCAGCTGAGCAGGACCAGGATGACCGAATCGCCACGCAAGAACCTAAAGGAGGGCAGATTAGATGAGCTGATCGCATATGACGGAATTGGATGGATGGGAAGGACAGGATGGATGACATGACGAGATGGATGAGATACTCACATCTTACTGATGAAGCGGTCCTTGTTCACGCCCTTGCCCTTTCCGCCCTTGGGCTTCTCCGTCCACATCTCCTTCACGTTCTCTAGTACCATGTTGCAGTGGCGGTCGAAGGCCTTGACTCGAGCGAGGAGCTGCACGTCAAAGTGTTAGTGAATGATAATGGACCCCCGGGAATTCCGTCAATGTGACTGAGCTGGGTTTTTCATGACGGAGGGAAGGTGGATGCAAAGTGCGCAATTACCTTGCGGTTGTTTCGGCACGAGATCAGCACCTGGGTGTGTGTGCGCGTCGCGGTCTGGAGAAGAGAGAGCGGTCCGGAGGTGAGCTCGTGTTCCTCGACGAGAGAAACTTCATATTCACTAATGTGCGGGGAGGGGCCTGTGTTAGCTAGCTAGTTTGGCCTATGCGACGAGAAGGGTCGGCGTGTATGAAGGAAGGCGTCTTCTGGATTAGAAGGAAGAAAAGGTGGGATGATGCAATCATGTGATGCTTCCCGAATGGTATCAAAGCTTCCAGAAGAGATAGAGACGGATAAAAGGAGTCAAGTGGGATGGCGAAATGGGGGGAGATTGAACGTACGTGAGCTCGCTCTTAGGCTTGTTGAGCAGGTCTCTGTGGTACCAAGTTAGCAACGCAATTTGATGGTTCCCTCTCGACAGAATCGATGAGTCATAGGCGACAAATCGGATGGAAGTACGAAAGGGAAAAAGGAGGGGTAACGTACTGGATCTTTGGATCGGTAGACATGGTGGGCGGATATAAGAAGGGAGGGGGGATAACTTGCTGAAGGACAAACTCGACTTGGACGGGATATCATAGTCGACTGCCAGCTTTGCTCGCGGCTCTCACTTTCTTGGCACCCGCGGGGTCACGTGTCACGCGTGTTTGCCGTGTTTGCGAGCGCTCTTTTCCCGAGGTCACGATTGGCTGCGTCACGTCGCGTGCGACACGCTTCTCGGGGCCGATCTTCTCGAGCTTCGCTTCCCGCCTACTAAATGCAAGGCGTTCCTTCTTCTCTCCTCCTCTTCCCTCCCCCAACCTCAACTTCCACGCTGCAATCCTACTTCAATTCTTATTGGAGCTGGAGGCAGGTTCTTCTCCCTTCTTTATCTTCTTTACTCCTTGATTTCTCTATTTGAGCCTTTTTCCCTCCTCCTTCAACCCCTCTCAGACCTTCACCGCACCCTCCCTTTCCACGTCCCGCCCTGGCATTCCAACTGGCCCATTTCCCCGCGCGACCTGTGACATACATACCGGTGCATTCTCCCGGTCGACGCAGCGGCCGATTAGATTGATCTGACTGGTCGATACGGACCGATTTTGTGCCTTGCTTGAACCCTCTCGGCTCTTCAGGGTTTCGACAAATCTCGGTCAACGCTTCTCCCACGATCCATTGTTAACCACCACCTCAACCAATCTTTTTCTGGATACCTTCGAGTACCCTTTTTGCTTATGGTGAAAATTCGAAATCTGGTGGCATGGAATCTCAGGACGGAATTTCCGTCCGGCCTATGAGGCGTAAGTTGTCCGGGCGTCGAATTTTTTTCGCCCTCCTGTCAGGATTGACCTGCTAACCATTGAGTCTTACAACCTATAGTGAAGGTGCTTTATACGTTTGATGATGCCAGTAAGACGAATTGCTTGGCTCGATGGCCCCATCTCCTCGACATTCAGACCGCCGCCTTGGACGAGAAAACTCATGTTGGGGTGATCGAGTTGAAGACGTGTATTCAAGCCATTGTCTCTGCTAGGTTTGTCTCCCTGTCTGTATGCTTGGCTACTATGGAGGGGAATTGGCACTAAATATTTTCTCTCATAGTCCGGAATTGGTGGCCCAACTAGGACAGGATTACACGGTATATGCTTACGACTACTCGGAATATGAGACGCCCCTGGTCGGACAAGGCATGCTATCATGGCTTCTGGCCTCCGCCTCCCCCACGCCCAACGCACCCGCACATCAATCGAAGACGATGGTAACGGGTCGAGTTTGCAAAAGTGTGCTCGGTCTGTTCTCGAAGGGTGCTCAGGAGACTCTTGAGGTCAAATTGCGGCTGGTACCGGTCCCCTCGGTTATGCAGAACGAGTACCTCGACAGTATGCAGAAGTATCGGGAAATTAGCAACATGCCGCGGGATATCGATACGCAATCTTGGAACAACTTTATCCGTCAAAATTCGAATATGATGGCTGCCTCGGGCCGGACGTCATCGCCCATGGATCACTCTGGAATTGAACGCTTCCACCAGCTTCTTAGCGAGGGGTCCACCCCAAGAGAATTTCCGGTTGCTACGAACGGATCCTATCGATCAGTGTCGCCCGCCCAGTCAGCCGTGGCGCAGATGAGCAGGGTCTCTACTCCCCTCGGCCAACAACATCCATCGTTCCAACAGGACCAACATCCCGTGCATCAGACGGAAAGAATGCAGGGAGACATGATCCGTCCTTCGTCTAGCGCTTCTATGCGTGACGCCGACTTTGCTGCCCATGCACGCTATGCCAGTCGCCGGGGATCCATTCAATCGGGCTACGGTAGCTGTGAAGAATCCACAGAAACCCAACCTCGCAAGCGGGCCAAGCTATACCGAGCGGACGGGCCTGGCAAGTCGGAACTGAACATCGAAAGACAGCCCAGCTCTCTACGGGTGGCTGCCAGCACGGCCGCCTCTGTTCGAATCCACCGTCCCACCCCAATCAACCCCTCCATTGCGGCTGCTCAGAACTCGAATGAAGAGCCCGTGCGCCCTCCCACTCCTATCTCCGGTGCAAACGATTTCCCCCGTCGATCGCGTCCACCTCCGAGTCTTTTGCGCGAATCATCTGTTCAGAGCACAAACCACTACACATCGCCCTACCCTACGAGTGACGATCAGACTCCCTTCGAGCCGCCCTCACACTCACCAGAGGAATCCCGGTATCAGGGTCTCTTTGAGCCTTCGTTCAGTATGCCGTCGTCCCCTCCCGTTTTAGATTGCGGATTTCCGAGCCGTTCGAGTCCCGTGCTTCCACCGATGATCACTGATCCCGACTCTGGTTTCATGAGTGGGGGTATTGACGAACTCATGGACGAAGATATTGGTACACCATTGGACGAATGCGTACGATCAGCATCTAAAAACGCACCAAAAGAGAAACGAACCGTTCGTCAAGCTGTCCAAGCCAGCTCCCCCGCGAGTGCGCCGCCGAATGTTGAAGCTCAAAACGAAAACAATCATCCAGATAATTCTACAAAGGACGCCATCTCTGCACTTCCTCGCCCCCCTGCCAGTGCTGCAGGCTCGAGACCGTCTTCGCGGGCGAGTTTCCGGCAGGCACCTAAGCCACTGGCCCCTGCTCCTATTTCACAGAGCGAGCTGGAACAGCTTATCAGTGCGATACCCGCCAGTGACCCCGTCATGCCCTCCCACGCCAACAATCACCCTCAAGGACAGAACTCCCAGTCCTGGAACGGTCCAATGAGTGATATCCCTACCGCCGAGACGCCAGCTGCACAACCCGTGAATGCTGAGGATAGGAAGATTCGCAGTGGGGCCGGAGCCAGACGACACAAGCAGGTTCAAGCCCGTCTGGACAAGTGTATCCGCGACGGTCAAGCACCGCCTTTCTGTGAGAACTGCGGTGTCATTGAGACGCCTACTTGGCGCAGGGCTTGGTCCAAGGAAATCGAGGGCAGCGAGCAGGAAGCCAACGAACTCAATAAAGACCCGACCATCTTCTTTTGGCAGGCGCTAAAGAGAGATGACCAAGATAAGGTCACGAAATTCAAATTTTACAAGAAGAGCTTGGTGGACGCCGACAAGGGTTTTGTTCAAGTCCTTCTTTGTAACCGTAAGTGCTACTAACTTGCTTTGTGTTTATTGGCCTTGGTTCCTTTGGTACTGACTCGAGACAAGCCTGTGGACTTTGGCTTCATAAGTTCAAGTGCATGCGCCCGGAAAATAAATGGAACAAGGCCTCCAACAACAAAAGGAAGCGCCCCCCAAGGAACCGCAAGACTGGTGGCCCGCTCTCGACCAACGGTACGGCGACGAGAAGCCACAAAGAATCCGCCAAAACGGACGGATCCTCTCCTGGAGCCTCTGATGCCTCGACGCCAGCGAACGAAGATCCCGCGACCCCGCGCGCAGAGGATGGTAGCAACGAGAAGACTGGCAGCACCGAGAAAAACACCCAGGCGAATGACGATGATGACGTCGAAGAGCTGCCCTCGAAGCGACGCCGAGCCACCAGCCTAGAACCCCGGAAATCCACGGATACTTCGGGAAATCGCTGGCAAGAACAGAATGCAATGGGCGCACTTCGGCGGGCCATCCAGTCTAGTCCAGCTCGGAATCTTGAAAACCACAGTTCTGCAGCGCTGGGTGAGAAAACTCTGACTCCCAAGCCCGTGAGGAGAGTACTGTTTCCTAACTCCCAAAATGAGGGAGGGCCTTTGAAAGCTTTAGGCGAGTCAGCTCTGAACAGCCCGCGCCGCAGCCCTCGCATTGCGTCTCGTGAATCAGACAAGCGCCCTCAGGACAAAGAAAACGGCGGCGGCAGCAATTCGGCTGACCTTGATGGCCTGTTTGAGAGTCCCTCCTTCGAGTTTGATCTGCCTACCAGTCCTACCCCCAGAAGACGCAATCCTCGCGCAGGCGTTCTGAGTGAAAAGCGTCTTTCCCTGCCGTACAACTCGCCTTCGTCATCGAAAGGACGCAGAGACATCGGTTCGGATCTGTCACCGACTAAGCTGACTGCGCAAAGATTGCAGCGCATTCAGAGCAGCCCGGCGTCGTCCACCCCGCGTCAGGGCCGAACGCCCAAGCAGTCTCGCTCGCAAATGCCCGATCTGTCTTCTCTGCCGGACGATGCGTTCGGGACCGAGGCATTCGAGGGGATGAACAGCGTTGTTGATATCTTCTCTGAGGATACTGCGTCGGCGGTGCACACCGATTCTCTGTTTGCTTTCGAGGCGTCCAAATGTCCATCCAGCAGCAACTGGGCCGACTGGTTTCCGTCGGACTACGTCTCTCCGGCCGGTTCTGACGAAGATCAGAATGCGGACCTGATCAGCGCGATTCTCTCCGATTCCGGGATGGGCAAAGAGAACGTCGACAGTTCTCAATTTGATATCTTTGATTATGCCGATTCAAATCTCCTGGATTCTGGCTTTTTCGGATCCGATGCCCTCAACGCCGATTTGATCGCTTTGGGAGTGAAGCCCAAGCCATCAGCCGAGGAATCGACCGATAAGGAACAAAACTCCAGTGCGAATAATGCCTGATGAGATTCTTTGATCTGTTTAAGACATTCTGTCTAAGTGACAAGTCTTTCTTTATCTTTTTCTATCTGTTTTTCATATCCTGTCTTTCTAGCGATGGCGTTCGGGGGTGACTTGGCACATGGAGCTTACATCATATCACATTTTGGTCACTTGGATTACCCTTCCCCTATTTTTGTTGCTTACTGCCCAAGAGGCTTGGCTGTTCATTGTTAATGTCTGATGTTATGCATGTATGGTGCCTCTGGTACTGTTTGATTTTGTTGATCATTCTTTTGCTTCCTTTCCTGATATTGATCTTGAATCTTGAATCCTGTCATGGTGATACCCAGTCAGATCTTACCGCTTTACAAGAAATATGAATTGAACGAATTATGCAATCACTGCTCTTGCTTGTAGAGGTTCCATTTTACGTAGTAGATCTACTCGTTAACCTACAAAACAGGATGTCTTGACCTGACTCCTATCTTCTACTTCCCATATGTAAGCGGTTATACCAAGATGGATAAATGAATAGCTAGCTAAAACAACCCACAAAATTCGATTTGGTATCTACATAGAATGACTAGACGAACCTCAAATCGATACTCACAGACACCAGACAATTGATTTGTACTTCAAAATAACACACAAACTCCACAGGTAAGTAGGTAGGCACGGTAGTTAGGTATCTAGGCAGTGCGATAGATAGATAGTATGATAGGTAATCCCCCTCCCTCCCTCCCCTCTCCCATTTCGATGTTCTCTCATTCGTTGATTCATTGGCTCGTTCGTTTATTCGTCGTAATAGATCGATTTCACTTTATGCGTTGCGTCGACTAGTTTCTCGTAGATGGAGTAGTCTGTGATGTGTTAACTCGGACTGTCTAGCTATACCTTTCGTCTATAGAGACGATGGAGGGGAAGGAAAGAAGAGCACATACCACACTTCTCCGGACTCCCCCAATCAAAGCTTCCCAGGACTCGTACTCCAATGCCCTATAACACACAACAGGAAACCATTAGCCACAGTCAGATCATGTCACCCCAAAAGAAGACCATAGGTGGCCAGATAGTCGGATATTCAACTACCCAGAAACAGAAATAAAACCAAATAAGAAAGAAGAAATCATACCCCCTCATGATCCGTAACCTTCCCCACAATCTCAACCAACTTGCCCATCTGGAGATGGCTATCCGGCTTCAAGATCAGCGTCGCGTCGCCATTGTTACCGCAGGAGATCGTCGCCGTGTCGCCGCGCAATGCCGTCACTGTGCCGAGCAGACGCACTGTGTTTGTGGAGCGTGCGCCCGTCGTGTTGGATGGGTGGAAGGCGTGCAGGTGGGCGGGGAGGACGCGGGGGGTTTGGAGGGACATTTTGGTCGTTTCTTGTCGGTTTTGGGGCGGTGGGTGTTTTGGAGATTGGTTCGTAGTAGCGGATGTTGCTAGAAGAGGAGGAGAGATGGTTTGATAGATCAGGACGTTGGAGTGAACTGTTGGAGATGAGTTGAGATAACTACCTGCCTGTATCTGATAGGAAGTGGGAAGTCCGGAGGTCGCGCCGCGCGTGGACGCGTAGTCACGTGCCTCATAGCTGGCCCGCCGGAGCTTAGCTGGACTGACTAGTTGCGGATTTTACTTTATCGCAGTCCGTCAGAATCTATACAACCAAGTTTCAACGAAATACTTTTCCCTCCAATTGTCCATACCACTACCAACGACCCATGATACCCCATACCTCTGTTTCTCTTCCATAAAATACCTCCCCACGAATTGAACCGAAAGAAAATAAAGAAAAATGCCACCCCCCCTCCCCTCGCACCACCGCGGCATGACCGCAAACCCAGTCCGCCCTGGCCGGTACCGACCCGGAAAAGCCGTGGCCGAGGAACCGTCCTCGGAAGAAGAAGAAGACGACGAGGAGGAAGCCGCAGAGCAGGAAAAGGCGCGGATAGAGGAACGGCGCAGACAGGAACGGTTGCGCAGGGAGCAGGCGAGGGCACCGGCGCCGAAGGCGAGTTCGTTTCCGGCGGGCGCTGCGGTGAACAAGGGGAAGGGTCAACAAAAAATAGAGGAAGAGGAAGGAGATGATGAGGAGGGTTTCGTGACGGAGGATGAAGAGGAGGAGGTTGAGGGGGAGAAGGTGGCACCTCGTGTTGCGGGCGACAATGTGGGTGCTACTACTGCTGCGGCTGTGCCTAAGGTTCCGGGGAAGAAAGAAGAAAGTGCAGAGGAAGAGGAGGAGGAAGAATCAGAAGAGGAGGAAAGTTCCGAAGAAGAAAGCAGCTCTGAAGACGAAGCCCCTCGACGAGTCCTCCTACGGCCTACATTCATCAAAAAAGACAATCGGAAACCAGCGAACACAGCGCAAGACGGCCAGGTACCAGCACCAGGACAAGCAACGAGTGAACACCCCGCGGCTTCCGGCGCCGACGACGAAGCCCGGAAAGCGCGACAAGAAAAGGCAGACATGTTAATTCGCGACCAACTCGAGAAAGACGCCGTGGCTCGCAGCACGGCGAACCGGGCCTGGGACGACGACGAGCTCGAGTTCGCCGAAGAGGGCGCAATCGACGATAAAGACGGGGTGGATCCCGAGGCCGAGTACGCCGCCTGGAAACTGCGCGAGCTGAAGCGCATCAAGCGCGAGCGCGAGGCGATCGAGGCCTCGGAGAAGGAACGCGAAGAGATCGAACGCCGCCGGAACCTGACGGCGGAGGAGCGCGAGCGAGAAGACAACGAGTTCATCGCGCGGCAGAAGGAAGACAAGGAGGCGAACCGGGGCCAGACAGGGTTCATGCAGCGCTACTTCCACAAGGGAGCCTTCTTTCGCGACGACCTGGAGCGCGAGGGGCTGGACCAGCGGAATGTCATGGGCGCGCGCTTCGTGGACGAGGTCTCGCGCGAGACTTTACCCCAGTACATGCAGATTCGGGATATGACGAAACTCGGCAAGAAGGGCCGCACGCGGTACAGGGATCTGAAATCCGAGGATACGGGTCGCTTTGGCGATGGCTTCAGCAATCGGTCTCGTCGTTTCGAGGGTGCTCCGGAGGGCATCACGGACGAACGGTTCATGCCTGACCGCCGAGATGACCGTCCGAGGGGCCCTACGGGGGCGAACGCGGGCCCTGTCCGCGAGAGACGCAGGTCGAGGACTCGATCGCGATCGCCTCGACGAGAGCGCAGAGATCGCTCTGGGGATCGATATCGGCCTGACGATAGCCATCGCCGGAAACGAAGTCCTTCGCCCTATGATGACCGCGATAAACGAAGACGAGTGGACAGTGATTCTTGAGGACATGTACAAACAAACAACAATTCTATTCTATTCCTATCGGCGTTGCTGGGTATCATGAAGTGGTCGAGGCAGGGCTTTATGCATGGTTCATGGCTTTTTTATCTTTCTGTCTCCTTCGCTGTATTTATTAAGGCCTGATCTGGTGGATCAATGAGTTTATAACCTGAACGCCATCTGTTTGAGGCTGGATAGTAAATCACCCGTCATCTGCTGCATATACAAGTAGCCGACGCAATCACGTCGACCTGAGTATCTTTGGTGTGATTGATCGAAACAACTCGACGCCGTGACAGATCTAGTTGACCTCCCGAGTAGATGCTCTGTCCAGCCGGTGAAAGCAATCCTTCAACACCGATCAATATCTATCAGGTCCAGTTAGAACCCCCGCATGATGCCCATCTACCATTTTCCCGTAGGATAGCAGAAAGAAAGAATAAATATAAACCTGCCCAGAAAGATCCAATCCGCTCAATAAAAAGTAGCACAGGAATGAGCTCAAGCATGCCTCATCCATTTATCTCATCGAGAACCCGAAGTATCAATCATTTATTTCACCCCCGCCCTCTCCAACACCTTCTCCCTCTCCATGACACTCTCCCCAAACCTGAGCAAAAAGATCGTTCGACTCGGCCACATCTCCGTCGGCTGATTATGAGCCGTGACCTTCGCCTCGAACCCGCACCCATCGCACACGCCCTCGATGATCCCCGCCACGAACGCTGCGCAGCTGAGCTGGTTCATTTCCTTGGGCACGCTGATGTACGTGTTCACGAGCGGGTCGTTGTCCGTGATCATGTACTCGTTCGGCGTGTCGGGAGAGACGGAGTGTTCGAGGGCGTCGGCGGGGCGGTTGAAGAGGAGGCGCCACAGGGGGCCGTGGATGAGGTGTAGCAAGGGGAGGACGCGGAGGGGGCGGTTCGGCGGCGATGCGGAGGTCGAGGAGCTGGAGAGGGATGAGGACGTGGAGCTGGAGATTGTGCGGTAGAAGAGAAGGTCAAGAAGGCGGAGGCCGAGGGGGTAGCCTTGTTCGTTGAGGCTGTTGGTCTTCTGGTTAGCAGGGTTTCGGGATAGATATCCTTGCGGTTGGTTTCCGGAGGGCAGACGTACCGTTTCTCTAAATCCTGAATCCCCGTAACCCGTCTCTGCGCGTAAGTGACCATCTCCGCGAAGAGAAAGGCGAAGCTAGCGCGGCTAGACTCCGCATTCCGGCTGCGATTCAGATGTCGGTCGTAGATGGTCTTGCGGTTGGAGGGGACGCGCAGGCCCGGGGTTGTTTGCGCGATGGTCTGGATCTGTTGCGTCGGTTGGGGTTTTTCGGCGGCGACGGTGTGGTTGGGATTGCTGTTGCTGATGGAGAGCATGGCAGCATGCCGTGAGGGTTGTGCCATGGCTTTTGGATCTATGGTGGTGGAGGTGAAGGGGAAGGTTGGGTGTCGAACTGTCGATGGATGGAGTGGGTATGAGATGGCGTGAATCGTAGGTAAGATCAGCGCTAGATCAGGAAGACTGGGGCATCATGGTCTGGCTGTAGATGATAGAGAATCAATCAATGGATTGCTAGGTCGGTGTCATTGATTGAACTGTCAAGTAGGTTAGGTTAGGTACAGGTAGGATAGTCAAGATGGTCGACTGCTGCTCGGCCTGAAGATATTACGGCGCGGCACAAAACCATTCGTGCACTTTGGACTTTTCTACAGCTTCCTTTACAGCTACGATTCAAGACATGGAAAATCAAATGCGTTTCAAATGTGTGTATTGTCATGATCAAGTCTAAACTATGGTTGTTCCATCAAATCCCAATCGGTCAGGGAAGATATGGAATAGAAACCTGCTGAACAAGCACCGTTAGCACAGGCTCGAAACAAAATGACAAAATTCAATCAGATTGAAAATCGATCAACGAGTCAGACATCCAAGGAAGTATTGCGCACAGTGCTCGTCTTTGATGGGTTCAAGCGACGGCTAGCGTGGAAACTGCGAATGTAGGAAAAAATTTTCATCATAAAAGCCCGGAGGCTTGTTGATCGAGGAACCAGAAAGAAAAGTTTTAGTAACTTACCAATTAGTGAAATAGAACGATTGAAGTCGAAAGAGCGAGATACAGTGGTGAGCATCTAGTTGGACTCTGGTGGGAGCTGCATAAAACTCCTGTCCAGATGCAAAGCTGGTGAAGAGTTGAGTGAAGAACAGAAAATTTTCGGGACGAAGACGGCTTTTTATAGTGTTGCGGGTCGGCCTGAGGCTGCCCGGGAAACCGACGAAGCTTCTAGCGAGCAGTGAAAAACTCCTTCCCAACCTCCACGGCTCCAGTCCTACTTTGCCCTTTCGGGTTTCAATTATTCATGATAAGTTCTAGAATCATGTAGAAGCTCTAGATGTGATCAAGCATCAATTGAGAATCAACCAGTGCATCCTAAATCCCTTACACGAGATCTGTCTTCGTCCTTTCTTTATCAATTCCTAGATAGACCTGCTATGTGCACTATGAAACCATAAATCAATACTAAATGATATATATATATGACCCCCAAGTGGCCGACGAGACCCCGATCTAAGTCCCGCTACTTTGTACTCTTCTGCTTTTGTCTAGAGTTCCAGTTTAGTGTCTTTGAGATGCTTTGCACCCAGTCGTTGCCGCGTCGGTTTTGCGGAAGAACATTCGCAAATGGATATCGCGATGCCGAAACGGTCAGGTAGTCACCGGGATGTAGTTCAATTCTATCATATCGTAGTCAGTCCTATTCCACTCTTACAAAGCTGAGACATCCACTCACCTCTCTCGTCCGTCGAAACTCGCCCACGAACTTGTCCGTGCATCGTAAGGCACTCCCATTCGTAGGACAATCGTATCCGGTAGAATGATCGGTCGGAAAGACAGTGTGTGGGCGCAGATAGCAGTGACGAGGATGACCGGGTTATCAGGATGGCAAAGAGAGCCCCCAGCAGCCAGATTGTATGCCGTTGAACCTGTCGGTGTCGCTACACAGACCCCGTCTGCTAGGAGCGTGGTGAAGTGCTCGTCGTCGCCAAACAACTCGATAGATGACATTGCTATAGACAGTCAGTCGTGCTGTCGTAGACACTCAGATAGAAGATCAAGACATACTGGCATTGGGCCCCCGGTCGAGGACGACATCGTTCAGGATCTGGACAACTTTATCCGGTTTATGCGTTAACGTGCCGTCGGTTTCTTCGCCGATCAGCTCTTCCACCATGTCGCGCTTGACATGGCCTGACCCTTGTGGAAGCGGGTTGCTTCTCATTATCGTGCATTCAAACCTGAGTCTCAAGCTAACGGCCACGCCGTCTTTGAGGGCAGTTTCGAGGGTCTTCTGATGGTGGTTGAAGTCGAACTTGGTCAGGAAGCCCAGCGACCCCAGAGAAAAGGAGAGCACCGGCGGCACCACGTGCTGGAATAACCAACTCGTATATAGAACCGTCCCATCTCCGCCCAGCGTAATGACGAAATCGAACAAATGGGCATTCTCATGCGCAAAGGCCGTATCCCAATACCTGAGTCGATCATCCGCCGAGGGCTCCTCTTGCAGCAATTTCGACGCCGCAAACTCCGGTTCAGACTCTAATCGCTGTTCCACGTAGACATTATATTTCGTGTCGCGGTCACTAGAAAGGAACCACCGCGCGATATCCCTCGTGTGGCCGATAACCGTCTCGTCTCCCGCCTTGGTGACCAGGAAGACGTTCTTTACCGAGAGCTTGAGCTTGATGCTATCCAGCTTCTTGGACAGTTTGCGCACGTTCCAGGCCATGTCCGAAAGCTGCTTTTTCGTCAGGTGCCGCGAGTGCACCACCTTTTGGGCGGTCCTTGTGCGCTCATCGCCCGTGTCCGTGACTATCACGTCGTTTTCCTCCACACCGTCGCCGATGATGAAGTCGTCGTCGCCTGTCCGGTCCTGTCCATCTCGTGCATGCGCCGACGGGTCGACCCATTCCCCTGCGATCAGGGAATGCACGAAGCAGGCGGTTTTCTCGTCGGGGCGGTCCAAATGCGGGATCTTGCCGGACTCATTGGCCATGACTAACGACGACTTGCGCCGGTGACTACAGTCCGGGGAGATGACGACCTAAATTTCCATGGCGGGTACAGGTTAGTCAAAGAAATCGGAAAGTCTCGCGATTGTCGCGAGAGGGAAATGAAAGCAAGCGCATCGAGATCTACAATACCTCTAGCTTGTTGTAGGCGTCCGTATCTGCCCCTCCATCTTCCTTCTGGGTGCGAGTCAGCTCCGGCGGCATCTTGTGGCGAGTCATCAACCTACACTGTGATCCCGGGGTTGTTCATTATCCATGGCTCGAAAACGACGATGATCCTCGAGATTGATCGGTTTGTCCTGTCGCTTAGGATCTCATGGCGAGTCTTTTTCCGGAGTGGCCGAGTGAAGGTTGAGAGTTGCGACGGATTGGGATGCGGCTATGACGTCGCTCCACTTCGCCCGAGGCCCAGTCCGGCCTTCACTTCGCTCATGTCGTCGGAGAGTTGGTGAGTTGGTGTGAGGTACAATGTAAAGGTGAATTGGTGGATTCTTTCTGGATTCAATTGCGCCAGGAGACAAAGAAGATACCCCTGTTACTGGTTTGTTTCTACCTAACCTATGGGCTGGTGTGGCATATATATATTCTTACCCGGGAATCTTATCACTGATATTATCACTTGCATCGACCTTTTGCCTCGCAATTGCTTGGACCATACCAAATACAACGCCTATGGTAGATATCACAGAGGGTCAAAAAAGCCATATTCTGTACTACTATTTCTCGAAGTGCCCTGGTACATAGTTCAGCCACGCTTAACCCCCAAGAACCCACCGACTGATCTGAGATACCAAGTCATAAAATATGTCAATATTGCTACTACGCACAGGCTTCCCAATTCAAGTAAACCGAGACTAAAATCAAACTGTACGCACGGGATTTCTATTGTCAAGTCGATCCCTACAACAACCGAGAACACCTACTCAGGAGAAAAAAAGAATCGATAATCTCCTCAACACAAGGCCCAAACGAGACACTCCAGCTATTGCAATCCATCCACCTTCATCGGTGAGCACAGTCCCCGCATCCCGGGGATTGAGATGGAATATATCTCATTCGAAAAGCCCAATGCGTCTGCATGCAGAGCAAAACCAAACAAAAGCGGCGACCCTGCAATGGGGAGAGATCCGATACCTTACATACATGCGTGCGTCATCTCAATAAGCAAAGAAAGTAGTCCACGCCGACACATGGTGCCTTGCCGTGATAGAGACACTGATAGCGCCAAAAGGGCGAGCGAGCTGTGTGAATATTGTGCATGAATGGCATACTTTGCATCTCAGCCACGGGTTGCCTTGCTTCTAGGTAGCCAAGTGCTGTAGTCCTCACGTCGCACTTTGGCCGCGTCGGACTTGTTGGAATCGATAGTTGGGGCTATCTATCGGAGATGGGTCACAAGGACGCCCTCGCTCTCTTTGTCCGAATGGTCTGCGCCCGAGCCAGATGGCTGGATGGACGGATGGATGGATGGATGGGCAGACGCCCACAGGATCAATCATCCGAAGCAAAAGCAAACGCAGGTCTCCATCAAGACGAGGAGAGAGGAGAGAAGGGCTCAGGTGAGCACGATGGATCCGACCGGACCATGTTTTCCAAGGCAAATGCACGAAGAATTCAAATTTTCTGTGCTGGTGGCGGCGGACAAAAAGTCGTGCCCAATGACCCCCGCACAGGATCCATACGCCTATTCCGTAGAAGTACTGGAGATACTAAGGTAAGATGCTCGGTGACGAACACCGGCTGAGTTGTTAGTTTTTTTATTTTTCCCTGTAGGGTCCCTGCAACCGGGAAAATTGTCTGACTCCTCATCTTGCCCTTGGACGGCGTAGTATTCGGCCAGGGTTTTACTCCGTAGAGGGGGCCGATAATAACAAACGTTAGAGTCAGGGTCAGAGTCAGACGAAGAGCATCCATCCTCTCTCTCTCTTCCCCGCCTCAAAAAGCGCTGCTGCTGGCCCTGCTTCTGCTGGCAGGCGAGGAACCGGCGTTTGACCCACTTCCTTTCTGGTGTCTTGCCCTTTGACTACTACTACTAGACCGGGTCCAGTAATTCAGCGTCACGGAGGGGGGAAGCGAAAAAAAAAAAGGAATCAGGAGGACTGCGCGAGGGAGGGGGCCCAGCATAATAGTTCGGTAGACACACTGGAGAGAGTTAGTCAGGAGTTGGTGATACAAGCGAAGCCGGGGGGCCGATAACTTTTTACCAGGATGGGCCTCAAGACGCAAGATGCAGATGCAGACGCAGACAGGAGGTCCTTTCTCAGTTGCAGATCTGACCGGCAAATCAGAGCGAATTTTGACGAGATCCCCAGATGGGCGAACCGCCGATGTCAGGCCAAAGCTGCAGGCGCCATCACAGTGCCCGCTTACGATGGGCCTTGCAACTTGCAGTGAAGACGGCCCCTTTGTCCACTTCTTATGCCTAACCGCCGGGCAAGTCCTACATGTGATGGAGCCAAAAATACTACATGACAATAAAAGAGGGCAAAACTCAATAAAAACCTCAAAACATCCCACCACCTGGATGTACGCATTTCCGGCCTAACAGGGGGCTGCATCAACCCCCGGACAGGAAGTCGACTGACGACTTTCCTAAGCGCCCATGGCCCTTGGTCGTAGGTATTATTAGAAAATCTAGACATGGGCCAACGGACAATGTCTTGCTTTAGCCTTTAGCATTCTCTCCCTGATCTCCGGTCAGTCCAGTCCCAACCAGAATAGCATCATAATCCTGGTGCCTACATACATACGTAGTGAATGGGGTAGGACAGTCGGACTAACTGTGGCTGTGGCATGAAGGAGAGAAGGAGACGACCGCATTCCATCCTGGCAACCCTAACAGCAAGTGAGACCTCCCTTGTCCTGCATACGCAGTTCACTCCTCTACACTTACGGAGGACGGGAGTGCTACGTACTTCCTTAGTGCCGTCTGCAGTATGCAATCTAGATGCTCCATCTTTTGCCACTTGATCCACCGGGTGATCTGTGCATTCTCTTTCCCCCTCCCTTGCTGAGAAAATGAAAGAAAAATTCCCCCCTGAATAACAAAAAGATAGGATTGTGTCATGTCACATCTCGGTGGGAATCTGCAGTGACCCGAGATGGAATTCCAGCCACATCGAGTATACTACCGCTTTCAGAAGGGAAATACGTGGTCAATTTACGTGACTTCTAGAAAACTCCAAGACTCCGTAACTCCATCCTTCAGGATCCGGTGATGCTCCGTTTTAAGTTCAGATAGGTCATTGCATGTACGGTGTAGCATGTAGAAGTCATCGACCCCACGTCGAAGACCGAAAGGATGTGACCGCGACCGAACCCATAAGCAACCATAGCCTATTCCGTTGGTTACTCCGTAGACTGTAGGACTTATGGAGGATCACACTCCGCTAATGTACGGAGTAGATTCAATAAGAGAAGCCCCTGCGGTCGGCGTTACATCTATCGCTTCAGCCGAAGATGTGAATCCACGCCCCCAAGACGCGACCAACAAGTTAGTAGTTAGCAACGAGCAAACCGGAATAGTAGCAGAGTGACTGATCATCCCGGGCAACGTGCCAGCTTCCCAGCCACCGAATATTTGGGGCTCCACAACGCCCACTTTTTGCCCCTCGTCCAAGACCATCACTTGTCTAGACCAGGAGGAGTTTAGTTGGGTATGCGATCGCTTGGTAGACTCAGGACTCTTAGCAGTTAGCGCTGGTAGTTTACACCGGTGAAGGCAGTAATAACTGGTAATGATTGTACATTCTAGTAAAATACCCCTAACATTCTCCCGATGATGTACAGTATCTATGAGCATACCTACTTGACAGCAAACAAGCTGCAAGAATAGTCGAGATAATAGGCATACATTTTAGTTTTTTTCGTATAAAATATCTATACGTGTTCAGATCATCTGTATGATGTAACTGTTTGACACAGGCAGAGCGGTGCGGGCTTCCGCATAATTGCAGCGACAACATGTCCCGAGCTAGGAGTGATGATACTAGTTGCATGGTACTTCTATTTGTTGGACTATATCTACGGAGTAACTTACCACGAATCATCTGCACAGTAGTACCTTATTACCTGCGCATGCCCCTTCGCAGCGGACGCTTTGATAACTAACCTACCTAGTTAGCTCACATTGTACTCCCAGCAAGAGTCAAAGAAGTGATCCAGACTCGATAGATCCATGTTTGTCAGTCAAGGCTCTAGGATTATGTATACGGCTGCCTTGCTTCTCCGCCTCTCTCTCTTGTTGGTGGCTGACAATAGGTTATCCAGGCTATCCAAATAGAAATCAATCATATCCGCAATCTCGTTGCCTTCACACGAGGCTGTGTTGGCGTATTTAGGCGCCTGCCTTTTGATGCAACGATATGTCGCAGCAACGAGGGATAATCCCGGTTGGTAGGCTGGGGGTGTCGGGTGTACTTTTCTTCAGCCCAGGGATAGTCTGCATGTCTGGACCGGGACGCCCGCTTGCTTCCTCAGAGGATCTTAGAAGAGGTCCAGGACAGGGATATCGGACTTTCCCGTCCTACAAATCTCGAAGGGTCGGGGACATGGCAAGATATATGTTCCCAATATGATTGGCCTTGGTGTCCCTTGCTATTCCTTCTGTGTACGCGTGGTGATCCTCCCCGGCGGCAATCGAAACCGGAGCTGTTGGAAAGAGTCAGCCGGGCATTTTCATTCCCGGCTGCAGAGTTTATGTCTCGCTGCGTACTGACATGGTGCTGAGCAACTTATGTGGAAGAGAAGGCTGGCAGTAAGGGACATCTATTACAATGTCAGCGTAGACTCCTTCGACGGCATCAAGCTGCATCATCACAGACCTCTCACAGGTACACAGTCTTGAAACTGATAATGTTTGCTGCATAGTTAAACGCCACATACCAATGGCAAAGCCCCTTGGTTCTTCAGGTGAGCCAGCGAAGCACTGTGCATAAAATAAGCCTGGATGTACTGCGATGCTGGAAAACCTTGCGCCTCGCCTCGCGGGGAAGGGTTTCCCTCGGGGAGTACCAACAGAGAGGAGACCCCAATGCAATCATATGGATGAGGCGACATCATGTTTCCATGTGTGTTGCAGTGAGCTGGCATAATATGGCTCTTTTTAGTATCTAGCAGAAAATCTCCGATTGTGTGGTAGGCCGTGCAAGGGGTAGATATGCTCAGATAATGACCGATTATATATATTCAATGATGCATGAGGCGTATGTAAATCAAATTTCACGGTCCGAGTAGGAATGAGAAGTTGTTTTGATAT